CTCACGACTCACGAGTTCAAGGGCCAATGGCAGAGGCCCAAATCCTGAAATGTTCTGTGATTGGACAACATGTATCGAATCAGAACACAGGAGCTCAGACTCAAGCTCAGGCAAACACAGACCACTGAATATAATAACAGGCTTCATCTCCCATTGACTTGCCTTCCTCTGTGCCTTAGTATGACTTGATTCCCAGCGCTCCTGTTCTGTTCAGGCCCTACTTCCTGGGCTTGCAGCTGAGCCATCTGGTTGGCCACTGTAAGGACAGGATGCTGGACTAGATTGGACTTAAATCTTCTTCCTTGTGGCTTCAGAGGGCCAGGCTACAGTGAACCACAAAGCTGAAGGTGCTTCTCTTTGTTAGAGGGAAGGAGGAGGTGAGCCTCTTGAAGGAACAGCTGTGGTCCGAGACCTCCACTGCACTTTGGACAGGCCGGTGCTGTTTTGTCACCTGCAGAGATCTTTTAGTGCAACTGTGGAATGCGAGAGGCTTAGCAATGCTATCATCTGGGACCTCCCTAAAATAGGGTGAGGGGGACTATTAGGTGGCAGTTCCGGACCAGACGGGGGTGGTGGCGCTAGTAGTGTGAGAAAACAACCCCAGCAGAGACCCAGAGCAGCCTCCCCCAAAATCTCACACATTTCCAAAGTAAAACCACTGGGAGAAGTGGAGCCAGGCTTGCAACATCCATCTGTTCCTTGGGAACGCAAACCTCAGCATTCCAAGTTTGCAAAAAGGGGGTTTTGCAAGAAAATCGAAACCAAAGGTACATCTCTCTCTCTCTCCCCTCTGAATGGGGGTGGGGGGTGAGGGTGGGAATTTCCAAATTGCAGAGGAAGTTAGAAGGCTAGAACACACAAACCACACACACACACACACACACACACACACACACTCCTTGGGGAGATGCCAAGGTCTCCTGGGATTCTTGAGACAGTTAGACTGTTTTGTGTTTTTCAGCCAGGGCTCATTAGAAGCTCAACAAGGCCAGAAAACGTTCATTAGGGGGATTATTTTGCTGGGAATCGTGAGATGCCAGAACAGAAAATTATGGCTACGAACGATCCCCACAAGCTACACAGGGCCACTGTTGATGTAATGATGTCCACATGTATGTTTCAGATCTGCACAGGGACAAAGGAATGAGGCAAGATCATCAACCCACCAGTAGGGGGCAGGGCAGTCTCTCAATGTCGGAACACCTGCCTTGTGTGCAGAAGGCTCCAGGTTCGATCCCCAGTGGTAGCATCTCCAGTCTGGCTGAGAGAGGCCCCCGTCTGAAACCCTGGAGAGCTGCTGCCAGGCAGTGTACACCAGACTTTCTCAAGCTTGAGTCCCAGACGTTTGCTGGACTAATAATAATAATAATAATATTTTTTATTTATACCCCGCCCTCCCCAGCCAAGGCTGGGCTCAGAGCGGCTTACAAGCAATAATAAAAACAAGTTAAATGATTACAACTTAAAAACAAAATTAAAAAATACAACATTAAAATACTGAAACATTAAAATATTAAAATGTAGCCTCATCGCAGAAGGAGAAGGAAAAGAAAAAAGAAAGAGAGGGAGGGAATCAAATTGGCTCCAAGCCAAAGGCCAGGCGGAACAACTCTGTCTTACAGGCCCTGCGGAAAGAAATCAGATCCTGCAGGACCCTGGTCTCATGAGGCAGAGCGTTCCACCAGACCGGAGCCAGAGTTGAAAAGGCCCTGGCTCTGGTTGAAGCTAATCTAACTTACTTAGGGCCCGGGACCACAAGGGTGTTGCTATTTATGGACCTTGAGGCTCTCCGTGGGGCATACCGGGAGAGGCGGTCCCGTAGGTACGAGGGTCCTAGGTCGTGAAGGGCTTTAAAGGTCAAAAGCAGCACCTTAAATCTGATCCTGTACTCCACCGGGAGCCAGTGCAGCTTGAAAAGCACTGGATGAATATGCTCCCATGGCAGAGACCCCGTGAGGAGCCTTGCTGCAGCATTCTGCACCCGCTGGAGTTTCTGGGACAGCTTCAAGGGCAGCCCCGCGTAGAGCGAATTACAGTAGTCAAGCCTGGAGATGACCGTCGCATGGATCACTGTGGCCAGGTCGGGGCGGGAAAGGTAATTCCCATCATCCCTAGCTAGTGGGACCAGTGGTTAGGGATGATGGGAGTTGTAGTCCAACAACACCTGGAGGCCCAAGGTTGGAAAAGGTGTAGACAATACATTTAAATCACATGGCTTAGTCTCTCAAAGAATCCTGGGTACTGGGGTCTGTTATGGGTGCTGGGAATTGTAGCTCTGTGTGGGGTAAACTACAGTTCACATAATTTTTTTGGGGGGGGTGGAATTTGAGCCACGTGCTTTAAATGTATGGTATGGATGTGGCCCTGATAATTTACTGCTGACCTTCCTATCTGAGAAGTCTGATGGCTTGAGGTAGTTTCTGCCAGGGGCTGCTTTGGGTGCCTTGTGCTCAGGACAAAAACAAACGAAAAGGAAAAGAGGACGTATATAAAACTTTAATGAAATTAAGATCCTGCTTATCATCAGGCAAAAATGCTTCTAAAGCAGCATTGGAAAAATAATTTTAAAACAGAAGGGTCCCAATGTCCCAAATGGAAAACGATGAAGCTGATAAAATTCCAGAGTTAAGCAACGTCAGAATAGATAAATCTCCAAGGCTTGGGCAGATGAAAATGTCTCCATCTAGGAGTCTTAGTAGACGACAAGCTTAACATGAGCTTAACATGAGTCAACAATGTGATGCGCTCTATTCTGCTTTGGCCAGACCACACCTGGAATAATGTGTCTGGTTCAATCCGGGCAGCACAATTTAAGAAGGATATTAACAAACTGGAAGGTGTGCAGAGGAGGGCAACCAAGATGACCAAGGGTCTGGAAGCCAAGCCTTATGAGGCAAGTTTGAGGGAGCTGGGTATGTTTAGCCTGGGAAAGCGGAGACTGAGAGGAGATATGATAGCCATCTTCAAATATCTCAAGGACTGAGATGGAGCAAGCTTGTTTTCTCTTGCCCCAGAGGGGAAGACCCGAACCAATGGATCCAAATGACTAGAAAGGAGATGCTGTCTGAACGTTAGGAATAACTTTTTGACTGGAAGTTTTGAAGCAGAGGTTGGATGGCCATCTGTCATGGATGCTTTAGTTGAAATTCCTGCATTGCAGGGGGTTGGACTAGATGACCCTTGGGGTCCATTCCGACTCTACGATTCTATCTGGTGTTGAACAGAATAAGTCACCCTCAGCACCGGACAATTCCTTCCCTCCGCCCTCAACCTCTGCTCCAGAGTTGAGGGATTGACCCCAAAGACTCCCTCTCTGATCACTGCTTCCGGTGAGAATCACAAAGTCGAAGGGCACCTCAAGGGTCATTAATAATAATAATAATAAATTTTATTTATACCCTGCCCTTCCCAGCCAGAACCAGGCTCCAGACGGCTAACACCAGTAAAAACATAATAGGGGGGAGGAAACAATTTAAAATACATTCATACCTCATGTTACGTTTGCTTCATGTTAGGTTCTTTCAGGTTATGTCTCGTGGCGACCCGGAAGTACTGGAAAGGGTTACTTCCAGGTTTCACCGCTTGCGCATGCACAGAAGCGCTAAATCGCACTTCGTGGATGTGCACAAGTGCCAAACTGCGCCACGCACCTGCGCAGATACGGCTCTTCAGGTTGCGCTCTTTTCATGTTGCGAACGGGCCTCCGGAACGGATCCCATTCGCAACCAGAGGTACCACTGTACAGGTTAAAATGCAATTTAAAATGCAGCCTCATTTTAAAAGTAGCCCATAGATCAAAACTATAAGGGGAGGGAAACATTAGGGTCAGACTGAGTCCAAACCAAAGGCCAGGCGGAACAGCTCTGTCTTGCAGGCCCTGCGGAAAGATGTCAAGTGCCGCAAGGCCCTAGTCTCTTGTGACAGGGCGTTCCACCAAGGCGGGGCCAGTACTGAAAAGGCCCTGGCCCTAGTTGAGACCAATCTAACCACCTTGCGACTTGGGACCTCCAAAATGTTGTCATTTGTGGACCTTAAGGTCCTCTGCAGGGCATACCAGGAGAGGCGGTCCTGTAAGTACATGGGTCCTAGGCTGCTTGTTTGAGATTAACCCCTTCCTGGTGATGCAGGACCCCCACTGCTACAGCATCTCTGAGAGGTGGGCTGCCCCTCTCAGGAAGGAGAGGAACCTCTGAGGATGATCTGAGTGCTTGGATGTGTCAATCTGGGAGAAGGTAGTCTGCAAGGTCCCTGGGTTTCAGGCTAAAGCCAGCATTAAAGGACTGGGAGCTGAAGGGAGCAGCTGTTTTAAAACTGGCAAGGCAGACTCTGTCCCCTCCAGTCCCAGCCAGCAATGCCTACTGAATTTTGGAAGACCTCTTGTGCTTTGTACAGTCTTCAAAGGCAGCCCCAGGCATGACAATTGTATAGTAATAATAATAATAATAATAATAATAATAATAATAATAATTTATTTATACCCCTCCCATCTGGCTGGGCTTCCCCAGCCACTCTGGGCGGCTTCCAACAAAGTATTAAAATACAGTGGTCTGGTAAACATTAAAAGCTTCCCTAAACAGGGCTGCCTTCAGATGTCTTCTAAAAGTCTGGTAGTTGTTTTTCTCTTTGACATCTGGTGGGAGGGTGTTCCACAGGGCGGGTGCCACCACTGAGAAGGCCCTCTGCCTGGTTCCCTGTAACTTGGCTTCTCGCAGTGAGGGAGCCGCCAGAAGGCCCTCGGCGCTGGACCTCAGTGTCCGGGCAGAACGATGGGGGTGGAGATGCTCCTTCAGGTATACTGGACTGAGGCCATTTAGAAGTGCAGACAATATGGCACCAAATCATGGCCAGGTTTTCTCTCCCCACGAAGGAGCTGCAGCTGACGCACCAGCCTCAGTGTGACACAAGGCCTTGGAATAAGATACCTTTAAATATACCTTCATGCAGGGCTGGGGAGTCTGAGTGTGTATCTCCGCATGTGTCCCTCCAGAAATTGTTGGACCATGGCTCCCCCTTCTCTCCCCTTTGCTCTTTTGAGGAAGAAGGCCAGAGCTGTGTGGTATTGGGGGGACGACGACAAGAAAGGAGAGTCAAACGTGGCCTCACAGGTTTGCAAATGGCTCAGTCGTAAAACTGGAAGGAAGGAAGGAAATGGAGAAATAGAAGAGAAAGTGTTTTTAAAATGAAAGCACACAAAAGCAGAGAGGGGCCTCTAATTAAATCCGAAGATGGGATTAACGGAATTATGCAATGTTCTGCATGCATAAACAACCCAGTCTTGAGGCACTTTCTGAAGAGAGGGAAAGTCAGGCATGATCTGTTAATATTTTGGAGGGGGAGGGGGAAGGCTACTAAAGGATGTGAAGAGTGGTTTGGAAATGCAACAGGACTCTGCATTCACAGACCCTTGAAAGGAGAGAGGGAAGGAAGTCTTTTTGGAAATACAGAAGGGCTCCGCAATCTGTGCGTCTCCATCCTTAAGGCTTTACGAATGACATTATTAAGATTTATCTAATTCTTGTGGTCCTTTTTGCCATCTCACCCATGAGGCAAGGTGAGGCAATCGCTTCAGACGGCAGGATCGACAGGGGCAGCAGATTCTAATGTAAATCTTTATTCCCCTTCTTCCCTGGTGGGGAGGGAGGATGCCATTTTGAGGTCCACCTCAGGTGCCAAAATGTCTTGGGCCGACCCTGGCATATGGACACTTTTCTATCTACTATATGTTTTGGAAAGTGGTTCGTGTGTCTGTCTGCCCATCTGTTCTAGAATGGATTCAGACTCTTCTCAAGATATTGTATCCAAGCTTGTAAAACCAGGCGGGGGCAAATGTCCTCGTTGGCATTCAGATGATGGGCACCATTTTGAATCAAGATGACAGACCAAAGCATGACTTTGGTATGACTTTGCCTCATTTTTGGTTGGATGGAGCCAAACTCACCAATTATGAGATCCATTTAAAAACCACAATTATTATTACAGTGGTACCTCGGGTTAAGTACTTAATTTGTTCCGGAGGTCCGTACTTAACCTGAAACTGTTCTTAACCTGAAGCACCACTTTAGCTAATGGGGCCTCCTGCTGCTGCCGCCGGAGCACAATTTCTGTTCTCATCCTGAAGCAAAGTTCTTAACCTGAAGCACTATTTCTGGGTTAGCGGAGTCTGTAACCTGAAGTGTATGTAACCTGAAGCGTATGTAACCTGAGGTACCACTGTATTACTACTACTGTACAGTATTTTGGTTTCTGCAAATTCCTGGGTACTCCCTGCTAATCCATATAGGAAAAATGTACACCTGCTACCTTAGGAAAGGGCTGCAGTGATAAGAACAGCTGCTTTATGAGGTTCAGTCCCTGACAGCATCTCTAGGTAAGGCTGAGGAAAGAATCTCTGCCTGAAACCCTACAGAGCAGCTGTCGATCAGTGAAGACAGTATTCAGCTACATGGACCAGTGGTCTGACTCCATGTAAGGCAGCTGCCTATATTGTTACTATCAACTACTGCTGATTGTGATGACAAGAAGCTCCGCATGAATAATGGGTGACTGTAGTTCACTCTGGACTCAATGGGAGCTTTGCCACAGACTTCTCGGCAGAGAAAAATCCTCTCCAAAGCCTTGCAGGCATGTCCTGGGTTAAGTCCCAGAGTTGCTTCAGCAGATAAATATTTGATTTCTATTCTCATTCAGGCTCCTTTCCTTGGTGTCGATCCAGTCTCTGGTAACAGTTAAGAGGTCTTCTTCACTCCACCCCCCCCCCTCGAACTCAGAAATGTGAAAGAGTCCATTGATATCTCTCTATTTGGGGGAAATACATGACACATGCTGCTGGTTTATAACAATGCATCATGGTGTGATTACTAGCAAGGTCATTGCAAGATACTATCGAGTCATTTTTTAAACCTTATTTGGTGGGATGGTTCTCATATTTCAATGGGGCAGTTGCGTGACAAGATTATTATTTTTAAAAACGTGCTCTTATGGGGATTTTGAGTCTTCTCTCTCTGAAAGGAAGACTTGGTCAGGATTCTCAGTTTATGAGCTAAGCGCATATTCCCCCCCCGCCCGTTAAAAAAAAACCCCAGTTCTGCTTTCCTCTTTCCCCATCTTCCCATCTTCCCTTCAATTCCCCTCAAACAACTTTTTTTAAACACCGCCCAAAAAAACAAAAACTTCCAGCACAGTAGAAGGTTTGTTTTGTGTTGTTATTTTCACCTTGCTGTTTCTTTATCCATAAATTTTACGAGGCAGTAGAATATTGAGAGAAAATACCTCATATATTTAGAAGAGCCCCAAAAGAGCCCTGAAGCAGAAGCAGCAGGATCAGGCCAAAGGGGGCCCATCTAGTCCAGCTTCCTCTCCACCAAATGGCGAGACAGAAGCCATTATTATTATTGGCATCTAATTTGCATTTAACACTGAAGACTTTCAGGAGACATCAAGATAACACATTTACAAAGATTTATTTCACCGTTTCTTTATTTGCCTCACATTGTACACACAATAGCATTCTCCCTCTCAGCAAATCCTGGGAACTATAGTTTGTTAAGGGTGCTGGTAAATGTAGCTCCACAAGCGGAAACTACCATTCCATCATTTTTTTCTCTCTCTTCTGGTGTGCGCAGGTACTTTAAAGGTATGGCGTACATGCAGATGTCGCCATAACTTACAGGATTTCAAAAACAACACATGCAAACATACCCCTCCTGGCCTCCTTGAGATGTCAGCCTTGGCCTTTGGCCTTAGCCGCTGTCATACATGGTGTGTGCCGTGCTTTAAAAGAGGATCAGGCAAATTTGCGGAGGAAGGGGCTATCGATGGCTACTAGCCACGATGGCTACGCTCTGCCTCCACAGTCGGAGGCAGTAAATGCTTCTGAATTCCAGTTGCTGGAAACCACAGGAAGAGAGAGTATTCTCATGCTTGGATCCTGCTTGCAGTTTTCTCATTGCGGCATCTTGCTGGCCACTATGAGAAGAGGATGCTGGACCAGATGGGCCATTGGGCATCTAGCAGGCTATTCTGATTAGGGCTGGGCGATATATCAATATATTGCCCAAAACTGGTTTGAAATGGGAATCGTGGCAGCGGCAGCCTCAGCAGCCCGGAGCCAGCCTGTTAGTGCAGTTGGCTCTGGCTGGCTCCAGGAGCTGCTCGCTGCCGTGGCACCCGCCATTTTTCCTGCGTCACAGCAGTGAGAAGCTCCTGAAGCCAGCCAGAGCCAACTGCACTACCAGGTTGGCCCCTCCTGGGCAATAGCCACCCGCCTGTGACTCCCAAGCCTCCCCTGGTCTGTCAGAACAGAGGGGGAAGGAGATAGGGGAAGGCTCGGGAGTTGCGGGTGGGCAGCCGTTGCCCAGTTTTTAAAAAACTCTGTGCATTTATGTTTCATAGGGTGTGAAAGAAGGGCTTTGCACCTTTTTTATACAATATGCTTGGGGCCAGGGTCTTTTGCCTCACCATCCCCGCTACTGACTCCCTGTTGCTACTCAGCTTCCAAAAAAAAAAGTGCTCCCAGATTCATTGAAAAAAACTGGTAACCATAACCTGGGTTCCTTGATGGAAGGGCAGCAACAAAGGCCAATCTTTGACTAGAGACAAGTTGGCTGCAAGTGATCGGCTGGTCCCTGCCTGCCTTTTGGGCACAACCAAAGAGTCCTTGGCAGGGGCCCAAACCCTTGGAGGAACATCCCCTCACTTGTCGGCCAAAGTCATCTTCAAGTAAGTTGACTCTGCCCTCATACCACTCTACTTTCCACACCCCAGGCAAAGAGGGGCCCGGACTGGAATTCAACCTTGTGTTCAATTTCAGCTAAATTTTTGCAGTTTACTGGAAACGTTATGTCATAATCAATGAGGCAGAAGGCCTTCCTGGAATCGGAGCTGCTTCTGCCTTCTTTTTGCATTTCGTGTGCTGCTGTTGGGGTTCACTTGCAAAGTGGGAGGTTTATGCAGCCTTCCCCAAGCAGGTGCCCTCCAGATGTTGTTGAACGACAACTTCCATCACCTAGTGTCATGGCCCATCATCCAGCCGGACACTGAGGTCCAGTGCCGAGGGCCTTCTGGCGGTTCCCTCGCTGCGAGAAGTGAGGTTACAGGGAACCAGGCACAGGGCCTTCTCAGTAGTGGCACCTGCCCTGTGGAACGCCCTCCCAGCAATGTCAAGACAATAAACAACTATTTTACTTTTAAAAGACAACTGAAGGCGGCCCTGTTTAGGGAAGTTTTTAATGTCTGACGCTGTATTGTTTTCAATATTTGGTTGGAAGCCGCCCAGAGTGGCTGGGGAAACCCAGCCAGATGGGCGGGGTATAAATAAAAAATTATTATTATTATTATTATTGGCATGTGCCCTGGCTGGAGCTGATGTTGTAATGGGCTACAAGGGTGTCTGGAAGGCACCAGGTTGGGGGAACCTGCTGTAACCTCTTTCGCTCCAACAGCGGGTCTAATTTGCAAACGCAAAAGCAGAGCTAATTGGTTAAATCAGGCAGCCTCCTGAGCTTAGCGCAAGGAAAGAGTGTTGGCTGGAGGAGCCCGGAAAGTCCATAGCTCAGTGGCAGAGGACCTGTGCTCTGCAGGCAGAAATTCCAAATTCAATCCCCAGGAGCACGTTAATGAGAAACTTATTTTCAGGGTTGTGGGTTTGGGCCCCACGTTGAACAAAATGATTCCTGCATTACAGGGGGTTGGACTTGATGACCCTTGCGGAGTAGTCCCTTCCAACTCTGCAATTCTGTAATTTTATCTCTAGGCAGGGCTGGGGGAAAACTCCCTTTCTGAAACGCTGGATTGTCGCTGCCTATCAGTACAGTGGTACCTCGGGTTAAGTACTTAATTCGTTCCGGAGGTCCGTACTTAACCTGAAACTGTTCTTAACCTGAAGCACCACTTTAGCCAATGGGGCCTCCCGCTGCTGCCGTGCCACAAGAGCATGATTTCTGTTCTTATCCTGAAGCAAAGTTCTTAACCTGAAGCACTATTTCTGGGTTAGTGGAGTCTGTAACCTGAAGCGTATATAACCTGAAGCGTATGTAACCCGAGGTACCACTATATATACAAAGCTAGATGGAGCAATGTCCTGACTCAGGATACAGCAGTTTCCTATGGTATTTTTTGTATGAGTCAGTCCACGACACCTGCGGAGCAGCAGCAATCCTGCGGGATCACTGGACCTAACTGGGGAAAAGGCCACCCATCTTCATGCCAGGAATCGAATATTGTGGCCCGTACCAGCGGCCAACAAACAGCCCCCGAGGGGAGGAAAGCTGCCTAGGCCGGGGTGGTCGCTGGATGGGGGAGCTTTGCCTGGACGGAGAAGGAAGGGAGCAGGTTGCTCCTGAAGCAGCTGCCGACCACCCTTTCCCTCCACCTGGCGGAGAAAGGCGAGAACTGCCAGGCTTTTCAAAAATCCCTTCAGCGGAGAGTCCATGCCAGCTGGTTCCTGTTTGGGACCGGCCTTGGGCGGTCCAGTGCGGGGCATCCCTCCCCATCTATCAGCCAGGGGGAGAGAAGGGGCCCGATCCAAGCGCAGCAGTGCCCCGTCCTTCTCACCACGGCGAAAAACGAGGCTTCCCAAGCGCGCCTCGCGGGGGTTTCTCACGCACCTTCTCAGTGCCGGTGCCAGGCTATTTTGCGCCCTAGGCAAGGCTGTTTGCACAAATTGCTAACTTCCATTTTCATGAAGGGGTTTACTGTAGAAGTTTTGTGTACTGCACACAACTCCCCCCCCCCGTCGGTCATATGCTTACAGACGTAAGCATCCTTTAAAAATTGTGAGGTGCAAAAATGAGGATCTGTCTTGACTGTTGTAACATGTAACAGCACTGAAAGAAACACAAGCACAAAGTCGTCTTATTTGAGCTTAATGGAGCTGGCGCACAATGGACCCTTTAAGGGCCTTTTAAAATTAAAATTATCTTAAAATGTGAGGTTCTGGACATTAGCACATCTCAAATAGGTGCTGACAAGGGGTGCAAGGCATCCCAAAGGGAGGGGGGTGGAGAGAGAAGAGAACCCTGTGTCAAAGATGACCACAAGGTATACCATCAAAAGCCCTGAATAACAGGATCAAGACAGACAGCACAAATCATTTTGAACCATCTTGTGAATTTGTGATGTTAAAATTTTAAGTCTGATGTTAAGAATTTAGATCTCTTAAAAGGTTCAGTTTCAGAATTTTTTTTCCCCTTTGCAAATTTTGCCACCTCTTCCTTCAGGCTACATGCTGATGCTTGCGCACGTTCAATCGATCTAGTTGCCTCTTGGACTGCCTGTGTGAAACAGATAAGAGGAGCAGAGCGAAGAGAGACTGGGGGCGGGGCGGGGACAGTTCCGACCCGGAAACTAGGCGATGCGCATGCCACTCTACCCTGTTAAGAAGTCTAGGAGCTCGTTCTCGGCGCGCGGATCTGTCTCGCTGCGTCACTTTAGTGCACCCGCGGCTGTAGTCCCTAAGGGGAGGGGCGTGCTGGGGCGTTGGTGACGCGTTTGATCTGCGCCCTGCCTGGCGGCGGACAGAGCGGAGAGGCGGTGGGATTGAAATGCCGGAGGCGGGAGCAGGTGAGCGGCGGCGGGTGGCCTCGCTGAGGAGGCGGAGGAGAGGCCCGGCACGTTGTCACAAAAGCCATGCGAGGCAGTCCCTGAGCTGCCTCTTCTTCTGGTTAGGGTTACTCGGGAGAAAGTCCCGCCGTGGCCCAGAGGGGCTCAAGTCCCTTCGGTCGGCGCAGGCTGAGCAGCCTCACCGCCTCCCTCCTGGCGGGCTTCGCGCCCTGGAGGCCTCTCCGCGCCTAAGGCGGCGGCTAAACGGCAGAAAGTCTTTCGAAAGTGTTGTTTGTTTACTTGAGATATTTATATGCTGCTGTTTGCATTTTTTGGCTTAAGGGCTCGGGCATGAATGCCACCAGAGCAGCTTACAAAAATCCGTGCTGCATTAAGAAGCTGCTTGCTTGCAATATATATATATATATATTGCCAGCAAGCAGCTTCTTAATATACACACACACACACACACCCCAGACATACCATACGAGGGAAAAGGAATGTGAGGGAGAAGGGAGGGAGAAGCAAGCTCAAGCACAAGGTTTTAAAAACTGCAGCCACCACTAGTGGTGTTTCAGGCTGCCTTGCTTTTGGTAAAGAGTAGCTGCTCTTGTGAAGCACCCCGCCTCCAGTGTTAGAAACTGATGTATGAAAGCTTGGAGCTAAACAGCACCTTAAACCTAGGTTACGAGTGCAACAACAGAATGTTTAGGCGCTTTTTAAAAAATAACAATACAAAGCTGCAAACGAATGAACTGCAGCTGAAATCTTACGTTCATTTTTTACGTGCTCTAGTCCTCATCTGAAGACTGCAAAAACAAACAAACAAACAAACAAACCCAAAGCCATGCTCCCCCCCGCCCCCCGTATTCTTATGAGGGTATTTTCTCCGGTCTTCAGAGAGTGGCTGGAAGTGGGGAGGTAGAGAAAGGTCCTCCTTTCCTTCCACTCTGCAGTTTTAATCTGAAATCATAGGTGCAGCACTGTGCCCAGACCTTGGAAGCTGCTCACGCTAATGAAATTCCTTGTCGCAAAACACACCTAGAACAATGGGAGTCTCAAACACTGCCCACCTTGTCAGATCCAAGTGCAGGTGGCAACATCCAGGGCAGTGCCTGCCACACACTCCTTTCAGACAGCGTAACTTGATGGCAGGCAGAATCCTCACAGGAGGGGCTTTGATGGCATCACTGTTTGAGCCACCCCAGAGCACTCTTCTCTCTCACACACACCCAGTTACATCCAGGAGCAGAACTGGTGATAACATTCAGGTCAGGAGGCTGAGGCATCTCCAGCTACGCAGCATATAATAAATGGTATCAACCAACAAGGCTGAGGTCCCAGTTTGAGGCCTTTCTTTCTCTCCTCTTGGCAGCTTGCTGAAATGACACCACCGTTTGGCCACATCCGAGGCACAGAGATGACTGCCCATCACTTTCCTCAGCACAGTTACCTCTTGGTAAGTTTCACAGCAGTTGATCTCTGTGCTGTTTTGCCTGAGTTTCAGAGCTGCTTTTGCATATTGGAAGGATGGAGACCTGGGAAAGGGGTTCTTGGCAAACTCATATAAGTTTTGTGGGTAGACCAGGGCCTGGGTTCTTCACATCTCAGTTTGATCAGGGTGGGAATGACCTGCTTACAAGTGACTGATCACGGGTTCTTTGCTTTGTCTGAGGTAGATTTCTTTTCTTTTCTGTTTAAAACAGGATAGCTTAAAGGCTGACTGTCTGAACAAGCCTTTCGCTCAGAGGTGCCATGATCTTGTGACTGTCATTGAAGATTTTCCTGCCAAGGTAGAAGGCTCATTACTTGTTCAGGCCTATAATATTTCCTTGTTGTTCTGCTTTGGAGTGTATTGACCTCTGATAAAATATATATGTTGTCAGGGTAGGGCAGACTGCCCTGTTCACTCCTGCCTAATGGAGAGAAAACATGAAAGAGCAACCTCACATTTAAATACAGACACAACTACAAGTCAAACTGACAAACTGAAATAGAGAGAAACTGACCAGAGGAATTCACCTTCATTTTGCTGATGTCTCTTTGTCAGGTTTTGTCCAGTATTTCCACTAGCTGTTAGTCTTAGGTCTCCTAGGAATAGAAAATTTGGCACAGATTGGTTTCTAGACAGAAAATGCCTACTGTGGTTTGGAGTAAACAATGTGTATCTTTGTTTTGAGCTTTTCTGTTTCTCTTCCCCTGGAAGGAACTTCATGCCATCTTTCCCTGGCTGGTGGAGAGCATCTTTGGCAGCTTAGATGGCATTATTTTAGGTTGGAACCTCCGTTGTTTACAAGGAAGGGCAAACCCTACTGAGTACAACATTGCCTTGGACTTTCTTGATGCTGGGTAAACCTCTTTATTCAGGAGGGCGGTGGGAAGAGCTCTGATGTGGTTCCAAGGGTTACCCCCTGTCCTTCTTAATGTTTTCTTTCTTGCTGCCTTTTTTTGGTAGAGGCCCAATGATGAAGTTGGTTTACAAGCTCCAAGCTGAAGAGTACAGATACGATTTCTCTGTCTCCTACCTTCCTGTAAGTATCTAGGAAAGGAGGTGATAATATCCACACTACCACTTTGAATCCAGGATAAAATAGGCAGTTTAAGTTCCTAATCCTTTATGCGGAAGTCCCACTGATTTCATATGAACGTGTTGAGATTAAAATGGTAAGTTTGAAACCTTTTCCGCTCTCCGCGGTACACAGATGCTGCCTGTTCCTCAGCTTGCTGAGCAGTGGGAGCTGAAGCCTTAAACTCTTGGGCTACAACAGAGAAGAAGGGGGAGGTTTAGGGCTCCAGAAGTGGTTGTTGGCTTTCCACACCCCAGATCTCAGGGGGGTAAATGTTTGTACACCTTAAGGGCTGTTTTAATCATAAGGTCTGTATTTTGTGTCTAATCATGCCATTGTTCTTTTCAGGGCCCAGTGAAAGCCTCAATACAAGAGCGGATTTTACCAGAATGTTCTTTGTACCACAACAAAGTCCAGTTTCCTCCATCTGGAGGCCTGAGCTTGAACTTGGCCCTTAGTATCCTTTGGGCAATAAGCCCAGTATCATTTGTCTTCATGTTGTGTGTATGTTTGGGGCGGGGCACAAATCATGCAGTAGTTCAGTGATGCCAAACAGTCGGTGGTGAGAGGGAGACCATCCTGATTCTTGCAGCTTTCCAGCATGATTTCTTTGCCCTCTGCTTAGCAAGGCCCTGGATGGAAGTTGTGTTCCCTCTCCCAAAACATATGAGAAGGGGCCAGCGGCTGCACATTCCACTCCAACTTTACAAAACTCCTTGCCACACAAGCTGCTCCAAGGCGATTGCATATGAGTGGCTCCTCCAGGTGAAGATAAATTGCATGGAAAGCCCGTGGTCTGCCAGCTCTTAGAAGCCTGGGGAACAAGCGGATTGTTACACTCCCACCAGTTTCCCCACCATTGTGGAGGGAAGTCATTTTGGTTCTTTGCATGGCTGCAGCTTGCAAACTCTGATCTTTCTCAGTGCCTATCTTGGATTTCTCCCTTAGATGTTTTTCCTTCTGTTTTAGCTGCATTTTTAAGTGTCTTGCCATGTTGATAAAGTGTTTAACAAGAAGGGGCACTCCCACCTTCACACCCAAATCCTGAGAATAGAATAAAACACTGACTATAGACACTTCATTGGATGGTCTTGAATGGCCAAGACTTGATGCTTCTTCATGTTTTCTGTTGGACTTTATCCTTGACTCTGCTGCCAGATCCCTTTGAATATTACATGTTCTACTTTGCATTAAGCCTGATTACACCGAAGGTAAGCAAAAAGGCAGCTGCTTCTTTCAATGCATTGCCTACTGTTTGCTATGCAAATGAGATGAGAAGTTGCAGCATAGTTTCGTGCCTCTTGTGGTTTATCCCTTGTTGACCCACCTCTCCCTCCCCCTCCACACTTGCCATGATGTTTGGTGGTGTAAAGTCAATATTTGTATAAATAGCTTCTTAAAGTGCTTGAAATACTCTGCTTGTCGGTCTTTCCCTTGGCACTAAAGTGTGCTTAACCATTTCAGCTTGTCACCTGAATGCTTTGCACTAAGAAGAGAGTGGCAGGGGTGTAGGGTTGCTAAACAAGTGGGGAGAGGGGGACTGAGCCCTGCAGAATTGCTCCTTCCTAGCAGGTCCTCACTGCCTCTGTTGTTGAACTCTCACTGTAGCACGTTGTGTACCAGGCTCATTTCTCACAAAACGGCAGAGAGGGTGGTAAAATCGGTATGGACCATGCCAGGCTGTTGGTGGGAGCTACCGTCATAGAGGACTGCTCCTCCAGAGGAAAACAGAAGAGGAGCCAGACATAGTGTGATAGAAAATTATGCTTTTGAGTAGCTTGAATTTTTTAGGCTTACCCATAAAGTTCTCTATTTGAGTTGATACCACAAGAGGAATGACTTGGGATTCTCTCTCCTCTGTGTTTCAGAACATCTCCACGGCCTATCATATCAGCATGTCCAACAGTGCTTACTTTGTCCTAGTGGATCGGTACTTGAAGTGGTTCCTGCCCACAGAAGGGATTGTTCTTCCACCCCCCTCCTCTTCCGATGCAGGAGGGGCTGTCCCATCACCTGCTCCCCGGTGAGTACTTGTCCTAGTTTTCCAGATTACAGGTTCACGGTGTACAAAGATGGTAGCAGGAGTCATCTCTATATCCCAGCCAACAGTATAGCTCTGCTCTTGCAATGAAGCTTTGAGTAGCTGAATTCTAAATTTCCATCCGAAATGGAGACTAAACCCAATTTTGGGGAGGGGAAAAAAATAAAAAATGCAGATTTTCCCCTGCTCCACTTTGTCCTTAGGCCCAACCCTGACTACTATCCTGTTTGGGTGACCCTTTTGGGAGGTTTTTAACTTGTGTCTTTTCTTTCTCCTCCCGTCTAGATCTCCTGCAATGTCGTTCAGCTCCTACGGGATGCATCCAACAAGCCTTCTAAAAAGACATGTTGCTCACCAGACTTCAGTGAATGCAGACCCTGCTTCCCAGGAGATCTGGAGATCGGAAACCATGCTTCAGGTGTGCCCAGGAGGGAAGGAGGCTGTGGTGCAGCGGCTGCTCTGCCTGGCTGTTGCTGCAAGCTCTTCGGGGATATTGCTTTAGCTCAGCAGGGTGGGGGACAGGCAATTGTACAATACCAGGCCTACTTCTGGGCGGGGCCTGGGGAACTGGGGAAACACACCTTTAAGAAAAAGAAGAGTTTTCTTTGCCTGTAGGAGAGGGGGAGCCTGCCTCCCTCCCAAGTGTTGCTGAGCTACAACTCCCCATCCCCATCACCGTTGGACATGTGGGCGGCTGGGAGTTAGAATCCAACAATATCTGGAAGGTTACAGAGGTGTGTTTAATTAAATGGTTTTTTTCTGAGGGGTTCAAGGAACCAAAAAGGGTTTTAGGGGTAGGCCTTCATTGCAGTTACCTGCCTTTTAGTACCTTTCTGCTGTTTCCCTGCCCCTGCCCCAGAATCCCAAGCTCTGGAGATCCCTAATCTGGGGGGGAAAACAAGTCAGCTAGCACAAATGTACCTGACCACTTGGTTTCTTGAACTCGCCACATCCAACACTGATTGAGCTATGTCTTGAAACAGCTTCAGACTAGACCCCAGGAGCAGAAATCACTCCAAAGGCCGGCTCTGGCTACTGCTGTAGTAGGTTCTTTGGTCCTATTCAGGCAGGTGAACAAGTTCTTCTCTTCCTAGGTTTTTGTTGAAATGTGGCTTCATCATTACTCCCTGGACATGTACCAGAAAATGCAGTCCCCTCACATCAAGGTAAGGGGCTGAGCTTGGGCATCTCTTGCTTGCTGGCCTCCCTGTTTGAGGGGCTGCAGGGAAATGCAACTGCTGCTGCCTAGCTCTGGTCTCTGCTTAATGACAAGAGCTGCAGAGTGAGGGGAGGCTGTTGGCACTTAAATAAAAGCAAGTTAGGGTTGAAGTGGGTTTCTTTGATACATCAGCACTCGAGAGAGGAGTTCCAGCCAATGGAGAAAGGCTTTGCTTTATGTCAAAGCTGAGGGAAGCTCAATTCCCGCAGATGCCGGTTGCATGTCTTGGAATGTCTGTGTTGTTCGAGTTAGAAATAGTTAAAACTGCCTGAGAGGAAAGACATGAATTTGGTAGGCAGTTTTGTGGCAGGCCCTAATTATGATGCTAGGGAAAGTTCTTGGCAAACATTGCTCTCCAGTGCAGCATTTTATTTAATTTTTCTTGTTTACAAAAACATGTAGACACAGAAAAAACAGATAAGTAACAAAGAAAAAAAGGGGGGAAGCAATATAGAGTTGCAGAATGAAATAACAGCAGCAAACCAGTATACCAAATGACAATCATACTTCACTGAATATCAGATGGTATTTAAACATTGGTGGACCTCTGTGGGTGAAGGTTCTCTGCCTGCAGGCTGGGAGCTGTAAAGGGCCATCCCTAAACCTTAGCTTTGTTTGCTTGAAGGATTTATGTCAAACTTGATAATGTTTACTGTGGTTGTTGCAAGAACTCAGTAGGTCAGGGGTCAGCAAAGCTTTTCAGCAGGGGGCCAGTCCACTGTCCCTCAGACCTTGTGGGGGGCCAGACTATATTTTTGGGGAAAAATATGAACAAATTCCTATGCCCCACAAATAACCCAGAGATACATTTTAAATAAAAGCACACATTCTACTCATGTAAAAACACCAGGCAGGCCCCACAAATAACCCAGAGATGCATTTTAAATAAAAGGGCACATTCTACTCCTGTAAAAAACACACTGATTCCCGGACCATCCATGGGCCGGATTGAGAAGGCAATTGGGCCGGCCCCGGCCCCCGGGCCTTAGTTTGCCTATCCATGGTTTAGTATTACTTTAATGCTAACCTGGAGTCTCTTGCATAGAACACCTGGGGCAGATTGGGGATTCTGCTTGTACACCACCCACCCACCTCCTTGCCTGAGTTGATAGAGACCGTCTCTGATTTCGTGTTGGGACAGTTTCAACTTCCGTGGTAGTTCAGGACTTCGTGGCAGCCATGGGGGCTGCCCCAGCATATCTTCGCCCCAACATGGATATCAGCAGGACATACCATTGATCAGGCAGAAGGATGGTAGTCTTGAATGTAAGAATCAACATCTTTCCTCTTGTTGTGGTTGGATCATTTCCCATTGAGGTGTGGACTTTCTGCTCTTCAGGTGTGGAGAGACCTGCAGGTGAATGGATTCATATTCCAGAGGCCTTAGGTGGATATTTCTGCTGGTGTGCCTGGATCTCAGGAGAGCCTGGCTGTGGGGTGCTGAGCTCTTCTTCTCCCAGGTGGCCAAAATGGGGATGCAGGTGGTTATGCAAGAAAGGGCCTCTGTGATGGTGGCTCTCCAGTTATGGAATGCTCTCCTGGGAAAGAGATGCTCACATGTCCCCTGAAATGCAGTCTTGTCAGAACTAGGTGAAGAACTTTCTGTTTTCCCAGGATTTCCAGTTTCCTTTTTAAACCCAAGTTTTAGTGCTTTGTAGATACTTGGTTTCTTTATCGCAGGTTTTATTCTGGTGGTGTTTTAAAATTTATTTCTGATTTTATGTGCTATGCTTTGCATTTTCCTCTCTGTATTTCAGCCAGAGAATTTTTTCTTCCACTGGTGGTGTAAAAATGTTGCAAGTAAATAAAAACACCCTTGTATTGCCAGCAGTGGGGTGGGGTCTGAGGGCTTGCTTTAGTTAGGATTTGAACTGAAAACGTTACACTTTCCTTTCTGAATGCGGTGGCATCAGCTCTTACTTAATTTTACTGGATTTCTAGAAGCACACATACACACATCCTTCACCCTAAAGTCTTGGGAATATATGTGAGTAAAATCACTTAAAAAGTAAAGCCACCAGCCCCAAACAGTCATATGTTAATCAACTGCACCTGTCATCTACTGAAGCCCGTATGCTTGGCAGTTCTCTGCAAAGTATTTCTGAGTGTGCATGACATTGTATACAGTTAACTCCACTTCTTCTTTCCTCGAAAATGCCCGTCTTTCCTCTCCTCCCCCAGTCTCATGCTCACTTGCCATCCTGTTTGTGTTTCTCCACATGCTGTTGCAGGGAGGGAGGCTCATGGCATCATTGTTGGTTGTGTGTATTCTGTTTGCATCCCATATTTTAATATCTGTAACAGTTTCTAGCGCCAGCTGCTACTGCGCTGCATTTCTAAATTTGAGAGTCCAGGGCCAGAGATCCAGGAAAAGCAGGGCCTGGGGATCGGCCCACTTAGATCCAGATTTGCCATGTATACAGTCTTGGGGCTGAATACATACACTTTGTTTTGGCTTTCACTCTCTTGTGGCAAAAACGGCCTTCCCTCTCTCCACCCTCCCCCAACTGATCAGCTTTGGAGGCTGACTTGAATATTGTCTCTTAATGTTTTCATAGGGAATCATAAGTTCCGGGCCCACAGTTGCATATTCTGCAGTGCAGGCAGAGTGGATGTTTGCATTGGAGCCTTTGGCCTGGTGTACCCTTGATCAGATTAGCTCACACCCAGCACAAGTTGCAGGTGCAGGACTCCTTGTGTGGCGGCTTTGCCAGGGCCCAGTGGCGCTTGTTTGTGGACACACACAGAAGGCCACAAACACTATGCAAAAGCTGATTGGGAAAGTCCTGGTAAATCTTGATACTCACAACTGTGACTTGGGTTTCCCAGAATCCAATTGCTGATGTTATATTCCAACTGTTGCTGCAAAGTCTCGAACCACCTCCACAGTTCCAGGAGCCAAAATGTGTGTAAGAACTGCCTTGCTGGGTAGAGAGAAGTCCCAGCTTCTCTCCAGTTTTGCCATTTTGAGCCAAACACTTCTGATAAGCCCACGATCCAGGAGCCCCCAGCCCTTCCTGCCTAATACCTCTCTGCTGTCCCTCACTGCCAAAACACCTTGGCATTTGGGTTCCAGAGAAGAGCTTGCAGCCTGAAAATGTTTGTGCAACGTGAGAAAAGGGGGGGTCAGACTTTGCTTGAGGCTATTTTGCGCCAAGGATGTGTGTCCCTCTTCACATTGGCTGCATTTGTCATTCATTTGTGACTCATTCTTGGGTTTTGCTTTTTGTTTTTTTTCCTTGTCCCCCCTTCTTCCTGGGCTCATTCTCACTGGTTGTTTTCCCCCCTGTTTCTTTCCATTTTTGTGTTTGCCTCTTCTACCCTTCCTGCCCTCCCCCTTTTGTGTTGTGTCTCTCAGCTGGAGGTTCTCCAATACCGGCTCAGTATCTCCAGTGCCCACCGCAGTAATCCTGCCCAATCCAGCTTCCAGGCCCTCCACACATACCAAGTATTTTCACTTTTCTTTTCTTTCTTTCTCCCTCCCCCCTCCCCCATTTCATTTTACCGGTATTTGTGTAGAAATTAAAAAGAAAAGATCCTTCCTACAGTTTGCAGTGTGGTGTGGGCAGACATTAGGGGTGTGGAAAAGTACATTCTGTTGGGGCTGCTGTTGTAAAGAGGATTTTGAGAGTGATGTGGGCCTGCTCCTGTGGGCCTATTATTTCCCAGGGAGCACAGAAAACAATGCCAAATCCAGGTGATGGGTTTTCCCAAAGCTCGCTCATTCTTCCACTTCCTTACCCTAGGCAGCAACAACCTCCTGTGATGCTCCACCCACAAAAGGAGGGGGAAATATATCAGGCTTCTCCTTTCTATGGAGTTGCCAGAGTCTGGTGACTTTGAGTGTGTCAGAAGCTGCCACAGCATTGCTAGGAAAGGAGCATGTCCAGTTAGATCAGCTGGTCACGAGCTTGAGCACAAAAGCCATTTAGCTAGCAGCTTCTACTCTCTTAACTCCTGAAATGTGCCATTGGGTGATAACTGCAGAGAAGAGATGAAGCCTTTTAAGGCCCAGCCTAGCTTAGAACCGGTAGGGAACCTGTGGAGAACCTCCAGACTACTTACCAGGTCCATCCTCCCTGACCATTGGCCACATGGACTGCTGGGAATCTCGGCAATATCTGGAGGGTTATAGATGCTGCCCATCCCTGGATTAGGAGGAGCACCGGGGTCTGCTTGCAAGTATTGATGAAAGGAGAGGTTTGGAGCACCCCTTTGCCACAGACGTTTGCTTTGCTAACTGGGCTGTGTGCTGCTTTCTCACCTTGCTCCTGTCGATGAAAGAGGAGCTTGGGGACAGCATTAGTCCTGCCTTGATTAAGTGTGTATGTGGGTGTCTTTTTAATAAAAACACATACACACATCATCATAATCCGCTTCCAGTTAAGAGCAGCTGCACAAGGCTAAAAACCACATAGACAGCTTGAAAGGACTCATTTGGGGGACTGCATGTTTGCAGATCATAACGAAAATGTGCATGCACAGACTGCTGCTGGGATTGGTTCTTTGTTTCCCTTCTTCCCTTCAATTCCTTGGTGGTGACGGGGGCCAGTCAAAAAGGCATTGTGTGTGGTGTTCAGCCACGAAGATCCTGCCTTTATATTATTTTCAAGAGCAGCTTTCTAGTCTTCATGATTTAAAAAGTGGTTACAGCATCATCTTAGATGCTGGGAATTATTAGGAGTTTGCTGTGTTACGATCACCTCGTGAATCTCCTCCCTAAAGGTGAGATTTTTGGTGCATTAACTCCCATCCCACTGCCTCCTATAAAATGGGCCTCTTCACCGGAATTGTGGTGGGCCCCAGAAAGGAGCAACCAGAAAAAGTGTTCTACACCTCAGGGTTTAATAATAATAATAATAAGGTAATAAAGACTAGGACCTAGGTGCATGGCTACACCTTGTCCACAGTCATACCAAATATTTTGAGAGGGGAGAAAAATCTTGATCAGCTGGGATTCTCAGTTTAAGCATAGCAAAGCAGTTTTTCCCTCACTGGAGGGGGAAACATTTAGCTTTTGCAATATTGCTGCCCTGCAAATCCTGTTGTTTGCCATTGTGACTGGGGCTGATGGAAGTCTGAAGTCCAGCCACATTTGGCAGGGCTGTTCCAAGGCATTTTGCTGCCTAAGGTGGAGCAGCAAAGGGGAAGTGCATAGTATGCCACTGCCAGTTCGGACTTCATGAGCTTATTGGTGGAACTGGGGTGTGTGGGTGTTGTTGTTTTTTAACCCCGATATGTGCATCACTTAATGCTGCTTACATTGAATTGCACTTGTCATCCAACTGCCCATTCACCTAGTTTGGAGATATCATTTTGGAGCTCCTCACGATTCCTTTTTGTTTTAACCACCCTGAACAATTCGGTATCATGAACAAACCTTCCTTCCTCACTACTTACCCCTAAACTCCATAGCTGTTTTATGAACAAGTTAAAAAGTACCTGTCCTCCTTTGGGGACCCTGTTTCTTTCATTCCGCCATTGGGAGAACTGTCTTAATTCGTTCCCAGTCTCTGCTTCCTGTTCCTTAACCTTTCCTCAGTCCACAAGGGGATCCTTTCTCTTATCCCGTGATTGCAAAGCTTCACTGGCAACATTTGGCTGGTGGGTGGATGCTGTGCTTGTGCTTTCTGCGGGGTGAGCGGTGGTGGCGGATGCCCTGAGGGTGGTCAGGAAGGCAAAGTAGTTTGAGCCACTTTGTGAACAGCCCTGGGCAACTTAAGTCAAAACTGTACTGCAATGAGTTGCTCACGCTCTTCTCAGCAGTAGGCGAAATTACCTTCCTACACTCAGGATGGAAGTGTGGGACACACTTCACTTCTGCGATTTGGTTGGCCAGGAACTAAACTAAAGGGTCTGCGGACACCTCTTTGCTCTGCTCTGTAGCGCTTCAGCTCTCTTTGCCCTTTCTCTCCACCCCCTCCTCCCTCCTGGCCTTCCTTTCTGGCAGGGAGAGGACTTACTCCTTATTCCTCTTCTCCTACTCCTCTTCCTCTTGCTTCTGCTTCCGATCCAGGAGTCGTTTAAGCCGACGGAGGAGCACGTCTTGGTCATCCGGCTACTCGTGAAGCACCTCCATGCTTTCAGCAACAGCCTGAAGCCGGATCCAGTTTCTCCTTCTGGGCATTCCCACACTGCCAGCCCGCTGGAGGAATTCAAGAGGTAGGTTTGTTCTAGGCTTGTTCAGGTCAGCAGCACCCTGTGCATCAGGGAGTAAGCGTGCAGGAGAGGGCCAGCTCTCATGATTTTGCTGTTCCATGAATCCTATCTCTGTTCCTAGAAGAAGAGAATGGAATAAAAATCACAGATTCCCTCTCTGCATAAACCAAGAAACTAAGCACATTTCACAGCCTCCATGCATAGAGCATGCATAGCGTTGACATCTCCTGTATGGTACATTGAGCTGGAGAAGCCTCTCTGTTTCCATACCCAAATGTTATTCTTGCCTCCTGCTTTGCTTATCTTGGGGGGACCTCTCATGTGTTTGCAGGATTGTGATTCCCCGGTTTGTTCAGCAAAAACTCTACATATTTCTGCAGCACTGCTTTGGTCACTGGCCCTTGGATGCTTCATTCAGAGCTGTAAGTACCTCCATTGAATTTTCTGTTTTGTGTGGACTGTGCTGAAGAGAGGAGAGTGTTAGGGCCAATTTTTTCCAACATGCAGATTTATATATTTTTTTCTATTCAATGTGATCATCAAACATGTGAGTGCAGCATGATTTGCAGATTGTGACCTCTGATGCAGAGTGGTTTATTCTTGTAAATTTTGGGAATGTGGCCTTTTTTAAAAAAGCAGGATCAGGTTTCTAGTCCTCATAAAGCAAAGGAAAAAGCATGAAAATGATACAATCTTTTTGCCAAAGGCTTAGAAAGCCAAGAGGTGTCTGGGCTGGCATCCCAGTGGATAAGCATCACCTGGAATTTGTCTGTTGTTGCTTTTATAAAAAGGCCAACACTGGTTTTCAAAACTGTTTTGCACCTGCACCTCATCACAAGTGCTAAGGGCTGCATGGATAGCATAGGTAAGTCGGCACAGATTGACAAGGAAGCCTTTTTGTGCTAGCCGAAACACCCGCTCATCACCACCACCACCGTTTCCACTTCTGACTCTGTCATCTCTGTATGTGTTGAGTGGTTGGGAAAGCCAGTAGGACAAGGCTGCTGATCCAAATCTTCACAAAGTCCACAAGTTCAGGGAAACAAGTTGCTGAACACAACTGTGCAGTGAAACCAACTGTAATGAAAAGCTAATCTTCTTGTCCCAGGTACTGGAGATGTGGCTGAGCTACTTGCAGCCTTGGAGATATGCGCCTGAGAAGCCCCTTCTGAGTGCCGAGTCATCCCTGCCTCGCAGCGTACCAGAGAAATGGTAAGTGTTAGGATGGTCTGAGTTACTGCAGATGGAGGGGAAACTCACCAGTTCCTGCAGTAAGCAGGTTGAGAGCTGTGTATGATGGTTCCAGGCCAGCCTTCCCCAACCTGGTGCCCCTCCAAATGCTTTGGAATACAAAAGGTCTGATCTGGGCAGTGACCCTTTGCCACTGGTGGCCACTTGTGTCCCTGTTTTGATTTGCGGGTGACTGCAGTGGTTGTGGGTGCCCACGTGGAGAAGCTTTGCGGTATCAGACTTGTCCCCGATTCCTGCTCTGCCCTTGTTAGTGAAGGTCATTGTCATAGAAGTAAGAAGAGAAGCTGTAACCAAAGTGAGGAGGCTTCCTTATGCAACAACAGCAGCAAGAATACTCATCGCAAAGTATTGGAAGACACAAGAGCTACCCACACTGGAAGAATGGCAGATGAAATTGATGGACTATATGGAATTGGCGGAAATGACTGGCAGAATCCGTGACCAGGAAGAAGAGTCGGTGGAAGAAGATTGGAAGAAATTTAAAGATTATTTACAGAAATATTGCAAAATTAAAGAATGTTAGAGTGATGATGGATTGAAATTAAGTGGCTTCTAGCTGTACAGGCTTTAAAGTTATATATAGACCAAGATTAAGATTAGGATTAAAAGGTTAAAAGAATGGAAAATTGGCTTTTAATAGGTAAAAATTTAATGTTATATTATATTAAGATTAAGGATTGGGATTAAAAAGGAGGGAAAGGAATTGCTGGACAAACAAACTGAATTGGAATACAAAAGAGGGAGGTATGAGGAGGTCCAGGAAATAAGTAAATTTTAAAGTAGCGATGAAAAGATGGAATTGCTTTTAACTGTTTTTTCTTTTTTCTTTTTGTATTTTGTATTGTGTATTTTTTCTTTTATTTTTAATTTTTTTTTCTCTTTTTTATTTTTGATGTATTTCTTTTCATGTGAAACTTTAATAAATATCATTTTAAAAAAAACAAAAACAAAGTGAGGAGGCTTCCTAAGCCTCGTCTCCTTAAATTCTTGCCTGCTTGGAATGCACATTCTCCCAATTTGGAGGTGCTCACAGCATAATCCTGCAGGCCCACCTTACTCAGTGGCAGGGAAAGGGCAGTCCTCTTGCTGGCTATGTAATATGTCCCTTTGTGTTCTCTTAAAAGGGCCTCTTTTGTTCAGGAGAACTTGTTGATGTACACCAAGCTCTTTGTCAGCTTCCTGAACCGAGCTCTCCGCACCGACTTGGTCAGCCCCAAGAATGCCCTGATGGTCTTCAGGGTGGCCAAAGTTTTCGCTCAGCCCAACCTTGCAGAAATGATCCAGAAAGGTAAAACAGAGAGCATGAGAAACCTGCCCCCTTTCTGTCTCCCTCAGCAACCTGTCTGTTGCTTTTCCCTTTGGCAAATAGGAAAAGCCATCAGGGTGGACAAGGTGAGAAATCTGGCTGACTTGGTTGCTTGTCTAAATTCCTTCCAAAAAGCTCCTGGTGTGAGAGCCACTGCCACTGACCCAGTGAGAATAGAAGCTTAGAGTCTCCCAAGTCCAAATCCTACATGGCAACCTTCCTCAACTTGGAGTCCTCTGCATAGTTTAGACTCCAGCCCCAGCATTATACAACCATAGTGTACAATGGGGCTGCGGAAGGCTGCTATATTGCATCATGGCGGCTGACACCTTTGCCTCCTGAGGGCAGCTGATCATTGGTCTTAAGAGCCCATCCTTTGGGGCTGCCAGTTCAAGGTGCTAGCAGTAAGGCTACCTTGCAGCAGATTACATAGGGGCAACCATGTAAAAGGTGTTGCTTCCCACCCTTCCTTTGCAGGAGAGCAGCTCTTTCTGGAAACAGACCTTGCCCTTCCTCACCGCCAGCACCGCCTCTTCATTAGTCCTTCGTCTCTCGGAGGGAGCTTCCTGTCATCCCGAGCTCCGACCATCACAGATGCTTCATTTAAGGTGAAGAGCCATGTCTACGGTCTTGAAGGACAGGACTTCCAGTACAAGCAGATGTTTGGGCCGGAAGTCAGGAGCCTGGTAAGCTGCCACTTGTGGTTCTTGTGACATTTTGGGAGGTGTGCCTTGGTAGCCTTGCAGGTGCCAAGTCTAACATGTTGCTTAATTGGGAGGTTTGAAAGAGTGGAGATTCTTCCTGACAGGACCTCTGCAAATTGAGCCTTCCCTTACTGCACCATAGTGACTTCCAGTGACTTGCGAACCAGGTCTAGAACCACCAGCACTTATTCTGAGGTGTGGTTTGTCTCAGATCTCTGAAGACTCTTGTTTCCCACAGTGCTTTTTCTGCCACTTGCTTGCTTGGTCGGGGCAAGCTTTATATTCCTGGGACCTCTGCCTTAGTTGCTTGCCTTGCTGTCTTCCATCAGGTGCTACGATTGTCCCAGCTCATCGGCCAGGCCCAGCAGACAGCCAAATCCATATCAGACCACTCTGTGGAGGCCACAACTAGCCATTCCTTTCTTTCCTGGTTCCGCTTTGGTTCCACTGACTTGAACGGCTCCTACACAGGCAATGACTTGGACGAAATGGGGCAAGACAGTATTAAAAAGACAGATGAATACTTGGAGAAGGCCCTGGAATACTTTTGTCAGATATTTCGGGTATGGCAACAACATATATCCCAATTATGTTTATTTGCAATGCAGGATGGTCTGATTAATTTGTGGATGGGTGGCCTTTGCAGGATCAAGGGCTGTATTCCCTCATGAGAATGGGATTGGGGGTGGGGGAAGGGGAACCAAAGTCAAGTCTTTTCATTCTCCCTCCATTTATATTGATATATACACACAACGCACCCTGAACCTTCAGGCTGCTATGCCAAGGAGCAACAGGAAGTAAGTCAGCCTGGCACAATGCATACATGACACAATCTTTACCATTCTGGGCATCATGCCATGGTGGCTGGGTCACACATATGTCTGGCTGCCTAAGACCCAGTCATAGAGGGATATTGGAAGTAAGATTTCAGCACTGAACTCCTGCGTTTTTGGGTAGCTCCCTCCTGCTGGCTCTCCCGTTTCTTGGTGCAGTAGTGTTGCCCAGGAGACAGGAGATGACCTAAGGATTTCCCTTTTGTACGTTTTGCTTTTTTTCTGTGTAGCAACTGCAACTTACTTGAGAGGCAAGCTTTTGAGAAAGTGAGTGTTCATAGAGCAGCCCTTCTTTGAAAATTATGAAAGTATTTTTTTGTGTTGGCCTTCACATCGAGGCATCTTGTCTCCACGCCTGGAGGGCTCACAGCTCTCTTTACTTCTGAGAGTTGACTGCTTTGCTATCCTAAGAAGTGGTTGGGGCAACCCAGTCAGATGGGGGGGGGCACAAATAATAAAATTATTATTAAGCTTCAAACTGATCAGAGAGAAAGTGAGGGGCAGAATTTGATCCCTCCCTGTGGTGCAAGCCCCAAGCCTGCCCATCTCTGCACAGCCTTATCTCTGATATGCCACTTTCTGGCCTCAAGTGTTTGAAGTGGCTTAGATGGTATAAGAGAGAAAATGGAAACAGGTTTACACTGTATGGAGAGATTTCAGCACTTGCTGCTGTGTGTTTGGGCTACTTAGCTGCCAAGATGTGTCAGCTTGCCTTTTTTGGTGCGTAGTAATTATATAAACTAATTTTCAAATTAATGTTTGCCAGTTGAACGAAGCCCAGCTGAGCCAGCTGATGTTGAACTGGGGGGCAGCTCAGGATAAGAATGGGAAGAAGCAGCTTCCAGACTGCATTGAGAGTGAAGACGGGCTGATTCTCACACCTCTTGGCAGGTACCAGGTAAGAGGGTGGCTGGCCTGGCTAGTTTTGCGAGGTTGCAGTCAACATTAATTTTTCAGTAATCTTGTGAGTAGCTGAAGATTTGAGTCCAGATTAAGAGCCAAAACAACCCTTGTTCAACATTCCTTGGAAGGGTTTTAGAGGCTTAGGCCAACCCCCAGACCCCACCCCAGTAGTGTTAGAGGAATTCTATTAAAGAACACAAAAACTCTCTAAGAGGTACAGTTGTACCTCAAGTTACAAATGCCTCAGGTTACAAACGCTTCAGGTTACAAACTCCGCTAACCTGGAAGAGTTACCTCGAGTTGAGAACTTTGCCCCAGGATGAGAACGGAAATCGTGTGCTGGCAAGCAGAGCAGCAGTAAGAGGCCCCATTAGCGAAAGCACGCCTCTAGTTAAGAGCAGTTTCAGGTTAAGAACGAACCTCTGGAACGAATTAAATTTGTAACTAGAGGTACCACTGTATAATACATCTTTGATTATTAACTTCAAAAAGAAAAACTGATAAAGAGTTGGATCTAATGGGGTTAAAAAGCAAGCCAATCTTGGTCTGCTGCTGTAACCTTACCTGAATTCTGCCTGTAGCAGCTTTATGATTTAAATGAGTCTGCAATGGCCTAGCCTGTATAGCTCTTAAAATTTTGAAGAGCTGCCGCCTTGTAAAAAAAGTCTTGAAGCTCTAAGCCTTTTAAGGGTACAACTTAAAAGTGCAACTGTTCTCCTAGATCATCAATGGCCTACGCAGGTTTGAGGTGGAGTACCAGGGAGATCCTGAGCTTCAGCCCATCCGAAGTTATGAAAGCACCACTCTTGTGAGGCTGCTGTTTCGGCTGTCCTCAGCCATTAATGAACGAGTAAGTGCTGTACAAAATCTCCTTGCTGCTCTTCTGAGTCCGTATATCCGAAACTGTACACTTGGGTGTTCTTTCCACAATGCTTGCCCTGCTCCTTTCTGTTCGGAAGATTGACACCTTTCATTTCAATCTGTTGCTTTTCAAGGCAGTTTGCAAGGAACACACTGTAATCATATACCACCGTAAACCCTGACACACACACCCAGCACACACACCGTAAACCCTGACACACACACCTGGATGCTGCCAGACTCTCCCTCCCTTCAGTCTCAGACCTAACAGCAATTGGAGCTGAGGCTTTTTCCTGGTAGTAAAGGAGGAAGCAAGCTGCTTTGGCCCGTGAATGGGGCCAGGCTGGTCCTCTCCTTTGTGTGATCATCTTCCTGGAAGATGTAGGATGAAGCCTCCCAGTGGATCTCCTGGTCCAGTGTCAAAGGCGGCTGGAGAATGAATTTCACCCCTTAATGGTATCGGACCCTAGATGTGCTCTGTCCCCAAAGGTATCAGTCCCACTCCAAGAAAGCCAATTGGAGAATTGCTGGTGCTCTTGGCAGCTGTAAACATATATGACAGATGTTATTCCCTACCTTTGGCTTTCCTGAACAGCTGCATTAAAGGGAGTTCCTTTTGACTGCATTCCTGAAGCTGGAAGTGGGCTTGTGTGTTGGGCAGAATAGACTGATTCAGGTCCTTTCCAAGAAGACCTCTTAACAAAACCTATCAAGAAGTCAGTCCTTAATTTCTTATCATTCAGACATAAGTGTTTACCAAACATTCCTTACTTGCATTGACTTTTTTCCCCTCCATGCTTAGTTTGCAGACCAAATGGAGAGACTCTGTGCCAAAGAGAACTTCCTTGGCAGCTTCTGCCGCTACCATCTCACCAACCCCTCCCTCGTGGAAAAGGCCAGGCACAGCCCACTGAGCCAGCAGAGGCTGGGGCAGATTCAACAGCCGAGAGTCAGCCTTCGGTTTCTGGCAAGCTACAGGACTCTCCTTTCTTTACTCATGGTATACTTCATTGCCTCGTGGTTCTGCATCAGTCCGGTGACCTGTACCTTCCTCCTCCTCCTGGGATATCTTTTCTATGCCACAGTTATGACTCTCCTGGCTGAAAAGAGAAAGCCTCATCAACACTAACATTTTACTTTCATTCATTTATTCGCATTGCTATAGAAATCCCCTCCCCTAAGGCCAGGGGCTCAGAAAGTAGCTTTTGGCTAATTAAGCCACAGGACTTTGATTTGAGCATCTTTTCTTGAGTTTGAAAACTTTAAATATTTTTAATGAAGTGGAACAGAAGGCTCTACTTTTCTAAAAGCTCTGTCAATCTGTAAATTTTGTTTTGATAAACTTTTTAAAAAACAAACAAACCACAGGCTCTGTAGTGAAGATTTTGGCAGGGGGCGGGAGGGATGGTACAGCAGTGGGATAATGAATCTGAAACAAGCAGCTTGGCTTAGAAAAAAGTCAAGTGAATGGCAGCTTTTGAGCATCTCACACAAACATGCTGGCACACTTTTTTACTCCCCATCATTGTAATGGGGCTTAGGCAGAGCATGTACACAATGGGGCTGTGCCCTTTCACTTGAAAGCATGTGGTCAGTGAGGTAGATAACCATGTGTCTACCCATTGCTTGGATTTTCATAAGTTACTTAAGAACAATCTGGTCAACAATCTCCCTGCTATTTTGGGGTCTATTCACAAGTCCAAATAATATTACGGAAATCTTGTGCCTTGAAAGTGGATCTCTGTAGTGATGCAAATGCTTTGTCAAACATCTGGTTCCAGTTCAACCCAAACTTTACCATCAACAATTCTGCAAAGTGGTGAAGCAGCAACAAGTCATGGAAAGCAGGGGGGTTTCTCGAACTCATGCCATGTAAAATTTAAGGTGCTGGTATTTAGATTTCCTAGGAAGCTGAGAGCTTTGAGAGAATCTATGCAAGTGGAGGAACTGGTGAGTGAGCCGAATGTAAGAAGAGCCTGTCAACTAGATCCGACCAAGGCATTTAGTCCAGCATTGTGTTCCCACGGTGACCAACCAGAAGCCTCTGAACATAACAGCCTTGTAATCCCCACCAGCTGGTCTGCAGAGCGGTAGCCTACCTGAGACCAAATGGAGAGACTCTGTGCCAAACTGGAAGCAGTACATAGCCACCATCCCTAGGAGCTGTTATCCTTCCTGAATTTGTGTAATCTCTTTTTGAAGTTGTTGCAATGTGCTGCCAGTGCTACATCTTGTGAGAGTCCCATCGTTTCAGTGCACTGTTTTGAATGTATTGGTGCCATTCAGTATCATTAGATGACCCTGTTGGGTTTCAATATTAAGAGGGGGGCGGAATAACTACTCTCATCTAGGAGCTATTGCCAGCCTTAGCCACCATGAATTTGTGGTAAAGCTGTCCCTGCTTCCAGAGCCAAGTCCGAAAACTCTGTCCCTCCCACAGCCTACGGAGAGTCAATGGGTTGAAAGGTAAAAAGTTCATTCTAAGCCGCAGCATTAGAGGCATCGGCAGGATAATTCCAGAAAGGACCAAGTGTGGAACAAAGGATGCACATAGCATTTGTACAACTGTTGCAAACACACACGCATGATCTCGTGTCACCATTGGGTAGGGACGTGCATGGACAAATGCTTAAGTCACGCAGAGCCGTAGTTAGCCAGATTTTTTTGCTCTGGGTGAGGCCTTCAGAGGTGCACCACTGAATCTCCAGGCCTGTGTGTATGCAAATGTGCATGGCTGGTTGTGCCAAACTGGGTCTGATCCAGGTGAAATATAGCCTAGTTTTGCCCCTGAGTCAGGCGTTCTACTTGGCCACAGAGCAGTTCCTTCTTGACCCTTGTCTCAGGCCAGGCGTAACTGGTCTTGCAGTTGCAACTCAGCAAGCGGAAGTCTGGCATTATTGCACCTCAGGAGTTACGGCTCCCGATTTATAGCACTCGGGTATCCTAAATACATATTGCGTAAGCAGAGCATGAGAGGATGTGCGAGCCTACTTGTGTGCTGTGCTGTGTTTCCCCTGTGGGTTCTTAACACCCTCCCGGGGTCATGGCATCCAGCGAAGTCCCAAATCATGGCACCCAGGTATTCCAAGTTGCCGGGCCAACTTTGGGGTGACTTGGGTCCTGCAGGGTAGTCTTCAATCCAGCCCCATGCTCTCCATGCTCTGTGCCGTTTGGAGACTGTGGTGCAGGTGCGTGGGTTGGAGAGCATAGGAACCAATCAGCCTAATCATAATAATAATAATTTATTATTTATACCCCGCCCATCTGGCTGGGTTTCCCCAGCCACTCTGGGCGGCTTCCAACAGAACACTAAAATGCAAGAACCTATTAAACATTAAAAGCTTCCCTAAACAGGGCTGCCTTCAGATGTCTTTTAAAAGTTTGGTATTTATTTTTCTCTTTGACATCTGGTGGGAGGGCGTTCCACAGGGCGGGTGCCACTACCGAGAAGGCCCTCTGCCTGGTTCCCTGTAACTTGGCTTCTTGTAGCGAGGGAACTGCCAGAAGGCCCTCAGCGCTGGACCTCAGTGTCTGGGCAGAACGATGGGGGTGGAGACGCTCCTTTAAGTATAGGACCTTTGCCCCGCCGCCCAATAAAATATTTCAAACGGTTGATGGACAACGCCATTCAAATACTGTAGTGCTCGCGCGCACCGTAACATTCGATTGATCATGTGGGGGCGGGGCTTCCCTGCCCCTTCCCCCAATTTTTTTTTTTTCCTGGTGGGGAGCTAGCGAGAGGGGCGCCCCCTGACCCTCTAACGTCTTCGAGGGTGAGAGGCTCCTTTTGAGCCTCACCGCCATTCCCCTCACGACGCCTTTTCCCTTATGACGAGTCGAGACTAACACCCGCCCCTCACCGCGCTCGATGGGCGGGGCTGTCCTCCTCCTGCGGCTTCGCGCCTCTTTCGCTCCTCCGGCCACTGTGGTGCGAGCGAGCGAACGCCCGTCGCCATGGCGACATAGGCGGGGGCGGGGAGCGGCGCGAGGCTGGTCGGAGGAGGCGGCGGCGGGAAGGGACCCAGAGCCGCCGCCTAATTCTCCTCAGGCGGCGGCGCTTCGGCCCTTCAGGTTTCCCGCCCGGGTAGGAGGAGGAGAAGCGAAAGGGCCAACGACCTCCCGCTCCTGAGGCGGAATGGGCAGCGCCTCCGCCTCAGAGGGAAAGCTCTTCTGAAGAGGCGGCAGAAATGCGCCTTAGGCCCGGCTGCTTCTCCTGGTTGAGTCTGAGGCCTCTGCGCACCCGGCTCTTCCGTCGCTTTCCTTCCCGTCCCCGGCCTCGGCCATGCAGAGCTCCGGTTTCCCTTCGCTGGGCCGCGCCCAGCAGCTCCACCAGCAGCACAACCTCCACCTGCCTCCCTGGTCGCGCTTCGGCGGGCAGCAGCCTCCGCCTTCGCAGCAGGAAAGGGCCGCGTCCCCGGCTCAGCCGCCGCCTTCGCACCCCGCTTCTCAACCTCACCCTCCTCGGCCCCCTCGGACTCCCAGCGCCGACGGGTGGAGGAGGGCGGCCACCGACCTGGAGCGCAGCCTCAAGTTCCTGCAGGCGCAGCACGCCGAGACCCTCCAGAAGCTCCACGAGGAGATCGATGTCCTCAAGAGGCAGAACAAGGGTGGGCAGCCGGAAGGATACCCCACTTCTACCCCCCATTTAGGAGCCAACTCCTAGGGGACGAGGGAGATCCGGCTCCCCCGATAAAATATACGAGGGGGTTCGGCAGCCCCAAAGTGAATGGGCATTGCCATTCAAATAGCACCGCGTCATGTGGTCAGTTATATGGGGCGGGCCTTGCTTACCTCCCCCCCCCAATATTTCATTCAAGTTGGCACCCCTCCCTGAAAAAGAGGTGGTTGCAGCAGCAGCAGCACTCCCCCTCAAGTCTCTCCCTCTCCATCCCCAAGTAAAAGAATAGGGAGATCCCTGGGCGTGAACAAGGTTACCAGTTAAAGGAGAGATGGGCTGGCCACAATAACACGGCCTTTTCTTTTTCTTGCAGATCTTCATTATAAGCTCATCATGCACCCGATACTTCAGAGGAAAGGTACAGCCTTGCACTGCCCATGTTTCAGAGTTATAAAGTGAAACTAGTCACTTGCCCACTCAAGGCTCAGGAATGGATATGATGGTTTCTGACACTGCTTCACCTAAACCAAGGTTGGGGAACCTTTTGGGCTCCATGGGCCAGATCCTGATCAGGTTCAGCCTGCCCTGAATTTGACAGCTGTGTTTGGGAGGTGTCATTAATATCACCATGACTGACAGGTGGATGCCCCACCCACCTGTCAAAATCCTTGGTACTTAGAAATCACAAGGCAAAAGACCTTGACAGCCCCATGTTTGGAAACTCTTAGCAGAGTTGGTAATGAGGGTTATAGGCAAGTCCAGTAGAACTGGTGCTTGTAATATGTGAGCCCTGGTTGTTGCCCAAGAGATTAGGCTTGGTGTTTCTTGAAGGGGATGAGTGAGTAGGCACATACACAGACTGACATGGAGCGGGTGAAGAAGGTCCAACTGAGTGCCTCCCAGCTCTTGATAGGCAAGGAGTTGATGCCAAGCCTGGGAGCTCCAGGATCAGGTTTCTCTTAGAATATTTCAGCTACTAGGATGCCAAGACACAAAAGGGTCCCTTCTGAAACTGTCCTGTTTGGCCTTCCCTATGGTTATGCGCTCTTACGTGGGTACTGGTGCTAGCCCTTCAAGGGAGTATGCACCTGTTTGCCAGATTATTCAACTAGTTCCTTTCCTTTTTGTAGATCATTCTTCCAGCAACTTGCCTAGTAAGTCACAGCCAGGAAGCAGTGCACCAGGGAAGACAAGTGCTGGCTTAAAGATGGTGGCGCCAGCAGCAAAAGAAGAGCACAGAGAACAAGGTACACACACAGTCTAAGCTGAAAAGATAGCGTTAATGGTGGCCACAATGCCTCTGATGCCATGGCTGTGTAGTGTTTTGAGTGTATTAGCAATGCAGCCTTTTCCTAAACATCTTGTAGGTTCTGAGGAGCTGGAAAAGAAGCCAGTAAGTGGCGAGTTCATGATGGACGAGACGAGTGCAAAAGAAGAAATTATAGAAAAGGAAGTAGATAGAGTAATGTGGAAGGAATTGGAGGACTTCAGGCCGGAGCAGGAGACGGTTCCAGAAGAGGCACCTCATCCCAGGTTTGAGAATACCCACTGAAGTAGCAGTAACTTCTAAATCAAAGCAGCAAGTTTCACATTGTTGTTATTGTTACTGATGATTAAAAGTTCTGCTTACTATTTATCAAGGTGGTGTACACACATCCCCTCTCCATTCTATCCTTACAACAGTCCTGTGAGTGAACCTGTGCTGTGAGGCTGTGACTGGCTCAAGGTAACCTGGGAGGCTTCATAGCTGAATGGGGATTTGAACCTTGGTCTCCTAAGTCTTAGTCCAACACTCTAACCACTACACCACACTGTCATGTGCAGAACTGTGCAGAATTCTCAGTCTTACGCAGGCTTACTTGGGCCTTGCTAGACTTAAGTGTGGTTACTCTCAGATAGATACGTAGCTTCTTTTGTACAACAGACCGATACAGCTACTGTTCAGCAAGTGAAAGCAATTCCTTTCTGATATTAGTGACCAGCACACACTGTTAAAGCCCACCAGTGATCTGACAGCTGGTAGACCCCCCCCGTCATTTAGTCAGGATTTTTTTTAATGTAACATATAACTATATAAAGTGTAATGTAACATATAAGCTATATAAAAAGGGAGAAAATATTTTTAAAGCCAAGAGAAATGGGAAGGAAACTAAAACTGATGAAAGAATAGGGCAGTTGGTTAGTCCCTGTGTTGGGGCTACGTGAAAAGTGTGCCAGTCAGTCCCTTAGGCCATAGGTTGCCCACCTGTACTTCACTGAAATAACTGTTCGTTGGTCACACTTCAACCGTGTTGTTACAGAGACGCAGATGTTTGTGACAGGATGACGTCCCCCATCCCTTTTTCATCTGGTCAAAGCAGGGCAGGAGATGTGAAAATCCCTGCTGCTTCTTCCAACCCCTTCTTGGTGACAGTGCTCCCTTCCTACATGCGGAAGCCACCAACGCTGGAGGAGTGCGAAGTGGTCATTCGGCAGTTGTGGAACATCAACCACATGCAGATGCAGGAGGTGAGGCTGCTTGCTCTCCTTGGTTCCACAAAGGCAGGAAGCTGACATTGCAGGAGGAGCAGAAAAGTCACACACTCTCCTCCTTTCTTCTTCAGCTGATGTATTTGAGATCGTGCTTGGAAGATATCCACAAGACCAAAAGAATTCCTGAGGACTACATGCTAGCTGGGCATGTTGGGTAAGGTGGTTTTTAATGGAAAGGTGGTTTTTAATGGAAAGAAGAAGGATGGTACTTCTGAATCTCTCATTTGAGTTGCAGCAGGGTCTCCAAAGTACCACAGTTGATTGATTAGGTGGTCGCTGGAACTAATGAGTGGTTCAGCCATGGCTTTTAGCTAATTTCTTCTCAAGGATATTTGTGAGCACATGTGAGATAGGAGCTCAAATTTTTTGCCAGGGAACCTTCTTTGATCTCTGCAGTTCTTTAGAGATCCCATGCATTCCTGTACCATCCTATCTCCTTGAGGAGAAAATAGCAGCTGAAAGCAATTGTCCAAATTACCTCTCCATAAAATGCATTGAGACTATTACTTTGTCTGCCTCTCTCTGCAGACTCCTCCTAAGGCTGGCTATTGATTCCCACCTCTCAATACAGTTAGCCTGCTTGTTAACTCCATGTAGGATTAAATCTCACTCCTCTCAGCAATTTAACCTCACTGGAATTTTTCTTTGTAGCTGGGCTTAAATTTAATTAAGCAGGAAGTGGTTATGCTTGGAGTAGCCTACCTTTGTGGAGAAAGCATGGAAATGCTTACTGCATGCTTACTAAACTGCTGGATCTCACCTACTAGGAACTTTGATGGCAGCTGCAATCTTGAGAGCAGGTGTGTTGGGGCATTTCCATGTGAGCTGAGAAAGCAGGCTGTAGTGGTATTTTGCTACTTAAGATGCTCCTGTGAGTCTCAAAAGTGTTATTTCTATGCCCTAATGGAAGGACATAACACATGATGAAAGGGCAAGAGGCGAGAATTCTTTTCTGAGTGCCCAATTGTTGGTGCCAGAATAAATACTCTGTGGCCTAGTATGAAGTTACACTTACCTATAAATATACATGCTAATTAATGTTTTCTTCAGGAACCAAGAGGTCACACGGTTGCCCAAGGTGAAGAATGGTCCTAAGAAATGGTAAGCAGGCATCTTATCTTAACACAGGTCAGAGATGGCTTAAGGGGAGCACGACTGGTTAGGTCACACTGGGTGCTTAGACTTTGGGGCACTGCAAGGGCCCCACAATTATGATTTAGAATGCAGCATGAGAAGTAGGGGGGACAACTAAATCTGGGTGTCACAGAAATTTAAGATCCTGAGGCCCACCACTGCACAGGCCACTTCCAACTTTTTATTAAAGTTTTGCGATTAAAAGTCTCCCAGCAGGCTTCCCAAATTAGAAAAAGTATTTTGTGGTGAGGATCTAATTGAAATGTAAACATTTTTCACTAGACTCCCCCACCTTCCCAAACTGTCTTTTTTTAAAAAATGCCATTACATACTGCTCCTTTGGGTCCCCACAGTGGTGTCCTGACACCAAAAAGTTTTGTGGCCTTTTTAAAGCACTTCCAAAATTTGTCTGTTTTTTAAAAAAAAAGTTTACTGACTGCTCTTTTGGTGATGCCAAAAGGTTTATGACCCTCCCTCCCACCAAGACATTGAAAATTTTGTGTGTTTTTTAAAAAAAACAAAAAATAGAATTTAATTTTTACGACTTTAATCTTGAATGATAAAAATGATATAAAGGTGTTGAATCAGTTGATGGGAAAAGCCTTTTTGGAAGAAGTGCAGTTCTTGCCTCAGCCTCCCAGAGGGCGTTGACTCTGGGTCAGTGCTGCCCTCGGCTCACCTCTCTGCTCTTAAGGTGAAAGGGGTGTTGAAGTGCAAGCAAATTCTACTGTAACTCCTGCTAACACTTGTCACTTGGGCAGGTGGAGAAATGTTCCCATTTGCTCCAGAGGACTAGTTTAGTGCATACGAAACATCAACATCAGACAGTTTTTGGCTTTGAACGTGAATTATCAGAGCAAGCTCTTGGCTAGAAGCCAAGACTCCAGAAAAAAAAATTCTTTGGATGTGGAGGTAGACACTAAACTTGGACACTGCCTTCCTCAAACACCCTGTTAGTAGGATGAGAGAGCAGCTTATTTAAATGCAGACTTCAATATGACAGGCCCACTTTGTTCTCCAGTAGGATTCTCACACCACTGCCTGCTGCTGAAAGGGCTGTGCTGCCAGCACTGAAGCAAACACTAGGAAATGCTTTTGCAGAGAGACAGAAGAGAACACAGGCTGTTCAGAGGAACAGGCTCCACCGGACAGCACTTTAGCAAGTATGGTTCAATTGGCCTCTTTTTGTAATGTGTTTCCTTGCCCTAAAGTGGTTTGAAAGCCAGCTAAACCATTTCCGAGTGTGTGCTGTACTTTCAACAAATTGTTTCTGGTGTTCACCACTCAATTTTTAAAACTTCATAATTAATCCTTTTTTGTCCACATAGCTACAGAAGATCACAGTGACCTTACTTCTCCCTAGAAACTGTTCTACCTTCAGTAGTAATTAAGTTTACTTTTTTTAACTACAGAATTGGGGGCTTTTAGATGCAAAATACACAGAAGCCTCCTTAGACAACCCCAGGTCAAGGGGGTATCAAAGTGACCTTGCCTTTTAGCAAACAAGTTTCTGTGCCCTCGTGCTCAGGCTGCGGTGGAGCCAAAGGAGTTTGGGGGGTTGCAAGAGAAAATAAGTGAGTGTTAAAACACTGGAACAATACATTTATTACAATAAAACAAATGCCTTAGTTCATGTATGAAATAATTGATACTTTGTACTGCAATCAATCAGAGCTTCTTAAGTACATTTTTAAAAATGTCCTCAAATTGACACAGCAATCACACATTTACAGATAGCACAGCAATTGGATGCCGTGTTGGAAGAGTGCAAGCCAGTATTCAGCGACTCTGCTGCAAAGGTGATAGCAGAAGTATGTAAAAACAGCAATACTTCCACAAAGATCAAGAGAGTTGTGCATGGGAGGTAGGAGAAAGCAAAACCAGGGCTGAGTGAAGCAGCCCCAGTCTCACCCTGTGCCCAGGCAGGCTCCTCCCGTGAGGCACAAGTTGATGAATGACATTTGACGCATGGCTTGCCAGAGCCACATCAGTCTAATAGCTGGCTGCCTCATAGTTGGGAAGACACAAACCGCTCACCTGCTTCAGCCAGTCACTGCACACAGCTATCAAAGAACAGCTTGTGTGGTGGGTGTGCAGGCAGCCTCTTCTTGGGCTGGTATCCAACCAAGCATACATATATACATACATACTGGGCACTGGACGAGGTCTGAAGGACGCTGTCCCTTTTCTTATAGTAGGGAGACTCCGTGACAGAAGTCTACACACACTCTTCTCTAAGAAGACATTAAAAAAAAGTCATTAACACGTCTGCCGTAAGAACCGTGAAAATCCACCCCCTGCATCAAGTTATGGGCAGGTTTACAAAGGCAGAAGAAGCACAAGCACTAAACCTAATCCCAGGCTCTTTACAAAGCCGGGCTCCTAGTAAACAAAAACAATTTAAGGCTTCTGCTTCACACGTTCCTGCCCTGCTTGGCTGTGATTTTTTCCAGCTCAGGCCCAGCAAGAGGAGATGACGAGACATTAAGCAGCAGACAAGCAGGCCTGGCGGATGCTCTGCGCCCAGGTGTTAAGGAGTGCTGTGACAGAGTGCTTGTCAGGAAGCTGCAGCAATTTTGACATCATGTAGCGATACACTGACTGCAAGAAAGGGTTTGCTTCTGGAAAGAAAAAAGCAGAAAGAGTCTGTTATTTAAAAAATAATAATAATAAAGGACACCATCCAGATGGCAGCTTGTGTGTGGGCGGTTTTGTGACTCATACTGATGGGTTATCAAAGCTGGGGATTTGGAGCTGCAGAACTGAGAAAAATGAGTCATTGGCTTTTTTCCCCTTCACCTCACCATTGGAAGCAGTAGCAGTGTCTTGTTACATATCTGAAGCTTCCAAAATTCAATCAAAGGATTTCCTTAGGATACTGGAATTCTGAGCTTCCAAAGCTTAAAACTGAGAGGACAGTTTTCCTGTAAAAACTTAGTAAGAGAGTGTGTGTTTATAAGTAAAAAAATGTAGTTGGTTCTCTTCTTCCCACCTGGCCTCTAGCAGTGTCCCTCAAAAAAACCCAGTATTCCGAAATCACAGATCAAACTTTACCACATCTCTTCCTACAGCACAAATAAATCCACACTCAAAAGACAGGATGGGAGTCTTAATATGAAGTGGTCAAATGGATCACAAAGGCTAAACTCACCAGTTCCAAGGCTTAATGTAGACCCTATACCCCATCACCCACCCAAATGTCATTTTCTGCCTGCCTTGTTCTTTCATACCATACTGCTGAGGGTTATCAATCCACAAGGGGCTCTGATGTGGATAATCGGCTGGGACGCTCAGTTGCAATGGTGGGACATTTGGAAGGTTCTTGTCATCTGGAATCAGACACATTTTGCATTACTTCCTCAACCTTCTCCAAGAGACACCTAAAGTTGCTTATCAGGCAGCCTCTTTATTAAGTAGGAACTCAGATACAACCTCTCTGTCCCTGGCAACAGGCACCTGACCCATCAAGGTCTGGTTAGGATCCTCTGTTACCTTTTCTCTCTTGGGCAAGTTCTGGACCTTAACCAGGCCCAGTCAACCTCCCCTGCTGCTGCTGCTGCTGCTGCTGCCACCACCACCACTGCAGGCTTTTAGACTTCAAGTGTCAAGAGGATATTTGAAGACAGAGCTGTCTTTTCTTGCCACTCACCTAGCTTGCATATGAGGTGGACGGTGCCATTGTTGCTACAATGGGAGGGATCCAGGTTCACCAAGAACTTTGGGTTTAATCTTGCAACCTCCCCTTGTAATACATTTGGTATAGTCTGCCTTTCGTCCTCTTCATATTTCCGCTTCCGAGTGGAAGTCACTGGGGTCCTATGATAGGACAGCCAACTTCAGTTTCAATTCTCATTTCTAATTAATTTTGCATACAAAATGATAAGGCAGCCCCCAACAACTGGTCTAACTAAAATATCAAAGCAAGATAAAATAACTTCAGAAATAGCCGGAACAATATATATGCACAAATATCTGACAAATTCCAGAAGGGTAGCTGTGTTAATCTCTTGCAGCACACACAAGTAGTCTTTGGGCATCTTATTCCTTCCAGGCCTGGGCTCTGAGCTTTCCTATCTCTCACAATTCCTTAGCCATCTTTCAGCAGATACTAGAACCATGAATATACATACGTGATGGGTGGACCATGGATGGCAGTCATTGCTGGCATAAAGGTTCGGTAGAGGGAATGATTGAAGACTGGTGAGCGGATATTGGCCAAGACAGCATCCAACAAGGGTTGGCACAAGTACTGCTGCTTTGTGGGAGGCACTGTAGGGGGTGGGGGGGTGGGCTGACATACAAGAGACACACATGGATTTAGGGAAGGTGCAGCTCTGTCAGTAGGTGTTGCTGGACTCTCAGGAAACAACAGCTTTAAGAATAACTTGAGATTTCAGGCCCTCTGCTCAGATGCCAGCTTACAAACCTGTCCATTGAATCTCAGACAACTCCATGCAGAGACAAAGAACTTCATGAGGCATCCACCCTCCTACCAGGTTCACCTCCCACGAGCAGCTCCAACTCACCCACTCTGCCTGGCCTTGGGGCTGGCCAACTGTCAAGATGCCTGTCTTTCCTTATGCACCATCTACTCAGATCCCATCAGGCAATTGCTCTTTACTCAGCTTTGGACACACTGGAGTTTGCTTGTATGGTCGACTCGCAACTTACGTGCATGTAACTTGTGTGAGCTCAGCTTTATGTGCCTGGCTGATTTTTTAAAAGAGGCAGTCATCAAGGGGGGGGATTAGAAGAAGGCGGGGACACTGGCAATTGGGCCCACCATCGCACTCACCTCACCTTGGGAGAGCATTTGGATGTGCAGTTAAGAGTGAAAGCGGCCTTGGGAGCATTTGGAGGTGCATGGAAGTCTTCAGTGGTTTTTACAGGACATTTTTCCAGTTTTTAAAGGATTGACTATATGTGATTTTGGCTTTACGTGCTACCTCTGGAACTTAACTCTTGTGTAAGTTGCGAGTCAATTGTTCTAGTAAAAGAATAGCGTTGTAGCTCTGTCAGCGCCAAGGCTCATCTAGTCTGACATCCTGTTCTCATAGTGGCTATCGGATGTCTCTCGGAAGAAGCCCAGAAGGCAGGACCAGAGTGCAACAGTTGCACCCTCCCTATCTGTGATTCCTTGCAACTGCTATTCAAGGGCATGACGAATAGCTGTTGATAGCTTCATCCTCCAGGCATTTGTCTAATCCTCTCTTAAAACCATGCATAATCTTATACTTATGTCTCCTCTTAATTGCCTTTTTTCAAAACTTAAAAAGTTCCAAATATTGTAATCTTTCCACATAAGGAATTCGATCTGTCCCCTTTTAGTTATCCCTTTTTAAACCTACAATATCCTTTTTGAGGTGTGGTGACCAGACCTTTATGCTGTACTGTGGCCAACTTCTTTGCCTACATTTTCCTTCTTTTGTTCTTGACGTCCAGAATCATTGAGAAAGCCCCCTGCTAATGTGGGCTAGGGGAACAGAGATAAATACACACAGAGAACTTACCACAGCCATGTCATTCTTGAGCTTCTCCAGAGCAATTTCACATTTCTGCAGTGTCTTCAGAGGACAGCTAGGAATGAAGAAAGCCATTCTCAGAACAGGCACTTTTCTGCTTCAGAGAAAGTAGAATTGCCTCCTCGTTCCCCAGATGGACATGGCAAGCCACCAACAAACAGCACTCTCCCTCCCCACTACTGCTGCTACACACAGTCACTAGGAAGAATGAAGCCGCCTACTGGAACCTGGCCCCGCTGCTGTGTGGGGCTGCTGCTTGTGCCTCTCTTCCTACAGAGAAGACACTTCCTGCCTGCTGCACTTGGCAAGCACAAACCAAGAACAAGGCAGGCTAGAGCATTGAGCTTCTTTTTCCTCAACTAACACAAAGCAGAATTTTGCCTGTGAACACAACTAGCTCTAATTATCTCCTGGCGTTTACAAAGACAACTCCTCTAGATGTTCAAAGGGAGGAGAGCAAGAAGAGATGATGGGTCGAAAATGAGCACACAAGTTTACCGTTTGGAAGGATCAGTCAGAATATCCAGCAGGCTTTTCATCTTACTGAGGTCCTTCTTCCTGTCTGAATTGATAAGAAACACTCCTGAAAGAGGCAGTTATGCTAGAACTATCTTGCACGACAGAGAGAAAGCAGATCTCTTCTGACAGGCGAAGGAGGTCTGTACCTCTTCAGGTTCAAGCTTCCCTGCCAAAGACAACCACTCAGAAAGAGGTCATAGGGTGCAACATGGCCTGTCACATCCTTGTGAGGACAGCAGCAGGTGGCACAAACTGATAGTGTTCCATCCCTTCTGCTTTTCGGAAGGATGCAAAAGTGCAACATGCCTCAGGCAGCCTTCCATATGGCCCGTGGTGTGCCATGCCCAAACACGGTTCAGCCACAGAATGTAACTCTGGGCAGAGCCAAAGAATTCATTGCTACCCAGTTTCCCTCTACTTCCTGCAGAGATATAACACGGTTTATTCATCACTCTGCACATGACAAGGCTATATTTACAAGTAACCCGGCAGCAAGTAGGAAGTAACATGGCTGATCTGGACTACCAAGCCCAGACCTAGGAGAAAGCCTCTTGCTATGTACCACCTGCTGCTGCAAGGGAAAAGGCTATCAAGGCTGGGCACCAACAACCCCAAGCATACCACCAGGGGGCGGGGGGAGACGACACACACTTACCTTCATTCTTATCTATCTTGTTGATCATCCTCCGCAGAGGCTCAATGTACTTGGAGAGCTGCTTGAGTTTTTCCAGGTACTGCTGCTCCTCAGATTGGCTGGAGCTCGCTGGGCTCATGACAGAGTTGGGATTGCCTTCCAGGCAGAAAAGAGGACAGGTTAGACCCATGGAGTAAAGGCACTGAACAGGAGGAGGGGGAGGTGGCTGCACCCAGCGCAGCCTGCCTTCCATCTGCTTTCCTGCATGCACCCCCAGGCTGCTTCCCCTCTGCCACCATCACCAAGCTGTTCTGAGGATTCAGAGTTTGGCTATGGGACATGCTGCCTTTGTCCTGTTGTTGGGCTGCCTGCAATACAACTTCTGCCAGGGAAGCAGAGGGTCACAGTCTGTATGCAAATTACGTTCACCCACCACATCACTGATAGTTAAAATGAGGGAAAAAATCCTCTCAAATGCCAGTACTGGGTCCCCACAATTAACCCTATTTATGCAAAAAATGCATTACAGGCACAGACTTGGAAATAAAAAAAAGGGCAACCTGGTTTTGCTCCCTCAAGCCCTGCACAAATTACCTGGAGTATTTAGTGGCCCCGGAGATGGGACACTGAAGTTCTGTGGCGTTCGTGCAGCTGCTGGACTTTGAGAGGGCTGAGGAGATGGACTGGGGAGGAAGCTGCTGGGAGATGGGGCTGGACCAGAGCTGAAAGAGGAGGAAGATATTTCCCATTGAGGTCTGGGGATGAAGCAGCTATTATTGACCCTAAAAAGAAAACCTGAAACCACCTGAAGCCCACTTACTCCTACATCAAGGCTCACCTGACATTAGAGTTGGGCTGGGAAGTTGGCTGCCCTGGCTGGGGAGAGGGCTGAGGTGGTGGAGGCATCGGCTGAGGGGTCTGGGCTTGCTGGGCTGGTGAAGGAGAAGACATCATGGTGATGCTGCTCTGGCTGACCTAGAACAAAGGAACCGTCACTGGCAAGAGGAGCCTTTCCAAAAAGCCAAGGGCACCAGGACAAGAGCAGCAGCCAGGGATCCCATTGAAAGGCAACGTATATGACCTGCTGAGGAGCCTTGGGCTTGCTACTCTTTCCTGGGCTGTAAAATGAAGATTGTAATGAACATGGCAGGAAGCTCAAAAACTCTTCAAACTAAGTGTGAAAAAACAGACCCAACACAGCAGCATTTTACTGCAAGACTCCTGTGATTTCACCACATGCAGAATTCTTCCCTGGCTTGCTAAGGACAGAGAGCCAACTCAGAGAGTCCTCAGTTCCATCTACATTTACCAGACCAAACATCTGTCTGAAAAATGCCAGCCTCAACTAGTACCATGGGAGACTTACCTTCATTGTGGCCCAGTGCACCAAAACCCCGTTCCTTTAAGCTTTGTCAATGATTTCCTAGTAATAATCCACAACATATTCAGATGGTCCAAAGTGTGTATGTGTGCTGCATGCATGACAGACACAGGCTAGCTTGGCAGAAGTATGCTCCAGCCCCACAGAGAACAGAGTCAGAGTAAAACATAGAACTGCATGGAGCAGCAGCAGCTCATTATACAAAACACGTGTGTGTTTTGGGAAGCAGAGGAGGTGCGTGCCACAGTCCACAAGCTGCCCAAGTTGGCAGACTGCTTCCCTCTTTTGCTCCATTTCCACTGAGCATTAGAAGATCAGACAGACAAAACTTCCCGTTCCTCTTTGGAGGAACTCTTTAGAAGCTACAGCCAGCTGCATGAAATATAGCTGAACAAACCCATCGTACCCTAGTCCCTGCCCCCTCCCTCAGAGCCAATGGAGGCCTCGTATTTAGGCACTTATTAAGTTTTGCAGCTTTTAAAAAATGCACATCAGACCAAAATATGACACCCACCCTCTCGGCTTAGAGCTGCAAATTAAGCAAATGATACCACTTTTTAAATTAACAAATACAGACTTTGTCATTTTAAAGAGTTAAAAAATTCATAAATATTGCTAAAAATATACCGTTTCTGATGACACAGGATTAGACGGTGATGAGCATGTCCTCCCCGGTCTGCTGCTCATGTTGTATGAACAAACAGCTCACTCTTCAGAGCCTTATTTTGCTTTCCTCTGCCGTCATTTTTAATCTTTATTATGGCTAGGGGCCTCTCTGGATCTCTAAGAGGGCCTGCTCCCCCACCCCCTTCAAATTCCAGCTAAATGTGTGTGCAGTTTGCAGCATAATTAATTGTTCTAGGAATCTGAAGCAAAGAGTGAAGGCCGAGATTCCGTGTTCTCAACCTCTAATCTTCACAGCTGGCTCCCTCTAAAGGAGCAGCTTTTTTTTATTAAAAAAATGGACAGATACTGATCAAAGCAAAAGGCCCATAGATAAGCAACACCTGTTCTTTTGCTTACTCTAGCTGCGCAGCAGGGTTGATTGCCCACAGAACGTTAAGTGAAAGCCTTGGACCCAAAGCTTTCTTCTTTTTAGGATTCTACCTTATTTGAACTGCTCTCAATGCAAATTGTTTTCAGAAAACCTTGGTCCCATTCAACTGCAAGAGAGAGTCCTTCAGCTGTGTTTATCTGACAGCCTGATGCTGAATTTCTACAAGGCATAATTGAGAGGGGAAAGTGTTTTGTGACTGGCAAGTGCTGCAAAGCCAGAACACCTTACCTAGAAAGCAAACTCTTATTTAAACTCAGTGTGAATCGCAGGTAAGGGCCTGCCAGTGTGCAAATGGGTTGCTCATCCACTGAGAAGCCACAACAGTTTCAGTGCCAAGCCTGCCATGTGGAGGGGAGGCTGGACATGGGTGCCACACGGCTCATCTGTCAAACCTATAGGGGCTAGATCAGAGATTTTGAGAAGCCTATAATTTAGGGGATACCGATACCGGCTTTGGTAGTGCTACAACACAGATAAGGGAACAGCCAGCAAATTACTAGATCATTTCCAGCTGATGGAAAGCAGACTGGGAACAGAAGTGCTTGTGAAGCAGTAAGCAGGTACTGAAGGATATGTTAAATGACTGTGGATATTTCTATGCACCCAGAACTAATTGCTGTTGACAACATTTAAGGTTATTCACAGGGGTTGTTCATGTCAATCTGCTTCCTTTAATTGCAGTGCTGGGTGACTCAGATTAGAGGTCAACATCTGGGCTTCTTTCTCAGGTGGAGGTTGTTTGAAGCAGCTTTACAAACCTTCTACCAACCAAAGCTGGTCTACAGAGAGGATATTGGTTCTCCTTCTCAGGACTTGAGTGGCTGCAGCTGTGACTGTATTCCACCAGGCCCAGATTCATTATGGCAGAGGAAACCTACATTCCTGCTGTCAGCTAAGCTGTGCAATCTGCCAGTTGACCTTGGCCAAAGCACCCACTTTCAGCCTTGGGAAGAACAGGAAGAACTGTCTCTCAAGACATTATTGTTTCCTGGCCAGCGAGATAAGGATTGGAAAGAACTTGAAAACTAGGCATGCCGAACAGACCACAGAATGTGGGAGTCAGTGAGAGAAGCAGCTCAGTGGAACGAGCCAAGCTCACAAGAGCCTTGCTGCTGTGTGAGTCAACACAAACCCCGGGATGTAACTGCCTCACAACAAAGTAGAGCAGTGGGGCTGCCAGCAGTTCTACTCTTTGAGAGTTAATGCTGCTTGAACCCCATGATGCACCCCAGCAATTCCTCTTCTGGGGGGAACCTAATGGTGCAACATACTGAAAAGAACAGCACACAAGGCTGGGTGGAGAGGTCATCTCAAGATCAATGGGCCAACCGAGTAGGTGGGTATCCGTTGGTGGAGTTCCTCAGCAAGAGTGCTTTGGGGTACAGAGGTACCTCAGGTTACATACACTTCAGGTTACAGACTCTGCTAACCCAGAAATAGTATCTTGGGTTAAGAACTTTGCTTCAGGATGAGAACAGAAATTGTGGCAGCAGCAGCAGGCCCCATTAGCTAAAGTGGTGCTTCAGGTTAAGAACGGACCTCCGGAACGAATTAAGTACTTAACCCGAGGTACCACGGTATTTCACAGGTGTGGAACCAGACCTGATAAAGACTGCACAGAACACCTCCTGGAGTCCTGACATGCTGTAGTCATTAGCAAGACAAATGTGGGTGCAGAAACCGCCTTGGGTGTAAATCCACAAAGTCACTTTGTGTGGATCTTGGGCGGTCAGTCATTATTCCATATGCATATGGCTTTTGTGAAGATGACAAATTGCCACTGTATAGCAGAAGGACTACAGAAGTGATAAACAGGAGTTCCAGCAGCCTAAGCACCAGCGATCTGAAGGTGGTTTGACTTCTCTCTCCCTGGTGATTAAACAAAGACGGCCAGATAATCCACTTGAATCAGATCTTGGCAGGATGGGTGGGGTGAGATCCCTGAAAGACCCACAAGGCTTCCTTCAGGGGAGCAGGAGGCACGAATCTCTGTTCAGTTGCATTTGACTAGGCCGCACAAATGGCCAGAACCCTCTACCAGCCTCTTAGGAGGCAAAGGGAAGAAAACGAGCAGCAGCAGCTACAGTATGTAACAGGGAGAGCACATCTACCCCTCAAGGGTCTTTGCAAGCTTCCTCCTCCCTCGGAGTACAGGCACAGGTTCAACACATGTCTTAGCAGCTAAATCAGCATTCCTGCGATCTGTTCCTATGAACTATGCCAAGCATTGTGGAGGCGAGGGAGACTTGGGGCAACGCCTCTCCTGGACTTCCCTGCTCCCAGAAGCTAATCTGCAGTCCTGCTTAGCTTCCCCCACCATTCAATCGGCTGCCTTCATTGGGGTGCCCATGTTCACTGCTAAGTGTGCACACCAGTAGTTGAACAGAACTCATGACAAGGGAGGTGGCCCCTTGTGCAACACCCACCCCACCAGCCCCCTGGCACAACACACATCAGCTCCAGTAAATACCTGAGGCATTTGCTGTCCACCCAAAGGAATGGTGCTTGGAGGCGTGGCAGAGACAGCGGTGGTAGGCGGGAACCGTGGTCTTATTTGCATCCCACCTCGGGCCATAGTTGCGGTGATCATCTTGGGAGGACAGAGGGACAGACAAAAGTAATCGCAACACAAGAAACGCAGCACGCCGGCAGGATGAGAAGCACATGCAGCCTCCGAGGAGGAGGTGGAAGTCAAGCGAACTAGTCTTAGGAAGGCAACCCTGCAGTAGTCGCTGGCTTGGGAGACACAACACTTGCACTCCTGACTGGCTCTGTCAGAGAACTCTGGGGTGAGTGGGTGGATGTGGGGAGCTAGAGTCCAATTAAAGGGAAACAATTAAGGGGGGGGGGGTGTTCAGCTGCACATCAGCTGTATCAAGGCCCTCTAATGGGATGCCAAACCTAGAAGAGGAAATTGACATCTCCACTGACCCACCTGGACACACAGCACCAGTCTGTATTGAGCTCTGATTTAAGGTCCAGGTGTGACATGGGCAGGTTTGACCAGAGTTTTAGCATCTGCAAACTATATGGCTCAGCCGAAGCCATCCAAGCCAGTGGAAGAGGCTTTGGTCCCATCTCCTGCCCAATTCCTGACCCTCAGGGGAGTCCTTAAGACTAGCCCAGACCTTGGGGAATGGGGGAAGAATGATGACAGGCAACTGCATTTAGTGCTTCATGTAAATGGACCTGCAGCAGCCACAGCAACAACGTGTCTTGAAAAAAAGTCATAGAGCTCAAAGTTGCTAACAAAAAAGTTAGGAACACAAACAGACACACACATGAAACACGGAGAAAGGAAATCACAACTCAAGAACAGCAAAACTTTGCACAGCTGTTAGTTCATGGCAGAGCAATCAAGCCCCCTTCCCCTCCCCCAGCCTAGGGCAGTGACGGATGGTCAAAGAGGCTTTTCGGAAGAGAAAGGAATGAGGGGAGGCCAGACAAACCACATGCGCATGTCCAACACACACAGCATGCAAAAGCCGCCACAGCAGGGGAGGCCAAGGCCAAGCACCACACAACAGCAGAAGCAGCTTCCCAACAGAGGCGGATGCGCCACAGAGAATGGAGGGTGAGCCATGGTGGGCATGGGTGGCGGCGGCAGCAGCAGCAGCAGCAAGACCGGGGGTGGGCAGCTGACAAAACGTGCTCCTCCTCCAGGCATTCCTCCACATTCAGAGCCACACAGGCGCCAGCAGGCTCAACCGAGGGACCACCGTGGGCCGGGGCCTCCTGCCACACCACCAAAGGGAAGACTGTTGGAGCCACGGCCTCCAAAGGCTCCTCCTAAGACCCAGCAGGAGAGTCGAACCGACTGCGAAGGCAGCACCATGACTTCAGTAAGCTGAACTTGCCAAGAACTCCAGACTGCAGCACACATACACCCCCAAGGCAAAAGCGGTTTGTGGAGATGGGGGGAGGCTGAGAAAGAGCTACTCTGGCACCGTAAAGGTGTTAGAAATGTCGAGTTGGAAGGGTCCCACGAGGGTCAACTAGTCCAACCTCCTGCAATGCAGGAGTCTTTTGCCCATCATGGAGGTTGTACCCACAACCCTAATATTAGGAGTCTTGCACTCTACTAACTTGTTTGGGTTTTACCGCTCTAGGATGTGCCTCTTGGATTTCAAATGAGAGTACACAGGCGTCACCAGCGCAGAGCTCCTGAATTCCCAGGAAGAACTCGCAGGGAGGATTTTCTCCCCCACGTCTTGAGGACTTCTTAAACTTATGGAAGAAGTTTAAATTGTACACAGGTTCAATTTCCTGGACAGCTAATTTGCGTATATCCCTCCTCCTACAGATTCAGTCCCCCCTTCCCCCTCCCCCAGCAAAAAAAAATAAATCTAGAAAATGTATCAACGTCTAACCTCTCACTCCTAGCGGATTTTGAGATATGAAGCTATGACCAAGATGCGGATCCAGACAGCATCTTGCTCCAGCAAAAAAGCACAAGAGTGGAGTGGAATTCAGCTCCGGAAGCCACTGGATGTGAATGACCGTCCTGAGGATCGATGGCTCACATCCCCACAACACACTGAAAGGGCCTGAACTGGAGGGCTGCCTCCAGCAGCCCACAATCCAGAGGAGAAAGTCTGCGTAGAAGAGCCGCCTCATGCGATTGGCTGCCCTTCGTTCAAGGCTTCCTCCCACACAGCACCACCAGGAGGGCTCTCTGAATGATGATAAGGGAAGGGTTCAGGGAAGTAGTATGGTAAATAAATCCTAACTGCATTTCTAGGAGAAAGGGCAGGCAGGCAGCAGTTGCCTCCCAATCTCAATGGGAGATGAAGCTCCACTCCAAGAAGTAAGAACTGCCCCCTTGCCAGGCATCAACAAGCAAGACGCTGGAGAGACTACCAGAAAAGTCAGGAAGAGATTTGATTTGAAAACTACAGAAAGACACCCATAAAGGACAGAGAAAAGGTCCAGAGCAAGGCATTTCCTTGGTTAAAGCAAGTCGCTTGTTGTATTAGAGACGAGTCTGACTGATCCAACCTCCACAAGGTCCAGATTGCCATCAGCCTCTCTCAAGGTGTCTTCATGTGCATGACATCTCCTTGGCAGGCTGGAGAAGCCAACCCTAGTTTGGGCATGGCCAACAGCCACAATAACCAATTATGCACCCCTAAATCAGGTGTGGGGTATCTCTGGCCCTTGAGATGTTGCTGAACTACAATTCCCATAATCTCTGGCCAACGACCATGCTTGCTAGCCGGGTCAATAGTTCCCCACACCTGCCTTGGATGATGTCATTGAGGCTGGACCCCTAGGCCTTTTCACCCTGGAGCAACTGGTAGCAGCCACCATTTGTCAGAATGGTGCTTGCCAGCCAGAAAGAGCACCCCAACCCCCACCATAGATAACCATTCCCAAAGACATTTGCTGACCATATCCTCAGCATACAATCAAGGACTTCCTCGTAGTCTTTGCGACTGCCAATGCCACAGTATTAACTGGCCAGAGGCCACATCAGTTGGGAAATGTTGGTTTGTTGTGTTTGGAAAGCTGCTTTGTGCAAGCCCAGTAGTTTTCACACAAGCTTGGCTTGCTCCCATCCTCTAGCCCATCAATTCCCAACTAGCGAAAGATGAGGTGAGCCAAAGAGGGAATCAGGGGGAGCCTTGTCTAAGTTATGACAAATGGGTGGAAGCACATGGACCTTGAGACAGGGCAGCCACAAAGAGGTCTATTGTGGACATGGAAGTGCATCTCAGGACTTTGCACTCTACCCCACCGAACCTTTGAAGAGGCCCCTCTGCTTCCAGTCCATTAAAGCACTGTGGCTTTAGGTAAGCTTCAAAGAGTTTCACAGCTGATGCCTCCTAAGCATCTCCTTGGAACCCTTTCCTCTAGGCCTCTCTGACCTGCCCACTTGAAGCACCTGCAGATCCTACCCCAATGGAGTGTTGATGCTTGCACAGCAACAAAGGGGCTCTCCAGGACTATCAGGACAGACCCATCTTGCACAACAGGGAGTGTGGTGAGCTGTTTTTGCCGTCCTATCAAGCAGAGCAGCGACAAGCAGATCCGACATTCACAAGCCTAGGAAGAGCCCTGGTCTGAAGCCTGATGGCAACGTCCTGGCTGGCCCTTGGATTTCTGAGCTGGGGGTGCACGGATGCCAGGCCCCCGTCTCCATGTGTCCCCAACCTAAAACCTCACTGGTGCCTAATTGGTTTACATGGGAACCGGTTCCCGTTTCACTACTTGTGCCTCTCTGTTTGCACAGCCATCTCTGTGACTTACCTGGTGGAAAGCGAAGTGTTTCAGGAACCACAGAAGCCCCTGGAGATGGGAGAATCCCCAAGCCCACCCTGGTCCTGAGCCCCTCTCCCAGCATGCAATCAGACTTCAGGCTTCCTGCATGCCAGAGAACAAGTTTCCATGGCCTCTCATGTGCACATGCAGCTTCCTCTGAGCCAGCTCTCATCCAAACAAGGCAGCTCCTTAAAGCTCATGTTGATAAGGACAGAAAAGAGAGAAAACGGGACTCCATCAGTGGGCCCCCAAACCAAGGCTACTCATTCAGAAAGATTGGTAAAACGGGGGGGGGGGGGGAGAGAGAAACTGAACAGATAGGAGACTCCAGGACTACTAAAGCACCAAGAGTTAGACCCACAGACATCAGACCCCATCACCCCAGGCAGGAGCCCCCTGACTTTGGCAGTCCAGACATGCTCAAAAGGGGTGAAGAAATATTGCTTCAAACTCAAGACAAAGGGATGGCAGTAGGGGAAGAGTCTTCATCAGAAAGCCAACTGGGGCACCACCACCCAGCTCCCACTGCTTCATGCTCCAACTCTGCAGGCAACTTATTACTGGCTGGCTCTGGCAGGGGAAGGGGGGGGGGCTGGCTTACCGGTCCTGAAGCACCCATCTGAGCAGCCTGAGCTTGAGCCGCGGCTGCCTGTTGTTGTTGTTGTTGCTGTTGCTGCTGTTGTTGTTGTTGTTGCTGCTGCTGTTGCTGCTGTTGTTGTTGTTGTTGTTGCTGCTGCTGCTGTTGGTGCAAAGCTCTTGCCTTGGGAAACAAAACAAAGAAGGGAATTCTGCACAGATCTGGGTTGAATCAATCACACTTAAAAGTTTATCTTAAAATTGGACACACACCCCCCCTGGACACACACTTGCTCCCTTGCCTCCTACACCTCTGTGGCTTAGGTGCCAGGCTTATGACCTCTGCATGGCATGCATATATATATATAGTTTACAAATGCTGGAGGGCCAAATGAGCTGCATTTCACTCTATAACACTCCTAGCCTGAAACATAAGCCAGCTCTTAAAGCCCTGTTATAAATATCCATAAATTAATAAATTTTGCAAGATTTAACTTCAAGAACTGAGAAAACTTATGAGGGACATTGCAATATTTTGGATCATTTCTGCACCTATAAGGAGGGCTAGGAACTTTTTCTTTTTTCTAAAAAGAAAAAAGAGGAGGGAACAGAATAGATTCGCAAGGCTCTCGTAGGAATTTGCATCCTGCACCACTGACTGAAGAGGCCCCATCCAACTGCTGCTGCTGCTGTACAACTTGGCACTGAAGAACACAAGCTAAAAAGCAGCAGCACAGAAGCCAGCGGTGGGGAAGGAAGCAGCAGCTGCAAAGCAAGCCCTGCAACTGAACTGCACCCCTCTTGGCCAAAGGTGGGCTGGAGGGGAAGGAGCTGGTGCCAGACACCACAGGCTCCCTCCACCCAGTTTGGTCTGCTTCTCTTTGGCAGAGAGCCCTCCCCAAGATCCCCTGAGCCCATGTGAGCTGCCTCCTCTGCACCTGACCCATTCTTGTTCTTGTATACTTACCTGCATGACTTTAATCTGCTGGGCTGTGAGCATGACCTGACCAGGGATCTGCCCTGGGATTGTCTGTGCCTGAGACACTACTGGCTGCGGCGGCTGAGCTTGTGCAGCCTGTTGCTGCTGCATCTGTTGCATCTGCTGCTGCATGACCTGCTGCGATGGGGGTGGCTGTTGTTGCTGCTGCTGCTGCTGTTGCTGCTGCTGCTGCTGCTGCTGCTGTTGTTGTTGTTGTTGCTGCTGCTGTTGCTGGGCCTGTATAGCCTGAACTTGCAACTGTTGCATTTGAGCAATCCGCTGCAGTTGCTGCTGCTGCTGCATCTAAAACCAGGAAAGGGTTGGAAGACATTTGAACCTACACAACAGGTAAGGCTAGCCAAGAAAGAAAACAGGGGAGGGCTGAGTGAACAGGCCGCAGGCAGACAGCTGATGAGAATGGATGTCCATCTCTCTCTGCCTCCACCTTTGCTCTTCACACAACCATCATGTCCAAACAACCTCAATTCATTCAGACCCTTTGGTCTACAACAGAAATGTGGAGCCTTCCATTTTCTAGGCCTCCCAAAAGAAAATGAAGCAAACCGGCTGCACAGGAAGCAGGAAGTGTTCTTGACTGGTGGAGTTTCCTTGCTGCACACAGCAAACGGAAAAGGTCCCTTTCTCAGCACGCAGCAAGGAAGCCGAGGGAGGGAAGATGCCATGTGGAAGGTGGGTGGGGTTTGGGCATATTGTCGGACATATAACACCCCGGTAATTTGGCCCTTTGTGTGTGTGTGGCAGGCAGACGATCCTCCCTCCTAATCCCAGTCTACAATATCCTGCCACATTCATGGACAGACAGTGGTCAGTGTCTCTGTTTCAAAGGAGGGGTCCATCCCATTCCCACCCATGCCCTCCTCCTTCTCAGTCTCAGTTATACTCCTCTCTGGGTTCACCTGTGAAGTGGCATGTGTTAATGAGGCCTGCTCCCCACACATTCAACTCCTCATAGCAATGAACGGGCTGCCAAAGCTTCGCTGTACATATCTCCCCTACATCCCTAGAGAAGGGTAACCGCTGCAGGCCACCAGATGCCCCACAGAAAGACACTGCAGCTCTAAAGCATCCAGCCTTCAGAAGCCACAGGCCACCTCTCTCTCTCTCTCTCTCTTTACCTGCTGCTGGTTCTGCTGATGCAGTTTCAGCATGTGCTGCTGCTGGGCTGCCTGCATCTGCTGCTGTTGCTGTTGCTGCTGCTGCGCCACGGCTGCCGCCTGCTGCTGCTGCTGCACCGCCTGGAATTGCTGCTGGATGGCCGTCTGCTGGGCCTGGAACTGCTGCTGCTGCAGCGCTGCCTGCTGTTGCTGCTGCGCCTGTGCCTGCTGCTGCTGAAACTGCTGCTGCTGTTGCTGGGCCATCTGTTGCAGCTGCAGCTGGGCTGTGGGGCAAAGGAAGGGGAAGGGAGGAGCCATGGGTGTGTGGCAGGAGGCTGGCAGGGCCCTCAGAGAGGGGGCAGCCAGCAGCTGGGGCTTTTTCTGGGCAAGGTCACCTAAGAGTCCAAATCCAACCATCAGGCCCAGCCCAACTTCAGATTTGGACTTTACAGTAACTGCAATCTGGAAAGCAGAATACAGGATGAGAAGAAAGCCACTCTCACCCAATGCACAGGAGGCAAGAAACAAAGAAAACGGGCCTGAGCCTGTTTAGTAGATGAAGATGAACACTTTCGCTCAGCCAACAGTGACTTCTGCAGTTAACTGGCAAGGATGGATCCCTGTGGCTGCCTGAAAAGGCCCACATTCATGGAGGGCAAAAGCCTAATCTGCCTGTACAGGAGTTGCCAGGCAGAGCAGCCAAGAAGGACAAGAGCATGTGTGGGTAACCTCTGGCCGGCAAGCCAATCTTTTACTGCAGGCCATGCCCATCAGCTAATGGGTAGGAGGACAGGGCTGAATCCCGCACTGGACTGTGCAGGGTTAAAGGCTTTTCCATTCTCCTTTAAGTGGGCTGTGGTGGTGCCCAACTGCCGTCACCTGTCTGCTTAAAGGGGGAGAGGATGCTTCAGCCCTGTCACGACGACATCACTGATAAGGATCTTGGCTGTGGAGCCAAAGGGGTTCCCCACCCCTAGGCTAAATAGACAAGGAGACAGGCATGGGGTGTGTCTCTGGTGGACGATTCCTCTGCTGCAGCTAAGACCTGCTAGTCTCTACACCAGGCTCTGTAACCCAGCAGCATGAAAGGATAGTTGTGAAACGGCACTGGCTCTGCCCGCTTTCGCCTGCCTCTCCAGCTCAGAAAGGGATAAGGGAAGCAGGTGAAGTGAACAGACGCTTCCTTAACTCGTCACATGCCACTCGGAGGAAGAAGATGAGACAGGGCTAGATGGGGTGAATCAGCTTGTCCTGGGAACAAACCATCTTTGTACATGGCTAAAACAGAGCCATAGACAGCATCTTAAAAAGCAGAGACATCACCTTGCCAACAAAGGTCCGTACAGTTAAAGCTATGGTTTTCCTAGTAGTGATGTGTGGAAGTGAGAGCTGGACCACAAAGAAGGCTGATCGCCGAAGAATTGATGCTTTTGAATTATGGTGCTGGAGGAGACTCTTGAGAGTCCCATGGACTGCAAGAAGATCAAACCTCTCCTTTCTGAAGGAAATCAGCCCTGAGTGCTCACTGGAAGGACAGATCCTGAAGCTGAGGCTCCAGTACTTTGGCCACCTCACGAGAAGAGAAGACTCCCTGGAAAAGACCCTGATGCTGGGAAAGATGGAGGGCACAAGGAGAAGGGGACGACAGAGGATGAGATGGTTGGGCAGTGTTCTTGAAGCTACCAGCATGCGTTTGACCAAACTGTGGGAAGCAGTGAAGACAGGAGTGCCTGGCGTGCTCTGGTCCATGGGGTCATGAAGAGTCGGACACGACTAAACAACAACAAAACAGAGTCAGAGAGCAAACTCTCTGCCATCTGCTCCTATTTTTATCCAACAGGGGCTGAAGGGATTCCTCCCAAGGGAATTCCCTCAGCATGCTCCAAAGCAGGAAAATCCCCCCGCCCTGGCTCGAACCTGTTGGCTTCCCATTTGGTCTTTGAGGAGGGTCACAGTCCCAGGGCCAAACCACTTAGCACCCAGGGAAGAGCCAAGACTCCAAACACTTACTTGGCTGGGAAGCTGCTGAGATGCCTGGAATGCCACGGGGGGCCATCCCAGCTGCCCCTGGTGCCGCCTGCTGCCCCGGAAGGCTCATCTGCTGCCCCATGGGGGGCCCGAGCACACCCATCCCCTGGGGGCGAGATGCCATGCCCATGCCCGCTGCTCCCGCAGGTGGGCCGCCCGTCAGGGTCTGCAAGGCGTTCATGGGATCTGTGGAGAAAAGAAGGATCCCTGAGAAAGCCCCATGGAGATAGGCAGCAATGCGCTGAAAGGAGCTGACCCCTGGGCTCAGCTGTTCACCCCACCACTAGTCCCAGCAGCCGCACAATGACCTCAGCCCCATCCAGCAAGCTGGGGGGAGGGGTCAACTTTGTTTTTGCAGAAAGCCTTGAAAAACTTTCAGAATTACTCGCTGGTTTCAGCTTCTCTTTGTTTTCTTTTTTAACCTTTTCTTTTTTATACATATATTTTTAAAATAATTTTTTCTGTTTTACAATTTAAAGTACTCCTTTTTGCATCATTGAGATATCATTAATATCTTAAGGATGTAAAAATGAGTACTTTAAAATGTAAAACAGAAAAAATAATTAAAATACATATTAAAAAAGAGATATTGATGACTTCCCTCCTTCTGTTTCCATGGTTCATTTTACATACCATAAATGCGTGCATGTTTTACAAAAAATATACCATTCAGTATTCCACTATTACATCCATCAAAACTTATTTACACTGTTGAATTTATCTAAAAATGCTGCCAGTGTTTTCAGCTGTACACACTTATTTTCCATATATTCAATAAACTTTTTTGAATCTTCTCTAAATGTATGTTCTTCTTGTTCTCTTATTCAATGTTAAGTCTGCACATATTCTGGCAACTTAAGTTGCCAATTCTTCTTTGGTTAGGACCTCGCTCGTTTTAAATTTTGAGGCTAACAAAACATGGGCCGCAGTAGTGGCATACATAAATAACCTTTTCTGACACCTGGGAATTTCAGTCTGAATTATCCCCAACAGAAAAGACTAGGGGTTTTTTGGGGGGAGGGGGAGCACTTCTAAACTTTTTTTTTTTTACCTTTTCTGTCACTGAATTGATCAGATAGAACAGAACCTGGGCCTGTCTGTGTGTCACATTTGCTTGCGACTGAGCTCTGGCAGAAAATCCAGCACAATGAGGAGACATGCCCCTGACACACCCATCCACACCCACAGAACAGGAGTCAGAATCCTCGGAAAGAGTTCTTAAGGAAGTAGGTAAGACATATAAAAAAAATGGAAGGTGATGAAGGAGCCATTCTTACCACTGACGGAAGCCTGGGACTTCTTGTTGTCTAGGAAAGAAAACAGCAACAACAACTCAAAAATTGTGCAGGCACACTTAGGCAAGAAAAATTAGTCTAATTTGAATAAACAGCAGATTGGGGTGGGGGGGGGAAGAATCGAACAAGAGAGTTACACATCAGACAAGTGGGTAAATAAGTAACCAAATAAGTAACCAAACACACCCCTGTGTGCAAAGAGGAGCAAAGAGAATGTCAGCAATGTCTAGGCAACACAATGACCATGTACATACGCAATAGACAATCTTTACAGAATTCCTTCAAAACAAAACAAGTACAAAATGAAATCTTTAGTCTCAAAGTCTCTGAAAACCTTTAAATGAAGCAAGGTACCAGACTTTGTACGATGAAAGACAAGCTGTGAAGCTTTGTGTATTCAGCAAATATGATGTCCAACACTGAACAGTGATTCCGGATATTGATTACTGTTTCGTCAGAATTCTTTGATACTAACGATTTCATTTTGTACTTGTTATGGTTTGAAGGAATTCTATAAAGTGGGTAAATAAAGCAGAGGGAGGGGTTTAGGAATAGTTTTTTGTTGTTTTACAAATACAGTGGAACTTTGGTTTACGAACTTAATCCGTTCCAAAAGTCTGTTCTTAAATCGAAACCGTTCTTAAACCGAAGTGCGCTTTCCCTAATGAGGCCTCCCGCCGCCGGTGCCCTTCCACTATTCGGATTCCGTTCTTAGATCGTGGTAGAGCTCTCAAACCGGGACACTATTTCTGCTTTTGCGGAGTTTGTAAACTGAATCGTTCTTAAACCGGACTGTTCTTAAACTGAGATACCACTGTAAACATTTTAAGTATCTTATAAGGGTTGCATTAACTTAAATCCTACTCAGAGTTGACACACTTGAATAAATGCACCAGTTAATCCTGTCCATCAGTTTCAGTGAATCTCCTCTGAGCATCACTAACATCATTGCCTCATTTCCCCCCAGCTTTTATTTAAAATATAATCTTTATTGGTTTTCCAAACTTCATACTTATACATATTATATTACATTTTACATTTATAGTTTGCTCCTACAAGCTGACTTCCCTCCTTCCTTCTTCTGACTTCTTTATGTAACTTCTGAGTTTTTCGCATTGTCTTTATCCATTCTATATATTGTTCTTCTATTTACACATTTGTCCATGTATTGTCTGTATATAAATAAGCCATTCTATATATACAATTCTTGTTGTCTATCCATATATTATTTGCCACTACCATTGGTTACTTTGATTACATTGTACATTGTATTTCTTATTGTTATTGTTATTATTATTCCCATAAAAGTATTTATGTTACACGTTATGAGGTTCATTCTAATTCTACTGGTTTTTCTATTTCACACACATCTTTCCTATATACAACATAAATTTCTTCCATTCTTTTTGGAATGTTTCATCGCCCTGTTGTCAAATTTTCCCCGTTAATTTGGCTATTTTTGCGTACTCCATTACCTTCTGTTGCCAATCTTCCACTGTTGGCAATTGCTGTTGTTTCCAGACCTGTGCTAACAGTAGCTTCGCCGCTGTTGTTGCATATAGGAACATCCCCCCCCCCCACTTTTTGAGGTCTTTATTATTTAAACGTATATACTGCTTGAATGTAGTAAAATCACCAAGCAGTTTACAATAAACCCTTTTCATACCCTCATCCTATGTAGTTTTAGAATTGGTAGTATTTTATTTGATAAGAATAAACCAGATTTTTTTTTAAAACTAGCAACCTTGGGAAAAAGAACGCCCCCGAGCTGTCAGCAAACAAAGTGCTAGCGCACACAAATCAGAACAGGATTACTTTCACTTTCTAGCAGAAAGTATTTGTCTGTTATACTGTATTTAAAAGAGCTGTATCTTTGTGGACTTGAGAGTGTTTCAACATCAAACACTTAGAAAAGCCGGATATAAAAATACTATTTGGATCAGTGCCATATTCAGGAAATCAAGAATTTCATGATTGCTGTTCCTCAAGTTGTGCCACTGAAACCAACCCCCCATTTTGTCCTCTTTCCTTGGCTAATGCTTATTTTTTTTATCCCGCTCTTTCCTGCCCCGACGGTCCCCCCTCAAAGATTCAAATGGCCAACAGGCGCTCTCCACAAACAGGCATGAGAGTACTCACGGATATCCCGAAAGTGGATGATGAGTCTTGCCACCAGGGAAAGATACTCCTCCTAAAAGTTAAGAGAAATGAAAGTGCATTTTAGAAGCCAGGGAGGGAGGGTTGGAGGGCAGGGTGCCTCTGACTCATTTCCTCCTCCTCCTCCTCTTCTCCTTCTTCTCCTCCCCCTCTCCCTCTAGAAGAGCAAGAGAGCCCCCGCGCTGGCAGAACTGAAAGGGCAGGGTGCGGTCTGCATAAAAAGATCACTGTATTCAACTGCAGAAAGGGGATGCTTAACTGGGCAGCATGTAAACATCCAAAATAAAAATGGAATAACTGTGCCAGGCAGAAAGCCAAAATGCAGAAGGGGTAAGGCACAAATCGCTTGAAAGGACCTGGCTCGAATTTTAACATACCACCGAGACGGGGAGGGGGGTGTCCCTAGTGGGATCAACACCTATCAAGGCAAGGGTCAACTTTCCCAGCTCGCCAGGCACAGAAAAGCATCACCTGAACCCATATGCCCATTGCTGCGGTAGTCATTCCACCTACACAGTAGCAAATCAGAGATGGGGCAGGGTGTGTATGCGCACGTGTTTGCAAACAGGATGTACACATGATGCATGTGGAGTGATGGAGAGAGGGGACAGATGGACAAAGGAAGATGTGAGCAAACTTCCGACTACAGTCATACCTTGGTTTTCGAACAGCTTAGTTCTTGAACGTTTTGGCTCCCAAACGCCACAAACCTGGAAGTGACTGTTCCAGTTTGCGAGCTATTTTTGGAAGCCAAACGTCTGATGGGGCTTCTGATTGGCTGCAGGAGCTTCCTACAGCCAATCAGAAGCTGCACTTTCGTTTCCGAACGTTTTGGAGGTTGAACGGACTTCCGGAACGGATTCCGTTCGACTTCCAGGTTACGACTGTACCCGGGCTCTAAGGAAGTCAGACTATCCTACACCAGGGCTGGGGCCTTTTCAGTGATGACTCCGACCTGGTGGAATGCTCTGTCCCATGACACTAGGGCCTTTCAGGATTTAACCTCCTTCCGTCGGGCCTGTAAGACAGAGCTATTCTGCCTGGCCTTTAATTTAATGAAGAATACCCGCTCTGAGACCCCACAGCTAATTCTCCCCTGGCCTCCTCGCTGGCTCAAGTAGGACTAATTCAGCCAGCTAGCCCTGGTGACTATCTAATGCTTATTGGATGGATTTCCCCCAAATTTATTTTTGAACTTTGAATTTTATTGTTATTCATGTTTTTATACTGTATTTTATGCTGCTTCTATGTTGTATTACAATGAAGTGTTTTAAATTTGTTGTTAGCCGCCCGGAGCCTGGTTTTCTGAACCAGGAAGGGTGGGGTAGAATTTTTTTTAATTTTTTATTATTATTATTATTATTTCTTCACTGGTGAAACACAAAGGAAAACTGCACCGACTCCAGAACCAGCCACAGCGAAAAAAGACACCTCTCCCCCACCAACCTTTAGTGTTTTGCAGGGAACACTCTGCCCTCCAGGAGAGGTAGAAGATAGAATGGGAAATGGCTGGAGCTCCCTCGCAGAGCATCTCCTATGCATGCAGAAGGTTGCAGGTAGAGCTGGGAAGGAACCCTGCCTGAAAACCTACACAGCCGCTGCCAGTCAGTGTAGATGATACTGAGTCAGGTGGACTAAGGCAGTTTCTGTGTTTGCCCCTGTGGGAAAGATTTGGGACTGGAAGGGGACATGGTGTCTTCCACTTGGGCAGAGCTGCAAAGCTTATGAGGAAGGGACTAACCAAGGAAGCCACGACTGTTCTTAGACGGGCAACTGGCAGAAGACGGGATGCCCACCAGGGAAGTGAAACCAGCTATTCTGACAGTCACCTGCCCAGCCAGGGTTTCCCACTGTCCTACTTCACTCCATAGTGGGAAGGGCAGGAGCTCAGGGGGTTGCATGCAGCAGGTGCCAGATCCAATCCTTGGAAGCATCTCCAGGAAGGGCTGGGAAAGACAGCTTGCCTGAAACTCCAGAGAGCAGTTGCTGCCAGCCAGGGTCATCAGTTCTGAGCTAGCTGGACCAAGGGTCTGACTCCTCGGAAGAGGGCAACTGGTGCTTCAACCCCAAAATCGCTAGAGCCTGGACCTTCTCTCTCTCCTGCCTGCCCTTCACTTTCACCCTTGGCTCCTTCTCCTTACCCGTGATTTGGCCTTCAAGAAAACGTGGTTCTCCATCTCTTTGCTGCTCTTATTGTGAGCCACTCCAGCATTCCGCATGCTATCTTCACTGCAAGAAGGAAAAGACAGAGAGCAGCTGAAGCACCAGAATCACAACCGCACGGAAAGGAGGCATCTTGAAAACAGGGCCTACTCCACAGGCTATTTCTGCTCAGCCCTTCTGTGGGTGAAGTTCAGTTTCTTTTGAAAGGCGGAGGCCCCGGCCCAACTTCAGAAGAAATCATACAAGTGCATCAACCCCACAACACTTGCTGATGCACAAGCAACCCACAAACACACTTCCACACCTGCCCCAACAGGGCTTTAGCTTTGTCTCTTCTGGCCACAGGTTCTCCCTTTTCTTGTAGGTAAAGGTACCCCTGACCGTTAGGTCCAGTCACGGATGACTCTGGGGTTGCAGTGCTCATCTCGCTTTACTGCCCGAGGGAGCTGGCGTTTGTCCGCAGACAGCTTCTGGGTCATGTGGCCACCATGATTAAGCCGCTTCTGGCGAACCAGAGCAGCGCACGGAAATGCCGTTTACCTTCCCACCGGAGCGGTTCCTATTTATCTACTTGCACTTTGACGTGCTTTCGAACTGCTAGGTGGGCAGGAGCTGGGACCAAGCAACAGGAGCTCACCCCGTCATGGGGATTCGAACCGCCGACCTTCTGATCGGCAAGCCTTAGGCTCAGTGGTTTGGACCACAGCGCCACTCGCGTCCCTTTCTTGCAGGTAGCAGGAATAAAATATTTTATTAATTTTTATTTATTGGTGATATTTCTGTGCCGCTTAATATCCAGAATCGCCAAGCAGTTTACATCAAACAACTGGGGGTTGTTTCCAGTGACATGGTTCCATTCCCACAAGCAAACTTCCCCTTCTTGGGGGACCCTCTGTATCAGATTTTGCAGGCACCAAGGGAGAGGAGAGGAAATCCAGGATGCCCCTCCCCACACAACATCAGAGGCACCCCCAAAAGCCAACCTTTAAATACCTGTGCAACAAAAGGCACAGTGAAATATCAAGTAAAAGTTCTGGAAAACGAAAGCAGTGCCAGAATAGCCTTGACACCTATGCTGTCACAACAGCCGTGGCACCACTGTTCTGATGAGCCGAAAGCAAGAGGCTCTATCCTCACCTGGAGCCCCTACTCATAGCAAGAGAGAGGCCCAACCCCTGCCCCAGCATCACGAACCCCTCCCCTATGTTTGGGCCCAGTCATGCCACAAGAATATCAGACAGGATGGAACCTGGGAAAGGCGAGAGGAGTTGACAGAGCAGTTGTGGGCTGGAGAGAGCCAAGAAGCAGCTAGGGCTTCCCTTCCCAGAATGCCCGCATCCTGGCCACCACCTGCAGGTTGAACTGTTTTTTTCACTTCTGTACAAGGAAGGCATTTGGTGAAGATGCCCTGCCACCCTTCAGAATTCAAGCCCACTCCCCCTCTCTCCTTCCCCTAAGATGCAAAACCTCATGCTTGGTCTGTCTTCTTGCTGGGAGCCACCAGCCTGTTCCGGGGGGGGGGGGACCCTAACCCATTTCCACCCCCCAAAAAAACACCTTCTGGTAGGGAAAGGACATTTGTCAACCCTCCACCTAGTCACTCAGGACACAGCTGTTTGCACAAAGAGGGCAGGGCTTATTTAATATTATTGTTCTGTATAATACCTGTAAAAGGAAAAAAAATAGGAGCCATGCCTGAGAGGTGCCCACAACCAATCAAGTACTTGACGGCTGACTCTCCAAATACAGACCCTTGAAAACAGCAGCAGTGAGCACTTTGCCCATGTGCAGTGCTCCCAAAAGCAGGCAACTTTCACCGAACCCATCCCAAACCCCTGCACTCCAGGTGCCCCTCCTTCCCTTTTCTGAAAGCCCATTACATACTTGTCTTTTACTCCCCAATAAACATTCTGAAGTTACCTCTCTTTTGTGGGCTAACTGGTCAGAGGGTAAGAGAAGACTGATTGGGGGAGAAAAGGTGTGAGGGGAACCCTCTCTTGCCAGACGCAGGGTCTCGGCCAGCAAGCTTTAAGGCGATGGCTTGGAATAAAAGCAAAGCCTTGACCGGGAGAAGAGCGACATCCTTATTCTATGCATAAGGAAAATCCAATAATAATCCAATACTAAATCAAATTTACTTGAAAAGCAACCTAAGGAAAACAAGCTCAAATGAAATATACAATAAGGTGAAATGTGCATAAAGAGGATATAATTAATGTAGAATAAATGATGTGCTCTATTAAGAGACATTTACATCTGTTTTATCTGGTTCTTTAGGAAAGGTGATAATGAAATGATAGAGACAAGGGGCAATGGGGACTTATGGATTACAACTCCCATAGGTCTTGACCAAGCAACATTTGGTGGTCCACAGGTCAGCCATCCCCACTCTTCTATAATAAAAAGATTTTCACATCAATATTTGCAAGAAGGCTGAATGGAAATTTTTCCATATGCAGTGGTACCTTGGTTTGCAACCGTTTTGGATGACAACCACGTCAAACCCAGAAGTGCATGTCCCTTTTTTTTGGATTACTGCCCCCCTTTTTTTTTTTGAGGCCCCATTGGCGAAAGCGCGCCTTGGGTTACAACCTGTTTTGGTTTACAACCGGACCTCCAGAATGGATTATGGTTGTAAACCAAGGTACCACTGTATATACCACTTCTTTTCGAGGTTCTAAAGACATTTAACATTGGAAATAATTTTCATTCTTGTGCTTTTTGTACGAGTTAAACCAAGAGCAAAAGGTATAATGCATCTCTCTAACGCAGAGCTTTCCAAACTTTTCATGTTGGCGACACACTTTTTAGACATGCATCATTTCCTGACACAGTAATTCAATTTTACTAGCAAACCAGAGGTTAAATCCTTTTCAGCCCCAGGAGGAGCATGGGGAGCATATGCGTGACACACCTCAGCCGACACACTAATGTGTTGTGGCGTGACACAGAGTTGGGAAAGCTCTGCTCTAAAGGCACAAAAGACTGAGAGGGAACTCTGGAATCACGTAATATGAAGCCCAAGGATACTCCAGAACATCTCTTCTGCAAGAAGCTTTGCACTTGCTCTGCAGCCAAGACTTTGTCCGGAAAAGGAACATATGACCAGCTAAGATATACTGACTTTTTTTGGTTTTGTTGTAAGTCTTTTTAAATGTTGCTTTCATTTTCCCTTTCTATTACTTGGATGTTTGGCTTCATTGGCTTAAAAAGATACTTCTTGCTAAAAACACCTTATCGCTATGTGTTTAACAGGAACATTCCATCTCATGCAAAACTGGAACAAAAGGCACGCAACACAACTTGCCCCAGACTGAACAATATTTCTTCTATTGACATCAAAAATAAATGATAAAATAGCCTTTCCAAGATGACTTCCACCCTGTCTACATCACACAAGTGTTGGATATGGTGCAAACTGGTACCCCATCAGAGCACACCAATATAGTGTGTTAATGCCAATCTGATGACAGTGCAGGACACAAAGCTTCCTCTCTGTCCTCAGGTTCCATATACTCAGACCTCACACAGGAGATATCTGCTGATGAAAACTATAGAAGAGAAACACACATGGGAACCAAAGCACATAGCTAGCAAGGTAAAAGGTAAAGGTAAAGGACGCCTAGACGGTTAAGTCCAGTCAAAAGTGACTATGGGGTTGTGGAGCTCATCTCATTTTTAGGCCAAGGGAGCCAGAGTCTGTCCACAAACAGCTTTTCGGGTCATGTGGCCAGCATGACTAAACCGCTTCTGGAGCAATGGGACTCCATGTCAGAGTGCACGGAAATGCTGTTTACTTTCCTGCCGCAGCGGTACCTATTTATCTACTTACACTAGTATGCTTTCAGACTGCTAGGTTGGCAGAAGCCAAGACAGAGCAACAGGAGCTCACCCCATCACGCAGATTCGAACCACTGACCTTCTGAACAGCAAGCCCAAGAGGCTCAGTGTTTTAGACCACAGTGCCACCCGCATCCCTTTACCTTTATAGCTAGCATGCTTCTTCTGAGAGCTTCACATGCACCTCACCTCCAGACACAAACATCCAATCCACTACCCCAGGCCACAATGGGGTCAGTAAGGCAGACCACCCCAGACAAGCAGGTAAGAGGAAGGGGCAACCATACCACAATACCTAAGAACTGATGCAAATCTCTCTCTAGCCCTTTTGCAATTTCTGAATACAGTGGTACCTCGGGTTAAGTACTTAATTCATTCCGGAGGTCCGTTCTTAACCTGAAACTGTTCTTAACCTGAAGCACCACTTTAGCTAATGGGGCCTGCTGCTGCTGTCACGATTTCTGTTCTCATCCTGAAGCAAAGTTCTTAACCTGAAGGACTATTTCTGGGTTAGTGGAGTCTGTAACCTGAAGCGTATGTAACCTGAAGTACCACTGTAATGGGGCTTTCTGTTTTGTTCTTACACTTCCCCCCCCAAAAAGTGGGGTGTGCTGCTCCCACATATGGAAAACACTCCCTCCAACACGTAGACAAGTTCTATCTTCACAAAGGCCAGGAAAAGGCATGGACGCTTTTGCCTTGCAGGCCCCCAGCCTGGATGCAAGGAGCAGAAGTAGGTGTCCCTGCTCAAGAGTGCCATCGCCATTTCTGGGGAGAAGGGGAGAGGACAATCAATCACACCAGCCTCCCCTTACCACATGATAGCATAGCGACTGAAGCAGAGCACTTGCAGATCCCTCATGTGGCAACCCGAACACTTTCAACGCCTCTAGGCTCAGGGCCTCTGTGCTCCTGCTGCTGAGCATGGCTTGTGATCTATGGCCTTCCCTCAGGTTCTCCAGACTGGCAAGCATGCAGGCCAGATTCTGCTGCCACCAGATACTTTGAAGCAGCTATTTGGGAGAAGCGCAGATGACAATCCTTCCAGTAGGGTTTGCCTACCCAGCAAACTAGCAAGTGAGATTCCTAATGTGGATTGCCAGGGGCGGAAGAAAGAGCCAGACTAGCACCCACATGCACTGGGCTAAGTGACTCACCCATCTTTTGGGGTGTGGGACTGTCTCTTGGATATCTGGACACACACGTCCTGAATGGTCTAGTGACCATCTGCTTTATAGAGCGTGCTGGAGACGTAGTTGCCATCTTGAGATTTCTTTTCTCCCTCCCCTCTTTGGTTGAGAAGGGCAAAACATAGCGACCCACTGCAGGACCCAAACCAGAAATAAAAACCCAACGATGTATGTCTAAATCAGCAGGCTTTTCCAAGGGAAAAGATCCCACCGGGAGCTGATCCCTGAGTCAAGCCTCCACCTGCCAAGGCATCAGAACCCACATACACATGCTCCTTCGGGATCTCTTCCCTTCCAGGCAACTCTCTCCTCTGTGGGTCAGTGTGGCCCCTGGAATGTCTGCCCAACGCATATCCTGCTGCGGTTGCGAAGGACGCCTGGCCCGCCTAGCACAACGCGCCCTTCCTCAGGGAGGACGGAACGTGATGGGGGCCAAAGTCTGGTGGACTAAGGGCGACAGTAGGTGGCATAGCTGTCAAGAATCCCTTATATGGCGGGACAGTCCCTTATCCCAGCGCCATGTCCCACTGCTGTCCCTTATTGATGATGTCCCTTAAATAAGCTACTGAAGGTAATGGTGCCCTTTCTATGTCCAGCTGTCCTTTGTCAACAACAAATTGTTGCTGTTTTTTGTGTTGAATATATGCTATATGGTAATTTATGGACCTAATAGATATCGAAAGCCATTTGCACGCAACAAAATATGTATTTTATCAAAGTAATTGTTGATCCCGTATTTTGGCTGCTGATCCCTTATTTTCGAGGCTGCTAGTCCCTTATTTTCAAATTTGTAAGTTGACAGCTATGGTAGGTGGGCCTTGCAGGTGGGCCTCCATTCAGCCAAGTGAAACAGGGCCATGGAGCCAAAATCCCTGTCCCTCCAAGGGGCCCTTTTCGAAGAAGACTGCGTCCAGAAATTGGCGAAGAGGGCGAGCGGGGGGAACGGGAAGCCGCTGCTTCCTACCCCCCACCCCCACGAGGTTCGTTTCAGCATCCCTCCCGTAACATCAGGCGGGGCAGTCGCGGGTTGCGCCATCCCGGGACCCGATCTGGGGCATCTCCACGCCCCTCACAGCCTCCAGGAGGGCCTCGAAACGGGCAGAGCCGGCTCCATCACCCGGCCCGTATCGCCGGCCCAACCAGGCCAGAGGCTTCCTGTTGCTGCTGCTTCCGCCGCTACTGATACCGGGGCTGCCCGTGAGGCGCGGGAGCCGAGGAGCCGGCCGAAGCTGGTCCTCCGGGCCTCCCCTTCCCTTTCTCCCCTCCCTCCGCGGACTCACATCTGGCTGACGAGCTTCTGCCTGAAGTTGGCGCTGCGCCAGTCGTTCTCCTCCATACCGAGGCCGCCCGCCGCCTCCGCCGCCGCCGATCCGAGGGCCGAGCGAGCTGAGGAGCTACTGACTTGAGCGAGCGGCGGGCGCAGCGACGCTTCTTCCGGCCGCCGGAAGTCGCTCGACGAAGCGCGCCCCCCCGGAGCACGACGGGATAGGTAGTTCGCGGGCGCTCAAAGCGCGTTTCCGAGGCAGCGGGGGCTTCTGGGAAGCAGGCGGCTCAGAGGCGGAGGGTTTCCGAGCGCAGGACATTTCCTTGCCCTGAGGCCGATTTGCGCGTGCGCCGCCACGCCCCTTAAAGAGGCGGGTCCTCCTGTGCGCGGGGAGGGCGGAGGCGGATGTGGGAGGGAACCGACGTTCTGGCCCAGCCGCCCGTTTCTGTGGTTCCCGGCAGTTGAAACCGGAAGGAGGTGGAGAGGCGCTCAGGTCGAGGGAGGAGGGCGGTGGCGGCAGCGGCCTCAGATGGGTCTGCGCCTTTCCGCTTGGCTCCGTCTGCGGGCGCCTCCTGAGCATGTGCAGAGCCCAAGTTGACCCCGAGTTCAGGCCGTGGAGGGGCCCGAGGCGGGGCTTCTCCGCCGCCTTCTTACTGGGAGAGAGCCTTGTTTTGCTTCCGCGTCAGACGTGGCCTCTTCACCCTCTTGCCCTCCTGACCAGCTCCTGACCCGGTTCCTCGGAGAGTCCTTTATCTCTCTCCTCCTCCCTCTCGGATGTCTTCACTCATACCGCTCTCTAAGCCAATTTTATTTTTATTTTTTTGATATATATAACGTCTTGGAAGTTCTTTCATGGGCTCAGAGGGAAGGAGGGTGGGATGACTAATAAATAAGGTTTCGAGTCAGAAAACCCAACATTTTCCTCTGCAAATTGCTCTACAGGAAACCCCTAAACTGCTTTCCTTGCGTCCCTGGAGTCTTTGCCTGGAATGGCAGAAGATCAGGAGCTGGCCAAGCCAGCCAAGACTCTCCCGGAGCCCTTGGCCAAGGGGGGCTCCGGCAACACCTACCGTAGTACGCAACACTCCCAGGCTTTACTGAATGGCTTGGTGGCTCTCCGGGACAGCGGCATCCTCTTTGACGTTATCCTGCGTGTGGAGGGGAAGCCAATCGAGGCTCATCGGATCCTCTTGGCGGCGTCATGCGATTACTTCAGGTCTGTCTGGAATGGAACCGAAACGGTATATTATGCATGAACTGGAAATGTTTACGTTTAGTTCTGAAACTTATGCACAAATTGGTTGTGGTACTCTTCAGTAAAATCTTAGCACATTGTGGAGGCTGAACATCTGTGCCTCACAGTGGCCACCCAGATGCCCTAGGGAAGCCTACAAACAGGGTGTGAATGCCACAGCAGCACTCTGCCCTCCTGTGGTTTACAGCTACTGGTATTCAGAAGCATGACTGCTTCCAACTGATGAGGTTTAATGGGAAATTGGTGCAGAGTAGAAATAAAATAAAATAAATGTCAACATTAGGGTGGTTCAGAGTAGAAAGCTAGGCAATAACCTGTGGAAAGAAGGGTCAATAGAGCAAGACCAAAAACTGCTCCCACATCAACTGAGTCATTGCATTGCTCATAGAATTATAGAGTTGGAAGGAACCCAAAGGTCATCTAGTCCAACCCCTGCAATTCAGGAACCTCAGCTAAGATGCCCTCATTCCCCAGTTAGGATCTCTCCTCATATAGTTGCACCCCAACTCCCATAGGCTCCTACCTCGTTGCCAGTGGTTGGGGAAGATGGGTGGGCACTGAGTTGGAGAAGGCTGGCATATATATTGGTCTTCAGTAATGGTGGTGATATGGAACCCACAAACATTTCCCTTATGCAGCTGAGGTGAACCTCCATGAACAGAAGAGCAGGTCCCACACATTCACACCTGTCCCAACAGCTCCTGCCTAACACCTGTGCCTATACCAGTCCACTTTTAAACCAGCCAGCTAGTGGGATGAATAAGGCTGAAATGTACCACGCAGGTCTGATGACCCACAGTACATAGGAAGCTGCCTTCTATGAGCCAGACTATTCGTCTGTCTACCTCAGTGTTGGCTACGCTGGCTGGCAGAGGTCAGGGTTTCAAGCAGGGATCTCTCCTAGCCCTTCCTGGAGATGCTGCTGGGGGTTGAACCTAGGACCTTCTGCATGCAGAACAGATGCTCCAACACTGAGCCACGGCTATTCCCCAGTCATTGACATTGGTCCAGCCAGCCTCTTACCCTGACCTGCTTCTTGTGTGGCTGCTATGAAGTGTAAGTGGAGTATCTCTGTGCAAGGCGCTTAAGTTCCTTGGAGGAAGGAGTACAGCATAGAAATGGGATCAGTAATTGCCCCCATACACGACCTGGAAGCCCTGAGCAGGTTCCTTTCTGGAAGCATGACTGAAAGCAGCTCTTTCCTTTAATAGGGGGATGTTTGCTGGCGGACTAAGAGAAATGGAACAGGAAGAGGTCCACATTCAGGGTGTGTCTTATAACGCCATGTGTCAAATCCTGAACTTCATATATACTTCGGAACTGGAGCTTGGCCTCAGCAATGTGCAGGAAATACTGACTGCCGCCTGCCAGCTTCAGGTGAGAGAGTTGGCAGTTCTGAAAGGCTTGTTGGGGAAGGAACATGGCAAAGCCCAAATTCCTTTATGGCAGGCTTTGTGTGTGGTGGATTGGTCAGAGGTGCCTCTCCACCCAGCTCTCTGGGCCTCTGGTGGTGGCAGCCCATAACAGCACATGCTGGGAATGGGGGAAAGCTGAGCTGGTCCCACTGCCCTCACTGGAGCATCACAGGGCCTCATCTGGGTCTGGCTGCTGCACCTGCTTTAAGCTACCACAGCTGCTTACCTTACATCTTGGCTAGTATGAGCAGTAGGGCTGCAGATCGGTCCTGGCTCTGCTGCTCTGTTAAGCACCACCACTGCCCAGATGGGGGTTGGATTGCAGCCCAGCCCTTTGCACTTATTAAATAGTAGGAGCGTTGGTACCCCACTCTTCATCCGAAAGGGCTCTCAGAGTGTCTTACATACAGTCAAACCCATTCAGGCTTACAGCCTAAAAAAACACAGAACACAAGGGGAAAAGGACAGGGAGGGAAGAGGAGAATAAAAACAAAAACTCAGGCACCAATTTATACACAGTTATTCCTATATTGACCAGCTGGCACAGTTCAGGGGCAGGATGTGCCTGGTGGAGGTGGGCCCTGTTTCCTACAGGTGAGCCCTGTTTCCTGCCTCTCCTACTGAGGCAGCCTGATGGAATGGCTGCCCCGAGGGAACAGTTGAAGGGAGAGGAGCGGCAGAGCCCATGGAGTGAGCTCTGCTTCCCAGCTCTCCCACTTCTGCTCTTGCAGCCAGCATTGCCACAGAGGCTCCCAGCTACGAGGGTTTGCTTGACCCTGTTGCTATAGCTGCCCTTTGATCTAGAGACTGGTTTGCTCTCCTTTTCCTACACGTTTGTGCCATGACCCTGGCTCAGCCTCCATCACCTTGGAATTTTAAAAATGTTTCCACTCGCAGTGCCGCTTGCCAGTTCAGTAGATCTTGACCTGATTTCTGTGCTTCATTAGCAACATATGAACACGGGATTTGGACTTGGTTTGTATGATGCAAAATTCTGCATGCTATGGGTGGCTTTCGATCCTGTTGGAGGGTAGGGTTGGAGTCCCTCGCAGCTCCATATCAGAGGGGCTTTTTTTCTTTCTCCTTTGCAGATCCCAGAGGTTATCAAGTTCTGCTGCGACTTCCTCATGTCCTGGGTGGACGAGGAGAACGTCTTGGATGTGTACAAGCTGGCCGACCTTTTCCACCTGAGCCACCTGAGCGAGCAGCTGGACTCCTACGTTCTGAAAAACTTTGTCACTCTCTCCAGGACAGAAATGTACCGCCAGCTTCCCCTGGAAAAGGTCTACGCCCTCCTCAGCAGCAACAACTTGGAGGTCAGCTCTGAGAATGAGGTTTACGAGGGGGCCCTGCTGTACCATTACACCCCGGAGCAAGTGGAAACAGATCAGGTCTCCTTGATGGAGCCCCCAAAGCTTCTGGAGACGGTCCGCTTCCCCTTGATGGACTTTCCTGTCCTGCAGAGGCTTCACAACAAGCTCAGCCCGTGCCCTTTGAAGGAGACAGTGGCGAGTGCTCTGATGTACCACAAGAACGAGTGCCTGCAGCCCATGATGCAGAGCCCCCACACTCAGCTGAGGTCTGAATTTTGCTGTGTGGTGGGCTTTGGGGGGATCCACTCCACCCCTTCCACAGTCGTCAGCGACCAGGCCAGGTATCTGAACCCGCTGCTGGGAGAGTGGAGGCACTTCACAGCAGCCTTGTCCCCCAGGATGTCTAACCAGGGAATTGCAGTCCTCAACAACTTTGTCTACTTGGTTGGGGGAGATAACAACATCCATGGCTTCCGAGCAGAAAACAGGTGTTGGAGGTAAGAGCCGCTCTTTGTGATACTACCTTTCTAAGTGACTGGCAAGTGGTGTTGTCCCATTAGGTTTCAGTCCTCAACACCCTTAAGCACTGAACATGGCGAGACATGCATCAGATTGCCCTGTTAATCAGAAAGCTGCTTTCTTGCCACCCTCAGAGAAGTGGAACAACCCAAGCAACTTCCTGGTCCCTCATATAGGGCATTGACAAAGAATAAAACCACGCCTGGCTGGGTGTGAAGGGAGGTGTTTTTATTTATCTCCTTTTCTGACGCTATCCGAAAATGCCCCCTCAATGTTTTCTGAGCTCTGTAAACAAGGTGCTCCATGCCTCAGTCTTACTGTGATTTATTGTTGCCTCAGGCTCCTGGCTGCCTCCTTCCAGCTCAGAGCGCATTGAGGGCATGAAACATGAGATGGCTGATATGAAGCAGCTCAAAGATAGTGCCCAGTGAGCTTTTGACAGCTGTAGAGTGACTGGACTGATTAAATCTCTCTCTCTCTTTCCCTCTCCTTCTCTCTCTCTCTCTCTCTCTCTCTCTCTCTCTCTCTCTGACAGTCCTTGTATCTGTAAAGCAGGGATAATTTTATCTGCATGCACAGGACATACTAACCCCTGAAATTATATTGCTGCCTATTAAATGTAACAAAGACTGAACTATTTTGGTAGCATGACAATGGCAAAAAATGGAACTATGTCCACTTACTATCTACAGGCATTGAGAGGGGAGCATGTCAGAAAATGCACACAAACATACATGCATTTTGGAACAGTGTTGTTCCATCATATTTTCATATCGGGGTTGAGATGGGGAAATTGTTCCCCTTGAGCGAATATTAATCTGGAAAGGGATTAATCTCTCAATTAAAACTGAGAAGATCACACAGTGAGTGCATCTACCCTAGTGCTGTGCTCTTTTCTCACAAAGCAGAGCTAGGATGGCTATAGTCAGACATATGTGCTTCAAAGACTGGTGGTTTTCTCTTTGAAAAGCCTGGCAAGAGCAATAGAGGGAGTGGCTGGTGGGAGGACAGGCAAATGCACTTGGAAGCAATGGGATGCAGGGAGATAAATGGGTGGCAGGAACAGCAGTTAGAGCCCGTGGGCACCATCCATCCCTAGCACTTGTGCTAGGAGAGCTGTGCAGATTGACCATCCTCTTCCTTTGCAAGGTACGACCCACGCCACAACCGGTGGTTCCAGATCCAGTCTCTCCAGCGAGAGCATGCAGACCTCTGCGTCTGTGTGGTGGGAGAATACATCTACGCTGTGGGAGGACGGGACTACCATGAAGAACTGCGGGAAGTGGAAAGATATGACCCCAAAACCAACACCTGGGAATACGTGGCCCCTCTCAGGAAGGAGGTAAGGAGAGGAGTAGGCAGGAGTTGGGCAAGTGGCCAGGGAAAGCAGGAGCTTTTCCAACATCACAGGGACACCTGGGAGATCCGAAGCATGGCGCCGGCTAGGCTGAACCCTTGAGTGGGCCAGCAACCACCAGTGAGGTTTGGGCTGGTGGGTTTTCCATAAATTTTGCTGATGCCATAACTGGGGGTGCAGGGGGCAATGCTTGTGGGCTTTCCCATTAGGGCATCTCATTGGCCACAGTGAGAACAGGATGCTGGACCGGATGGGCCATTGGCCTGATCCAGCCAAACTGTTGTTATGATCAGCATTCACTTTCCTAAACATTGTACTTTGAGGAGGTGGGGAGTAGCGTCTGGCCCTTGGGGTTGCAGAAATGTGGAAATAAGTGATAGTCGAGGTACAGAGCAAAGTTGGGGTTGATGGGGAATTTCGGAGAATAAGGAAGGCTACGCGGTTATTAACGGTACAGAAATTTGACAGCAGAATTTAGTGCAGAATTTACAGGATATCACAAGTGTTGGGGCAGGCGGTGGACAGGGTGTTGTGAAGGTTTCTGCATCACCTGACAAATGAAAAGGGTTATGGTATGTGCTCAAAGCGACTTCCTGGGAGCAGTGCCCAAGCTTCATTTTGGTGTTTGATCCAAGGCAGACATAAAAGAAGAACGATCACCTGTTGCCCTGACCCACCGGCCCAAAGGTGGGCTCATGGGAGTGGTTTGGCACAGGGATGGATACCAAAGGAGGATGTCGAAAACGCCAGAGTGATCAGTTCTAGTGCATTATTGTAAGAAAGAGCATGCTCCTTTGGAGAGGGAGGTGGATAATTGGAAGAGGGGCGAGGGGAGGGGTGATTTACACCAGAAAGCCAGGTTTGAGCCATCAGTCATTTGGAAGTCAAGCTCTGAGAATTGCCTCCAATTCCAGTCCTGGGAATTTCGGCTAAATATCTCCACATGGCCTCATTTGCTGAGGGTGGAGGTGGATGGGTAAGCTTTGCTGGCAGCACCTGACTCCTCCCTCTCTTCTGTTGACGCAGGTTTATGCCCACGCCGGAGCTGAGTTGGACGGACGGATGTACATCACTTGCGGGAGGCGAGGCGAGGACTACCTGAAGGAGCTGCACTGCTATGACCCTGTAGATAATCGCTGGGACAGCCTGGCTGACGGCCCTGTCCGGAGGGCCTGGCATGGGATGGCAGCCCTGCTGGGCAGGCTGTACGTGATTGGAGGGAGTAACAACGACTCTGGCTACAGGCGGGACGTTCACCAGGTGAGGAGGCAGCTGCGCTCTGCCCAGGGGCTGTATCCAACGCAGAGTAGGTCCACGGCAATATAGAGACTGGATTCAGTGGGCCTCCTCTCAGTATGACTTAGCTGGTGACAAGCCATGAACACCCAGGGCTGGTTTTGTTCTGTCTGCCTCACTGTTAACTTAAAACACCAGAAGGTTTGGTAGCCTCTCCTCCAACTTCTGTGGGGCTGTTGCAGGGGGAGAGGAGCTGCAAGCCCTTGCTAGGACTCCCTGGTGGGGGGGACTTGTTCTCCATCATGACCAGAGACGACCTGTTGCTTTTGCCTCCCTCCCAGGTGGCCTGCTATTCCCCCAGCACCGCTCAGTGGACCACTGTGTGCCCTTTGCCTGCAGGGCATGGCGAACCCGGCATTGCCGTCCTGGATCACATGATCTACGTTTTAGGAGGCAGATCCCACAACCGGGGGATTCGCATGCATTACGTCCACATTTATGATGCTGACAGAGACTGCTGGGAGAGAGGCCCCCGGCTAGAGGACAACATCTCTGGGATGGCCGCCTGTGTCCTCACCCTGCCCAGGGCCGTTATCACGAATGCCGAGAGGTGGACCCCTGAACGGCAGCAAAACAGGCTCCAGAACCACCCAGACATTTCTTCAGAGGTCATGAGCATGTTAGATTGGGAGGAATTTGACCATCTGAGTGACAACTGAGCAGCACTTGAGGCTCCAGCTGCCGCAAGGGAATGGCATGCAAGCCTCTTTGCTTTCTGCTTCTTCTTCCTCGCAGCTGAGCTGGGTGGTGTGGTTCTCCTGATTTTGGAGGAGCTCCTTAGCCCCACTGATGGTGTGGGAGGAGGCAACCTGGTCCCCTCATCAGGCCTTGTTAGACTGCTGCCAACGAGGCCAGAAGCCAGCCATTGCAAAAGGGGGGCCTGGATTTCTGGCAGGTGTCACTCCCAACGTGCAGCATGGGCACTTTGCTTTGGAGGGAGGCTGGGTCATATGGTGTCCCCACACCCATGAACCACTGGAAGGCTTTTAGGAACAACTGGGTGGATCTTTGGTAGCAGCCAATCCATGTTTTTAATATGTGGTGACTTTCCGTATTCTAAGATAGGGTTACTAGATGTCCCCATATCCCAGGGACAGTCCCCAGATTTGCACATTTGTCCCCAGACAAATTCCATCCCCAGAACGTACCCGGATTTCATCTAATGTCCCCGGGAAACTTAGCAGCAGCAGCAGTCTCAGCAGCCCGGAGCCAGCCTGGTAGCGCAGTTGGCTCTGTCTGGCTTCAGGAGCTGCCCGCTGCCGTGGCGCCCACCATTTTGCCTCGCTGGAAGGCCCCATATGATCTGTTGCGCACAAGACACATCATATGGGGACTCGGTGTAGGGGCTGCAGATGTGGTGGTGGGCGCCACCGCCAGGTGAGAGCTGCACAGGGCCGTTGAGCTCGGTGCGCCACTGCAACTTGGCGCTCAGCTCGCCGTCGGCACCGCTGCCCAAGGCCGCCGGTTCCGGCTCGGCCTCCAGGTGGTGCTTGGGCGGCTGCGGCTGCTGCTCGGCTTCGCCATTGTGCTCCTTGACTTGCAAGCGGTGGCTCAGCTTGTTGGCCAGCTCATTGTTGGCCATCGCGGGCGAGAGGTGAGCAGGCCCAAGCATGCCTTCTCCCACTCACTCCCCTCCGGCTCTGCCCCAGACCCCCTGACTGGGCGCTCCACAGCGCAGGTGGGCGGCCGCCAGACAATGCCTGCGCAGGAGACACCCAGACAGGCGGGCAGGGCAGCAGCAGAAGGAGGGGGGTTCTGCTAACGCTTACTCCTGAGTAAGCTTGTGGGGAATCACAGTGCAAGGAGGGGGAGGGAGGGGGGAAGCATGGCTAGTTCTCCAAGAAAGGCCAGGACCCAGAAGAAGGCCACACAACAGAGGAGACCACAGAAGAGAAAATATTACTTCTTTATTTTTTTTAATAACCTTTATTTTATTTTTATTGATTAATTGATTGGTTGATTGTGTCCCCATATTCATTGCAATAAATCTGGTAACCTTATTCTAAGAGGCCTTCAACGATTTTTCCAGCAGAGCAAATGCAACCAGCGGTCATATTTTTCTATTGGAAGAGGGGCCTTCTGCCTGCCCCCCCGCCCCCCCCGAAGCAAAACCTTCATTTTGCTGCTCAGCTAGTTCAGCTCTTCCCCGAGCATCAAATGTACCGCATGAAACAGTTTCATTCTAGTAGCTGCAAAAGCCAAATAACTCGGCAAAGAGGCAGAGGTCTCCCCCACCACGCCATTGCTTCTCTTTTGGTGGGGGTTGCTGCCTGTCCTGCCAGCTGTACTTCCCGCTGATGTCCATGACTGCAGAGGGAAGTAGCTAGTTGTAATAGGCGGAAAGAGGTCTCCGGTATTCTGTTAGCGTTTTTGGTACATTTATACAAAAAGGTTTGTATGTTACAGTATTTCTAGTGACAGCTTCTCTAGCCCAGGCGAAAACACTGTTGTGCGTTAGGATTGGGGGGGGGGGGGAGAGATAACACCCTCCCCACAAAGTATGATAAGGTGAGATATTACGGCAGTGAAGACCAGGGATTCTGAAATGCCCAAAGAATAAAGAGGGGATGGGGAGAAAATGGAGCAACCATCTCAATTCTTTCTATATGCCATCCCCTACCCAATCCATTTTGAGCAGCATTGTTGATTTTTCAGTTTTATCTGTTTCTTGTTGTTTTCACCTCCTCCCCAAAAGGAGGGGCCTCTGGTGTCCTGGGCAGCAGCTAAGCATGTTTGGCTTGCAGACAGACAGACAGGCTTCTGTCCCTGCCAGCTGTTCCTCCTCTGGCTTGGCCCGGGAAGTAGAAACTTCCACCACCTCTGTAGCACCTCTGGATTTCATGCAAGGAAGTTTGAGCCACTTGCCCTTTCTGGAGAGCCATTTCCCTGTAGAATGCACCCCCCAATTCACTCCCTGTACCTACCCACTTGTGGGTAGGCGTGCCTGTCTGGTGTTCAAGCATCAAGCTGGAGTGCCTGTCCACAAGTGGATTATCATTTTGCTTTGCCCCTGGCAAATTCTCTGTCGCAGAGCAGATCAGCGATGACAATACAAACACCTCAGGGGCAGAAGACAATGAAATGAAACCAGCCACAGAAGCAGATGGGCTCTGAGGCAGGCGTGCCCGCATAGCTGGTGGATGGGCTGAAAGCTGTCTTTGGGCAGGATGTTTTGCAACAGCTTAAAAATAGCTGTGACTGAAATGAATGAGGCTCCCTGCCAGGAGTCAGTTATGTAAAAATTCTTAGCTGTTACGTGTGTGTGTGTTTATTTATTTATTTATGTATACATATAAAACCCAGAAGTTCCCAATAACATTGTCATGTTTAATTGCTTGGCTGTTTTCCTGCTGTTTACTGCACAGTTTCCCCAGAGGATACAGCTTCTGTTGGGCAGAACGTTTATAGCTAACTGACTTGTTTTCCATTCAGGAGCAGCCTGGCAGCTGCCCCAGGAAGGAAGAGCTGCAGGTCAGCTAGAGAGGCGGCCTCAACTTCACTCCATGGCATCTGCAAATAGGAGTGGGGAAACTCCTGCTCAAAATCACTCCTCATTGGGTTACATGATACTGGGCTGGGTGGGCCAAAGGCTTGGCTTGGTACATGGAAGTTTTCTGCGTTCCTTATTGTTTGTACAATGAAGGGTGGGAGGTGGGAAGAGAGGCGGAGCTGAACCCCTGGATGCAGCTGTCCAGATGGGCACTTAGGTAGGTGACTGTGAGGAAGCAGCCTTCAACAAACAACAGAGTGGAAGGAGATTTGATCTGATCTACAGGGCCTGGGATGTGGGTGGTGCTGTGGGTTAAACCACAGAGCCTAGGACTTGCCGATCAGAAGGTCCGCGGTTCGAATCCCTGCGACTGGGTGAGCTCCCGTTGCTCGGTCCCTGCTCCTGCCAACCTAGCAGTTCAAAAGCACAAAGTGCAAGTAGATGAATAGGTACCGCTCCTGCGGGAAGGTAAACAGCATTTTCGTGTGCTGCTCTGGTTCGCCAGAAGCGGCTTAGTCATGCTGGCCACATGACCCGGAAGCTGTACGCTGGCTCCCTCAGTCAATAAAGCGAGATGAGCGCCACAACCCCAGAGTCTGCCACGACTGGACCTAATGGTCATGGGTCCCTTTACCTTACAGGGCATAACCCACCCTAGAACAGAGGTTTTCAGCCTTTTTCAGTCCACGGCCCCCTTAACCAACTACATTCTTTCTGCAACACCCCTGTGGGGTTCAGGAGCCGAGTTATGCCACCTCTTGCCTGCAGAACTGGCAGCCTCTCACCCTTTTTCAGACACCCACCCTTGTGGAGTGTTCCCTCAGCCTCCTCTCATTGGGAGTCCTCTGGGCAGCTGCTGCTGCCATTCCTGGTCTCTGAGCTGCCCTCTCCACCCCTCCAAAGAGGTTCTTCCCAGAGGCACAATTCACCCATGCGGTTTATAGCCAGGCCTGCTGCAGTAAACAGCTATGCAAGCCTTTGGAAGGCAGAGACGTGAGGGCATCAGAGAGGGAGAGAAGTAAAGAGGGACAGAGGCCAGTGTTGCCCGTGGCACCCCTGACCATCATTCAAGGCACCCGGGTTGAAAACCACTGCCCTAGAAAATGAAATGTTTATTTCAGTGGCAGGGGATGATGGGAGTTTTCTACCCCTATAGACATTCCTGAGCTATGTGGACCAACGACCTTGCTTGAGGCAAGGTAGCTTTTTGAAGTTACTGAAGCAGAGCTCAAATGAGATGACCTTCCTTGGGGTATAATCAAGCTCTTTCAGTATCATATTCTAAAATGGAGTGAGACTTTAAAGTTTGCCTGAAGGACCGCTGAGGTGTTGCAAAGGTTCTAGAACAGGGGTGGGCCATAATTTTTTCTCTTGGAGGGTGGAACCAACCAGCGATAAAAGGGTCTTGAGTTAATGAATCCAGAATAAAAACTGACCTGCTTCAATTTTCACTAGGTCAGAATTCCCAATCTTACACATGTCTACTAAAAAATAAGCTCCACTGGGCGTGATGAGGTCAGTGCTTTTTTTCTGAGGGGACACAGGGGTACGCATACTCCTAAACATTTTGTGAATCTTTGTACTTTTGTCCATTTACTGTATTGAATTTTCCCAATTTAAACTATAAAATGGTGACTTTCTTGGGTCTAAATGAGAGCGCCTAAACATTTTTCAAGAAACAAAGCACTGGATGAGGTTACTCTCAAGTAGGCATACAGAGGATTTTGGTGTGTGTGTGTGTGTGTGTGTGTAGACATACCCCCCAACACACACACACACACACCCATAGGGGTGTAAAAAATAAACACACAGCCTGGGGAAATGATTTTTTTAAAAACCACACAAATTATTTCTTAATGATCTAAAGTGATGCCACTCTCATTTGTTCTGACACTATGCTGAAAAAGTGGGAAACACGTTTAAGTCAGATAAGATAAGCAGGAAGTAAGGAACTCTGATGGAAGAACGGGGCAGTTTCAGGTTGTGTGGGTGGGGCTGGGGCTGTGCACTTAAAGGAGGGTGGGTGCACGTGTCACCCACTGGGTTCCAGAGGGGAGAAAGGGATAGGAGGTTTAATATCTGAAGCCTCTTAAATCAGCTGCCACCGCAACATGACAGCAGCCAAGGCAGACAGCTTTAAAGGGCAGTTAGGCAAATTCATTGTGGAGGATGAAGCTATTGTGATGGCTCGGCTCTGGGCTCTAAAGAGCAGCCGCTGGGAAAGGCCCCCTCATTATGGGCTTCCTGGGAACACCAGGAATTGCTGCAGGGGGTTGTCTAATCAAAACATTAATATTAATATTATACAATCCCATGCGGGTGTGGGTGTAAACCTCTGAGTTTTGCATGAATCAAGCCTTAGCGCGAGACCTCCAGGTATAGGGCGGTATATAAATTCAAAAAATAAAATAAATAAAAATGACTGCGAACAGTGGAAACATTTCCCAGAGTGGAGTTTTAAAAGCACCATAGAATTTATTCATAGCACCCATGGTGTTAAATAGGAAGGGGAGGAAGTCAGAAATAAAAGTGTGTCAGTTGCGTAACAGCGCAAGCTTCTTAAAAACTTGGCCACTACTTGGCTGCAGAAAACAAGCCATTAAAACTTAGAACTGATTTTTTAATTTAAAGTGTATGTGTGCGTGTCAGCACAAAAGCTCGTCGGGACCAGCCTTAGCTTCCAAGACAACTCGCACGCCTCCCAGCTGTTTTGGACTACAATTCCCATCAGACCCCTAGGCAGCAAGGCAACATGAGGACAGGGGGGCCGATGGGAGTTGTAGTCCAAAACAGCTGGGAGGCGCGCGAGTTGAGGCGGAAGCAAAGGAGAGCCCCAACGGGCTTCTAGTGGGCGACATGCGGCTGGGCTGGGCTCCGGCCTCTCACACATCATCCGTCCACAGTGCGGTGTGGAGGAGAAGGATTTGAACGAGGTCGCCTGCTCTGGAGTGACAGGCTTTGCAACTCCCGAGGAACTTTCAGGCCTCAAGGCGGACGTCGCTAGGAAACGGCCGTGAGCTGCCGCTCTAGGAGTTCCCTTTCCCCCATACTCACTATCTCTGGGAGGAGGAGCGGCGGGGCTCTATCCGCGCCTGCGCAATCCCCAAATGCTGCAGGTGGGTAAAAATAAAAAATTTGAAGCTCGGGAGCTCCGCCCCTTTTGACGCCCGGCGTCTCCCTCGCTCCCTTCCTTCCCTTCCGCGCCTGCGCGTCGGGCGTGGCTTCGGGCGCCCCTTTCCCTCCCGCTCCGGCCTGGGCCGCCATTTTGGCGCTGCGCTCTGGCGGACGGAGGAGCCGAGAGCGGCTGAGGCGAGCTTGGCGGGCAGGGCCTTGAAAGAGCCGGCCGCTCCTCCCGAGGGGCGAAGGGCGAGCGGGATGCGCCGCTTGAGCTGAGCAGGAGGAGCAGGAGGCCCGCCTCAGCCTCGCCCCTGCGCCCGCCTTCGCTTCCCCCGGGCCCCGCGGCCTGCCTGCCTGCCTGCCTGCCTTCCTCCTTCCTTCCCTCCCTCGCCATGTCTTCGTCGTCCTCGTCGGTGGCGGTGGCGGCGCGCTTCGACCCGTCGGACCGCTCGTCGTGGTACGCGGGCCCGCTGTCCCGGCAGGAGGCCCAGGGGCGCCTGCAGGGCCAGCGCCACGGGACCTTCCTGGTGCGGGACTCGGCCACCTGCCCCGGCGACTACGTCCTGTCCGTCTCGGAGAACTCGCGCGTCTCGCACTACATCATCAACTCGCTGCCCGGGAGGCGCTTCAAGATCGGCGACCAGGAGTTCGAGCACCTGCCGGCCCTCCTCGACTTTTACAAGATCCACTACCTGGACACCACCACCCTCATCGAGCCCGCGCCCAGGTCAGGAAGGAGGCACGGAGGCTCCTCGCATGCATACACGCCCCACAGCCAGCCAGCCACTGGCATCCCGAGCGAGCGGCGGGAGCTCTCGTGAAGCCCCGCCAGGTGCCAGGACTAAGTGGCCCGTGATGGCCTTGACCTTTGGGGTGCTTCCTCTCCCGCTGCAGGAAGCCCACCATGTCACCACCCCTGGGAACAGGACCACAGGAATTCTCACTGTCAGGCTGCTCTTTTAATGGGGGGGGGGTGGAAGCGAGCACCAACACTTCTCCTTGTGCCACAGTATGGGGCTAGCCCAGGGCTACTGCAGCTCCTGAGTCTGTAAGAGGTCACAGGGTGGCCTTGGGGAATCTGTATATGTGTGTGTGCAAAAAGACCCATGGAGCCACCTCTGATAGGCGCATATGTCTTCATCTTCTCATGCTGCTGAGATGCGGCAGGTGTTTTCCCAGATGTTCCTACTCCATGTGAGGGCTGTTGTAGCCCTTAATCTCGTACTGGATGTGGGCATCCCAAATTGATGGGTATGGCTGTCAACTTACTTTCCTCTCTACTTGTGAGAAGAGGAAACACATGCGGTTGCCTTGTGCATGTGTCACAGTTCACACTTGGATATTCTGAAAACCAAGTTAAACCTTGAAGTTACAAGTAAAGAAATAAAAATATTTTTTTCACCCTCCTTTGTCATCAAACCTGCCCCCCCCTACACATATCAATGCCCATTGCTTTCCTTGCCCACCATTGCCCTGGTCACATCAGGAAGTGCAGCTGCAGTGTGCTACTCCTGTCTTCAGTCATTATGCATTTCACAGCTTCCCCTCACTTTAACTAGGTTGTAGGTAGCCATGCCCCTCTTCACAATCTGTAAACTATTCTGATTCGATTTTGGAGCCCACGATTGGTTGCTGGAAATCTTAAGCATTTGGAATCTGTTTCCTTGATTTGGGTAACAGCACCTCATCGTAACGTATGAAATTTCTTCTCGCTTCTGCTTGTCTCTCCAAATAGGGAGATGACAAGTTCTCACCTATGTGCCACACCTATGTGTGAGAACACCTATGTGTTCTCACCTATGAGAGCCAATGTGGTGTAGTGGTTAAGAGCGGTAGTCACGTAATCTGGGGAACCGGGTTCGCGTCTCCGCTCCTCCACATGCAGCTGCTGGGTGACCTTGGGCCAGTCACGCTTCTCTGAAGTCTCTCAGCCCCACTCACCTCACAGAGTGTTTGTTGGGGAGGAAGGGAAAGGAGAATGTTAGCCGCTTTGAGACTCCTGAAGGGGAGTGAAAGGCAGGATATCAAATCCAAACTCTTCTTCTTCTTCTTCTTCTTCTTCTTCTTCTTCTTCTCAGAAGATGTAACATGAGGTGGCTTAGTGGTCAGGTAAGGAAGAAGCCAACCAGCAGGATAGGACAACTTCTGGATTTGGGAAGACAATTGGTTGAATGACGTAGACATGGGTGCTTCAAAACCAAACATTCTGTATTTTATGAAAGTAGCTGTTCCCTAAAGCTGTGTTACACTTCTAAATAGCTGTTCTGTTGGTAGAAAATGGCGCAGCTGAGCACTGCCCTGCCACTTCTCCTGAGATTATTGTTTCCATCCGTCCCGTCCCGTCCCCCCCCAGCAAAAAAAAATGGACACTGAGCTCTAGCCTCTCCTGCTTCAGTAGTAGTTGCTACTGTGTTCAGCAGGGCCAGTGAATGTGACTCACGTACATTCCCCCCCCCCAGGGGGGCTTCTATTGAGTATGACATACACTAGCCATAAAGAACTCCCTCAAACATTTCAACCCTAATTTAAGAGATCTGTTATCTGCTACTAATCCTCCTGTCTTCTTTAGGTATCCAGCTGCACTGATGGGATCTGGATCAGCCCCCATCATGACTACTGCAGAAGATAACGTGGAATATGTCCGGACTCTTTATGACTTTGCTGGAAACGATGCAGAGGATCTGCCATTTAAAAAGGGGGAGATCCTGGTCATTGTAGAGAAGCCTGAAGAACAGTGGTGGAGTGCCAGAAACAAAGATGGCCGTGTTGGGATGATTCCTGTTCCTTATGTTGAGAAGCTTGTCAGATCTTCCCCACACGGAAACAGGAACAGGAATTCCAACAGCTACGGGATTCCTGAGCCTGCCCATGCTTATGCTCAGCCTCAGACGGCCAGCCCTCTTCCCAACATAGCCAATACGCCTGGGGCAGTCATCACTCCCCTCCCATCCACACAGAATGGACCAGTCTTTGCCAAAGCGATTCAAAAGAGAGTTCCATGTGCTTACGACAAGACTGCCTTGGCGCTAGAGGTAAGCTTTTCAGCTGGCTGGACGTGAGGCTTGGCTATCCTGTCTAAAGGGAGTGTCTGCAGTCTTTCCGTTACGGGGGTTTTAAGCTATTTTTGTATTCGCGTACTTCTATAGTTGCATATGGGCCTGTGACCAGGAGGGTGCCTGCTTTCCATGTTGACTCTGGCATCTGCAGAATTCAGCTTCAGGAATCTTGGCTAGCAGGTGCCAGGAAGGGTTCACAGGGCTGCTACCCTAGGTCAAACATTGGATTGACAGTGGGGAGAAAGCAGCCTCACACGTCATTATCATCATTATCATCGTTAGTATTATTATTATTATATCCTGCCCATCTGGCTGGGTAACCCCAGCAACTCTGGGCAGCTCCCAACACAATATTAAAAACACGATAAAACATCAAACATTAAAAACTTCCCTGAACAGGGCTGCCTATAGATGTATTCTAAAAGTCAGATAGTTGTTTATTTCCTTGACATCTGCTGGGAGGGCATTCCACAGGGCGGGCACCACCACCGAGAAGGCCCTCTGCTTGGTACCCTGTAACTTCGCTTCTCACAGGGAGGGAACTGCCAGAAGGCCCCCGGAGCTGGACCTCTGTGTCCAGGCTGAACGATGGGGGTGGAGACGCACCTTCAGGGCCGAGGCCGTTTCGGGCTTTAAAGGTCAGCAAACACTTTGAATTGTGCTTGGAAACATACTAGGAGCCAGTGAAGATCCTTTAGGACCTGTGTTATATGGTTCCAGCAGCCACTTCTGGTCACCAGTCTAGCAGCTGTATTCTGGATTAGTTGTAGTTTCCGAGTCTGGTGTAGTGTCCTGGTTAAGTTCACTCCCTACAAATCCTGGCCTAAAACAGAGCCAGCCACTTGGGTCACTTTAGTGAAATGCAGTGAGAAACAGGCTGTTGGCTGCTCATGAGGCTTGGTTGTTGCTGGTATTTGTTAGGTAGGTTTAAATGACATCATATGCCCCAGGTCACTTGGATGGGGCAAGATAGTAATCATATTTAGATGTAAGGCATTAAGCTGTGTAAAACTGGTACACTGAGGGTGCTTCTCCTGACTGCTGTGTGCACACCTTCCCTTAAGGACCTTAAAGCTTTTAAGACTGCTGTTTTCAGGTGGTTGTTGCTGCTGAGGCAGAGATGGTCTGTTCCTGTACTTTTCAGGTAGTTTGTTGCAGAAATCAGCCTTGGCTGCAGGTCTTCCCACCTCATCTGCTGCTCAATTTTGGACAGTGAAATTCATGTGTGTGCATTCACAGGTGGGGTGTCTTAAAGGACCTTGTCTAGTCTAGCTCTCTGTTCCATACAGGAAATTCAGAACAAATGCCCAGCCTCTGCTCAAAGCCTCCCAACCAGGTAGAGCTCAGCATCACCGCCCCTCTCTGTCATTGACTCCATTTCTGAATTACTCTTACTGTTAAGAAGTTCCTCATCATGTTCAACTGAAATCCAGCTTCTGTGACTTAAAGTCCATTAGATCTCGTCCTTCCCTACAGCCTCACCAAGCTCAGGTTTCAGCAGTCCCTTCAGCCTTTCCTCATAGGACTTGCTGGGCATCCCCCTGACTATCTTTACTGCCCTTCTGAATCTCTTCCAGTTTCTTTTGGCAGCTGCCTTACACTGCAGCAGCCACAGATGAGTTCTGACTAGTCCAGAATCGAAGGAGAACTGTTATTAGCCAGCCCATAGTGATAAACCTTATTGCACGTAGCCTTTGCAAACTTCCCATCAGTTCATACCACAGACTAATAGTTTACATAATAAAACGTACATTGATACCGTACATTTAAATATGTTATAAATAAAATCCATATCCACCAAATTTACTGCACATAAAACTTGGTTCAGTTCTTTAACAACGTTCATAAAAAGGTGTGCATGTAATTTCTCGGCATCTAGGCCAAGTAACAGTGCAATATATAAGTAATAGGAAATTGGTAAATAATGGCATTTCTTGAGGGGTTCTAATCAGGTACAGTAAAATAATAAATAGTGAGATACCGTATTTTTCGTTCTATAGGACGCACATTTCCCCCTCCAAAAATTAAGGGGAAATGTGTGTGCGTCCTATAGAGCGAATGCAGGCTGCACCGCTAAGCCCAAAGCCAGAACAGGAAGACGGAGCACTGCGGAGCGCTCTGTCTCGCTGCTCTAGCTTGGGGACGGCTGCGCGCAAACCTCTGCAGGGCAGCGGGGCGCTGTGCTCCAAAGGCTTCAGGGATCTTTGAGGCTGGCGGTGGGGGAAAGCAGCGCTTCCCCCCACCGCCAGCCCCACAAGCTCTGGTGAATGTACCTTGAACGCACCTTGTTTTGGAGGGGGAGAACAGGGAAATTTTTTTTCCCCTTTTTCCCCCTCCTATGGTCTGGTGCGTCCTATGGTCCGGTGCGTCCAATGGAGCGAAAAATACGGTATATCCTCTGTAGACCTGCATCCAAAGAGGCATTATTGCTCTGACTGGAGTATGCATTTTTATTTCCCTTCAGGATATGTGAATGGTATTACAGTGGTACCTCAGGTTACATACGCTTCAGGTTACATATGCTTCAGGTTACAGACTCCGCTAACCCAGAAATAGTACCTCAGGTTAAGAACTTTGCTTCAGGATGAGAACAGAAATTGTGCTCCGGCGGCGTGGCGGCAGCAGGAGGCCCTATTAGCTAAAGTGGTGCTTCAGATTAAGAACAGTTTCAGGTTAAGAACGGACCTCCGGAACAAATTAATTACTTAACCCGAGGTACCACTGTACATGGAATCAATGTTCTGCAAAGGCCTTACATAACTAACTTGTTTTAAACTGTTTCTGAATTTGTATTTTTAAGTTCCTCTAACTTGCCCTGTAACCTTACAGTGAAGGACAGATAAGAAATCAAAAGAATAAGAGTAGTTTAATGTATTGGTCACTTTCCACAAAGAGTCCCAAACTGACTGACAGAAATAAGTAGGTTGCTGAGATGTTTGCTTAATGCTTTTGCGCTGACAGTAAAGATGGTCAGCAGTTTTATCTTACGCAAACATCTTGGAAGATAAAACTGTTGACCATTTTTACCAGGGGTCGGTAATGGGCTGGTTCACTCCAGTGGAGATCCCTCCATGGGCCGGATCGCGCACGCATGTTGGTGCGTGGGGCTGCGATTTCCGGCGTCTGCGCAGACACGTTTTCTGGCATCTGAGCATGCACAGACGCGATTTCCGGCGCCCCGGAAGCGAGTCGCCGCACTGCGCCGGTTTAGTGCAGCGTGTGGATACTCACCAAGCGGGCGGCTCGTGGGCCGGTTAAACGACCCCCGTGGGCCGCTTGTGGCCCATGGGCCTTAGGTTGCCTTCCCTTTATCTTTACTGTCAGTGCAAAATGTGAGCACATCAAATGGTCAGTGGCAGATTTCAACTATAAGATTTTTGCAGTGAAGCAATGAAACCTTTCACTTTAGTTACAACAGTGGCTTCTAAAGCTTCTCCTGGCTTTACTGCGATTATATTGTGGGGAAAACAATGAAACCTGTAATCCTTTTAAGTAGAGCAAAATATGCCAGATTGCAGCACCTCCAAGGAGTTCTTGACTTCTTCTCTCCAATCTCAGAGTCACTTAATGACTGTTTCCTGCCTGCCTTGTGGAGGAAACTGAGCCTGGACCTTTTGCAAGAGACTCATTACTGGGTTTTGAAATAGTTTATTTTATTTTCATTTTAAACTTGCTAGCTAAGAGTTCAGAATTGGCTCCTTTTTCTGTCCATTTCATTGATTGTGCAGGTGCCTGTTTCTTCCTCCCTTGGTTTCCCACTCCAGCGCTTTCCTCTTGTCCCTCATTTCCCTCCCCCCCCCCCCAAAAAAATGTTTTACAAATAATGGAAATAAGATGATATTTTAAATTATGGTGGGGGAACTATAGTGAACCCACCCTGCCCAGTGAGGCTGTACTGCAACTCTCATCATCCTTACCCTTTGCCATGTTAAGTGGGGTGGGGGCTGATGGGAGTTGGAGTCCCACAGCAGCTGGAGGCTGCCCACAGATGCTGGCCAGCACTGTTAAACTCAACTTCTTTGGCACATTTTCATTTCATGCCATCCTTATCTGTGAGTTCTTCAGAAAGTGTGTTGTTCCTCTTTAGCTGTGGCCGTTGTGGCCATGGACTGTTAACATCCCAAGTGTTTAAGTGGGTTGCTTAACTTAAATGTGGAAATACTTTGCTGTGGCTGATAGCTGCTAAGCGATGACTTCAGCCTTGTAAGGATTTGGGGCTGGTATTTCCTTGTTGGTGGTTTCCATCTGCTTGTTGCTAATTTCCGGGGTAAAACCTGCAAGGACAAAGGAGGATTAAGTGACTTGGGGCAGAATCTAGCCAGACCTTCTTGGCAAGGTCCACTGGAATGAATGGGGCATAAGCATTAGTTGTGGGGCTTGTGCTGACACTTGTGGCTTGAACAGTAACTTGGAACTTAGCTGCAGGCTTAGCAGTGAGTCAGAGGAAATTATGCGCCTGAGGTGCCTCATTCTTTTTTTATCCCTGTGTCTCTCAGCTCAAAGAAGGAGCGTGGCAGGCGTGAGTAAGCTTGTAGTGACTTGCCCGTTCCTAAGTCTCTATAGTCTGCATGGTCTGGGGCACGTGATACAAGATTTCCCTAAAATACACCCAGACTTCCTCATTTGGATGGGACAACCCGCTTCCCAAATGCCAGTGTCCCACCCCTTCCCCCCAGTTTCTGTCTTCCAAATAGAGCCAGGCCTCTCTCCGCTGCTCCCCCACAAGTGAAATGACAACCTGTTTTCTTGACATTGAAATAATTCATTATGACTCTCTTTCCCAAACCTCACGGGACCCACCTTATTTAAATATCTGAAAGGTCAATCAGGCAGTTCCAATGAAAGGAAATTATTAGTCTTTCAGCACAAATACATCTGACCATAATGCCAACATGGTGCACAGCAGAGAAGCAGAGTTGTAATAATGCCAGTTTTGTGGAGGAGGAGGATGCCTGGGGGCCACTTGGCCATAGCTGGCCTTCTGCTGGCTCTGAGGTTCTCAACCTGTGAGGACGAATCTTTCTGATATGGCTTTGGGCTTGCCACTCTGTTTTCCGCTTTGGGAGGAGGTGGACAGAAAGGAAGCATCACATGGGAGCTCTGAAGTCTCACAAATGCAGCAGAGCCTCTCCTTGTGGCTCACTTTTGACATCCATGTTCTTAAGGTGGGCTTTGTCAGCTGCCCCAAGAAGCCCAAGGTCTGTCTGTCTTTTGACTTGATTGTGTTGCTCACTACCTAGGACCAGGTACATTTCTTTACATAAGGGAGCAAGTAAAAATGTGGACCTTCTACCATCTCATTCTTTTGTGTATGCTTTGAGACCATTCCTGCTGCATCCTGATAGTCACTGTTTATTTATTTAAAATATTTATAGCTCAGCCCTCATCTTCTAGCAAGCAGCAGCAAACCTTTAAGCGAGAGCAACGCCTGCTGCTGCTGTTGCCGCCACAACCTTTGAGCGGCTCTTGGGTGCTTGGTTGGGCCTTCTCTGTGGCAGCATCTAAGCCAGGGGTAGGCAGCCTAAGGCCCATGGGCCACAAGCGGCCCACGGGGGTCGTTTAACCGGCCCACGAGCCACCCCCGAATCAAGCCGCCCACTCGGCGAGTCCCTGCCCACTGCGCTAAAGCAGCACAGCGCGAGGACTCACTTCCACAGTGCTGGAAATCGCGTCTGCGCAGACGCCAAAAATAACGTCTGTGTAGACACAGACGCCGGAAATTGCGGGTGCGCGCGGGATCTAGTCCACGGAGGGATCTCCACCGGAGTCAACCGGCCCAGGCGAGGTAAACCTTGCCGACCCCTGATCTAAGCTGTGGAATTGCCTCCCCTTCTGTTATGCCTCTACTTCCTTTGATACAGGAGATACCCACCTATTCTTCGGATTGTAAACTGTTTTAACTGATTTTAATACTTCATTTTTGCTTTGTTGTAACCCACCCTGGGACCTGATGGCAAAGAGCTCCAATTAATAAGAACAAGTTGTAATAATAAGTGGAGGTAGTGATTATCAATGTTATTTCCTACTGAAGTCTGCCCATTGCTGCTTGTCATGGAAATTATTAAACATATATTTAGCCTACACTTTAAGGTGTCTGCCTTCCTATCCCAAGGCAGATTGCAATGTGTCAGTTACTCTACAATATTAAAATTCCAACATTTAAAAATAAACTGATCAGTGATAAAACCACCCAAATGTAGATCAGAATAACAAATTCTTCAGGGCTTTCCTGAAGGCTAATGGAGGGGGGGGCACCTCATTCCTTGAGGTGTGTGTTCCAGAAATATGGGATGGGGGAACTTGTGGACTAGTGAGCCAGGTCTTGGTTGCTGATTTCTACCTGGGTACAGGCTGTCCTTTATCCTGCCCCTCTATTGAAATGGAATTCCCAAGCACTGCCAGACTGCATACTTGACCCTTTATGGGGTCTGTAATTATGGCCTTATGATCCAAGTTGAAAGTTTGCAGAAGATGCCATCCAGGCAGAGGCTGCCTTGTCCTTCCCCACCTCCTGCCTAGTTCAGCTTCGCACCTCCTGCACACCAGGACACTTTCTGCTCTGGGATCGAGTTTTATTTTGTCTTAAGAAGTTCCTAGTATTATTATGTGTCTTACTTTTGTCTGATCTTTTTTAATTATTGCAAGCTACTCTGGGTGTGTAAAAAGTTATAAAATGAAGTAGCTCAGAGACTCCCAAGAGGAGCTTCTTTTCTTTCAGTTTTGGTCTTAAATTAACTATGTTAATGACCCAAATCAAAACCTTGTTATACCAACCACTCAATATTCTCAGTGGAGAGGGTACATTAAGTAGTATGTTTAAACGCTGAATGTGTAAGTTTTATGTGCAGTCAGTGGATAAAACAAACAGCATTAGATGTACTGCTGGATAAGTGTTTAATAGCTCTTGTATTTGTTTAAAAAACAATTTAAAATTGTTAAAATAAAAATAAAGGGGAAAGCATTCTGAAGGGCAAACATTCTGAAATGGCACCTACTGCTCCTGCCAGCCATTATAACCCTTCAACCCACTAATACTTTTAGGTCATCCAGAAAAACAAGCCCTCCTCTCATCTTATAATTGCCCCAATCTTCATACAGAGTAAAAGAAAGAACTGGCATTATAGGAAACCGATACAGGTTTTTTTGGGATTGCAGCTGGGCCCGTTTAAACTCCTCCTTACTCAGCTTCGCTTGGCAATTTGTGGGCAGCCACTGCAGGAAACAGGTGGGCTCTTGTTTTGGTCCAGCGTAGTTTTTCTCACTTGGAGTGTTGCTGTGGGAAGAAGGTGCTGCTTCTTAGTTGCTGTTAGTTTAAGAGTTGTAGGTTTTCACCTCTATGAAATGCCTCCTCATGTCTTAGCGGAAGGACAAGGGACTTGTGCTATTTTACCTTTCGTTAATTTTACCCTTTCAATGGTTTCTGGACCTTCCTTCCCCAAAGAAGAAACAGAACTGGGGCTTTTAGTGTCACTCAGATCTCCTTTTCCTCAAATGGCATTGGGGTGTTTTTTCTTCCAAGCCTGGGGGCTGGGCTGGACTGGACTGGACTTGAGTGAGGGAGGAGGAACAGGCCAGTTTCCATGGGCTGCTCTTTCCAGGGTGGCTTTTGTGACCACCAGCCACTGCCACCTTGTAGCAGGCCATGAATGGTGCTTTCTAAAGTTAAGCTTCATTTTTCAGGTGTAGTTCCTGTACGTTGAAATAATTTGACTGTTTCCAGCCATGTCTTAAGGTGTTTTTTTTCCCCTTTCAACTTTGCAGGTTGGTGACATCGTGAAGGTCACAAGGATGAATATCAATGGTCAATGGGAAGGTGAAGTTCATGGTAGAAAAGGGCTCTTTCCTTTCACACACGTCAAAATAATTGACCCTCAGAATCCTGATGAAAACGAATGATTCCTGTTGGCCCATTTCTCTGTTGCTGCTTCATTTTCCTGGCTATCATGAGCATCATCGGAAGTGCAATGATGACTGTTAATGGCGCCTTGTAAGCATTGTCCATTTTTTCCAGCTTGCTGCAATTTGACAGCCCTGTAGTATCTGTTTGGAATGCATACAGCTGAAGTTGCTTGTGGGCCCTCGTGTGGCAATGACGTCGTCCAAAACTTAAAAGTATCACCTGGAAGGATTTTGGACCTTGAGCTCCAGAAGATTGGTGATGTCACCCAGGCAGAAGAACAGGGGGTGGAACTTCAGCTGACCTGGCCAAGGTTTCTGTCCATGGGCAACATTCTACTCAGGAGGAGAATTCTAAGCAACTTTGTCCAGAACCTACGTAATTTTATTTTTCCTTCCAGGGCAGGGAACACTTGATTTGAGAGGAAATAATCTAAGCAGTTAGAATAATAGTGTCTTTAGGCTATAATTGATGCTTGTGTATTATTAGCAAGACAGTTCTGTGAGTTTGTCGTTGACCTAGAAACAAGTTTGGGATGGCGGCAAAATGTCATTTTAAGGAATTGCATTGAGCAGGGTCTTCTATTTATAACCGTGACACATAACTGGTCTGTTTTGCCATACACTTGTCTAAAATGTTGCTGTTTTGTTTGCAAAACCATGGCAGTTTGTTTTTTTTAAGCTGAATCTGACAGTCACTAGATGCAAGATTTTAAAAGATAGTCTTTCACAAGCTTGGTTGAAATTGGCACTTTCTGCCTCTTTTAAAAAGCAAAACCACCAACCTTTGATAATCTCCAATGGGAATATAGACGTAATGAAAAGTTTTTACCATTTAAACCTTTTAACTCTCCTGTGCCCTTCTGTACAAATGTCTCTGTTAGATTCTAACTATCATAACGAGGAATGGTAAATGCAGAAACTTGAATGTGGGTTTTGTCATTTGAAGAACTGACTCTCTAGATGATGATTTTTAAAAGTTTAGTTGGCACGTGTTGTCTCTTGAGGATTTTGGACTTCTGAGGAGCCTCATGTTCAACTCAGTATTAAAGTGCCTTAATTTGGGATGAAAGTTGCTGAAGGGGATGCCGTTTCAGCTTTAAGGTCTGCAGAGAAGCAGTTCAGTTCACTGATCCTTAAAACCCTGTAGTGACTGTTGATGGTCTGAAGAAGCACGATTTTACTGCCAAACATACTGTGAATTAGGCTAGCCTTGATACTCCCGGAAAGCATTTTCCCACCTTAGGTGCTAAGACCCTCCGTGATGGACAGCAGCACAGTTGTCCTAGAGAATAGCCAGGCAGGTGCCCCTCTTGATCTGTCTTGAGTTACGGTGGAGTAGTACTACTGAGCTTTGTGTTTAGGAATATTTAAGCTGCAATAAATGTCAGTCTGCCATAATAAGATAATCCTACTACATAGAGGCCCTCACTCTCCCGAGCTGTCCTTAAATGACAGCTTATAGATATAGATTGTGTGCAACTTCTGCCTTGAAAAGCTGCAGAAGCAGCACTTGTGTGTGCGTTTGTGCGTGTGTGTGCATGATGGGATGCTTTTTATTTACCCTACTCTCAGCAGGCAGCGAGGAGTCTGATGTTGGAGCCAAGGAGCTGTTGCTTCCTTGACTCTGTCATCAGACTCTTTGCTGCCTGGTAAACTAATGTTAGGATTGCAAATAAGAATCTCTGCACATGAGTGTCTGTTAACCAGGACCACAAGCAAGACTAGCTGGTGGCTTCTGAGGCAGGTGAGAGCTTTTAAGTCCACCTGAAGCCAAAGAGTGGCTTCTGTCATGGCTAACGAGTGCAGCTCAAGTGTAGCACACTAAGTTGATTTTGATGGTAAAACTTGCATCAAAATGTTTATTTGCTATTTTATTATGATAAAAATATTTTCATACTAAAAAAAACCCAACCAACCATGTTTAATCTGTCTGTAAACGTCACCAGTTTTTCCTCTTGGCTTCTGGCTGGGCTGTGTCTCGGAGAAGCTGCTGTCCCTTCCTGGGGCTAGTTTCCGGTTAATCGTAAGACCTCATCAATCTATGCATTACGATGTAAGGTGCCAAAAAGCCTTGCAGTGCAATCCTTGGCATGTTTACTCAAAGTCAGTCCCATTTATCTCAGTAAGCCTTGCTCCCTCAGTGAGTGTGCATAGGGTTGGGTTTCAAATTAGCAATCGGTTGAAATGTCTGCTGTCAAAACCATCTTGGGAAGGTTTTCCCTTATCCTGCTGTACAGATGAATGGATCCCTGATCGAGGGGGGAACTGGCAAAAGTGCCGATAGAGATCATGATTGTTTACAAATCAGGCAGGAATGCATCAAAGGGAATCTCCTGTTTGGTTGGGCCTCTTGGGGGGCCCCCGACCATTATTTTTTTGTAAAGGGACAGAAAGCGTTCGCTGTGCCATTTCATGTGCCTGCAATAACTTTTTGTATTGTATAATGAACATTCTGGAACTGGGTTGGCTGTCCTGTGTGTGTAGTGATTTACTCTGATGTCTCTAGCAGAACGCGAAACTTGACTGCTCTCTTCCCTTGTGGGACCAGTAGAAGCGTTCTGGGGAGCTGTAAATGTTCCTCTTGACCTAGTTTGGGTTGTTATAAATGCAAACATATCCGGACCCATTTTTTGCAGAGGGGGAAAAAAAGGTGGCCTTGTACTTAAAAGACAGTCTTCACTGTGCAAACATTTTTACATAATGGAAGTATCATTTGAATTTCAGGCAATAATGTGTTATGCTTTAAGCCTTATTGTGGGGATCATCATAGCTTGTTTTTATTTTATTTTGTGCTACAGAATTAACAGTATTAAATATATTCTTAGAACACACACAGTGTCTTTTGTTAAAATTAATGCCTTTTTTGTTTTCTTAGTTTACTTCACTGGAGGTCCCACACCCAGCCATTGCCCAGTTTGCGTACTCTCAATAAAACATGCATCCAACTTGCAGCAATAGTTGTCATCTATGCCTTGAATGTTCACCGTCATGCTGGCTGCCAGCGTCAGGCTTTCCTGTGATAGCAGAAGATACTCTGTGCAAGAGGATCTCATTCCCTTCCCCACAGTGCTCTTGTGGCTGCAAGAGAGTGGGTCTCTTACCCTGCATGTCACTGGTTCCTAGCATTTAGAAAAGAACAATGCTCTCTGAATATACTTAAAGGAACATTTCCTTTATAGCTCCTGGACTCCTGGAACTGAGAAGTGGTAGGGAGTATTCACAGCTCTAGCAGTGATCCATGCCCTAACAGAGTTGTCCCATCCTAGGATTTGGGGCAGGGTACAAGAGAGAAAGGGGGCGCTTTTATTGTTTTACCTGCAGCAAACAGATTAGAGGCCTTTCAGCTTTTCCATAAGGCCTCCTTTCTCTTGCTGGATATTTGTGCCTTTGTAGGTAGCTCTGTCTCTTCCTTGTCAGGTGGAAAAGGGTAAAAGATCTGCCCAGAGCACTTTCTTCGTGTGTGTGTGTGGGCGTGTATGGGCTTCAAAAACCAATGAAACATTCTGCCATTTTATTGAAGGAGATTGGGGTGGCAGGAGTGGATGTGGAGATGTATGTCTTGGCAACTGTCCCAATTTTCAAGCCAGCGTCTTGACACATGCTCCAAACAAGCTTTCCAGGGTTTAGAATGGCTGCTCTTTGGTGGAGAAATGCAAAGGGGAGAAGGGTAAGAAGCCTTTCTTTGCAAAATGTATAAGGCAGATCTCACAAAGTCTCCCCTACCCTCAAGTCATCCTCCTAGCCCTCTACCAGCAGGCATAGGGGAACAAGGAATATTGGGTCCAGTCTGCCATGGTGCCTGGGGGGTGGCCTGAGGGCCCCTGCGTACTGTAGTCTGTAGGAAACCCAGAGTAGCTCATAGGGCGGTAGGGTGTCGGTGGAGGAACCACCCACTGGCTGAAGCTTTGGTCAGGGGTGTAGGGGCTGTACATGGGCCTCCGAGATCCTGCTTTTCCTGCAGGGTCAACAGCCATGGCCACCATCCCAGAGTAGTCCTGCGGAGGGAGAGTAGCAGGAAGTGGGGGGAGATTGGTGGCGAAGCCGCCGTCTGCTAGTTTGGGGTCTTGCTCAGGAACTGGGGCAAAGTCCAGCTGCGGGGGTCTGGCTCGGAATTCACTGAGAGATACTCTGTCGCGGAGGGCCCCCGAAAAGGAGCCTTCGCCAGCCTCGTGAAACCTAAAAGAGAAGCCAAGAAGAAGATGGAAACAAGGCAGAGCCCACCTCAAGAAGCAGGACCTTTCAGGGGTCCTGGTAGCAGTCTCTGCAGGTGGGCATCTTCTGAGAAAGCGTAAAAATGTGACCTGGGGCTTTGGTCCCTTGTCATGCCACCCAAGAAACCTCTTAACTCCACAAGGGCAGCACCCCATCCGTCCATCTAACCACCCACTGTGCATTGTCGGCCGTCTTTCCACATGGAAACCAGCCAAATCAGCCATTAAAAGCTTTTACATTTGGAATTGCTTCCTCATTCGTTCACTGCTAACGGAAATGAACACCAGCGGAGGGGAATCTCGTGGGAAAGTGTTTGCCTCTTGCCCTGACTGTGTTTCTGTATTTATAGAAATATATCTCTGCTGCCTTTTGGCTCTCACCGCCCCAGCAAGGCGGCTTACAAATTTCATTCTTACGGTACATAAAAAGGTTTCAGGTGTGTTTGAAGCACAGAGAAGAAAATCAAATCTGCTCAGTGGAATAGTATAAAGAGCCCTTGCCTGAGCTTCTGGGACCCAGTAAGAGCCACCCCCTTGGAACAGAGACAATCCTGATGGGCCATTATGGCAGGAGTGTCTACAAAGTGATGCTACTCCCCAGCCCACTCTCACCTGTATGCTTGTAAGGAGGAAGAGGGAGGCGGGGGAGGTGTTGGCACTTGCTCTTCTTGGGTGGTCCTTGCACTCTCCTCCACCCCCTGAGACAGAGCCTCTGCAGGGACAGAGGAGGAAGGGTGGCTGTTGTGCTCCGAGACCCAGATGGGGTAGCTGCCGTTGCCGACTGGAATGGCATAGCTCTCCTCCTTCACCTCCATGTTTTCATGCCTCGTAAGATCTGACACACAGAGAAAACCAACAGTCAAGATCTTCCTCTACCAGGTCCATCTCCCAGCAGAAAAACCTGCAAGCCGCCTCGTCTACCTGGTCTGATGCCTACACCTGAACACAGCACCTGTGTGGAGGCTGCTTGAAGAGTCATGGGCTCACCTGAGGAGGCCTCAGAGCTGCCGAGAGCTGCCTATGGACGGGAGGGTGGTGCTTGCTGGCATAAACCAGAAGCCAGGCAAGGTGCCCATCATGCCATTAGCCAGGGGGATAAATCTTTTATGGCAGACCCCAGATCTCCCCTCCCTCCCCTCATTTTTGGCTTTGCTCTCATAGAGCTGTTGAGGCAGAGACATGCAGCCCACCCATTGTGTTCAGCTGCATCTGCATATAAATTAGCGTTTGCAAATATTCTGAGCTTGTGTGTCTGGCCATTGAGTACTTGGCAACTGCATGACTGACATGCGGTGGGCAGGGGGTGACTGAAACTCAAACTCTGGCATGGAGTTGGGGGATTTAGGTCTTTGCTGTGTGGCCTAATCCAGATGTTGTAGAGGTGTGTGTGCTCACCTGCTGTTTGCTGTGGGGGAGAAGTTCCTCCATTGGGAGCTTTTCTTTCCAGTGCCAGTTCAAGGACCCCAATCTGGACTGGAATGACTGCAGGGGGCAAATAATTAAAGGCCCCCCCCCCGCCATCTAGATCGGGTCCCCAGACTTTTTTTTTAAGCCAATCACACCAAAATGGCTAATGGGATGCTTGAGGGCCAAACAAGATGGCTTGTGTTGATTGGGTGGCAGCTCTTCCTAATTTAACACACTCAGAGGAATTCTACAAAATAAGAAAGTGAATAAATACTGGCTAATAATAATAATAATAATGTATTTATACCCCGCCCATCTGGCTGGTTTTCTCCAGCCACTCTGGGGGGCATCCAACAGAATATTAAAATATAATAACCTATTAAACATTACCGTATTTTTCGCTCTATAGGACGCACTTTTTCCCTCCTAAAAAGCAAGGGGAAATGTGTGTGCGTCTTATGGAGCGAATGCAGGGGGAGGCAGGCGGGAAAAGCCCCCAAGAGCTGCACACAAGCTCCGTGCGGCTCTTGCGGGCTTTTCCCTAGGAGGGAGAAGGGACTGACTGGCCACATCAGTCCCTTCTCCCACCTTGTAGAAAAGCCCACAGGCCGTGTCAGTCCCTTCTCCCTCCTCGTAGAAAAGCCCGCAGGAGCCGTGCACTCCTTAAAGGGTGCGCGGCTCCTGTGGGCTTTTGCGGGAGATGGGGGAATTCCCCCACCTCCTGCAAAAGCAGGGAGAAGGTTTGTGAGAAGCGCACAGGCTGCGCGCAGCCTGTCCGCTGCTCCCAGAGCTGGGGGGGGGGGGGGAGAAATCATATTTTTTTCCTTGATTTCCCCCTCTGAAAACTAGGTGCGCCCTATGGTCAGGTGCGCCCTATGGAGCAAAAAATACGGTAAAAGCTTCCCTAAACAGGGCTGCCTTCAGATGTCTTCTAAAAATCTGGTAGTTGTTTTTCTCTTTGACATCTGGTGGGAGGGCGTTCCACAGGGCGGGCGCCACCACCAAGAAGGCCCTCTGCCTGGTTCCTTGTAACCTCACTTCTCGCAGTGAGGGAACCACCAGAAAGCCCTTGGAGCTAGACCCCGGTGTCCGGGGGTGGAGACGCTCCTTCAGGTATACTGGGCCGAGGCCGTTTAGGGCTTTAAAGGTCAGCACCAATACTTTGAATTGGGCTCGGAAACGTACTGGGAGCCAGTGTAGGTCTTTCAAGACAGGTGTTATATGGTCTTGGTGGCCGCTCCCAGTCACCAGTCTAGCTGCTGCATTCTGGATTAGTTGTAGTTTCCGGGTCACCTTCAAAGGTAGCCCCTCATAGAGCGCATTGCAGTAGTCCAAGTGGGAGATAACTAGAGCATGCACCACTCTGGCGAGACAGTCTGCATAACTTATACAAGCTGTGTATTTTTTATTTTTAGGGGTGGGGAAGAGCAGAGCATGGATGGGTCTGCCATTGAATTATTTCTACCTGTAGCTACTAGAAAGAAAGCAGAACCAGTTTGGTTTTTGAAAAGTAAGTCCTGTTAAGTCACTAGTGGTTCCTTTTCTGCCCATTGCTCCATCTCCAGCCTCCAGCACACCTGTAGCATGCTTTGGAAATGGGGAGCCAGATATAGAATGGATGACAGCACATTGCAGGGGTTTCTGAGCAGCCTTTTGGTTCCGCCATCTGCATGATCAGCTGTACAGTGGTACTTTGGTTCTCAAACTTAATCTGTGCCGGGAGCCCTTTCGACTCCCAAAAACGTTCAAAAACTGAGGCACGGCTTCCGATTGCCTGCAGGAGCTTCCTGCACTTAAGCGAAAGCCGCGTCAGATGTTTGGCTTTTGAAAAACTTTTGCAAACTGGAGCACTTACTTCTGGGTTTGCGACGTTCTGGAGCCAATTTGTTTGGGAGCCAGGGCATTCAAGTACCAAGGTACCACTGTAATTTTTTTCCAAATGCAAATACATTTGCTGTTGAAATAAATTATCTGTAGTAGCGAATGCAGGCCGGTGTATGAACCGGCTCACATTTTGAGGAAGGAAAACATTGCATCTTTGCACCTCACTGTGGCCCATAAAAACCTGCCAAGCTCTCGGTAAAGTCAGCCAAATGCCGGGTGCCCTGTTTGTGGGTTTTGTTTTGGGGGGGCAATCAAGGCAGGTGATGCATCTACCCAATACCTGGCAGGGTTGTTGTTTGTTACCTGGTTCCTCCACGCCAAGTGTGGGTCCTTCCATCAATGTCCTCTTCTGACCTTTGGCTGAACTGTTTTTCTGAACTTTTCCCTCTCTGAGGAAAGAGCAGTCAATGGTAGGCGTTTTGCAACTCTCTAGATTGGACCTTCCAAACCCCTGCTAGATGAGGAGCAGGGTAGGGCCCTGGGCTTGCCACAGATGCCTTAAAATGGCGTAAGATCTTCTTCTTTGTCATGCAGGGACAGTCACAACTGTGCGTTTTAAAGGGCAGGTCCCGTGGGTTAAACCACATAGCCTAGGACTTGCCGATCAGAAGGTTGGCGGTTCGAATCCCCGCGATGGGGTGAGCTCCCGTTGCTCGGTCCCTGCTCCTGCCAACCTAGCAGTTTGAAAGCACGTCAAAGTGCAAGTAGATAAATAGGTACTGCTCCGGCGGGAAGGTAAATTGTGTTTCTGTGCGCTGCTCAGGTTCGCCAGAAGCGGCTTAGTCATGCTGGCCACATGACCCGCAAGCTGTACGCCGGCTCCTTCAGCCAATAAGGCGAGATGAGCGCCGCAACCCCATAGTCGGCCACAACTAGACCTAATGGTCAGGGGTCCCTTTGCCTTTACCTGAAAGTTGGCATTTCAACAGGTCTCCCATTGTGAGACAGAACCCCCCACCCCAAAAAAACCCACCCACACATGCAGGATACGACCCACCAGGCCATTCTCCACTGGTGACGGCTGTTGTCACCAGGAAGGCACCCAAGCCAGCCCTTGGCCCACCTGCGGGTGTTCTTCCCGTGTTCTCGGAAGCCTTTAGCAAATGGATTGTTGTAGATCTTGAGTTTTGTGATCTGGAAAAAGAGACAAGAGTCTAGCGTTAGACCAAACACCCATCTCTGTTATCGCCCTGCCCTGCCCCACGTTTGGGATCTTGCCTTTCCAACTTGGTTGAGGACCAGAGAGCTGCCTCTTCTTCTCCCCAACCTTTGCAGAGAAATTTCAAGAAAGTCCCAAGAGACCTGCAGAACCCAGCCTAGTTTGCCCCTCTTTGCAGGCCAGAGTGCCCCCTCTTCCCCACCTGTGTGGGGTGCCTGTCCTTCAGCAGCTTGGCTCAGAGAGCAAGAGGCAAGAGGATCCTGCAGGGAGCTGTCACCGTATGTACGGCCACTAGGCCCTGGGTCTACAGAGATTTTAAGGCAGCTGCTCTGTGCAAAATGTGTTGTGGGGACATGTGCTGCCAGGAAGGGCTGCGTGAGATCAGGGCTGGCTGGTGTCCTGCAGAACATGCTCCAGGTTGAAGACTCCCCTCCGTTTTGAATATAGGCCCCCTAATACTTGGGGAGCCCTGCTGTGTCCACGAGCAGCAACAGCCACAGCCCTCCACAGCTTTTGTAGCAGAGGCTCAGGGAGAGGGCCCAGCTGACCCTTTGCTGCCCACCTTCTCGTTCTGGTATGCCGTGACGGAGGTGAAGACTGTCTCTGGGAAGCTGAAGGTTTGGAAGGCGCTCCAGTGGGTGCTGAAGAGGTTGTCTGCCTGCATGACGTGAAAGCGAGGCTTATAGCGATGCATGGAGTGGAGAATGACCTGGAGGGAGACACGGAGGAAGTGATGCAGTCAGGAAGCCTCCTTCGGTGGGAAGGGAGCACCTCAGCCAGTGTCTGAAGCTGAACGTCAAGGGGGGCTTGCCATCGTGCAATTGTGGGGGGGCCCAGAGAGAGAGAGAACGAGAGAGCAGTTTTGTGCAAGGGGAGCCAGGAAGCTTTGCTTAAGGCAAAATCAAATCCTTGTCCGGTCTGATTTTACGTGCCATTAAAGTACAGCGGCAAATAAAACATTTTAAATGTGTTGTGAAGTGCAATATACAAATGCGACACTAGATGGCGACAGTGAGCTATGCCAAATTCAATGTATTTTTTTTTCAATTAAGGCATTTTCACAGCGTTTTTTTATGTCTGTAGATTCCACCTAAGAGCAGCAGCAGAGGGGCAAACACACCCTACTTTTTAAATCTAATTTTTATTAAATATTCCGTTTTACAATTTAAAGCACTCATTTTTACATCCTTAAGATATCAGTCACTTCCCTTCTCTTTCCATGGTTCGTTTCACATATCATAAACCCCTGCATATTTTACAGAAATTATACCATTCAGTATTCCATTATTACATCCATCAAAACTTATTTACACTGTTGAATCTATCTTAACACTGCCAACGTTTTCAGCTGTACACAGTTATTTCCCATATATTCAATAAACGTTTTCCAATCTTTTCTAACCGTATGTTCCTCTTGCTCTCTTACTCTACATGTTAAATCTGCAAGTTGTGCATATTCTGTCAACTTAAGTTGCCATTCTTCTTTAGTTGGGACCTCACTCGTTTTCCATTTTTGGGCTAACAAAACACGGGCCGCAGTAGTAGCATACATCAATAACCTTTTTTGACACCTGGGAATTTCAGTCTGAATTATCCCCGGACATGCCCTACTCTCTTGCAGCCCCAATGAGGGGCTTTCACCTGCCTCAGGCCTCCCCCCTCCTCTCCTTACCCTCACCTCCAATTTCGCCTAATGTCTCGCTGCACAAACTCCCTCCCGTCTCCCCAGCCCTCTCTTGACATACGTGGCCATGCTGGTCCAGGGTGTTGTTGGTCAGCTTGAGCTTCTGAAAGGAGATGGGCTCTTTCATCCAGTGGCTGCCCAGGGCAGGGGAGTCGGGGTGGACGTACGTCCGACAGGGAGGCTGCGGCTCCGCCTTCCCAGCAACTTCCCACTGGTCCTTGTTCCACTGGGAGATGAGGAAGAGAAAAGATGAACAGACCTCCCCAGCATTTCCCGCCACATTCACTTCCCAGGTCACTGCTTGAACTGTGGGATCACTCCTGAAGTGATCCCACGATCATCCTGAAGAGCTTGGGGGTGGGGTGGGGGTCCGCTGGCCATGGAGGACCCCCCTCCCATGGAGGAAGAAGAGCGGTTCGGCTGAACAAGCAGCTGAGGTCCAGGTTCCCGGTGCTGCAGATGCTGCTGCTTCAACCTTTCCAGGCCTGAGCCCTCAGGAGCCCAAAGATAGACCCATAGAATTGTAGAGTTTGAAGGGACCCCATGGGTCATCTAGTCCAGGAATCTCAGCTAAAGCATCCATGACAGATGGCCCAACCTCTGCTTGAAAACCAGAAAGTTCTTAAAAATTCAGAAAGTTCTTTAGCTGGAATCTTCTTTCCAGTACAGTGGTACCTCAGGTTAAGAACTTAATTCATTCTGGAGGTCCGTTCTTAACCTGAAACTGTTCTTAACCTGAGACACCACTTTAGCTAATGGGGCCTCCCGCTGCCGCCGCGCCAACAGAGCACAATTTCTGTTCTCATCCTGAAGCAAAGTTCTTAACCCGAGGTACTATTTTTGGGTTAGCAGAGTCTGTAAACTGAAGTGTCTGTAACCTGAGGTACCACTGTAATCTGAAGCCTGATGGAGATTTCCTTCTCACAACCTATTTTTATCAACATGTTTCCATTTGACTGCTGCTTCCCCTACCCCAATAAAGGTAAAGGGACCCTGACTATTAGGTCCAGTCGTGACAGACTCTAGGGTTGCGGCGCTCATCTCGCTTTATTGGCCGAGGGGGCCGGCGTACAGCTTCCAGGTCATGTGGCCAGCATGACTAAGTCTCTTCTGGTGAACCAGAGCAGCGCACGTAAATGCTGTTTACCTTCCCGCCGGAAGTATTTATCTACTTGCACTTTGACGTGCTTTCGAACTGCTAGGTTGGCAGGAGCTGGGACCGAGCAACGGGAGCTCACCCCGACACGGGGATTTGAACCGCCGACCTTCTGATTGGCAAGTCCGAGGCTCTGTGGTTTAGACCACAGCACCACCCGCATCCCACCCCCTACCCCAATAGACATGCCTAAAATGCTCCACAAAACAAATCCAGTCAGACAACGGCCTTTGTCAACCTGGAGACCTCCAGATATTTTGGACTACAGGCCCCACCAGCCCTTGCTTGCCTGCACACCCGCCCAAAGCAACTGGGGGACCCTTAGACTGGCAAAGGAGGAATACACACCAGAGCACTTTTATCAGAAGGAATCTGCCTAATTGCTGGACCCTTAATCTGTTAAACCAGTTAGAAGGAGCCTGGATCACACCCAGAAACCGGGGAAAGCCTTTACCTTGTACCTGAAGCTGTCCATTGGCACAAAGTCCACCAGCATGAGATACTTCGCATAGGGGATCAAGCCCATAACTTTGATCTTGCACTGGGGAAACATCCGCCTGTGGAGAGGAGGAAAGATGGCCCTGTTTATGCTGGACTCTCCAGGATGAAGCTTTTCGGAGGGGGTAGGGGAGAGCAGCAACCGAGAAAGAACATGAACTACCTCTGTGCCCTCAGGCCAGTCTCAGCTTTGACCAGAAGAAACTTGGCTTCAAAGCTGGGCTCATGGCTTGTGCAGCCGCAGGGGAAATAAGGTCCCAGTTTCTTTTAGATCAAGGTTCTAGGCCTCATCATTGTTTTAAAAGTGCTGGGAATGGGCACAAGATGTAGGTCACAACATTAGGATGGAAGATTGGGGAAAATTATGGAAAACTGATTTAAAATTTACAGATTGTTCCCTATTGAAGGAGAATTACATGAAGATGATGTATAGATGGTACACAACACCAGTGCAGGTAGGGAAAATGTACAGAATGTACAAAACTAGTTCAAATATATGTTGGAAGTGTAAGGAAAAGGAAGGGACATTTTATCATATGTGGTGGGATTGTAATGTAATTCAAAAATTTTGGGAAATGATATATAATGAATTGAAGAAAATGTTCCATTTAACATTTGTTTAAAAACCTGAGGCATTTTTGTCGGGATTGTAGGGAAAGACCTGCCAAAAAAGTTGAAAAACATCTTCATGTATGCAACAACGGCTGCAAGAGTTCTCATAGCACAAGGATGGAAGACTGAAGAAACCCCAACTAAAGAATCATGGCAAGAAAAATTGATGGACTATGCAGATCTGGCAAAACTGACATATAAGCTACGGGACAAGGATAACTGTGACTTGAAGGATGAATGGGAACCCTTTACAAAGTATCTGAAGACGCAACAAAGTGAACTGGACTCCTTGGCAGGTTTTGAATAAACATTCACAAACTTTTTATTGATAATGATCAGCTAAATAGTTTGAGGATCTATACAACTTTGTAACATGCAGAAAACAGCACTCTCAGAGAAACCAAAGACTGGAACTGAAGGAAGTCGGGTGGGGGTGGGGGTGGGGGTGGGTGGGTTCTGTGGGGGGAGGGAGGGGGAGGGAGGAAAAAAGGGGGGAAATAAGGATGATATGTTTCTGGATAATATGTCTTGCTTTAATTTTGAATAAAAAACTTTTTTAAAAAAGTGCTGGGAAACTAAGGAGGACTTGAAAGAGGGATATTATGGGTGGGTGACAGGACCTCTCCTGTCCTGAAGCCCAGGAACCCCTGCAGGAGCTCCTCCTAAAATCTGTTTAGACTCAACAGGTTCTTATTGGGCATTTCTATAGGATGCATCTCAGGTTTATAATGTTCAGATTGCCTTCTTGCTGTTGACTTTGGATTTGAAGCCGACCAGATTTATTTAATGGAATGGCACAAGTGCTGCAAGAAAGATGGCTATGCTGTGGGTCTCCTCTAGAGTAAGCCCCTGCCCTCAACTTCCAGAATCAAGCTGCAGCCGGGAGGGTTTCCTCTTACCCCTGGCAAGGAAGAAAGGGGGCCCAGAGCCCAGCGGGACCAAGAAAGATGCCCAGAGGCCTATTTGTGGACAGTGGGGAGGGCAGCTCCCAAGAAAGGAGCCCTTCCCCTGGAAAGGGTGATGGACAAACTGCATCCTTTGGGGTTTGTGGCACTGGAGTTTTGCAGGATCTGACCTACAGTCAGTGTCTGCCTACTCGGCTAAGTATAAATAGGCATCTGTTCCATCTCCTGCTTGGACTACTGCAATGCGCTCTACGTGGGGCTACCTTTGAAGGTGACCCGGAAACTACAACTAATCCAGAATGCGGCAGCCAGACTGGTGACTGGGAGCGGCTGCCGAGACCACATAACACCGGCCTTGAAAGACCTACATTGGCTCCCAGTACGTTTCCAAGCACAATTCAAAGTGTTGGTGTTGACCTTAAAGCCCTAAATGGCCTTGGCCCAGTATACCCGAAGGAGCGTCTCCTCCCCCATCGTTCTACCCGGACACTGAGGTCCAGCTCCGAGGGCCTTCTGGCAGTTCCCTCATTGCGAGAAGCAAAGCTACAGGGAACCAGGCAGAGGGCCTTCTCGGTAGTGGCTCCCACCCTGTGGAACGCCCTCCCATCAGATGTCAAAGAGATAAACAACTACTTGACATTCAGAAGACATCTGAAGGCAGCCCTGTTCAGGGAAATTTTTAATGTGTGACATTTTAGTGTATTTTTGGTCTTTGTTGGAAGCCACCCAGGGTGGCAGGGGAAACCCAGCCAGATGGGCGGGGTACAAATAATAAATTATCATTACTATTATTATTATCATCATTATCATCATCATCATCTTGCCAAAATAATTTTGAAAAGAATGAACTGAAATGGAGGCTGGGATTCTGAAATCAGGAACGGAAGAAGCTGTTTTGATTGATCGATTGATAATTACATTCGTATTCCGCCCTGTACCTGCAGGTCTCAGGGCGGTTGACAAGACAAAACCACCATATTAAATATATGAAAGACATAATAAAAACAAAAACAACCCAATAATTCCCTCCCCCCGCTCCCCAACACATTTTTAAAGGGCGTTGGATGTCAGCAGGAGCTGGGACCGAGCAACGGGAGCTCACCCCGTCGCGGGGATTCGAACCGCGATCTTCTGATCGGCAAGCCCTAGGCTCTGTGGTTTAACCCACAGCGCTACTACTTTCATCCAAATTCATAAGGAAATGACAATATGAAGAAACTTCTAGGAAACCAGGGAAGGACAATGCACTTTGAAGTCTGCCTTCCATAGCCTGGTGCCCTCCAGATGTTTTGGCCAATTCCTATCAGCTCCAGCTGTATGATCCTGAGGCTGGAGAGAGCTGTAGCCCCTGAACATCTGGAGGTTGGGAAAGTGGGGGTTGCCTGAAGCAAAGCTGTGAGGGTGTGATCACCTGAGGAGGTGCTGCCCCGTCCCCTTGGCAAGGGCGACTTTCTAAGCCCCGAAGAAACAGAGATTCAAAAGGGCACAGAACAGGGTTCAGCTCACCGTCCAGATTTGGTGATGATCATCTCTGTTCCTACTTGATGGAACTTCATCCACAGGTCCACATCCTCGAGGGTGACCGCAATGGAGCTGTGAGGAGACGAGGCCTCCAAAGATTTGGGAAGAGGTTTGGCATCTTGGATGGAGAGAAAAGACAGAACCGGCACTTTGGGGAGGGGGGGGACCACGAAGAAATTTTGGATGGCTTCAGCTGTCATGGACCAGTCCGTGAAAATGTCGGCCACCATAAATGTGTTAAAGAGTTTAGGGTGCTGGTTGCTTTTGTTAAAAGAAGCAAAGCCGGCTGGAATCACCCTAGACTTTGAGAAAAGCTTCCAACATTATCCAGCATAGGGGAACCCCCCCCAGCACCCCCAAATGCTGTGCCTTCCAGCGGAAGGAAGTCTTCCCCCAAGCTCTGCCTGCCCCCTGAAGGTTGACTCTGCTGCCCTTCCAACTTTTAATGCTTAGTGGATATTTTTTGCTTAAGCTGCTAAACTCCGCTGTGGCTGGTACCCAGAGAGAGCCATGGGCATTGCCAGCAAGAACACCAAACACATTTCTTTAGGGTTTTCATATAATCATAGAGTTGGAAGGGACCCTGAGGATCATCTCGTAGTCCAACCCATTTCAATGCAGGAATATGCAGCTGTCCATTTCAGGATCGAACCTACAACCTTGGTGTTATCCAGCAACACAATCTAACCCATTGAGCTATCCAAGCTGTTCAAAGGAGAAATTAGAGGGTGGCTGTGGTGGGGGAATAGTAAACCACCTGTCCCCAAACCGTCTTTTGAAAAAGGGTGGGGTTTTTTGTTGTTTGGGAGCATGGGGGATAGATAAAAAACTTCAACTCCCATCATAATTTACAATTGGCTCTGCTTTCTAGGGGGCTGATGGGAGCTGGAGTCCAAGAACAAAACCATATCTATCTATCTATCTATCTATCTATCTATCTATCTATCTATATATCGGTCAAGAACCAGTAGAGAAGGGAGGGAGGAAACAGCACATAAAGTATAATGCATTAAGTACAGTATTAAATGTAGAATTAAAACCAATGGAAAATATTACAAAAAAAGTGGGAAATATAAAATAATTACATTAAAATGATTTTTTAAAAAACCAAAACAATTTAAGAAAGATATGGGGGTGGGGATTTGAGATAGATAGCAATCCTGAAGCCACCAGCTGAACTAAGTAGGGGAAAACATTTTAAGATCGACAACAACAACAACATTTTAAGAATCAGGATTCTTTGCTTAGTTAACTTCCCTGTCAACCAGAGAGAGGGTGCAGAAGTGCTTAGTTTGTCTCGGTGAACCTCTTAAGGACAAACAGCAAAACCAGCTTCCAATTCGCAGGCAGCCCCAAAGGGCAAAACAAACCCTGCAGTTCCCCATCAATTTCCTGCTTTGATTAAGCATTAATGGACTCCTGCAGAAGTGACACCCACTTTGCTGTGGACCGTTAACATCTCCTTGCCAGACTAGGCTCCATCTCCTCCAGCAGGGACTTGAAAGGAGCCACGAAAACTTTTGAGCAAAGGAGGATGTTTGTCCCCCACTGATCGCAAACTGCTTCTCCTTAAAGAGAGGAAGGGAGGTGGGTTTCACAGAACGGATGGCTCTGGGCCATGGGCAAGAGGGGGGGCGGGTTCCCTGCAAGCAAGCTGGCAGGGCAGGTACAGGATAAGTTCTGGTGGTACAGCAAAAGCAGTGGCAGAGAGGGGAATTGTGAGGCAGAGCCCAGGGCTCCAAAAAGAGAGACTTCTGTGCAAGGCAACTGCAGCACATTCTGCAAGGAATTAAGATAACGGGGCTGCTTCTCTTCAAATACCTGGGACATTTAAGAGGCTGGCGCTGTGGCATTTGCTCAACCATGCTGAGTGGTGGCACCGGTTCTTTTTGCAAAAGATGGGGGCAATTGCGCCTGGCAGGAAGCAAGTTTCAGAGTTTGACAGAACGTTATTTGGGCTGGCATGAAGCACTGCCCATTGATCAAGAAGCCGCAAGTTCTGAAACACTTTCTCGATCTAGAGGAGCAACCGATTTCATCAAATCGTCGCAACGAAAACGCTTTCAAGGGGTGTAGGATGTGTGTGTGTCTTATTTGTTTGGCACATATGCCAATCTCTCTTCAATTTGTGGCTAGACTGTAGCTCGATGTGGTGTAAAATGAAAGAATTGTGGAATAAATCACAAAAAGAGTGCCTTTGGCGGATATATTAGTTGTTGATTAAAAAATAGATTAAAAAATGGGAGGAAAATCCCCAAAGTTTTCAGCTGAACCTCCTATAAGTCCCTGCTTCTGCCTCCCTCCCAACCCCCCATTAAGAGGCATCTGCCGGCCCCTGATAGACAAGCAAAGCACACACACACTTTCCCCAGGTTGAGCCACAAAGAAGCAAACAGCCCCCAACCAACAGATTCCCCCCAAACAAGCAAAGCCTTCAGCCCAAATGGCAAGGCAGCCTGGCAACTGGGGGACCATTTGGGGTCACTGGGGACAATGTCCTTCACCCCTAGCATATGTCTCCTTACATTGGCAGAGCATTTGCTATGGAGCATGATAAAAACAAAAAATAATAAAAACACAACACAACACCACGCACTAAAAACTTGCCTTCAGCATAGTCACGGAGTTACACCATGAAGCATTTCACCAGTGACAGCCTGCTGTTGGAACAGATTTGGTTACCACTGAAGGTGCCAGGAGAAGTTTCTGACCCTCTGCTAAGCAAGTGCGGTTTGGAGCAAGCGCATCTGAGCTCCAGAACAGAAATAAAAGTTCAGGAGGCCTTTCTGACCACCTGGGAGACCCACAAAGAGGCAGAATGAAGCCCGCTTGTTGGATGGGGGTGCAGAAGAAGAGTTGTTTAGACTGGGGTGGGGTATAATACATACATACATACATACATACGTACATACATACATACAGCCCATCTGACTGGGTTTCCTCAGCCACTCAGCTTCCAACAAATTAAAACAGAACACAACATCAAACATTAACAACTTCCCTTTGGATGTCTTCAGAAAGTCAGATGGTTGATATTTCCTTAAAATCAGGTTTTCCTCAATGCAGTCCTGCCCCACGGTTTGTGTGGGGAGAGTGGCATGGAGACAGCAGGCTGCCCACACTTCGTGAGATAAAACACACTCAGGTCCCAATCCAGGAGAGGCAATCAATACAAGAGCGCAGCCTGACTGGTGGGGCTTTGGTCTGTTCCTACTGTCCAGAAAGTCACCACAACTAACCTAGCAAGCCAGGCGGACACAGCTTCCCTCCTCTCCCCTCTGGGGCTTAAGAAATCCAGGAAGGCTCAGCACCTACCTGGTCCAGCTTGCATCTTCCCAGGTGCTGGAAGGAGCCAGAGAGATGTGTGAGGATAGTTGCAGGAGTCTAGACCCAAACACACAAAGGAGGAAAGACTCAGCTTGGAGCCAAGGTGAGTTCCTGGCTTATGAAGGTTTAACAAGTGGGGAGGAGCCAGCCCAGTCTCTCTCCCCCCCCCCAACCTTTGATGTCCAGCAGGAACAAAGAGAGGAAATATCTGCTGCTGCCCTGCAATGGCTGGAGAGAGGAGAGAGGAGAAGCCTAGTGAATTAACATGGCTTTGAGATACAGGAAACCCCACCAGGAGAAGGAAAGACCCCTCCCTGGACGGCTAATGCCCACTCAGACCAGCCAAGCGGCAGGAGGGGCCAGGGGGCCAGGAACACCAAGGGACCCCTCATCCTTACACCAGGGCCAGGGTTCATTAAGGTAAAGGTAAAGGGACCCCTGACTATTAGGTACAGTTGTGGCCGACTCTGGGGTTGCGGCGCTCATCTCGCTTTATTGGCGTACAGCTTCCAGGTCATGTGGCCAGCAGGACTAAGCCGATTCTGGCGAACCAGAGCAGCGCATGGAAATGCCGTTTACCTTCCCGCCAGAGCGGTACCTATTTATTTACTTGCACTTTGACGTGCTTTCGAACTGCTAGGTTGGCAGGAGCAGGGACCGAGCAACGGGAGCTCACCCCGTCACGGGGATTCGAACCGCCGTCCTTCTGAGCGGCAAGTCCTAGGCTCTGTGGTTTAACCCACAGTGCCACCCACGTCCCGGCCAGGGTTCATTACCCAGAGGCAAATGGGTTCCCTCTTGGCGCACTGACTGCCCCCAACTAAAGCAGAGCTTCACCCTGAGAGTGGCTGGCTGGCCCAGCGCTTCCCGTCTCACTGAAGCCCAGCGGCCAAGCGAGATCACAAGTTCCCCTCCCTTCTCCTCATGCGTCCTCATCCACTTCTGTTTTCCAAAGCGCAAGCATCTCGGGATGTTGTTGTTGCCATTGCTGAGCCGAGCTCTTCCCCAGAACTGGCTGCATTTCCAAGTACCAGTTCATAGAATGGTAGGATCCAACCCCTGGCAACGCAGGTCTCTTGCCCGGTGCAACCATCCATGGTTGGGCTCCAAACAGCAACCTTCTGGTTAACTGCCAGGCGCACTGGCTCACTGGCTGCACATCACTGTGGACCCGTCCCAATAGCTCCTTTACTCTGCACCCAGTAGGTGCCACAACCACAGCCCGGCACTATCCTTGGGAATGCTGCCTTTTCACCCCACCTGGCCACTGCCATACTGGTTTTGATCGAAATGGAGAGAAAGAACAAATAGCTGCGTTTTTAAGAGGGCAAAGTACCCGCAGCCCAAATATGCTGCTCCAAGGCAAAATCCAGCCCCCCACTCCCCTGTTTGTTCTGGGTCTTGCAGAAGACAAATCTGTTATTATGATTGATTTGGTATTATGCTGCCTGTTATGCTTTTTATCAGGTTTCGATTACTGATGCTCTGTAAAATGTGTTCTTATTGTGGTACACTGCCCTGGGATCTTTGGATAAAGGGCAGAATATAAATCGAATAAATAAATAACAACTGGGAGGCAAGGAAGGAGGAGGATGGAGGTGTGTGTGTGGGGGTCCTATCCAGAATCTGGAGGGGTGGGGGTGGGCTGCTCAAAAGGCCTCCTATTCTTGCAAAACAAGAGGAAGACTTATTTTTCTCCACCTCAACCCCCCACTCCTTCCTGGTTAGTTAGCAGCATGGAAGGAAGATGCGAAATGCTTCACAGCCACTTGACATCCCCCGGAGAGGAAAATGCAAAGGCAAGTGCTCTTTCAAAGGGCTCCACAGGCAGCTGCAGCGCCTCCTTTCATTGCTGTCCAGGCCATGCTCTTCCTCTAAATAGAAACTGACTCCGATTCGAGGCATGTTTACTTGTAAGTAAGCCTAAGGATGCAGGTGGCGCTGTGGGTTAAACCACAGAGCCTAGGACTTGCTGATCAGAAGGTCGGCGGTTTGAATCCCCGCGACGGGGTGAGCTCCCGTTGCTCGGTCCCTCGAAAGCACGTCAAAGTAGATAAATAGGTACCACTCTGGCAGGAAGGTAAACGGCGTTTCTGTGCGCTGCTCTGGTTCGCCAGAAGCGGCTTAGCCATGCTGGCCACATGATCCGGAAGCTGTACGCAGGCTCCCTCGGCCAGTAAGGCGAGATGAGCGCCGCAACTCCAGAGTCGGCCACGACTGGACCTAATGGTCAGGGGTCCCTTTACCTTTACCTTTTAAGCCTATGGAAACCAGCGGGTTATATGCAACCAAGTTCTGCCCAGAGCACACTGGGGGGAACTTACTCACAAGTAAATGCGCCCAGGATCCCTGCGCTCTTTAACTACATGCCTTTCATTTAGCTCAAACCTAGGTCTCCAGCTGTTGTTAGACTACAACTCCCATCATCCCTGGCTAGCAGGGCTGATGGGGACTGTAGTCCAAAAGCAGCTGGGGGCCTAAGTTTGGCAAACCCTGATTTAGCTTCTGCTTCCGGGCTGGGGGCAGTGGGAGAGAGAGAGAAATAAGGCAGAGCAAAATGCAGCCGGGCTCAGCACCCACTTCTTGATACAATAAAGTTCAGCAGGCTTGACTGTCCAGAAGCTTCTCAGATGTTTTGGGCTTAAGCCTTAGGACCAAGAGGAAGAAAGTCAAGTCTGCTTTGCCACCCTCACTGCCCCTTCCTCAGTGCAAGGGGACAGGAGGAAAAACCCACCAGGCAGAATCCCACAGCCCCACCCCCCGGAAAGAAGAAGAAGAAGAGTTTGGATTTGATATCCCGCCTTTCACCCCCCTTCAGGAGTCTCAAAGTGGCTAGCATTCTCCTTTCCCTTCCTCCCCCACAACAAACACTCTGTGAGGTGAGTGGGGCTGAGAGACTTCAGAGAAGTGTGACTGGCCCAAGGTCACCCAGCAGCTGCATGGGGAGGAGCGGAGACGCAAACCCGGTTCCCCAGATTACGAGTCCACCGCTCTTAACCACGACACCACACTGCCTCTCCAGTCTCAAAGCCTCAGGACTAGATAGCTGTACCTCTCTTTTCGGGCTCAGTTGGGTTCTTTTCCTCCAGCTCCCTTGACTGCTCTGGGGAGGGAGCCATGGCAGGCACACCAGCCCCCCACCACTACACCCCCCAGGTGTGACGCCATGGGCTGTGGCCAAATCCTCGCATTTCTCACACACCCCACTTCCTCCACAGAACAAACTCCACTTTCCTTCTCGTCCCCCCACTCCAGCCCGCAAGCCTTTTGGTTCTTGGCAAGCGCCATGGGCCCAGGCCGCACCCCCAACTTTGCAGCCAAGGGGTGGGGAATTCGAACCTGGATCTCCGCAGGCGAAGTCCAGCATCCAGCTGAGGTGGCCCCTTTGCCCACAGAGTGAACCGCTGCTTTCATGAGCCGCAGAGGGTGCTGCTTTTGTGTGTCCCGTTCAGGAGCCCCCAAGAGAAACTCCAAGACACATGTCCACCCCCCCTTCGGGAATGTCTAGCCCTGCACAAGAGCTGCACAGCGGCCAAAATGGGGTGGGGGTGGAAAGAGAGAAAAAATATATATCTGAGAGTCCTTAAAGTTCTGAGGGGGGAGGGGGGACCCACAGCAGCATTCAGAAGAGCAGCCATCCCATTAGTGGCAACTAAAGATTGGGGGGGGGGGGGAGAGAAAGGGACAGCAATTTTACTTTCACACCAAAGAGTTTATTGGCATCTCTCAAAGAGCATCTGAATAGCTCTCAAGGGAGGAGAGGAAAGTGTTGATAGCTCTGGAGGGGGGGGATTGAGGGGGCAGGAGGGGCCGCTCCAGGCAGGGTCCCATGGGGGCCTGAGATGAAGGATGGGCTGGGAGGAGAGGCTGTGGGGGGCAGAGGAGGCCTTCTGGACATTTGCTTCCATCCTCAGTGGATGCAGAGGCAGCAAACAGGCCCTGCTACAGGCAGGCAGAGGGGCAGGATCAGGGCCGGCCCCCCCAAACCCACCTTGAGAAGCGGAGGCTGGGTTAGACGGGCCCCCTTTGGCCTGATCCTGCAGGCTCCGCAAGGTGGCTGCTTCAGGACCTTCTTGTGAGTCACAGGCAGGCGCAGGTTGGCAGGGGGAAACCACATGTGGCTGCTGGATCCCAGAGTCCAGGATTATGTTTTCAGAGGTGCTGATTGATGGAAGGCGCCGAGCTCAGGTCAAAATGGACCAGCTTTAATCGCACCTCAACCTGCGGCCACCTTGAGCAGCCAAACCCCCCACTATGGGAAAAGGTGGTACCCCAACAACGGACCCCAAAGCGCTCCCCTCCAGTGCAAAATTGGCAATGTAGGCTCACATCACAACATCCTTCTCAGCTTCAGAGGAAGGCAGGACTCAAGCCACCCCCCGAGGAAGTGGGGTGCCCCCTCATCTTCTGCGTAACCACCCACCCAGGCCACAGCCTAGCGCATCTCCCTTGCCTCAGCCCAAACAGCCTCTGCCAGGAGCAGAGGCGAGGTGGAAAAGCAGGCCAAAATGAGGGAAGGGAAACCACTGACTTACCTCAGCCCTTGGCCTGCCGTCGCTGTGAGCTTCTGACTGGAATGGCAGGGCTTGAGAGCTAGGCCATGTTGCGGTGGCGGGGAGTTCCGCTGCTGCAGCAATGTCTTCAACGATGGGGTGGCACTTCCAGTGCCCACGATCAGCTCCAGGGCTGTCCGTTGAGTGAATTTTGGTCATGCCAGAGCCAATTCCTGACCTAGAGCCCAGGAGAACCTTCTGGGAATGGCAGCAAACGCAGCTCCTGATGAGGACAGGGACTGAATAATGCTCTCCATCAACTGTTCTTGGTGTGAAATTATGCTAGGAGAGGGAGTCATCACCCCCAAGGTCCCCTCCCCCCTTAAAAAAAAACCCGTCTCCCCTTTGCATCTGTTTGCTGTTATCTGCTGACTTCTCTCTCAGCTGCCAGGGTTTCCCTGCCTCTCCTTTGGTCAGTCAAGGAAGGAAGTGGATCCGGGAAAGACAGGCAGGTGGATCCCACAGGGGTGGCCACTAACTCATATGGTGTGTTTTTTTGCGAAGGATCAAGCCTATCTGTGGATCGGAGCCAGACTGAGCCTCCATGTAGAGTGGCACTCTATCTGACACTGCTGGGCCAAAGATGTGAAGCCATGGAATGACCTCGGGAAATTGCTTGGCACTCGGGAGGAGGGGAACATTTGGGTCATTGTGGCCAGCAATTTTGTTGTTGTCATGGATGTGGACGCCGGTCTTTGGGGAGAAAACCACTCACGAGCCTCCAATTAAAGCACAAATGGGCTGGTTCCCTTTGAATTTATTATGCCATTAAGTAGTGGAAATGCAAAGAGGTGGTGGCAGAAACATGGATCATTTACTCTCTTCTCCTTCCTTAGTTTTACAATCACTTTTGGCTTCTTGCTTTAAAACACACACAAGCCATTAAGTGTGCAGCTGAGGGCCTCTCACACTACACAACTCTGCCCCTGAGCAGCTTTGATGCTCTTTTTGGGCCAAAAGGGAGATGAAGTAGCAGATAGACTGAGCACCTGCTAACCACACACACACACAATGGGGTTTTTTTTTGGGGGGGGAGCAGATTTGCATCTCACCAGGAGGCAGGGAAAGATTCAAACTGGCTAGGAGGTACCATCTCTGACCCATTTGTAATGCTTCAGGGTTTTTTTTGGAGATCCTTAAAAAAAAGCAGCCTAAGAAGACTCCTACAGCAGCTGGATCCGGCCACAGTGTGGGCCCATCTAGTCCAGCATCCTGTTCTCACAGGTGCTCCAAATGGACTCCACTCAAGCAGTCCAGAGAAGATCCAGTTTGAGCTTCATGGTTTTTGCTCCCAAGCTATAGGACATCTCTGTCAGGTGGTCACAACCAGAGAGACAAATACCTTCACTTCCAATGTTTGAGCAATGGAACAGGATATGTGTGTGTCAGATTTCAGTTTGTCAAGATCCCCCTTGTTTTCCCAAGAACCCCCCAATATTGCCAGCCAAAGCCTGGTGCAAAATACACAAGCTTGGGCCTAAATAATTATGCTCTCCATCCCTTCTCCAAAAAATGGAACAAGAAAATAGAAGACGCTCAGGGAACAATTACCGTTAACAAAAAGGATACACGGCGAGAAGAGGGAAGAGGTTCTTCTGTCCTCTTAAATTGTGCCGTTTGGTATTTATCCTCAAACATCTCTCCCTAAAAGCCAGTGGGCGGTGGCGGGGGCAATTTGCCATCTGCAACACTAACACATGCCAGGAAATCACTCTGTCTTTCATATAGAAGTCATATCTGTCTTAATTACCAGAAACAGCTCTCAGGGGTCTGGTCAGTTTTTCTAATAAGGCTTAAGTGTGGCCCCATTGCTCAACTGGAGTCTCATCCTTTGCCCACGATATTTTGGCAATTATTAGAGATAAGCAGCTTCCAGTAAGAAGCTTGCAAGTTGCTCGTTAAGAAAGTTAGCTGGTCTGTTTTATTTCTACATTTATATCCCGCTTTCCCCCACAATGAGACCAAGGCGGCATACATGGTCTGGAATTTCCTCTCTCCTTTTTACCCTCACCTACAATCCTGCAAAGGGATGCGGGTGGCGCTGTGGGTTAAACCACAGAGCCTAGGACTTGCCAATCAGAAGGTCGGCGGTTCAAATCCCCACGACGGGGTGAGCTCCCGTTGCTCGGTCCCTGCTCCTGCCCACCTAGCAGTTCGAAAGCACGTCCAAGTGCAAGTAGATAAATAGGTACCACTCTGGCGGGAAGGTAAACAGCATTTCCATGCACTGCTCTGGTTCGCCAGAAGCGGCTTAGTCATGCTGGCCACATGACCTGGAAGCTGTACGCCGGCTCCCTCGGCCAGTAAAGCGAGATGAGCACCGCAACCCCAGAGTCGGACACGACTGGACCTAATGGTCAGGGGGCCCTTTACCTTTACAATCCTGCAAGGTAGGCAGGGCTGAGAGGCAGTGGCTGGCCCAGGGGAAAAGGTGGGGAGTTACTACAAGTGGGGTGCGTAAAAGGGGAGACCAAGAGAAGGACCACTACCCCAGTTCCACTTGCAGCCATTTCCTGCCAGAATTTGACTTCCCAACTTGGGCTTTTATTAAACGCTAGCACTAAATCAAGCAGCAAGTACTAGGAGGAGAACGGCTTTTAATTTGTTCAATACTTATTGACGCAGCAGAGGCTGATGGCCTGGCTTCCCTTTAATGGGAGTTTTCTTAAGAGGTGCTTGTAAAGAGATCCCTCCCCTGACTGCCTAATTGAGACCTTTCAGACTCCAGCTTCTAATTGCCCATATAAATCCTTGGGAGCAAGCAGAGGCAGCCTTTATCTCACAAGTGGAAGAATTAAAACAAGTCACCTTTAATCTCCCCACGACAGCAGGAAAACAGAAGATGCATTCTCAGTGCTGGTCATCCATCCCTATAATCTCGTAATCTGCAACTAATATGTGGAACACCCCTCCACCCCCCAAAATTGCTTTGAAAATCAGGACTGCATGTTGCAAAACAAAAAAGCCCTACAGCAGCCTCAGCTGCGATGACAGAATCGGATTCTTGATGGACAAGCAAGACAGTGACCGCAGAGGGTTGAGTGAATGCCCTGATGGTTCAGGTATGTGCAGAAGAGGAACAAGCCAACTGGGCGCCTGGGGCAGCGCCCAGGGGTGGGGCTAGCCGCCTGCGGGGTCGGGGTCAGCCAGGGCAGGACACTCCGTGGGGCCTCCGAGGAGTCTGCCTGCCTCCTCCCACCCAGCCACCCTACAGCTGAGGGGGAGGCAGCAGGCGGACCATTTGAGCAGTGCGGAGTCTGTGCGCGCCAAAGCCACCGCGTCTCTCCCAGGAGAGACACATGGCTTGGGTGCACTGCAGGCCCTGTGGCGAGTGCAGCCTGGCATTTTGTCACCCCCCTCAGTGGGGTCATGCGGGGCGTCCCGCCTCCACCGCACCCCCCTTGCTCCACCGCTGGGTATGTGGCCTGAGATCCAGGGACAATGGAGAGTTGCTTGCATGAGCAAGCCCACTTCACAAATGTGTGTCCTGAAATATAGTGCTGCATGATCAGGCAGAAGTTCAGCAGGTTCAGCTTTCCCAAGTCACTTCCTATACATACAGCTAGTGCAGGGGTCAGCAACCTAAGGCCCCTGGGCCGGAAGCGGCCTGCAGAGGTCGTTTGACTGGCCCACGAGCCACCACCGAACTGAGCTGCCTGCTCGCTTGCACGCTGCACTAAACCGGTGCAGCGCGGCACAGGGACTCACTTCCGCAGTGCCGAAAATCGCATCTGCGCCCGTGAAGGTGCCAAAAATCGTGGGTGCGCGCACAATCCAGCCCATGGAGGGATTTCTGCGGGACCAATCCCTTCCAGGCAAAGCAAGAATACTCATCGCAAAGTATTGGAAGACACAAGAACTTCCCACGCTGGAGGAATGGCAGATGAAACTGATGGACTATATGGAACTGGCGGAAATGACTGGCAGAATCCGTGACCAGGGAGAAGAGTCGGTGGAGGAAGACTGGAAGAAATTCAAAGATTATCTACAGAAACACTGCAAAATTAAAGAATGCTAGAGTGATATTGGATTAAAAATAAGTGGTTTCCAGCTGTACAGGATTCAAAGTTTATAGATAGACTAAGATTAAAGATTAGGATTAAAGAAGTTGAAGGAAATGGAAATTTGGTATTTAAGAGGTAAAATTTTAATGCTATATTATATTAAGATTAAAGATTGGGATTAAAAAAGTGGAAAAGAAATTGCTGGACAAACAATTTGGACTGGAATACAAAAGAGGGAGGTATGAGGAGGTCCAGAAAATAAGTAAATTTAAAAACGGAAATGAAAAGGTGATATTGTTTTTAATTGTTCTGTTTTTTATTTTATTTTTGTTTTTTGTTTTCTGTGTTCTTTATTCTTCTTTGGATTATGTACTGTGTATTTGTGTACTTCTTTTCTATGTTTTTCTGTTTAATCTTTTACTGAAATCTTAATAAAAATCATTTAAAAACAACAACAACAACAAAAAACCACAATCCCTTCCAGGCAAGATAAACCTTGCTGACCCCTGAGCTAGTGATCTTAGTGATTAGGAATAACATGAAGGCTGGTGCAGGAGGTGATTCAGAACACTTGGCTTTTCAGAAGCTGGAAATTGATACTGGGCTTACACATCCTGTGTTCGCATGTAACTCAGGCTTTAATGCTACCTACAGTGAACATAGTGGGATTTTTTCCTGAGCAAACATGCACAGGATTGGACCACCAGTCTCCAATGCACCTGTTCTCTCCCCTCTGTCATCAAGCAGCCTTGGGCCAAATGGAACCTGGGATCAGTGGTGTGTTCAGCGTTCAGTGAGATTTAGGATTGCAGACCATAAACTTCATTCCTATGGCCAGCACCTCGCAAGGCTTCTATTCAGCTGAAGGCGAATCTTGTGAATGTTCAGTCAAACGGAAAACCAATAAAGTTCACTGCTTGCCCCCCAAGACAAAGGGCAGCAGACCCAACACATATTTGGCTGATAAAACTAAAGGACAGACTTTTTCCTTTTGCTACTGGATGATTTAGAGCTCTCAGGTCCTGGCTTGTAGGCTCCTAACCTGTGGAGCATCTAGTTGGTCATTGAGCAAACAGGACCCTGCACTTGATGGGCTCCCTTTGGTCTGATCCAGCAAACCAGGCTCTTCCTCCCTGGGTTCTTCTTAGAGGTGGGATGCCTTTGAATACCAGCTGCCGGGGAATTTCAAGGCATGGGGAGCACTGCCGTTGCACTCAAGTCTTGCTTGTGGGCTTTCTACTGGGAACAGGGTGTTGGGCTAGAAGGAGATTGAGGGGGCTATGCCCTGATCTTTTAACAGCCCCTGCACTGCTCATCTCCTCCTACCACTTCCCCACATAAACTGTCCCATCACTGCCTTCTCCCTAACTTGAAAGAAGGTGCACTCTGCTAGGTGCTCCCGCTTCCGACTTTCCTACAGGACCAGACAAGTGGGGTAAAGCCCAAGGGAAAGCATCATCGGTTCCACAAGTGCCTCGTTAGTTCCTCTCTTAAACAGGAGATTTTAACAGTTAATTGCATCAAGTATGGATTGGTCAATTTACTACCCTCCACTCACTGTAGGGGCTCCCAGAGCACTGGAGGGGGTGGGGAGATAAGAGAAAATATTTTAAATCTTTTTCCATGGCTTGTCTCTTCTATTCTTCTCCATAGTTCTGGACAGCCCTGGTATCTGGCCTCGAAGGAAGGAAGGAAGGAAGGAAGGGGGGAAGGGAGGGTTAGGGCAGCTCAACAGTCTTTTCTTCAAAACATGAAGAGAACATAGGACGACATAAGTGAGGCTGGGTACATGACTGTTAGCAGCCTTTACAGCTTGGGTAAATGCTGTATTGGAATGATCAGTTTCTGGAGTTCAAAGGCTTTATTCATGCAGAACTATTTATAGGAAGAGTAGAGATGAAAAAGAGAGAATAGCAGGCATCTTCTTGTCTGGTGAGAATAAATGGCCCAGCTTTTAGGGGTAGAGTTAACCTGGAAAAAGAAGCTACAAGCAAGTGCTGGTTAGATTGCTACACAGACAGTGCCCTCATGTGGTTTAAAGTAACACATGCATTAATTAGAAACTCAATACAGTAGAAGGAAATGCATTTGCTTTTCTCAAACAGTGACCACTTCCAGAGTCCGGCCTGAGCCCCTAATCCTTGGAGGCCATAAAGGGAGAGGGAAAGATTCAGAAGTCTCTTGGGAAAAGAAATAAATATTTCATAAACTTTTTGTGCTGCAGTTTCACATCCATGCAGTAAACGAAGAGGAAATATACCAAAAATCCTCTTCTAAGGCCAGAGATTGCTGTTCTTCTCCTGCCTTGTCTAAGGCACAGCAGGATTTCGGCCTCCCAAAACCAATTGTAAATAAGAATCTTCAATAAGTTTCCCCAGCCACTCTAGGGAAATGAAATCCATCCCAACATTGTGAATTGGGGCAGGGGAGCAGGGATACTCAATTATTTGTTAGATCTGTGATTTTAGGGGATTGCAATTATTTCAGGGGAAGGGATGGAGGTTTCTCCTAAAACTGCTTAAAGCTGTTGCTTCTTCAGAGCTGACAGAGCTGAACTCTTGCCATGATTGGTGTGCTCCCTACACAGAACAAGGCTGTAGCCGTGAATCATTTGAAGGGCATCTAAGGGAAGAAGCTGCTATGACCAATGGTCCTCAACTCATTTGTCCCTGAGGCCACACCCAGTCTTTTAAAGTGAAGCCGCCTCAATGACCCCTTTCCCCCCTCCGAAAATGTACCAGTTGCCTGACCCTACTGCTACTGGTGTGGAATCAGACTAACTGGGTCCCTCTTACTCTGCAGCCACTGCACTCCCAACACTTGTTTGTGTAGTCGCTTACATATGGCGTCAGCCATAAGCCACCTCTATCCTCTCCAGTTTCTTGAGAATTAATGCACCTGGGTGCATCTTCCCTAAAACCAGCATCTATCCGATTTGAAAACGACCATGCTCCGCCCACTGGGTAGGACAGAAGGCAACTTGGAGACACATCCAGCCATCCTGATGTGGACAACGATGTGCCAATGGAATTGGAAATGGTGGAGGAGGAGGTAGAGAAACACCAACTTGCTGTGTGTACAGAACCAGAGAATCTTCCTAGCTGGGAAGCAAACAGCCCTGACAGGAGAGGAGGAAAGGAGGCTGCTCTTGTGCCCCAAGTCTGCCACTTGGCTCATGAGGCTGGATGAAAAATGTTCCGGCCCCAGCAGAGACTGAGGTGACCCAGCCTACTTCAGCATGCTCAGGGAAGAAGGGGAAGAGGCCTTCTCTACTCCACAATCCCTTGCATCAGCTGTAACTCATCTCTCCCACTACTTGCCCTGAGGCGAGGGGCTGCTCTCCCCTGAAAATTCAGATTTCTTTGCCTCTTCTAGAGACCTGGGAGGAGGGAGAGGAAAGCGGATGAAAGAGTGAAGGAGCATTCCAGGCACAGCAGAGAAGAGGCTTGGGAGAAACGTGTTCTCACTTTATTTAAAAAATGTATATTTATTATTACAAAGCTTTGCACTGCACCATTTATGTAACCCTTGTCCTCTCCCACCTCCCCCCACCCCCCAGAAATTGAAACCCCGCCTGGCAAGCTCTGTGACACATGCTGTGGGCACAACACGCCCCACTACTGAAGTGCAGGGTTTGTATTCCTTATATTACAACGTTAACATTCAGTAGAAAAAATGCTGGGCTTCCTTTATGTTCCCCATATAAATGTGAGCAATCCCTCCACATATATTTATATATATATATACTTAAAAAACAAACATATACCCTTCTTTGTGTCGTTCTGTAAAAAGCAGACATTACCAAAATGGTACTGAAATCCGTTTCCTGATAAGACCAAAGGTGCCCTGCGACCTCTCGGCTTACGCCGCTCGTCCAACGGTCCCCGAAGAGGGAGAGTCCTAGTGAGGTTGCCAGCTGTCTCTCCCGCCTGGTCCTTTTAAGACAACACCGAGATAAAATAAGCCACGGTTTTGCTTAAAGTAACGAAGGAGGCAAGACCAAGTCCAGTGTCTCCTGCTTAGCCAGCCAGCCAGCCAAATGCTGCTGCTGCCTCCTGTACAAGCCGTCCTTTTAAAGAGGGGGAAATGAGTGAGGAGGTGCCGAGGGATTTAAGTGCAGATTGGCTTGGGGGTGACAGTGGTGAGCTTTCAGCTGCCCGGTAAGTTAAAGGCAACAGCAGAGGCAGCAGCACTGAAGGTGGTAATGGCTGGTGGCTGGCTGGCTGGCTGTGATGCTGGAAAGAGAAGCCGGAGGGAGGGGAGGGGAAGGGAGGACAGAGCCCCCCGCCCAGCACCCCTCAGACATCCATGTAGTCATCCTCTTCATCAGAGTCACTCTCCAGTGAAGACTCTTGGCTTGAGGTTTCTACAATCTCCAGTGCTGGCTGGCAAAGAGTCTCCTTCTTCACATTCGCCGCAGACTGGGCTGAAAGGATAGCAGACTGGCCCAGACAAAGGAAAGAGGTTTTTTTTTTTAAAAAAAAATTAAAATTCTGAAGTTCTACTATCTCCCAAAGCATTTCCCTCCACTCCACCTGAGCTTGCTTTAATCATCTTGAAAACCTGCAGTGCTTCCAATACAAGCGATGGGTGGGAGGGAGACTATGGCGGAGATTTCTTAACCAGGTGTGGTAGTTATCCTAGATTAACATGGCAACACTCCAGGCTGAAGGAGGGAGGGAAGTCTTTCTGCCCCCGCCCAGTACTTCCACCAAGGCAGTTTGCAAAAGGGTATCGCAGGTGCCACCTCCCCCCCAACCCTGCCTGCCTGTTCAGCCAGACAGTTTGTTCCTTATTCCCACAAACAGAGGATGGACCTTGCTTTGGCTGGGGAACAGAAGGAGTCCCTGCTCTAAGGTTAAGAAGTCAGGACTCAGCTCTCCTTGGGGTGTTGGAATTGCTAAAGTCCTGCTTCATTGGGGGCAGCTGGCTGGCCTCTGGAAGAACAGGGGGCTGGACTAAGTAGGCCCTCTTTGACCTGAAGGCTGTTCCTATGTTTTACAAACAGAAGATGGGTTCCTTAAGCCCACCTGAGAACCCAAGGGGGGGGGGGAAGCAAAGAGGGCACAGAGGACTCTTGTCTGCAGCTGCCTGGACAGCCTCCCCCCCCCCCCGCCACCCCAGTCTGTGCACACAAATTCTCTCTGCCAAATTCAAAGCATGACTGGGGCCCCAATGACACTCCCTGCCCCAAACCCTGGTAAGTACCTTTAGCTTCTGCTTGGTTTCTTCCGAAATGCTGCCCTTGGGGGAGAGGAGGGTGGGCGTTGGGGGGGTGACGGTGATCTCCGGTGGGAACTTGGTGACGGACGAGGGGATGAAGAGCTTGGGCATGCTGGGAAACACGCGGGTCTTGATGCGGCTGGCGTCGGCCTTGCTCCCCGCGGAGGGCTGTGGCGTTTCGGAGCAGAGGTGAGCCTTGGAGCTGGAGGCTGAGAGGAGGAAATGTCAGCTCGGAAGAGGGTCTTTGAGCGAACAAGCATGTCATAATAAAAGAACGTCTGCACCAGAGCAGAACCAGCAACAGGCTGGGCCTGAGCCCTGGGCTCTTTGCTCTGTAAGTGACTGGGAAGAAAAAGAGCTTCCTGCTTCCCCCCAGGAGAGGGTTACTCACCATACCCTGAAGGGGCTCCTGCTTGAAGAAGAGCCACCACTGCTGCCTGCCCTGCCAGCACTCCAGTCTCCTGCCTGGGGCAATACCTTCAGATTTAGCCACCACCCTCCTACCCTTCTCTGTGGCAATGGAGGGCACCCCAGGGAGGAACTCACTGAAAACTACAGATTGCCAAAAGTTCGCCCTACACTTGAGTAACATGGGAAGCTGCCTCCGGTCCACCTGGCTCAGTACTGCCTTGCCTGGAGATGCCACCAAGGGCTTCCACATGCTCCTCTGCCACTGAGCTCCTAGGAATTTGCCCTCCTACCTGCCAAAATGGTATCTGTTCTCAGAGATGCTTTCTTGCCTGCTTGGCCCATGCATATTTTCATACTGTACTTCTCTGTTCTATCCAAGCCACCTTCTCCAAGATCCCCAAAGGCTTCATTGGGCATCCCTTACCTCGGCCGCAGACCTGCCCTCCTCCAACGCTGGTGCTGGTCACAGGCTCCAGCTCCACTTGCCAGGGCATCAGATTGGACGAGGGAGCCACCGTCGCCATCTTCATCTGCTGGCAGAGGTGGGATTCTTGCTGCTGCAAGCCTGCTCCTTCCAGAGGCCGGTCTAGCTTGCCTTCTTCTTCCTCCTCCTCCTCTGCATAAACAAGATGAGCAAAGATGACTCAAGAGATATCCCTCTCTCTGCTACCAACCATAGAAATGGGAACTATGCTCATGCCATGTGGACTTCACGGGGCTTCACTGTGAAGACTCCATGCAGAATACTTAAAAGTGGGCATGTGCTTGACTCCAGGTGTGGTGTACAGCAACATATGATTACCAGTGCAACCCAACACCGGTCTACTCAAAAGAAAGTCCCACTGAGTTCAGTGAGGGTTATATGATTACCAGTTTAATGCAGCAAAGCCACAAGGACCTGGCTTTTCAGGCAGCTGCAAGAGAAACTCTCCTGGCAAAGGGCAGCCCAACAGAGAGAAGGTTGCTGGTGCGCGCTCAGAGTACGGAACCAGACATATTTATGACCACTGTCACCTCCATGTTGCACTCAGCACAGTGAGAATACAAAAGGGCATAGCAAGAGCATGGCTGCAGCAGCTGGTTCAAGCAAAGGAGGCCCAGCATCTAATTAGATGCTCCAATGGGGGGAAGAAACCCACAAGCAAGTCCCAGCAACTCGCACAGCAAAGACCCAGGAAGTTTCCACATGGAGGGCAGCTTTTGCCAAGGCCCAACACGTCAATCATGTAAGACCTGGGGAGGGTGTTGAATAAGTAACAGAGGTGACGAGTGAAGCTTTCTGCACCAGAAACCTTCTAGGTTAGCCAGGCCCCCAGCAAAGGTCTGCCCACCCACAGCTTCCCAGATTGTAGGGTATGCAGACAAGACATCAACAGGAGGTCCCCTTTGGCCAGGCAGATGTGAGGTTGCTAGTGGCTTCCCTTCTCCCTTCTGAAAGATGCAGCGGCAGCTCTGTTGCCTAATGGCAGCTGGAGCCAGTGTGGTGTAGTGGTTAAGAGCGGTAGACTCGTAATCTGGTGAACCGGGTTTGCATCTCCGCTCCTCCACATGCAGCTGCTGGGTGACCTTGGGCTAGTCACACTTCTCTGAAGTCTCTCAGCCCCACTCACCTCACAGATGTTTGTTGTGGGGGAGGAAGGGAAAGGAGAATCTTAGCCGCTTTGAGACTCCTTCGGGTAGTGATAGAGCGGGATATCAAATCCAAACTCTTCTTCTGGCTGTGGGGGGCTTATCTTGCTAAATATTTACTGAGCCGGACTGGAATGCCTGCCACTCAGCCAGATCTGTCCGGCTTCGATTGAGTCACAGGCCCAGCCTGAATGCAGCTGCCTTCACAGTGAGACACAGGCTCTCCTTTCTGATCAATGGGGAAGAAAAGGGAAGCACATCAAGTGGGCTGGCTGGCGGCCTCCTCTGTTGCATCAAGTGACAAGGTCCTATGTCAATTGCCACTTCCTCTTTGGCAGACACTTGCTAATGGCTGTCTGTGGAGAGAGGTTTGGGGGCTCCCCTGTGGCTGAAGAGGATAAAGATGATATAATACACACCCTGCCTCTGCTTTTAAGCCATGTGTTCATTTTCTTAACGTTCCACATACCCACCAATGAGAGGACACAACAGCTGCTTCTGACTTGGCTTTGCTTCTGCTAGTCCTAAGTATCTATCACATATCTGCATCTGAAAGCAGAGGCAGTTGGGAGCCCAGCTCTTTAGGACTTAGGCAAGACTTGAGGTCCTCCTCCCCTTGAAGGGCAGCTGGTCAGAATCAGGCCCAGCCTTCCAACTGCCTCAGGAAGAGGGGCCACAACCCAGATTAGCTCTCCTTCCACCAAGTGGGTCCTTGGTAGTCCAACTCAGGAAGGCTAGGCTGGCCCTCCCAGAGCAAACTGTGCCCTTAATTTCAGTGGGGCATTTATGGGGTGTGTGTAGACCACAGTCCCAAGTCCACTCACCTCCAGCCACCATGACCCCAACTGAAATTAGCTCATTTAGAGAGGAATCAGAGACACATGTCAGCTGAAAGGGGAAGGGTGCTTCCTTTCATGAGGTTCTTCATAAGCAAAAGATGTCATTTCAATGGGGCCGATGTCCTTCTCAGAAACAGACACAAACCTCCCCGTTATGCTCTTAGACATGGCACTTGAGGGTGAGAGTTGAATGTCACATGGGGACTGCTCCCAAGAAGAGGTGCAGCAACATCCTCTCAACCTTGTATCTAACTGGAACTGAAACATCTGGCCCTATATGTTGCTGAACTACAACTCCCATCAGCCCCAGCAAGCATGGCCAGGGATGATGGGAGCTCTAGGTCAGCAACATCTGGAGGCACAAAGGATCTCTGCACCTCCTCTAGAGTAAGAGCACTGCTCTGTGAAGTATCCAATTCAGGTAAAAATGTGCAGGCCAGAATGCAGAGTCAACTCAAGGGCTGCCTTGCCTGAAACATTTCGGGGGGGAGGGGGGTCCCACTCCCACTGTTGGAACCTGGGCTATGAGATGCTGGGCTCTGCTACGGCTATCTGAACACAAAACACACACTTCCTTCTCCTTGGGAGGTGGAGTCGAGGTCCCAGGAGTCTGAATCGGCAGAGGGAATGGGGGGGGGGGGCGCTCTAGAGGAGATCAGAAGCTCGTTTTCTGGTGTTGTGCATTTTAATGCCAATTTTGCGAAACCTCTGGGGAAAAATAATTCAAGTGCAGGGATATCCATAACCTCCACAGCAAAACAGACAACAGGGCAGAGATGTAAGTCATCTTCAAATGCCTAGCACTTCAACTCAAGTACTGCTCTCGAAAAGAAAACCAGAGTTGTAGCTACTGAGTGCGTACACACACAGAGAGATGGCTTTTGAGATTTCAGGGATGGACCCCCAAAGCCCTCAGAGACTCAGCCTGAAGCAGCCCCCGTTGGCACAGCTGCGTGAGAGGGGCAAGGCAGGCCAGGCCTTCCTCCTTCTCCCTGCTTTTACCAAAGAAGAAACAGGCTGAAGAGAGAAACCTCGGAGGTGCCAACAGCCCCCTCCACCTCTCCTTCCCAACCTGTTGCCAGGGAAACCCATCAGCACCCGCAGATGCTGAGAGCTGGTGCTTTGGGGTTCACGACTTCATTAGTTGGCGGTTCCTATTCTCACCAGCTCATCTTGCACTTCACACATAACGCCCACAAACAGGGGACATCATTTCAGCGAGCCCCTTCTCTCAAAAACAAAACCGCTGCAGGGTGGCGGCGGCAGCAGTAGCTCTTTGCTACCTTCAGGAAGGCAAGACTTTAGCAATTGCAAAGCTCCCCCCACCCCCAAAAGGCTTCATGCTTTCAGCTCTCTGCCTGAAGGACACAAGGATCCAAATGCTCCCATCTCAGCCACTCGTGGTTCATCACAGCCATGTGGCTACTACCAGCTTGTCCGTCCCTCCTGGGGTTTTCGTTGCAGTGACTAAATTTCCAACCAAGCTCAACCGTGTAAGGAGCAAGCGCACCCAGAACATGGCTCAGGCAGGCAGGGATGTGGTTCCTTGCAGTGCACCACATCAAGCGGTGGTCTGACCTGCCCCCCTGCCCCACCAAGATAATGAGAAATCCTCAACTCCCCAAACCCTGCATGGGAGGATCTGCAGCTGATGTATGCAGAAGAGAATTGGGCTGGGGTGCTGCACTGCCTCATCGTCCCTCCTGAAGCTGGACCCAAAACATTCTAAATGGGTCCAGCTGCCATCTCTGCATCCTTTGGACAATAGTGCACAGACACTGGGTGGAATTCAGGTTTGAAATTTCTTCTTGCTTTTAAGTTTTTACAATTTGACTGCCAGCTCTGTGTTTTTATATTGTTGCAAACCGCTGCGATCCATCTTTACAGTAAGTATTTTTATAAATATAAAACAAGCAAATTCTGGTGGGATTCTGTGCCAAGCCGCTTGTGACCTCACCTTCATTCTTTTGCACGCAGCATTTCAACCCTTCCGTGCAAAGAGCCACACGGGAGCAAGGAAGGTGAGCTGTAGTTTGAGGAGCCGTGTCAAAAATAGTCTCCCCACCCCCCGCCCAAGCCAGAAACCACAGACATGTTTTACGGACAGAATGATGCTGGGATGCACAGATGCTTTGGGCAAATCTATAAAGCTTCTCTACAAAGATGTAGCTCACCACAGGCCAAGCTGGAGACAACAGGGGCCTCTTCGACACTCTCTGCCCCGGTTTGCTCCTGGGGCGGCAGCAGTAGCAGCACGCTGGCAGAGGAGGAGGAGGAGGAAGACGAGGAGGAGGATGGGGGAGAAGCTGTCTTGGGCTTGGCCTGCAGGTCAGCTGCTGCTCTCAGGAGGGCCTCTGAAGCCAGGGAGTAGGCAGTCCCAGCAGGAGGCGTCAGAGAGGCGGGGGCGGCTGGGAAGCAGATCTCTTTGCTGTCCTTCGGGTGCTTTGGAGTGGTGGGTGCTTCCCCTGTAGCCTGGAGGAGGAGACAAGCAAAGGCCGTAAGGAAGGAGAGGGGGAAAGGCTGCTGCGGCAGCCAGCTCAGGGCAAGAGGAAAGACCTTCTCCACCCTGGAGCTCCAAATACCAAGAGGCTCTGGGGAAAGAAGAATCAATAGGGTCAAGGAATTAAAAATGAACTGTATCCTGATTTTATAGTTTTACTGATTTTTAGCTGTATTGTACTGAGTTAGTTGTACACCACAGAGAGTCAACTCTAATTAAGTGGCATATAAATTGCTATTTTTTCAATAGGTAAAGGGACCCCTGACCATTAGGTCCGGTCGTGGCCGACTCTGGGGTTGCGGCGCTCATCTTGCTTTACTGGCCGAGGGAGCCGGCGTACAGCTTGCGGGTCATGTGGCCAGCATGACTAAGCTGCTTCTGGCGAACCAGAGCAGCGCACGGAAACGCCGTTTACCTTTCCGCCAGAGCGGTACCTATTTATCTACTTGCACTTTGACGTGCTTTCGAACTGCTAGGTTGGCAGGAAGAAGCACAAATTTCAAGGGGATATATTGCCTGGGAGCCAAACATCAGCATCGCTTCTACAACGCTAAGCAGATTAACCAAGAAAAGAAGGTCACACACCAACTTTTCTCACACGTTCTCTTCCCAACCTGCCCACAAGCCCCAAGGTCAAAAACTGGTCATTACTGCTTAATCTGGATTAGTCAAAGTTCCCAAGGTCAAGACAAAATGGATTATATTTTTCTTCAAAAGAGATACTTTGGGGGGGAAATGGCATTTGATACACCTCAGAAACAGAGGAAGAAGGGCAACTGGCTGAGGCAGGAGACATGGACTGCTGGTTCACATCTGGGTCAGTGAACTGGTAGCGGGAGGTTCCAAGTGCCCCCTTGCTGAAATGAGTCCGGAGGGCCAACTCTCCGTGGAGGTGTGGCACGGCTCCTCCTTCCAGCTGATGCCCAGAGACTCTTCCCTGGCCCAAGCTGCTCTCCTCCCCATCCCATCCCGTGCAGATAAAGACACCCTTCTTCTAGACAGTAATAGAAATGAAGCAAAACGCAAGAGGAGAGAAATGTTGGCTCCTACAGCTCCTCCAAGCATGTTAAGAACATGCAGCCTCAGCTCCGAGGGAGTCTCTCAGAAAGGCAAATCCCAGCGAGGAAAGACAAGGCCTGCAATTAGCAGAGGAGCCCTCCTCCCTCCCACCCGCTGCTAACGGGCATCTCCTAAGGCACAAGCGCATTGCAGGGGGTGGGGGTCAGAGACTGCAAAGCTGGAGCAGAGGCAGGCAAGGCTGCATGAGGAAAACACCCTTTGCAGAGGCGGCATTATGGGACCCAGGCAGTCAAAACCTCAGTTCCTCCCCCCTGCATCTGCACAAACCCGAGCACCTTTGCTTATTTATTTAAATTACCCATTGAACACCTCACAAGCCAACTTACAATGACAAGGACAGAGGTTGGGAGGAATATGGAGGAGGCATCCCTCTGTGGCCCCAACTCACAAAGGCCACCGTGGAGGAAGCCCCATCCATATTGCCCCCACCCTAATGGCTGCTGGTGGTGGTCCAGAGAGGGGAGCCTCAGGCACCGATCCCAATGCTCCCACAGGGGTAGAGGGACCTTTAGAGAAGGCTGAGTTCAGTGGGACTCGCTCCCAGGCAAGGGGGAAGAGGGGATTTCAGCCCAAGCGCAGTTTCCCCCTTCCCCCTTGGTGACATCGTTACTACGGGCGGTTCACAGAATAAAACGCAAGAGAAAAACACAAGTAAAATAATCAAAACAAAACAACAAACCCCTCTTCCCACAGACCCATTTAAAAGGCTGTAGAATATTAATCAGCCAAAGGCCTGGGTGAAGAGGAATGTTTTCACCTGGCACCTAAAACATATATACAGTGGTACCTCAGGTTACAGACGCTTCAGGTTACAGACTCCGCTAACCCAGAAATAGTACCTCAGGTTAAGAACTTTGCTTCAGGATGAGAACAGAAATCGTGTGGCGGCAGTGGGAGGCCCCATTAGCTAAAGTGGTACCTCAGGTTAAGAACAGTTTCAGGTTAAGAACGGACCTCCAGAATGAATTAAGTTCTTAACCCGAGGTACCACTGTAATGAAGGTGCCAGCTGAACCTCCCTGGGGAGGACGTTCCACAAATGGGAGCTACTACAGAAAAGGCCCATTTTTGTGTTGACACCCTCTGGACCTTAAGTGAAGGAGGCACATGAAGAAGGGTATTAAAGGGGTTTCACCTCAGGAAGGCAGGAAGCAGACCCCAAGACATCTAACTTGGCGTCATCTCTACACTGACTGGCAGCAATGGCTCACCAAAGGTTTCAGGCAGGCCTCTTTGCCAGGCCTACCCAGAGATGATGCTGGTGGTCTGAGTGGAGACCTTCTGCATGCAAAGCAAGTGTTCTGGCCCTGAGCTAGGACTGGTTGCCACCAGCTGGCCTTCAGGGCTGTCAGAACCCACAAAGCCCAGCAGCACCAACAAGACTGAAATGAGCTACTGGGACATCTTTAGGTGGGGAGCCTAACTAATTGCATTCACATGAGAGTAGTGATGTATGGAAGTGAGAGCTGGACCATAAAGAAGGCTGATCGCCAAAGAATTGATGCTTTTGAATTATGGTGCTGGAGGAGACTCTTGAGAGTCCCATGGACTGCAAGAAGATCAAACCTCTCCATTCTGAAGGAAATCAGCCCTGAGTGCTCACTGGAAGGACAGATCCTGAAGCTGAGACTCCAATACTTTGGCCACCTCTTGAGAAGAGAAGACTCCCTGGAAAAGACCCTGATATTGGGAAAGATGGAGGGCACAAGGAGAAGGGGATGACAGAGGACGAGATGGTTGGACAGTGTTCTCGAAGCTACCAGCATGAGTTTGACCAAACTGCGGGAGGCAGTGGAAGACAGAAGTGCCTGGCGTGCTCTGGTCCATGGGGTCACAAAGAGTCGGACACGACTAAATGACTAAACAACAACAACAAGCAGCATCCCCAGTTGGTGGGGCTGCAGGGAGGAGTGTTTTCCTCCTGAGAGAATCACCAGCTTGCTTGTCCAGGAACATGAATGGCTTGTGAAAGGACAAGGGGGTTAATCAAGCCAATTCGCTTGAGCGGGCTGCTTCACACACTGACTGCTAACTTCCTCAATGCACGCTAGCAATTAACAACTGCAATGGTGTTATTTTTCAAACACGGCAGCCCCAAGAGGCACGGAGAACAAGGGGGCTAATTAGTGGGTTATGCTGGAACATTTGTACTTCAGGGCCTTTTGATTTTCTAATCAAGGAGATGATATTCCACACAGATGGAACAATTAAAGAAAAATAAAGGGCACCACGGTCGAAAGCTGTTTGTAAGGTCCCGAGAATTTATGCTGAACACCATCCCCCTCTCCCAGCTTTAGAGAGAAGGGAAGGCAAAATTCCACCCAAGTCAAGAACCTGTCTGAAGCCTCCTTCTAAGAAGAAAGTCAGAGCTGAGAAAAGCAAAACAAAAGTGAAGAAAAACATCTCAAAAAGCCTCACTAAACTTTACTGTTTACTAAGCAGGTAGCGAAACTAAAAACAAAACTACAATATTCAATATGCAATAATTTTATCACATTTCATGGAATGAGTATGCTTATTTCAAGACAAGAGAATGAGAAATCTAGCCATGTGCCAAATGAGAAGAATTCCAGTGGCCAGATGAATTCAGCCTGGTGGACTTTGGGTTACTAAGGGTTACAAAGTTAGAAGGGGTCACCTTAGAGGCCACCCCCTGATCCAGGCAGGGGCTGTCCCGCTGCAACATCCCAGATGGGTGACCAAACAAGCTGTGACTGAAATATTGTAGATCTCGTCATGCTATTAACATGAACAAAATAACGGATTTCAAATACCTGTACAGTCATACCTCGGGTTGAATGTGCTTCAGGTTGAGAGCGTTTGAGTGGCGCTCCACGGCAACCCGGAAGTAACGGAGCGCGTTACTTCCGGGTTTTGCCGCTCGCGCATGCGCAGACGCTCAAAATGACGTCACACGCATGCGCGGAAGCGGCAAAACACGACCCGCGCACGTGCAGACGCGCCATCGCTTGTTACGTTCGCTTCAGGATGCAAATGGGGCTCCGGAATGGATCTCGTTCGCATCCCGAGGTACCACTGTATACAAATCTTACTTGCAATACACATCATCATCATGGAAAATCCTCCACATCAATTCCAGACGGATGCATATTTTATAATTACAATTTGAACTATGGAGAGGAGGAATACAAAATAAAAATTAAAAAATGCTATATGTATGACGAAAAGGAGAGCAAATGGCCCCAAAGCTGGAGGGGGATCTTCTGCTTCCTTCTCTTGCAAGCCTGAGGATGCCACACACCTGGTGGTGCTCAAGAGCCTTGCAAGCTTGGAACTTACTTGCTTCTGTGCAGAGGCCCCCACGTGCACCTGGCAGAACTTGACAGCTTGTTCCAAGGCTGCTTCTTCATCCACCTGCAGAAAGAAACCCACACCATGAGCAGAAGCAAGTCCACAATTGCCCACAGGAAAGGCAACCTCCAGAGCCAAAAGGCAACAAACCCTCACTTGAAATTTGCTACAATGCAACTTGCAATCGAAGTCTTGGCGAGTGGATTCATTTTGCAAAATTTCAATCGGACTTTGTGTTGTGTCCCTCCTGGGCGGCTGCTTTAATGACCCCCAATGGCCTGACCAGGGGGGCAACGTTGAGGAGTGGCGCTACAGGCCCAGCCCCCTGGCAGAGGTGCTTCTGCCACAGACTGGGATGGTATGTGAGTGGAATAGATGGGTGTAGCCTGGGATAGTTCTGATTGGACCTGCACCACCCACACTTCCCTGCTGGCCTGCCCTGCCCTGCCTCTGCATCATTGCAAGAGACAGTCATGCTGCTGCTGCTGCTGCTAGGAGGTTTTGTCTGCAGTACTGTGCCTCACTGATTAAAAATTATACTGGAAAAATAAATGGGCAATGTGGAAACTGACCAGAGCTCCAACTGGTGCAGTGCTGATCCTGGCCCACGGGGCTTAGCATAAACAGATAGGTCAGGCCAGGAAGAGGGTGTTGCCTCAGTTCCCTGGATTTTCTAAGAACGAGACCATTTGGGGACTGATCACCACCCATGTAGTCCTCAGAACCCAAGGAGCTTCTCCTGAGAGCCCACACCAAGCCGCCACAGTGACAGCCACCAGCATTCTTCCTCGGTCACCGTGGAACTAATAAAACAACACAAACAATAATACAAGACCCTGTCAGCTTCTGCCCAACATGACAGCAAAGGCACATTTCAACCCTGCTGCTTACTTGCTTAATGAGCATGTACGTCTCAGACATGATCTTCTCGATCTTGGCCAGGTCGTAAGTCATGACCTTCTGACCCTGCTGCCACACACGATAAGCATCCAGGAGGAGGGTCTTCCCCGACTCTGTGTCATCGATCAGTTTCCTTTTCCGGCTTGGCCTCTGGCTGACTTCCTCCATCGGAGCTGCCTGGACGCGGACTTTGGCCGCCTCCAACTGCTGGTGCTTAGAGCTGATGCTCAGCTCCTCCAAGGACAGTTCGGCCGTCCGGCTGCTCTCTAAGCTTTTGTCCTTAGGGATCCGCCCGGGCAGCCCTCGGGTCGACTCAGGGCCTCTATAGGAAGAGCCCATTTTTTCAGGATCCTCAGAATATCCTTCCGAGTCCATGAGCTCCGTTGAGCCCGGCTGGGGAGCCTCTTTTGCTTCTCCCTCAGGGGTTGCCTCCCGTAGCTCTGCTGTGTCCATGGCGGTGGGGGTCTGCTGCACCCCCTGGGCGGCTTCTTTCACCCCATTCTCTGTACCATAAGCTGCCACCCCGCCTTCAGACAAGGCTGCCTTTTGCGGGAGGGTTTCCTGTCCTTCTTCCGCATTTGCTTTGTTAGAGACGTCGGTCGTCATCCTGGACGCAAAAAAACTGCAGCACTTGGAGTCTGGATCTTCGGAGACCTTTAAAAGAGACAAAGAATTTGTCCCCTTGAATTAGGAGGGGCGCCCCCCCCACCAAGAAGCATGCAGGGATTTTAGGGCCTTACCTCGGTGAGCTCATTCAGCATGTCCTCCAGCACAGTCACCGTGAGGACGAAGGCACGCTGGGCAAGGACCTGGCGGTCTGCATCCCGCAAGTACTTCCTGCAGCACAGGGCAAAAAGAGGGCAGGAAGGCATTTGATTACAGGACTTGCAGATGCATTTGAAATCGAGGAGACAGCATTTGCATATGCTCTGGATCCTGCTGGATTTCTCTTGTCTCCAAAAACCACCTTGATGAAGCAACTGCTGGCCACCGCACACCCCTTTCAAAGGACAAAACTAAGAATCCATAGTTCACTTGGCTCAACCTGGCCAGAGTTTCCCTTCCCACCACTGGTGCTTTGCTCAGGCCCAAGGCTACGACATCATTTGCTATTCAAGTTCATTCCTGACATAGAGAAGGCCTGCCTTGAAATATATTCATTTTGGACTGGTGGAGAAGATGTCTCCCGCCTAACCATGTGAACTCCAACGATGCTAAATAGGTAGCTTGGCTGATGATGAATATTTATGAGCCTATAGCCCTTAAACCAAAAAGCTCTCGAATTTCCAGAAGCATCTTTTAACTGCACAAACAAGACGTGAGCTGAGCCACAATACAAACAAAACCATGGTGCTCTGTGCTAAAAGAAAGGGAGACAGTCTTGCCCACCCAGTTTCTGACAAACCAGCCTTCAAAGGAGGGTTAATCCTAACCACATCTCACCACTGTGACTGAAAATACCTTCAGAAGACCACCAGATCCCTCTGAATACCAGGTTCCTGGGAATCACACGTGGAGAGAGAGCCATTTGCACTCAGCTGCTGCTTGTGGACATCCAAGAAGTACCTGGCTGGCTACTGTTGAGACCAGGAGGAGATGCCCCCTGTGGCCCAATCCAGTTAAAGGACTCTTCAGATGTCCCCAAGATATCATTTTGTTCAAAATGCACCGAAGACTACAATGGTTTTTCCTTAACCTGAGACAAATGTGTCTCTTTTTCTTTCATACACATACACAATAAAGAAGTTTCACTCCAGTCTAGTGAGCTTGCTTAAAGAAAACAAACTTCCTTCGACTGCTCTCACACAAAGCCAGAAGCAAAGGCCCAACAATACATCCATTTCACGATTTTATCCAGCGGCAGCTTCAGTCTTAAGAGCCACAAATGATTACGTGCTGGCATGGACTATGTTTAAATCCTTCGGCTATGCTGAGAATCTAAGCAGGCCAGCACAAGAATGTTGCGTATCCCTCAGTAACTCACTAGGAACCGCCTCTAGATCTTAGGAGGCTGTTTCCAAAGATACGCCCCTCACTGTGTGGCCCCATTCTGAGGCCTACCAAGCCTTCCAAGGCTTCTGCACCAAGCGGGGAATTGATGCAAGGAAGAAACAGGAGCAGCGGCTCCTTTCCTCATCCCAGCAATATTTTTGTGAAAGAGATAGTGTCTGCCAGGCCTGCCTTCTCCATCATCAGAGTGTATGGCTACTAGCTGAGGATTCCCTGGAGGTACCAGCAGCGCCTAACACTCCTGGCCTTGAGCAAGGCCCTTCTTCCTCCTCCATTAACCTCCAACAGTATTTGCATGGCATTCATGCAAACACTGCCTTGGTCTTTCTCATGGCTTCCTACACAGGCTGGAAGGTCTCTCCTTAGCTACTGTCCGCACCATCATCTCTTTATCCCTTGCTTAGGTCGAGTCCCATCAGTGGACGTCCCTTGAGTTTTCACCCGCATGTGTTGTCAGGAGATCCATGTGTTACTCATATGTAGGGCACCCACATAGGGACTCAGGAGTGGGGTCATGATGCTGCCCCCTCCCCCAGTGGTATTGAGTGTTGCAGCTGCTCATGAGGAGGAGTTCCTTCTATATTCAACCCGCAACCATTTGGGGCAAGGCTAGCCCAGGGACAGGGCAAGGAGGGCAACCACACTGCTGCTTCACCATGTGCATGCCCTTGCCCACAACAGCGAAGCCTGACTTGCTTTGCTCTTAAAAGCCTGTAGCCTTCTATTTAAAGAGGAACAATGAACATAGAAAAAGACACTCCTCCCACATTTGCTTCCAACATCGGGTACCCACGCAAAAGCTCCCAAACAAATATTTAAATCCTTTTAGAAATCATGCTTAATATCAACATGTTTGGCTTCTAACTGGGTTTGTTGACATCCACTGGGCTTCTTAGCTACGCCTGTCCTGAACTCCAGAACGCCTTCCTGTTGCACCAGCACGCAAAAAGGCTGTTTGTCTTTTCCATGCACCAACTCAGGAAATCTACTCAAATCCATACACAGAGCATCGCCAGATCTGCTTCACCTGCGCAGAGATAAAAACTGAAGTGATGATGATTCCATTTCCCCTAACATGCTGCTGCAGACAGCCCCAGATTAGACCCTGATGGAGTAAATTAATCCACTGCTAAATAAACATGCCAGCCAGTCTCCAGAGAGCCAAACACAGTGAAGAACATCTCAGACAAGGCACTGAAGGGGCATGGAAGGCTTTGTACTCTCAAGATTTCCTGGGCAATGGACTGGCTGGAATTGGCCGTATCAGCTACTTGGCACTGAATGAGGCCCACAATTAGAGATGCATTGCCTAGCATCATGAAAAAGGGAGTAACCAAGCAACTTATTCTTAATGCATAGCAATCAAGTTGACCTCCTAGGGCCACAATCAATTCTCCCAGATAACTTTTTATTATTTTAAGCTTAGATAATGAACCTTCATCACCAGAGGAAATCGAGAGGCATCCAGGTTAAGAAAGACTTTGACTTTCTAACTGTTTCCTCTTTGCCAAACAACACTGTAAAATTAAGTTCCTAATTTATTAAAAGTTAGTTTTGATGGATGCTGCCCATCAGTGGATGAGCAATTCTTCAGGCAGAAATTATGGAGGGAGGAAGAGCCTCAGCCATGGTGCTCCCTCTGTGACAGGCAGGTAGCGAAAGCTCCTCTTTTTGTCAAAGAGGTTTTCTTAACTAAGGGGAATCCTCAGAAGCTAATCAGCTGAACAGCTGAACAGCAGGGGGCTGCTGTTGCTAACATACAAGTGGAAATGAAGGTGCAGCTGTGATTAGATGTGACAGTCAACGCTGGGAACCTCAATAACCTCAGCAATTCACTTGTCACCAACCCAGGTGGCTCTCCAATAGGCAGAGAAAGGAAGGGAGGAGGAAAAGGTATGGCGGTTTCAATTCTCCAGGGTACCCCCGCCATTTGTCCCCCAGAAGGGGCCTACAGTCCTATTGAGAGTATTGGACACCATCCCAATCAAGGAAGAGTGGCAAGCAAAGTTCATGGAATATGCAGAAATGGCAAAACGTATGGGAATAATAAGATATCAAGAAGAAAGTGTTTTTATTAAAGAATGGGGATGTTATGTAGATTATTTAAAGAATCATTGTAAACAACTAAATACATTAGCAGGATTAATATAAAATCAAGCATTTAAAATGTGATCTTGGGGGGGGGGAAGTAAATAGAATTTTTTAAAAAAGATGTTAACGGAGACGTGCAGTTTAATTAAACGTATTCACTATGTAACCAGAGGAGGAGTGGAGGGAAGTCAAAATGAGGGATACAAATGTAAAGGAGGACTATTGTTGTTAAATTGAAAACTGGGAAAAAAAATTAATAGAGTATTGGATAGAGGAGGACTGCAATGCAGCAGCACTCCATGATAGAAGTTCTGCATGAGCAAAGGCTCTAAGGAGAAACTTGGCCATTTGGCAGCCATGGAGGCAAAAAGACAGCCTAGAGAGGAGGGCGGAAACTTAGCCTGTTTCTGCCTGCTGGCAGTGACTGGCAAGTAAAAATCACACACGGACAGTCACACATGTTCTGGATGTTTTTTGCCAGTTAGTTAGTTAGTTGTTCAAAACTTTTTTTAATATTGTGCTTTAATGTTGTAACCCATCCTGGGACCTTAGGGTGAAGAGAGGGTAACAAATGATGACGATGACAACAAAAACAGCAGCAGCCGTAGTAGCGGCAGTAGTAGTCATAATACTATTACTACTAATGTATGTTTTATGGTATTTGCAGATACTGCTGTGCACTGTATTTATATTTTATGTGAGTGGGCAGTATATTTTTATAAAATAAATAAGTTAGATTGCTTTCCTAAATGTCAGCCATTGCTATAGCTTTGTTCATTGGTTTAAAAACCCAAAAGGGAGGAACTGGCAAGATCCTCACCAAACAACTGAGTGAACAATTAGCCCCTCACATTGGGCCCTACGACTCCCACTCTGAGGTTCTTCGCAATCAAGAGGCATTTTCAATTTATGAAAAACAAAAACAAGGGTTAGAGATTTGCTTGCTTGTTTAAAAAAATGAAAGCTGGGAATTTGGGGGTTCTGGCTTATTTCAGTGCGGGAGGTATGGAACTGATGAAGTGTTTTTCCTGCCTGCCCCCCTTTCCCCCTATACCATAGCACTGCTCTACCACGCTGGCTCCCTAAACCACTTTCCACCCAAAGAACCGACAGCAGCCAGAAGCCAGCAGTGATGTGGGCGGAAGATTTCTTCTTTTTAGAAATGCATTGTTTCATAAAATTAATTATTAGCACAATGAATGCACGCAATACATGCCAAACAGGAGAACTGGAAGAGATAGGATGTCAGTCAAATCTAACATAAAGCGGTTATTAACTTTTTCCAAGGGGCCATCCCTAGGAAGCAGATATATTTATGAGCACAGCTGTTAACCCACGCTAAATTTAGTATGCTGGCACTCTTCAGAGCCTTCATGTGTTTTTCTTGAAATCTAATCAATTTTCAAGCCGTCCAGAAAACATTGATTCTGCAGCAAAGCTTGAATTGAATATGCTTGAATGTAACGTTTAAACCACACTTCATTGATTCCACCCCCTCCCCCAAATGAAATATTTCAGTTCATCTGCTTTTGGCCACTGGAAGGTGCTCAGCCTGCCTCTTGACTGAGGGATGTGCAGGGGATTGAGACCCTTACCATTGTGGGGAAGGGGCCAGAGTGCAGGCGGAAGGGGCCTGCTTTGCCTGGAGAAGGTTGCAGGTTCAATCCTCATTGACATCTCCAGTCAGTGCAGGCGATATTGAGTCCACCTATTTCAGTATGAGGCAGTGTCCTTATGCAGAGAACTTTAAACGTGGTCCTGAAAGTTGCTCTATTGAAAGGAATCAGGACTGAGTGTCTTTCATTTAGCTCTGCTAAAAGACCTCAAAACCATTAAAGCCAGCGAAGGATCTACACTGTCAGTTTATGGGGGGAAGGAAAGAGATCCCAGCAATGCCATCCGATGTACAAAACGAGAAAAAGCAAAAAGGATGGAAATATGGAACTGTTAACTGCTGTTGCTACTGTGAAAGAAAAATGTGAGGGAGCCTATCTGCGATTTTGATCTGTGACACACGCACACCACATGCTTCTTCAAAATGAGCATATTCCCACCTTAAGAGCTCAATTACTTTGAGCAGTCAAAGATGGAAGAGTGGTTTCTGAGGTGCTGGAAATGCAGTTGATGTTATTTGCTGAACTCTTGTGGTGGGAATAACTTCCAAAAGGCCTCCAAGGGTACAAAAGCCAGGAACCAGCACCTCTGTAATCTCTATTCCCCCACCCTCAACTGTATCCTCTTCCTATCTTTTTGCTTCTCTCCTTTCCTGGAAAGGATTTTTAATATTCATTTTCAACACTGAGAGCAGCTGAAGGGGACCTACAAATGACAAGAGATTTGCAGGGTATACAGTGGGGAGGAAAGTGCCCGGATTTGGCTTTTGACGAACTGCTCTGCATTAAAGCCAAGATACAGCTTGTTCAGTCTAGACAGCGAGGCTTCAAGGCTGAAAACAAACACTTTTGCAAACCAACCATTGTTATTCTCTAACTAATATATGTAAGAGCTAAGAAGGGTTTCGGCCATGGGGGTGGGGAGGGGTCAGTATCTTAGCATTTCAAGCCAGAAACAAGAAACCTGGGCCGTCCTCACTTTCCCTGGTCGGGGGTCCTCTGCAGCATAGATGAGACTTTCAGCAGGGTGTTGTAATCCTTGAGCTGCGACAAGACGTTGAGCAGAAGGACGATGGAGCGGTTCATGTGAGAGGCAAAGCTACCAGGGCGATCAATTTCATCCACGGGGATGCGCCAGATTCCCTGCACAGGGGAAGAAACCAGGAGGAAACCATCAACGGTGGGAAGCAGATGTTGCAAGCGATAGGAGGGCTGTTTGCCCAGGGCAACAACCTCAAAGGGAGCCTCATATTTAGGCATTTATTTTTTTTAATTTTTGGCATTCGGTGAGTTTCACAACCTGTTTTTATGCACACCTGACCCAAATGTGGCACACGCTCACAGCTAAAACAGCATTTGTGAATATACCTCATTTTATTTTTCATGCCTTGTTTTTGGGTTGCCACTTTAATTTTTATTCTATCTAGGGGGCCTCAAAAGCAGAAAGTGGCCAGGGCCTCTCTGGGTCTCTGAGGAGGCCTAGTGACAGCTTTGGACAAAAGTTTCTTCCCCACCTGCAGTTTCAATATATGAAATGCAACTGGAATTAATTCATTCAGAATTTCCAAGCTGAAACTGAAAAGCTTCATCAGGCCCAGAGAACATGTAAACAAACAAACCATGACATTCCATTGCAGGGCAGACATTCTTGATCTTAACTTTGTTATCCAAGACATCACGCAAAGGGCAAGTATAAGGACTTTTCTAGGCTTGACTAGAGCTATTTGCAGACCTGGCACAGCAAACTCCCCATGTAAAGGGAGGATTAAAAAATCCAGAGAAGATGCCCATTGAGGAGGTAATGTACACAGGACTCAAAGGGCTAAACAAACAGAAGTCCTGCAGGACTGTTTTTTTGTAAAAGGCTACACAAGTAATTCAGTTCCCAAGAGGCAACTGAATTCCCAGCCTTCAAGAAATGTTTTTTAAACAAACAAGAGTCCACAAAATGATGGAAGATTAAAAAAAAGAAAGGAAGGTGAAGAGTGTGTGCTGTGTGCCATTAAGACACTACCCAATGGATACCCCATGGCACTTTTGCAACCACATTCTCACATAGTCCAAAGCTTCTCCTTGACTAACATTCCATACTAACCATACATTCAAGGCGCATTTGAGTGTGCCCCCAAAGAATCCTGGGACCTCTAGTTTACCCCTCCCAGAGCTACAATTCACAGTGCCCTGAATAAACTTAGTTCTCGGGATTCTTTCGGAGGGGGTGGGAAATGTGCTTTCAATGGACAGACAGCTGCTGGCCAGCAGTTGTCTCCCCCTGTCCTCCTCCCTGTATCCCTCCCTCCCTCGTTCTTTCCATCCTCCACCTCGGCTGGACCAATTGGGAAGGCTCTCTGGGGCACAGACCACAAACACTGGAGCAGCCACCAGCAGCGCACCTCCGATCGGGCTCAAGGGATTTACAGCATCCCAAGAGCTTGGAGACAAGGACTCGTGTTTCCAGCGGACCCACGGCACCGCCAGAGAGGTTTCAGGAAAGGAGCCTCTCCGGGGCTCCACGCCCGGCCAGCGCTCCGTCGTTTCCTCACCTAGACCTCCCTGCAAGCCCCAGCCAGCTCTGCTTCCAGGGCCGGAAAGAGCCGCGCATTTCTTCCCCTGGGAAGTCAGAGCAGCAGAGCTGCGCTCGGCGCCCCGTCGGAGAGGTGACGCCGACTCGTCTTCCTCGTCAGCCGCGGAGCGGCGGGCCAAGCGATCGGGCTCCCCGGCAGGTGGCGGGCGAAGGGAAGGCTCCATCGGCACCTACGCAACCTAAACCAAGGCGACGGTAGCCGAGGAAAGAGAGCCGCGTCGCTGCTAACTGGAAACCCGCGCGATTTGCAGGCGGAGGCGGCGCTCCGCTCGGCAGGCCTCCTCCTCCTCCCACGCAATCCGGCCAGCCCAGGGGCCGCCCCCGCCCGCCTCCCGGGGCTTCCCCCGCAGTCCCCCGTCCAAACAAGGCCGGGCGCTGCGCAGCCGAGCCCCGAGGCTGCCTCGAGGCGGGGGCTTCCCCTTCGCTCGCTTGCTCTCACCATGCTGGGCACAGGGCGGCTCCCGGCAGCTGCGCGCCCTGGTGGTGGTGCTGGGGCTGGCCGCCCGCAAGGCCGCCTCCTGCCGCGCCCCGGAGAAGGCTCCCCCGCGGCGGCGCGGAGGCGAAGCGGCAGGCCCCGCGGAGGCGGCGGCGGCGGGGGCAGCGGGAGCCGCCGCGCTGCCCATCGCTGGCGCTGCCATCGGGGGCTCTTCCCCGAGACGGCGCCCGTCACGTGGCTCTCCGCCCCCGAGAAGCCCCGCCAGGAAGGCAGCCAGCCAGCGAGAGAGAGGAGAGGCGGAGCTCCCCGACACCCCCGCGCCGGAGGGAAGCCAGGGCGCAAAGCCAAGCGGCGGCGCCGCCAGCTTCTGCCTCGGCCGGGCTGCGCAAACTTCGCTCTCCCTCTCCTCTAGGGCACCCCACCAACGTCACCGCGAAGGACCTGCTGTAGCACCGCGGCCGCCGCCCGGCTCCCCCAAGCGTAGTTGCCCAAGCGCAGCCAGGAAAACACGCGTCGCCTCTCCGGGGCACTTTCAGGCTCCAGCGTTGCCTGCATCAAAGCAGCAGCGGCAGCTCTGCCCGGCCTTTGGAGGCTTCCAAGAATTTCTGGCCCGTTTCACGCTTCGCTCAGCCAAAAAAGCCCCCACCTCCGCATGGAACCAGGCACGGAGGACAAAAAAACTTCACCCCAGGTCGCTTTTTGGGGAGAGTCACCTGTTGTTTCTAGAGCTAACTCTCTCCAGCTCCCACTGAAAGGCTTCTATCAAGGCCCCAACAACAGAACCCAGGTGATTTGTTTGTTTTTTGGGTTTGTTTTTTTTTAACCAGCAAAATCTGCTGCCTGACCTGCACCCAGCACAACACCAACGCTATCGGCAGCAGCCAACTTGGTGGCAACAGTCTTCAGAAACTTGATTGGGTCATGAACGCAGCTGATTTCAAGAACATGACTCACAGTTTGAGCCCAGATCCCGTTTTTCTTTTTAAAACCTCCCATCAATTTTCAGTTTCTCCTTGTTCGTTTCTGTATAAGACATTTATACAATACTATAGAGAGAGACTTTCAGGAGCCTTGCCTATACGTTGCATGAAAAGAGCACTGCCATTAAGCCAGATTCTGGAAGAATAAGCAGCATCTGCCCCAGCCAAGGCTATTGCAACCTGCTCTAGGAAATAAGATGGACTGCAGAAGCCTTCATCCACCTAAGATGGGAAGCCTAAATCACTTGGTGATTAGGAGGATGCTGACGATGAAAGCAGAATCCCAACTACCTGAATCTCCTTAGAGAAGTACCAATTTCTTGGCACCTTTTTATCCCATTTTTTTTGGGGGGGGGGGGAGAAAACAGTGCCACAGCGGGTGACATTGTGCTGACAATCCAAAAGTGGAAGTGATGGGCAGCTGCTAAACCCAATCCTGACAGTAGTTCATTCTTATAAAAAGAGGCCACGTTATTTAGCTACTGTTCCCGAGGGAAAGCCTGGCCCAGCACACACATACGCCAGACACAAGTCAGGGCTCATATCTGCAGAACTGAACTTGATGACACAGTTGCACTGATCTGCAGATCCTATCCCAAGCGCACCTCATGGGGAATCCTTGCCTCGTTCCTGCTTTCTGACAGGAAATCATAATATGACCTCAACTCAATTGTCCACTGAACAAGCCAACAAGAAGGCGGGAATCTGCTCCTCTGTGCAGCTACAAGACATGACTGCTCATCTGCAGCGTAGCATCTTTCTGTTTAAAAAACCCCACACATCACAATTCTGTTTTCAAATCCACTTCAGTTAGTCTTCAAATGGTTCTTATCCATAGATAATATAATTTCCGTTCTAAACAAACTTGAAATGTCTGCTAGGAGGAAGCCCCTAGCACTAATGCAACAGACGCAACAAAAAGCCCGAAGAATTATATTGACCCAGCAATAGTAGCAACAGAACAAGAGCAGAGGAGGAGGAGAGAGAGTATAGCAGACGCAAACTTCTCCACCCAGCCCTCAAACTACCCTTGACTAAAATCCCTGTGAGCCAAGACGGGAGCATCCTTCCTTTGGAGCTGAGAATTGGGGTGAAGGCGGACACCCTCCGCAGACCAACCATAAGAAACATCCTGGTAGGTCCCCATGTTCCTTTCTCTGCTGGTAGAGAAGTGTCTCCACTCCACAGCAGAAGGAAGTAAATAAGGAGCCCCAGAATCCCAGAGCAGGCAGACCCCTACCTACACAGCACAGGACCGTCAGCAGCACCTTCTGGCCAAAGGCCACACCGACAAAGGGGGACCTGTCTGATGCCCAGTGAATGGTGATATGGTGAAGTCTGGGTAGCCCCCCTGTAGATTTTCTTGAGGGGAGGCTGATATCTGAATCCTGCCGATGGGAACCATCATCACCCCTGGTAGAGAGTGGCCTGTGATCCCCTATGAGGCTGCATCTCATAGGCTAGCCCAGCTTTTCTCAACCTTGGGTTACCAGATGTTGGACTACCACTCCCATCATCCCCCTCTGCTGCCTATGGAAGATGAGACTTGTAGCCCAACAACATCTGGGAAGCCAAGGCTGGGCTAGACAGAGACTTGCTGACTCCTCCTACCCCCCATGGTGCATGAGTGAAGACAAATGATGAGCTGTCAGGGACTGGGAAAGTGGCTGTATGTTGGATGCATATCTGGATGGCCCTGCATATCTGAGACTTCTTGGGATGGAAAAACACTGCACTGCAATCTGTAGGAGCCAGAGCTGACTCCAGGCTGCAACACCCCCATTTCTCCTGGCACATGGAGAGGTGAGTGTGGATTGCAGAAGAATCAAACCCTGACCCTTTTCTGGCAGAAATAGCTGCAAGGAAGGAGTGTTTGAAAGATGACAACTGGCCCAGGGACACTGACCCGGGGGCAGGGTGATATCCTGACTCCTAATGGCGGCAGCGATGGCAGAGAAAGGAGGGGAATTGGCTGGTTTCCCTCCAGGCTCTCCCACACAGTGAAGCAATTCCAACCCCAACCCTTTAAGGGGTTGGGGGCGGAAGGCTGCTGAAAAGGCTCAACTCCCATGCGGAGGAGGAAAAGGGATTCTGGCGGCAACAGCAGCCACACATTTCACGCATCCCTCCCTGGCAGACCTAGAAAATTCTCTTATTGATGAAGAGGTAAAAGATGACGGGAAGGTTTGAAAAAGATGATGAAGAATAAGAAGGGGGAATGGGTTCTTCTTCCAGCTAGTCTCCCGGGGGCGAAAGTGAAGAGCACCCCAGCGTGGCACAAAACCAGGGAGAAGACCAGACCCCAAGGAATTAGCCCTGCAGCAGAAGTCACAGCCAGCAGTGTGGATCTATTTCTTTTTCACACAGTGCTCTCATAAATGTTTTACAGAATATGGCACCAGGCATAATATACATGATCTAGGACGCAGCAGATGGAGGAACCCTTTGGCCAACCCTCTCTTGCTCTGCTTGGTTGTTGTCCATGTAAAGTGAAATAATCATGGACCGTATGGAGCAAGTTGATCTGACAAGGCAAGGAACTAGAATTCTAGGATCATAAAAACAACCATTTAAAAGAAAAGATGTTGACAATTTAACTCAGCCACCAAAAGGCATGGAAATCTTGTGTTAAGGACTTCCGTGCCTTGGAAACATTAAACACCTTCAGTCGTGTGTGTGTGTGTGTGTGTGTGTGTGTGTGTGTGTGTGTTTTGCTCACTGTACAGTACAATGTGGCCTCTAGGCGGCACCCAAACAGCTTCTGCCTTGATCTTTCAGCCCCAATTTTCTCTCTGTCCTTCACTACAGCTCCAGAATAGCCACCAGCATTCAGGCTCTGCTTTAAGGTGTGGAGAGAATGTTACATTTCTCCCCACATTGCCCTTTATATCAACCCTGCAAGAAAGACCATTTTACAAATCACCATCAGACATGAAGGCAACTTAAGGGTTGCAAAATCTCTTTTTCTCTCTTCTACATACACACTTCCCGCCCCCCCCCCCAAGTTCTGCTTGGTTCGGTGTTGCTTAAACTCAGGTGCATTTGCCAGCTCCCCTCAATTCCTGTTTCTGCTTTTATATTTCAGTACTTATTGACAGGGGGACATGGGTGGCGCTGTGGTCTGTGAGCCTAGGGCTTGCCGATCAGAAGGTCCCTGCTCCTGCCAACCTAGCAGTTCGAAAGCACGTCAAAGTGCAAGTAGATAAATAGGTACCGCTCCAGCGGGAAGGTAAACGGTGTTTCTGTGCGCTGTTCCGGTTTGCCAGAAGTGGCTTAGTCATGCTGGCCACATGACCTGGAAGCTGTCTGCGGACAAACGCCAGCTCCCTCGGCCTTTAGAGCGAGATGAGCGTGCAACCCCAGAGTCGTCCGCGACTGGACCTAACATGGCCTCATTTTTTCTTTAATCTTATGTGTGTGTGTTAATTTTCTTTCTGTGGAGTACTGCTGTCAGGCAGAAAAGCAGGGCAGAAGCATTTTACTTAAAGAGAAGAGCCTGCAAGACCCCACCACAACCTTCCTCAGGCAGAGCCTCTTCTCCCTTCCAGGGGCCAACTAACCAGTCATTCATTCAATAAGTTTTTTGTGCTAGCCAAAGGCCATGACAGCTACTAACCGGTCAACAAGCCCTCTCTACTGTAGACAGCTTCATTCACAAGTCCACCTCATGCACATGTGGGAGAGCAACAGAAGTTTGCTAACAGGGTTCAAGCACCTTCCTTAGTCTGGCCAGAAACTCTTGGGAGCTCAAGATGTGTGCTAGCCACTGAATGGGAAGGATGTCAAGACTCTTTGCCCTCCCCTTGGATCTTTCCATGCAGGAGAAGAAAGCAGTTGTGCCTCTGTTAAGCATCACTCCTCCCTGGTGGGTAGGGAACACATTTTGCTTTGCTGCAAATTCTTCTCTGCTTTGAAGGTGGCCTCCTAACAGACTTACCTGATGAAAAGGAGATGTAAAATGAGAAGGGGGGGGGGATTAGCTGCTCAGAGGGCACTCTTAATTGGGCAGTATACAAAAGATGTAAACACAAACAAACAGCCACAAGTTTCAGGTACAGGCAACTTACATTGAAGAAATTGGTCTTGTTCCTCTCGCAGAAGAGACCCTGTGCTGGCATGTGCTTCAGCTGCTGCCATGGGAGACTGCTGCCTAGCAACACATCGCGAGCCCACTGAAGATTCTATATAGGACAGCGCAGGGGAAGCAGGAGTTGGAGGGAGAGAGGTGGAGGGGATGTTTGGTTATTGCAGATGAAGCCTCCTCTTTCCTCCCTTCCTTTCCTCTCCCACTGCTCAACCAGCACATCTGCCACAGCCTCCCCCTGCCCCTTAGGCCCCCAGGCCTGCCTTCCTCCCCTCCTCACAGTTAAGAATGTTTGTGAACATCCCAAGACAACGCAGCAGCTCCCTCAATGGCACCAGAGGGGAGGGTGCTCCGTGCAACAACTGGTGTTTAGTCTCACATTTGGTTCAATGAGGTGATGGAGAGCATGTATATAGCCATGCAGAGAAGCCCCTCCCCAGCCTCAGGAGAGAAGGGTTGGGGGCCTCCTCGTCCAGCGAAGGACCAGCCTCATTTTTCCAGAGACCAAGCACCCAGTCCCCGGACCACTGCCTGGGAACAAGCAGGGGATACACCCAGTGCCCCTCCATACTGAACAACCACAAAATTTGCCTCCCCGCTCCCCGATAATGCCAGGCTTTTGTAGTACAGTTGAAATACATATTTTCAAATTGCCAGCACCCCCCATAACTCCAATTTCTCAACAGCCCTCCCCACCCTGGTGCCCTCCAATGTTCTGGACCCACTCCTGCCAGCCCCACCATTGTACCCTGTGCTGGCTGGGGCTGATGGGAGCTGTCTGGAAGCCCTCTGGAGGGCTCTAGGTGGGGGAAGGAAGCCCTGATCGGTTGCTCACCTCAACTGAGCATTCTTATTGCTTCTGTTAATTTGAATGCCTCCACATCAAAGTGCATGAACACCGAGAGTACAAGAAGACTCCCAAGGCGAGCTTGGAAGCCTTAAAAGCAAACAGAAAGTCAGGCAATTTTGGGGAATTGTGTGCATACAAAACATCAGCTGAGCTGTGCACCTGGAATCCAAGCACAGAGCACAGTGCAGGATTCAGCTGCCTGGTAGCTTTCCCTCTTCCCTGAGCCTGCTTCTTTGTAAACCAAGTGCTTATTGGCTCCCGAGACACAGGCCTGCTTGTATGAGAGGGGCTGATGCCTAGCAAAATCTCAGAAGCTGGGGAGGGGGCATGAGATGTTTCATAACTAGGAATGGGGCTTTCAGTGCCTAACAGCTCCTCCCTCCTCACCCTACCACCACCAGCCAAAGCAGAAGCAGTAAGTGAGACAAAGGCGAAGTTTGCTGAATTCCTACAATTTCCCACAGGTTGCAGGGTTTAGCTGTTCTGAACACACAAATGGGACGTCGTCATACAGTGGTGCCCCGCAAGACGAATGCCTCACAAGACGAAAAACTCGCTAGACGAAAGGGTTTTGCGTTTTTTTAGTCGTTCCGCAAGACGAATTTCCCTATGGCTTGCTTCACAAGACAAAATGTCTTGCGAGTTCTTGCGAGTTTGTTTCCTTTTTCTTAAAGCCGCTAAGCCGTTAATAGCCGCTAAGCCGTTAATAGCCGCTAAGCCGCTAATAGCCGTGCTTCGCAAGACGAAAAAACCGCAAGACGAAGAGACTCGCGGAACAGATTAATTTCGTCTTGCGAGGCACCACTGTACAGAATTAGTTATTTATTTAGGTGCAGAACTGCCAGGAGGTAAGAGGCAGCAAACGGCTGCAGTGGGTATCCCTCCTCATCTTACCGGCCATATCACAGCCAATACAATGGCCAGCACAGCTACACTAGAAGTGCACGCTCAGCAGGCAGTCACTACAGGGACTGTGCTAACATTGCCCTGTCATATGGACACTGCAAAGTCAGCTTCTCCCTGTGGAGGTTGAAGGTGGGGAGCAAAGGAGCAACTCCTGCTCATTCCAGGTTCTAACTCACAGGATGATGCAGGGGCAGCTGGTTCTTGCTTTCAGGTAAGGCCAAACTGGAGCGTTGCTGCTGTGGCAAAGAGCAGAGGGGATTTTGATTTCGTCCCAGAAGATCTTGAGAGCTCCTGGTTGCTGGTGTTGCTCCTCCCAGTCCCAGAGCAGAGGCTTTCCCCGCCACAAGGCATTGCTGCTACTGCTGCTTAGGGAATGCCACGTGTCCACCACCCACAGGGGCTCTAGGCCTGGACAGTGAGAAGAGCAATGTCACGTGAGAGGGGCAGCGCTCAGCCCTACTCTCCCACCACCACCACTTACCTTATGGGTTGTGCTGTAGGCATAGAGGTAGGCCAGCCTGTAGAGACTCTTGTAGTGCTGAGGGAAGCGGCTGAGGCAGAGGCGGAAGGAGGTGATGCAGTGCTCCGTCAGGAACTTGCGCTGCTCCTCCAGGTCCACGGGGAGGCTCTGGGGAAACTGCTCCCCACTGGGCACAGCCCGCCGCTTGGTGTCCCACTGGGAAAGCGAGGGGGCAGGGGCTTTGGGGGGGACCCCGGGGGGCGGGGCCTGATGGTCCAGCTTCTGCTCAGCCACGTGGCAGGACTCTGAGCTCTCCAAGGGCTGCTCCTCCGGCTTCCCTGGAGTTGTCAAAACAGATAGGGCAGCATCAGCATCTGCTTTGGACCCAGCTGACACAGAAGCCACCATCATTCTTCCTCCGTCGAAGGATGTTACAAACAGTTTAAAAAACCCCACAAATTTGAAGATAAGGAAAACCCCATGTGCGCAAAGACGTGAAATGCACGGCCAGGAGAAGACGTTCCCTTGGCTTGTTCTTGCTTCCGTCAGAGTAGCTCAGGAGAGGAAGGAGGTGCTCAGGACCAGTCGGGAACAGCCTCGTCCCTCTCTCCTAGGAGGAATCTGCTGACCCCCCCTGCCCTCAGTCCGCTATTCACTACTCCTTTCTCTCTGGCAGCAACAACCACTTGCTGCTGCAGGAAGAAAAGTGTGCACTTGCTCCAACTGCTCAAGCTGTGCTAAGCAATGCGCTCTCTCTCTCTCTCTCTCTCACACACACACACACACACACACACAGACACAGATCTTCACACACCAGGAATGACCTACCCTTTTCCTCTGCAGGTCCTGGGGCCTCTTTGCCAGCAGCAGTGGCGACAGCTTCCGAAGGGGACACAAAAGGCCTCCTCTCTGGAAAAGGCTTCTTCGCACTGTCTTGAGAGTTGGCAACCTCAGTGAACATGTCTTGAGTGGAGTTGGAATCAGAGAGCACCACCGCCGTGCTATCCTGACTCCGGTCTGCAGGAGGGAAAGGAGGGCAAGCATGAGGGGGCTCCTAGGGCCGTCTCTCCACACCAACTTCCACCCACCTTGTACATCAAGGACTCGGTGCCTCCTCCTCTCCTCCTCCTGCTCTTGGCCTTATCAAGGCTGTGCCTGCAATCCTCACTGCCCTTCCTCCATTTCCAGCCAAGGCAGCCCATTCACCTTTCCTACCCTTAGCCTCACCTTGCTGTTTCTGCATATTCCATCTAGGAGAATTCAGCAGTTTCCACATAAAGCATCCCCCCTTCAGGAGCAATGCTCCCTTTGAGACACAGCGCTGGGAAGCTTTTTTCTCTGGAAGCAAATGGATGGCATAATCCAAAATCTGGTCTGGTTCTACCAGGACTCATTCGCCAGGGGCAGATTTTGAATGCCAATATTTCCAAATGCTGTGACAGTTGCAACGTTACAGTCGGAAAAGATCCAAAACGGACTTTTCTGTGTAACACTGCTGCTGCTAGATCCTTGACACAGGAACACTGCAGCAACCCACCTGGACCTGACCAATGAATGAACAGAGACCAGGAACAGGTGCTGCAGGAGGCATTTCTAATCAAGATTCCTGATTTCACCCAAAACCAGAGCTTTCCAAACTGTGTGTCACGACACATTAGTATGTTGGCTGCAGTGTGTAGGTGTGTCGCACGAACCTCCCCACACTCCTTCCGTGGCTGGAAAGGGGCAAGATTAACCTCCTGTTTGCTAGTAAAACTGAATTACTGTGTTGTGAAATGATACATGTCTAAAAAGTGTGCCACCAACATGAAAAGTTTGGAAAGCTCTGCCCCAAACCCTTTTACAAATGCAATTGGACCTTAATGTTGTCTTAGGATGTTCACAAAAGTGTGTGGGAGGGGTGTGTGTGTGTGTGTGTGTATGTTTGTTTCTCTATTTACTCTTCTGCCAAGTAATAATTTCAAAAACTTCTATTGTAGGGTAGCCAATTGGAAACTTTTGCCACTTCTGATGATGTACAGAAGTTTTAATATGTGAGGAAGGGCTCTCTTGGCCTAACCTGTCACACAAGACCAGTGAAATCCAAGCATTTTGTGCCCTCCTGAGACATGCAGCAAAAATCCTTGTGTGGCTGGAAGCCAGTTTGGAAAAGAAGATGCCTTAGAAGTGGGCAGATGGTGGCCAGTGCAGCTTCTAATAACCCACCCACCTGCAGGAGTCTGCCAAGAACTGAGATGCCCCTTTCAAACTTGATGGGAAGGGGGAGGGAAAAGACCAGTTTTTTTTATTAGGCTGAGTGCAAAGACATGAAGAAAAATGCAGGTGCAGCAAACTTGCAGAAGTTACATAATTAGAAGCAACTGCAAGACAAGGCAATGGAAGAATTGTCTGCCTAAACAGGAGAGCTGTATTATCAAGATGGTGAAATTCCACGGATAAAAAAACGAAAACCACTACAGATGAAGGAATGCCACCAGTTGTGGCAAAACAAAAAATGGAAGATCCTGCAGAAGCTGCAGAGCTGCAAATTAAGATCTGGAGTTCCCAGAACAGTTCCCAAACATAGTGTCAGGCAAGTGTCAGAGACAAGGAAAAGCTCTCAAAGGCAATTACAAGCTTCCTCTGCTAGTGAATCTTCCTGTGGATATACCACTAAGGGTGGTCACTCGGAAGGTGGCTTCACCTACTAGAAGTTAAGATTCAAGAACTGAAATCCAGTCAGCAGGAAACAACCAGCTCTCTGTCCAACATCTGGTCCCTTTCTTTATGTCATCTTTGAGCAAGTGCTCCACCAAAGTGTCAGTAGCCGAGTAGGAGCCACAGAGGCACAAAAGAAAGCTTCACCTGCAACTGATCAATAGCACCAAGAGGGGGTGGGAAGGACAACTTTAATGCAAGCCCCAAACACCAAAAGACTAAAGCCGATGTGCAGCCTAAGAGTAGAGCTGCCTCCATCCTGCAGAGACCAGCTTTGTACTGCATGTTAAGAGGCAGTGCCTGTTCAGCAGAGCCAGCAGGTCTGTGAAAGACACCAATGAGGATTCATGGAATTGTAGAGTTTGAAGGAACCCCAGGGGTCATCTAGTCTAACCCCATTCTTCTTCTTCTTCTGGCACTTCATTCTCACCATGGGTGCTGTAGAAGAATCTGGGTGGTGTCTAGGATGTTGCAGAAAAGGCATTACACATCTAGGAACAAAATATTCAAGAGGCTTTGGAGAGATTCGGCAATAGCACTGCCATCCTACATATCAAACCACACCAGACCACCATGTCGGAAAGTCTTCGGAGAGAACCATCCCCTACCTCCCTACCTGACAATTTGGGAGAAGAGCTCTCAGATCATACCGCACAAGCCAGGACGTCTGTGAGCAGAATATGCAACACAGAAGAACTTGGCTCAATTGATTCAGAATGGCACTGCTTGTTTTAAAAACAAGAAAAGCAGAAGTGTTGCCACAGGCAGACGATGCTCTTCATTTTCACCAGCCACTATATCTGGGGAAATGTCCAGATGGAGACTCGCAAAACCAAGAAATGTGGGCTAGAAGGCCTGGTGTGTGGATCAGGCCTGATGTGTGTTCTCATGTCTGAATCCCATTCCAGCTGCAGGTTACAAAGTCATCTCAAAGGCAAGTGTATCACTCTGAGATTATGGTGTACATCAGGATGCTGCAGTGGACATACTGCCAACAAGACGACCTACATGAAGACCACCCACCTCAGAATACCTCTCACACGGTCACATGACATAAGGATGTCACGGGAATGTCATAGGGATGAGTGCGCATTTCAAGCATTATTAGCAGTATCTGCAATTTTTCAACTGTATTCTAATTATGTATTTTAGTATTGTTTAGCATTATCCTGCCCCCCCTTTTCTGGTTATACTTAGATTATAAATTCTGCAATTAATTTTTGGAAATTTGGAAACAAACTAACGAACAAAAGCATATAGACAGTGTGCGTAAGGCTTATACAGAATTTAAAACAAAGGATCATAGTGGCTTTTATTTGTGCTATTTGAAAGTCAAGGACCCAACCATGGGAACCAGCATTTTCAGAATCCGTGCATACCAAATTTATGTTTGGCTAGTTAAAACCCGCCCCCCTGCCCAGCCACTAATGAGCCTTTGCACATCTTCTAAGAGCCCTTTTCCAGAAGTACAAGGACTAGGCTATGAGTGTTAATGAAAGACACAACATTTGCAAAAAGCAGGGTTTGGCATGGTCAGAGAGTAGGGGATGATGGGAGTTGTAATCACCCTCATCCAGGAGGGGACACAGGCTGCCCATCCCTGGCGCAAAGAACAGAACGGGATGGAGGCAGAGCATGTGTTGGGGGGGGGGGCGGGAATCCAAGGGTTGCAACTCATCTCGAGGAAGCTTTTCCAGAAACTGGATCTCTACATTACCACAGTGAACAGATTCCTCATCCCCCAAAGCGGTTAAGCTGCAGTTCTGGCCTATTGTTCAAGCAAGCCGTGATGGATAAAAAAGCAGGGAGAGAATATCTATGAACAGAGTTTTTAAAAGGGTTAAGGCAGCACGGGCAATATTGGTTACAAAGGCACAACAAACACACAAAAGACAGCACGGAAAAAACGACGACGACAACAAGAAAAGCGACATTTAGTTGTACAAAGAGCACCAAATGACAAGAATGGATGCTTTCTGCTCTACTGAATGGATGAATGACACGGGCCTCCCCATGCATTTACTGCAGAACAAGTTAGAACACTCTGCTACACAGCAAACACGCTTAAGACAAATGTGACACCAAAACTAGACGAATCTTGGAAAGGAAGTCTGTCAAGTCTCTTGCCTGGGACAACTGGTTTTCATTTTAATAACTTCCCATTTCTATTTGCAACTTCTGGACTGGACTTGGGGGTTCTTGGCTACTTAACCGTTACTAACATTCCTCATTCAACCAGCTGTACCTTACTCTACCTCAGTCACTGAGAATTCCAGGATATGGCAAAATCAAGCTCTTTTTGTCAAAAGGATTCCGGTTATGAGTCCCTAAACCACACAGAGGCTGGGCTTATATGGCAGCCCCGACGCCGCTGGAAGCCAACTCTTGTGGACATGCTCACAGGGAGCAAGTAAAATGAGCCGTAATTGCTGTTTACGTTTTATTCAGAAGTAGTGAGCTCTATGCTGGAAAGACCGAAAAATGGACAACAGCCGAGCCTCTCTAGGGAGGGGATGCCAGAGTTGAGGCTCCATGCCATGTATAATACAGTATGTCAACCCTACAAAGATTACTGCAGCCAGCCTATCTCTGCCCAAGAACGGCACCCATTAGCAAGCCAGCTTGTAAAAGGTACTCTGTGCCCCCAAGAGACAATGAGGGATCAATGAGCTTCCACCCGCAAGCTGTGGACTTCCTCTTTCAGAAGAAGGCCACCTCCATCCAGAACAGATTTCGCATCTGTTTCCCAGGCCTGACAATCACCTCTACACACACTGCCTCTGTCTTGTCAGGATCCAGCACTCTGTTTATTGGCCCTCATCCAGCCCGTTATCAAATCCAGACAATGATTCAGCAGGTGTGCTTGCAATTGGCCATGGGTGGGACCATTAAACTGCACTCCAGAGTTTTTTGGTGGGTTGATTCAGTTAACAAAAATCACAAAACAAATGAAAAGATAATACACCGTTAACTTAAAAAAGCAGCATAAAAACATTTCAGAATGGCAATAAAAAGACTGAAAGGACCAGCAACAATTATAAATTAAACAGGATGCTGGTATGCTTTAGTTATAAAGCTCTCTTGTGACTTAAGAGGCAGTACGTTTCAAGCTCTCTTGTGACTTATGAGGCAGTACGTTTCCAAGCACAATTCAAAGTGTTGGTGTTGACCTTTAAAGCCCTAAATGGCCTCGGCCCAGTATACCTGAAGGAGTGTCTCCACCCCCATCGTTCTGCTCGGACACTGAGATCCAGCGTCGAGGGCCTTCTGGCGGTTCCCTCACTGTGCGAAGCCAAGTTACGGGGAACCAGGCAGAGGGCCTTCTTGGTAGTGGCTCCCGCCCTGTGGAACGCCCTTCCATCAGATGTCAAGGAGATAAACAACGATCTGACTTTTAGAAGACATCTGAAGGCAGCCCTGTTTAGGGAAGTTTTTAATGACTGATGTTTTAATGTATTTTTAATCTCTGTTGGAAGCTGCTCAGAGTGGCTGGGGAAACCCAGCCAGATGGGTGGAGTACAAATAATAAATTATAATTTTGTTTGCTGATGGGCTTCACTTGGGGCATCTGATCGGCCACTGTGAGAACAGAAGGTTGGACTAGACCGGTGCTTGATCCAGCAGGACTCCCATGTTCTTAAGAAAGAAGACAGGTGTTCAGCAAGACAGAGAAACTGAATTTATTTTGGGGGCTGGGGTAAGAAACCTAGAATAGTTATGACCATGTTGTGAAATCTCTGGGCACAGCAGGTGTCCCAAAATCTTCAGAGTTTTATGATGCATGCAGCATAACCAACACAAAGGAATATGAGCAGAGTGGGAGTTTTCTGTCTATTTGTCCGGTATAATAGAGAAGATATCGAAAGAGCAAGTCAAAAACTGTGTCTCAAAGCTGAACGTAGCATATGGGCAAAGGAAGAATGAGGCCAAACACAATCCAAGGTCTTTCTCCTCCTATTTCCTGTTGTTACTACAAATTAATTAATTAAGAAGAAATATTGGGGGATATATTTGACTGGAACATAAATGGCCTATATGCAACAAGTCAGTTTCTTATTATAACTTTTTGGAAGAAACAAAATGTATCCAGGTATTCCTAGAAGGGATTAATATTTTCAAATCAGACACTCTTTAAATGTGTTTGGAAATCCAGGCTACCAAATTGGAAGTAGGTGGTGGGTAAAAGGGCCACTTAGTTACACTCATTAAGCCTTTTCTGTATCCTGCTATCAAGAATTGCAGCCATTTCAAAAGAAGTGGTATTACAATTTATGTTAGTGGTATTGCTAAGATATAAAGTATGGCTTTGGCTGCAGGAGAATGAGAATCTTATGAATTTGCAAAAACATTGCATCGGTAATGTCATATGTGATTCCCACATAAATATTGTTTTATAAGCTGACTTGGAATAACTGTTGGCATTGCGGATAAACATGTGCTGATTATATTCATATTTTAAAACTGCCCCCTCAAAATAATTAATTGGCAATTGATATTATACTATGTTAAGCAGCTAGAAGAAATTATTACTAATTGCTATTATATCTCACCTGCCCTCCAAGAAAGTCAAGATGGAGTACATGGTTCTCCTCCTTTCCCATTTTATCCTCTCAACAACCCTGTTAGGTTGAGGGACTGTGGCAGGCCCAAGGTAACCAACCATTGAGCTTCAGAAACAGCAATAGCTCACTTCTGGGGAAATGTTTACAGCACCATCGACTTGGCTTCGTAGGATATTGAATGTTGCTATAATGATAACACGAACATATGCTTATCCATGCATGGGAGAAGCCAATATAGGAAGATCAGTTTACTGAGTAATGGTTTTTATGGATTTTGGTTTTTGGAAAGAATAAGTTAGTGATGATACCTGCCCTTAGTCATTGTTTGGGAACACTTTTTCCTTTCTCTGTGCTTGGGATATACAGTTTCTGATATACAGTTGTACCTCGGGAGTTGAACAGAATCCATTCCAGAAGTCTGTTCGGCTTCTGAAACATTCAGAAACCAAGGCGTGACTTCTGATTGGTTTCCGATTGCACAGGCGCACCAGAAACAACAGTGGAAGCAGCACCGGATGTTCGGCTTCCCCCCAAAATGTTCGAAAACCAGAACACTCACTTCTGGTTTTCGATGGTTTGGAAGCCAGAACATTCCGACTCCCAAGGTGTTGAGGAACTGAGGTACGACTGTATACTGAATACTTTTGACTGCTATTTATAGATTTATGTACATAGATATATGTAGGGTGTAAGGGGTTTATAGTTAACTGCATCCTCTCAGAGATTTGCTTAGTCTCAAAGTCTGGTTTACTGGACTGCTTTAGTCTCTCTCTCTCTCTCTCATACACACACACACACACACACACACACCATTTCCACTCTTGGGTCTTTGCCCCCATTCCTTCTGGCTCCTGAATTACCTTGAGAAGCTCTCCTGAGAACAAAGCATGGCTGGAGTGGAAGTCCTGGCTCCGGATACCCACATTATAAACTGCCATTACTCCTGGGAAGAGCCACGTGTGGCCTTTGTGGCACATCCAGTGGTGTCTGCTTATTTTATTTTGATTTAACCAACATGAGAGATACCCAAAACCAAACCAGCCCAGCACACCTAAAGAGACAGCTTCAAATTCAGTGCTGGCTTTCCTTCCCAAGCAGCTTTGTGGGATGGCTGTGAGCCCAGAAGCAAAGCATTTCCAAAGCACCATTTCAAAATAGACATGCTTTTGGGGTTTTTTTGGACAGAACTGCAAACATCCAACTTTTGTTGAGATGTCAGCATACCCCTCCCGAAGCCCAAAAGGGAATAATGCCAATATGATGAACCCACTTCCCAGGCGATGCAGAGCAGGCAATTCTATATTAAGCTGCTGCTTCTCTGCCTGGGACGTGGGCTGCCAGGTCTGAGCCAAATCATTTTCAGCTCCTCTGTGCCAACAACGTTGTAAGATGCGACCAGCTGTGCAAGGCTTGGTTGTTCCTTTTGGAAAAATCCTATTGTTCCCTGGCTTTGGCCAAAAGGAATTCACACTTGGCACCTTCCACTGCGGTGGCAGCAGTAACTAGATACCTGGACAGAAGCAGCAACCCCAGGAACGAGGGCCAGCTAAGGGGAAGGAGGTGAGGAGGAGGCGGCTCTTCAAACTGTCCTTTGGGTTTTGTCAAAGGCAGGCAACTCATGCTCCCAAATCGTTCAGAAATACATTTGACTTTCAACATGCACAACCTACAGAACCCGTGAATCTGCCTTATGAAGCCAGGTCAAGTGATTTGTTCTTGTATCCTGACATTCTCCCCTCCAACTAGAAGCAGGGCAGTGGGGCTGCTGTTCCCATCACCTGCCACTACCCAGTCCTGCTGCCAGGGCCTAAAATCTTCTGAATACAACAAAGCAGGTCTCCCTAGTGCTATCCATGGGGGATTTGTGCTCATGGAAACAGACAGAATTCAACCAAACCATGCCAATTAAGGCACAAAATAATCTACAGGCCTTAACCCTCCAGCCCAAATTTGTTTCGGAATGCAGATATACTGCTAAAAGGAAACAAAAATTAGCACAAAAGCAATACTAAAAGGGGTGAGGCTAGTATTACTGTGACACACTCAACACAAATGTTCTCTACCCCAGTCTGAGATTGACAGCATTTTGCCATTAAGACTACTGGGTTATAATGTGCATCAGCAATGGAGATGAGCCAGCCAGTTTAGAAACTTCGGAGGAGGGGGAAAGGAGGGGAGAAGATGTAATAATAAGAGGAGGAGGAAAAGTTGTCAGCTGAAGCCTCTCCACTTCATACTGCGAACATGACACTCGCACGGTTGCCACCTGCCTCCCATTGCCCAAATGGCAGAGGTCTGGATTTCAGAACTGCCCCCAGGACAATTTGCCTACGAATCCCACAGCATTCAACCGAGCCTCGAAATACCCTTGAATACAGATCATCCAACTGTCTTGCCCATTTAGGTTGGATGGGAGGTGGCGACCTTTATGAGGTTAATAATGAGTTGCAATATTGCCCGTGTTACCGCAGCCCCATCGCCCTCCTTGAAGCAAGCAAATCTGCCGAAATGAGCCCCCCCACCCTGATTACAGCACCTCTCTGTGCCGGCAGTATTGAGAACAGGGACTGTACCATCCGGTGTTGCCTGCTGACGGTTTTTTTTACATTTGACGTAATCGTGGTCAACTGGAGTAGCTGTGTAGGGTGGGGAAGTCAGACCTGGACCGGATGAGGAGGGGAGGGAAGTCCCTGGGCCCGGCACAGTCCCGGCAGAGGAGTGGGAGTCGTCATCCACCAGGCAGAGCTTTTCTCTGGAGGAGAAAGAAGGGAGGGAGGCTGTACTGACACACGGTAGCACCTATTACAGGGGGTGAGGGCTACCACTCAAATCCCTCTAAGGAGGTCTGTTGTCAGTGTCTGGCAGTTGCACTTTGGCTCTGCCTGGAGAGCCTCCCTGGCCCAACCAGCCATGGCAGGCAGCAGCTGCAACTGCCCCACCTGCTTGTGATACATGCGTTCACTTTAAGCTGTTTTGGCGCTGGCAATGGAGCCTCCCATTTAACCGAAGCTCTCCCATTGACCCTGAGAAAGTCAGCACTCACTTTTCAGTTATTTTGGGGGTGTTCTTTTCATCCCCCCTGGCGAAAGGCCCCTCGGCAGCTTCCTTCATAAATGTGACCAGCATCTCAGCATCCACCCCAGAGTTGGGCTTCCCCACAAGCTTCAGAATGGAGGCATGAAGCCGAAAATAGACCTAAGGGGAAGAAACAAAGGCAGGGCAACAACAGCCTAACATATTATAAATGTATCCCAAAAAACCTAGCTGGCCATTTACCACTTTATTATCCATAGCAAATAATTACATGTAAAGACGCCTGCTTGCTATTGGCAGTGTAAGAGAAAGAGGGTTGCTTTCTGCAGGATTGGGAGAAAGAAGCTGCTTTCCTGGAAAAGATGACAACTGGGGAGAAAAGCTCTCACCACCCGTCGGAAAAGGGGCAGTTCTTGGAAGCTGCCACAAGTGATGGAGCAATAAAGGAGGGAAGAAAGAGCAATGGCTTGACCTTTGGACTGTATTTTTGAAAAACACTTTAAAGCTGCAGTTCTAAGACTTGGCCGGTGGTGGGTGGGGGTCACTGCCCAGCTCTCAATAGAAATCAGCCATATGAAACCACATCAGCGCTTGAGCTGGCGCAATTTCCTCCCTGGTTTAGGGGCATGTCAGGGGGCCGGAAAGGCTACAGATCCTTTGTATTCCTTCCATCCAACCCCACCCCCGCCCCCCAAAACCCCCACCCCAAGCAAGTTGCCTTCCAGCCCTGGCAAAGTCAGGAGGGCAAAGGCTGCAGATGCTTTAATGGTGACTCCCACACTAGCTCTCCCTCTCTGAGCTCCTTACCCGCCCTTCCTAGAGGGGGATCAGATGCAAAGGGAGGTAGTGGCTGCTATAGAGAACTCCTGCCTAGAACGTGCCAGTGGACCTTTCCCTCAAGAGCTCCGAGGGTTTTGTTCTGCTTCAAGGCCACGCCTGGCTGGCTGGCTTCATTGCTTTTACCTCCAGGGCCTCCATTGCAAGCTCCGGCGGGTTATGATAGTGGATCTTCTTGGGGTACCTGGCCGCTTCCTCGTGCAGGAAATGCCCTGCCTGCTTGTAGTGACGGAGGTAGACCACAGGCGGCTGCTTCTGCTTTTCAGCAATCTTCCCCAGCATGTAGTGGATCAGCCACTCCTCCTCGTCTCCATCGCCCTCACAGTGAGACGCTGAAATGAAGCAGTGCTTGGCCGTCTCCAGCATGCCGTCGCGCCGCTCTGCCATCTGAAACATGGGGAGGGAGTTTCAAGCCTTGCAGCAGCAGCAAGAGCTGCTGGGGGTGGTTGCATTTTTGGGTCTGGTGAGCCCCCGCTTCCCGACCCCGGCCAGGGCCTGCAAGCTCCAGCTCAGCCCTCACCTGCTGCACGACCTCAGCTGGCAGCTCCGACTTCCACTGCTTCAGCTGCCTGGAGGCGAAGGAGTGCAAGGCATAGGACATGGTGCCGTACTCTATCCACAGGGAGAGGTTGGAGCCGTCAATCTCCAGGGCTCGCTTGAAGCAGCTCAGAACAGGGGTGGCGTGCTTCCAGATGAGGCCGTCGCTCTTCAGCTCGTTGGAGTTCAGCTTGTCTTGGATGCGGCTGGCTCGAGCCAGCGCCATGCCAGCCCAAGAGTCAAACCTGGGAGAAGAACAGCACACAACAACCCCCCGCACCTTGAAAAGTTCAGTCCTGATCTCTCCACCATCTCACTTTGTTATATCACAACAGCCTTTTTGTGTTTCTTCTAAAGGTGTTTATTATACCCCATCGTCAGTCACCTTTGCAGCCCTGAACAGTTTGTGATCAGGGTATTTAAAAAAGACCACCTCCCTCCACTGGCTCTTGCGTTCCCTCCATGGCTACTGCTGGGAGCTTTTCAGCTCAGGTGCTCAGATTTTAGAAAGCTTATCTGGACACGCACACAAGTTAGCACTTCCATGACAGTCATTATCCTGTGGCAGGGATTCAATCACATACCAGTAAATTTAGGTTTGTGCAATTAAAAAGGGTTCATGTGTTCTGGCACAACAACACACACCGGGGGGACTGGTTGTGCGTGCCTCTTCAAGGCAGCAGATGCCAACACAACCACAATGTGCCAATGCTCAGGGCACAGGGAAAATGCAAGCCCAAATTCAAGGGGCCCTTACATGACACACACACACCATCCAGGAACCAACGACGGAATGACCAGGCATCTCATCTGGTGTCAGGGGTTCACTAAACTGACCTGTTAGGGCAGATGCAGATGTCATGCATGTAGAACTTGATGGCCTTAGACTGTTCCTTGTTCTTGAAGTGGTAATCTGCGAGGAGGTAGTACAGCTCTGTCACCACCGGAGGAGAGTAGTCGGCACCCTCGGGGAGAGCCGGAACCTGGCAAGGAAGGGGAGAATAAGGATGCCTGGGCTTGTCGTGGGCAGAAGCTGCCAACCCCTGAAAGTGCCTGTGGGAGGAGACTCCTCACAGCCTTGGGGCTCAGTGGAAGGAAAAAAGCTGTTGAGAAAACTGCAATTGGCTTAGCATGGAATGCCATCCTCAGGCCTCACATTATTCTAATACAGGTGTGGGAAATTTGTGACTTTCCACATGTAATTGGACTCCAGCTCCCATCAGCTTTAGCAGCCAGCATGGCTCAGGGATGACGGGAGTTCATAGAAACATAGAATTGTAGAGCGAAAGGTCATCAAGTCCAACCTCCTGCAATGCAGGAATCTCAGTTGTAGTGTAACAGCTTCTAGAGAGCCAAAACAGGTTCTAAAGGAAGCAACAGATGAGAATAAGACTTCGAGAGAGCTTAAACAAAAGAACAGACATTACAAAAAGATGGAATTCAATTACTGGATGCCCACAAGGCAGTGAAGTCACTTCTCCGTTACAAATAGCCTGTATCTGAATGCACCAGCAAACTAGGCTCATTGTTGACAAATGCATCCCCCACTCCTCCGAGAAGGAAGGCAGGAGCCCCAGCAGCAGCACCCCTCCCCCTTAATCACCCCCCAAATGATGCAAGAGGCTTGTACCTTGCTCAGAGTCCCTTCAATGTAGCTAGACACCTCCTCTATCCTCAGCATAGGCTTGTCTGTCCGCGGGACAATGGTGGCCATCTTCTTCAGAAGGTTGGCCAGGTCAGCAGACACTGTACTGGTTTTGTAGCTGTCAAATTCAGGAAGGGTCTTGGGCTTGAAATATTCAAACATGAACAAGGCGTCTTCCCACATCAGATCCACCTTGGAAAGAAGGCAAGAGATGCATCAGGCCTTGCCAGGAACAAGAGGAGCTAAGTCAGATTTCGAGTGTACATCTCAGTCCAGCTGCTTAGCAACATAGTAAGCTGCCTTATGTGGCTGAGTGGCAAAGGACATGTTGGTAGAGAATGAGGCTCTTAATCTCAGGGTCAAGGGTTCAAGCCCCAAGTTGGGCAAAAGGATTCCTGGACTAGATGACCTTTGTGGTTCCTTCCAGCTCCACAATTCTTTGAGTCAGGCCACTAGTTCATCAAAGCCAGGAATGCCTACACTGACTGGCAGCAGCTCCTCCAGGTTTTCCAGGCAGGGTTCTCTCCAAGCCCTGTCTGGAGATGCTGCTAGACTGAACCTGGGACCTTCTGTGTGCAATGCAGATGCTTTGCCACAGAGCTGCAAATGCTCTTCCCCACACCTGGGAGGAGGAGAAGGAAGACAAGGTCTACTCTGAGTCCAGCATTCCCCCATGCAGGTAACAAAGATGTCCTTGGGGAGTAGCCAAGGGCTGCTGCTTTCCATCTCCAGCTCGTGGGATTCCAATCTCTGGAAGCAGAGAGACCTGCCTGTCACTGAGCATCCTGCCTTTTCTCTCCGAAGGAGACCTGAGACAGTCTCACCTGCTGCGTGGAATGTTCTTCCAGGTACCGAGCCTTGCTCTTTTTGCTCGGGAAGCTATACAGGCAATAAAAGCATTGCTCCAGAGCCGTCTCCAGCTCTTCCTTATAGGGATGGGTGTCCTCGGAGGTAGAGGCCAAAAGCTCTTTTTGCAGCACCCGTACCTGGAATGACAAAATTCACTGAGGTCAAGGCTACCGCCTGGGCAGGGGACGGCTGAAGAAGCCTCGGAGGAAGCGTGCTGCTTGGTGGGTGAGAATATGAAGGAACATTCCTCTCTCCGCATGAGTCTGTGTTCCACAGATCTCTCAACGAGTGGGGAGAGGAAGAGGGTTAATCTGGGCTATTTCAAGGAGGGCTACTCACATAGAACTTAAGAAGGGCTCCGTCTGAGTTACAACACCACGATCTCCTCCCAAGGTATTCGTGAGCCGTGTTCAGTAGCATCAGGGAAGAGGGCAGCATAGGAGTGTCCAGATTCTGAGCTGCTGATGACAAAATGAATGTCAAGTAATTGCTGGACAAACAAAAAGCCACAGATCTGGTATGGGAGGTGCATGAGTCAAATGGGCAAGAAGCAGCTGGCCCAGCCATACCTGATGGCCCCTGGACTAGCCCCCAAATTAGTTCCTAGCCCAAAATTCCCTTATACAGGGAAAGACCCAGTTGTTTTATTATGTTCACCAAAAATGCTTGATGTCTGCTCAGAACAAGGAAGTCTCACAATAAACATTTTTCTCTGCAGGAACCTCCACCCCAAAAACTCAATTTTGTTAGGGTGGGGAGAGGAATATTTGGTCTCTCCAAGTGGGAGGGGAGATTTGGGGATGGTGGTAGAAGCACCTGTTATGGCAACAGTAACAGTTTCTACTTCCACACCACCACTACCCTTTACTAAACAGCTCAGGAGATGGTGGCTTTGGAAATGGCAACAGGAGTTCTGGCTGCCGTCACACTTCCTCTCCGCCCCCCAGCCCTGGAGTGCCTCTGGAACGATGCTGGTGTGGACATGTGAACATCATTCCATGGGCTCTCTGAAGCATAACAACGGAGGCTGGAGTAATTCCACCTGTTTGTTAAAAAAGAAGGGGTAAGGGCCATCTGCCCCGGAAAATTTTTTGAAGGCCCCAGAATCACACCCCAAAGTAATCACTGGCTAGCCAGTTCCAGCAGCCCTTTCACTTGTTCCAGGCAACCTCCAGCCTGAGAAGGGAGAACCTGGAGGGCTCTTGCACACAGGCAATGTTTTGCTACAGAGAGCCACTTCTAACAATATGTTTGTCTTCCGTGTACAAGAATCCAGTGACAAGACTGACAAAGAAGGCTACAAGGGACGTTGCCATTGATCTGCATGCATTCTGGTGCTCTGTCTTTTTGCCTTGTTTTGGCAGGCACAGATTTCCTGAATGCCCAACTCAACCTCTCATGGAAGAACACAGCCGCTTCCCACGCACCGCAGAGGGCACAGTTGTTCCCCACCTTCCTCATTTTGGCTCTGCAGCTGCTGCTCCTCCTGTTGGCAGCAGAGGGAGCGGAAGGTGTCTTCTTCATGCTGAATGATCCTGTGAAGAATAATCCAGGGAAGCACCGAAGACACAGAAGGCTCTTTGGGCTCCTCCTGGACAGCCATGCTGCAGTCGATGATCTGGGGTGGAGGGGTTTCAAGGAACAGACGTGGGGCAAGTTAAACCCACAGAGGGGACAACATTCAGCTCTTCTAACAGGAACATACTAATGACAGGCATTCAAGTCATCACCCAAGTGGCCCCAGAATGACCAAGCTGGTTTCAGGCTCATAAAACAATAGGGGATGTTCTTCACTTACACAAACATGCCCCCCTCCAAATTCATCAGGGGCTGAATCTGGCTGCACAACAGAGCAGTAGGAAAACTGCTTAGCCATGTAGCAACACTAAACCACATTTCCAAATGGATACTGGCAGAGCCATGCGCTGAGCAAGACTAACCCTTCCCTGAGCCAACCCTCTCCTCCCAAGAGAAACTCATGGCAGCAGCCAGGGCAGAAAGGAATGGTCAACAGGGGCAGCCAAAGTGTGTGAGAGGGTGGAAGGCTCTTTAAACACACACACTGCCAAGGCTGCATAGAGCCTTCAGCTGCCACCCAAGTAAGGATGGAAGCTGGAGACTTGGGAAGAGGCTGAGGAGAGACAGAGAGAAAGAAAGAAAGAGAGCCCCTCAAAGCAGAGGGTGGAGCTGAGCTCTAACCTAGGAGGGAACTAGTATTCGTGCTCTCCTTCCCCCTCTGCCACTACCCATTACGATAAGTCTGGTTTGGTGTTTCTCCTTCTTGCTTCTCTTCTAGCGGACACTGTTGAGAGGACAGGAACTCCAACTGCTCTTACAGCCAAAGAAAGGGGTTTGGGGTTTAGCTTTTGCTCTGGATTATGCAGTACCTTCCTTTCCCCACTCCCACTGGGAACCAGTTTAAGGGCCAAACCAAGGCCATGAGCTGCCACTGGGAGCTGGAAGACCTCCAGAGCTGCCCCCCTCCTAAGACCTGGCAGGCTCCCATTCCAATGCTCTGTACTCAGAGCCCCTGGGGAATGACCCTCCTCCCCTGGCTGCTTTTGATATATTAAAATGACGTTCCCCCCAGCAACTGCAGAACAGACCCTCATGTCACCAGTGGCTCAGAGAAAGGCTGCCAACAGGTCTCCTGCTCTCCAAGAGCAATGTGGGTCCTCAGGCAAAGAGCGGGATACCTGGACGAGGTTGCTGGTCAGTCGGACCAGGCTCTGCAAGGCTGGCGGCTCCTCCAGGCTGCTGCTGTCCGAGGAAAGGGAGCAGTCGATCCCCGCGAGCAGCTGCGTGACAGTGGCCACCCACTCCTCCTTGGCAGATGCCTCTGTCATGTTGATCATCTGCTGAAAGGCTTCGTTCAGGGCAACTTCCGAGCACTCAAAGCACTGCCGGTAGTCCTGCAGCTTGAGCAGGGAATCCTGAGGAGCATTGAAGAAGAAGAGACGCCTTGGAGGAAAATGTACAAGAGCATTTGCAAGACAGCTGCTGGGAACCTTTCCTAGATCTGCACATGGAAGGGCAGTGAGAGGCACGCCCATGTAGGCTCCCTATGGAGAGGGCACCGGTGCTTGTGGCAAAGAGCACTTGGGCCAGAAAGGCTGAAAGATGCGGACAACAGGTTCCTGTACACCCTCCGTTTCTCTGCGTTTGCGTGACGTGACCAGGATAAACACGAAGCACTGCATAAAAGCCATCAAGAAGACACCCCAAGGACTCCTCAAGAACCTACAAAGAGCCCTGCTGGATCAGGCCAATGGCTCATCTAATCCAGCATCTCTATCTAACAGTGGCCAACCAGGTACCCTCAAGCAGGACTTGAGCACAAGGACACTCTCCCTCGCCTTCCCTAACCCCATGGTTTCCAACAACTTGGGTGTTCATTTCCTTAAAAACAGCTTCGAACAGCAGCACACCCAGAGCGCTTTCCCCTCCGCACAGCGAAAGGAACTAGCACCGTAATGCCAGAGTCAGCCCAGTGAACCTGCTGGTTGTTTTGCTGGCTGCTGTTTCCTGGCAGCCTCTGCTGCAACCATCAAGGCTGGCTATGCCGGTTTGGCCTTCCCTGCTGCCCTCAGACAACCCCACCTGCAGCAGGAGCAGCTGAGCCGGCCTCTCCGGAATGGAGATGACAAATTCCAGGTGCTTCGTCCGGCCGTATCCGCTGAAACACAAGGTGGGCCGCAGCAGACGCACCACCGCTTTGTAGTCGCCGGCCTCGTACAAGCGCTGGATCTCCTCCAGGGACTGGCATCTCTCCAGGGACTTGAGGTTCTTCTCAATCTGCAAGAGTCACACACTGCATGTTGCAAGGGGCAATCCTCTCTCACATGTTCCACAAGCAACAGAATTAGCTGCTCTGAAGGCAGCAACGGACCAAGGTGACAGTAAGGCAGGAGCCCAACTGAGGGACACATACTGCTTCATTTCAGTTTTCAAACCAGAACCACAAATCACAGGTAGTTTAGTCAAGCATTTATCCAGACTCAAACATACGAAGCTTTCTGAGACAAAGTTGAGCCAGTGGCCCACTTAGCTCAACAGTCTCCACTCTGACAGGCAGAGGGTGTTTCCTTGAAGGGCTGAACCCGGGACTTTCAACACACAAAGCGCACACACACTTTGGTAATGGGGTCATGGCTGCTTCCATGTTTGCATCCCCGGCATAACTGCTATGAGTTCATCCTCACAAGGAAGGCAAGTGCAGCCAGCCTCTTGCAGTGACCCAAATGTTCCCACATCCAGCTGGTGTTACCTCTTCCAACGAGACCACAGAGTCCACATGGAGATTTGGCAACCGGATCACCACGTTCTCGTCACCAGCTTTGGCCTGCACTGCAGCAGAGCTCTGGAGCATCTCTGTGCAGACGTCATAGTTCTCCAAGGCCTGCTCCATGTCCCCCTGGGAAAGCAAGCAGCATGCTCAACTGCAGCCTGCCAGCTAAGCTCCTTCCCCCAGCCAGCCCCTCCCAGGAACTCCATACCTCAAGCTGCTTTTTGCAAAGCCTTTTGCTCAAGGTTTTTTTTTAAACTCACTCTGCCTTTGTACCCAGATTTCCACTATAGCCTCACAGAAGAGAAGCTGTGTGCCCAATGTCTAAAGATCTAAAGCCAGTAGTGCTTAATTAGGTAATCTGCTGCAAACACCACAGAAGCTGTGCAGCACCAGGAGTCCCCCCCCCAAAAAAACCCCCGAAATACAAACCTGCAGGGCCAGGAAGCGAGCCTTCAGCCAATACACCCGAACCACGAACTCCAGCCAGCCCTCCTCAAAGAGGTCTCGCTGAGAAGAGGCAAATGAGAGCTGGAGCAGATCCCCCAGGAAGTGGCTGCCAGGGAAATCCGGGCCAAACTTCCCGTTTACAGAGCTACCTGCAGGGCCGTTCCTTGGAGACACTGAAACAGTTTATTTCACATTTCAGTACAAGGTTCTAGGCTGAGAGCTCAGATTCTTCACAGCTCAAAGTCTAAACAACAGCATTGGGAGCAGAGAACCCCAAGATCTGCCGATTGAGGAAACATAACAGAGAAAAACTCGCTTCTCTTTTGCAAGGCATTGGGTTTGCTTATGAAGCAGTGAAACCCCAGAAGCTGCCCTGTCCTGCTCCAGGTCCATCTGACCCAAGTGGCTGGGGACTCTCCAGTCTCCTCCAACCTGACTTCAATGCCAAAAGGTCAACTTGGGAATGTCTATGTGCAAACCTCAAGATCGACTACCAGGCCCAGCTTCTAAGCTCAAGCACGTGTTTCCTGTGGGGACTCGTATCTCACCGGAGGGAGTTTGCAGGACCTTTCCTCGGAGGAAGCACTTGCTAACACCCAGTGCTCACTCACCCATTGAGCTCTTCCCTTTGGTCAGCAGCCACTGGTCAAGCTGCAGCTCCATGCAGGACAGACTCATCAGCATCATATCCTAGAGCAGAGACAAAAGTGGGGGGTGGAGAGAGGAGGGTTAGGAAGGCATCAGGGGATTGGAGGGGGAATCATTTGCAATTTGCACCTCCAGCAGAAAAACCCTTCTTATGAGAAGAAGCAGTGTTGACTACAGTATTTGTGAAAGATCAGAAACAGCAGCTGAAAGACATTTTGCTGCAGAGAGAAGAAGCATCAGGAGGCGACTGGCCCCCTGGCTCGCTCTTCAAACCTTTATCACACGACACCTAAGGAAAGCTTGATCCTAAAAATAAAGGGAGCAGAGGGCAGGCAGTGAGCATCTTGCCAGCTAAGTGTGTCCTGATGGGAAAAGTTTACTCCCAACTGTCAATCAAGATACAAACCTGGAGCCAGTGGAGATCCTAGGATACCTTTCCCATGGGTGATTTTTTTGACAGTATGCAAATCACCCTGAGAGCCTTTTCAGCTGAAGAGTAGGGTAAAAAAACAACAGCAAAGAAGCAGAGACATGCTCTGCGGATCGTAGCCCATGCCTGGCACCATATCTCTGGCTACCAGACACAGCTCCTGCTATACAGGAACTAAGTCTCTCTCACACATGTACCCTTTAGAGGTGGTGCTTGGGTGGCAACAGAGCGAGGTGACCTCCAGAAGTATTTCCTTACCCTGATGTGCTCGTTGCGACAGTCCCTTAGCAGCGGATTGGGGAGGCTGCTGCTGTGCTTCCTCCAGCTGTTGTAGATGTTCAGCACAACCTCAGCCAAGCCCGGCGGCCATTTCACAAGGAACTTCAGGCTGATCACTTTCAGGTACCTCATCATCAACTCAAGGATGCCCCCATTGTTCAAGTTAGCCAAGAGGAAGTTATGAACATCCTGCTTCTCTGGAAGAAAAAAGTTAACACAATGTGCATGGAAAGAAGCAACCACTTCTCCCCTCCCCAGCATCCCTACATTCTGTGACATCAGAGCAGCTCACCCAATCCGACAAAGGCTTCACCACAAAATTATACTACAGCTTCCAAATATTGGATCAAATTAATGAATTCAAATGTAATCCTTTTTGGGGGGAGTCCCTCAGCTGAAACACAGAAGCCAGGGGAAGTCCCTACCGTACTCCATGCATGTTGTTGAGTCACACGGCATCCTGTGGGTGCCCACATGCTGGAAATTTTCCTCCTTGGCCTCAGACTGGACCTCATAGCTGCTGAAAGGACCCTCGTCTTCTTCTGGGTCAGGTTTCCTCAGGCTAACAGGAAAAGCAAAACAAAGAGCAAAGCAAAGCATCAACGCTCTGGACCTTGCCAGCCCCTCACAAGGCAGACATCAAAACACACTCCTGTTATGGCAACTTTGCAAGCAACATGCAATTCCCAGAAGCAAGATTTATTTTCGCAACACACCAATCAAAATGGAGGGAAGCACCAGTTCCTTGTAACTGCTGACAATATTACAGGGATCACGAGAAGTTGTGTCCAGGAGAAGGCAGGCAGCCAACCCCAAATCAGCACAGTACTGCTCCAGCAGCCCATGCAAGAAGCCCACTGAGATGGTGGGCCTGAACCAAAGCTGTGCCAGAGGGGCTTTTGCCCTAGGTGAAGCCTCCAGAGAGGTGCCATTGAGGCTCCCAGTCTGTGTGCATGTATGTAAATGTGTGTGGCATGTGTGTATCAAACTGAGTCTTTGACCTGGGTGAAATAAAGCCTATTTTCACCCCTGGGTGGGTGGGGTGCAGAGCTCAGCAAGCTTCTCTGCTATTTTTTCAGAAGCACAACCACCAATCTTCCTTCCTCACCGTGAAGGAAGGAATTTCACCAGCAGCTCTTGGAAGTCCACCTTCTCTTCCTTTTTGCACTTGGTGTTCCGCACCCGAGCCGACCGCCTCTTGGCTGTCTCGCCGCTGTCTTCGGGGATTCGCTTCCGCTTCACCCCTTTCTTTGATCTGTCCCCCACAGAGGCATCCCCTAAGAAGAGCCAGAAAACGTCCAGGTATCAACTCCTGGCCCCAACAAAGACACACTTGATCAGGACGGCTTCCCCTGAACTCTGATTTGCAGAAAGCAGAATTCTTATTGCCACAGAAGCCAAGTAGGGGGAGCCAGAGGAGCAGTGGCAGCCCAGAAGACACCTTGCCCCACTCCCCAAAAAGGTGGCTGCTGCACCAACAGCCACTCCATAGCAGCAACAACATCATGACCACACAGAATCTCTCCTCCCCATTCTCCAGGCAAATGTCCTCCAAAAGCCCCTGGAAGAGAAGCTTAGCTCATCCACCTGGCAGCTGGCTAGGAGTTGTCTCTTCTGCCTTCCAGACTCTCTTTGCACCATAGACGCCACAAACCAACCTATCATAAGCATCCTACCACTTCTCCCCGCTGAAGACCAGAAGGCCAGCTCTACTTCCACTTTATTAATTGGTCTATGAAGAACAGAGCACAATGATTCAGAAAACCCTTCAACATCCACCCAGAGAACATATTCATGTAATGCATCCCTCACCTGCAGGACTGACAGATTCCAGAACACTTGGACTGGGAAAGGTGGGCGTCACTGGTGTGTATGTTAGGAGTGGCTCCGTCACAGGCATCTGGGGATTGGTGCTGACGGGGTTGGGCTGTATAACACTGACGGGAGCGGAAGTTGCCGGGACGTCAGAGTGCTGGTCTAGATCTTGGTACTCCAAGAGGTCAATTCTCTTGCCCAGGCTGGGCCGAGGCGGCTCACAAGTGGTCAGGTGTTGATACATAGCCAGTAAGCTCTCGCCGAGACACTTCCACCTGCAGGACAGCACATGACAGACAACCAAACACAAGCTCAGCTCTCACCCAGGGGCCAGGGCAGGCAATGCTCCCATCTCCTTGCCTTTAAGCCACATGCAGAAATAAGGAGAACGTTTGGGAGCAAGGCAGCCGTTTTCCACAAGGGACCAAAAGCCAATTGTTCACAGGAATCATTAAGGAAATATTGCTTTACGTTCACTCTACAGTTGTCAGAGTAAGTTCACACCCACTTTAGACCTACGTGAAAAGGGGGATGGGCTGGACAAGCTTCAGGTCTGGCTCCCTTTTTCGCACCAAGAGTGCCTGCCTCTTCCTGCGCAACTCCAGAGCTTCCTCGATTATCGTTCTAGTCTCAGACGGACTCACGTTGACATTGTGGACTGACAAGTCACTGGAAAAACAAAAGAAGAAGCAAAGCAGCTGTTTAGATGCTTCCGTATCATTTCATAGCCAGGCAAATTCCTTTAAATTTAGCAAAATTTAAATTACCCTGCTGAAAGTAAAATAGCTTAATTACTTGGACACCCATTCAACAGCAACTCTGGAAGCTGCATTTCAACAGCATGATGCCTACAAAACGGTGGGTTCATTGTGGCACTCTCTGCCTTTCCAATATGGGAGAAGCAGCTTTAGGTCACAAACTGGGGACAGAACAAACCTCTGGGAACTGGCAAAGAGGCTGCATGTCCTCATTTTGAAATGGAAGCTTCTGCCACTATTCCTTCTGATGTGAGACAGAAGCATCAACATTCTTTACCTTCAATTTTGGAAGAAACTCACCCTTTGAGGAACATCCTCAAGGAGTCCTTCCTGAGGCATGGCTGCTCCTCAAAGATCTTCTCCTTGATGACCAGCCCTTTGCTGTACAGGCAATCCCTCTCCAGAGCTTTGCAGATGAAATACAAGCAGGCTGAGGGGAAGAACAAAAGCCACAAATTAAATTCATCCTAAACTCTTTTTTTCCATATCGGAAAGTCACGTGCATCCCAAAGGAGCATTCTGATAGTATACAGTGATGTGGCCTTCCTGGAGCGGGTGGGATATGCTAAGATCCAATTTGGCATGTTTGTAAACAGAACTAATGAATATATCATTTCATTTCACATGCTGTATAAATACCTCAAAGGTTTTTCCAGTAGCCCAAAGTGTTGAACTAAAAATATTTGATGGGGGGGGGGCACATAAAACAGTAAAGTACACCAAGTATGGTGACTTAGTTTATATTCAAACACATTGCCAAGTTTTTATTTGAAAATTATTTTTTCCTTAAGATGTAAAAAATGTATGTTCAGACACATCAAATCAATACCAAACATTTCTGTTACACAGAGCAAGCCATAAATAATGGCTTACTGAGAACACAAGTCAATCATGCCCACTTTGCCCCACCATACTGACACACGGAAGAGGCAGGCGCACGGAAGAGAGAAACCATGGCCCCTAGCTTAAGAATTAGGGCCGAACCAAGGATTGTGGTTTGTTTTGCTCCCAGCTAACCTTGTTCAGTAAGCCAAACACATTTTTTGTAGGGCCAGCCTAGGAACTGAGAGCTGCCAGACCCTGGCACTTTGTGTTTTTAGTTAAAGAACAGCTTTTAGAGGGCTTCTCACCTTATGGTGTTGATGCCATTCCCTTTATCACCAACATGCAAGGAATCATTTTCCCTTATTGGTTAATTATTATTCTTTTGGCTTGCTATGTTAAGACTGTTATTGTCCGACTATTGTTTTAAGAACTGTTGTTTGATCTTGTGTTTGCATCTTTTTATATAACGCATGTTTTGATTTGTAAACTGATTTACTGTATAGTCTTTTTTTTAAATAGAGATTATAGATTTTTTAAAAAATATACATATAAACAGTAATGAACAATATCCACCCTCTAGCCCTCAATAGGAAATGACTAAACTACCAACAGCTTATCTCAAAACAAAAGAGTTTGCTATCAGGCTATTTTCACCCTCCCAACACCCCAAAAGTGAGCAACACCAACCCAAGCAATACAAAACAGCAACTCCAGCAGCTGCCTGTACCAACAGATGTAATGAGCTTTATTTGGAAAAATAAAACAAAATGAATACAACTTACTTGTGTAGTCACTGAGTGTGTAGAGAACTGTAATAAGGTTATCTAAACAAGGCCAGTGGTCTGGATTACAGGTGAGTCCTTCTTCAAAGGCATGGCGTGCCAGAGGCAGGCGCATCAGTCTGAGTGCCACATGCCCAATCTTATACCACAGGTTGACGTCTGTCGAGTCTAGCATTACAGCCTGGAAAACACAGTATATAACAATACACTTTTACATACACACACAAGTGTAAATTGTACCCACAATGGAACCTGGAAGTCGCACTAACAGTTTGGGGTTACAAGGCTCTAGTGTAAGAGTGGTGAATCCTGGATCCGGCCCACCAAGCCTTGGCCTTCCTCGTGGCTGAGTGTTGTAGCTTAGCGCCCCAGGATCCTCTCTGCTGCAGCATTAAATGCATGTGAGGCAGAAACTCTGGCCCTGGTGAGTGTGAAGGAGAGATGCCTGTACCTCCAAGTAGAACTCCATGGCCGTCTCAAAGTCATCGCGCTGTGCTGCGAGCTGAGCTAAGTTTTTGTAAGTAGAATACTTTAGCATCAAGCCCGGGTGCTTTAAGCCCTCCCTCTCATCACCAGATGGAATTGCCTGAAAATTGTAGACGAGAGATGCAGTTTGAGATAAAAACCTTCATTAATAACACAGAATGATTACAAACCCGCAAGGTGCCAGCGTGCATCATTCCGGAGCACCCGAGGGACTTCAAAAAGCAAAGCAGACACTGTTGTAAAATACAATCAGTATCCAATAGTCCACAGACCCACTACAACAAATACTAGGAGGGGCGGTTGCCCTCTCTCTGCTTATTAAGAAACTCCAGAGGGTTGAAGGCCCAGCGAGCTGCTTAACCAGCTCTCGAAATGGATATCTATTATCCAACCACTCAAATCTTCATGCAGAAGAGCAGGTGCTCTGCACGCAGAAGACACAAGGCACCATCTTCAGTGAAACAGGGATCTCAGGTAGCAGCTAACAGGGAAAGACCCTGGAGAGCCCCCAACAATTAAGAGAGATCGTTGAAAACAAGCAGCTTTTTAGCGAAATAGCATCTAAAGTCTAAATTCTTATAAAAATGAAGGTTTGGAAGAGTGGATCATCACACTACTGTCCTATGATGAGCATTCAAATGCTCATCAGGTTATTGAATAATCCTGACGCCCACTGAGCTTAAAAATGCTGGACATGATTCAGCGTGTATTTCACAAAGAGATGCTCTGACATTTGCCCCCACTCAGGAGCTTCCTCCCACTGGTATGTTATTGGTGGCTCACAACCTGGCAAACTTGGGGCCATCAAACTCCCCGAGCCTCAGCTCAACAAGAGACCTTCTCATGGTTGAGCCTGAGATTGCTGTAGGTCTCCACAAGGTGAGTGCTTGTAGCAGAGAGAGCGGACCACACACCCCACACCACCTAGTAGAAGGAAAGCTTTACCCACATTGATCCCATTTCACTGACCTCTCGCAGGAGGCGAGTTTCAAGCAGTTCATGGTAAGCTTTGGCAGATTCTTCGAAGAGGTCATGTTTCTGAAGGTCCAAAGCTTTATGGTACAAGGCAAATGCTTCTGCTTCCTAGAGATCAAAATTGACATTCTAATTAACTGACTTTGCTCAGAGCAGAAGAAAACACCAGCTCAGGTTTACAGCAGAACTTTGCTTACTTGTGCCTCCTTTGTCTGTGTTTTGTGGCTTTTAAAGATCCCTTCATGGTCATCTTCAACAGTGGAACTGGCATTCAATGCTGCAATCCTAATCTAGAAGTGGGACAAAAAAGCAGTAGTGTGTGCTGCTGATAAATCCATTGCAATGGGTGGTCTCTGACTTACTACCAGAATTGCAGCAGTTTCTCCCTCAAAACACCCATTAACAAATAGTAGGGGCAAAATATGGGACATCAGTAACCATTGTTGAAGGAAGAGAGCCAGAGGGAAGATACAGCCACCTTGCCAGGGAATAGTGAAGCCATTTGGATTACAGTTACTAACTTCTCTATGAAGAGTTAACGTAGAAGTAACAGTCGAAAAGCATGCACCAACACCAGATTAGAATACAAAGGGGAAAGAGAAGGAGAGTTCCCACACAAATAGAAGAGCAAGGCAGAAGTATCTATGGCGAAGCAGTATCCAGCTTTCACTGAGACCTGCCACCACAATGTTTTCTAAATAAAGGAGTCAATGGCTACTTTACCATCTTTGAAGAGACTCAGTGTTGCCATTCGCCACCTCTGTTGGTTCAGTTCACTCATGAATCTAAGGAGCAAAACCCACATAATTTATTGATCAAACTAGAATCGTCTGCTCTGCAACAGAGCACATTGCCACAGAAGGGCAAATGCTCACTGAAACACTGAAATATTACTTCCAGTTGGATTTAAAAGAAACCCTGAAACATCCCAAACTAATAGATGTCTATTAGTTGAGAAATACAAGGAGAAGGGGGCGACAGAGGACGAGATGGTTGAATGGTGTTCTCGAAGCTACCAGCATGAGTCTGACCAAACTGCGGGAGGCAGTGGAGGACAGAAGTGCCTGGCGTGCTCTGGTCCAGGGGGTCACGAAGAGTCGGACACGACTAAACGACTAAACAACAACAACAGTTGAGAAATGCAAGAGATTTCTCAAGCTCCTGTTATGGGAAGTAAACGAAATGTGGAAACCCAGATCGAGCTTGTGAAGCCAGAAGAGATGGCACCAAGTTGGTGCATCTACAGATACTCCCAAAACAAGCTGAGCTCCCTTCCCATCTCAAAAATCGATTTAGGAAGAGTGTCCACTTACGCAGAGGAAGCACAATCCTTTGGGTGTCATACGTATATGAACAAAACAAAAGGCCCAAACCAATGCTTTTATATACCACCATCAATATAAAGTTACCCAAGCAAACAAGAAGACAACAGAGACTGTCGCGTTACAGCAAATCAGAGAACCATGTCCACCCAGCACAGCACTGGCGGGGCAGCTGCTCTCCAGGATTTGAAGCAGGGAGTCTCTCCCACCCCCAACTAGGGATACCAAAGACCTGAGTGCCAGTCCCTTCTGCGTGCAAGGCCCTGTGCAAGCCTTTCATTCATGCTGCCCGGGGCTGCGGAGCATGGGTCAGGCCAGCAAGCCTTTGCAGCAGAACCAGAGTTCAAGAGGCAGGGCAGCAGCACCGGCAGGAACCGAGAAAGATACCAGCCTCTTTGCCCATCCGCTGGCTGCTCTGACTGGCAACAGCTGTCCAGGCTTGCAGAGAAGGCTGGGCCCCAGCACTTGCAGGCTTGAGGTGCTGAGCACTGCAAAGCCAAGTGCTCCGCCGCTGAGAAGCTTACCAATGAAATATTGACGGGAAGGGGAGGGGCGCTTCATGGCCTTTTAAGACAGGAAGCGGGAGAAGGGGAAGGCTTACTGAGCCTTCGGCTAACACAACGCCCTGGCGGTGTCTGCCACCTCGCTCCAGCGTACCCCGCCCCCCACTTCCGGGGCGGGTGCGAGGCCTGACTGACAGCCAGGCGGGGCGCCTCAGCACCTGAGGGACGGAAGAAGGGCCCGTATTGCCGCGCACCGGTGCCGCCAGCGCGACCTCGTGGACAGGCGGAAACCCAGCAGGTGCGGCGGGCCGGACGCGTCAGGTCAGCGCAGGCTATACCGGCTGGACTCCCGCCTGTCAGGGCGCCGAGCAGAGCCGGGAGGAGGAGCCGCCGCCGCCGCAAGCAAAGCGGCTCCTTATTGGTCCGCGGCGGCCGCCCAATAAGGAAGCGGGATGCTGTGTGGGGGTGGCCTCGAGGGGAGGGGGGCGAAAAGAGGGCGTGGTCTCCACCGAGGCTGCGCTGTGTGTTTTCCCGCCAAAAAGGCCGCCCTAGACCCAATAAAAAAAGAGAGGGGCTGTTCCGCCGTGAGACGACGAGGCTCGTGCATTTCCAGAAAGGGGCTCGTTGCAGGTTCGATTCCCGTATGGGACACCTGCGTATCCCTGCATTATTGAGCCCCCAAAGGAGATTTGGGGCTTCCCCGTTTGCAGCTGTTCCCCAAGCCGTGCAAAGCTACTTTTAAAATGAAGCTGCGTTTTAAATTGCATTTTAACCTGCATTTTAAATTGGGGTTTCCCCCCCCCCCATTATGTTTTTACTGTAATTTTACTGGTGTTAGCTGCCCTGAGCCCGGCTTTGGCCGGGGAGGGCGGGGTATAAATTTATTATTATTATTATTATTATTATTATTATTATTATTATTATTATTTATTATTATCTCCGCAGCCTAGCCGGAGCAAGGCCCGCCTGCTGCTGCTTCCCTGCCCGAGAAGCGCCAGATCCCAGCGAGGGACCGCGGCCCCTTCTTCTCCCGCCTCGGATCTGCCCTCTTGCTGAGGCCAAGGGCGGGATCGGAGCACGGGAATCATACTCCGGGGCTCCACCGGGCTCCGGGCTGCCTGCACGGACTGGCAGCATCCGAGGCTCGCCCTTTGAGGGAACTCCGACAGGGTTGCTGCCTGCCAGCCCTTAACGAAACCGTCTCCGGGGAGGGGAGGAGAAAACGGGACTCTGCGCGCCGTGTCCCGCAGCCGATCGGCCCCTCCCAGCGCCGGGAGCCGCGACCCCGCCCCGAAGGGGGCCGGTCCGGAGGGGGCGAGTCTCCCGGCGTAGCCAATGCCGAAGTCCGGAGGAGGAGGCAGCGGCGGCCGCGCAAAGGGATCCGGTACCCGGTAGCCGCCGCCTCTCTTGAGCCGCGATGCCTTTCGTGGAACTGGAGACGAGCCTCCCGGCGGCGCAGCTGCCCCGCGATCTGCCGGCCAAGCTGTGCGCCGCCGTGGCCACCATCCTGGACAAGCCCCAGGAGGTGAGGGGGCGCTGCCGGCCACCCCGGGGGCGCAGGGATCGGGATCCCGGGTCCTGCCGGCCGGGCAGAAACTCACTGTCTTTTTCCCCCCCTCTGGGTCTCAGCGGGTGAACGTGACGGTGCGCAGCGACGCGGCGATGGTGCTGTCCGGGTCTCCGGCTCCATGCGCCCAGCTGGTCGTCTCCTCCATCGGTGTGGTGGGCACGGCCGAGCAGAACAAGGGCCACAGCGCCCGCCTCTTCGACTTCCTCACCAAGGAGCTGGGCCTCGGCCCCGACAGGCGAGTCTGGGCCGAGGGAGGGAGGGAGGATCGAGCCCCGGGTAGGCAAGGAGGCCTGGAAGGCGAGGCTGCTCCTGGCAATCCCTCCAGAGCGCGCCCACTTCTCCTCCCTCCTCGCCGCCTTTCCTCTATCGCGGGAGGAAGGTTATAGCCGGCTAGAAGAAGCTGCTCCCATCCCTGCCTGAGCACCTTTTGACACTCTGTGACTGCCTCCTCCATAGGAGCAAACTCCTAGGGACCAGGGGTCTATGGGTGTAGCTCCGGTGGGGGCAGTCTCCCCCCCCCCATCAAGTAAAACAATGGGAATACTTAACTAATGGATCAATCGTGTCGGTTCTGCTCCCCTAACAGAGTTCTCCCCTCCCCCCAAAAAATATCCTGGCTATACCCATGGAATAGGTTTTGGCCCCCCCCAATAAAATATTGGAGGGAACCAGGCAGAGGGCCTTCTCCGTAGTGGCACTCGCTCTGTGGAATGTCCTCCCACCAGATGTCAAAGACAACTACCAGACTTTTAGAAGACATCTGAAGGCAGCCCTGTTTAGGGAAGCTTTTAATGTTTGATGCATTACTGTATTTTAATATTTTGCTGGAAGCCGTCCAGAGTGGCTGGGGAAGCCCAGCCAGATGGGTGGTGTATAAATAATAAATTATTATTATTATTATTACTATTTATTAGGGGGCTGCCCCCCCAAGTGGATGGGCATTGCCATTCAAATGGGGTGTGTGACCACACTATGTGATCAATTATGTTGGGCTTAACTGCCCCCCCCCTCGTATTTTATTCAAGTTGGCACCTGGGCAAAGGGTGCAGAGTACAAGGCAGGGAAAGGATTGGATGACACCTTCTGTGGCAGGGGCTGCCGCTGCCGTACACAACCTTGGGTGCCTTCCATGACTTTCCTTATCCTCTCCCACCCCCACAGGATCAACATCCGATTTTACCCACTGGAACCATGGCAGATTGGCAAGAATGGGACGGTCATGACTTTCTTGTGAGTTGGCCAAAGACCCCCGAAGACCAGTGCCAACATCCCCACCAGCACCTGGGACCCCTCTCTTGGGGGAAGGGGAGTTACTCATTTTCTCTTCAGACCCACTTCTCAAAAAGGACGCAAGGGAAAGGTCTCTTGCTGTCCCACCACCCTTCATTTTGCCTGAGCTCTCTCTGCCGCAGTGGGAGTTCTCTTTTACGTGTCTTGTTTTCTCGAAAAGCCATTGAGTCGCATCCCATGAACAATTAAAAAACACACGTGTTCCCTTCCAGTGCTTGTTTCTTGAAGATGACACTCGGCCTTCTGTTCAGCCATGACTGCAGGGAATATAAGGCTAAAGCCCCAGAGTTATTATCACGAGGGTCAGAAGGGTCGTAAAGCACTTTGCTGGCAGGTAGGTGCCAGTGGCAGGAATCATAATTGGAGAGAAGCCAAAACAGTCGCTGCAGCTTTGCCTCTTGATCCAGGGTTTCCTCCCCTCCCCCTTCCAAAAGGGCAATGAAACCTCAAGGTTATTTTTATGCTCACCCTTTTACTGCTTACCTATTCTCTAAAAAGTAAACTGTCCATTTGGTAGAGCTGGCCAAGGTCTCTCTTCTGCATAGCATTATGCACTAATACCCCATCCCCGCAAAGTGTTTGGCTGCTTTAAAAAGGTAAAGGGACCCCTGACCATTAGGTCCAGTTGCAGACGATTCTGGGGTTACGGCGCTCATCTCGCTTTACTGGCCAAGGGAGCTGGCATACAGCTTCTGGGTCATGTGGCCAGCATGACTAAGCCGCTTCTGGCGAGCCAGAGCAGCGCACGGAAATGCCGTTTACCTTCCCGCCGGATTGGTACCTATTTATCTACTTGCACTTTGACGTGCTTTTGAACTGCTAGGTTGGCAGAAGCTGGGACCAAGCAACAGGCGCTCCACCCCCCCCCCCTCATCGCGGGGATTTGAACCGCCAACCTTCTGATCGGCAAGTCCTAGGCTCTGTGGTTTAACCCACAGCGCCACCTGTGTCCCTTTGGCTGCTTTACCAAGGTTTAAAAAGAAAAAAGCCTGAATGTAGCTGGGAGAACACAGCTTTTAACCATCCTCGAAAACCTCCTCACCTACTGCAGGAATCTGTAGAGAGACCCACAATGCAACAGCTTCCTGAAAAAGGGGGCAACTGGAAGTGTTGCAGACTCCTGGCTCAAAGAGCCCCTGGCTGAGCCCTGCAAAGCACAGCAGACTCTTCCAATGTCACTGACAGGAGTTCCTGGTAGAGTTTTATGTTCCCATAGCTGGAACAGAGGCAGATTTAGGGGAGTGCGACCGGTTTGCCTGCATTGGCTGCTGAGCTGAATTTTGGCATTGCACACAGCTGAAATGTTAAAGCCCAAAGTCCACCACTGGCTGGCGGGTGTGATTCTGCACTTCAGGGCAAGCTTTTGAACATGTGGGATGGAACATACAAAGCATGACCATGTACCTCAGTATTGTCCGCACTGACTGGCAGCCGTGGCTCTCTAGGGAACATTCCCTGCCCTACCTGGAGATGCCATTGGGGGACTGAATCTGGCACCTTCTGCATGCAAAGCAGCCGCCCTACCACTCAGCTGTGGCTCTTCTGTTGACAGATCAGGAAGCAGGGAAAGAGACCCACAGCTCTAGGGGTCTGCGTGTGCTGGCAAAGAGCCCCTCTCTCACTCGTTCTTTGAGCTGCTTCACACAGGTAGAGATAGATGGGTGGGAAATGGCTCTGGGGACAACCAAGCAATCTGAGAGGGGCAGGGACTTGACCTGCCAATCCCTGCTCCTTCCCCAAAGGGGTCATCTAGAAACATTAGTTGCTGTTGAGCAAATTTCCAGGTATCAGCCAGGCACCAGGAACCAAAAAGCAGTCTCCCCACCTGCCCTTTTTGGTTTTCTGTGAAACAGCATTGACGAAAGAAAAGGGCAAACTCCATCGGGGACTTACATGGGGATCATTTTATCTGAGGTAGTCACTTTATGTTGGCTTCAGTTCCCCTTTAAAATGAGGATGAGGCAGACACATGCCTCGGTGGTTATGGGGATGATGTTTTAGGTAAAGGCAAAAAAAAGCCCTCAACGCTACAGTGAGAAGCACTGAGCCCAGGTGACTTGGCAAAGGTGCCCTGCACCTGGGCCCAGCCCATACCAATCTGCCACACCCTCATCTCACACTCCTGCTCCCCTCCCTCCCTATCCAACAGATGCTCACAACGGTACCCAGCCAAGAAAGAGCCAAATATTTGCAGGCAGTTATGAAAGCCTTTCTGCAAACTCTACCATTGTGACGTGATGGATCTTTCTCCAGAGGTCTTTGTAGCATAGAACCAACACACAGACACACACACAGTGTGATCCATCGAGGACTGATGAGCAGAAACTTTAAATTACTGTACATCAAAAGCCTTTTGTGGTTGTTTTCCATCTGATGTCCCTCATTTCAAGCTATGTCCCCTGAAAGCATAATGAGATCACTGAGGTCTCTTTCATTCCTTGCCCTCATCAAAATCTCCCCAAATTCCACAATTTGTACAGTGGTACCTCGGGTTACGGGCGCTTCAGGTTACAGACTCAGCTAGCCCAGAAATAGTACCTTGGGTTAAGAACTTTGCTTCAGGATGAGAACAGAAATCGTGCAGCGGCGGTGCGGCAGCAGCGGGAGGCCCCATTAGCTAAAGTGGTGCTTCAGGTTAAGAACAGTTTCAGGTTAAGAATGGACCTCCGTAACGAATTAAGTACATAACCAGAGGTACCATTGTACTTTGAATTCACTGCTTGCAAAATTGCTTGATTTATTATTCTAGGATTATTATTCTTTTTTGCAGCATTTCAGGTTATTTTTTTTCTACATTTAATTTGCAAAAGGTGTCAGTGAGTTCTTTCGCATGTGCATAACAACCAGTCACCCCGTGGCAGAAAACGTGGACCCCCTCCCTGACAGGGCAAAGCGGAAAAACCCAGGAATTGAGAAATACCAGAGCGGAGGGAGGAGCTTGTAGTGCCCATTTTATTTCATCATCTTCAAGAGAAAGGGCTTCAGTTGGACTTTGAGTGATGGGTCAATGGTCATGTTCCTCATCTCTTGATTGTTCAGGATCCGTGCGTGCGCTTCCGCAAATAGCTCCTTGCCCAGGAACACCTCAACCCTTTTGCGCCACTCCTGAAGCTTGGGTCGGCCCTCGAAGGTTTCCCAGCCGGCTCCCATGCACTGGAGAGGGAGAGAGGGGGCATATGCAGTCATCAGGCCTCCATTGTTCCTCCTGATCTCCACCCCAAAGACCTCCGGCAGGTCCCCTTTCAAGGAAGCCCTCGAGCAGGAGGGAGAAGACTCCTTTTCCTTTGATTTCCCCAGGGCTGACCTGCATGAGCTCCACGATGGCCACCAGGTCCGCCAGGGAGATCTCGGTACCAATGAGGAAGGGCTGGTCCCTCAGGAACTTATCCTCCAGCTTCTGCAGGTTGGTGGTTAGGTCCTCTGTGACATCGTGGAGCTTCTCAGGAGGCAGTTGCTGATTTATGAACATGGGGATCACTACCTGCCCCACAAGGAAAAAGCACCAAAGGTCAAAATCCAGAAATAGAGCCATGGTGGGAGTGGGGACAAACCACAAGAGAATAACATTACTGTAGGAATGATCGCTGGGTGTGGAGCACACTTCCGCCCGTGGGCAGCCTAAGCTGTCGGCACATGTGACCTTGGGGTGCGGAGCACACTCCCCCCCCCCAGACAAACCCACAGCTGTCTGAACATCTTGCCCTCTATCTACCCTTTTGCTCTCTTAGTGGTCTGCCGTGCCCTATCTGTGACCTTTGTCTCCTTCATCATACATTGTGCGAGGGGAAAGTGACGCGGTGGAAACAGGTGCCAAAATAACCTTGTACCACCCCTCAATCTCGGGATTGGAAGATGTGTAAAGGTCACAGTCCAAAATGTATCTGCCTGGTTTTGCATATTGTGCCAATAAAAAGAGCCTCAACAGAGCTAGCTGGCAGCTTACTTGTGCACAGCTCACCTGCATTACTAACTCCTGCCTCATGTCCTTCATTTCACATTACGAGGCCCCAACAGCATATTGTCACGGGGGCATATCTGCCCTCCAAAATGGGTTCGTTTGGTCAGGCAAATGTCAGAGACTCGTTCACAGCCCAACCAGGTGCTCTCCAAAGTTTGAACGGTTGGGTCCTGCCCCTTAGATGTTTGTTGGTGTCACAAAATTTGTAAACTGCCCTGAGAGCTGCAGGTATAGGGTGGTATGTAAAATCAATCAATCAAATAAACAAGAGACACTGCACTGGGTGCCAAATTCCGTGGAGTACAGGACCAGCCAAGCCTTGCAGAGGGACCGAGCCACAACCTCACCTTGAGCCAGAAGATCTTGGAGCAGCTGACATGGATGGTGCTTTGCTGCCAAGCCAGGAACTCATCGACGCGACCCCGCTTCTTCATATCTGGTGGGTACCAGTGGCTGGGTGTGTTGTACTTCCGGGTCAGGTAAAGGAGGATGGCGGTGCTGTGGGGCCAAAAGGCAGAGTTTGAGAAGGAGCATCCTTGCCAGGGGCACCTTTCCTAAGGTAATAACCTTAGCCAGGTAGGTGTAAATTGCCCCACAGAGATTGGGGGGGAGGGGGAGAGGAGGAGGAAGCAGCAGGTGGTCCAAATTCTTTTATTCATTTTCCTATCTATCTATCTATCTATCTATCTCTCTATCTACAGTGGTACTTCTTGTTGCGAACGCCTCTGGTTGCACACGCTCCAGCTTACGAGCTCCGCTAACCCGGAAGTAGCTGCTCCTCGTTGTGAACTTAGCCCCAGGATGCGAGCAGAAATACCAGAGGCGTGCACACAGCGGGAGACCCCATTAGTGAAAGCGTGCCTTATGTTATGAGCAGTTTCCGGAATGGATTCCGTTCGTAACCAGAGGTACCACTGTATCTGTTTTGTTTTTGTCGGGTTGGTGTTGGTTAAATGTTTAGTTGGGGTTGGCGGTTATTTTAATTTGGGCATAACTCTAAACTGTTTATTATTATTGTTGTTGTTATTATTGGTTTCTATTGATTTATTGGTTGGTTTGCTGCTTGTATAGGATATATATATATATATTTTACATTTGATGTTTGGTTGTGTTTTTATATATGCTGTAAGCCACCCAAAGTGTCTAGGGAAACCCAGCCAGATGGGTGGGATATAATTTTTTACACACACATGCTGAGCTCTTACCTCTCTTCTAAAGTAAAGTCTCCATCTTTCAGAACTGGTACTTTCCTTAAGATGTTGACCTTGTTAAAATCTTCACTAAACTGTTGTCCTGAAAGGGATAAAATAGAAGCAGAAACATTACTCAATGAGGCCCCGCAGAAATCTACACCCTCTCCCCCCCCCCCATGCAGGTTGGCTTCCAAAGCTGTGAACAATTAAAATCCATGCAGTGGATCGCTCTAGTGAGAGATCCATGGAGGTGTTTAAGCTACAGAGCAGCTCCCACAATGGGAATGGATTTGTTTACATCCTCTGGCAGTTGGTGACAACACAGTTAAGGTTCTAAGTTCTTCCCTGGGAGAGGGGGAGACTTGTGGCCAGCCGCTGGAGGAAGATGCCCCTACTTTACATGAGCAGTGCTTCTGTCAATTTGCCAAAGATTTTGCACTTTGCTTCCTCCTCCTCCTCCTCCTCCTCCTCCTCTCCAGCCTTACATCTTTTGGCTGATTAACTCTGTTGCCTGGTCTGATGGGTTATGTTCAAAAGGAGCACTTTGGTGCCTGAAACCAGGGGACACCCATATGGGCTGAGGGCTTAATCGGAGACCATCACAACCCCTTACAAAATTTGACAAGGCTTTGCACTCAAGAGGGTTGAGTGGGGAAATAACAAAAAAAGAGTCCTGCTGGATGGGACCCCCACCCCTTTCCATCCCTTTGGGAAGCTCATAAGCAGGTCATGAAGACAGCCCACCATCCTCATCTGCTGTTTCCTCCTAGCAACCAATGGCTCAAAGGTAGACTTCTTCTGCACAGGAAGGCTCCATTATATATCATGGCAGAGCATGAGCTTTTGCCTCCTCCATAAAGGTAAGGGGACCCCTGACCATTAGGTCCAGTCGTGGCCGACTCTGGGATTGCGGCGCTCATCTCACTTTACTGGCCAAGGGAGCCGGTGTACAGCTTCCGGGTCATGTGGTCAGCAGGACTAAGCCGCTTCTGGCGAACCAGAGCAGTGCACGGAAACGCCGTTTACCTTCCCGCCGGAGCGGTACCTATTTATCTACTTGCACTTTGATGTGGTTTCGAACTGCTAGGTTGGCAGGAGCAGGGACCGAGCAACGGGAGCTCACCCTGTCACGGGGATTCGAACCGCCAACCTTCTGATCGGCAAGCCTTAGGCTCTGTGGTTTAACCCCCAGCGCCACCCGCATCCCATGCCTCCTCCATAGGGGCAGCCTATAGAAGAGACCAATTGTGTCCATTGTGATTTTGAGCGAGTGTGCTGAATTCTTCCTTCCCTCTGGTCCCCCGCAGTTGCAAACCCGGGGGGGGGGAGGGAAGGAGGCACTTTCTCTCTCCACACACTGTGCTTCCAAGGTGGGTCTAGAAAGAAGGTCAGGGGAAAGGCGAAGTTCCAGAAAAACCTTTTGGGGAAGGGTGTTACTGGGTCACGGAGGAGGAAAAAGGGACACTAGGAATCCCCCTCCCCAAAAATCCCAGTTACCTTTAAGCATCTCGATGTTCTTCATCATGAAAGCGATGTTGTTTTTCTTGGCAAAGATGTAGACCGCCCGGCAGGGCTGGGAGAGCATATCTAGGTAGAGTTCTAGCACCATGGTGAGGTTATGTCAGTGGTGGGTCGGCCGGCCGGGCGACTTGAGATTCCAGCTTTGTCTGAGGGGCCCTCAAGCCCCACCCCCAACAGAAACATCTTCCTAAGCCTCCAATTGGCCTGCAGAGTAAACAACCTGTTCTAGGGAAGGTATAGCCGGCCAATCACGAGAGGCCCAAGTGTTCTGCTACCTGGGCTCAGGTGGGCCACTCTTTGGCCTGGCTCCAGCCTGCTATTGGTTCTGCTTTGCAGAGGAGGGGGCGCAGAGAGAAGGGCATTTAGGTTCTGGGTCCCTCTTTTCTGCCCTGGTGAGGGGGCATTGGTGAAGGAAACTTGGCAGGTCCTGTTTTTAAAGGACTGGCTTTCAGCCTGCAGACTGGGACCCCTAAGGGAGGGTGGGTCACAGCAGCAGCACAAACTGGTGTTGCAAAATGAAGAAATGCCACAGTGCCCTTGTGTTGTTAAGTAATGGCCTTTATGTTGCAGTAAAAAAATAAAGAACTGGGTCCCCAAACATGTTTAGGTTAAAGGTGGGTCCCAGGTATGAAAAGGTTCAGTGAATGTCACCTGGGCAGGAAAGGGGAAGCAAGACTTCTTGGTAATCATGCCTGCCCTGTGGAATGCCATCCCGTCAGGTGTCAAGGAATTAACTATCTGAATTTTAGAAGGGCAGCCCATGTTTGCTGTTTTACTATGTTTAATTTGTTGGAAGCTGCCCAGAGATTGGTGGCATATAAACAATAAAATATTATTATTATTATTATTATTATTATTATTATTATTATTTCCAAAAGCGGGACTCTCCTCTGTCAGAATCATACAGAAAATTAGAAATAGCCTCGGAAATGTGGCCTGTGAGCTCCCTGGGGCCATTTCTGCTTGTCCGCTCCTTCCATTCCTTCTTGATTAAAAAACCTGTTTTATTTGCAGAATCTACCAGGAGGAGCGGGTGACATCTTTCCCCCGTGTAAAACTCAACACGTTTGCCTGGCTTTTAGACCTCTGCGACTGCAAAGACACCCCTTCACTCGCTTCTCTTTCCCTGTTTCTCTGGGTTCAAGATGGCCACCGCCGAAACCGTGAGGTGGGAAAAGCGGTTGGTGGCTATTTTTGTCACGTCCACAGCATTGCCTCCCTCACAGAACCCATCGGCTCCTTCACATAATGTCCAAGAGATAGCAACCTCTGCAGTGTGTGGCTGGCCGATGACGCTCTCATGTGGGAAGACTTGCCATAGAAGACCTGTTGACTTCTATGTCTCCAAAGTGAACCAGTGTGAGCTGGTGTCTCCAAAGCCCATTTGCTCTGACTGCCATAGGTAGCTGGTCAGAATGGGGGGGTGAAAGTGCTGCCGTGCCCCGGTCACAAGACCAGAAGAAGAGCCTTCATAACCAATCAGAGTTCAGCATCCTGTCCATAGCTGTCAACCTTCCCTTTTTTTGTGGGAAATTCCCTTATTCCAGTGCTGCTTCCTGCTGCTATCATAGATTGTTAGATATCCCATAGACTATCCCCAGGACAGGTGAGGCTGCTGATTCCTTATTTTCAAATCTGAAAGTTGACAGCTATGATCCTGTCCTCAATGTGGCCTCAATGTGAAACCCCCAAGCAGGATTTGATCCCATACAGGGATCGAACCTGCAACCTTGCTGCCTCCAAGCATGGATGCTAAGCATAGCCATCAGGCCTAGTCATAGCTGTCAACTGTCAGATTTGAAAAGAAGGGATCAGCAGCCTCAAAAATAAGGGACCAGCAGCCTTACCTGTCCCAGGGACAGTCTACGGGATATCTAACAATCCAGGATAGCAGCGGGAAGCTGGAATAAGGGAATTTCCCCCCCCCCCAAAAAAAGGGAAGGTTGACAGCTATGGGCCTAGTAGCCATCAATAGCCCTCCCCTCTCCACCTTGAAGAGCAGCTTGGGCACCCAACTCCAACCAGGGCCTGGCAAGATCACTTGAACCAGAAGCAGAGGTGCTGGATACTGCCCCAGTACTCAAGGACCCCTGAATCGGGGCCTCCAAAATCAGCACCTTCTGAGTCTGCTCCCCTCCCTTCCAAAAAAGGGACCCTGCTGCACATTCCCTGCCATGATGGCTTTACCCCACACGTCATGATCCTGGAGGGAATATGGGGTGCTCAGCTACAGGCTAGAAAACTGACCCTCGAAGGCCTCCCGTTCTTCGGGGAAGGGGGCAGAGTCTGACTGGCAAGGTGTGTGTTGACAGATCTGGCCCCAGACGCTTAATATTAGGGTCTTCAGCCCCAGTTTCCAACCTCCCCTCCTGGCCCTCCCACCCTGCCCTATGGCCTTTCAAACTGTCTTTGCCCCCTCTCCTCCCCTACCACATTTATTTCCTTTGGCTGCCGTTGCGGATGGAGAGGGACCATGGGGCTGTGGGGCCCAGCTCTGGACTGGGGAAGAGCCCACCCTGCCTGGGAGGGCCACTGCCAGTCAGAGCAGGCAGTCCCAAGCTGGCTAGCCCAGGCAGTTTCACAGGCTGGGGATCCTGTGCTCTGACTCCACTCGCAACAGCATCCCCAGAGCTCTTCTAACGTCGGAGAAAAGGCCTCAATGTGCAGCGGAAGTTGGTGCTTTGGGAGATACCTGTCATTGCTCCCCCAGAGAGCTCGGTTGACTTGCTGGGCACCAAGCAAAGCAAACGGTCAACGTAGGGCCTGCCCCGTAGCTCCGTGGGTCATGCAGACTCACTCCGGGAGCGAATGCTTAGGAGAGGGCAGCTGCTGCCCGTGGGCAGGAGATCAGGGGGCACACCAGGGCCTGTGGCAGCATCCCTCAACTTAGAAAGGAGAGGTAGAGACGGCGGCCAGCTCGGTGGCTTTTATTCACTTGAGGATCTTCAGTAGCACCGGCCCCAGCTGCTCCTTCAGCCGGGGATCGATCTGGATGGTGCTCAGCTGTTTGATGTTCAGGATCAGCTGGTGCGCTTGCAGGAAGAGCTCCTTCCCCACAGCTTCCTCCACTCGGTCGCGCCACTTGGCCAGCCTGGGCCTCCCCTCAAATATGTCGCACCCAACACCAACCGGCTGCGGAAAGTGGACGGGGTGGGGGTATGGAGTAAGTCATTGGGGTCTATGGGTGTCAGGGGCTGGACTGAAGAGGAATGGTGGGAACCACTCCCCCTCTCCTCCTGCACCTTCCCGAGAGCAGGAGGACAGTATAGATTTAGAACAGCGGTTTGCAGAAGGTCATAGTGTGACGTTAACACATGAGAGAGTGCTGGAGGTGAAATAGTTAAACAGGTTGCCCACTCAGGACCCAGGGGGGTGGAGTCAGTGGGACTCCCCACCTACTAAACCACCTCTCGGATATTTGCTTGTCTGTCTAGCCCCTAACACAGCTTATTTCATTACACTAACTCAACCTACCCACAACTCTAGCCCAATTCACATTCACTCCCACTCCAACCAACCACCCAACTCCCAACAAACTCCTCAACGAACTCTCCTTTACCCCTCCCAGAGCTGGTTTTATAGTCCCACTGACTCCACCCCCCGGGTCCTCACTGGGCAACCTGTTTAACTATTTCACCTCCAGCACTCTCTCATATGTCACACATAGTTCAGAGGCTGAAGAGGGAAGGAGCTGGGAAATATTGGGAGAGCAGCAGGAAGAAGAAGCACCAGGGGAGAGACAGCTGACAGACTCAGTGTCTCTTGAAAGCATTCCTGACCCCCCCCTCCCCGAACCCGGCGGGCATTGAGAGTAATAGAACAGAAAACTCAGAGGCAGAAAACGCAGATCAGCTGGTGCAGGGGTGATGCAGAATAGGAGGGACTGAGGGGGTGGGACTTGACTTGGAGCAACGGCATTATCTAAGAGAGACAGCATTCCTTCGTCTCTCTCTGTGACTATTGAATAAACTACATGGTAAGAACTCTTCTTGTTTTGATGCTTCTTTGCATCCCACCGTGAGAGGGATAGGATTCCCTGAAGCCTTGACAGTTGGGAAGATTGCCCTGCACCCTGTTCTCTGTTGGGGCTCCTTGTGGTCTGGCTTGGCAGCTGGATCACCCACTTAGGCCACTCAAAACAGCCGCTGATCACCCTTGGGCCATTTGCTCATCCCACAATGTGCCCTCAAGTCAGGTTTTGAGGGAAGGCAGGCTGCTCCCCTGCTCTCTCCAGACTGGCTAGGAGGCAGTTCAGAAAGGAATCTGGTGATCCCTGGGTTCAATCCTCACCTGCATGAGCTCCACAATGGCCACTAGGTCAGCCAGCGAGACCTCGCTGCCCACCAGGAAGGGCTTGTCCTGCAGGAAAAGCTCCTCCAGCTGAGTCAAGCAGGCGCCCAGCCCCTCCATCACCTCCTGTAGCTTCTCTGGGGGAAGCGGCTGGCCTGTGAAGAGCGGGATTAGCACCTGCAAAGAGAGAGAAAGATCACATCCACACCACACCATTAAAGCCTGGGAATTGTAGTTTACCCTTCACAGAGCTACACTTTCCCAGGGAAAGCCTGAGATGTCCAGCTAGAGTGCCAGTCAGGGGAGGCTGGTCATAGGGGGACAACAATGACATTGGATGGTTTGAACTCAGTGGTTTTAAAGTCAGTGATGCACTGGGCAATAGATATAGGACACAACATAGATTTCAACCTTTGTGAGTAACTTTGGAAAAGCGACATGAAATTTACAGCATGTTGTTCTTTGAACTATTTGAAAATGATTCATAGATGGTGTTTAACGCTGAGTAGGCTTGCTAAGATCTACAAGACAGAATCAGATAAGTGTAAAGAGGTGGAGGGAACATTCTTTCACATGTGGTGGACATGTAAAAAGGTAAAAGAGTTTTGGAAAATGATTTATAATGAACTGGAAAAAATTACTTTCCCCCCAAACCCAGAGTCCTTTCTGCTGGGGATAACTCAGACTGAAATTCCCAAGTGTCAGAAAAGGTTATTTATGTATGCAACAACTGCAGCCCGTGTTTTGTTAGCCCCAAAATGGAAAGTGAGTGAGGTCCCAACTAAAGAAGATTCACAACTTAAGTTGACAGAATTTGCACAACTTGAAGATTTAACATATAGAATAAGAGAGCAAGAACATAGGTTTAGAGAAGATTGGAAAACATTTATTGAGTATATGGAAAATAACTGTGTACAGCTGAAAATGTTGGCAGCACTAAGAAAAATTCAAAAGAGTAAATAATTTTTGATTGATGTGACAGTGGAAAACCGATCAGGATAGTTATTGTAAAATATGCAGGGATGTAAGATACGCCAAATGAACCATGGAAAGAGAAGAAGGGAAGTCACTGGATATTTTAAAGTATGGCAATACAATACTGTGAGTTGGACAGGAGGCAGTAGCATGAATGGGCAATTTCCATTCCTCGCTGCCGGAAGAGAAGGCAGCCACAGGCTATTATGGTTAAGGGCATTAAGCCAGAGGAATTTGGGCAGAGATTCTGAGATAGGCCTTCCAGAACCTCATCTGTGACCCTGAGCCAAGCAGGTAAAACCCAAAAACTGGACAGCCCAGCCAAAGCCCACCCATCTCTCTGTTCCCTTACCTTGATCCACATGGCCTTGGGAGCATTGGCCCGGATATTGGCCTGGTGCCAGGACAGGTATTCATCTACCTTGGCTCGCTTCTGGACATCCGACGGGTACCAGTGGTCCGGGGTGTTGTACTTGCGGCTCAGGTACAGGAGGATGGCTGTGCTGTGCCCAGAGAAGAGAGGGTGACAGGCGTCAGGGGCACAGTGGGAGCAAATGGAGCAGGGAAGCCCGTCTCAGGGCTGGCAGGCTGAGGGCAGACCAAAGCTGTGCTGGAGCCCCAGATACACAAGATATACCCCATGGCAGCACCCAACCCCTCGCCAAACACCTTATTGAGTAACGTGCCATGAAGCTGCAGAGAGAAGCCTTCCGGGTGTTGCTCCCCCACTGTGATACACTCCCCACCACAATTTACATCAAGCTCAGGACTGGATCGCTTTCCATCTGGTGTCAGCTGAGACAGAGCTCAAAGGAGTTTCCCAACACCAGTGTTTTTCTGTCTCCTGGCCCCAAACCCCTGACTCCTTTCAGCCTCTGAGCTGTGCTCAACAGCACCCAACCGTCTTGTTCCCTCACGACATACAGATGAGATAGAAATTGGGAGGAAGGTAATAAAAGCCTTCTGGGAAATGATATATAATGAATCGGAAAAAATGCTTAAAATAACTTTTACAAAAAAAAAACCCAGAGGCTTTCTTATTAGGAATTGTAGGTGCTGAAATTCCAAGTGAGCAGGAAAGACTCTTTATGTATGCGACGACAGCTGCATGGATGTTGCTAGCCCAGAGATGGAAAGAAGATAAAAGTCCCTACCAGAGAAGAATGGCAAATCAAGTTGATGGACTATGCCGAAATGGCAAAACTGACCGGAAGACTCAGGAACCAGGAAGACCAAAACTTTCATAAAGAATGGGGGGGGGGGATATAATTTACCTTGAAGGCCACTGTAAGCAGTTGAAAACGTGAGCAGGATTGCAATAACACTTGTAATGTAAAAACAAAATTAAAAAATTCCTTCCAGTGGCACCTTAGAGACCAACTAAGCACACGAAAGCTCATACCAATGACAAACTTAGTTGGTCTCTAAGGTGCTACTGGAAGGATTTTTTTTTATTTTGTTTTGACTATGGCAGACCAACATGGCAACCTACCTGTAACTAGAACTTGTAATGTAACGAGACCTATTGACACAATGGAGTTACAAAAATTTGGATTATTAAAATAAAGATGCAGCTGTTTTAACAACAGAACTCACAGAGGAGAAGGTGGGAAGTCCAGAGGTTTGTAGGAATCTTGTAACTTTGAATGTGTTGTGGTATGATTGAAAACTCAAGTATGTAAAATCAAATATATATTTTTTAATATAGAAATTTGGAGGGGAAGGAAGCCATTCCTGTCTGCCTGCCTTCTTACCCTTCAGACAAAACGAAGGCCTCATCCCTCAAGACGGGAACTTTCTTCACTGCAGTCGCCTTGGGCAGCGGCCCTAAAACCGGGTGGGTTGGAGGGAAGCGACACAGCACACAGTTAGACCTGGCAGGACGGTTGGCAGGAGATGCCCAGCACATCCAGGACTCCAGAATTGGAGCTTGCCTGGACAATCTGTTCTGAGTGACAGCTGGAGAATTGGTGAGCGTATATCTGTGTACCAAGCACAAACAACAACTCCGGGTTCTGCAGAGCAAATCAGTGGCCAATTTACATTTTGACCCATGCAGATTGAAATATACTCGGAGTCGAGTGTGGATTTCATGCTCTTTATTCAGCTCATAGTAGTGAGGAATGAAAGTTCCCCCAAAATATCTGCTTTATATACATTATTTACACAATGGGTCGCATGTGGTTGGCTAATTCTGGGATTCTCCTGTAGGCCAATCAGGTTGCGGATTCACTTCCACCTGGAGCTGGATTGGGTGGCTCCTGCGGACCAATCAGACTGCTGCATTGTTCTAGGACCAATCAGACTGCTGCATTCTGGACCCTATTGTTCTAGGACCAATCAGACTGCTGCTTTTTGGATCCTATTCAACTCAGTACATAACGCAGAATATCCCAATAAATCAGCTGTGAGTCCAGTGCCATATTTTTTTCTACTCAGAGCGGGCAGCTGGGAGCCCCCAATGTTTGGAGACTGGGGAGGGGGAGAGAAAGTGGGATGTTTGCTCCACTTTGGTTGTCTTGGTTTATAGCCACAGACAGACCCGAGGAAGCTCTCCACTCCTGGCTAATCTTGCCCCCCAATAATAACCACACCTTGTCTGAAAATACTGGGGGAAAACTGAAAATACTTGTTATTGTCACCTCACCCCCCCACCCCCCACCCCACCTCTGGCCTGGCTTTCAAAGCTGCATGAGAGAAGTTCAAACTATGTTCCGAAGTGGAGTTTGGAAAGAGCCCTGAGCTCAAAGTACAAGGTGTGTTTATCTCTAGCCTTGCATGCAGAATGGGGCAGGTCAAAGGGCACCCAGTCCTGATCTGACACCAAAGATCTCTTCCCAAGGGAACGAACCTCTGGCTCCGTGAGTTTGCTTGGAAAGGGCCACTGTATTTCAGCAGGAGCCCAGTGGCAACAGCACAGCATCAACTGCCCTTGAAATCCTTACGGCAATATTTACATCGCAAAGAGAACTTCACTCTACAACAGCAGGGGAGTCCGTTTACTAAAACCGGGGGACTTCCCTTAAACCATATTTTTGGCATCTCTGTCCTGCCTTTCAGCAACAAGGCACCCTGTGAGTTCTGGCTGAATGCTGCTGGCACAAACTGACCCCTGGAGCAAGAAATGCATGCTTGGAGCCTCCTTTTGCAATGGACGTTTTTGGGAAGGGGAAGGTACAGCTCAGGAGCTGCTGGGTGAGGAGAGGTGCCACCCAGGTGAGGCAACAAGTGTGTCAGTGCAGCCAAGATCTGCCCACATGCCACCTTCAGCTGGCAGCCATATTCATGCCCCCCAAACATGGGCTTTGCAAGTGTGGTGTCAATCCATCCTTGCATGTTTGCCTGAAACAGTTCAGGGCCAGGATTGACGACACAGAGCAGGCATTGTCCTGTGACAATCATTTCTTCTATCGCTGCTTCTAAGGTTAAAATAACAAGCAGTCCTCTTTTGAAAAACTTGCCAGCATTGTTCATCGGCCCTGTATTTACAATACTCCCAAGCCTGCCTTGCAACCACCTTGATACACATTCATTGGTTTGGCCCATTTCCTGATGGCCCTGAACAGTCTGATGACAGTCACTGTGCTATTTTGTCACACTTGGGACAGACCATGAGCCTGGGGGGCTCTTTGTGGGAGAGCCAGAACAGGCAGGAGAACCAACAGCTTCCTCCACAACACTTCCTGGAGCAAAGCAGCTTGGAATTTGACTCATCAGGTGTTGAAGGAAGCCCTGGATAGCAGCCATCTTCTCAATGTGACCACCTGTACAAATCAACTGCCCAAGAACTCCTCTGGAAACCTGTTCCGAGGAGAAGTTTCAACCTGAGCCAGAACCTAGCAGGCAAACATGTTCACACACAGCAGGAACAAACAAACGCCATATTCCAGAAACGAAAATAACGAAGGGGGAGGCGAGAATACTTAGGGCGGCCACCCGATCTGTCAGCTGGTGGTAAATACCTCCTGCTGGTTCACAAACATCTTTTGAAAGAGGCTGCAAGAACTTGAAGGCCCCCAGCGAAGCCACTTCTGAACGGGGCATTGAGCCCAGGTTCAAGTTTGGCCTTCCGACCATCGGACCCACAGAACTGGGGGCATGTCCATGCAAACAGTGGGGAGCCCCAGAACCAGAATTGTGTGGGTGAACTCCCAGGCTCTTGCTGCTTCCAACCCTCTGAACCATGCCAACCTGGGCAGCTGGCCTGTGGACTACCCTGATTTTTCTGTATTATACAAAAGCATCACCCAGCCTCTCAGCTCTTACCTGATGGCGTGGCTCCCTCTGGGTTGCTTGCGCCCTGCACTTTCGTCCCCAGGATGGAATCTGGCAGGAGAGACGCAAAAGCATCAGCAAAGCGAGGGGAGCAGAAAGGCAGGCATCCATCTCAGATGGGAGAACTGCCCTCTTGCCCAGTCAAAGACCCACCTCCCCAAGCTCAGGTAGCTTCTCTCTCAGGGTTTCTCTTCAGTCATGTCAAAGCAGAGAGCCACCTGCAATATTCAGCTGGCCGTGATGATTCCCAGATCACAACAGCAGCTGCTGAAATGGACCGGGATTCCACAGAGCCCACCAGAGAAGGCCACTCCCAAGAATAGAGAAGCAGATCCAGGGAGAGACACAGACACTTGCCCCCCACACCAAGTTCTTTACACCAGAGTAAGCAAGAGTATTGTTAGCCCAGAAATGGAAACAAGAAGAAATTCCCACAAAAGAAGAATGGCAGACAAAATTAATGGACTATGCAGTATTGGACAAAATGACAGGAAGGATTCGAAAGCTGCGGGACCAGAGATTTACAGAAGATTGGAAGAAGTATATGAATTATTTGAAGAGCAACTGTAATCAACAAATTACGCTAGTAGGACTACAAGAAGTTTTGTAAGGAGAAATATATGAAGTGTTACAAAGTAGAAAAAGATAGAGATATTGGTTATGAGTTTGAAATGTAATAGGGAAGATAAGAAATGCATACTGAGAGATTAGATTGGAAAATTTTCAGACAGGTTTGATGGAAGTCAAAAATTTGAATAAGATGTAAAAGTATGTTTAATTACTGTTGAAAATGACATGTTAAAAAAAACTAATAAAAAATTATATTAAAAAAAAGGTCTTTACACCAGAGTGGGCTGTCCCAGCAGGACCAACCCCTACCAAGTGATCCTTCTAACCAGGCCCATTGCACAGAGGAGGGTTGAGGCCAACTTCCAGGCAAGTCCCCCAGAGTTATTTTTTCCTGGGAAAATTAATCCCAGATTGTTACAACTCTTCTTCCTCCTGATCTCAGAGTCACTAACATATGTCAGAACTTGGCACGTGAACATTTGGAGGAGAAAGAGGGAATACTTTAAAAAATAAATAAATTTATTTATTTGGTTTTTTAGATTAAAGTTTTACAATCACATATCCAACATAAAAACAAGATGCCAAAGAATCTCTTAGACTTCCCTCCTCCCCTTTGTGGGTCCTATTAGTCACTTCCTCCTGCATCTTTTACAGTAATCCAAATCTTTTACATCTCCATTATGTCCAAAATTCGCCATTAAACTACAAGTGTTATTCCAACCCTACTAATGATTTTAGCTGTTTACAATGGTTTTTTTAAAGATATATTATAAATTTTCCCCATTCCTTATTAAAATTTTGGTCTTCCTGATTTCCGATTCTTCCGGTCATTTTTGCCATTTCGGCATAATCCATCAAACTTAATCGGCCATTCTTTTCTGGTAGGGACTTTATCGTCTTTCCATTCACTGAGTCTAAAGCATGGCGAGAAAAAGGGAATTCTTGCCATGCTTAAAATCAGTGAATGTCTCCTGCTAGGGAGAAAGGGTGGGTGGGAAGAGGTGTACTTAAAACCAGGTCTTCTGAAAGCAGGCAGTGAAATGAGGAAGAAGCCCACCTTTGGAGCCCCCTGAACATCGTGGTTTCTCCAGGTCATTAAGAGACAGGGGTCTTCCCTCTCCCCCATGCAACATCTCTCCACTTTCTTTTTCTTCGGGAGATAAATTGACCCACCCTGACCTCAGCGCCCCCACCCCTCCTTCACCGCCAGCACAAAGGAGCCGGAAGGCAGGTGCGTTTAGCTCACCTTTGAACAGCTCCACAGCTCTGAATTCAAAGGGGATGTTGTTCTTCTTGGCAAAGAGGTAGACGGCTCGGCAGGGCTGGGAGAGGAGGTCCAGATACAGCTCCAGCACCATGGTGGTCCCTGGGCATGGAGAGGCAGAGCAGCGGAGAGCAGAGATTTTCCTCTGTGTCGTCTGCCTTTGGCAGAACACCCTCCCAGGAAGAACAGGAACTGCAGCCGGGCAGAGAGCGAGGGAGTAGCAGAACGCAGGAGCCTGCCAGCCAGCCAGATGTTCTCCCTGAGGGGCGGGGTATTGACTCCAGCAGGCAGGGACTTTTGCTTTCTTTTTTTCTGGAAAAGTACAAGAAGCGAAGCACGTGCGACTGGCAGAGCCTGCGGTGGCAGTCGGCGAGGAGGGCGCAGACCCTCAAGGCCTGGTTGGATCGGTCAAAAGCCCAGGAGAGACTCTTTGACCCTAGAGCCTGCTCACTGAAATATTAACTTTGCAAAGTGGCAGCGAAACGCTGGCTGGTTTCCCAGGTGCTTCGTACATCTCTAGTGCACCAACAGATACTGCACACATTCCTGCGGAAATTTCTATGCCCACCATTTGCAGGTGTCTGACAGGCAGGCAGAAAGTGCGGTAGGTGGCTTGGCCAAGTGTAGAGAGACTCTTATTGTATCATTGTCTCCACCCCTAACATTCAGCCCAGACACTGAGGTCCAGCTCTGAGGGCCTTCTGGCGGTTCCCTCATTGAGAGAAGTGAGGCTACAGGGAACCAAGCAGAGGGCCTTCTCGGTAGTGGCGCCCGCCCTGTGGAACGCCCTCCCATCAGATGTCAAGGAAGTAAAGAACTATCTGACTTTTTGAAGACATCTGAAGGCAGCCCTGTTTTATGTTCTACTGCAGTTTTATAATTTGTTGGAAGCTGCCCAGAGTGGCTGGGGCAGCTCAGTAAGATGGGTGGCATATAAATAATAAATTGTTGTTGTTATTCCATCCCCTGATTGCTGCTGACCCAAGAAACAAGCCACAGCCTACAAGGACACAGTTGAGCTAACTGTACCAACATCCAGCAAAGATGAAACTTCTGGGAGAGAAAGGCTTATCAGAAGGGGAGGTTTGTACCGAAGGAGTCGACAGCAAGGGACAGCATCTGCTCTTAATTTGTTCTTGAATGACTCTCATTCTGCTCTTAATTTGTTCTTGAATGTTCTTGAATGACTGCCTGGCTGTTTTCTAAGTCGGCTGTCCAGGGCTTACAAGTGTCACATGGTGGCAACATGTCTCGGAAATAAGATCCTTTTGGATCTGCGGGGAGCAAGGAGTGTCCCCATTATAACAATAGATACAGGATCTGGCTTCCCACCGTGGTTGACCAGATGCTTTCAGCAAACCCCCAAAGCTCAACTTGACCATCATGATTAATAACAGCGACTTCCCCTCCACCTCGGCTATTAATTTGTCTGATTGCCTTTTTAAGGCTGTCTAAACTAATGGCCTTGGCCAAGTCGTGTGGGAATGAAACCCATAAAACATCAGACCATTCTTTGCCCTGGAACTACTGCCAATAGGTTTCACTGGATGAGGGAACAAGATTTTCTACATCTCACGTACAATTTCCTAAGCCGCCATCACATTTCCCATTCACTGCCACACATACAGTGGTACCTAGGGTTACATACGCTTCAGGTTACATACGCTTCAGGTTACAGACTGCTAACCCAGAAATAGTGCTTCAGGTTAAGAACTTTGCTTCAGGATGAGAACAGAAATCGTGCTCCGGTGGCGCGGCAGCTGCAGGAGGCCCCAGTAGCTAAAGTGGTGCTTCAGGTTAAGAACAGTTTCAGGTTAAGAACGGACCTCCGGAATGAATTAAGTACTTAACCCGAGGTACCACTGTATTTTCTTCTAAATAAAGAAGCCCAACCGTTGTGATCTTTCCTCACAGGGGACTTCCTCCATCCTCCTGGATCATCTTGCCTGTTCTTTTGTGCAACCTTTCCTAACTCTGCAATACCCTTTTGGAAGTGGGGAGACCGGAGCTGTACATGGGATTCCAAATGTGGCTGCATCACAGAACTGAATAGACATTGCAGTACTGACAGCTTTATTTTCCATCACTAGTCTGGAATTCACCTTTTTCCCTGGAGCTGCCGCACACTTGGCTCAACATTTTTGCTGAGCCCAAGGCCTCTTTCCCCAGGTACTTGCTGACATCACTGTGGAAAGGAATGAAGTGGGGATGTTTCTGCCCCAACATGTATCACTTGACACTTGACCCTCATCAGCCGTTTTGCTGCCCACTGATGCTGCTTGGATTAATCTTCTGTGATATCTTTGCTGTCTCGCTTGAGTTTTCCCCATCCTGAATTATTAGTGTCATTCGCAGACATGGATGCCACACTGCTTGCGCCTGACTCCCAGTCAGTTAGGATCAAATTAAAAAGCCCTGTTCCTGATACAAACCCATCTCTTCCTCCCAGTAATGGTTGTATTTACATACTTCTCAACATTATGGTGCTGGAGGAGACTTTTGAGAGTCCCATGGAGTGCAAAAAGATCAAACCTATCCATTCTTAAGGAAATCAGCCCTGAGTGCTCACTGGAAGGACAGATCCTGAAGCTGAGGCTCCAATACTTGGGCCACCTCATGAGAAGAGAAGACTCCCTGGAAAAGACCCTGGTGTTGGGAAAGAATGAGGGCACAAGGAGAAGGGGATGACAGAGGATGAGAACAGTGTTCTCGAAGCTATGAACATGAGTTTGACCAAGCTGCGGGAGACAGGAGTGCTTGGCGTGCTCTGGTCCATGGGGTCACGAAGAGTCGGACACAACTAAACAACAAACAATATTATGAAGAAGCCCCCCCCCCCCCCCCCGCCGGCAAGACTATGATCTTGCCCACCCAGAGCAGCTGGAGGCACCAAATTAACCCCCTCTCTTTATTGGATCAGGCCCCTGAAAGAGATGGATGAGCAGCAGCAGCAGGATCCTGCCCCTCTTTGCCCCACCCCAACCTTCTGCATGTAGATAAGGCAAACAGCTGTTGGGGTTGGGCCTTGCAGAAGGATCATTGGGTAGTGGCTAGCAGCTTTAACTGCATGGTAGTTGAGGCTGCTCATTAAGTGGGCGGCCAAGGCAAGTTCTGTCCCACCCCCTTTGTACAGGGAGGGGGCACAGGTCTACGACAAAGGATCCAAGGGTGAAAGACACAAAAGGCAGCACACAGAGGACTTCCTCTATCCTAAGGCTCCTTGCCCCATCAATGTGGAGAAATGAGAGTAAAGCAAGTGAAGTCCTCTTTGACCTTCTCCCTAGTCCACCTACCTAAAGGTCTTCTTCACACAGATGGAAAGACACACAAAGAGGGACAGGATGGATCCTCCCACCCCTCAATTGGCCACTCCCAGTTAGGATTTTGGAATGGATGCAGAGTTTTGATTCAGGAAGGACCACAACTCTCTCTGGACATGGAAGAATGGGCAGAATTTCCAGAGGGGTGGCTCCTTTTGCCCAGAAGTCGTCCAGAAAAGGAGCCAAGTCACAAGACTTTCCAAGATTGGACCCCTGGGCCCTCTGCTTCATGGCCTGAACTCTTCTCCTGGTGACCAGCCCTGAGTCCCAGAGATGACAATAAGGAGAAGTGGCCCTGGGTGTGTGTGTGTGTGTGTGTGTGTGTGTGTGTGTGTTGCTGCTTCAATTATATTTGAAGAGACCAAAACGTGTTGGTTGGTTCTTGAGCTTTATTGAGGGGGACTCTGCCCCCCAATGGCGTTCACTTCACATACTTCAGCAAGTGCTGCTTGATTTGTTCCCTCATTTCAGGAGGGAGTTGATCCTCCGTCACATCCTTGGCTTTGAAGAGCTCCTTGTGGGCCTCGGCAAAGAGGTCCTTCCCCACGGCTTCTTCCACTCTGGAGCGCCAGGCGGCCAGCTTGGGTCTACCTTCAAAGACGTCGTAGCCGGCGCTTACAGGCTGCAAAGAGGAGGAGAGTGATTTGGCACTGTAATAAACGAAAATCTGCCCTCCTTCGTGTGCCGCTTCCTTGAGAGGTCCAGAGGGTGGCAACATGAGAACAGGGCCTTCTCTGCAGTGGCTCCCCATCTGCAGAATGTTCTCCCCAGGGAAGTTCACCTGATGCCTTCATTATACACCTTTAGGCGCCAGGCAAAAACGTTCCTTTTTAACCAAGCCTTCGCCTGACCTGATTGACATCCTATGCCCTTCTCAAATGTGTTTTTTTTGGGGGGGGGGGTTGTTGGTTTTATTTTTATTATGTATTTTGTGGTTTTATATCTTGATTGTATTCTGTGAACTGCCCTGAGACACCCGGGCATAGTGCGGTATATAAATTCAATAAATAATAATAATAATTCCTCCCATGCAGAATCAGAGAAGGGCAAAGTCATGACTGAAGTCTTCACAGTCTGCGAGGAGCCTGGCTCCCCAGATTTTTATCCTTACAGCAGAATGCTTAGAGGAACTTTCAGTGGAAAATGCAATTATCTGTACGGTTCATTTTTACGAACACCACTTAGAAATGATGAGTATTTGGTATATAATCAAACACAAACAATAGTTATTTTGGAAAGCCTGTCTGGCTAGTATTATTAACACCTATATTGCTAATTGATTTCTACTTCCTGCTATATGCCTTTGAAGTAAAGTGGGATGTTGACATTTCTACTTAAAAAAATAAGGGGGAAAAAGACTTGGGATTCAGGATTAAGAGGCTGAAAATAACTCCTGTTGCTTAGCTGGGAAGAATGAATCTGGGAGAAGAACGAACTTGCAAACGTGCTACGCTGTTTCTTTTTAAGCAAGGCCAGAAGAAATGTTCCCAAGCTTTCATTTGTTTGGCAAGAAGAGACACTGTGCCTGCATTGTTCTTCTGTTGGGGGTAAGTGGGAGGGAATCAGGTGTCTGAGCTCACTCTGCATGCATTTTGAGAAAAGCTATAATTGCCAAATGTGCAAGGAAAGCTATCATCACCATACCCACTAACCATCCCGATTTGAGTGGGACATCCCGGCTTCTGATGAGAGATCTTGGAATGTCCCGTTTTTTGTCTTGTGCTGTGGCGCAAATCAGCTGGCTCGCGCCAGAGCGCCTGACCAAAATACGATTGCTTTTTGCTCTCACGCTAGTCAGTTGGCACGTGCACAAGAGCACCAGACAAAACCCTTGCATGAGTCGGCTGGTTCCAGCGAGAGCTCAGCACCAAAAAAATGAGTGTCCCAGTTTTGATCAGTGAGATGCTGAGGGATATACATCATAAGTGGGGTAGCACCTTTGTGGCACCCAGTCCCTGCTTCTGGCTGGCCACTGTGGGAAAACGGCACTTAATTAGAGGTACCTTTGGCATGACCCAACAGCCAGGCTCTCCTCACCTCCCGAGGACCCAAGTTCTAGTGTTCCAAAAGAGAGAAAATCTTCCGCTTCTCTCTTCCCACACTTCCTGTTCTGGAATGTGACTGGATTGGTGGTGGGACTCATTGGATAGAGGGAATGTGGGAGAGCGAGGGAGGGTCTACTGGGATGTTGGGGAAGGTGTGTGTGTGTGTGAGAGAGAGAGAGAGAGAGAAAGACAGACAACCGGGGGGTGGGGGGGGGGGTGGAGAGGAGAGAAAGAAAGAAAGAGAGGAGAAAGATGCTTCAGTAGTGGCGCCCACCCTGTGAACACCCTCCCTTCAGATGTGAAGGAAATAAGCAGTTGTCCTATCTTTAAAAGACATCTGAAGGCAGCCCTGTTTAGGGAAGTTTTTAATATTTAATGTTGTATTGTTTTTAACATTTGATTGTGAGCCGCCCAGAGTGGCTGGGGAGATTCAGCCAGATGGGCAGGGTATAAATAAATAATAATAATAATAATAATAATAATAATAATAATAATAATATTATTATTATTATTATTATTATTATTATTATTCAGCCACCTGGTCACTTGGCTTCCCAGTTTGCAGCTCTGACCTCTTCTTTTTGAGATGTGGTGATCCCACCTGGCTCTGGCTAGCAGGAAGTGATGAGGTGCCTCAGCCTCGCCAGGAGCCAAAGGCCATTTCCTCCAGAGGCCCCCAGACCTCATCGCCCCCCAGCACTCACCTGCATGATTTCTACAATGGCCACCAAGTCTGCCAAGGAGATTTCCGTGCCAGCGATGAAGGGCCTGTCCTGGAGGAACTTCTCCTCAAACAGCTTCAGGGTCTCTTTCAGACTCTCGAGGGCTTCTTCAATCTTTTCGGGAGGGACAGGATGTCCCAGGAAGAGAGGCAGCAAAGCCTATGCAGAGGAGGGGGCAAGAGGGAATTGACACCGGAGACATTCTAGGTATGGCTCTTCACCTCTCATCACCGTGTGAGCAGGGAGAGGAAGGAAAAACGATGGCAGCTGCCAGCATTTCATCTCTCGTGGGCAGGCAGGGTCTCTCTAACAGATATACATTCACAGGCCACAAAACTAAGCCCAGCTCTGGTCCCCTTGTTGCAGCAGAGACTTCTCCTCCGTAAATTGTCAGCGGGGCCAAGAGGCAGCTGCAGCCCTTACCTTTGCCAGGTACAGTTTGGTGCCACACATTCGCGTGGCCATGTGTTGCCAAGACAGATATTCGTCCACGCGGGCTCGCTTCTGCAGGTCCGAGGGGTACCAGTGGTCAGGGGTCTTGAATTTCCTTGCTAGGTACAAGAGGATGGCAATGCTGTTTGGGTAGAAGAAAGAGAGAGAAGAAGATCAGCAGGCCACAACGGTGAATAACAACAGATGCAGTCGGATGCAAACAAGTTGGGGGATTTTTCTTCTTCTTCTAAATTTTTTTTTATTATTGAATACTTTTATTTTGCTTTAAACAAATACATATAAATATAGACAACCAAAATTACAAAATTCCTTAATAATGATAATAATGAAAAAAACTAAAAAAAACTACAAAAATATCAAAGTACGTGGCACAGAACATAAGCAACTGTGGGAAAGAAAAACGAAAAACGAAAAAGAAAATAGAAATAGAAAAAGAAAAAGAGAAAGAAAAATAGGAAAAAAAGAAAAAGAAAAAAGAAGATGAGCCAAAGCAGGAAAGCTCATCTATTGTACACTTCCGTCAAGTTCACAACAGATCATTATTCTTCTCAATTCTCTCTATCTGCATTCCAAAGGAATCCCTCATCTTGGTATCAGGGAGCATATCTCTATGCGGTATCATTCTAAACATAACCCGGTCTTTCTTGTTGAGCCCTTGTCCCCTAAATAATTATTTAAACATTTAAATAATTCTTCTTCTAATTACACATACAGTAGATGCTTATAGGACTGGCAGTGACTGACCAGGAACGAGGCATTGTGGTCATAGGGAAGAGCTTGATGAAGACGTGCTCCATAGTGGCGCCTGCCCTGTGGAACGCCCTCCCATGAGATGTCAAACAGATAAACAACATTTGACTTAAGTCTTAGAAGACATCTGAAGGCAGCCCTTCAGGGAAGTTTTTTATTGCACAGTTGCATCTAGGAAGTCAAAAAGAATCTGTTCCGGAAGTCCATTCGACTTCTGAAATGGAAACCAAGGTGTGGCTTTCTACTGGTTTCCGATTGCGCAGGTGTGCTGGAAACAATAGCGGAAGCTGCGCCAGATGTTCGGCTTCCAAAAAAAGTTTGAAAACCAGAATGTTCACTTCCGGTTTTCAATCGCTCGGGAGCCGGAACGTTTGACTCCCAAGGCGTTCAGGGGCCGAGGTACAACCGTAATGGTTTATTGTATTTTAATATTTTGTTGGGACCTGAGTGGCTGGGGCAACCCAATCAGATGGGCAGCACGTAAGTTGTTGTTGTTGTTATTAATAATAATAATAATTTAGACACTGTCTCAGTGTGCAGCAGCTGTGAGGAAAGGAAATTCCACACTAGTGATCATTAGGAAAGGAATTGAGAATAAACCTGCCGGTATTATAATGCTGTTATACAAATCTGTGGTGCGACTGCTTCTGGAATATTGTGAATAGTTCTGGTTACCCAACCTCAAAAAGGGTATTGTAGAGTTACAAAAAGTCCAGAAAAAAGGCAACCAAAATTATCAAGGGGATGGAGTGAATTCCCTATGAGGAAAGGCTGCAACATAAACTTAGTTAAGGCCTTGAAAACGAAAACACAAAACCCCAAAGGGAGGAAAGCAGAGATTTATGGGTTTCCAGCAGGATCTGGTGCACAGTGAAGTTGCAGGGGGACTGTGTGGCTACTCCCCAACACAAACACACAAAGTAACAGCGCTGTGGATCCTTCTTACCTCTCTGCCAAGGTGAAGTCGCCATCCTTCAAGGCGGGCACTTTCCCCAGCAGATTCACCTTGCCAAACTCCTTTGTCCTGTTTTGCCCTGGAGAGATGGACAAAAGGAATCAAGAGGCAGCTATTCACTCATGAGAACCATGACGCAGGACCCTGCCTTGACCCACCCTGAGTGGGGGGTGCTGGTCACCCCCACCTGACCCCCCACTCATGTTCCCTCTTACCTCTTTACTGGATTGCTTTGGTTGGGAGGTGGAGGGCAGCTGGGCAGGGGCTGTGTGCTTGTCAGCCATTCTCCTAAGTCAGCTCTTAGGTAATAAATCTTTTTCACGCCCACAAAGTAAGTAGAATCAGAACAGTACAGAGAACAAGCTAATTGCTCGGGAATGGATGGAAGGAGATGGGCATCTGCCCCAAGCATGCTTGGGGTGTGGGAATGCACAGCAGGCACCGATACACAAGTCTGCCTTGCATCAGTATCAAAGGTCAGCAAAGAGCGAATTCTTCTGCCTCTGGGCAGCTCAGGCTTTGCACCGATTGGGCAAAAGGGAGGGGGAAACGAGCCGTGCCCTGGCAGACACTGCCACAAGCCAGGGGTCTTTCTGCAAAGTTCGTTTCTCCTCCTTGCAATCCAGTTAATCATTCTACAACAGTCGCCGTTCTTTCCTGCTTGCCACAGATATGAAATTCACGGCTGCTTTTATTAGGAAACCATCAATTCTTACACACCCTTTACCAAGAGGCCCCAACGATTTGAAAGCAAAACTATTGGAAACAGCGAAAGCCTATTTTAAATGTTAGGAAATAAGACCTCTTCGATGGTATCAAGTTGCGAGGGAACCCAAAGCTCCAAATGAGATCCAAATGAGCCATTCAGACAACCTGCGTCAAGCAGTCAACAGGCAACTTGAGAGTGACTCTCTTTCTCCCCCCCGCTGAAATTTTATTAATTTTACAAACAAAAAATACAAATAAACACACATCAATAAAGTCATAGCGTATGTGGAGATTCTCCATATCTCACTACTTCCCCCCATTCCATCCATAGAGTCTTATTTTAAGCATCTACAACTGCATATTAGTCTGTACAGTACTCCGGTTTTTATATTGAACCATATTATCCATGTTTTTTACACGACAAGTGTGTCAGAATCCTGCTCTTGTTTCCATCTGCTTAAAGTGGTCTCCTAGATAACTTATAATTTCCCCCCATTCTTTTATGAAGTTTTTGTCCTCTTGGTTTCTGAGTTTCCCAGTCAGCTTTGGTTTGCCATTTGAGAGTGACCCTCTTTCAATCCATCCTTGTTGGAGTCAAACAGGGAGTTCAAGTCAGCCCCCCACCCATCAAATAAGCCCCCCACCCAGCCCCTGCAACTCAAGACGCTGCACCCTGGATCTTGTGACTAATTCTTCCTGCCCCATCCACCAGTCTCACCTTGGATGAGAGCCACATGTTTGAACTCAAAGGGGATGTTGTTTTTCTTAGCAAAGATAAAGACAGACCGGCAGGGTTGGGAGAGGAGGTCGAGGTAAAGCTCCACCACCATCCTGGCAGCAGCAGGGACAACCAGAGTAGGGAATCGGCTGGCAAGAGGAGAGTAAACAGTGCTTTCCCGCTCCTGGGAGATCTGGGCTTGGCTGCTGGGCCTCTTGTACCTTGGCCAGACCAACTCGTCAGCAGCTGCTGCTCCTCAAAGCCAATTGGAAGAGGCCTCGATCCTTGGCCTACTTCCCTCCCGCCCACGCCCAAGCAGTGAGGATTGCCAAAGGCTTCGTCAAGCCTGTTTTGCCAGAGAAGAAAGGAGGGAAAGTTCACAGGAGGGACTGGATAGCAGCCAAACAAGATTTGAGAGTTTAAAAAGTGACACCTTCAAGGCACATCACCTCAAGTGAAGAAACATGACTTCGTAAGAGCTGCCCCTACCCCAGGGCAGGATTACGGCTACTATGGCCCTGTCCCCCAACCCACCTCCTCGCAAGAGCCCAACCTTCTTTGGGCTTGAGCCTCCACCCAGAAGCCCTGAGTTTTTCTGCCACTGAAATGAGGTTCTGTTGCCCCTGCAAAATACTTGATCCTGGGAGACTTCTGGGTTGGCGCCTCTGGCAATAGCGGATTTCCTCCGATCGGGAGGAATCTGCTCCGTGGAAAACAGGGTCTGAACCGCCACGGCGAGGCGGAGACCCATCAAAAACCACAGGCGGGAGAAGCCTGTGGACGTGGGATTTGGCCGGCACCTTTGAGCCCCCCCTACTTGCGGGGAAACCCGATTTCGGGGTTCCAGAGCGACGTGGGGTGAGTGGCGCGGTGCCTTGAATCGACTGCTTCTTTCACGGAGTGAAGCCGCATTGCTGTTGCCGGAGAGCGCTGACTTTTTCCTGTGGACAATTGGAGCTTAAATAACTGTCCGTGAGTAGAACGGAAAATTGGAATAAGAAATTTCTTTTAATTTGGTACTGAAGCGGGAAGGTCTAAACAGGAAGTCTGCCTTCCGCTTTTTGTAAATAGATTGAAGCAAAGACACGGCAAGCTAGAGCTTAGAAAATTGTTGTAAAGGATCAATTTTCATCATTTAAAATTACCGAACCCCCCTTGGAAGCAGGAGAAGAGGGGGGAACTTTTTCTGGACTGATTAAACTTGCAGAAGACAAGTAAAGAAAAGCAATTCTCCACCGTCCTGAACCTGGGAGCGGGGTGTCAGGACAGATGTCTTCGGGAAGTTCATTGACTATAGACAAACGTTTTTGACAGATAGTTAAAAGAAGAGAAACATATTGATTCCATTGTTCCCCTTCGCATCTAAAAGGAACAAAATATTGACAAAATATCTGAAAAAGGAAACTTTGTTGTTAGATTTGCTTTTTTTTAAAAAAAAAAGGAGAGAGATGGATACAAATAGAAGTTTTTCCCCCTAGAGGGAGCTTGTGAAACTGTTATTAAACTTGAACTGGGGAGCTTTGCAGCTGCAAACAGATTAAGATCGTGGGAACAGACTTCTGACCTTGCAACAACAATGTATTCAGAGACTCTGGTGCTGTGCCTTTCTGCAAGACAAGTGCTTTATTGGAACAGTTACATGAGAAGATGGATTTGATGACAGTTGCGATCAGAAAGTTTGGACAGGCAGTGGGTATCTATATAGAACCCACTCAGGAGTCAACTCAGGAGTGTGCTCTGACAGATCAGATGAGGGAGGAGGCTGTTGCTGGACATCGGTGAGGCAGAGATGGAGGGAACTGTGGCCCAGCAGGAACATGAGTTGTTGGACTTGATAAATGAACCTGGAGAAAGCCAGATTTGGAGAGATAGAGTTCTGTTGGGTTTGGAGATGGGGGCTGGATAGACCCCCTATGCAGGGATGTCTTGACCTTTCAAGTCTGGCAATGGGCCGTGAGGAGTTTGGGATTGTGGGGGTCCTCAACTCTGGAGGGACCTTGAAACATGCTTTTAAATACCACATGGAGTTCAGTGTGGACTATGGAAAAGGGGCTGATCTGTCGAGAAGGGACAAAAACATTGTCAAGCTGGAGTCTCCCCGAGTGAAAGGAGCAGAAGACAAAGTAAAGCACAGGTATAAATATGAAGAAGATCTGCGGATGGGACATGGAAGAGCTCCAAGAGCCTCGGATATAAGGTTACCAGATTGATGGACTAGATGGATGGGATAGAAAGGACTGACAAAACCCGAGATCAGGAGAAAGAAACGTTGGATGAAGATTGGAAGAAAGTTTTAAACAATTTATTTAGGAAAATTTTGTAAAAGTAAAGAGTATTAGAAAAATGTTGGAATGAAATTATTTGGCTTTAGCAGAAATGTTAAAAAGAATTATGTAAGAATATGTCATGGTTAAGAGAATTTGGTATAAATAAGATTTAAGTTTTAAGTTTTAGGGCCTTTTATGGTAAGATAAGGTTAAAATAGATTAAGGTAATTTAATGACAGAATATTATGAAAGATGGAAAGGATTTGCTGAGATAATTAACAACTAGAATACAAAAAGGGAGGTATGAGGAGGTCGATGAAACAAGGTAATGACAGTTAATGATTTGGGAATATTGGATTTGTTTTTAATATTTTTGTCTATTTTTGCTTTTTGATTTTGATGTATTATGTGTTTTGTTTTTTTCTCTTTTTGATCTTTTTTTTTATTGATTCGTATTGTTTAAATGTTACTTGTTTTTTCCTTCTTTTTTTTTCTTTGTTTCTTTGTAATCTTAAAATTTTCAATAAATATTATTTAAAAAAACAAACAAAATACTTGATCCTGAAACTGCTCTGATCAGGAGCCTTAAAATCCATAAAGGTTAAGGTAAAGGGACCCCTGACCATTAGGTCCAGTCGTGGCCAACTCTGGGGTTGCGGTGCTCATCTTGCTTTACTGGCCGAGGGAGCCGGCATACAGCTTCCGGGCCAGCATGACTAAGCTGCTTCTGTCGAACCAGAGCAGCGCACGGAAATGCCGTTTACCTTCCCGCCGTTTACCTTGCACTTTGACCTGCTTTCGAACTGCTAGGCTGGCAGGAGCAGGGACCAAGCAATGGCAGCTCACCCCGTCGCGGGGATTCAAACCGCCGACCTTCTGATCGGCAAGTCCTAGGCTCTGTGGTTTAACCCACGGCGCCACCCGCGTCCCTTAAAATCCATAGACTAAAATAAAAAGGCTACCTGCCGCCCTGACTCTACAAGGCAACCTTTACAACGGTGGAACTGCACAGGGGCTGGTTTTAGCTTTCTTGCTTTCCAAAAGGAGATCTCCTGCAGCAGGGAAAAGGTGCACCAGCACCCCAAGGGTCAGGGCAACTTCCTGAAGTCCAGCCTTAGCACACACACAGAGTCCTGGGACTTCACCAGCATGGCCAGCAAGGGATGATGGGATCTGTAGTTCAACAGCCTCTGGAGGAAGGCACTTTTGTTTTAAAAACAGCAAAGCAAACACACACACAAAGAGGGAGACATCTTGCCTGCCCCAGAAGGCGCAGGCTGATTTCTTTATTTAAAACTTCTTCCTGAGATGGAGCCCTCGCTCTTAAAGCCCAGCTGGGCTCAGCAACCTTTGATCCCCTCTTTTGGCCGTGAGGGAGTAGCACTGGGATAGGCAAGGCTGGTGAGGATTAGGGCCACTCACAGGGAAAGGCTGGCAGTTCTTTGGCTCATAGGGAGAAAGAGCTTTCATTTACAAGCTAAGGCATGTTCTGCTGGTCTTTGAGGGATCAAGAGGTGGCCTTGACGACAGCAGGATGGCAGTTGGCGCTCCTTAAGCCGTGCGATGGACACGCCTTCCGTATCTTGATACTTCCAGGAGCTCTTAAGCCTTAGTGTTTGCTTCTGAATGTCATTGTGTACTCAAGACATTGGAAACCAAACCACAAAGTAAGAGTTCCAGCCCCCTGATTATTCTCAGCGAGACACCTCTGGCTTGCCTGGTCTTGCTCAAGATCTCTTCTCAGCTCGCTCCTCCTGTTGAGGGAAAGATGAGAAAGGGAGGTGATTAGGCCCATCTCAGACACCCTAGAGACCAGAAGCAGCATTTTGGAATCTAAAGAAGCACAAATGCATGCTCAACAGCCTTGGCTATCAGTGCAAATTCCTGCGTGGAGCGATGGATACCTTCATTATCTTCTGGAGGTCTGCCAAGGCTTCCTCATACTGTGGGAGGAGTGGCTGGAGGGATGTGTTCTTCACCAGCTGCTGCTCCAACTCAGGAAGACCGGCTTCCCTCAGCATCTTCAGAAACTTCCTTTCCTGGAAAGCAATGAAGGAAGTGAACACCATGCTGCATTCCAAAACCCACACTACAGAAAGCTGTGAAAGGGTGCTACTGACCAACCACCTAAATTCAGTGGAAGAGGCCCTGGGTGTGTTTTGACGGGCAGCTGAGCTGGGCATCCAGCAACCAGGCAGTGTCCCTGAAGCCCACTCCCTGCTCACCTCCATGCTGTTCTCTAGGCCATTTTCTACCCCAGTTGCTGCCACTGAAGTCCTTGAAGCAGAGCCTGTCTGAGCCACAGGAGACCTCACTACGAGGACTTCCGTCTGTGCAAAGGCACCCAGAATGCAACATCTGGGTTACTCCGGAGAGGGATGGGAACGTGTGGCAGCCTCTCAGCCTCCCTGCCCCACACAATAGTTCAGCCCGGACACTGAGGTCCTTCTGGTGGTTCTCTCATTACAAGAAGTGAGGTTACCGGGAACCAGACAAGAGAACTCTCTTAAGTAGTTGTTCCCACCCTGTGGAACACCCTCCATTCAGATGTCAAGGAAATAAACATCTATCTGACTTTTAGAAGGCATCTGAAGGCAGATTTTTAATGTATGTGGTTTTATAATTTGTCAGGGGACGCAGGTGGCGCTGTGGTGTAAACCACTGAGCCTAGGGCTTGCCGATTGGAAGGTCGGCGGTACAAATCCCTGTGGCAGGATGAGCTCCTGTTGTTCGGTCCCGGCTCCTGCCCACCTAGCAGTTGAAAAGCAAGTCAAAGTGCAAGTAGATAAATAGGTACCACTCCAGCAGGAAGGTAAACAGCATTTCCGTGCGCTGCTCTGGTTTTGCCAGAAGCGGCTTAGTGCTGCTGGCCACATGATCCAGAAAAACTGTCTGCGGACAAACACCGGCTCCCTCGGCCAGTAAAGTGAGATGAGCGCCGCAACCCCAGAGTCGTTCGTGACTGGACTTAACTGTCAGGGTCCTTTACCTTTTATAATTTGTCAGAAGCTGCCTAGAGTGGCCGGGGAGACCCAGTCCGATGGGCGGCATATAAATAATAATAATTATTATTATTACCTGCTGTTTCAGCACCATGGTGAAGGCCAGTCCCGCTTTCCCTGCACGAGCTGTTCTGCCCACTCTGAAAAACAGAGAGAGAAAGGTTGGCCTTTTCCAGGAGGTACCACTTCTGAGCCCCCACCCCCAAGCTACCTGGGGAAAAAGGAAACTCGTTCACATTATTTGAAAGCCTCCCTCTGAGGGAATTACCGGTGAATGTAGGTCCTGATGAACTGAGGAGCATCGTAGCTGATGACGCATTTCACTCCACCAATGTCGATTCCTCGGGCTGTGGCGTCTGTGCTGATTAACCTGGGTGTTGAGGAGAGAAATCGCTGTCATCCCAGCAGATCTGAGCGCAGATGTTTGGTCCGCAAAGGAAGGGCTGGGGGCTTGTGGTGTGGTGGGTTGGGGAAGAGGCCCGGCTCGTACAGTTTCTTCTAGTGTCATGAAAAGGAGAGACATCCCACCAAAGGCAGGTCCTCTTGTGGCTCAACTCGGCTCCCAACGGTGCCAGAAACTTTCCACCACCATTGCACATCTGGAGATCAAGGGGCAGCCAGTGTGTGATGTGCAACTGAGACACGAGGATGTGGCCAGCCCCCCCTTGCCCTGGAAATACTCACAGCTGGATCTTCCCCTGTTCAAACTCCTTCAGTGTCAACTTCCTTTGCCTTGGATTCAGCCTGGAAGAGAACTCGGCCACGTTCACGCCGCCAAAGGCTCGAAGCAGTAGAAAGAGCCTGGGGTGGTGGAGAGAGAGAACAAAGGATGAGGATGGGGGCACAGACCAGCGGCAGAGCCCCTGCTCTGCAGGCAGAGGAAGGGGATCCCAGGATCAAGGACCAGCCCCTCCCAGGAGGGCTGCTGAGACTCCAAAGGATCCTCTGCCTCAGCAGACGGGACCAGTGCTCTGTTGGCTGTTAGGATATAGTTCCGTTCCACCTTAAAAAGGGACAGGCAGGACTATTGTATATCACATGCCTGTTTACATCCAGCACTTGCTGGGAACTTCCGTTTGTATATAGCTTTTGTGTTACTGCTTTTTTGCTGGAGACGAAGGGAAGCAGACACGTTTTCCTCTGTTCCTGAACTATGCTGAATAAAATGCTGTACACATTTCTCTGTCTGCCTCTTCTGTTGTGAGAAGATTTACGCACTCTGCTGACAGAGCGTCCATGGGTCTCTAAACGTATCTGAGGCTCGTGTCGCTAATTGATGCTGTTCCAAGGGAGATCGGCTGCCGGCTGGTGGCTGGAGCCAGCTGGGGGCCTGCCTGATGCCCCCGTCTTCCCGGCAGTATCCCAACATCGGCTTCCTATGAAAGTTCAAGCCTAGCCCGCAAAGATCCCACTACTGCACGGCCTCACCTGTGTGACGTGTCCCTGCTGTTGGTGAAGCAGAGGACGCGGGAGAACTTCAGCCGCAGCAGGAAATGCAAGAGGAAGAGGGGCTTCCAGCGCAGGTTGCAGGGCACGTAGTATTGCTGTGGCGGGAGGAGGAAAGAAGAGCCGTTTGTGCACCGCCCCCCAGGAGTGCTTCCTGCCCAATCCCTTTGGGAAGACGAGGAGGGTCACTTTGGGCCAAGGAGCAGGACAGGCTCAAGGGCTGACACTCCTGCCTCTCAGACGATAAGAGACTGTGTCTCCAGTGAACAATTCAAGACTAGGTCAGTGTGTTTCTCGCAAAACACCCTTTTCACTTCAGAATTGACAACTTCCACTATGTTTCTAGACCACCAGTTTTCATACATTAAGCCATTTATTTATATTAATAATAAATATAATCATCATCATCATCATCATCATCATGTTATTATTATTTACATACCAACCTATACCTGGAGATCTCAGGTATAGATCAATCTAAAAACCACATTATATATAATCAAAATAAAAACAACCCAGTAACACCCCCCCAAAAGGGGGGGGGAATCCATTATGGAGTTCCCAATTTAGAAGCAGCGGCTCTTCTGCATTTGCCTCTCTGATATTCAAGTCACAAAATCACCCCCTCCCCGACAAACCACCAGGGCCGAGTCCCTAAACCAGTGACCAGCCAGCTTGCTGCCTTCTTTCTAAGTCTTCTATTATTATTTCCTATTTTTATTCTCTCCTACTACTTTGTTAGCCGCCTGAGAACATAAGCTTTGGTTGAAGACGCAAGAAAGAAATTATGCAGCCGAAGAAACGCAAACCTTTCTGTGCATTCCTGCCCTCCCAGGGACCCAACTTCTGAGCCCCCGAGCCCTACATAGAACTGCCTGGGACTTGAGGCACCTGCTGCCGCTGCCAAGGAATGGGGCCTTCTGCCTCCCCCAACCCAATTTGCCTTCCAGTCTGGAGGGAAGGGCTGGTGCTGTCCCAAAAGGGCACCTTCTCACCATTCACGTCCCCCTCGCCAAACACGCCTTCCTGGCTCTGCCAGAACCAGAGTGGCAGGTGGGCGGACTGCCTGCAAGCCCCCTTCTTACCGAGAGCCCCTCTGGGAGGGCGTACTTCTTCGTGGTCTCCGTTGCCTTCTCCTCCAAGGAGATGGGTGTGAAGAGGCGAGGCCGGTAGAGGCCCAGCGGCTGCAGCTTTTCGGGGTTCCGTGTCAGGGTGGCCGAGAAGAGGAGCTTCTGCAGGGGGACGTGGGGGCAGCCAGCTCTGTGTAGGGGTGCAAATACCCAGAGTGTGGGGGTCAGGTGGGATTGCTATGAGGAATTATGAAATATGGAGCAAGCCATTTGTGTCCGCGATAAAAGCATTGCGTTGACTGGGTTTGATTCATTGACAATAATTTCTGATCGAATCCCACAGCCTTTGCACCTCTGCCATTTGCTTCCTCTATGCCTGACAAGAATGCATAAGCATGCTGAAACACAGATCAGGTATCCTCAGTACATAAAGATAGTAGGTTAATTTGATGTAGTTTGTTAATCTTTAGATAGATCTTAAGGGCCAGGAAGAGAGTTCACAAGGAGATGATAAATACTGCCATCCTGTCTCTCCTGTTTATGACCTCCGGGATTTTGCTGAATGCACTCCTCCTTTTATTCCTATTTTATTTACTCTGGACTACTATGCATGCTCAAGTAGGAAATAGTTCCTTTGTAGTTTTAACTTTAACTTTGTCCCTCGTGGGGTTTTTGAAATGCTCAGAGGAAATCTGATTGGTTCTTACGAACACTGTGTAAAAAGTTCTTTTGTGAATAAAACGACCTGGGCTGAGGGGTGGAGAGGAATTATTGTTGGCACTCCTCCCAGAGTCTTGCTGGTCATGCCTCGTGTGTACAGTATTTTATTAATCAGAGTCCAATCCTTCCTTGCTTTGGGAACGCTACAGCTCTGGAATGCAAAAGGCCCTGGGTGGGACAGGCCTCCCGACCCAAACACAAGCAAATGAGGAGCTTTTCCAGTGCCTCTCTGCTCCCCACCCCCTGGATCCACACACAACATTCCCAGGCCAGCTCCTTGATATTCAGGGGTTTGGGATCCACAAGGCGGCCTTTGGGGTCACATTCCTGGCAAAGGAACCCTCGACAACACAGTGGGCAGTTTCTGCTCAAGGCCTGACTCCCAGGAGGAGCTGGCTGTGCTTCCAGGAGCCAGAAGGGGTCCTTTGCTGATCCGTCCCACCACTCCCTGCCCTGCCGGTTCCCTTCTCGTTCTCCTCTCTGACGTGGCTGACGTACCTGGCTGCCGTGAGGGGCCCCTGCTCTGCCCTCCTGAACAGCTGTGGGGTGCCGGAGCCCTCTTCCACCGCTGAATGAGCTGCCGCCACCACCTGCCGCAGCCAGTCCTGGTGCATGTTGTCAATCATGCGATCGGCTTCGTCAATTATCTGCGCTCACGGGCAAAAGAGAGGCAGTCAGGGGAGGCTCACGACCTCTGGCACTGCAGAAAGCTTCACAGCCGTAGCTGGCATTGCCTTGCCAAGGTCTGCTGGGAGGGGGAGATGAAGGGGGGGAGCGTTTTGAGGGTGGGGTCCCGTTGCCTTTACACTCATGGTGGAGCTGCATGTGACTGGGAGCCCAGCCTGCAGGGAGGAGAGCCTCAAAGCAGGGCCAGCGAGAGAGGCGCTTTCATCCAGGAAGCAGCTGGCTGAATCGTGCATTAAAGAACGGACATTTGGGGGCGAAGGAAGCAATTCTAGTTATGAGGCTATTATAGGTCACATTTTATGTAACAGGGACACCGTGTCACAGTCCACTACCCCAACCCCTTATATCAGTGGTTCCCTAACTTTTCCCACCCACCGCCCCCTTGGTTCCATAACCTCATCTCCTGTGTCCCCTACCGTACAAAAAGCATTCAGAATACAGTGGTACCTCGGTTCTCAAACGTCTCCGTTGTCGGACGTTTCAAAACCCGAATGCCGAAAACCCGGAAGTAAATGCTTCCATTTTCGAACATGCCTCAGAAGTCGAACGGCTTCCGCTGGGTGCTTTTCCATTTTCTTAATTGCATTTGCAGCTAGCCTATTACGCCTCAGTTATTGAATGTTTTGGAAGCTGAACGGTCTTCCGGAATGGATTACGTTCGAGAACCGAGGTACCACTGTAGCAGTTTGCATTACCCTCTACGGAAGGTAATAGCACAATAAAATTCAAAACAGCAACAATTAATTGCACCTTTATTCAAAATCCAGTTAAAACGTGATTCAACAAAACTGATGAACCTGACCCACTGATGCCAGCTTTTTAAAAGTAATTTACCCCTGCCTCTAAGTAAGTGTTCCCCAACCTTGGGCCTCCAGCTGCTTTTGGACTACAGTTCCCATCATCCCTGACCACTGGTCTTGCCAGCTAGGGATGATGGGAGTTGTAGTCCAAAATCAGCTGGTGGCCCAAGGTTGGGGAACACTGCTCTAAGTGTCCCTCTAGGTAATTCCCTCCCCCCGGGGGGGGCAGTAATGCCCACTTTGGAAGCCGCTGCCTTATAAGGGCCCTTCCAGCCACAACATTGCATGTGATGCAATCCTCAAACATGGGGGCGGGGGGAGAGGGATTCCTCACCAGGAAGCGAAGTTCTTTCAGGCTGAACTGGGGGCTCTGCTGAAGATGATCTACGAGGCGCCCAGGAGTGGCCACGACAATGTCTGCCAGGCTACGAAATCCCATCAGCCTGGAAAAAGAAGCACCAGAACAGGCAGTGAAGAGGAGTGTGATTTACGGAGAAGCAGCAGCACCAGACAACCTCCCACTTGCGCCGATTGCTAAGGAAGAAGATGGAGGCCTCTGCTGCTGCTGCTGTGCCACCTCTGGGCTCAGCTTCCTGGGCCAAGACGCAAGGAGGAGGTTGGCGTGCAAAGCCAAACAAAGAGAAGGTGAACTTACGTCTCCTCAGCGAGCGACTCCTGCTCCTTTGCAAACGATTTCTGCCCGGTGAGCTGGACCACTTTCAGCCCCGTCCCGTCAGTGTAAATGTTGAATACTTTAGTCACCTGTGGAGAGGAGAGAATCAGTGGCCTAGAGGGAACAGGGCTGCCTCTCAGGAGCAGCAAGGCACAAAACACACCTTCAGGGCCAAACTTGAGGCAAGAAGAGCAAAGGCAAAAATCCGGCTCTTGACAGCTCCCAAAATGCCTGGTCCTTTGCACTTCTGACACGTGGCAACGGGTTCAGCAGGGCCCTTCTCTTGTGTTGGTGCTTCTACTTACAGAGCCTAACAGATGCTTCTGCAACAGCTCCCCCCGCCCCCGGCAGGAAGGTAATGGGCCTTCCCTGACTGGTATTCTGGGGTAGACTGCTTCTGAACCCAGAGGTTCTATTTAGCCATCCTGCCTAGTATGTGGAGACAGGCCTCGGCTACTCTGTGAATTCCCTCTCATCTGAGCCAGTGACTGGTGAGGCTCACAGCTTCTGGGGGCAGTACTGTGCACTGTGAGAGTTAAAAATTTATACCTATCTATATTTGCCTGTCTTGAATTTACCGCTGATCCCTTCAACTGGGGGAATCTTGATTTCTAGCATTATGAGGGAGGGAGAGAAGGGTATAAAGGCTAAACTTTTGCAGTGAGTATTTGTAAGGGGGGTGGCAGTATAAAATCTGAAGAACAAGACTGTGCAGTACTGTTAAGCCAGTCTAATCACTTATACAGTGGTACCTCTGGATACGAACGGGATCCGTTCCAGAGCCCCATTCGCAACCTGAAGCGAACGTAAGATGCGACTGCACATCTGCGCATGTCGCATTTTGCCGCTTCTGTGAATGACGTCATTTTGAGCGTCTGTGCATGCACAAGCGGCAAAACCCGGAAGTAACGTGCTCCGTTACTTCCGGGTCGCCGCAGAGCGCAACCCAAAAATATTTAAGCTGAAGCGTATTCGCCCTGACGTATGACTGTAAACTAGTTAACGCATTCCTGGGGCTGACCACACATCCTACACATTGGAGAATCCAATTGGGATGAACTCACAGCTGGAGTCCAAAGTCCCCCACCCCACCAACAAATCTCTCCTCAGTAACGCACCTGCTGGGCTAGTTCCTTGGTGGGCAGGACGGCCAGAGCTCGTACTCGGCAGACGACTCGGTCTAACAGAGCCTGAAAAGACAAAGGCCAGCGATCAGGAAGAGATGGGTGTCTCCTGCTCCTCAGTCTACACGAATGGGTGTGGGAAAAGCAACCAAGAGAGCTAAATGGACACACAGTCGATTGAGTCACATCCCCCTTTGCCCCAAGTGCTGGGGGATCCTTTGAGACAGTGCTTTCCAAATTCACCAGCCTGATACTACTCCTTGTACGCAAAAGTCTTAAAGCAGCCCACACTGGGTTGCACAACAGGAGGCTATTTTGGCACAGAACACACACCAGCCAGCATCTCTCCGCTTCGCCCAAAACTCACCTGCACCACCGGAATGACAAAGGCCAGGGTCTTGCCACTGCCGGTAGGGGCTGAGACGCAGATATCACTGGGCTGGTAGCCACCTCTCCCGGCCAAAAACCCGCTTTCCAAGATGGCTGGAATCACCTCGGCCTGAACTGAAGAAAAAGAGCAGGCAGGATCAGCACATACCCCAATAACATTCCCCCCACTGCTTAAAGGGTAAGGAAGAGGGCAAGGGGTATGGGAGAGGTTTCAAGGCGGTTTTGGAATTTGTATACTACTTTCTCTCCTGCCAAGGATTTGGTGGCCACCAGCAAGAAAACCGAGCCATCTTTCTCTTTTGCCTACACTTTTTCACCTTCCAAATGTTTATACGCTTCACATTCCATCAGTGAATCCACTTTTAAGTCTTCTCTCCAGCTCTGTCAATTGCAGCCTAGCCTCACCATACAAAAGAGAGAGCTTGGAATTGCCATCATTATCATTTTTAATTTGTATACCGCCTTTCTATCTTACAATACTCAAGGCGGTTTACAAGCTGAAGAAACAAAAAATGTACATCTTGTAACAATCTAATGCAATACAAAAATGCCATAATAAAACATAACTTTAAAATGGGCAACCTCCATCGAAAGAGTAACATTCAGCAATCATTAGAATCGTATAAAATAATAATATCAACATATAAAAGTTAAACAGAAATCCACTCAACAGTTACAATAATATCTAAACTATAATCAATAAAACAACAGCAAGCCACAGTACATAATACAATACACATTGAGAAGCAGAGGGTGGGCCAAGGCAGGTGGAAGGAGGGCTTGCCTGATGGAGTCTCTCCCCTCACAGTTCTTCCTCCAGGAACAGCTCCCTTATGAGAAGTGGAGGGGGAGTGGTCCTATGGAAAGTATTTGTGGGCACTCGGGTGTCTTGGGGAATCATTACTGGAGCACCCAGAACAAAGGTCCAGGGGCAGCAGCTGGCTCATTTATTTCTGGGCAGAATTTGTTTAACAGGGTGTCGTGAAGGATACCCACAGCCCTCTGGCTCCTTTGCACCAGAGTTCTGAGAAAGGTGGGGTTGCTTCTCTCTCATCACATGCAAATGGATCCACACACTTGAGTTGGAACTTGCTGTGGGATGAGAGATGCAGGTCCACGTTTACATCTAGGTATTTCATTGACATTCTAGCCTAGCTAAATAATTTGCTGTGGATAAAACTGTGCTTCCTCAGTTTGACACCACATCAAACACTGCAGAGAGGTTACAACTGAAGTACCGATGGGAGCGACTCCCACCAACATTCATTTAAAGAGCAGAGGTCCCTGTCTTTTAAGCACTAACCATTCGCATCCATCCATCTCCCAAACTCTGGCCATCTTCTAAATATGGGTTTAAAAGCATGGAAGAGGAAAAATTTTCCCACTATGATGATACCTGGAAACAAAGACTCTATTCCATTTCCTTGCAGTTTCTTCCTCAATTTTGGATGGATTACTGGAACGTCTTGGAGTGGGACAACGTTCTCTTTGATCCGCCTCTGGACCAGCTTAGGTTCAGCCAGCCAGCGTGGCAGAAGAGGCTCCACCTGGAAATGACAGACGCACATGTGATGGTGGAACTGTGGACTCAAGAGAACTGCAGGCACACACACCTCTGTCCCGACAAGATGCCACAAGGAACATTGCAACTCCAACCTCAGGACAAATCAGGCCCAATGTTCCAGCTGAAAGGTTTTGCTTCCATGGAATCTCCCTCTATTGAGCTTCAACAAGGCTTGGTCCCCGTTGTCGAAAAAGAGAGGAAACTAATGGGGTAAAGGAATTAAAAGGGTGCTATGCTCAAGCACCAAACTAAGGCTTTGATGGCTCTGTGATATGAAGCAAGCTATACATTTGTTTATTATTAATATTAACATTAGCGGTGGGGAGGGGGATATCTGCAGCCCTCCAGCTGTTGTTGGATTCCAGCCCCCATCAGTCACAGCCGTCTGACCAATGTTCAGGGATGATCGGAGTTGTAGTTCAGCGTCATCTAGGGAGCGCCACAGGTTTCCAATCCCTGCATTGAACAGATAGCCAAACCCAGCCGTCACCTTGACCCTCCAAGTGTTGCTTCAGTAAGGAAGCAACCCTGACCTCATCGCAGTGTGGCTGAGCCTTTGACAAAGACTGGGAGCAAAGCATGTTGATAACAGACTATCGGCTCAAGACTTAAGTGAGCTACCTTCTTCTTCTGCGCTGCCTTCAAAACCCAGTCACCAAGAATGATTGTGTTGGGAGGTGGGGGGGTTTCCTTTGGATCCTGCGGTGACTTCAGCATCTGCTCCTTTTCACCATGGCTCTCATTTGCTCTGGCTTCCGCGCCATCCTCCCTCTCTCCTGCTGAGCCATCATCTTCTAGTTGGCTTGCTAACTTAATTTCACTTCCTGGTAAAAGCAACATGAACATGACAAATGATTTGAGTTTAAGAAAAAGATGTGCTTATGGCATTTTCAAAAAAAAAGAGGAAAAGGTGAGCTGGGGGTGGGGGGAATGGTTGGGCCCAAGGTGGGAAAGGGCCCAAAAGTGCACAGAAAGCAATCTGTCCCATTCCCCACCCCCCCGCTCATCCCACCCCTCCTAGTACCAATCAACAGAGCCAAAGAAGCAGGCAGCTGCTCACTTTATAGCAAGTGGGAGTCTCAAGGAGAGAAGTGAGGGCTTATCCATACCAGCAGCTGCTCACACAAGAGGCAAGAGAAGCTGGGAGAAAGTGATTCATGAGAGACACAACAGGAGTTTTGCTGTACACACCACACTGGGGAAGCAGAAATCCCTACTGATGGCTTCTCTTGAAGAGATATGGTGTTATTACTGAATACGGTAAGCCACTCTGGGAGTCTTTCTCAGATGAAGAGTAGGCCAAAAATACTTTGAATAAAAAACAAACCCTTCCTATATTATGATTCTCATTAGGAAGCTGCCTTAGACTGCGTCAGACCACTAGGGTCTGTCTAGCTCAGTTTTGTCTACAATGAGTGTGAGGAACCTTTGGTCCTTGAGATGTTGCTGAACTACAACTCCCATCATCCCTGGCCATGCTACCTAGGGCTGCTGGGAGGTTGTAGTCTTGCAACATCTGGAAGTTCAGAAGTTCCCCACTCCTCGTTTACACTGACTGGCAGAGGCCCCCCAGACAGAGGACACCCCCAGCCCTACCAGGATATCCCAGACTGAACCTGGAACCTTCTGCATTCAAAGCAGGTGCTCTACTGCTGAACCACAGCCCTTCCCTTCATTCCGGAAGTCAGAGCCAATCTTTATGGTACACATTTATACTTAGACTGTGCCTTCCTATCTCTAAAAGATGAGCACCACTGGCCTGATTTGGGGTGTGTGTGTGGCCTGAGCAGATACTATCATATTGTTGACTGAGCACTGCCCAGAAACGATGGAGACTGAATGTAGCTCCCAGTTTCCACCCACAATTTATTTTACCTTCCCCTCCATCAGACCTTCCTTGTGGTGTCTTTGATTCCTTTCCACTTGTTTTACTTCTTCTTGGACTAAGATCATCGTCTTTCTCTTCCACACCTTCACCCCCTTCAGTGGATAATTTCTTCTTTCTCTTTCTATGGCCTTCTGTAAAAGGGGATTCCTCACTTTGCTTCCTCTTTTTGGATTTCTGCTGTGCTTCCTTCTCCAAGTCCATGTCAGGCATTTCATTATCTGGTCCACTTTCTGCAGGCATGTGATCATCCTGCTGCTGTCTTTGCTGCTGTCGAGCTCTTACCCGTTCCTTCAGCCGTTCCAGGAGCACTTGCGAGTGGTCTTTGACGTCATTGTCTTCATCACCAAGATACCTGTGGATTTCACAATGGTTTCAGTACTCCACTAACAAGGGTTTTCTTTGGTGGAAGCACCCCAACAGTGGAACTCTCCCCCCAAAAAAGTTAAATTGGGCACCTTCATTTTTTATTTTTAGCTGGGTGCTTAAGACATACTGATTTGCTGTATTTTAATTTTTGCCTATTCACTCTTATCCAGTTGAAAACCACAGTAGTGGTTTGGACCAGGGGAAGTTTCTGGAACACTTTGGGAGATTGCCAGAGCATGGATAATACATGGGAGGGTGGGGTGAGCTCTGACTGACCACAGCCCTGCAAAGTAGACCAGTGGTGTTATAATCATAGTACTGCATGGGGGCAGGAGAGATGCTGAGAGAAATTAGCTATAACAACACTGGGCTACACTACAAAGGCTTAGTCTCCTGCCATATTAGTTTATTAAATATTTTTTTAAAAAAGAAACACAATTGGAGGAGTGCCGTGAAGATGACTGTAGCCAGAGAACACGAAAAGGTGATTAAATGCCTTCATAATTTATGGTGGTGGGAATTCTTGTGCACAATTCTGATAAAAAAAAAGAGCGTGAAATGAGTTAATCACTTCTTTCCCAATGCCGCTACCGACACCGACTTAACAGCGTCCTGCTGTTCCATATACCACAATACCTTAAGGACCAAGGACAGGGTTATTCATTTATTGGGCTGTTGTTTTTATTTTGATTCATGTATTTATGGTTTTATATTCTGATTTTATTCTGTGAACCGTCCTGAGACCTGTGGTTATAGGGTGGTATATAAATTCAACAACAACAACAACCACCCATATGAACTGACCACCACCACCACCACCAACCCATATGAACTGACCCGAACCCTGCAATCATCCCCTGAGGCCCTTCTTCATGTGCCCCCTCCACGAGAAGTCTGAAAGGTGGCGACACAAGAACAGGCCTTTTCTGTGGTGGCTCCCCACTTGTGGAATGCTCTCCCCTGGGAGGCTCACCTGAGGCCTTCATTACATATCTTCAGGAACCGGGCAAAAACACTCCTCCATAACGAGGACTTTGGCTGATTTAGTAAGTTTATGGCCTTTTAAATGTATTGAGGGTGGGGCTATTGGCTGGTTCTTTGATTATGCATCTGCATTCTCTTTTTTGTATGATTGCATTGTAAACCGCCCTGCAATCTTCGGATGAAGAGGGTAAATAATAGTACAGTGGTACCTCGGGTTACATACGCTTCAGGTTACAGACTCTGCTAACCCAGAAATAGTGCTTCAGGTTAAGAACTTTGCTTCAGGATGAGAACAGAAATCGTGCTCCAGCGGCGCAGCAGCAGCAAGAGGCCCCATTAGTTAAAGTGGTGCTTCAGGTTAAGAACAGTTTCAGGTTAAGAACGGACCTCCGGAACGAATTAAGTACTTAACCCGAGGTAACCACTGTAATGATGCTGATGCTGCCAGCCGCACCTCCAAGTCCTTAAAAAGTGCTTTGAGGGGCTGCAGTGGAAATCATCCTTGCCGCCACCGCTGTCATGTGACCACGAAGCCCCTTTCCCACTCACAACTGGGCTCGAATTTCAAGCCAAACATCCACATTCGCCCGCAGCCCAAGCGGCAGCGAAGCCTCCTCCCTCGCGGTCCCGCCCGGGGCTCGGTCGCGGAAGCCTCAGCGCCGCCTGGACCCGAACCAGGCAGCCGCGGGCCGCATGTCCGGCCCCCTTCTCACCTGTGGACGACGAAGAGCGCCATGCCTGCTCTTTTCCCTCCGCCGGCGCCTAGCGATGAACGCCGACGTCGTCCCTTAACGATTACGACAGGTGGCCAATCAGGGCCGAGGTATGCAGATGAGGCGCGCCGTCTCGTGGCCGGCCTGAACTCGGTTCCTGTCGCTGCCGAGTGACGCAATCCCCGCGCTGGCCAATGTCGGGCGACGGCGCTCTCCCCATTCACAACTGGCAGCGCGGGAGGCCGGCGTGGAGAGAGAGGCGCGCGGGAAAGGGGCGCCCGCGGGAATCCGCTCCCGCCAGGAGTAAGGGCAGCCCTAAGGGAACTTGGGCGAATTCGGGGAGGGGGCAAAGGAGGCCTCCCTTTTGAGCCTTCCGGGGGAGGGGGGAGGTGTTACATCTGTTTAGCCAGTGCGACATAACAGTGGTCATGATGTGTGGATGCCCAATTATCGTCTTCCAAAGCAACTGCTCTATTCCGAACTTTAAAATGGAAAGCGTAATGCTGGTGGTCAACAAGAGGTTTAAAGACGCTCTCAAGGCAAATCTAAAAAAATGTAGTAAAGTATAGTGGTACCTCGGGTTACATACGCTTCAGGTTACAGACTCCACTAACCCAGAAACAGTACCTCGGGTTAAGAGCTTTGCTTCAGGATGAGAACAGAAATCGTGCTCCGGCAGCGCAGCAGCAGCAGCAGTGGGAGGCCCCATTAGCTAAAGTGGTGCTTCGGGTTAAGAACAGTTTCAGGTGAAGAATGGACCTCCAGAACGAATTAAGTACTTAACCCGGGGTACCACTGTATAGACACCGACAACTGCGAAACACTGGCCTGCGAGCTCTCCAGTTGGAGAACAGCCTTACCAAAGTTGTCATGGGCTTTGAAGACGCTTGAACTCAGGATGAAAGGGAGAAACGCGCTCAGAGGAAGGCATGTTTGGCAAACTCTCACCGTGATCGACTCTCACCTGGAAACTTATGTCCCAACTGTGGAAGGACGTGTGGATCCAGAATTGACCTCCACAGTCACTTATGGACTCACAGTTAAAACCGTGTTTATGGAAGACAATCTTTCTTGGGTACAAGTGATCGGCAAAGAAGCAGCAGCAGCATCTGTTTAGCCAGTGTGAGAACAGGAATGCAGGACGTTTTGTGTTTGCTTTGGAAGGTCAGCTAAGCATTACAGGGGTCGAGGCACTTACCGGTCACATCCCTGAAAGAGCAATTTGCAGGCAGGCCTTGGGGGTTTTGTGCATTACCAGGTGGAGCTCCCCCCCTTCCAAAAGAGGTGGCAAAAGATTGGGACCCAATTTTTCTGTATACCCGAGAGATCACCCATTCAACCAACAGCATCGCTCCTCACACTCCACAGGAGCTGCTTAACTCTTTGCAGGTGTATTCAGCACAGATATGCAAGCAGATCTAGGGGGCCCGTGTCCTTCTGGAGATCAGTGAGCTCCATCCTCCTATTGGCCCCAAACTGGATGGCTGGTATAAAGGGGGGAATGCGAGATACAGTCCTCAAGATCCCTAAGTCCAGAGCATGGTAGTGGCTGGAGTGGGCCGCTAAGTCCAGAGCATGGTAGTGGCTGGAGTGGGCCACATCTGCCCATTTCAAGCCCTGGTGGTAATTTAGGCTGTGTGCACACCATACATTTAAAGCATGACTCCCCCAAAGAATCTTGGGAACTATAGTTTACTCCTCACAGAACTACAATTCCCAACGCCCTTAAAGTGTGACTCCTGGGATTCTTTTTGAGGGGTGGGGATCATGTGCTTTAAATGTCTAGTATGCCAACAGCATTAGTGCCTCTCTACTGAACTAGCCGCAACAGCGAGACCCAGCAGTCTGTCATCTCAAAGGCCCCTGCAAAATAGAACTCCTCCTCCTCCTCCTTGATCTAGTTAGGGCCATCCCCACCCCCTATCACAGAAACACTTTGCACTTGCACAGCTTTCGCCAGAGCTTTTATTTGCATTTCAGAAACTGGATGCATGCAATAGGCTCTGCTAAAAAGAACCATCAAAAGGAAGGTGGGGGGGAGAGGAAGGAAGAGGTGGTAGTGATTGCCGGCAAACACAAGGGGGCAGCAGGTCCACCAGGTGGCTGTGCAGGAAGGAGCTGACTAGGCAAAGGTGGAGCCGTTCCAACCCACGTTAGCGGCGTTCATGTCACAGTAGTTGATGTAGACTCTACAAAAGAAGCAAAACAGCAAAAATCAGCCCAAGAGAGCACCAGAGTTACACGTGGCTCCCACACCTGCCCAGGTAAGGCAGGGATGGGGAACGTGTACCTCTTGAGATGCTAGGACTCAAGTTTGGTCACGAAGCAGGAGTAATGGGAGCTGGAGTTAAGCAACACATGTTCCCCCATCTTTGCTGGAGGCCTAACACTGCAAGAAATGACTCTTAGTTCCTGACAGTCTTGCTTCTCTTTCATAGTGGGACCTCTGCACTGCTTTTGATGAACATAGGAAGCTGCTCGACGAGGCAGACCATTAGCTCCAGCTAGCTTTTTAGTTTGGTGGGCAAGCAATGGCTCTCCTGGGTTTCAGCAAGGCGTCTCTTTCAGCCTAACCTGGAGACGCTCCTGCATGCAAATGTTCTCCAGCTGAGCTACAGTCCACCTCCCTGTGGTATTTTACTGCTATGGAGAACCTAATACAGTTGGATGGTGCCTTGTACAGTGGTACCTCGGGTTACAGACGCTTCAGGTTACAGACTCCGCTAACCCAGAAATAGTACCTCGGGTTAAGAACTTTGCTTCAGGATGAGAACAGAAATCGTGCTCTGGCAGCACGGCGGCAGCGGGAGGCCCCATTAGCTAAAGTGGTACCTCAGGTTAAGAACAGTTTCAGGTTAAGAACGGACCTCCAGAACGAATTAAGTTCTTAACCCGACGTACCACTGTACGCCTCTTTCTGGAAACTCCTGGAGCCAAGCTGGTGCCAAACGTATTGCTCTGTTTTCCTTTGGACCACATCAGCAAGGTCCTGTTGTCTGGGCAGCCCAAGACCTCAATACACACTGCCCAGGCTTTTTCCCCGGGGAGGTCACTTCTGTGCTGCTGACATGGTCCTTCCTGCTCTTTTGTGCTTTTCTAGAAATGTGGTTCCCAGACATGTGTTCAGCAGTGACCAGCCCCTGGGCTGCTTGGCTTTTAGCCATCAGACAATAACACCCTGCAATTCAGCAAAGATGCTCCCCTTTCAAGAAAGCAATGCCTCTTGGCTTGCAGCTCACCTGTCTGCAGGTATGTGCAGGTGCTTGGTCAGCAGCTCACACAGCAGCTTCGTGTAGGCCTTATTCTGCTGCCCGCCAATCTTGCCGATGCTGTGAAGGCTGCAGAGGGCACAGGGATCAGAGGAGCCCCCGAAGGACATCATCTGGTCAGCCACGATGTGGATGGCGATGTACTGCGGAGGGAGGCAGCAAACGAAATACTTTTATGGCTGCGCCTGGCGGTTGAGGTTTTGGAGCAGGAATTGTTCATACAAATCTTTAAAGTTTTTTTTTTTAAAGTGGCACCTAGCGGTGCAGCAATAAAACTGCTAACACGTTTGCAAAGCTAAAGCAGTTTACAGTATTGAGATGCCTGCCTCGCAGGGGGTTGGGCTGGATGGCCTTGGGGGAATCTCTTCCAAATCTACAATTTTCCGAGTCTGCATGTGTTTGCGCGCGCCCACCCTTTCTGCAAACTCGCTTCTCCCGCTACTGGGAGCTTCCTCCGCCCGGAAATCTCTGCAAAGGGCCCTCCCTAGCCCAGATTCAGGCGCCCAACCCGGCTTCCCAGCCGCCTTGTTGCTGCCACCGGCAGATGAAGAGCTGGTTGATTGAAAAGGAGGGCAGGCGGGACTCTCCCGGTTTGGAGATCAGATGTGGAAAGAAGCCCCTGAGCGTGCGCAGAGTGCCACTCCCCCCCCCCCTCACCTGGGCTGGCTTGCCGGTCGCCTTGGCTAGCTGCTGGGTGAGCTCTCCGAGGAGGCTCTCGGGCACGGCGTCCCGGCTCACGTTGGTGTTGACCACGAACATGGGCATCTTGGCTGCTTATGCGTCTTGCTGGCTGCAAACTGCGTGCAAAATGGGAGCTGCCTCCCCGCTTTGTAGGGCTGCGCCCGAGAGCGCGCCGGGAACTCCTCCCTCCCCCGCGCTCTTAAAGGGGCCGCAGCTGCAGCAGGCGGAGGGGGCAGCAAGTGCAGCCCTCAGCGAGTCCCCCCCCCCGGGGTGGAGGGGTGCCGAACGGGGCCGTCCTTGGCTGGGGCTCCGTTTCTGGAGCTGCTGGGAAGGGCAGGGCGCGAGGATGCGGCAGGCAGACTGCGGGGCAGGATGGTGGTGGTGGAGAGGGGGCGCCTGTGCCAGGCTGCACGTACCCAATGCCCGCCCGGGCGAGCCACGTGCTCGGTGCCCTTCAGGCGGGCTGGGCTGGGCGAGGCGGAGGGAGGCCCGGCGCTGCTTTCAGAGAGAAGCAATGGATGCTGATCTGCTCTCGCCTTCACCTCGGTGGGTTTCCCGGTGATGCACAATATGAAATCGACGTCAGAAGGCACTCTCCTTGCAATAGTGTGCCTGCACGTGGGATCTGCCACAGCCGTGTCCTTTCATAGAATAGTAGAGTTGGAAGGGATCCTGTGGATATGCAGTTGTGCCATACGGGAGTCGAACCTGCAAACTTGGCGTTATCAGCCCCACACACTAACCAACTGAGCTATCCAGCATATGTTGATCCTCGCCCTGTTTTGGGACACTTCATTCTGTCTGTCCCTCTCCTACCCTGTTTTCCCTTTCCAGCTGTCAGTCTGCATTTCTGGGCTGCTGAACCTCTTGAGACCACATTCATTGGGGGTGGGGGTTGTTTGTTTGTTTTGTGTGGGGGCTGTACTTCTGCAAACCTTGAGATGCCCCTAGGCCTGCTGGTTACCCAGTGTGGTGTAGTGGTTAAGAGTGATAGACTCGTAATCTGGTGAACTGGGTTCGCTTCCCCGCTCCTCCCCATGCAGCTGCTGGGTGACCTTGGGCCAGTCACACTTCTCTGAAGTCTCTCAGCCCCACTCACCTCACAGAGTGTTTGTTGTGGGGGAGGAAGGAAAAGGAGATTGTTAGCTGCTTTGAGACTCCTTAGGGTAGCGATAAAGCAGGATATCAAATCCAAACTCTTCTTCTTCTTCCCTCTGGTGCACAAATGTTGCCATTTTGGTGACCGGGGAGGGGGCAAGAATCGTAAACCACACTGAAATCCAAAAAGGATGAAGGATAGGGTTAAGAAAGAAAGAACGAGAATGACTCTGATTGGCAAATCATAGGGTATTCTAAACAGAAACCTGGAAATGGGCGTCAGACTTGCTTGTAGTACAGGAGACCAACTTTAAGGTGAAACACGTTTCCTTTCTCCTTATGAAAATGCTGTATCATGGATTTCCAGGGTGGCGCCACCGGCAATGGCGGACTCCCTCTGAATTGGAGGGACTGGCTCCGCGGTAAACAGGGTCTACTCCGCTACAGCGAAGCAGGGACCCCTTCAAAATCACAGGCGGATGAAGCCTGTGACCGTGGGACTCGGCGGGCACCTTTAGCGCCCCTCCAATCCGCTACGGAACCCACTAACGGGCTCCAAAGTGAGGAGGGGGAAGTGGCGCGGTGCTGTGAGTCAATCGCTATTTCCGTGGAGCGAAGCCGCACAGCTGCTGCCGGAGAGCGCTGCCTTCTTTCCTGGGACAATTTGGACTCTAAAACAAGCACCCGTGAGTACTTAGAATTTGAATAAATGGGATATCAAATAAAGATTTGTGAGAAGGACAGAATCAGACTATAAAAAAATCTATTGAATTTGGTACGGAGCGGGAAGGGCTAAACAGGAAGTCACCCTCCCGTTCTTTTGTAAATAGAATAAAGCAAAGGCAATTTACACTAGAGCTCAGAAAATCGTCTTTAAAAGAGTGGATTTCAACATTTTAAACCGGGAATCTTTTTTCCCCGGACTATTTGAGTAACTGCAAAAGGAAGTTATTTTCCTCCGTCCTGATCCTGGAGCGGGGTGTCAGGACTGACGTGAGTTTACCAAGATAATTGTCTTTTGACAGACAGCTAAAAGAAGAGAAACTTTGTGATTCCACTGTTCCCTTTCGCATTTTAAAGGAATATATATGGACAAAGTATCTTAAGTATTTTGGAAAAAAAAGGAAACTTTCTAGCAAAAATAAACATAAGTCTTCCCCCTAGGGGGAGCTTGTGAAGCTGTAACTAACTCCAGGAAATTGACAGCTGTTACAAAATAACCGTGGGAAAGTATTTGACTGTGCAGGACAATGTATTCAGAAGCCTTGGTCTGCGCTCTTTACAAAACAAATGCTCTACTGGGAGAATTACATGATAAGGTGAACTGGATGGCCATTTCGTCTAGAAATCTTAAACAGGCAGTGGAATGTTTTGACCAGACTGTGGGAAAACATGTGGAGCCCACTCAGGATTCAAACCAGGAGTGTGTTTTGACAGAACAGGAGTCTGTGGCATTAAATCAGCAGTATGTTTTGACAGAACAGACCCAACAGGAGTATGATCCTTCGGACTGGACAAATGAATTTGGAAAAAGCCAGATCTGGAAAGGAAAAGTTCGGTGTGGCTTGGAAATGGGGGGTTGGATTGACCCCCCTATGTTGGGATGTCTGGACTCTTTAAATATGGTAATGGGCTGCGATATGTTTGGGACTGTGGGGGCTCTCAACTTTGGAGGCCCCTTGAAACATGCTTTTAAATACTACATGGAATGCAGCGATGAATATGGAAAAGGGTCTGATCTGATGAGAAGGGTTAAAAACATTATTAAGTTGGAGCTACCACGAGCAAGAGACATTGTCAAGCTGGAGTTACCACGAGGAGATAAGGGAAATTACAGTTATAAATATGAAGAAGAGCCGCGGAAGGGCCATGGAAGTGACCTGAGGGCCTCGGACATAAGGTTACCGGGTTAGACTGATGGGAATAAGGACTGACAAATCCCGGAACCAGGAGGAAGGGACGTTGGATAAAGATTGGACTTGTCTATATCTTTCTTTTACTCTTTCTTTATTATCAGAATGTTTTATAAAGTTGATGAATGATAGAAAAATGTTGGAAGAAATTACCTGGCTTTAGTAAAGATGCATAAAGAATTATGAAAGAATATTATGATTATAAGAAGCTGGTAAGGTTAAGACTTAAGTTTTAAATTTTAAGGTTTATTTTATTATAGAAAGATAGGATTAAATTAGTCGAGGGTAATGTAATGATAGAATTTTATGAAACATGGAAAGGAAAGGATTTGCTGGGATAATTAATAACTAGAATACAAAGGAAGGGAGGAGGAGGAGGTCTACGAAAGTAGGTAATGACAGTTAAGGGTCTGAAAATAATGAACTTGTTTTGTTTTTGTTTTTTATTCTTTTTTTGTATTTTCTTTTTTTTGTATTTTTACTTTTTGTACTTTTTGTTTCTGTGTAACTTTTGTATCCTTTGAAATTTTAATAAATATCATTTAAAAAAAAGAAAAGAAAATGCTGTATCATGGAGTCAGACAATTGGGATCCCAAGGGTCATCTAATTCCAGCCCCCTGCAATGTAGTAATGCCTTGCCCAACATGGGGCTCAAACCCACGGCCCTGAGATTAAGAGGCTCATGTTCTACCGACTGAGCTATCTCAGCTGTATGGAGTACATTGCTCCCTCTTTCCCCACTCTCAATATTTACTGAATGAGCCAACAGCCTGTTTAGGTAGGTGAGACGCCCCTCCCCCATCCAACTGCAAATACAAGATACCAAAAATCCCCGAAGGAATGTGGTGCTTCATCAGGATAGTTAAAAATCAGCCCACCCCATACAAGTAAATGTAAAGGGACCCCTGACCAGTTAGACCAGTCGACTGATGACTGGGTTGCAGCGCTCATCTCGCTTTACTGGCTGAGGAAGCGGTGTTTGTCCGCAGCCAGTTTCCGGGTCATGTGGCCAGCATGACTAAGCCGCTTCTGGCGAACCAGAGCAGCGCATGGAAACGCCATTTACCTTCCCACTGCAGCGGTACCTATTTATCTACTTGCACTTTGTGCTTTTGAACTGCTAGGTTGGCAGGAGCTGGGACCGAGCACTGGGAGCCTTCCGATCATGGCGAAGCCACTAGGCTCTGTGCTTTAACCCACAGTGCCACCCACGTCCCCTACCCCATGCACGTACTGTGCCACAAAAACAGTAGCCAAGGAAGCAGCAGCACCCATCCTGTTTGGTACATGGTCTCCTGCTCTCGCTTATGAAGAAGGCCCCAGAGGTTTGGAGGAGGGAGGGGGATTCCAGGCATATTTTTATGTATCTCACTGGCTTCTGCTTTTGGATGAGGCAGATTGAAGGCGACACTCCACATTCTGTTTTAAAAATAATAATGGCACAGGGTAATCCTGATTTTCTGCATGAGAAAGCAAAACCCAAAGGAGAGTCTGATGTCAAAACCAACAAGCACCAAATCCACCAGGCATTGTGTTGTCTGGGTGAAGAATCTGCTACCCAACACCCACACTGTTCTCTCTGTTGTATCCTGATGGAATTCGACTTCAGATGAGAAATATGACCAGCTGATAAACAAAGCAACAACTTGCAATCAAATGGGTATGATTCAAAAGGAGACCCAAGTTGCAGGTTGCTATGCCGGGCCCATTGGGAGGGGTGGGGGGAATAAAAAAATAAACTGTAGGAGGTACCTTTCTCAATTAAAAGCGCAGAAATAATTGAGCAAGCTTTCAACCTCCCCAGAGGTCTTCTGAAGATTAGATGTCCCTGGAATTGCAATACTTTGAAGGAATTGCACTTTGAAAGAAGAGGCATTGTGCAGATGGGGAAAGATTCTATAGCTATTTAGTAAGTGAATAAATGAATAGACTAATGTAAAAGGAGAAATGGATGGGGAGGGAAAAGGAAAAAATAACTCGGCCATCAGCTCTTATGTCATGTAAAATATCTGACTGGCTTTGGGAACTGAGAGATCAGATCCTTTGGAGGAAGAGAGAAACACTTTGGGGGTGTATAATTAGTCCGTATACCTACAGAAAATGGGATTCTATGCGAGTGAGCAAGAAAGGTGTGGTCAATGGTGCTGTTTACTTTTTACAAGGGAGCGATAGTGAGAGATTGAGTTTATCTCCAACTGGATTTCCACCCACCTCTGGTTATCGCCTTCCCAGATGCCCCACCTACATTGTACATGACCAAACCTGGCATCAGTTTCCGGCTGCATAAAGAGCCTAAATATACAGGAGGGTGACCCTGCTGGGTGTGTGTCTGGGGTGGTCATTGAGCGGCTGATGGTTAGGTTCTGTGAGCTTCCTTGCTGGGAACAAGAGGGATGCGGGTGGCGCTATGGTCTAAACCACTGAGCCTCTTGGGCTTGCTGATCAGAAGGTCGGTGGTTTAAATTCCCTAGATGGAGTGAGCTCCCATTGCTCTGTCTTAGCTCCTGCCAACCTAGCAGTTCGAAAGCACGCCAGTGCAAGTAGATAAATAGGTACCGCTGCGGTGGGAAGGTAAACGACATTTCTGTGCGCTCTGGTTTCTGTCCCAGTGTTCAGTTGCACCAAAAGTGGTTTAGTCCTGCTGGCCACATGACCTGGAAAGCTGTGAACAAACGCCATCTCCCTCGGCCTGAAAGCGAGATGGGTGCCACAACCCCATAGACACCTTTGACAGGACTTAACCGTCATGGGGTCCTTTACCTTTACCTTTTACTGGGAACAACCTTATTGCCAAGGTCTTTCTGACCGATCTCAGGTATTACCAGGGACTCTTATGCAGGAATGTCAGATAGGCATAGGGAGCCATGCATGCCTGATTTGGATAATAATAATAATAATAATAATAATAATAATAATTTATTTGTACCCAGCCCATCTGACTGGGTTGCCCCAGCCACTCTGGGTGGCTTCCAGCACATATAAAGACATAGTAAAACATTAAATCTGCCTTCAGATGCCTCCTGAAAGATATATAATGACTCATCTCCTTGACATCTAGTGGGAGGGCATTCCACAGGGTGGGCGCCACTACCAAGCAGGGCCTCTGCCTGGTGGAGGCAGGAAAGACACAACTGTGAAGGGACACTTAGGAGTCTTAATTCCCCTCCATTTGTTCCTGGGCATGCAATGCTTGCATTCAGCACCTCTTAAATTTGGTGCCAACACACTGAAGGCCCCGCTTGGATCGGCCATTTTCTGGAGTTCCCTCTGAGTCCAGCTGAAAGCGGAGCTTGGAGTCATCACCACTGAACAGCTAAGTCGCAACGTATGGTGAGCAATAGCATGATGCCATTTTTTTTTGCCCCCAGCCTCTGGCGCTACAGAGAGTTCTAAGAAGCCTTTGCAGAAATAATCATTGTTTATGTCATTTATACCTCACTCTTATACACCTTCTGCATTCAAAGCAACATACAGCAGAAGTAAACATTACAAAACCCAGAATCGAATATAGCCACAACTGTGGGGGTGCCAGATGACACTGAATGAGATAGGCCTCCTCCACAGAGAGTGCAAGGAGTGAGGAATCTATGGCCCTCCAGCCATGGTTGGACTCCAGATCCCAGCCAGCATGTCCAACGAGCAGGAATGACTACAGCTACAGTTTCCTCCCCACTACACTAAACCGTGGTTTGTTTAACAAACCATGGGTTAACAAGTCATCCCACAGAAAATTAAACAAGCTGTGGCCTCCTTCTCCAATATTTGACTTGTTTTTCAGTTGCTTTTGCCTTTTTGGTTTGGTGAGGGTTTTTTTGTAAAGGGTTCAAGCAAACCATGGTTAAAGACACGTTAGATCTATAGGCTCGTCCAATCCCTTAAACCTGGAAAAGCACCCGGCGTAGACAACATTACACTGGAACTCCTTAAGGCTAATGTTGAATGGTGGGCCCCTGTGCTAGCTGCCCTATTTACCAGCATAGACCAATCGGCCACTATCCCTGAGGATTGGGGATTAGCAATCATCATCCCTTTATTCAAGAAAGGGAGCCGATCAGACCCGGCTAATTACAGGCCATTTAGCCTCCTAAGTATCATTAGCAAATTGTACGCTGCCCACCTATGCGGCAAATTAGTGGACTGGTTGGAACAAGACCACATTCTTTCAGAAGCACTGGCTGGTTTTAGGGGAAATCGGTCAACCTTAGACCAGGGCCTTGTTCTCCAACATCTTGCGGAGAAATATACATCAAGAAAAGGAGGTTCCCTATACGTGGCCTTTATAGATTTCAAATCTGCTTTTGATTTAATACCGAGGGACAGGCTTTGGGGAAAGCTAAGCGCCGCAAATATAAACAAACGCCTACTGTATCTCATCCACAGTCTATATGAAAATACACGGATACGGGTAAGGTGTGACCGACAGGGCCACCTATCCGAGGAAATCCAAATCCATCAGGGGGTCAGGCAAGGGTGTGTCCTTGCGCCTACTTTATTTAACTTCTATATCAACTCGCTAGTAGGAAATATGGAGAAAGAAAATGCCCATCCCCCCAAATTGGCTGGTACGCCCCTTCCGGTCCTTTTATATGCGGATGACACAGTTTTAATTTCTTTTCTTGTGTTGGATTAAGAAAACTTTTGAGATCTTTCACCAAATACTGCAGCATCGAACAATTAACAATTAACTACAACAAATCCAAAGTTATGGTGTTCTCCAAAAAAAGGAGGAGGCACAAATGGAGAATAGACAACCGTTTAATAGAACAGGTAGCAACCTTTAAATACCTGGGTGTAACCTTCCAGGAAAGGGGCTCCTGGCGCTTTCAGATTAATAATACTATTGCAAATGCAGAAAGATCTACCAAAGCGTTAATAAGATTCTTCTATGGGAAAGGAGGCCAGTACATACCGGCAGCCTCCCAGGTCTTTGCTGCCAAAATACTACCACAATTGTTATATGGATCCCAGATCTGCAGTTTTAAAAACCTTACTCTCTTAGAGGCATTTCAAACTAAGTTTTTCCGCTGCCTGCTGGGGATCCCCTCTTGTGTATCCAACATAGCGGTCCGTTTGGAGGTTGGGCAAATTCCTATCAGTACCCGGATATGGATATTGAAGATCCATTACTGGCTAAAGCTTATTTTCTTCCGGGTTGGGCTGGCACCTTTGATCTTATTGGATACCTACCAATCCAGATGGAAAGCTACACTGCTGGAAAAGCTTAAAGGCTTGGGGATCCCACAGCAGACCCTGATAGCGACAGGCTTCGAGAAAGCTAGGACTATAATTCGCCAGCGTATCTGGGACGTAGAGTTACAATGCCACATGAGTGAAATGATCAAACATCCTGCAATAAGGGACTATGGGAGAGGTTTTTCTCCAGCTAACTATCTGTCAGGTCTTCAGGTACCCAAATACAGACGGTCTTTTACCCTCGCCAGATTCAACGTTCTCCCTTCTGCCTTACTTCAGGGCAGATTTGAGGGTAAACCATACACAGCGCAGGTCTGCCCCTGTGGCTCGTTGGAGGTTGAGACTGCTTCACATGTACTGTTACGTTGCCGTCTTTATGAGGATATACGTTTGACTTTTATTGCACCTGTTTTGCGGAAGTCCAGGAAAGAGTCGGAACACCATGGTTTGGAACCACTGCTAGAGGACAAGAATCCCAAGACTACATTAAATGTAGCCAAATTCTGTGCGGCTGCAATTAGTCGCAGGAAGCAAGTGGTATCCCATGGTGACCAAATCCCCAAATGTTAATTGCAGGGGGCATGCTAATAATTAATTTTAATTTTTTATATTTAAATTTATATTTTTATATTTAAATACTCATATTGTCCTCTGTATTTTTGATATATTTTTTTGTATGATCTGTGATGTTGTGTGTGTTGGCGCTGGTCTGTGACCGTATTAATAAATTCATTCATTCGTTAGACATAACACCAAACCAAGGTTCATAAGCCAACAACAAACCATGGCTTCAGATTGCAATTTGTTGGGAGTAAACAAACCATAGATAACCTGTCTCTCATGGGAAACAGGATGTAAACTGGAAACAGGATGTAAACTGGTGAAATGTCCCATCTTGGCTGAAAGCCACGGGCAGGCTGTTGTTTTCTTTGCATGGGGCAGAGCTAGTGACTCTTCACCCTCCTCTCTCCTCTGCTCCAGAGCTGGAGATTCTGCAAATGGGATGTTAGAGCCTGGTGCAGAAGATGGTTTCCTGAGGAACTTTATTTTCAGCAGGAAAAACTTGTTTCTTTCCATAATTCAGCTTATTAAACTCTGCTGTAATTTCCATGATCGATTTCCCTTTTGTTTCCGGGAGGAACAAGAAGATGAAAACACCTGAGGCTGTAAGGATGCCCATGAAGATCAGGAAGCAGAAGGGGCCGAGATATTCCTGGAAAGAGAAGGGAAGGGAAAGGTTAAGGAAGCTCGCGTTGCATTCTCAAAACCCTCCTTGCAAACACTTGGCCGGTGCAGAGATTCATACAGAGCAGGATCTCGTCCACCAAGCAGGTTCTCCGGCCCATACAGGACACCTGTAATTTTTGGGGGAAGTAAACACCCCATTTTTCACTTTCAAGCAATTGCTTGCAAAATCACCCATGTCCTCATCATGGCCTTAAGTGTCCGATGTCCCGCGGCAGGGTTGATTGTGTGGGACTTGGCGGGTTGCCTGTGGCCCTTGGGCTGCCTCACCACAATGAACGGAAAGATCATCCCGAGCAGGAAGAGACCCATCCAGTTGATGAACCCCACGATCACAAAGGCCGACGGGCGGAAGGTCTGGTTGAAGATCTCAACCATCACGGCAATGGTGGCTCCAGCTGGGGAAGGCAGAGAAAAGCTAAACGAACAAACAATGCGCAGCGGGCCCAATTCTTTGCAGCTGGTCTGCTTCAGACATTATGCAGGGAGAAGAATAATACAGTGGTACCTCAGGTTACATACGCTTCAGGTTACAGACTCCGCTAACCCAGAAATAGTGCTTCAGGTTAAGAACTTTGCTTCAGGATGAGAACAGAAATCGTGCTCCGGCAGCGCGGCAGCAGCAGGAGACCCCATTAGCTAAAGTGGTGCTTCAGGTTAAGAACAGTTTCAGGTTAAGAACGGACCTCCGGAACAAATTAAGTACTTAACCTGAGGTACCACTGTAGAATCAGAACTAATCTGATGCTCTGTCTCTTGAGACCAGGGCCCTGCGGGATCTGATCTCTTTCCGCAGGGCCTGTAAAACAGAGTTGTTCCACCTGGCCTTTGGCTTAGAATCAGTTTGATTCCCTCCCCCTCTTTCTTTTTCCGTTCTCCTCCTATGAAGAGATTGCTCCCTAATTGTTTTAATTAGGGAGAGCCAGTGTGGTGTAGTGGTTAATTAGGGAGAGCCAGTGTGGTGTAGTGGTTAAGAGCGGTAGTCTCGTAATCTGGGGAACCGGGTTCGCGTCTCCGCTCCTCCACATGCAGCTGCTGGGTGACCTTGGGCCAGTCACACTTCTCTGAAGTCTCTCAGCCTCACTCACCTCACAGAGTGTTTGTTGTGGGGGAGGAAGGGAAAGGAGAATGTTAGCCGCTTTGAGACTCCTTAAAGGGAGTGAAAGGCGGGATATCAAATCCAAACTCTTCTTCTTCTTCCTAATGTTGTATCTTAATCTTTTAATTGTATTTTAATCAACTTGTTTTTATTATTGGTTATTAGCCACCCTGAGCCCGGTCTTGGCTGGGGAGGGCGGGGTATAAATACATTTATTATTATTATTATTATTATTATTATTATTATTATTCTAGTGCAACCCTTTGCAGTACATGAATCTTTTCCCCAATGTGGTGCTCTGACTCAAGACCCTGAGATTAAGAGCCTTATGCTCTACCAACTGAGATGTCCGCTTCGAGACCTCGGTGTGCCTGCAACCTCACCCACCCCGACCAGGCCCTCTGGGGGTGGATGGGTAGCTGCTTTGCCAAAGGCCAGTGTGGGCTGGCTGCCGCCAACTGCCTCTGCACCACCCACCCAGCACCCACAGGTGTCAGGATTGGCAGAGACCTGACCAGATGCCTAGACATGCCTCATCCCAACCTCTCAACAGCAGGTGCTGAGTTGTAAGGATTTAGCCTAGTAGGAGCTGGACGTTCCCACACCTGCATATGGATCTGGGCCTGCTTGGACACGCCCCAGTAAGAAAAAAAGGTAAGTCCAGTCAAAGGCAACTATGGAATGCAGCGCTCATCTCTGCTTTCAGGACAAGCGAGCCGGCGTTTCTCCACAGACAGCTTTCCGGGTCATGTGGCCAGCAGGACTAAACCACTTCTGGTGCAATGGAGCACTGTGATAGAAAGCAGAGCGCACGTAAGCGCTGTTTACCTTCCCGCCGCAGCGGTACCTATTTATCTACTTGCACTGGTGTGCTTTCAAACTGCTAGGTTGGCAGGAGCTGGGACAGAGCAACGGGAGGTCACTCCGTCGCGGGGATTCGAACAGCCGACCTTCTGATCGGCAATCCCAAGAGGCTCAGTGGTTTAGACCACAGCCCCACCCGCTGTCCCACAAACATCCAGTGCACACCGCAGTACAGAAGTGGCAAGGCCATGCGTGTGGACCATGCATTTGTGAGCCTTGCTCCCTTCCCTCCTTGCCTGCCAGGCTCCCCCAGGTTCCATCCATCGCCTTCCTAGCAGGCTGCTTGCGTCCCTTCCTGGATGGGGCTGCCAGGGACCTTTCCCCCACCCTCGCCCCCGGAGGTACTCACAAGGCCCAATCCCATAGAAGAGCACGAAGAGGAAGATGAGGACCACACTGAAGTGGTGCATCCAGAAGAAACGGTGCTGGGAAGAGAAGAAAAGGGTCCTCTAAGCGGGAGTGGAAGGATCCAATGCTTCCTGTTGCAAAGGCAAGCAGAGGAGAATTGGGGGTGCCCAAGTGGGCTCCTGGGGGTGCCAGTCCCTTGAGGGCCAGGGGCAGAGAGGGATGTCTTAAGGAGGCTTCTGAACTGTGTCCATTATTATTATTATTATTATTATTATTATTTATATACCTATACCCGGGGGCTCTCTAGGTGGTTCACAGAATAAAATCAAGATATAAAACCACAAAATACATAATAAAAAAAATAAAAACAACAACCCAATAGCCCCCCACAAAAAAACACATTTTAAAAGGGCATAGGATGTCAATCAGATCAACCAAAGGCCTGGTTTAAAAGAAACGTTTTTGCCTGGCGCCTAAAGGTGTACAATGAAGGCGCCAGGCGAACTTCCCTGGGGAGAGCTTTCCACAGATGGGGAGCCACTGCAGAGAAGGCCCTATTCTTGTGTTGCCACCTTCCGGACCTCTCGAGGAGGCACGGGCCTCAGAAGATGATCTCAGGGTCCGGGTAGGTTCATAAGGAAGGAGGCAGTCCTTGAGGTATTGCGGTCTTCAACCATTTAAGGCTTTATATGTCAAAACCAGCACTTTGAATTGGGCCTGGAAACTAAATGGTAGCCAGTGCAGTTGTACCAGAATTGGTGTAATATGCTCAAACTGTCTTACTCCAGTGAGCAACATGGCTGCTGAATTCTGCACCCGCTGAAGTTTCCAAACCGTCTACAGAGGCAGCCCTATGTATAACACATGTGTTATGTACTAAGCTTGGATCCTAGAACAATAGGCAAGTAGGATCCTAGAATGCAACAACTGATTGGCTTGCAGGAGAAGACCAATCAGGCTACAGGAGGAAGTTAATCAGCCTATTAGGCTGGTAGGATCGTAGAATGCAACAACTGATTGGCCTGCAGGAAACGACCAATCAGGCTCCAGGAGGGAAGCAGAATCAGCCAATCAGGCGGAACTCATTATGTAAATAATGTATATAAAAGCCTGAGGTTTGGGGGGCAATTCAATCACTGTTTTACAAGCTGCAATAAAGAGCATGAAATCACTACAGGACTCCGAGTATATTTCAGCATGGCAGTAATCTAACCCAACAGCTCTTTTCCCTTTCACTCCACCGCTGCCCCACATCACAGAGGACCCCCAACCGCCTTACCTGGAGCGAGAGGGTCAGGGTGAGCAAAGCCAGGACCAGGACCATCGCAGCGTAGCCCCCCCAGAGCAGAAGCTTCCGTCCAAAGCGCTCAATGAGGGAACTCTGGAAGGCAGCAAAAGGAGGGGAACCTCAGATGTCCTGCCAGGGGGACAGGGGCTGGGGAAATACATGAGGGGCTCTCCCCATTTTGGGAGCACCAGCTGTGCCACCCCCCTTGAACTTACGCACAGGATGGACGAGAGGCACTCACACATCCCCACGCCCAAAGCGATGTACGGAACGAGCTCCTCTTCAAACCTGGCTGTGCGGAAGACTTCAAAGGAGTAGAAATAGATCTGGAAAAGGCAGGAGGAAGATGAGGAGACGTGGGGCTAGTTTGCAGGAGACGTTTTTGCCTGCAGAGCTCCATGTGTGCAGAGGCTCCCTGCCTGTCCCCGTTCCCTTCTGTTAGAAGGCAGGTGGCCTGCGGTACACACAGCACGGACACCTCCCTGCCTACCACAGAATCATAGAAACTGCAGAGTTGGGAAGGAACCCAAGGTTCATGTCGGGGAACTGCCATCAGTTCAGAGGCGAGAGGTGGAAGGGCAGTTGTGTTATAGGGAACCTCCGAAAATCTTGCGAAGCAGTTCCTCCTCTGGCGAGGAGGAAAGCCCCACCTCCAGTGGGGAGGAGGTGGTGGGACCAGGGGATGCTAGGGAGAGCCTCAACACCGAGCCTGAGCAAACTGGAGAGGAGGGAAGTACCCCTTTGCCAGCGCCCATTCTGCGCAGTAGGTTTCAGCGCAGGGAGGGGAGGAGAAGGTTGGGGGTCATGCGACTGTTATGCTGGGGAAGGTACAAGAACCGACCACTCCCAGATTCTGCTAGTGACTGAGCCAGACATGAATTTGCGACGCTCTTCACTGTAAATAGTCTGCACTAAGAATAAAGCCTGGAAAAGACAGGTCAGAATCTTGCCTGTTTGCTCTCGAGCAACCACACCATCACCTGACAGTTCATTTAGTCCACCCCCCTGCAATACAGGGACCACATACCCCTCCCTCCAGAGAACTGGCATGGGGCTTTGGATATGGCCTTGTTGTTGTTTTCAGGCTCCTTGGCACTCACATCTGCCCCAGATTTGTCTCCACTTATAGAATCATAGATTCCTAGAACCGGAGAGTCATCTAGTCCAGCCTCCTGCCAATGGAGGAATCTTTTGCCCAACGTGGGTCTCGAACCCAGGACCCTGAGATTAAGAGTCTCGCACTCTACTGACTGAGCTATCAAGGAAGCCTCCAGGAAGAAAGCCAGAAGGATGCAGATAATGCATGACCACTGCTGCTCGGGTGCAAATGACTCAAAGCAGGATGCGGATGGGATCAAGGCCCCTCAAATCACTTGGCTGGCCTTTTGTTCTCTGCGCCTTGACTGGTGCGTGTGTATGTTGGAGGGGGACAGGGGCATCTTTTGCTCTGTCTCGGGTGGCAAAATATATTGGGCCCACCCTGCGTGAGCTGACCTGCCTGCTGAGCCTGCAGACACAGGGCGGATCGACACTCATGGTTTATAACGTTAGGAAACGGTTAAGAAAACGCTTCAAAACGTAAGGGTCATATTAAAGGTAAAGGGATCCCTGACCATTAGGTCCAGTCGTGGCCGACTCTGGGGTTGCGGCGCTCATTTCACTTTATTGGCCGAGGTAGCCGGCGTACAGCTTCCGGGTCATGTGGCCAGCATGACTAAGCTGCTTCTGGCGAACCAGAGCAGCGCATGGAAATGCCATTTACCTTCCCGCCGGAGCGGTACCTATTTATCTACTTGCACTTTGACATGCTTTCGAACTGCTAGGTTGGCAGGAGCAGGGACCGAGCAACGGGAGCTCACCCTGTCATGGGGATTCAAACCGCCAACCTTCTGGTCGGCAAGTCCTAGGCTCTGTGGTTTAACCCACAGCGCCACCCGCGTCCCTTAAGGGTCATATTAGTCATGCGTTATTAAAATGTGACAGCAGAGGCTACTGCAGAGCTACTAACTATCTTAAACCAGGTGGATCTTTTGGAAAAGAAACTGCCATTTTAGAACAGTATTTCTAATATTTTTCTAATTACATTTTACAGGTGAGTGTAGATCCAGCCACAGACTGGCCATGGCTGGGTTGGGTCACAGCAACCCTTCTGCTCCCCACCAGGGAGCAAGTAGACTCTCCTTTGCTGGTGCCTGTGGTCCTCCAGATGTCCCTGGACTACAAGTCCCATCATCCTTGTCCTGCTGGGTGCAGAGGCTGATGGGAGTTGGAGTCCAGCAGCACCTGGAGAAGAGCCACCATAGCTGTTCCCTGTTGTAAAGTCTGCTTGATCCAAAAGGCTGTGTGACTCCCCTGGAAGCCTCTGCGTCCCCCAGGAAGCAAAGACTCAACTGCGTTGATGCCGCAGAGCTGCAAGGTGGTCATGACTGTGATCATCACGTAGAGCTGCCAGCGGAAGGAGCGGGCCTTCATCAGCTCCAGGACGCGCAGGCTCTTGGTGGTGGCCACGGCGGACTTCTCTTTCTTGAGGTCCTCAATCTCCACTTGGTGGTCACCTTCGCCCCAGAGCTGCTTGATGGCTGCGGTACAGAAGGAAAGAAGGAAGAATAGGCCTGGCTCTACCCAGTAAAGTGACCCTTGGATCAGCTCAAGGGGCAGATCAATCCATGGCTACCAGGGCAGCTCTCTACCAGCTCCATCTGGTACGCAGGATGAGACCCTACCTGCCTGCAGACTGTCTCGCCAGAGTGGTACATGCTCTGGTTTTCTCCCGCTTGGACTACTGCAATGCGCACTACGTGGGGCTACCTTTGAAGGTGACCCGGAAACTACAACTAATCCAGAATGCAGCACCTAGACTGGTGACTGGGAGTGGCCGCCAAGACCATATAACACCGGTCCTGAATGACCTACATTGGCTCCCAGTATGTTTCCGAGCACAATTCAAAGTGTTGGTGCTGGCCTTTAAAGCCTTAAATGGCCTCGACCCACTATACCTGAAGGAGCGTTTCCACCCTCATCGTTCAGTCTCTTGCCTTCTGTTCTGCTCAATTCACTATGTCGCAATTGCAGTGCCCTGCAGCGCCCCCTAGACTAGGTGCCCGGTGCGCCAGAACCAGTCGTGCTGCTCTAAATCCACCTCTGGCATTTGCAAGCCTTGCTCAAAGTCATTGGCAACCCTGGAACCAGTCTGTCTCAGCCCTGCTGCTGCCAGCCAGCCAGCCTGCCTGCCTGATCTGTCCAGATGGCACGGGGCTCCTACCTTTCATGAAGGCTTCTTCATTGCCCTTCTGGATCAGAAGGTAGGATGGGGAGTCGGGGAAGCAAGGGAGGGTCAGTAGCTGGACCACTGCAGTGAGCCCACTGGAAGCCAGTAGCAAAGGCCACAAGAAGTCACTGCCCAACATTTCCCTGCAGAGAATAGAAGGAGGAAGTCAGGGGACAATGGCATACAGTGGTTTTTTTTGTAAGCGCCTCCCCTTCCTAAGCTGGTTAGGAGCATCCTGGCTTTGGGGAAGGAGGTGCCAGGCCTCTGAAAGGATGCTGGCACCCTCCTGCCTCCTTCCCAAAGCCAAGTGAGCTTTGGGAAGATGGCGGAAGAGCTCTTGGACCAATCGGAGCATCGCTCCTCCCTCCTTAAGCCAGGCAGAAGCTTCTCGGGCTTTGAGAAGGAGACACCAGGGGAACATTTAGGGGACTAGCCTAGTCCCTGTAGTCCACTGACCTCACGCCACTGCAGGGGGGGTGTCATCATCACAGGACAGCCCCCCTCCAACAGGAGCACAGGCCCCCGGTCCCTCCTCCGAAACCCACACATTCTTTTGAGCAGCCCAGAATTCAAAGTCCCAAACCCAAAGTGTGCGGCTTTAGAACCCAAGGTTCTAATTTAAGTTCATGTGATTTTTATTCAACACAATCCAAGTCCCAAAGGCTTTCAGTCACACTGTTCTCAAGCATCTTTCAGGCAGCACAGAGGAGGGGCTGCACTTACCCCAAGCCCATCACTTGTCCCGAGACTTTCCCGAGGGTCAAGAAAACAGCCACCGTGGCATTTGCAAATCCGCGCAGCTTCTTTGGAGAGATCTCTCCCACGTATTGAGGGTGTATGTTGAAGGAAAACCCTTGGGAAAGAGTGGGGGGCATGATAGAGAAACACAGTGAAGAAACCTGCAAAACCACCCGGTTTCACTGTCTCCAGGTTCAAGGTCAACTCAAACGAATTATTATTGGCAGCTGTTGCATCTGACAGGCATGTAGCCGGGTCATGTCTTAGCAGGTCTGCAACCTGCTCCCTGCTCCACAGCCCAGCCCAAGTGCCCTGAAGCTCATCCATCTAGGTTTCCAGGGTCAACCACCCTCGGTTGAGTTCTGCCAAATGGACCAGGTTAAGCTAAAGAGGGGACGCGGGTGGCGCTGTGGGTTAAACCACTGAGCCTAGGGCTTGCTGATCAGAAGGTCGGCGGTTCGAATCCTGGCGACGGGGTGAGCTCCCGTTGCTCGGTCCCTGCTCCTGCCAACCTAGCAGTTCGAAAGCACGTCCAAGTGCAAGCAGATAAATAGGTACCGCTCTGGCGGGAAGGTAAACGGCGTTTCCGTGTGCTGCTCTGGTTTGCCAGAAGCGGCTTAGTCATGCTGGCCACATGACCCAGAAGCTGTACGCCGGCTCCCTCGGCCAATAAAGCGAGATGAGTGCCGCAACCCCAGAGTCGGTCATGACTGGACCTAATGGTCAGGGGTCCCTTTACCTTTAAGCTAAAGAGACTGCAAAAATTGGGGAAGGCTGGGCAGGATTCTCTGCCTGCACAAACAATGCATCTTGACTTATAGCATCTCCAAAGGAACCAGCCCCCTGCATCTCCCTCCTGCCACTGGAATTTCTGATAAGAAATGCTTTAAAGACCAATTTAAAAGACCAATGTAGTACAGTGGTACCTGGGTTCTCAAACGCCTTGGTTCTCAAACACCGAAAACCCGGAAGTAAGTGTTCCGGTTTTTGAACATTTTTCAGAAGCCGAATGTCCAATGTGGCTGTAGGCTATTGTTTCTGGGGTGCCTGTACCAATCAGAAGCTGTGCCTTGGTTTTCAGACATTTTGGAAGTCAAATGGACTTCCAGAACAGATTAAGTGTGGCGCTTTTGTTTTTCCTATTTATTTTGCATTTTTGTTTTTGAGGCTTTTTTGGTTAATTTGTTTTTGTGACTGTGTGAAACCCAGTTCAGCTACTGATTGATTGATTGATTGATTGTGTGACTGCGGAAATGGATAAAAGCCTCCCAACCAAACAATGACTATCATCAGTGCAGGTAAGAATTTTTTTTTTAAAACTTTTATCATCTACAATATTGTCTTATTTATTTTATAGTACAGCGCATTGATTATTGCTTTCATTTTATGGATCAATGGTCTCGTTAGATAGTAAAATTCATGTTAAATTGCTGCTTTAGGTGTTGTTTTTAAAAGTCTGGAATGGATGAATTCGTTTTGCATTACGTTCTATGGGAAAGCACACCTTGGTTTTGGAACGCTTTGGTTTTGGAACGGACTTCTGGAAGGGATTAAGTTTGAGAACCAAGGTACCACTGTGATTTAAAAAGAAGACGAGACTGATGAAGGAACGAAAACAAAATGCCCCCGGAAGGTTGTGGTGACTTTGCTGTAAGTGCCAGGATGCTTCCTTCATACCGATGCCGACTCCGTAGAGAAAGCGCCCCAGGAGGATCATCTCGAAGGACCCGGCCATCTTGCTGAAACCCATGAGCGATGCAGCCGCTAGCATGATCAAGTTGGTGAACATCTGGCATTTCTTTCTGTAATGGAAGGCGGAATTAAGGTGAGAAAGGCAGGCAGACACAGGGACCTTAGAGCAGGCGTAGGCAAACTCGGCCCGTCAGATGTTTTTGAGACTACATTTCCCATCATCCCTGACCACTGGTCCTGTTAGCTAGGGATGATGGGAGTTGTAGTCCCAAAACAGCTGGAGGGCTGAGTTTGCCTATGCCTTCCTTAGAGCAACAGCTCAACTGCTCCCGCCAACAACAAAGGGACTTGGACTTACCTCATGGCCTGATTTGCACCTGGGATACAGGTGACTCTCAGGTGGGGGGCAAACACCTTGTGCTTATTGTTCACCCCCCTGGGAAAAATGGGAAAGGAGGTATCCAGTTGAATGCACAGAGCTGCGCAGGAAAAAGCGGTTTTCTGCTGCTCCAGCACTGATTAAAAACCAGTACTTTAATAGTGTGAAAGAGAGCAGAAGAACCACAGCGCCAAACTGGATCCACTCTTGTCTGCGAGACACCTCTGGACCCGACGAAGATAGCACCAGGTTTTTCAATTATAAAACTGATGCCACACGAAGCTACCTCAGAGCTATAGATTATTAAAATTAAACGTGGAGGTAGCTGGAAAATATAATTTTAGGCAAGCACGGTTACAAAGAAAGATGTTTAAAGAGAAAGGGGGCTCACCATGTGGTGATTTACAAAAGTTGCGACCAGAAGCCTTGCGACGAATACAGGATAGAGAGAAACAGCATATTAAAGAGCACAGAGTACTACCTCTGAGATTTTGATAAGAAAAGAAAAGAAGAGAGAGGAGAGGAACGAGAGGAACGAGAGTCTGGAACGTGAAAGGAAAGACAAGGGGGTTTGCTGTATATGATTTTATTTTGGAGTTGTCTGTTGTAAAGAATGTACATTATTGTGAATAAAACAATAAATAAATAAAGTAAAAGAAGAAGAATATATGTATTATGAAACTATTGTATCTTTTTGTAATGTGTTTTTTAAAAAACTGTTGACTGTTTTCTTTTTGGAATCAATAAAGCATATATATATATACACACACACACACACACACACACACACACACACACACACACAGTGTGTATATGAAGTTATGAGACTTCCGTTGAAATCTACAATTTGATGCAGTGAATAGTATACCTTATTTATTCAAAAGTACAGCTGGTTACGTCTTGTGTGTTTATTGAGTACAGCGACAACAGGAAATGTGTGCTTGTTTTGCTTTTTCTAGGACTGAGAATAAGAGGCATCTCTTTGACTCAGACCCTCCCGCACCAACTTCCAGGGCATTGCCCTGGTGGGCTTGAACCCTATGTCATAGATTTAGATGTGCACGGAAGCCACAAATAGCCTTAGGGAAAGACTTACTTCCGATATTTTGTGGTCAGGTACCCACAGCAGACGCTTCCCAAAAGCCCCCCTATGCCGTAGATGGAAACGATGAAGGACCACAGCAAGAGGATGGTCTCTTGCGGGAGAGGGGACCCATGCCGCTCCAGCCAGGTCTCGTTGATGAATTTTTTAATGTACTGCAAGCAAGCAAACAAAAAAATTCATTGTGCGTCTATTTCCTTTGGCTTACAACACGAACAATAAGGGTCTCTTTTTGATGTTTTGTTGGGAACCACCCAGAGTGGCTGGGGGCAACCCAGTCAGATGGGCAGCGTGTAAGTAATTCAACTAAATAACATCGAGATGTGCAACAATTCAATTCAAAACGTAACATCGTGCTGCCATTCAGTGAACAAGGAATGCCGCTGATGATCTCACTCAGTCCAAGGCTCCCCTCTTGCGGCCTTGACAGTTCCAACCTAAGGAATGCAGGACAGTTGTGGTTTTTTTCGCTTACCAAGGAGGGGTAGTTGATCACAGAAATGTGAAACCCATATGGGAAGCTGCCACCTATGCCCAGAACAAAGATCATCTGGAACAATCCACGATATTGAATCTGTAAAGACAAAACATATCCAGAAGGGCATCTCCTGGTGCCTCACGGTGGGAAAAATACACAGCAGTTCTCAGAAAAATTCTACAGAATTGGCAAATGAGCAAAGCCAAATGTTCAAATGCTGGAATTTACCTCGAGTATTTTCATTTTTTTTTTTTTTAAATGGATTTGGTAATTAATTCTATAGTGCAGTGGTACCTCGGGTTACATACGCTTCAGGTTACAGACTCCGCTAACCCAGAAATAGTGCCTCAGGTTAAGAACTTTGCTTCAGGATAAGAACAGAAATCAGGCTCCGGCAGCGCGGCAGCAGCAGGAGGCCCCATTAGCTAAAGTGGTGCTTCAGGTTAAGAACAGTTTCAGGTTAAGAACGGACCTCCGGAACGAATTAAGTACTTAACCTGAGGTACCACTGCACATGATGAATAGCTGGCCAGTAATGACAGATTGTCTATGATGATATGAAAAGTTTCATCATTCTTGACCTGGCTTCCCTCAGGCCCCTGAGGTGTGTTAACAAGGGACCCCAATAACCTCCTTATATATATATATTTTCTGATATCTGCTCCCCTCTAATGGTAAGATGCAAGGCCCTATTTGGGATGAAAGGAACTGGCCAGATATTTTCCTTGGAAAAAGGAAGGACAATGAAGGGGGTCTGCTGCCATGGCCAGGAGAAAACAGGCCTCTTGCTCTGCCTCAGCCAGAAGGAAGCCGCCCACCTTCCCCAAAAGCAGCACATCCATCTTCTACCACTTGCACCCAGCCTCATCGGAGAGAGAGAAAATAATTTCGTGCAGGTAAAGGTAAAGGGACCCTTGACCATGAGGTCCAGTCGTGTCCAACTCTGGGGCTGCGGTGCTCATCTCGCTTTACTGGCCGAGGGAGCCGGCGTACAGCTTCCGGGTCATGTGGCCAGCATGACTAAGCCGCTTCTGGCGAACCAGAGCAGCGCACGGAAACGCCATTTACCTTCCCGCCGGAGCAGTACCTATTTATCTACTTGTACTTTGACATGCTTTCGAACTGCTAGGTTGGCAGGAGCAGGGACAGAGCAACGGGAGCTCACCCCGTCGCAGGGATTCGAACCGCCAACCTTCTGATCGGCAAGTCCTAGGCTCTGTGGTTTAACCCACAGCGCCACCCGCGTTTGTGCAGGTAGGATTTCTCAAAACTTGGAGACATGAGCTGGGGGCTCCAGGTCAGGTACTGCCCCCCCCCCCCCGTGACTGCAATCTCAGTCCTCTCTCTGCAACAGAGGCCTAAATGGTGACAAGAGGCCTGGGGAGCGGAGGACCTGAAATCACCACGGCAACTGCAGCACCACCAATTGAGGCAAAGGACCACCCTGACTATCCAAGGCAGGCAGGACACGGGGGGGGGGGAGCTGTGGGTCAGAAAGTGAGGGCAGGAGGTGTCACACCATCCAAGGCGAGAAAACATATCCAGTACCTTGTTCCCATAGGATGCCATGGCGGCCATGAAGGTCCAGTGCGACGCAACTCATGTGTCAGGTTCTAGATGTTGCCGCTACAAAGACCCCCACAGCCAAATCCTCAAGTGGGTGTCACAGTAAGGTTACCAAACATCCCCGTTTCCTGGGGACAGTCCCGGATTTACATATCAGTCCCCATACAAAATCCATTGAAGCTGAAAAGTGTCCCCGGATTCACTGAGAAAAATCTGGTAACCTTATCTCACACAGAGCGCTGCTCCCCATTACTGCTGCCCCACCCTTCCTTGCCAAGGGCAAACATTTTGCATTGCTGGTCAGACCTTACTCCAAAATGCTCATATTTGAGTGGGTTTTTAAAACACGAATTCTGTTATTTGCTTGATCGATCAATATTTATGGTTTCGATTTTTGCTCTATGAGTAACTTTTGAGGATTTAAAAAAAAAATGTAAAATAGCTATGGCTTATGAAGAAGGAGGTACTCACCAGGTTAGAGAAGAAGCTCCCCATCTCCGATTCAAAGACCCCCACAGGGGTGGGGGGGCGCTACCAATTGATCAAAAGCCGGCTCTTCTCAAAGGGATGCAACATGGGCTGCTTCTCAAACCTCTCTCTCTCTCTCTCTCTCTCTCTCTCTCTCTCGTCGCTATCTTGCCAAAACCATCAGCAGGCACCAATTACTCGAAGTTAAAAATTACTATGCAGGTTTTCAATTAATGGATTAATTTCGTTTCCCGTGCAAAGTTTGGAACCGCAAAGCTAAATAGATCAACCAGCCGTGGGTGTCCATGACCAATTACATCCTCAAAAGGCAGTGAACGCCCATGTGAACGCCCCCCAGACTTGGGGAAAGGGGCTTTGGCAGTTTGCCACCCTCAAATTGTATAAATTCAGTCGGGCTGCACTTCTGCCCGGGGAAAATTGCATTACCGTGGTACCTTGGTTCTCAGACTTAATCTGTTCTGGAAGTCTGTTCCAAAACTAAAACGTTCCAAAACCAAGGCATGTTTTCCCATGGAAAGTAATGCAAAATGGATTAATCCATTCCAGACTTTTAAAAGCGACCCCTAAAACAGCAGTTTAACATGAATTTTACTATCTAAAGAGACCATTGATCCATAAAATGAAAACAATATTCAACGTACTGCAGTCACACAATCAATCAATCAATCAATCAATAGCTGAACTCGGTTCCACACAGTCACAAAAACAAAAACAAAAACAAAAAAGAGCCGCAAAAACAAAAACGCAAAATAAATAGCAAAAGCAGACAGACATCAGGGTAACACTCAAATCAGAAGCGGAACACTCAAAACGGAAGCGTAACACTCAAAATGGAGCACATTCGGCTTCGAAAAAAGTTTGCCAACCAGAACACTTACTTTCAGGTTTTCAGTGTTTGGCTTCCAAGTTGTTTGAGCATCAAGGTGTTTGAGAACCAAGGTACCACTGTAGTTGTAAATGGTCCATTGGTGCTCTGCTGCCAAATCTGGGGCTCAGCCACACTTCCGTTTTGTCCCAGGATTCTTAGTGATGGGTCTGAGAGGTTTCAGCTTTCCCCATAGCTTTTTCTGGGGAAACCTGCTGTTTACTGCCGAATCAGAACAAACATCCATCTGCAACCCCCCCCTCCATTTCTGTAATTTCGGAATGTCCTGGGGAAATTGGGACAGTTGCGGGGTATGACGTTGCAGGGCAAAAGAACCCCTCAAACCTGTGACTAGAAATCACAGGGCAAATGTCAGTGTGGATGAGCCTCAACTGTAACATCCACACTTCCCCTGCCTGCAAATACTCAGTATACCTGAAGGAGCGTCTTCACCCCCATTGTTCAGCCCGGACGCTGGGGTCCACCTCCGAGGGCCTTCTGGCGGTTCCCTCACTGCGAGAAGGGCCTTCTCGGTAGTGGTACCCGCCCTGTGGAACGCCCGCCCATCAGATGTCAAGGAAATAAACAACTATCTGACTTTTAGAAGACATCTGAAGGCAGCCCTGTTTAGGGAAGTTTTTAATGTTTGGTGTTTTATTGTGTTTTTAATATTCTGTTGGGAGCCTCCCAGAGTGGTTGGGGAAACCCAGCCAGATGGGTGGGGTATAAATAATAATAGCAATTGTTGTTGTTGTTGTTATTATTTTGCCTGAAGCAGAACTTTGCATTAGGCTCTTTTGAAGTTATTTTCATTAGCTTCAGCCCAACAATCTCTATCGATCACCAGGTTGATTTGATTAGACTTCTCCAGAGACTCCAGCAAAACTGGTTTTTCACGGGGAGGGCCACCTTGTGTCCATCGATGGACTCTAAACACCACCCACTCCAACCCCTTGCTCAGGAAAGTAATATTAGTCCCTGTGAGAGGAGAGGGCCGGTCCTCTTATGGAGGGGCGGCTAGCTAAAAGAAGAGGCAGCAGAGAGCAGAAATGAACGAACCGTTTGCCCAGCATAGTTGTGCCCCCCTAGGCTCTGCATTAGACTTATAAACTTGTTCATAAATGATCTGGAGCTGGTTTATTTGTTTGGTTGTTTATTTCCCCTCAAGAGTTCTCTAAATTGCTTTCTAGGACATTGTCCTTCCAAGCACAGTACAACCCCTTCCGAAGCATGATAGAATAACAGTTACAACATATCACAAAAGTCAGGAAAACGGAGCAACGCATCTTTTAAAATATCCAGCTAATGAAATGGATCAGGATCTTTGCCAACCAGCTAGAAACCTGCAATAAAACCAACTGGCCCCAAACCAATTTGAAACGGCAGCATAGTCACCTGCTTTCTGAATCCCACAGCTGAGCCAAAAGCAGCTTAGAGGAGGAGGAGGAGCAGACTCCTAAGCCAGGGGCCATTCCTGGCAAGGCTCCGCCTGTCACGACTCTCAGTCTCACTGGTGTCAGTGATCGGTTTTTGTTCCGCTATTGTTCATAATTATGAATCTCTCCCCACACATTTTTGAGGCTTTGCTTCTAAGCAGGCACAAGGGCAGTTTGCCTCTGAAGGGAAAGCCAGTGCCTGGGGAGCACCAGAGGGCAAGGCAGATGGACTCAGGCCCTGGTTGTGGGCATCTAGACTAGGAGCAGGAAGCTGGGGCTAAGTGGGCCTGATTCACCTGCAGAGTTCTTCTGACCTCCTTATCCCCAAGAGCTCCATCATAGCTTGGTGCAGAGCACAGGGTCCCCTGCGAAGCTCGTTTCTGAGCCGAGAGCCTGCTTCTTCTTAAAATTGAGTTTATCAAACTCTTCTCGGATTTCTAGGATCGATTTCCCCTTGGTCTCCGGCAGGATGAAGTAAATAACGATTGCGGAAACATAGAGAGTGCCCATGAAGATGAGGAAGCTGAACTGATGAATGCGTTCCTGGAGAGGGAGGGAGGGGGAAAACAGACACACCCCGACCCCACAGAATTATAAGGCAAGCCTGGATCGGTTCCTTCCAGGGATACTTTGTGTTATGTACTGAAGTTCTCACCCTGGGCCAGCAGGGGGATACTGTAGATAGTTAGGCAAATAAGGGATCGAAAGTGATGTTCAGTGATTGGATAGTTTTAGAAAGTTGCTACAGTTACGTTGTACTGGAGCTCTATATAAGCAGGCTGACTGAACCCTTCAGTTCAGTTCTGTCCTGGTCTGTGAATAAACAAGAGCTGTTTGAAGAATCACTGTGCCGTCTGATATGTTCACCCACAACTTAACACTTTGCTTCTTGTGTGACCTCCATACAGACCCCTGCCTTTGCAATGACAACTTCGCACCACCCTGCAAACCTCTTTCGGCAAATTGATGCAGCCCAGCCACCTTCCCGCAGCGGAAGCAGGATACTGGGGCAGGGAGTGTGGGGGTCAGCTGGGATTGCTATGAGGAATTATGAAAATATGGAGCAAGCCATTGTGTCTGCAATGAAAGCGTTGCATTGACTGGGCTTGAGTCATTTGACATGATTTATGATCGAATCCAACAAGCCTCTGCACCTCTGCCATTTTCTTTCGCTACGCCTGACAGGCATGTATAGGCATTCTAAAAACACAGACCAGTTCTTCACCAGGCATCCTGGGCCATAAGAGATAGTAGGTAGCTTTGATGTAGCTTTTGTTAATCTTTAGGTAGATCTTAAAAGGTAAAGGGACCCTTGACCATTAGGTCCAGTCGTGACCGACTCTGGGGTTGCAGCGCTCATCTCGCTTTATTGGCTGAGGGAGCCGGTGTACAGCTTCCGGGTCATGTGGCCAGCATGACTAAGCCGCTTCTGGCGAAACAGAGCAGTGCACGGAAACGCAGTTTACCTTCCCACCGGAGCGGTACCTATTTATCTACTTGCACTTTGACGTGCTTTCAAACTGCTAGGTTGGCAGGAGCTGGGACCAAACAACAGGAGCTCACCCCGTCACGGGGATTCGAACCGCCAACCTCCTGATCGGCAAGTCCTAGGCTCTGTGGTTTAACCCACAGCGCCACCCGCGTCCCCTTAAGGTAGATCTTAAGGGCCAGGAAAAGAGTTCACAAGGAGATGGTAAATACTACCATCCTTCCTCTCCTGTTTACTGCTGTTTATGACCTCCGGCGTTTGCTAAAAGCATTCTTCCTTGATTCCTATTTTATTTACTTTGAACTATGTATGCATGCTCAAGTAGGAAATAGTTTCTTTGTAGTTACAAGGATTTCTCTGATCTGACTTTGTCCCACGTGGGGATGTTTTTGAAATGCTCAGAGGACATCTGGTTCTTACAAGCACTGAATTTTAAGTTCTTTTGTTAATAAAAGGGGCCTGGGCCAAGGTGTGACAGATTATTATTGGCACCTCCTCCCAGAGTCTTGCTGGTCAAGCCTCGTGTGTATTTTATTAATCAGGGTCCAATCCTTCCTTGCTTTTGGAATGTGACAGGGGAGGGGAATGGAACCATCAGGAGAAGTCTCGCTTACCACGACAAATGGGAACACCATTCCTATCGAGAAGAATCCGATCCAGTTTAAGACTCCACTGATCACGTAGGAAGACGACCTGGAGGACTGGTCGAAGATCTCCATCCTCACAGACGCCCCGGCCCCGGCTGCGGAGGGAGGAACCAAAGGTCAGGGCTGCTCCTGCTGCCACCACTAGGCTAGGAAATGATGCTGCAAAGAGCACCCGAGGGAGCCTCTCTCACCGTCTCCGATGCCCCAGCAGTGGCCAAGTGGCTTGGAACAGACGCTGTACTCTTCGTGGCACCCAGAACGTGGCAAGTGAAAATATGGCCCTGTTGTTGGTGATGGAGATGAAGGTGTTGGACCTGGGGGGGGGGAGTGAGGGGAACTGGGGGTGGGGGAGTGGGGTGAGACCGGCAGTGGGTGGCTCTTCAGCTGGCACGACCCCCAAGCCCTGCCCTCCAAGCGTGGGCTTCTGTCTTCCTGAGGTTACAGCTGCTGAGCTCCAGATTCCAGCCTTTTTCATAGAATCGTAGAATTGGGACCACAAGTGTCATCTTTTCCAACCCCCTGCAGTGCAGGAATCTTTTGCCCAACTTGGGGCTCAAACCTTGAAATTAAGAGCCTCATGCTCTACTGACTGAGCTCTACATCAGGAGCCACCTTTTTTTCATGACCGTGTTGCCTCCAGGGGGAATGTGGGGGACACACTTGCGGATGGGGGAGGCTCTTGTGCCAAAGGGGAGTTGGGGTGAACCTCCTTTTGCCTCCCCACCTCAATGTCAGGGGTTGGACTGAGGAGGAATAGTGGGAGCCGCCGCCCCTTCTCCTGAACCTTCCCGGCGGGAGGAAGACAGTATTGATTTAGAACAGTGGTTTTCAGAGGGACATCGTCCAGAGAAGAAAAGCTGGGAAATTCTGGATGAGGAGCAGCTAGAAGAGCAAACACCAGGAGAGAGACAGCTGGCAGATTCAGTGTCCTTGGAAAGCATTCCTGACCCCCCCTTGCCTAAGACTAGTCAGGCTTTGAGAGTGATAGAACAGAAAGCGCAGCGGCAACAAGCTCAGATTACCAGACGTAGGAATGATGTAGATTTATGGGGACGGAAGAGGTAAACCTTAACTGGGAGCAACACCATTTCTAGAGAGATATGTATTCCTTTGTACCTTGCTGTGATTATTAAAGAAACTAACCGGTAAGAACGTTCCTTTCGTTTGATCTGCTTATTTACTGCCACTGGGGGAGGGATCCGATTCCCTGAAGTGACACTCAGGTGGGGAAAGGTCCCCGTGTTTGGTGGGCTGTGGCTGAGCTGTAGGGAAGCCCCCATGCACCAGGACCCATAGCCAAAGGAACCCAGGGGCAAAGTTCCCAGCTCTGCAACTGGAGAGGCTGATCCTGCACTGCACTGGATGCTCCACCGGAACTCACTCAGCTTCCCGTGCAAAGGCGCAGCTGCAGCCAGGATTGGACCTCCTCCCCAATTTTCTAGGCCCACTCAGGCAGCCTAGGGAGCCTCAGCATGCTGTTGGCTTCTTTCTTTCTTTCTTTCTTTCTTTCTTTCTTTTTTCCCCCCTCCCTTGTCCCCCAATCACTGCTGAGTGCAATCAGTCTGTTGAGCAGCAGTAAAGCCAAAGGAGAACCACCTGGATACAATCTGTTTGCTGCAATGCAAAGGGACTAGTGCAAAGGGACAACCCACAATATATTACAGTCTATGAGAAGATCAATAGATTCTGGACAAATCTCATGACTGCACAGCTAATTTAAAACAACACTAAAGCTAGGTGATAGTGATAACAATAATAAGCTGCAGAATGTGAAGTTAAATGTTTAGGATGAATTGGCAGCTCACCATTAGATATAGAAGGAATGCAATATTTTTAGGGAGGTTTTTACAGACACCTTTATGGTGTGAAATGTGCAGTTCCCTGAGAAATAGTCTTGTGCTTCACCAAGAATTTCTGAAACCTTGATTGGCTCGATGCCCTAAAACTGCAAGTGAAGCCAGATTTGGATAATCTTTTAGGGCACTTTGCTTATTTGTCTCCCTACTGCCATGCTATCTAATGAAATCAAAGAGCAGACCGATTATTTTTTTTTAAAGTTAATCAGTCAGTTTGTACTCCACAAGTTTCTCGAGGGATGAGTGCCTCATTTTGAGAGCTTTGAGTGGGAAAACTGCCTATCGATATGAACAAGTGCCCCATCACTGACCTGGGCCGGCTCCAAAACAGATCACAAAGCAGAATATCAGGGCAAGGCTGCAGTAGGGCATCCAGGAGAAGGAATGCTGAAATGAAAGCATGTTTTCATTCGTGAGAGCTGAGGTTCCCCCTGGGCGCAGGCATAGCTGTCAACTTACAGATTTGAAAATAAGGGACCAGCAGCCTCGAAAATAAGGGATCAGCAGCCAAAATAAGGGATTTTCCGAACACAGGTATGTTCGACTTCGGAGCCAAAGGCAGAAAGCCCAGCCAGCAGCCAAACGAAGCCTCAAGCGGTGGTTCCCACAGCGCAGCAACCCGGCAAAGGGGATGCAGCAAGGAAAACCACCGTCACCTCTCCACTGGGAAGCGCTGAGCAGAGGCGAGTCCCCAGGCTACGCGGCCGATTTGATCGGCACAAGGCATGCAAGCTCCACCCCCAGTTGTTCTTAGACTCCTTATTGGGTGAGCAACGCAGCCAAGCAAGACAGTTGGAGCCTCCCTCCTCCCTGGCCGGCAGGGAGGGAGGGAGAGGAGCTGCTTCCTTTGAAACCCGGGAAATTTAAGGGACATCATCAATAAGGGACAGCAGCGGGACATGGCGCTGGGATAAGGGACTTTCCCACCAAATAAGGGACGGTTGACAGCTATGGGCGCAGATTGCAGGGCTGTGTGGGCCTCTCTCCTTTCCTTAGGTGCAGCTGAGATGCTTGATACACACACAAACACACCCTTGGTGAATCTGGCTTTTCGTAAGGTATCTGGGCTCCTGACCACCAATCTCTGGGCTCAGATCCTGTGGGCTCCCGGCTACCAACCTAGTTCTTACAGCAGTCCCAGCCTCACCCTCCCCGACTCTGAGCCAGGCGCTGGGGTCACTTGCAGCCTAGTTTGGTCAGAGACCGACCGCTGGCCACATCTTAGGTGAGGGGCTGTCAGGGAAACACCCTAACCCCCATTATTATTATTTTTTTTGGCTTCTTACCTGCAAGGAGATGGTCAGCGTGACAGCAGCAAGCACTGTGGCCATCAGTCCATAACCTCCCCAGAGCAGTACTCTTCTTCCAAAACGCTCAATGACGACACTCTGGGGACAGAAAGGACAGAGGGCTCTGCAGTGGCTGCGGGGTGCTCCACCAAACCCCGGCTCGGGTCAACAGGGGGCAAATGTGGGCAATTGCCAGGGCCCGCCACGTCTACCACTACCCCCCTGAAGGGCTTTTTGGGAGAGGCGTGGCAGGAGTGGGCTCCACATCTGGACTTGGTCGGCCTAGGTCTGATGTCAGTTTCCCCACAATGCAATTCCCTGCGACATGCATATTCCTGAGGGCCAGGTTGAGAGACCTGGGGGGCCAGGTTCACCCCGCCCCCATGCCTGGGGTTCCAAAGGGGGCGGCTCTCCCCAAGAACCCTCACTCACACAGAAGACAGCAGAGAGGAGCTCACTGAGGCTGATCCCCAAAGACAAGGCCGGGATGTGGTCGTCGTCGAAACCAACCGTCTGCAGGACTTCAAATGTGTAGCTGTAAATCTGGAGAGGGGGGAACACATTGAGAAGGGGGCCCATCAGGGGAACCAACTCTACCTGTAGAAAGCCTTCTGGGGAGGGAAGGAGGAGGGTCAGTGGTGGTCCCTGGACACCTCTGGCCTCATCCTCACTCCTGTAGGAAGGGAAGTTAATTTGTCAATCAAGTGACGGTGTTTGGGACAAGTTTTGGGAGAAAGCAGGACTTCTGCAGAGAGAAAATGAACAGTTGAGGAGGAGCTAACCTGGGGCTCAGCTTCATTAGTTCAAAAACAGCATTTTGAATGCGTTATAATAATAAACACACAACACCAGGTGACAATAGAGAAGAGAGCAAAAAAATTATTTGCGATTTTCCATACTGTTTCCCCCCCCCCTTTGTTATACAGTGGAACCTCAGTTTTCGAACACAATCCGTTCCGGAAGTCTGTTTGACTTCAGAAATGTTCGAAAACCGAAAATCAAAGGGCTGTTGGCAAAATGAATGGTGGAAAATGGAAAAACGTGCCGAGGAAGCCATTCGACTTCTGAGGCGTGTTCGAAAACGGAAGCATTCACTTCTAGGTTTTCGGCATTCAGCTTCCGAATCGTTCGGCAGCCGAGACATTTGAAAACTGAGGTTCTGCTGTAATGATTTAATTTCTGACTTATTTATAGCGTTCTCCCCTTGTGTGTAGATCCAGCCCTGGGCTTTATCAAATAGCTGCTAGGGCTTATCCACACATAGCTTTTGCCTTACCCAGAGGTTCGCATTAGCCCAAACTTTAAATAGTGAAAATCCACTATTTAAAGCTGAATCGGATCAAACATTAATTTGTGTTTTCCATGGGTTGATGTTTGCTGCAATTGAGCTTTAAAGATCGGGGGGGTTTTTTTGGGGGGGGGAGCCCTGGAAGAATAAAAGTGCACTTAGACACAGAGGTTTAAATTGAGGACCGTGTTTGGAAAGAGTGGAGAAGGGGTAAATGTTGATAAGTAATCAGTGGGCAAAAGTTATCAGAAGGCACCTCCTTTTGAAGTCACGTTTCTAGGGGCAGGTCTGTGTCTGAGTGGGAATTTGGTCCCTGCGCTTTCCCTTCCAAAAATCCCCTCATTTTACCACTGAATTGGAGCAAATGAACATAGGGTTTCGGCAAATTGCTGTTTGCTCCTGTGGCGCTGTGGGTTAAACCACAGAGCCTAGGACTTGCCAATCAGAAGGTCGGCAGTTCGAATCCCTGTGACAGGGTGAGCTCCCGTTGCTTGGTCCCTGCTCCTGCCAACCTAGCAGTTCGAAAGCACGTCAAAGTGCAAGTAGATAAATAGGCGGGAAGGTAAACAGTGTTTCCGTGCGCTGCTCTGGTTCGCCAGAAGCGGCTTAGTCATGCTGGCCACATGACCCGGAAGCTGTACGCTGGCTCCCTCGGCCAATAAAGCGAGATGAGCGCCACAACCCCAGAGTCCTCAGCGACTGGACCTAATGGTCAGGGGTCCCTTTACCTTTACCCTGTTCAGTGGTAAAACACAGGTTTTCCTGGGGGGAAGCACCAGGGAAAAAATGAACACCCCAGTCGAACCCAATCCTAAAAAGCCCAATCCTGTGCCTGGAAAGTACAGAGGAAAGGTACGTGTGGATGAGCCCTTAATCTGAAGCAGCTCATCTCATTGGGGAGAAATATCTCAATTTAAATATTTGGATCCCCCCCCCCAGCTCCCTTTCTCTGAGCTCGTTCTTCCACACAACAACATGCATGTGAAACTTAACTGTGTGGATGCCAGTCAGCTGTAGGGTCACAGCCAACAGGAAAAGGATGTACAGCTGCCGGCGCAGGGCCGGATCCTTCATCACTTCCAAGACACTCTTGGTGCTCCACAAGGCAGACTGCTGCTTCCTCAGGTCGTCCAGCTCCACCTGGTGAGGCCCTCGTCCCCAGAGGGTCTTCATGGCTGTGAAGGCAGAGAAAACAGAGGCCCTCACACCATTCTTCCCACTGTGTGGGAGCCAGGCGACACACGGGGAAAGGCTCTAGCTACAACTGAAGGAGCGTCTCCACCCCCATCGTTCAGCCCGGACACTGAGGTCCAGCGCCAAGGGCCTGCTGGCGGTTCCCTCGCTATGAGAAGCCAAGTTACAGGGAACCAGGCAGAGGGCCTTTTCAGTAGTGGCCCTGTGGAACGCCCTCCTACCAGATGTCAAGGAAATAAAAAACGATCTGGCTTTTAGAGGACATCTGAAGGCAGCCCTGTTTAGGGAAGTTTTTAATGTTTAGTGTTTTATTGTGTTTTTAATATTCTGTTGGGAGCCGCCAAGGCCAGATGGATGGGGTATAAATAACTATTATTATTATTATTATTATTATTATTATTACTATGCTACATCCCGCAGGAGAAGGCAAATAAAATAAAGTTAAGGAACAGGGATGTGGAGGCAATCTGACTCAGAAAACATGTTTTGCAGCCACATGTAAGTTGTACACACCCTGAAAATGAAGGGAAAACCCACTCCTCAATTATCTCCAAGGGCAGTGGCGGGGGGGGGGAGTGTCTGTGACTCAACTCCCCCCCCCCCCCCAGCATCTGACTATCATGTGGCACAGCCAACATGCCAGATAACATAATTAAATACAGTCAATGGGATGAAGATCTCTTTCGAAACCCGTGAAGTTCCTTGTACCCAAGTATGCTTGAGGGAGGCTATTCTGTAATTTAACCATTTCTAGCTGCTTAGAGAGCACCCAGTTACCTTTTCGGCATCCTTCCTCATCCCCTTTGCTCAGGAACAGGTGAGGTGGGGACTCGGGGAAGAAGGGCAGAGTCAGCAGCTGGAGCAAGGCAGTCACGCCGTGGGAGGCCAGCAGCAGAGGCCACAGCGAAGCGTTTCCTAGGAACTCTCTGGGAAAAGCAAACCAGAAGACATCCATCCCTTCAGAAAGCCAGGAGGGGCTTTGTGTGCCAGTACAAAGGAGCAGCAAAACCTGGAGTGGTTTAAAACCAGGAGTGCATGTGGCACTGGCGCTAGCCAATGCGGGCTGGTGATTGAACTAGCATGTGCTGGCTGTCATCTGAGGTTGGGGCAGGGTTCTCAGAAGACCCCTCTCAGAGAGAGAGAGAGAGAGATACTTTGTTGTGGGGTTGGGATAGGAAGCACCCGAACAGGTAGATAAGCAGGATCCTACCTTTGCCCCATCACCTGACCCAGGACTTTCCCCAGGCTCCAGAAGATGGAGGCAGTTGAATTTGCAAATCCACGGAGCTTCTTGGGGGAAATTTCCCCGACATACTGAGGGTGGAGAAGGACACAGATACCTGGACGTGAAGGCAGAGAGAGGACGAATCTCTTAGCATCGCAGGACCCCCAAAACATTTGGGAGAAGTTGTCCAGAAGAAGCTGCCTTATACCAAACCAGGCAGTCAGTCCACCTAGTTCAATACTGTCTACCCTGACTGGCAGTGCTCTCTCCAGGGTTTCGGACATTTTGAATTGCGATGGCTTCACTGAATTGCATCAATCGTTCCGATTGATTTTTTGCTGCTGCTGTTGGTTTTATTTACACATTGCTGGGTTTGATATTATGGTGACGGCGATGCTTGTTGCTTTTAATGCTGTTGAAAGTATTGTTGAGCCGCTTGGAGCTCAACGTCTGTTGATGGAAAAGCAGGATGCAAAACTCAAATTACCTGGAGATGACGCTGGGGGATTGAACTTTTGCAAACAAGGCAGGGACACTACCACTGAGCAACGCCCTTTCCCATGTGGAATTCCTGCTGATCAAACCTATCCCTGGCAAAGCTGGCCATGATTGGCACCCTGGGGCAGGACGAGGAGAAACTGGGGGCAAGTGGAGTAAAAGGACCCCTGGATGGTTAAGTCCAGTCACAGGCGACTATGGGGTTGCGGCGTTCATCTCGCTTTCAGGCCGAGGGAGCCGGCGTTTGTCCACAGACAGCTTTCCGGGTCATGTGGCCAACAAGACTAAACCACTTCTGGCACAATGGGACACCATGACAGAAACATGCCAGAACGGAAATACCGTTTACCTTCCCACCACAGCAACACCTATTTATCTACAGTGGTACCTTGGGTTACATACGCTTCAGGTTACATACGTTTCAGGTTACAGACTCTGCTAACCCAGAAAAATTACCTCGGGTTAAGAACTTTGCTTCAGGATGAGAACAGAAATCATGCAGTGGCGATGCAGCGGCAGCAGGAGGCCCCATTAGCTAAAGTGGTGCTTCAGGTTAAGAACAGACCTCCAGAATGAATTAAGTTCTTAACCCGAGGTACCACTGTACTTGCACTGGCATGCTTTTGAACTGCTAGGTTGGCAGGAGCTGGGACAGAGCAACGGGAGCTCACTCCGTGGTGGGGATTCGAACCACCGACCTTCTGATTGGCAAGCCCAAGATGCTCAGTGGTTTAGATCACAGTGCCACCTGTGTGGGGACCTGGAAGTGGAGCGGAAGAGGCTGCAGTTCCAGGGGTTGCGCTGAAGCAAGGGACCGAGACTTGGGAGCAGGCTGGTCCACTTTTCCCACAGTTCTTCACTCAGGTGGTAGCTCAGAGGAACCCGGCCCTGCCAGTGAGTCCAGAGCAGCTGGAAGGAGGACAGCACTTACTGGTGCTGATGCCACACAGGAAGCGACCTGCCAGGATCAGCTCAAAGGAGTTGGCCACCTTGCTGAAGCCCATGATGACAGCCCCCGACAGCATGATGAGGTTGGTGCCCAAGAGGCATTTCTTTCTGTTGGCGCAAGGATGGAGGAAGCCGTGAGTGGCAGCGGTGTCATGGAATTCTACTCACTATTGATCCAGAGCAGATTCCAACGTATAGTGAGCAGAGTAAAAACTTAAACAACTGCTGTGCGTATTCTGTTAGCTAAAAAGTGGAAAACCCAAGAATTACCAACAGCAGAAGAATAGCAGATGATGGATGATGGATTTTTCGGAGCTAGCTGACCTAACCAGAAGAGTCTGCGACCAGAAGGAGGAGGAGTAGCAGGAAGAGTGGATTAAATTTAATAATTACTTAGTTAAACATGTTAAGCTAAATTAACTGAAAACAGCTTGCAGATACTTAATTGGCTTAGGATTTTGTTTATATTAAGTGTTGAATTAATATGTTTAATTTCATAATGTGAAGATCTAAGGATGTTAATGTTTAAGTTAAATTTTATAAGAACTGTGATTTGGAAAACCGTTAAAAGGATATGCAATGAAATTAAACCAAGGGAAAGCGAGGAAGTCACTTAACAATGTTAATAAATGTAATTTTCAATAAGGCTATGATTTAGGTTTGTTTGTCTTATGTGTTTGTTTGTTTATAATGCTGTGAAAACCAATTTTTTTTTTTTAGAAAACAAACCAAAACTTAAACACTTTGTGGGATTCCCCCAAAATAGACCAGAGGCGATGAAAATTTCATCCAGCAGAGCTTTACTGCTACTGAAGGCAAATGAACATAATGGTCACAAATCCAGTAAGTTCAGGATTGGCACTGTCCATAAGAAATCCAGTTTCAGCAGACTTAACTTAAACTTACAAATGAAGGAATGGGTTTCCCAAATTGGAGTTCACCGATTGGGTCTGCGTTGCTCTGGGACAGGAGGAAGGAAGTCAAAATGACACCGAGTTGGTTCAAAGAAAGAGTTTATTCTGCTCTCCGGATAGCAGAAGGCACTTGCGTGATCAAGTCCACAGCAAGTCCAAAGAAATGACAGGTTTCATGCAGTTTATATATCCTCCAGGCACCCTCTCACTCCTCCCCTAGGAGCCCAACCACGTCGGCGTACGTACACAGGTTGACATCACATATGTTCCTGCTCTGGTACTCTCAACCATAAAAGGATCTTCCTTCCTGTACTTCTGACCATAAAAGGATATTCCTGATCCTACTCCTATCTTGGAGCAAGAGGTCACTACTTCCGAGAACATGCTCTGGCGTTAGTCCCAGACTTGGGTCTCTGTGTCATTTGTGGTCAGGACATAAGATATGTCTGTGTCTGTTCTACTGGTAAAGTCAAGGCCAGTCTTGCCGTCAAACTGATAAGGGAGAGAGCTGTGTTCTTGTTTTGCATTTGCTCAGCGCCTAAAGTTTATGCATTTTAGCTAAGGAGAAATGGGGATTTTGGTGCAGTTTAAAAACTGCCGGCACAGTCAGTTTTGGGGTTTGGGAAACCCATTCCTTCACAATAAGTCTAAACCTTAACACTAAGCATACCATATATAGAGCACAACACAAGAAGAGCAGAAAAAATTGCACGCCTTTGTGCCACAATGAGAGAAGGACAGGTGGCTTCTCCTGTGTTAGATCTCACCAGAACAGCAGCTGCACAACATACACATCCATTGCGGAATTCAGCTGTCAGAAACAGTGTCTGGGCGGAAAATGCTGCTATGTCCAGGAAAATCCAGACATATGGCAACCAATGTTGGAAGTGTAGATTTTGGTGAAATTCCTTAAACGTAGCTCAAATTTATTTATTTTTTGAGATTTTGCAAAACTAAAACAAACAAACAAAGGCTCAACAACTTTGCGTCCGGATTTTCACATTTTGAAATATGGCAACCCTAATATACATCATGCACTCCATAGTCTGCCTGGTGACTTTTGCAGCTCCCCTGGGCTTGCACCCCCAGCGGGGCCCGGTTTCACCAACCCCTAAAGTACGACTCAGGTGTTCTGCAACTACGATGCACACAGGTGCTTTGCTGGAATTTCCCTTTACTTTTTCAGCATGAAGAATTCCTGTCCTGGCCACCAGTTGCAAGAACATTCTGACCAGGACAGCCCACCTCTGGTCAGCTGACAACTGGGATGCGCTTTGGACCTTGACTCTGGAGCCTTCAAGGCCCAATCCTTTTCCCAGCAGAGCCCTGGCCAGCTCATTCCCAGCACACCATTTTGTGGCTCGAACTGTCTTTCCAGGAGCAGCTTGTTTCACACTTATACCTACTTCCCGAACTTTGTTGTGAAGTACCCGCTGGCCATAGTGCCCAGCAGGCCCCCTAGGGAAAAGATGGACACAATCGAGGCCCAGAACAATGTGAGGCTTTCAGGGTGGACGGGCATCCCGGACCGCTCCAGCCAGCTCTCATTGATGAACGTTTTCACGTGCTGCAAAAAGAGGAAACCCCGTTAACCAGAGGATGCTGTGAAAAGCCAGTAGTTTGGGAGGTGGGGGGAGCTGAACAAGAAGCAAATGGGGAAAGTATGGCCTGCAATAATATAAGATCACACATCTAGTCATTGCATGGAGGGAAAGGTCAACTCCAGCAGCCAAACGGATTTGTTCATTGTGGTGCTTGACCAAAGCTGGTGTAGGACTACCTGGGGCCCATTCTCTGCCCTCCTTTCACGCTCCTCTTCAGGGTATGGAGGAGAGTTTCCCAAACTTGGGTCACTAGCTGTTTTTGGACTACAATTCCCATCATCCCTAACTAGCAGGACCGGTGGCCAGGGATGATGGTAATTGTAGTCCAAAACCAACTGGAGACCCACTGGTCTGGAGTAAGAATATTTGTGTCTGAGCAATTGTAACAAACAGATTATGCTAGTAGGTCTGCAAGAATTTCTATAAGGAGGATTATGTGAAATATTGCAAGGAAGACTATGACGAGAACTATAAGTTAATGATAATTAAAAGTAATAGAGAAATTAAGAAATGCAGAATAAGTGATAAAGAATGAAAAATCTTCAGAGGTTGTTGATGGAAGTCTAAAATATTGTATAAGATAAGAATTTATGTTAAATGATTGTTGGAAATGATATAGGAAATGACTGGCAGAATCCGAGACCAGGGAGAAGAGTCGATGGAAGAAGACTGGGAAAAGTTTAAAGACTATTTACAGAAATATTGCAAAATTAATGAATGCTAGAATGATGTTGGATAGAAACTAAGTGGTCTTTAGCTGAAATGTTACAAGGGAATATGAAAAAATGGATTATTAATAGGTAAAAACTTAAAATTACAATACTTTATGATTAACGACTAGGATATACAAAGAGGGGAGGGATTTGCTGAACTAACAAATTGAACTGGAATACAAAAAAGGGAGGCGTGAGGAGGTCTGGGAAATAAGCAAAAGAAGGATAAGTAATGGAAAGAATGAATTGTTTTTAACCATTTTTATTTTGCATTTTTCTTTTTTCTTTTTTTATTTTGTAATACTCTGAAAATCTTAATAAATATCTTATAAAAAAAAGGAAATGATATGTTAAAAAATCAATAAGTGTGTGTGTGTGTGTGTGTGTGTGTATGAGAATATCTGTGTTTTTTATGGGACGCGGGTGGCGCTGGGGGTTAAACCACAGAGCCTAGGACTTGTCACAGAGCCTAGGTCGGTGGTTCGAATCCTCGCGGCGGGGTGAACTCCCATTGCTCGGTCCCTGCTCCTGCCAACCTAGCAGTTCGAAAGCATGTCCAAGTGCAAGTAGATAAATAGGTACTGCTCTGGCGGGAAGGTAAACGTTGTTTCTGTGAGCTGCTCTGGTTCACCAGAAGCGGCTTAGTCATGCTGGGCACATGACCCGGAAGCTGTACGCCGGCTCCCTTGGCCAATAAAGCAAGATGAGCGCTGCAACCCCAGAGTCGGTCACGACTGGACCTAATGGTCAGGGGTCCCTTTACCCTTTACTGTGTCTGTTTTTTGGGAGACTGGCAAAGGCAGCACCTTGGAGGAGCAATTCTGGGGGAGCCTCTATTGCAGCTTCCACCAACCACCGGAAGAGGTTTCCCCTTTGCTGCTTACCACAGAGGTGTAGGTGATCATGGACCCTTGAAAGCCAGCCTGGAGGGACCCACCAATTCCTAGGACGAGCATCATGAGGAGCAGCCTTGGGTGCTGAACCTGGGGAGACACAGACACCCATCCTCAACACTCATCAGGGCAGAAAAATAAACCAGACCCGAGCATAAACTGTGGGGGGTGGGGATGGGGATTGGGGTGGAGTGGGGTGACTCACCCAGTGCAAGGAAGGGCTTTGCAGCGCAATCTTGACAGCCCATGATTTGCCACATTAAATGGGAAGGTGAAAGAGAGCAAATATCTAGGTGAGAATTCATTCTAAACTCCGGTTTATCATGTGATGCATTTGGAATGGAGACAGAAAGATGATCTACTGAGAACTGGGAAAACAGCCTTTTGACTTTGTCCTCACCCATAATCTGCGGAGTTGTGCTTTTTACAAAGTTGTCCTGTGATGGAAACGTCATGGTGGGAGGGCTTGGTGCACCCCCAGGTCTTTCACAAAAGTGATCAAAACAGGTGCCTTAAGAATGAGGGAAGTGGGGGGCAGACTCACCCCTAGCTTGCCAGAAGGTCCTATTCTGACATTAGACACATTTCTCCCCAAGATGGGCAAAATATATTTGAGTGCACACATCTGTGCTCCAGGTACCTTCAAAAATGAACAAACTAGAGAACTTGTGTGTGATCCGAAAGATCTTAGAATGGACCCTGCTCCAGTGAGTGTTGATTAAAGGTGGAACATGAATAAACCAATAATAAAAAAATAAATTTCTTATTTATACCCCGCCCATCTGGCTGGGTTTCCCTAGCCACCAAGCCAGCCAACCCCTCGAACCTCACTCACCAAGTCCCAAAGGGAGCTGCTGCCCATCTCTGCTGCAGAGGCTTCCTCCGGGTCCCTCCTCTGCTGCTGGCTGCCACTGCTACCTCACAAGGTGGGTGGACGGCCCCTGGTGTTCCTCTTTCTTCATCCTATTTGGTTTGGCCAGCCACCAAACGGCCCGAGGTTAATGTTTGATCCTGCGTGTTATGACACTTGATTCGTTTCAGAGCACTGGATTAAACTGCAAATTGGCCGGCTGCGCTCGGACCAATCGAAGAGAGGGGTGAGGCTTCTTGGCCTGAGAATGTGTTGGGCACGGCGGGGGTGTGTGTGTGTGTGTGTCTAGGTATCCCTCTGAGCACTGACACTTTGCTGTCCTTTGATGCTGTTTTAGTATTGCAACAACGCCTTCCTTCCTTCCTTCCCTCCTTCCTTCCCTCCCTCCCTCCTTCCTTCCTTCCTTCAAATTCAATTTTACACTATACATTTGAATTCAAACATTAATCATAACCATCAACATTTAGGATTCCCTGAATCATTGGTCTTCCCTCCACCTTTACATGGTTTCCATTATCAAACTTTTTCCACTGCGTCGTATATTTTCTCCATTTTTCTTAAAACAATCCATTTTTACCTTAGTTTTTAATATGTTACAAGTGTTACTCAAATCCTGCCAAAGTTTTTAGTTGTTTACAGTGTTCTCTTAAGTAAATTGTAACCCCCCCTCATTCCTTATTAAACTTTCTATCTTCCTGGTTTCTGATTTTCCCGGTCATTTTTGCCATTTCGGCATAGTCCAACTATTCGTCTCTGGTCGGGACTTTATCTTCTTTTTATCTCAACAAAGCCTATTTTCTGAGGTAACCAACAGCACCACCTGTAGTGTCTGTGATTCAGCATCCTCAGAATAGGAAGGTATATCGAGTTTTTGTTTCCTTTTTTTACAATGGCCCAACTGATCAGGACCTACGTTGTAATGCACAAAATCATTTGTGAGTTAGAAACTGTCTCTATGTACATTTTTGATTGGCTCCCTCTTACATCAGAGGTGGAACTTCTCTTGCCGCTGGCCCAGACAAGAACCCATTTCCATGAAGAAGACACTTTTTACTTGTCTCAAATTCCCATAAATGTGGGGCATCCCCTCAGCTCATTAGTCTCTTTGGAACCATCCATCTGGGTGTCCAAATATAATCTCCCTCTCCCCCAGCCTCTATTCTGCATGGAACTCTGCACATGCTCTGAAACCCTAGACTCTACTCAAACCAGGGGAAATGCAACTAGCTATGGTATATTGAGCAACTCCCCTGCTTCTACTTAGAAACCACCCCACGTTTTGTGAAGTCGGAGATACGATGGATTGGGAAGGCTGGGAACAAGCAGGTCTATATAGACTCCCGGAATTTTAATGGAAATGGTTCTCCCTATATAAAGAACAGATTTTGGCTCTTCCCAATATAACTTGGTCATGGTTTCATTTCAATCTATTGTTTTCCTGTTAAAACCATGCTTTCGGGCAGACCAAGAGTTGACCGCTTTAGAACAACTTATAGTCAATGTTCCTGCTACGTCAAAGGGTGTAGAATCAACTATATGCAAAATATTAATTGAGGTAGAATTTGGTCATCTTATGGACACAAAATTTCCCAGTGAAATGGTCCTTCAAATAATAATCTCTAATGGAAAATGGAACATGCTTGGCGGGGGATTCTCTTTTTAAATATTCAAATATTCAATAAACCATTTTCTTTCTTTTATATAATTTTTTTTGTCATATTGATTTCTTATTTTTCTGGTAAGTTTTGCCATTTCTGCATATTTCATACGTTTTTGTATCCATTCTTCCTTTACTGGGACTTCTGCTTCTTTCCATTTTGGGGCAAGTAACGTTCTTGTCTCGTCAGCCACATTCCCGCTGGCTCAGAGAGAACATTTGACTAAAACCCATTACAAAACACACACACTGCAGTACCAAAGTCACGTTTAATTATCCACAAAAAAATTATGAACAAAACCTCTGTTAGGAAAACACAGTCAGTTGAGGAAAGAAAACCTGTTGAATCAGCCTCCGTAATCCCCAGCACAGATCAAATATCCATATTTTAGTGAGCCTGCAAGCAAAGGGTGGAGGAGGAGAAACACTAGCAGAAAGATTTCTCCTATTGAGGATGCTACCACACCTTAGACCATGGGTAGGCAACCTAAGGCCCAGGGACCGGATCTGGGCCAATCGCCTTCTAAATCCGGCATGCAGACGGTCTGGGAATCAGCGTGTTTTTACATGAGTAGTATGTGTGCTTTTATTTAAAATGCATCTCTGGGTTATTGGTGGGGCCTGCCTGGTGTTTTTACATGAGCAGAATGTGTCCTTTTATTTAAAATGCATCTCTGGGTTATTTGTGGGGCCTGCCTGGTGTTTTTACATGAGTGGAATGTGCGCTTTTACAGTGGTACCTCAGGTTACACATGCTTCAGGTTACATACGCTTCAGGTTACAGACTCCACTAACCCAGAAATATTACCTCGGGTTAAGAACTTTGCTTCAGGATGAGAACAGAAATCGTGCTCCGGCGGCACGGCGGCAGCAGGAGGAGGCCCCATTAGTTAAAGTGGTGCTTCAGGTTAAGAACAGTTTCAGGTTAAGAACGGTCCTCCGGAACGAATTAAGTACTTAACCCAAGGTACCACTGTATTTAAAATGCAATTCTGGGTTATTTGTGGGGCATAGGAATTCATTCATCCCCCCCCCAAAAAAAATATAGCCCGGCCCCCAACCAGGTCTGAGGGACAGTGGATTGGCCCCCTGCTGAAAAAAATTGCTGACCCCTGCCTTAGGCAGATGTTCTGGACAGCCCACCCCAGCCACAACAAGGTCTTCCTTCCTAGTGTCCCTAAATTTCTTGGAGTGCATGTTGGATTTTGCCTCCCAAGCAATAGCTCAAGTCTCTTCAGGGGAGAAGAAAGAGGGGGAGGTCCATTGCGTACTGTCTGAAACTGGCTCTGACCTACAGTGATGGCTAGGAAGTGGCCTTTGCTTCAGCTTAAAAGAAATCAGCTGGTGTCATTTCCAAGAGGACTCTTTGAACTTGTGTGTAGCTATTGACCATGAGGGCAGGGGGAGGAAGGCCCCCATCAGTTGTGAAGGTGGGCAAGAGGGGCACAGATAGTGAAAGACCACAGAGAGTGTGTCTGTGTGTGTTTAAAAGGGAGTGTTGTGCCTCTTGCTGGTGTGAATATCAGTTGAAAACCTGCCCAGGTTGAGAGCCTCCTAGTAGCAAGTTCTCCCTTGGCTGCTGAGCTCAGAAGCTGGTGTAGGCAGAGAGGTCATCCCGGAAGCCTGTCCGAAGGGCAGAAGTTAGTCTCTTCTGAAAAGGTGATGGGTTGCTGAATTCCTCTGTGATTTCCACAATGGACTTCCCTTTCGTCTCTGGGAGGAACAGGTAGAAGAAGATTCCTGACCCCACAAGGACAGCCATGAAGAGGAGGAAACAGAAAGGGCCCAGAGCATCCTGGAAATAAGATGGGGATTGGGGGGAGAGAGTGCAATGATCAACCCCTTGAACAAGCCCTCTTTGTGCCCTTGCAATGTTTGTCCAGTTTTGGCCCGGGCCATATGTTGTCACAGCCGAGGCTACTGCGTTGGCCAGAAGGGAGAGGAGTCTGCAAACGCTTGAAGCTGGGATTCAGACACAGGGGAGGAGAATCAGGAGAGAGATGAGGGCCAGACTAGACAGTGTGATTTTGTCACATAGTTTTCTTCTCTTCTCAATGGTGGCCACAGTGCACAGGTGCAACCCTTTCCTCCTGAAGAATTTCCCCACCGAAAATCACCTCCCAATGTCCCCATTTGCTTCCCCCCCACCCCCCCAGAGGGGGTTGAATTGATTTCAGGAGGGAAAGGTTGAAACTCCCTCTTCCCACATCCTGCTCCTGGTCTGGATTCTCCACCCTCACAACTCCTAATTAGGAGACATCTGAAGGCAGCCCTGTTTTGGGAAGTTTTTAATATCTGATGAATTACTGTATTTTAATCTTGTGTTGGAAGCCGCCCAGAGTGGTTGGAAACCCAGCCAGATGGGCGGGGTATAAATAATAAATTATTATTATTACTAATTAAAACAACAACAACATGAACCACAACGCTGTGTTTAACATTGTGTCTAGTTACCTCTCAGGGAGGCTGCCCTGGTGTTCAGGCCTGATGGCAGCAGCAAGGCAGGTCAGGTGTTGCAGGACCACGGAGAGCTCCATGGGAGCAAGTGGCTCCAACAAAGCCCGAGAACAGACATAACCCTTTTGTAAAGGTAAAGGTAAAAGGACCCCCTGACCATTAGGTCCAGTCATGGCCAACTCTGATGTTGCGGCGCTCATCTCGCTTTACTGGCCGAGGAAGCCGGCATACAGCTTCCGGGTCATGTGGCCAGCATGACTAAGCCGCTTCTGGAGAACCAGAGCAGCGCACGGAAACGCCATTTACCTTCCCGCCAGAGCGGTACCTCTTTATCTACTTGCACTTTGACGTGCTTTTGAACTGCTAGGTTGGCAGGAGCAGGGACCGAGCAACGGGAGCTCACCCCGTCGCGGGGATTTGAACCGCCGACCTTCTGATCGGCAAGTCTAGGCTCTGTGGTTTAACCCACAGCACCACCCACGTCCCTAAGAGGCTGAGGGAAAATACTGCATTGGCCATCAATCGAACCCGGGTCAACTGCTTGGAAGGCAGCTATGTTAACCACTATACCACCAACATTTCAGATAACCCCTTTGTGGGGAATTCTAAATGCTTAAAGGGCCTGAAGATGGGCCTTCCTCCTTGGGGTGCTCCCTATGCTGCTGGACTGGTGGGGCTCCTCAGGAGAAGGTACCTGGGAGAGGCCCATCTCTGGCCTGACCGGCCCTGTTGGTACAGGAGTTTCTCCTGGGGGCTCCTAGCTGACAGCCTTAGGCTCGCTGCGGCAGCCCACTCAGAGCACTGAACCTGGTGTGAAAGTTACTTGGTCATTATGCAAATAGGGGCAGGTCAAGTTCAGCCCTTTGACCCATTTTTAGATACTTAGAGGTGCTTTCCATGTCATCCTGCACCTCAGGAGCTCCAGGTGATGGATAATGTGCAACTGGTCAGCCATGGTCAGCCAGTGTGGCCTATGGTAATAATCATAATCATAATTTATGTATACCCTGCCCATCTGGCTGTGTTTCCTCAGCCACTCTGGGCGGCTCCCAACAGAATATTAAAAACACAATAAAACACCAAACTTTAAAAACTTCCCTAAACAGGGCTGCCTTCAGATGTCTTCTAAAAGTCAGATTGTTGTTTATTTCCTTGACATCTGATGGGAGGGCGTTCCACAGGGAGGGCGCCACTACCGAGAAGGCCCTCTGCCTGGTTCCCTGTAACCTAACTTCTTGCAGTGAGGGAACCGCCAGAAGGCCCTCGGAGCTAGAGTTCAGTGTCCGGGCTGAGCGATGGGGGTGGAGATGCTCCTTCAGGTATACTGGGCCGAGGCTCCACAACCAGCCGCCTATCCATATCCCAGGGGTAGCGAGATGATGTGGTCTGCAAGTCACTTCATCCCTGGCCATTGGCCCTGCTGCCTGCCAGGACTGGTGTGGTTTGGAGTCCAGCAACCATACCTGAAGCACATTGGCTCCCCCTGCACAGCACCACACTGGGTTCCATTGCCAAGGTATTTAGCTGAGGGAGGGGAACTCCTGAAACTATTCTGAGGAAATGGTTATCCAGAGAGACACTACAGATGCCACAGGAGTCATGCACATATCTCCTTGCCCTTGGGGCAGCACCAGGCTGCTCTCTTGAGCATGGGGCCTTATAAGAATAACAACAATAATTTTATTATTTATACCCTGCTCACTCGCCTGTGTTGCCCCAGCATTATTGGGGCCACAGAGAGAAGGCAGAAGCCGTGGCAGCAGGAAGGCAGGCTGGAAGGAGGTGTGTGTGTGTGTGTGTGTGTGTGTGTGTGTGTGTGTGTATGAACCTGACAGACACTGACCACAGCAAATGGGAAGGTGATTCCAATGACAAAGAGGCCGGCCCAATTCAGGCAGCCGCCAATCAGGAAAGCTGCTGGTCTGGAAGACTGGCTGAAGATTTCCATCATGACAGACATGGAGGCTCCATCTGAGGCAGGAGGGAGGGAAAGACACAGGGAATCATATAATTGTAGAGGCATCTAGTCCAGCAGGAATATATTGCCCAACATGGGGCTTGAACCCACAACTCTGAAATTCAGAGACTCATGTTCTAATGACTGAGAAATGCTTGAGGTTTTGGCATGTTCCTGGCTTTGGCCTTAGTGCAATTATTGCCCTTTCTCAGTGCTGTTGCCTAGCAGGACCTTGCAACTCACACCTGGAGGTGAGACCCCCCACCCTCCCCAACCAGGAGCAGTTGCCCCCAGCCCCACCAGGGTAAAGGCCTTCTCTGTTAGCATTTCACTCCTCCGTTGCTGGATGTGTGATTGTTACATCACCTGTCAGTGTTTACTTTCTAGGCTTGGAAAGTGTGAGAATGGAAGTCAGTCTTATCTCTCTTCCGTTGTACTGTACTTTTGTACTGTTTCTTTGTCTCTCTCTCTCTTGGAGAACAACTGAGAAGACGCCATGATTGCTTTGTGCTGTATATAGGTAAAGGTAAAGGGACCCCTGACCATTAGGTCCAGTCGTGATCGACTCTGGGGTTGCGGCACTCATCTCGCTTTATTGGCCGAGGGAGCCGGCGTACAGCTTCCGGGTCATGTGGCCAGCATGACTAAGCCGCTTCTGGAGAACCAGAGCAGCGCATGGAAACGCCGTTTACCTTCCAGCCGGAGCGATGCCTATTTATCTACTTGCACTTTGACGTGCTTTCGAAGTGCTAGGTTGGCAGGAGCAGGGACTGAGCAACGGGAGCTCACCCCGTCGCGGGGATTCAAACCGCCGACCTTCTGATCGGCAAGTCCTAGGTTCTGTGGTTTAACCCACAGCGCCACCCATGTCCCTTGTGCTGTATATATTGCTTAATAAATACTTAGAATGCACACACCAAGCTCCACTTCGTTTCTGCTATACTCTGCAGAGTGAGCGTGCACATAGTCTTCTGATATGTAGTGCTATTGTGTGCCGGGACTGAAGATTTATGGATGTCCCGGGTTGCATTTCATCAGGAAGATGCCCGGAGAGGTTTGTCTCATCCTGGGGGCTGCATGCGTCCCCCAGGCATGTTCCAACATCATCTACTCACTTGGTCCGATTCCAAAGAAGAGAACAAAGAGGAAAACCAGAGTGACGCTGCAGTACGACGCCCAGTGGGATTTGTTCTAGGGGAGGGAGGAGAGGAAAAAGGACAGGTGCCAATGAATTCACACTGGGTATTTAAAAAACCATACACCGCTATTTCGTAAAGAAACCGTCAAAGCAGTTTGCAACAACTAGACACAAAGCCATGCAATAGGCACCATGTTAAAACCAGAAACCAGCTAACTATTGCGTATTCCCAATTTCCCGCCTATCAGCAGGCGTTTAGAGGTTGAAACAGAAGGAGTCTGCTGAAAACTTGGGGAGAGGGGACAGGGTTGTTTTGCTGCTGGACGCAAAACAGAAAATGGCACCCCTCCTACTTTTTGATGTTGCTGCTGACGGAGGCGACTAGAGGTGATTTAGAGAAGCCACGGAGCACTGAAGGGTGTAGGGATATCGCGGAGTGGGCAGTGGGGTCCGGAGGGAGCACACTCCCCACCAGCAGGCAGCCACAATCTGCCTGCACGCGTGACCCTGGGGTGTGGGGTACACACCCCCCTCAGACAAGCCACGGCTGTTGGAACATCGTTCCCTCTGTCTAACCTTTTGCGGTCTCAGTAGTCGGCGGTGTCCTGTCTGTAACCTTTGTCCCTGAGACCTTTTGTCTCCTTCGTCATACACTGTGCAAGGGGAAAATGACGCTGTGGAAACAGGTGCCAAAATAACTTTGTACCACCCCACGATCTCGGGACCGAAGGTGTGTAAAGGTCACAGCCCAAAATGTATCTGCCTAGCTTGCATATTTGTCTCAAAAAAAGGAGGCTCCACAGGACTGGTCAGCAGCTTGCATGCAGCCCACCTGTGCGCAGCTCACATGATGATCAACACCTGTCTTGTGCCTTAACTTCAGAAGGGTGTGTTGGGGAGTCTAGAGAGGAGCAGGGCAAGAAGCAAAGGAGACTGTGAGCAACTGCCTCACATTGCCTCAAGGGCAGGCCGGCCCTGGTGTACGTGGGGTCTCACAGCTCCCTGCTTCATGTCTCTCTCTTGTGTTATAAGAATTCTAAAGTCTCAGATATTGAATAAACGTTCATAAATGTAGAAGGCAAACACATACAGAACTGTATAAACCACGCGTCTAAAATAGTACAGGAGAACAATCCTGAAGCCATTTTCTGACTCTCCCAAATTGACCTCAACTACAGTGGGTTACATACGCTTCAGGTTACAGACTCTGCTAACCCAGAAATAGTACCTCAGGTTAAGAACTTTGCTTCAGGATGAGAACAGAAATCATGTGGCGGCGGGAAGCCCCATTAGCTAAAGTGGTTCCTCAGGTTAAGAACACTTTCAGGTTAAGAGCGGACCTCCAGAACGAATTACCGTTTTTTTTGCACCATAACACTCACTTTTTTCCTCCTAGAAAGTAAGGGGAAATGTCTGTGCGTGTTATGGAGGGAATGCCTACGGGTGGCATGCCTATGGATTTTCCTCCTCTAAAAACTACGTGCGTGTCATGGTCGGGTGCGTGTTATAGAGCGAAAAATACGGTAAGTTCTTAACCCGAGGTACCACTGTATTCCTCTGCAAGGAGGAAGGAAATGGGAAAAGCTTTCCAATTGTCTTTGGACTTTAGGGGCTAGTAACCTCTCTTTTTGAATACAGTCTGGCAGGTATCTGTTAAACCAGGCATGCCCAAAATCCATTTTGGACATGCCTAATCAGGCCCGCCGGTTGACTTAATCCGGCGCCCAAGGCAGTATATGTCCTTGGCTCTTACCTGTACTGAGAGAGTAACTGTGAGGAGAAAAAGGACAAGCGCCATCATGCCACAGCCCTGCCACAGGAGCGTCCGCCGTCCAAATCTCTCAATTGTCAGAATCTGAAGAAGGGGGAAGAGTGATTATCATCGCCATCACCATTTATTGCAATTCTTACTCTGTCTTGACCATGAGGCCTCAGGGCGAGTTGCAGCCTATGAAAACATAGTTCAGTTGAAATGATGACCCCTCTAAACACACGCCAGGGAGGAGACAAGAAAATGGTTCTTCCATTTCCAAAAGGCTGGAGCAAAGAGGTGCATCTGCAGCAACCTATGGCTGGCGTGAAGAGACGGTACCAGGCGGTACACCAATGGGGAAGGAGGAAAGGAGCTTCACACTCTTGCGCCTTGGTGGAAAATGGCAGGAAAAAAGGGAAAGGGTCTTACACAGAGGAAGGAGGAGAGGAGCTCACAGAAGCCCACGCCCAGCGAGACGTAAGGGAGGAGGTCCTCTGCAAAACCGGCTGTGCGGAAGACTTCGAAAGTGTAGAAATAGACCTGTGGAGAAAGGAAGGAGATAATAATAATAATAATTTTTATTTATACCCCGTCCTCCCCAGCCAAGGCCGGGCTCAGGGCGGCTAACAAGCAATAATAAAAACAAGTTGATTGAATCCAACTTAAAAACAAGATTAAAATACAACATTAAAATATTGAAACATTAAGATATTAAAATGCAGCCTCATCACAGGAGGAGAAAGGAAAAAGATGTCAAAAGGGGCTCTTGTTGGCTGCTCCCAGCTCCAGGGCAACCCTGGGGGGGCATTGCACACTTGCCAACTTGGTCTCACAACAGCTGGCATTAAGATTAAGGCAACCAAAGCAAATGCGCAAAGAAGCCTGTCATCAAGGGAGAGTTTCATGTGTTCAGATACAGATTTCCTGCGCTTTGGCTGCCTTGGGCTAAGGTTGCAGGTGCCCCCCCCACCCAGGTGAGTCTTCAGGGCAGCCAGCTCGGAGCACTTTCACACCTGAACCTTCACACCTGCCTCCAGCTGGCACCCCATGGAAATGCGAATCCTACCCAGGCTAGAATTCCTGTTTGCGAGCCTGTCTCCTGTATTGCCACTGATCAGGCACCCAAGTAAAATATTAGCAGAGAAGATTGCTAAGCCTCACGTGTCAAAACACTGGTAAGAGAGACGGTCTTGAAAAGAGAGGCCCTGTCCTCCGGCTGCTGCCTTCAGCTATACTTGGCAGCCTCCCCAACCCATCAAGGCTCCTTCCCATTCCTGGAGATCATTAGCATTCAGAAGCGTTTCTGATGCTAAACCTCAGTCTGCCAATCTGCAGTGTAAACCCATTGCTTCTATCACCCATTATCCTCTTCTTCCTCCCAGCCCTGTCAGTTGGGTGATCCAGTCTACACCTTTTCTTCCTTAGCTGTGCTTGTTTTCTGTCTGTGGATCTAGACACATCAAAGAAGCGTTTCAGTTAAACGCCATTGCAAACTTTGCATGAAAAATCGGGTTAGCACAAACGGAACTCCACAGCGCCACCTGGTGTCACCGTGTTAGAATGCACAAACAACGCGCGTAAAGCGCTTTTTCTTTGCCAATGTAGCTGAGTCCCTCCAAACCCAAAGGCAGGGCTGTGCATTGTTGCAGCCAAGAGGAGACTTTAGAACTCAACTGCGTTGATGCCGCAGAGCTGGAGGGTGACGACGACCGCCACGAGGATGTGCAGCTGCCGGCGAAGGGACTGGTCTCTGAGCAAGTCTCTCGCACTCAGGACTTTGGTGCTGTTTTCCGCTTCCTGCTTCAGGTCACTGAGTTCCTGCTGGTGATCTTCTTGGCCCCAGAGCTGGTGCATGGCTGGGGGGGGGGGAGAGAAGAGGAAGGAGCCAGACTTACTGACAAATCCACGAGGGAGTTGTTATGTACTGAGTTGAATAGGATCCAAAATGCAGCAGTTTGATTGGTCCTAGAACAATAGGATTCAGAATGCGGCAGTCTGATTGGTCCTAGAACAATAGGATTCAGAATGCAGCAGTCTGATTGGTCCACAGGAGCCACCCAATCCAACTCCAGGTGGAAGTGAATCTGCAACCTGATTGGCCTACAGGAGAATCCCGGAATTAGCCAGTCACGTGGGGCCCATTGTGTAAATAATGTATATAAAGCAGACATTCTGGGGCAACTTCCATTCCTCCTCACCACTATGAGCTGAATAAAGAGCATGAAAGCCACAGCCCTCGGAGCCAAAGGAGGTGGCAATTGCAGCAGAGCTTGGCAAGTGGAGGGGGATTGTGTAGATGCTGCCAGGAGGGTCCTGGCATCGGGACCTATGTGGATGTCTAGATCCTGTAGGCTAGGGCGGTCCAAGGTAAAATGAAGCAATTCCAATGCCACTTCTAACAATAATACTTTACATATGGGGTGAGGGTTGTCGTGAAGAACTGGCAGGCCCAAGGAGGTTTTAAACTGCCCCTTCCACCTCAAGAACCCCACTTTTTCCCCTGGAAAATGTGTATGTGAGAGACGAGGCGTTGGCCAAGATGCTGCCTAGTCTGTCCCCCCCATTCCTGTTGTCTATCCCCCTTTCTCCCCAGGGCAGTCCTTGGAGGCCTCACCCTTCACGCAGGCGCCTTCGTTTCCCTTCTGGATCAAGAGGTACGGAGGAGATTCGGGGAAGAAGGGCAGAGTTAGCAGCTGGAGGAAGGCTGTGGCCCCAATGAAGGCCAGGAGCGAAGGCCAGGAGGACTCTGTGCCCAGGCACTCCCTGCAGAGGAGGAGAAGGAGGATCAGGCGAAGCTTCACGTGGAATCAGAGCACAGGTCCGCTCAGCTCGGTCCATGCTCAGGAGGCGGTGGTCAGAGAGCTGGTACCGTGGCCCAGCCAGAGAAAGGGAGCCTTCTATCCACCCCGGGAGGTGCAAGTACCTGAGCCCCAGGATTTGGCCCCAGGATTTCCCCAAGGACCAAAAGAAGGCGGACGTGGCGTTTGCGAAGCCTCGGAGCTTCTTGGGCGAAACTTCTCCGGCATATTGCGGGTGGATGGTCAAGCAAAAGCCTGGGGCATGGGAGGAGAGAAGGGCAAAAGAGAGACAGAGTCAAAATGGAGAGAAACACCCCAAGAAAAGGGGCTGACGTGGCCATGAGCTGAACCAAAGAGACCACGGACGTATGAACCCAATCCCTTACCAAATCCACCCACCCATCATGGTTGTCCAACGGCCCTTGCACATTGCCAAATGTGGTGCAAGCCCCTTGCTCCCTTCAAATGGAGAGGGGAGTTGGGAGGTTTCAGTGGGGAGCTGCCCCTTGCCAGCTGACTGCAATGCCTGGGCTCTGGAGTCCTCACAAGGCTACCGCGATGATGCCCCAAGACCTTACCGGCGCTCACGCCAAAGAGGAACCGTCCAATCAGGATCATCTCGAAGGACTTGGCTCTCTTGCTGAAGGCCACGAGCAGAGCCGTCGCGAGGATGAGCAGGTCAGTCCCCAGCATGGTCCTCTTCCTGCATCCGAGGGCACAGAAATGGGGTGGCAGAGGGGACGTGGAGAGCGGGAGGGACATCACTCACATCTGGCCTGCTACAGAACCTCTGACAAGCCCCAATTTGTTCAGAGCTTCCTAAGCCAGTGGAGAGCAGCCTTCCTGCCAGGGCCAGCCCAGGGCATTTTGCTGCCTGAGGCCAAGGCCAAGGTGCCCCGCCATCATTTCCAAAGGCAGAAGCTTCTGTGTGCATTGGCCATGGGAAGGCAGCATCTTCCACTGCAGCCAAGGACAGCAAGCAAGCTTAGGGTAGGGTTGCCAGATGTCCCCGGTTCCCGGGGACAGTTCCCGGATTTGCAAATCTGTCCCCGGACAAATTCCGTCCCCGGAATGTCCCCAGATTTGCAAATCTGTCCCTGGGAAACATGGCAGCGTCAGCTCTGGCTGGCTTCAGGAGCTGCCCGCTGCCGTGGCACCCGCCATTTTTCCTCGCCGGAAGTTCCGGCAAGGAAAAATGGCGGGTGCCACGGCAGCGGGCAGCTCCTGAAGCCAGCCAGAGCCAACTGCGCTACCAGGCTGGCTCCGGGCTGCTGCCTGCTACTGCTGCTGCCATTTCCGATGAGGAACTGGGGACATCCGGTGGCACAGATCTCCTGCCCCCTTCCCCCTTTGTTTTGACTGATTGGGAGAGGCTTGGGAGTTGTGAGCGGGTGGCCATTGCCCAGTTTTTTAAAACTCTGCGCATTTATGTTTCACAGGGTGCGAAAGAAGGGCATTGCACCTTTATACAATATGCATGTGTGCTTGGGGCCAGGATCTTTTGCCTCACCATCCCCACTACTGATGCCCTGTTGCTACTCAGCTTAAAAAAAAATAAAAATGTCCCCGGATTCATTGAAAAAAATCTGGTAACCATAGCTTTGCGGGTTGCCGAGACAGAAGGAATAACTCTGTCCTTTTCCAGCACCTCCCTTGCCGTTGTTTTGCAGCATTTGACTCCCGGGTGGGGACAGCACTGATTCTGGCTCTGGCTGCCTTGGACTGCAGAGCGCTAGAGGAGGCACCAGAAATAACAGCTGTCCCAAGAGAAGCAGGATTTCTCATGCACCAGGATCTCACACACCCTTCCCTAAATTCAGCTGTAAGAAAACTCAAACAGGGAATATCTCAGCAGCTAGGTTTTAACACAGAGCCAGAGGGCAGGATGGATGTGTACCAAAGTTCAGAGAGTTCTTTTCCAGCAACCCGTTTGGACTATTACATACTTGCCATATTTTACAGTCAGGTAGGCACTGCAGAGGCAGCCCAGCAATCCTCCTGCCCCATAGATAGACACAATGAATGACCACAGGAACAAGAGGGCACCTTCAGGCAGCGGGGAGCCAGAGCGCTCAAGCCAGGTCTCATTCATGAATTTCTTGATATACTAGGGAGGGAGGGAGACAAGGAAGGAAGGAAGGGGAGTTGAGGCATCAGCTAATGCTTCATCATCATCATCATCATCATCACCATGCAGAATTACTTCTTAACCCTTTAAAAGTGTTTGCTTCCCTACCCATCCCAAAAAGATATTTTGGGATTATTTCTCTGCTCAGATATCAAAAGTGTCATAAATTCCAATTGCAAACCAGCAGCAAATGAGATGAAACAGAAATTTCAGCCTTGGAAAATGCATACATTATAATCTCATGGTTTGGGAAAAGAGCATTGGTCAAGTTGTTTATTATTCCTAAATGAGTACAGTGGTACCTTGGGGGTCAAACTTAATCTGTTCCGGGAGTCCCTTTGACTCCCAAAATTGTTCAAAAACCAAGGCGCGGCTTCCGATTAGCTGCAGGAGCTTCCTACAGTCAAGCGGAAGCCGCGTCGGATGCTTGGCTTCCAAAAAATGTTTACAAACCGGAAACTTACTTCCGGGTTTGCAGCGGTCGGGAGCTGATTTGTATGGGAGCCAAGCCGTTCGAGAACCAAGGTACCGCTGTATTCCTGTCTCAAGTTCTACTGTTGAGAGAAACGGATTGCAAATTTTCAAAATGTCAAGAGAGTATTTTAGAACATTGCTGAAATGGAAGGACTCTTTTTCGGGGACTTTCTAGCAGGCAAAGAAGACACACTTCTCTCCAATTGTGCTCTCCAATTAAAGCAAACGACCATCAGCTCATTCAGAGTTACTGCAAACCTCAGCTCCTGCTCAGGCCAGCTAGAACTGGTATATACACTGTACCTCCAAACAGTGCTTTTTTTCTAGAAAAAGAGGTGCCCGTAATCACCATGAAATTGTTACAGTAAAGTGCCACACATTTCAACAAAAAAGAGAGGTGCCCCTGCTGCGTACTCTTGAGTACCCCCTTGGGGTGTGTGTGTGGGGGGGAGTACTTCCTTCAAAGCACCTCCCCCCGCCCAAGAATAACGGGAACTATAGTTTACTCCTCACATAGCTACAATTCCCAACACCCTTAATGAATTACACTGGTACCTCTAGATGCAAACGCAACCCGCGTCTGCGCATGCACGGGTCGCGATTCGCCGCTTCCGCGCATGTGCGTGACGTCCTTTTGAGCATCTGCGCATGCGCAAACGGTGAAACCCGGAAGTAACGCACTCTGTTACTTCCGGGTCGCCGTGGAGCGCAACCCGAAAGCTACTTCAACCCGAGGTATGACTGGGATACTTTGGGCAGGAAATGTGCTTTGAAGATGCAGCTTATCTGCTACCCTGGTTAAAAGCCTTCTGAATAAGCCAGGGGGGTGGGTGTTAATCTTAAATCCAATTCAGTTCCCTTCCTCCCTGAGGCACCAGCAAATCAATTCTGTTTGACCAGCTAAACCTATGGAAAGAAAGTGTTCCTTCATCACCTTCTGCCTCCTCCTGGACCATGGATGGAGCAGGAGGCAGCTATGGAATGTAACCAGGGTGAGCATCGCTTGGTGGAGAGGAGGCAGGCTGTCTGGTCAGTCGTTGCTCCTGCTCACCCCCTCCACCGGGTGCAGCTGCTTAAGGGGCTGCTTACCATGGAGGGATAGTTGATCACAGAAATCTGATAGCCAATCTGGAGGTTGCCACCAATCCCCAGCACGAGGATCATTTGGTAAAACTTCCGGTGCCGAATCTGCGGTGGGAGACAAAAGACACAAGAGCCTGGAGGAAAGAAAGGCCACCCGTCACCCTTCCTCAAAGCGCCCATAGAAAATGGGTTCAAATCTCAGGGGGCCATGCTCAGAGGTGATGCAGGGGACGGGGTGGTATTTGGGACGCCCTTGCTGTGAAAAGAGAGAAGTCCAGAATCAGAGGCAGAAGCAAGAGAGGAGGGAGGCCAAGAGGTAGAGATGAGTCAGGCTGGTGAAGAAGCCAGGGTGTCTCCCCTTCCTGCTGCAACAAGCTCCCCTCCCCACCTGTCTCCCAGGACCAGAAGTTATGAAGAGGGAGGAGCTCAGATTGCTTGGGAAGGACCCAGGAGAGGAGGATACTTAGTTAGCTATGGGAAGGCGGAGGTCTTCAGCATTTGCAACTGCCTCATAGGGACAGCAAGACCTACTGAGAAGAGTTATGCCTGTCTCCTCTGAGCTGGCGTGGTTTCTGCTAATAAAGAGTTAACTTCATGGACTCTGTGTCATTTATTGCTGGCTAGCTTCTCTCTCTCTCACACACACACAGAAAAAGAGAGCTCAACTTTGATTTTGGAATGATCATTTTTGTTTGACGCTTTAACATTATGAGGCCAAAGATCAGGGAGGGTGTGAGGAGGAGAGAAGTTCGGACAGATGTGGTTAGCACCATCTTATATCAGGACTTCTAGAACCTTCTAGAAATTGAAAAGGAAGCCCTGAGGAACTGCCAGCCAGAGCTCACTTGGGTCCAAACCAGGCAAACTCTGGTCCTCCAGATGTTTGGGACTACAATTCCCATCATCCCTAGCTAACAGGACCAGTGGTCAGGGATGATGGGAATTGTAGTCCCAAACATCTGGAGGGCCAGACTTTGCCTATGCCTGGTCCAAACCAAAATAATGTGGGGGGAGGGCAGGCCTGCAGATGAGACAGCACACCTTCCTACCAGGGGGGGAGGTGGATGAGGTTGAGGGCATCCTGACCCCCTGACTTTGACCGCAGCAATTGACCCACAGCCTCGTGACTCACGCTGAGGAGTAGGCAGGCTGGGCTGGACTGGGCGAGCTATCTGGTCCCCCCAACTGAGTAGAGCCTGAGAAGGAACGCTCGTCTTCCTGGGGGGGGGGCCTCTCGCAGACCAACCTGGGAGCTAATTCCTCCTCCCGTAACCACCCTCTTAACAAAGCCCGTGTTACTCACCAGCCCAGAGAACCGGCCCTCCATTCTGCACCAGAAAGCGGCTTTCGGAGGGGAAGGAAAGGAGGAAGGGGAGTCTGGCTGGAAGGGCAGGTGTGTCTCAGGCTCCTTCGCTGCCATGTGGAAGCGAAGCGGAAACCATGACACCAGAGTTAAAATTAACTGCCCGCCTGTGCCCTTCATGCCTGTTTCGATCAACCATTAATTACATACACAGCCCAAGACTAGAAAACTCCATTGGGCAAAAGGTAAAACTCACCCAGGTGTGAAATCGAGACACGAGGACCAGTCACGTTGGCCGCCGGCGTCATCCTCCCCACCCACCCAGCCCGGTGACATCAGCCTTATCTGCTGCCCATCAGTTTTGGTCTCAGTCTGTCGCACCTGAAGTCTCTGCAGAGCATTTCCTGCTGCAAATTCCAGGCTCCATATAAGCAGAATCTTCCGAATATTTGCCGTATTTTTCCAAGTATAAGATGCCCCCATGAATTTTGAATAAACATACACAAATTTATTGATTGTTAACATAACAGACAGATAATTTAAGGACCTTTACAATTTTACAATATGCAGAGAATAACGGGTTGAAAAATCAGAGAAAGGAGCTGAGGGAAGTCTTGGGGGGGGAGGGAGGGTATTTTTTGGGGAGGGGAAAAAGGGGGGAAATAATGAAGATGATATGTTTTGATAATTTGTTATGTTGAAATTCTTAATTTTATTTTTTTTAAAGATGCCCCCATGTATAAGACGTCCCCTATTTTTAGGGACTCCAGTTTAAGAAAATAGGGGGGAGATTGCCCCGTGTATAAGACGACCCATCGTTTTTCCACATAATTTTGAAGTAAAAAACCCTAGTCTTACATACGGAAAAATACGGTATTTGGAAGATCTTACTAAGACCCAGCAACTGGGTCTGCCAGCCAAAATGGGTCTCCCCTCCTTCTCCAGCCTATTGTATTCACTCCCTCCCTAGGGCAGATTGGAGATTTCTTGGGCGCGCACGACAGGGACCCAATCCCTATTCCCCCACTGCAAGTTCCCTGTAACAGCAGCACTATTTTTCCCCCTTTTAATTTTATTTATGCTTTTCAGGTTTATACATTTCACTAATTTTACCATCATCTTAACATTTCAAAACTTGACTTGCTTCCCCCTCTTTCTGCGGTTCCTTAAATTTATTTTTTAATATCTTCTGCATATCCAAATTAACTTCATTTGCTCATTTGTTCATCCACTTTAAATATATACTCTTACAAAACTGCAGGTTATTGCAATCATCCTGCCGATGTTCTTATCTGTTTAAAATTTATCTGTGAATATTCAATAAACCATTTCTACTCTCTTATTGAAAGTTTGTGGTCTTGATTTCTTATTCTTCCGGTAAAAGTTTCACCATTTCTGCATATTCCATAAGTTTTTGCAGCATTATTAGGTGATCGAGGTGAAGCCTGGCGATGGGTTCGCTTAAGGACAATTTGACATCTCTGGCCGCTCCCCAGCTGATGCTTTAAGGGGTCATTCATGAAGTGCTTTTGAAAACAGGAACTGGAGATTTCTTCCATGTATGCGATAAGACCCCCTGCATTGCAAGGGGTTGGACTAGATTACTGCTGGGGGTCCCTTTCCAACCCTATAATTCTATGATCAAGAAACAGAGCAAGCACAAACGTGTGGGGATCTTTCTTTATTCTCGGGTTTCGTTTTACAAGTTCACATATCCCACAAAATACTTCGACGCTTCGTGGAACTTGTCGATCAGAGCTTGAAGTCCCGTTTATAGAAGCCTCCCCAGGATTAATGGGACACAGTGGCCTCCCCCCCCCCCAAAAAAAAAAATGTCTGGGAGAAGAGAACAGACAGGTTGGGATTCAGAGAGAATGGGCTTCATCTGACTTCCAGCAAGGAGGAGGCTGAAATGGGGTTGCAGTTTACTGCAAGCTTACCAGTGAAACAGCAGAACAAGTTTCCGATACTGTACAGTGGTACCTCGGTTTACAAACTTAATCCAGAAGTCCTTTCTTAAACAGAAACCGTTCTTAAACCGAGGTGAGCTTTCCCTAATGAGGCCTCCCGCCGCCGGTGCCCTTCCACCATTCAGATTCCGTTCTTAGACCGAGGTAAAGTTTGCAAACCGGGACACTACTTTCGGTTTTGCGGAGTTTGTAAACAGGACTGTTTTTAAACCGAGGTACCACTGTACTCGGGATGCGGGTGGCGCTGTGGGTTAAACCACAGAGCCTAGGACTTGCCAATCAGAAGGTCGGTGGTTCGAATCCCCGCGACGGGGTGAGCTCCCGTTGCTCGGTCCCTGCTCCTGCCAACCTAGCAGTTCGAAAGAGTGCAAGTAGATAAATAGGTACCGCTCGGGAGGGAAGGTAAACAGCGTTTCTGTGTGCTGCTCTGATTCGCCAGAAGCGCTTTAGTCCTGCTGGCCACATGACCCGGAAGCTGTACGCCGGCTCCCTTGGCCAATAAAGCGAGATGAGCGCCGCAACCTCAGACTCGGCCACGACTGGACCTAATGGTCAGGGGTCCCTTTACTGTACCTTACCACTGTACTCATAATTTCAGAAGCAAGGTGAAAGATTAGGGGGGCCTTGAGAAGCCCCCCCACACCTTTTACCTCTGCACACTTCTAGGCTCCCCATACATGGGTGTTGCCATGGAGTGGGGGTGGGGAGCAGCTGCCCCTCCTAGATCAAGTAAAACAATAGAAATACTTAACTGGCCAATCCTGTCGGTTCTGTTCCCCCCTAACAAAAGTCCTGTCCCCTCTAACAAAGTCCTCCCCCCCCCCAAAAAAAAAACACCAGGCTACGCCCAGGCACCCACACCTAGCTATGGGTTTCCTTTCCTATCTACCCCAAGAATTCAGCCTTTATTTTGATGTGTTTCAAACTGGAAAAACTATCCCAAGCAAGAGAACTCAGCTTCTGTTCCACCTACATTGCTAAAAATCGCCAAGTAACCAGTCCCTAATTTATGCAGTTGACTCTGCTCATGGAAAACTCAGCAATGTTGCTTGCAGTAAACAAAAGCCCCCCCCCCTTGCCCCTCATGGTAAAGCAAGAACAGGATTAACAACTCCACATCATAGGGATTCTTCAAATAAGGGCCAACCCTGGACTCCAGGCATGCAGTTAAAAGCCTCTTTGCAGCAATGCATGGATTTTTAAAGAATGCAAATTGTGCTAGGGCTGGGGCTGGGATCAGAGCAGGCAGGGAGGGACAAATTTAACCCTTTCCCCTTCTGCTTTGATTTCTTTACTTATTCATTTCAACAAAATTTATACACCGCATGATTGTAGCAAAACCTCTAAGCCGTTTACAATAAATATTAAAACTATCATTAAAAACAGTTGAAAACACTGGAAAACATGGAAAGATAATTAAAAATAACAGAAAAATAGAGATTAAAACATGTCAACATCAATGTGTCGGAATTTTGTTCTTGTTGTTTAGTCGTGTCCGACTCCTAAACAAAAGGATAGGCTTAGTTTTGAGAAGAATTCATTTTCCGAAGCTGGCATTTGCTTTCTTTTTTCTTATCTTTTCAAGAGGGGGGACTCTCACTGGCACCAATGGGAGAAGCCCCCTTTCCCAATGCAAATGCTAGCTTCAGAAGAGTATTCAGAAGCACAGCTGGAGAAGGAAGCCTTCTGTTCCCTCTCAAGGCCTTGTTCACCTTCCGCCCAGCAGCTGATTCAACTGGCATTCGGAAACACCAGCCTGCTAAGAGTTTACTCTCCCCCTCCTGTTGGCCCTGAGGACCCACTTCACCCAAACAGCAGCTGCCATCACAACTTGGTACAAAAACTGTGGTCGGTGGCGGCCATCTTTCCCCGAGCGGTGATAGCCATTCTCTTCCCCAAACGCATCCTTTTGAATTCTTCGGTGATCTCGCTGATGGACCTTCCCTTTGTCTCTGGCAGGTACCTGTAGATCAAGATCCCCACCACGAGGAGCACAACGAAGAAGAAGAGGAAGCAGAAGTGGCCGAGGACCTCCTGGAGAAAGGAAAACCAGACAAATGTGAGGTGCTCCCAAGGGCATTTCAGAGTAAACTCAGTAGAGCCTCCTAGAAAGGTGAAAAACATCTCCCTTTCCCTTATGGGGTAGTCCAGAGCCCGTATAGAGTCCTTAAGTGGTTTCCCTATCGGTAGGAGAAAATAGCAGAGGCCAACCAGAGTACCGTATTTTTCGCTCTATAAGACACACTTTTCCCCTCCTAAAAAGTAAGGGGAAATGTGTGTGCGTCTTATGGAGCGAATGCAGGCTGCGCGGCTATCCCGGAAGCCAGAACAGTGAGACAGAGCGCTGCGCAGCGCTCCCTCTTGCTGTTCTAGCTTCGCCGCGCGAAGCCTCCACAGGGCATGGGGAGCCTTCATCCCGCTGCCCTGAGGAGGCTTCGTGTGGCTATCCCTGGCTTTTGCAGGAGGTGGGGGAAGGGACACAGCGCGCGGCTCTGTCTCTTCCCCCACCTCCCGGAAAAGCCGGCAAGAGCCACGCTCCCTTTAAAGAGCCGTGCGGAACATGTGTGCAGCTCTTGGGGGCTTTTCCCCGAGGAGGGAGATGGGCAGTCCTTCTCCCTCCTCGGGGAAAAGCCTGCAAGTGCCGCACACACGCTCCTCACGGCTCGTGAAAGGGAGTGCTGAGCACAGCCTGGGATGCATACAGGCTCTGTTCAGTGCTCCCTTTAAAGAATATTTTTTCCCCTTGCATTCCCTCTCTAAAAACTAGGTGCGTCTTATGGTCAGGTGCGTCTTATGGAGCGAAAAACACGGTATATTGAGAAGCAAAGCAGCTAGTAAGCCTGATCTTTATTCAAGGAACTGTTGCAACAGGGTTCCCACTCACCACACACAGGAGGGAGGAGAACCTGAACAATAACAGCAACTTTGCTTGTGTCGTGAAGTAGAACAAGGAGAAGCTTTGCGGCTGACTGGGCCTGTCAGGGTTTTGTTTGGCTCAGGCATGGGGATTTGCATGAAAACCAAGGGAGACCCAAACACACACACACACGCACACGGGAGAGCTGGCTGGCTGGCTGGGTGCACTGGGAAAATAAGCAAGGGGGATTGGCTATTTTGTGTCCTGCTTCAGGCAGCGAAATGACTTGGGCAGACGTCGGGCAAAGGGGGCAACTCACCACAAGAAATGGAAACGTCATCCCGACCAGGAAGAGGCCCACCCAGCTGACTATTCCAATGATGGTCAATGCCGATGGCCTTACTGACTGGCCAAAAATCTCCATTATAACCGCGAAGATGGCACCAGCTGAAAGAGGAAATATGGAGGGTCTTTTGCAATTCAGATTTCTCTGTGGAGTTTGCCGACACAAAACTCTGACTAGAAGCCACTGGCAGAAACTGTTCCAAGACCATATAACTCTGGTCCTGAATGACCTACATTGGCTCCCAGTACGTTTCCGAACACAATTCAAAGTGTTGGTCTGACCTTTCAAGCCCAAATGGCCTCGGCCCAGTATACCTGAAGGAGTGTTTCCACCCCCATCATTCAGCCCGGACACTGAGGTCCAGCTCTGAGGGTCTTCTGGCGGTTCCCTCGCTGAGAGAAGTGAGGTTACAGGGAACCAGGCACAGGGCCTTCTCGGTAGTGGCGCCTGCCCTGTGGAACGCCCTCCCATTAGATGTCAAGGAAATAAAACAACTATCTGACTTTTAGAAGACATTTGAAGGCAGCCCTGTTTATGGAAGTTTTTAATGTTCGATGTTTTATCACTTTATTTATTACCGTATTTTTCGCTCTATAAGACTCACTTTTTCCCTCCTAAAAAGTAAGGGGAAATGCGTGTGCGTCTTATGGAGCGAATGCAGACTGCGCGGCTATCCCAGAAGCTAGAACAGCAAGAGGGATTGCTGCTTTCACTGAGCAGCGATCACTCTTGCTGTTCTGGCTTCTGAGATTCAGAATATTTTTTTCTTGTTTTCCTCCTCCAAAAACTAGGTGCGTCTTGTGGTCTGGTGCGTCTTATAGAGCGAAAAATACGGTAATTATAATTATAATTATTCTGTTGGGAGCCACCAAGAGTGGCTGGGGAAACCCAGCCAGATGGGCGGGGTATAAATAATAAATTATTATAAGTATTATTCTGGCTCCACCCCACCCTCTGTGAGCCCTGTTCCAGATTTACTCACATGGGCCAAGACCATAGGAGAGGGTGAACAAAAATATGAGGGCGATGCTGCCAAAGGAAATCCAGGGGAACTGGCCCTGGGAAGCAAGAAGGAAGGAAGGGAAGTCCTGTTAAAACAATTGTGATGTGCATGGGATTCTTCCAAAGAACGTGTATTTTTTCCTCTCTCTCACCCACGATGCTGCGATGTCTTTTGCTATCCAAATGGTCCATGGGCACAACAGATTCAGTAGCCATCACAATATAAAACCAGAGAGTCGGAAGGGACACCAAGGCTCATCTAGTCTAACCCCCCGCAATGCAGGAATCACAGGTAGCGAATCACTGACAAATGGCCACCCCCAGAGGAGAAGGAAGAGGAACCGAGGCTGGACTCTGCTCACCTGGAAAGAGAGGGCCAAGACGAGGAGCACCATCACCAGCCCCATCATCGCGAAGCCACCCCACAGGAGAACCCTCCGGCCAAAGCGGTCAACAAGGCAGCTCTGTGTGGTCAAAAACAAAAGGCGTTCAGCACCATATTTTGAAAGGACACGAGACTCCAGTCACACCTTGGAAGTTGAAGGGAATACGTTCTGGAAGTCCCTTCCACTTCCAAAATGCTTGGAAACCAAAGCATCGCTTTTGATTGACTGCAGGAAGCGCTTGCAGCCAATCGGAAGCTGTGCCAGATGTTCGGCTTCTGAAAATTGTTCAAAAGGCGGAACACTCACTTCCGGGTTTTGAGCCTTCGGGAGCCGATTTGTTCGGGAGCCAAGGCATTTGAGATCCAAGGTACGACTGTAGTTTATAGAAAGTGGATTTATTGGGTGTTATCTTGGAGTGGATGTGCTGAATATTTTCTTCATATGGCTGACGGATGAAGAATCAGAAGTTTTTTTTTTCTGTTCCCCCCTCTCTTTCTTTCTTTCTTTCTTTCTTTCTTTCTTTCTTTCTTTCTCTCTTTTTCTCTCTTTCTCTCTCTTTTCTTTTTCCCTTTTCCCTTTCTCTCTTTCTCTCTCTTTTCTTTTTCCCTTTTCCCTTTCTCTCTTTCTCTCTCTCCTTTTCTGGTCTGCGTTCTTATTTACATTAGCTTTTTAGCTTTGATTAAAAAAGAAAGACACGTGATACTAATTTTTGTATTTCTTTTTTCCCCAAATTTTGATAAAATGGATTTGGAAAACAAAGAAAGGGCATGAGACAAATTCCACTGAGTGTGTGGGGACTGCTCAGGATACCTTGCCCATGGACAGAAAGGTGTCTGTGGGAAGTTTTTGCCCACTGCTTCCTGCTCCCAGACCAGGTAAAAAGGTAAAGGTAAAGAACCCCTGGACGGTTAAGTCCAGTCAAAGGCGACTATGGGGTTCCATCTCACTTTTAGGCCGATGGAGCTGGCATTTGTCCACAGACAGCATGACAAAACTGCTTCTGGCACAACGGGACACCATGACGGAAACCAGAGTGCACGGAAACACCATTTACCTTCCCGCTGCAGCGGTACCTATTTATTTTCTCGCACTGATATGTTTTCAAACTGCTAGGTTGGCAGGAGCTGGGACAGAGCAACGGGAGCTCACCCCGTTGTGGGGATTCAAACCGCCGACCTTCTGATCAGCAAGCCCAAGAGGCTCAGTGGTTTAGACCACAGCACCACCTGCATCCAGCCCAGGACCACACACAAGCACCAGCTACTGAACCCGCCCTTCTTGCTCCCTCCAGCTCCTTCCCATTACAAAGGAGTCGGCTCTTCTGTTCCCACTCGCAAACCAGGCTGGACTTACGCATAGGATCGTACCAACAAATTCGCAGCTGCCAACGCCGACTGCTACGTAAGGTATGAGGCTTTCTTCAATTTTGGCTGTGCGGAAAACTTCGAAGGCGTAGAAGTAGATCTGGAAAACAAAAACGAAACAAGGAATGTCCGAGGGACTGGTGCAAAAAGTTTTCAGGATGAGGGAAAGAGGTGCAGGTTCATTCTCTTGGACGAAAGGGCCCCAACATTCCTGTCAAAAGCAGGCATTTTAAGGTCTCCCAACCTCAGGTGCTCTGAATTGCTGCAAGCGGCTTCCACATTAAGCTGGATGTGATCTCGTTTTTGTTACGGTGCTGTTTTTACAAGCTGTTTTATGCCACTTTGTCTTTCAAAAGAGAAGGAACCATGGTGCCCACCAAAATTTCTTGGGAATAGACAGAAGCGTGAGGGTCGTGGCCATTGGCACCAGGAGGTTGGGGGAGCTCCACTACAGCTCTCTTTCATCCTCCCTTCCACCTGAACCACCAGATTTCCTGCTGCCTGAGAAAAGATGGAAGGATATCTGGGGGGAAAGTGTGGGAGTGGTGCATCCAAAATGCTATGGAAAGAGCTAATGCAACACAGAGCCTTGAGTTTTACTGACAGAGCAGCAGGAGTTATTTTACACTGCTATGCACCTCAGAATAATTCTCTAAAGTGTCATAAGTCTGTCTGGACTCAGCTACACGCCGCAGATAAAACGTTTCAAATGTGTTGTAAAATGCAATGTACAAGATGGTGACAGTGAGCTAGGCCAAATTCAATGTATTTTTCAAAACTTTTTTAAAAAAGCATTTTCACAGCTTTTTAAACTATGTGTGTAGATTCCACCTCACTCTCATATATATGTATAACACATGCACACACACAGACTATATATATATATATTGCGGCGCTCATCTTGCTTTATTGGCCGAGGGAGCCAGCGTATAAGCTGCTTCTGGATAACCAGAGCAGCGCATGGAAACGCTGTTTACCTTCCCGCCGGAGCAATACCTATTTATCTACTTGCACTTTTGGGGGTGCTTTTGAACTGCTAGGTTGGCAGGAGCAGGGACCGAGCAACGGGAGCTCATCCCGTCGCGGGGATTCGAACCGCCGACCTATGTAAATATGTTTTCGTATACCAAGTAAAGTGATGTGTTATGTTTAAACTCTAAGCAGAGAATCTTGCACAGTCTTTTAAAAGGGGCTCGAATGTCCTGGGGGCAACTAAATATAAATATAAATATAAATATAAATATAAATATAAATATAAATATAAATATAAATAATATAAATATAAATATAAATAAAATAAATATATAAAAATAAAATAAATATATATAAATAAAACCAAAAGATGGGAATATTAATGGCTGGGTTATGATTATTTAAATGTTTTCTTAAAACAGCACCTTGCATGTGCCCTTTAGGAAATGGGTGGAGAAAGTGTGTAAGTCCCCCCAATCAATGTGTGGAAAGCCCCTAAGAGAGGTGGGGGGTGGGGAGAAGAAGAAGAAGGAGAATAAGAAGAAGCAGGAGAAGAGGAAGAAAGAGTTTCCATTGCTTAGAGTTCCTGATGCAATTAAAGTGATTCTACTCAACGGCACTCAAGCCAGAGAGGTTCAGGGTGAAGATCAGCAGGACGCTGAGGCCCAGCGGCCACCGCACGGACTTCTCGCTCATCACTTCCAGGACACTCAGGTTCTTGGAGCTTCTCATGTCCTCCTTCTGCTTCACCATGTCCTCCAACTCAGCTTGGTGATGCCCTTCACCCCAGAGGTACTTCATGGCTTTGTGGGGGAGAGAGAGGGAGAGAAAGGGGGGGGGGAACGGACAGTCCTTCAAAAACTGAGTTACTCAATTATCTGAACATTGGCTGAACGAAAAGATCAAAGTTTCAGTCATCATCAGAGAACGTATCCAGGGGCATCCAAATTACTATCATCCATTCAGAAGCTTGAAGGAGCTGTAGTGGACTTGTAAAGGGTTAAAGCATATTGGGAAATGATTCATAATGAATTCATAATTCCCTCCCAAACCCAGAGTCCTTCCTGTTGAGGATAATTCAGACTGAAATACCCAGGTGTCAAAAAAGGTTATTTATGTATGCTACCACTGCGGCTTCTGTTTCGTTAGCCCCAAAATGGAAAATGAGCAAGGTCCCAACCAAAGAAGAATGGCAACTTGAGCTGACAGAATATGCACAACTTGCAGACTTAACATATAGAATAAGAGAACAAGAAGAACATGCGTTTAAAGAAGACTGGAAAGCATTTATTGAATACAGTGGTACCTCGGGTTAAGTACTTAATTCGTTCCGGAGGTCCGCACTTAACCTGAAACTGTTCTTAACCTGAAGCACCACTTTAGCTAATGGGGCCTCCTGCTGCTGCCGCACTGCCAGAGCACAATTTCTGTTCTCATCCTCAAGCAAAGTTCTTAACCTGAGGTACTATTTCTGGGTTAGTAGAGTCTGTAACCTGAAGCGTATGTAACCTGAAGCGTATGTAACCCAAGGTACCACTGTATAGGGGAAATAACTGTGTACTGCTGAAAACGCTGGCAGCACTAAGAAAAATTCAACATCAAAATAAGTTTTGATAGATGCAGTAATGGAAAACTAAATGGTATAGTTTTTGTAAAATATGCAGGAATATAAGATATGAAAAATGAACCATGGAAAGAGAAGGGAAGTCATTAATATCATTAATATCATGAGTATTTTAAATTGCAAAACAGAAAATGTAATAAAAATTACATTTAAAAAAAGAAGAAGAAGCTCGAAGGAGCTTATACCTGAAGGAGTGTCTCCATCCTCATCGTCCAGCCTGGACACTGAGGTCCAGCTCCGAGGGCCTTCTGGCGGTTCCCCCACTGCGAGAAGCAAGGTTACAGGGAACCAGGCAGAGGGCCTTCTCAGTAGTGGTGCGCACCTTGTAGAACGCCCTCCCACCAGATGTCAAGGAGATAGACAACTACATAACTTTTAGAAGACATCTGGTGGTGGTCCTGTATTGGGACATTTTTAAAATTTTTTTATATTTTGCTAGAAGCCACCAAGAGTGGCTGAGTCAACCCTATCTATAGGGTGGCATATAAATAATAACATTATTAAGCCTCCCCTGAAAATAGGGGAATGTTAGTGACAGAACAAGAGGAACAACATTGCTTTGGCATCCCACCCTGCCTAAAGAGGCCAGCTGGAGTTGGACAGAACTAAAGGAAGCAGATCAGGGGTTTTTAATCTGGGCAGCCCACCCTGCCCACATGTGATCAAACATCTAGATTTGCTCTGGTCTCCCAAACAGGTCTGGGGGTGGTTATTGTTATGTACTGAAGTTCTCACCCTGGGCCAGCAGGGGGATACTGTAGATAGTTATGCAAATAAGGGATCGAAAGTGACGTTCAGTGATTGGATAGTTACAGAAAGTGGTTACTGTTGCATTGTAGTGGAGCTCTATATAAGCAGGCTGGCTGAACCCTTCAGTTCAGTTCTGTTCTGGCCTGTGAATAAACAAGAGCTGTTTGAAGAATCGCTGTGTCGTCTGATATGTTCACCCACAACTTAACAGTTATGAGACCTGGCTGTGCATGGGCAGAAGTCCTCTGGGGTAGGGCAGGTCTTACACCCCCCTGCGGCAGAGAGTCGCTTACAGCAGCTCTGCGGTGGAGAACACTGCTAAAATCGCATATCAGAGGTGGGGCTGTGGCTCTTTTGGATTCCTAGTTTAAAAACCCTAGAATTTCTAAGATTGCCGTAAAAGTCAAACTGCTCCCTCACCCCTAATTTCCGCTGAGGCTGAATCAGCCTCCGACTTTTGCATGCAGAAGCCTCAGGTGCCGCTGACTTGTGTGCGGACGGAACTTTTGGATGAAAAATAGGCAAACAACTAGAAATTTTGTGCAAGTTACAGCAGGGGCTTCTGTTTTCCTTGCTGAGTTTTTATTTGGGCACCTCTCCTGTGCTCAGGCAATGAAGGCTAGACGGCCACTTCTACCCCACCCAACTTGCTCATTACCTTTCAAGCAACCATCTTTGTCTCCCTTCTGGAGCAACAGGTATGGAGGGGACTCGGGGAAGAAGGGCAGGAGCAGCAGCTGCAGCAGGGCTGGGATCCCACACAGAGCCAGGAGCACAGGCCACAGCGACTCTGTGCCAAAGAGATCTCTGGGGACAACAGGCATAGAGAAAGCAGCCATTTAGGCTTCATCCAAGGGAGGAGGGCAGGTGTTTAGGGGACCTGGAAACCCCTGATTTCCTTCTATTTTAAAAAAACAACAACACATGTTGTTGTTGTTAATTAAATTTGTATAGCAACCTATACTCGCAGGTCTCAGAGTGGTTACAACATAAAATACGTAATAAAAACAAAAACAACCCAATAAACCTGCTACCCAACACATTTTAAAAGCACATGCATAAAGGTAAAGGGACCCCTGACCATTAGGTCCAGTCATGACCAACTCTGGAGTTGAGGCACTCATCTTATTGGCCGAGGGAGCTGGCGTACAGCTTCTGGGTCATGTGGCCAGCATGACTAAGCCGCTTCTGGCGAACCAGAGCAGCACATGGAGACGCCGTTTACCTTTCCGCCGGAGCAGTACCTATTTATCTACTTGCACTCTGATGTGCTTTTGAACTGCTAGGTTGGCAGGAGCAGGGACTGAGCAACGGGAGCTCACCCCATCGCGGGGATTAGAACCACCAACCTTATGATCGGCAAGTCCTAGGTTTCTATGCTGCTTTTCATTCAAATGAATCGCTAAGCAGCTTACAAACAATAAATAACAACGGCATAATAGAACACCACAAATGCAGCACAAATCCCGTAGAACAATTAAGAAATCACCAGTTAGAAAAATCAGAGGCCCTGCCCCTGCCTGACCAACTCCCAGCACTTTGCTCAGCTGTGTTTGTCACAGAAACAGGTCTTTCCAATGTGTCTCTCTTTAAACCAGGGGTAGGGAACCTCCAGCCCATGAGTCAATCTTGGCCCACTGGGGGTGGGGTCTAATTTGGCCCATAAGGTCATTATCCCCCAAACCACACCCACCAGCTGACATCACTGAGTGAGGTCAGCTGAAGCGCAGAGTTGAACGCTGCTGGGTGCTGCTTTGCCAGCGCATTCCCTGCAGGGTATGGAGTGAGTTTCGAAGAAGAAGAAGAAGAAGAAGAAGAAGAAGAAGAAGAAGAAGAGTTTGGATTTGATATCCCGCCTTTCACTCCCTTTAAGGAGTCTCAAAGCGGCTAACATTCTCCTTTCCCTTCCTCCCCCACAACAAACACTCTGTGAGGTGAGTAAGGCTGAGACTTCAGAGAAGTGTGACTGGCCCAAGGTCACCCAGCAGCTGCATGTGGAGGAGCGGAGACACGAACCCGGTTCACCAGATTACGAGACTACCGCTCTTAACCACTACACCACACTGGCTCTTGACAAGCCTAAGGAATTGTACGTAGTTGTCCCTTGCCCCCTTTAAGCTTCCTGGCATTACTCCACCACCTTGCTCCCACCAGGAGAAACCCCAAAGTGTCTTTGGCCCAGCAGACGCGAGGGAGCCAGCTGGCAAATCTCTCTTACCTGGTCCAGAGTTAGAGAGGAAAGGGAGGGCATGGCATAAACAAAGCTGTCAACTGCTCCCCTTTTTTAAGGGAAATTCCCTTATTCCGAATAGGATTCTTCGCAAGAAAAGGGAAAAGTTGACAGCTATGGGCACAAACAAGAATGAAAGGTGTGTAGCTCACCTACCTCCCCAAGGCTGTTGAGGACGATGCAATCATTACAGTGGTCAGCACAAAATAGACACATAAACCATTAAAAATGACAAGATCAGTCCAAGTGGAAATAAGGAGAGAATGCAATTGGTCAGCAAATTGAGGAAAACATTCTGACAGATGAAGAACAACACTTGATCGTCTCAACCGCAAAATGGATCCAAGTGGGAAGAAAGTAGAAAAGGAGGGAAGGATAAACAAACACGGTTGTCTGCTATGCCATCAGTTTAACTTACCTTAAGCCCATAATTTGTCCAAAAGCTTTTCCTAGCGAAAAAAACACAGAGCAGGTGGCAGTGGCAAAACCTCTGAATTTCTTGGGTGCAATTTCTCCAACGTACGGTCCATTGGCGTTCAGGGAAATACCTTCAGTGAGAAGGAAAAGGTACGTTACAGAAAGATTTAGTGATGTCTCTGAGATCGTACCACAATGTTCCACCACCCACAAAAGCCACCACTTGGAGCTGCCTGTGTCAGCCTGGGCCACATGATGGGGAGGGGGAGCAAGTTGGGAGGAGAGCCCCTGCTGAGATAGGCCACCTGCAAGCTGGTAACAACATACCCCCAGATCTCCAGATGACCTCTCACAGTGGCTTTCTATTAAGGTTAAACATTAGGGATCATGATGGGCAGTGCCAGATTACCAAACAGACAGTAGGAAGCAGCCTATGGGCCCCATGCCTTTTAGGGGCCAGATAACAACAACTCAAAATAATATTGATTTGATCTTGAAAGAAAATTACAAAAAAAAACGTATTCGGAGATAATTTGCGATATTTCAACTGCTATCAAAAAAACTAAGATCATGGCCACTGGGCCCATCACTTCCTGGCAAATAGAAGGGGAAGAAATGGAGACAGTGAGAGATTTTACTTTCTTGGGCTCCATGATCACTGCAGATGGTGACAGCAGCCACGAAATTAAAAGATGCCTGCTTCTTGGGAGGAAAGCAATGACAAACCTAGACAGCATCTTAAAAAGCAGAGGCATCACCTTGCCAACAAAGGTCCGTATAGTAAAAGCTATGGTTTTCCCAGTAGTGATGTATGGAAGTGAGAGCTGGACCATAAAGAAGGCTGATCGCCGAAGAATTGATGCTTTTGAATTATGGTGCTGGAGGAGACTCTTGAGAGTCCCATAGTCTGCAAGAAGATCAAACCTATCCATTTTGAAGGAAATCAGCCCTGAGTGCTCACTGGAAGGACAGATCCTGAAGCTGAGGCTCCAATACTTTGGCCACCTCATGAGAAGAGAAGACTCCCTGGAAAAGACCCTGATGTTGGGAAAGATGGAGGGCACAAGGAGAAGGGGACGACAGAGGACGAAATGGCTGGATAGTGTTTCTGAAGCGACCAGCATGGGTTTGACCAAACTGTGGGAGGCAGTGGAAGACAGGAGTGCCTGGCGTGCTCTGGTCCAGGGGGTCATGAAGAGTCGGACACGACTAAACGACTAAACAACAACAGGGACTGCCTCCAAAGGGTTTAATCTGGCAGTGATGATGGGACCTTGACAGGGAAGACAGGAGTGTCCAGCAGACATCCTCCAGCTGGACCCAAGCCAGGGACCATCTTTGTCAGGCAGCCCAGAAGGACACCATTGCTGAGCAGGTCAAAATTTGCTAAGAGCTCCAGCAGAACCAACAGGGAGACAACCCCCCACCCTGTGTTTCCAGTTCCCACGTCATCTACCCAGTGGCCAAATACATCTCTGTCTGAAAACTGGAACCAGGATGAAATGGGTCCAGAAGAACGACATATTCCCCTCACAAGGCTTTCATCCCTTTCAAGACCCACTTGGGTGGATGTCTTTATGTGTGAGTGAGCTCACACCCCCCAAGATCAGGCCCACAAACTGAGATGGATCCAGGACCACGTGAGAAGGACCTCCTTCTCTTCCTGCTGCTGCCACTAAGGATCCATGGTTGGGTTCTGCTGTCACTCTTGAATCCAAATCTGAGCTGCTTTATCTGCAAAACGTGAAGCTTAAACTGACCTTTGATGATTCATCCTTAGCTGCAGAGGGTCCTTGATGCGGTAAGCTACTACACTTGCAGGACTCTGTGCCAATGCAACAACGGTGGGACAGTGAAATGCCTTTGCCTCCCTCACTGCCACAGTGGAGGCCAGGGCCAGCTCAAGACATTTTGCTGCCCGAGGCAAAGGACAAGATGGCCCCTTCCCCAAAGGCACACACAGAAGCCAATTGGACTGGTAGTTGAATTTTACTCCAACGTAGATGAAAGAACTGTGTCTTCCACCACACTTGAGGACACTCGCAATTCTGGCCAGTCCCTGTACCTCAGCATCTGCTGCCTGAGGCAGCTACCTCATGCTAGGGCCGGCCCTGGCAGAGGCCCAAACTGGGGTTCTGGCCTACTCTCGGTAGCATTTTACCAGAGTTTTCCTCCATGTTTAAACTAGCCATCATTGCCCCAGTTCATGCAATTGGCCCCACCCAAGACTCAAAATATCAGGGCTGAGAGGTCTCCTACCTGCAGTGAAGCCATAGAGGAAACGGCTTATCAGGATCATTTCGAAAGAGTCGGCCGTCCTACTGAAGCCGACGAGGAGGGCGGCGGCGATGGTGACAATGTCGTTGAACAGCAGCGTTTTCTTTCTGGAACGGACAACGTCCCGGGGTGAAGAAGAGGCTTTTGCCCGCCCCTTTGTCCCCAACTGAAGAAGCAAACCCCTTGACTGACCTCTTGCCAAATGAAACATGGCAAATAAGGGATTCAAAGCACATGATTCACAAAATGATGTTGGCGTCACAAGAGTGACATACTTCTTTTTTTTAAAGGACTATTTCTGTATTTTATTGCTTAGAGTTAGAATCATAGAATTGATCCCGAGATGATTCCAAGAGGATAACAATAACAACAATAATAAATGTATTATTGTTGTTGTTGTTAAATTTTTAATACTTTTATTTTGCTTTAAACAAATACAGATAAATATAAACAACCAAAATTACAAAAGAAAAATCCTTAATAATAATAATAATGAAAAAAGCTAAAAAACTACAAAAAAATCAAAGTACATGGCATAGAACATAAGCCATTATGGGAAAGAAAAAAGAAAAAGGAAAGGAGGTGGGGGGGGGAGGAAAAAGAAAAGAAAGAGGAAGATGAGCCAAAACACAAGAAGGCTCATCTATTGTATGCTTCCATCAAGGTCACAACAGATCATTATTCTTATCAATTCTCTCTATCTGCATTCCATAGAATCCCTCATCTTGGTATCAGGGAACATTTCCCTATGTGGTATCATCCTAAACATAACCAGGTCTTTCTTGATGAACCCTTATCCCCTAGATAATTATTTAAACATTCCCATTCTTCTTTCACCATCTTTTTAGGTTTATCTCTTATTGCATCTGTCAGCTTCGCGAGCTCCAAGTAATCGTACAATTTGACTACCCATTCATCTTGACATACTTTATTAATGCCCATATTGACATACTTTATTAATGCCCACAAAGGGGTGGGGGGCACCAGGGCCTCCTGGTAAGGAAGGGGCTTACTTTCCATATTGGGTGGTCACATGCCCACTGGACAGGTTGCCCAGGATCCCACCCAGGCAGAAAATGGAGACGACTGCAGACCACAGGAAGGTGAGCGTTTCGTGGTGAAGGGCAGAGCCGTACCGCTTGACCCATGTCTGGTTGATAAATGTCTTGATGTACTGGGAAGGGAATAATAATAATAATAATAATAATAATAATAATAATTTAAAAATTAAAGAAGACATGAACTCCAGCACCCACCCACTGTGTATCTCTTATATTGAAAGCTCTTGGTTTTGTGTGTGTGTGTGTGTGTGTGTATTTCTTGGTTTACAAGAGAGGATGCACCTCCACAGGTATATACCTCCACGTGTGGTGGGAATGTCCTAAAATCCAACTCTTTTGGACATCAATCATATAAGAAATATGCAAAATAACCAGTGCTTTTTTCTGGAGGGACGCAGGGGTACGCATACCCTTAAACATTTTGTGAATCTAAGTTTGGCCTCATTGAGGGGCAGTATTTCAATATGAGTAGGAAAATGAGAGTACCCCTTAACCTTTTTTAAAAAAGAATAAAAGCACTGCAAATAACTAAGCAAGTACAAGAACTCACCCCAGAACTGGCCCTACTAAACATCTAATGAGACAATACTCCGTACTCACATCACAAAGAGCTCATAACCCACCTACTCTCAGCAGCCAGAAGCATCATAGCCAGACACTGGTAGCATATTTTTTCAACAAACCACATTATTTTCCAGACAGCAGCCCCTGCTCTGCCCTGCCTTGTTTACAAACCTTCATTTCCTCCGTTGGTATGAAAGGAGATGGTTTGGATTCAGGGTACAACCTTCTCCAGATGACAAAACTGGAGAAATCCTGCCCCTCCGGACACACCTGAGCCAATCAGCAGGAGCCAACTAGCTCTTTTGGCCCCTCCCCCTGGTGGCAACCCATGTGACCCAATCCCTCCGCCATGCCTGTATCTCCACCTGAACCACCGCTGGCTTGAGATGATACTGCTGCCCGTCCTGAAATTGTGGGCACCAGCTAAGCGGGTGGAGGAAAAGAGGTCCCAGGCACAGCTAGCCATCACTCACCCCTTGAAAATGGGGGCTAGCACCCTCAGGGGCAACCCCACCACCCATTTGTCAGGGGATATCCCCACACCCTGCAAAGCCATCTTTCGTACGTGCAGAGAGCCTGTGAAGCCAAATAATCTACCTAAACACCACAAAGCTGTTCTCTTTTTGTATCAGCTGAGGCCACCGTCGGACGAGACCCCTCTAGGCTATTGCCAACCGACATGTGAGAGGGAGAAGAAGAAGAAGAAGAAGAGTTTGGATTTGATATCCCGCCTTTCATTCCCTTTAAGGAGTCTCAAAGCGGCTAACATTCTCCTTTCCCTTCCTCCCCCACAACAAACACTCTGTGAGGTGAGTGGAGATGAGAGACTTCAGAGAAGTGTGACTGGCCCAAGGTCACCCAGCAGCTGCATGTGGAGGAGTGGGGAATCAAACCCGGTTCCCCAGATTACGAGACTACCGCTCTTAACCACTACACCACACTGGCTCTCAACTACAATCCCCTTTGCTTACCTGAGAGGGATAGCTGATCACGGAGATCTGGAAGCCGATCAGGAAGGTCCCTCCCATCCCCACCACGAAGATCATTTGGAACACTCGCTGGTACCGAATCTGCCAAGAGAAAACACCACCGTATGGGCCACGTCCTCGCCTCCCCTCTGCAGCCACCATCCAAGAGATGGTGAGGGCTGGTCCATCACCCGATGCCCTATCATGAGGCAGGGAAGGAGTCAGGTGAGAGGACGAGGGGGACAACAGGAGAACCAGGTGTGACCCTGATGCCTCAGCCAGGTGTTATGAACCCACTTGAGAAGTGACCAACCTCCTCAGATGGGAAACAATTGTTCTCCCCTCCATGGTATTAATTTAAAGCCAGGGGTCAGCAAACCTTTTTCAGCAGGGGGCCAGTCTACTGTTCCTCAGACCTTGTGGGGGGGCTGGACTATATTTTGGAAGGGGGGATAGGAACGAATTCCTATGCCCTACAAATAACCCAGAGATGCATTTTAAATAAAAGGACACATTCTACTCATGTAAAAACATGCTGATTCCTGGACCGTCCACGGGCCGGATTGAGAAGGCGATTGGGCGGATCCGGCCCCCGGGCCTTAGTTTGCCTACCCGTGATTTAAAGCGGCTTCCCCCAAAGAATCCTGGCTACAATTCCTAGCATCCTTAACAAACTACAGGTCCCAGCATACTTTGTGTGTGGGGTGTCATATCCTGCCCTGCAGCAGAGACAGAAAGAGATGGGGATTGCAGAGGAGGAGTCGTGTGTCCCCCAAGTTTGGTGAGGGAGAAGAGCAGGTCTTCTGGGGGCTGGGGTGGGACATCCCAGAGGTGGGGTCCTCAGCTAGGAGTAAATAAAGAGTGCTGAGTCTCTTTCCTCGTCAGGCTGAAGTGCCCGATACTCACCAAGTCAGAGAAGACACGGGCTGCCATTTTCTGCAGGAAAAGTTGTTGCTCTGTCCCCGGTCGTTTGTCAGGTGGGCTGAGAGCTCTCTAGGCTTTCCTTGACCAACAGCACAACGCAGGACAGTGAGGTAGCAAGGAAGAGTGGGACTGCAGCCCAAGGTATTATTTCGAGGATTTCAGTGACTTTTGACCCATCAGCAAGTTGTCCCTGGTTAACTATTCCAAGAAGAAACTGAGCCAGCCCTAAGTCATCATGAAGTCAGCTTTCTCTTGGATTGACACAGCGCCATGGCCTGATAACTAGGGCAGGACACAGAGGATTTTACCTTTGCCTTGCTTGCATACTGACCAGGCCTCTGCCCCATATCTGCCACATCAGGGGCTTATTTTGCAATAGGGAGAGAAGGAAAAGCAATGGATGTCACCACCTGCAGTTGTTCCACCTAGCATCTCCTCCAACGTTTCTCCAGTGAAAACAGGGACGTCCTATCCCATAATAACAACAATAGTAATTTTATTATTTATATCCCACCTGTCTGACTGGGTTGTCCCAGCCACTCTGGGCAGCTTCCAACCTACATAAAAACATATGAAAACAGGGAAGTCCTAAGGAAAAGCGGGACATTCCAGTATCAAATCAGAAACAGGGATGGCTTCTGTAAATCCGGGACTGTCCCTGGAAAACAGAGAAACTTGGAGGATCTGGGATCCCAAGGCTCATGAAGGCAGGATCAGGGATAGAGCCCAGTAGATTTTTGTGTGACATTTTGCAGATGCTGTAGTCTCCAGATCCATGTTCCTAGTCATGGGTGAGAACAACATGGGCAGAAGAAGAAAGATACCTTTGGCCCCTGAAGATGCTGAAGGCCTGGGAAAGGAACCTGAGAGCTTGATGGTAGTGACAGCTGCAGACCCCACACTGAGCAGCCGGACTCCAAATACTTTTTCGAAACAGATAGAGGTGCCGTGTAGGAATGGGCCAGGCCTGCAGAGTGTCATTTGCCAAAACAAGTAAGTCCTGTGTAAATGAGCAGAGTGTATCTTTTGTGAGAGCCAGTGTGGTGTAGTGGTTAAGAGTGGTGGACTCGTAATCTGGTGAACCGGGTTCGCTTCCCTGCTCCTCCACATGTAGCTGCTGGGTGACCTTGGGCCAGTCACACTTCTCTGAAGTCTCTTAGCCCCACTCACCTCACAGAGTGTTTGTTGTGGGGGAGGAAGGGAAAGGAGATTGTGAGCCGCTTTGAGACTCCTTCGGGTAGTGATAAAGTGGGATATCAAAACCAAAGTTGATGGCTTTGGATCTCTGCGTGAGACGACCCCGTTCCAAGAATGGCTTTTTCTCATCCTGGTGATGTTTGGCCACTGTGGGGTGCCAGCACAGCCTCCTCCGGCCCTTTAGCAAAACACAGGCCACAATGGGGTCTTTGTAGAGAGAGAGGGAGGATTGGAAAGCCCCAAGAGTCCTGCTCCACTCAAACACCAGGCAGCTGAGCCAACCCTACAGCACATTTTCTGGAGTGGTTGTGAGAAGGTCATTTGCCAGAGAAGGAGAGGTCGTAGGAGAGCTGCTTGACAAGCCAAAGAGGGAGAGCCATGCTTCATTTCTGCTTGAATCCAAGGCTGCGGCTATGGGAGAAGCACGACCTTCTGGGCCACCCATCTGGCTAGTGTCCTTCTCACTACCGGCCAGTGGCATCCATAGGGGAGCAGTTGGGGCCAGAGGTGCCACTTTGTAAAGGAGAATGGTGTTTGTGTGTGAAATCGCACATGTGAGGTTGCCACCTCCTGACATCATGCCTCCCTCCCTAAGCCTGGCAGAACCTTCCTGGGCTTTGGGAAGGAGGCTCCAGGCTTTAATACTCTAATTTACCAGGAACATTTAGGGGACTAGCCTAGTCCTCCTAGTTCACTGACCACAAGTTACTGGGGCCCACTCATTTGCCAATAATAATAATAATAATAATAATAATAATAATAATAATAATTTATTACTTACTTATACCCTGGCCAGGCCTCCCCAGCTCCCAACAGAATATTAAAAACACAATAAAACACCAAACATTAAAAACTTCCCCAAACAGGGCTGCCTTCAGATGTCTTCTAAAAGTCAGATAGTTGTTTATTTCCTTGACATCTGATGGGAGGGCGTTCCAGAGGGCGGGTGCCACTACTGAGAAGGCCCTCTACCTGTTTCCCTGTAACCTCACAAGGAGGGAACCGCCAGAAGGCCCTCAGAGCTGGACCTCAGAGCTGAATGATGGGGGTGGAGACGCTCCTTCAGGTATACCAACAAAGAGCAGCTTCCTTTCTTATACTAAGGAATAACTATGGGGATAACTGGGTCCTTGCCTGGCAAATTCACCAATGGGACCCTGAATTAGATTTTAACTCTTGGTAGAACCAGGAATTAGAAGGGACTCAGGGCATCATACACCCTAACCCCCGACCCCAAACAACTCACAACAATAATATCCCGGCTGACACAAAGCTAGCCGTTGGAGAGAGCAGATCCCTTTCACGTTCTGTCGAGAGAGATGGTAATCAATTACCCAAACTGGTAATCCATTATCTAGAGCAGGCAATGACTAAACCTGGACTTCCCTCCATCTGCCTGCAATGCTGAATTAAACAATTACAAGCCTATGCCAAGAAGAGTTGGGAGTTTATTTGGGGTCAAGATTAACAGGGGAAATGGTAGATGGGAAAAGAGGATCCATCTAAAGCCCAAGGAAACCTCCCTGTCACCTGCTGGAAATCGGGAGTCCAACAGCGTCTAGCTCCCCATCCCACGCTCCTTTGGCATGTTGGGGGCCACCTGGGACACCAAGCCACGGACCCCCTATATGCTTCCCATATACAGTTGTACCTTGGAAGTCGAACGGAATCCGTTCTGGAAGTCCGTTCGACTTCCAAAACATTCGGAAACCAAAGCAAGGCTTCTAATTGGCTGCAGGGAGCTCCTGCAGCCAATTGGAAGCTGCGGAAGCCGAGTTGGATGTTCAGGTTCCAAAGAACGTTCGCAAACCAGAACACTCACTTCCGGATTTGCGGCATTCGGGAGCCAAAACGTTCAAGAACTAAGCTGTTCTAAAACCAAGGTACGACTGTATATACTGTCATTAACCAGCAGTAGAAAAAGGGTTTTCACAGATTTTCTTAAAATCTTCACTGGCACAAAAGACACATCAGTCCATGTTGCTCATTCCAAAGAAATAATTTTATTTATATATTTTTTCATAAAGTTATTTCATGCCCTTGTCTTGCCAGGATTTCATTATTTCCTTCACACACATAACAAAACCAACACTTTTTCATGTTTGCATTTTGCAAAAGCTCTAACCTCTACAGTGTTTATTAAATGATGCGCGCCAACGAAGCTGCCTTGCTGCTTCTGTGATTTTTCTTTGGCAAGCAGAGCAGGTTCCTGAGAGGCAGCTGCCTTGCTAAGGCTGTAGCAAACATGCGGACGAATATGCCCTGTGGCAGGAAAAGGCATTCGATAAGGCAATGAGCCTCCACCTGGCGTACAAAGATGGCTGCCTCCCATCATCCCAACAAACCCCACTCCCTCCTGGATCCTGAAATTGGGGATCAGAGACATCAGTAGGAGAGGGGGGGCGATGAAAGCAGTCAAAGCTCAGTCAGTAGAGCATGAGACTCTATCACAGGGTCGTGGGTTGGAGTCCTACATTGGGCAAAAGATTCCTGAATTATGGGGGTTGGACCAGACGACCCACATGGTCCCTTTCAACTTTACAATTCTATGATTCCATGGCCCACAAGGCACTTTCTCAGAGAATCCTGAGGCAGGGAGCCATGATTACCACCCCTCCCCCGCCCTGGCCTTGTTTGGAGCAGAGTTTTCCCCCACCCCCAGCCCTATTGGTGCACGGTGGTGGATACCTTACTGTGGTAGGATCTCTGAAGCTACCTCAGTAATACTTGAATCCTATGGGATCCAATGGGAATAGGGACCGTTCTGGCATTTCAGACTATAATGTGCATTGTACAGTCAGTGGCTCATAAGGAAAACAAGCCTTATGAGGAACGGTTGAAGGAGTTGGGTATGTTGGAGCCTGGAAAAGACGAGACTAAGAGGAGATATGATAGCCATCTTCAAATATCTCAAGGGCTGTCACATGGAAGAGGGAACAGCTTGTTTTCTCCTACTGTGGACGGTAGGACTCGGACCAATGGCTTCACGTTGCAAGAAAGGAGATTCCAACTAAACATTCGGAAAAGACTTTCTGACAGACTTCCGCGAGAGGTGGTGGACTCTCCTTCCTTGGAGGTTTTCCGGCAGAGGTTGGATGGCCATCTGTCATGGATCCTTTAGCTGAGATCCTTGCATTGCAGGCGGGTTGGACTAAATGGCCGCTGTGATTTCTTGCAACTCCTACCATTCTGTGATTCTAGCTATATGATTGTCCTGACATGGGACTTTTTGAATGAAAATGTTGCAGCCTTTGAAAGGTGGGACAAGGTTTTAATGCTTGCTGGGAAACAGCAGAAGGAGCAGTAAAAGAGCGAGAGCCAAGGGAGGCAGGGACAAGAAACACTGGCAGCATGACCATCCCAGAAGAAGCTGGAGAAAGAGAGAGACCATGTTGTCACCACCATGGCAGCTAAAAGAGGGACACCTCCACTCAGTCTGCAGGCTTTAGCCAGTCTTTAAAGCGCATCGTCGAGAAAACTAACAGCTACAGAGATACATCACGGTTCTTCTGGCTATTGGCAGTGCAATTGTGGGACTGACACCGAAATCAAAAGTCTAGGAATCATCAAAGGTCATTTTGTACCATAAAATAGTGAAAAGGTTGGGTGGCTCGTATATAAAAACCCAACAAATCTAGCGACGAAGTTAAAGGAAATCCAAAGGCAGAGAGGCACAAGCAAGAGTTATTTGAGGTAGTTACTGCTCTGCGTGAAGGAAGGAGGAGAAATTATTCCGGGTGGCCACACGGGAGCACTACAGGCACGGCTACTGCTCAGAGAACTTGCAAGGAGCTCAGCAAAGCAGCAGTAACACACTGTTAAAGCAAGATATGCCTGTCCAACCAGCAGGAGGATCCAGCCCACATAACACCTACAGGGCACAACAGGGAAATTTCTAGAAAGAGAAAAAAGCATCCTTACCCCCCAGTCCCTTGGCACAGCTCAGGGGGTGGGGGGGACACTGGCAGAATAGCTCAAGCAAACTTAAAGGAGGAAAATCTACCACAATCGCTTAATAAAAAAAGAATCCAGTGCACGATGGAAGTTCTTTCAAGGTTCCGTATTAATTCACTTTTTAAACTCTGAGTGAAGTAGCCAGGACTTTTCTCAGAAGGATCTCTAGCAGGGATTTGCGGAATATTTGCTATATTTTAACACACTTTCTGTCAAAAAAATATGCCCCAGGCACGTTAATACATGTTAAAGAGGCAGCCCATTTGTAGATCGGGGTGGGGTTGGGATTGTGGGTTTCTCCTAAAAGAAACTTCTCAATACATTTGGCTATCAATACATCTGGGCATCGATTAAAGCGCAGGTGGGTTTTCCCTCCTCGTGGATCAATTTCACGTTTAGAAAACGGTCCCCAAAGCAACACCCTGGAATAGCGCATTGCTCCCTCTAACTGACCAAGCCTGGCAGCTGATGGTCAGAAATGACATTTTAGGGTTCAAATTCCAGACTCTGGGCATTATTTCTTATACAATGTATAAGAAATTCTAAAACTGAAAACCCACTAAAAATCTTGGGAGTGGGCATTTCCGTACAGGACTTTTAACGCGCAAATCAGTATTTGAGAAACAGAAAATGTTCCATCCCACCTCCCCACTCTAAACTCGCTTCAGCTGCAATTTTTACCCCGTACTGGGAATTTGGGGGTGCAGGTGTGTGTGTGTGTGGAGGGATAGATCTGCCTGGTGGCACAAAACCAACTTTCTCTCCCCGTGTCCCTGTCGTTCTCCTCCATCCTTCGGGGGCTACAACATGGTGGACTTTGTTTCCTCGGAAAGACTCTTGGACTCCTCATGAGCCTGCGCTTTGAAGTTCCGTTTGTTGAATTCCTCAGAGATTTCCAGAAAGGATTTCCCTTTGGTCTCGGGGAGGAAGAAAGCGACATAGAGGGCAGCAGAGACGCAGACGGTGAAGAAGGGGACATAGCAGTAATGGCCAAGGCCTTCCTGAGGGGAGAGAGAAGGAGAGGCCTTCAGTTTGTCCGTGATGCACACAAAGCGAGCCCCATAATCAAACTGTTCTGAACAGTCCCCTCTGGTGCTGCTCAGTTTGCTCTGGGACTCCCTCCTACCCAAAGTGTCTGCAACGGTAGCTGCTTAAGGATTTGCATTTGCGGTCCTGATGGTCACCAACTTGGTAAAGGTAAAGGGACCCCTGATCATTATGTCCAGTCGTGGCCGACTCTGGGGTTGCGGCGCTCATCTCGCTTTATTGGCCGAGGGAGCCGGCGTACAACTTCCGGGTCATGGGGCTGGCAGGACTAAGCCGCTTCTGGCGAACCAGAGTAGCACACGGAAACGCCGTTTACCTTCCTGCCGGAGCAGTACCTATTTATCTACTTGCACTTTGATGTGCTTTCGAACTGCTAGGTTGGCAGGAGCAGGGACTGAGCAATGGGAGCTCACCCCGTCATGGGGATTCGAAACGCCGACCTTCTGATCGGCAAGTCCTAGGCTCTGTGGTTTAACCCACAGCACCGCCCACGTCCCTGGCCACCAACTTAGACTGCTTCAAAAGAGGATTAGAGTTAGACCAGGCACCCCCAACCTGCGGCCCTCCAGATGTTTTGGCCTACAACTCCCATGATCCCTAGCTAACAGGACCAGTGGTCAGGGATGATGGGAATTGTAGTACAAAATATCTGGAGGGCTGAAGGTTGGGGATGCCTGAGTTAGACAGTCCTTTTTGTTGGGGATAATTCAGACTGAAATTCCCAGGTGTCAGAAAAGTTGATTTATGTGTGCCACTACTGCGGCCCATGTTTTGTTAGCCCCCAAATGGAAAACGAGCAAGGTCCCAATTAAAGAAAAATGGCAACTTAAGCTGATGGAATATGTGCAGCTTGCAGACTTAACATATAGAAATTGTGCACACCTTAAAAAGTTGGCAGCATTAAGATAAATTCAACAGTGTATGTATGCAACAACAGCAGCAAGAATACTCATTGCAAAGTATTGGAAGACACAAGAACTTCCCACGCTGGAGGAATGGCAGATGAAACTTATGGACTATATGGAATTGGCTGAAATGACTGGTAGAATCCGTGACCAGGGAGAAGAGTCGATGGAGGAAGATTGGAAGAAATTTAAAGACTATCTTCAGAAACACTGCAAAATTAAGGAATGTTAGAGTGATGTTGGACTGAAAACAAGCGGTTTCCAGCTGTACAGGTTAAAGTTAATGATAGACTAAGATTAAAGATTAAGATTAAGGATGTTTAAAGAAATGGAAATCTGATATTAAGAGGGAAAATTTTAACGTTATATGATACTAAGACCAAAGATTAGGTTTAAAGAAGTTGAAGTTAGATATTTTAATATTTTATTAAACTAAAGATTGGGATTAAAAAAGTGGAAAAGAAACTGCTGGACAAACAATTCGGATTGGAATACAAAAGAGGGAGGTATGAGGAAGTCCAGAAAATAAGTAACTTAAAAATGGAAATGGAAAAGAGATATTGTTTTTAATTGTTATGTTTTTTGTGTTTTTTTTATGGTTGAATTTTGTTTTGTTTTTTGTGTGTGTTGTTATATGTATTGCGTATGTTTTTCTTTTCTTTCTTTGTTGTTTAAAACCTTAATAAAAATTATTTAAAAAAAAAACAACAACAACAGTGTAAATAGGTTTTGATGGATGCAATAATGGAATACTGAATGGTTTAGTTTTTGTAAAATATGCAGGGATTTATAATATGCAAAATGAAAGAGAAGAAGGGAAATCATTGATATTTTAAGGATGCTTAAATGAGTATTTTAAATTGTAAAAACAGAAAATTTAATTACCGTATTTTTTGCTCTATAAGTCTCACTTTTTCCCTCCTAAAAAGTAAGGGGAAATGTGTGTGTGTCTTATGGAGCGAATGCATGCTGCGCAGCTATCCCAGAAGCCAGAACAGCAAGAGGGATTGCTGCTTTCACTGCGCAGCGATCCCTCTTGCTGTTCTGGCTTCTGAGATTCAGAATATATTTTCTTGTTTTCCTCCTCCAAAAACTAGGTGCGTCTTGTGGTCTGGTGAGTCTTATAGAGCGAAAAATATGGTGTGTGTGTGTATATATATATATATATATATATATATGCGCATACTAAAAAAAAATGCTTTGACAAATTCATGGAGGAGGAGGCTGTCAAATCCGCTTAGTAGGATTGCAATGCAAATCGAAATTGGACAGAAAAGAGGAGCGGTGGCTTCAAATGGGTCCCTCCCACTTCCTATCCTGTCCCAACAGCATTGACCCATGGTTCAACCCAGCATGGCAGTCGGACGGACAGAGTTTGCTTACCACAAGGAAAGGAAACACCATGCCCACCAGGAACAAGTTGGCCCACAGCAGAGAACCGCAGATCATGCAGGCAGCTGGGCGAGACACCTGGTCGAAAATCTCCATGGGCATAATCACCGTCACGCCGGCTAGGCAAATCAAACATATTTTTCATCACTTTCTCTCTGGGGCTGCAAGGGTCAAGATGCACTAGCATCTATCCAGATTGTGCGGGTGTGTTAATGGCGAGAGGCTGTAAAGGAAGCTTCCTCAAACTCGGCCCTCCAGATGTTTTGGGACTACAACTCCCATCATCCCTAGCTAGCAGGACCAGTGGTCAGGGATGATGGGAATTGTAGTCTCAAAACATCTGGAGGGCTGAGTTTGAGGAAGCCTGCTTTAAAGAAATAAATATTCACCGGGAGGGTGTTGAGCACAACAGAGTGGAGGGAAATGAGGCTCCTCCAATATCACTTGCTCAATTTCTGCTGCACCCGGCTTCTCTTTGGAATGTCTCCATAGCAACTGCTTTGGGCATCAAGTTGAGAATCTCCATCGGCAAGCATCTAGTCCTCATGGATGCCAAGGCTTCCAAACAAAACACCCACGTCGTGTTGACGTGCGTGCCTGCTCTTGTTTCAGGTTGGACGTGAGCGCCCCAATGCACAGCTTTCCAGGGAGGGAGTCCGCGCCGTTCCGACTCACCTGGCCCAATTCCAAAACTCAGGATGTAGGCAAAGATGCAGGACATGCTCAGGTAAGGCATCCAGCTGTATTGGTCCTGCAAATCCAAGGAGGCAAAGGCAAAGGGGTTAGTGGGAAACTGTGTGGGAAACTGCAGTCAAAATCCAACAGTGCATATTCTTGCTAGTTCATAAGTTTAGGAGCAAATGACCACAGAACTGTATTGCTGATAGGCGAAGACTCAGCCCATAGAGATGTAATTGGTAGAGGGGGTTCTGTGTGATGTCATTTCCACTCCTCTCCTGGGAGGGCTATGTAATTTCCTGTTCCTCTCCCACCCTCTCTCTTTCTTTGACAAGTCATGCCTGAGACTGTTTCTACTGTGAATTTAAGTATTTTACCTGCACAATTTTATTGCCGCTGTGGCTGAGAACCAGTGCAAAGACTATGCGTAAGTAAATCCTATTTTAAGCTTACTTCCACAGTCGGTTGTCTGATTTCTTTGTTAAGGGGGGCAAATGAGAAGGGGGAGCAAGCTCGCTTCATTGCTGGACGTAATTAAAAAGAGGCTTCACAGTCTATTCTGACATGCCTCAATTTTTCTCCCACGTGTGGAACTTTTTATTATTAACATTTTATTTAAATCATTTCAGTCACAGGAAATATAGTGATGAAAGAGAAGGAAAGAGAAAGAAAGTGGGGGAAAACACACATTAATGCCTAAGGATGGAACTTCAAACTCTGTTCAACAGACACACATGAGCAGCTGGAGGGATAAATTGCTATTAATATATCCTCTCCTACCCATTAAAGGTAAGGGACGCGGGCGGTGCTGTGGGTTAAACCACAAAGCCTAGGACTTGCCGATCAGAAGGTTGGCGGTTCGAATCCCTGCGACAGGGTGAGCTCCCGTTGCTCGGTCCCAGCTCCTGCCAACCTAGCAGTTTGAAAGCACGTCAAGTGCAAGTAGATAAATAGGTACCACTCCAGCGGGAAGGTAAACAGTGTTTCCGTGTGCTGCTCTGGTTCGCCAGAAGCGGCTTAGTCATGCTGGCCACATGACCCGGAAGCTGTATGCCAGCTCCCTTGGCCAACAAAGCGAGATGAGCGCCGCAACCCCAGAGTTGGCCACGACTGGACCTAATGGTCAGGGGTTCCTTTACCTTTACCCATTAAAACCCATTCCACAGAGTCGGACTCGTATTTGGGTCCTGCTCAGCCCCTCCTTCAAGAGCTCAGTTACCTGCAGGGACAGGGCCACCATGAAGACAATGGCCCACACAGACATGAGACTGTATCCGCCCATCACCAGCTTCCTTCGTCCGACATGCTCAATGATCAGATTCTGGAGCAAAGCAACACAGGGAAGTTATCGCCAGGACTCTCACGCTAAGCCTGCCCCAAAGCAACAGGGAGTTGGTCTCACGGCAGGTCTAATTATTATTTGCATTATTATTATCGAGTTCATATACCTGGAGGTCTCAGGGCGGTTCACAGAAAAGATCACAACATACATAATCAGAATAAAAACAACAACCCAATAACACCCCTCCCCAGAAAAGAGCCACATTTTAAAAGGGTATAGGATGTCAAACAGACATCCTAAAGGTGTGTAATGAAGGCGCCAGGCGAACTTCCCTGGGGAGAGCATTCCACAGGTGGGGAGCCACTGCAGAGAAGGCCCCGTTCTCGTGTTGCCACCCTCCGGACCTCTCAAGGAGGCACACGAAGGAGGGCCTCAGGAGATTATCTCAGGGTCTGGGTAGGTTCATATGGAAAGAGGCAGTCCTTAAGGTATTGCGGCCCTGAGCCGTTTAAGGCTTTATAGGTCAAAACCAGCACTTTGAATTGGGCCCAGAAACTAATTGGTAGCCAGTGCAGTTGGACCAGGATCAGACTCAAATCCTGGTTAACACTCTTCATTGTAAAAAATAAAAGGAGGGAGGGGAGACCAGGCCATTTGATGGTTCTGCAGGCAGACACCGCACCCCCCCACAGCACCCCTGCTTTCTGCTAGCAGGGTGGATTCAGAGTTCTTCCCTTTGTCTGTCCTGAGTTTCACAACTAGCTATGCCCAAGAGAGTCACATTATCTCTCCCTCTTTCCATTTCCCCCCATATCACGTGAAACTCGCGCAGTTCCATCCACTTCTCGGCCTTGTCTCTAAAAAGTGCTGCAACCTTTTATCGCTCCACCCCCTTCATCCCCCTGGCTGCCCTTTTCAGAACATTTCCCAGCTCAACAGTACCCATTTTGAGGTGAGGCGAACAGAACTGGGCGTGAGAGAGAAGGCAGACTCCCACCCCCGTATGGAAGCTCCACCTCCCCCAGAAATGGCTCCCCACTTCACCGCTCAGAGACACCCCCCCACACACACACAAAGTGAAAGGTCCAAGCGCTCTCCGTCACTGTCTATCGGACAAACCAGTATTTTTTTGGGGGGGAGGGGAGCAGCATCAGGAAGCGAGTTGCTGCCGAAGGGCAGCCGAGATTCTCACACAAGTCATGGCGGTGATCAGCTCGCAGCTGCCCGTGCCGATTATGCTGTACTGGATCTTGTCGTAAGGGATCCCGGCCTCTTGGAAAACGGTCGAGGCATAGGAGTACATCTGGGGGACACAAAGGGAGATGGAGGAAGGATGAATGGAGAACGGCAGGGCTCTGGTTTCACTGCAGACACATACAGGAAAGAGAAGCAGAACTCAGGAGGGGAAGAAGGGATAGTGGGTGGTGGTATGGGTAAGCATATTTTTGCAAGCACCTCTCCAAAGAGCACCTCCTGTTCTTAAAAAGGTAAAGGGACGCCTGACCATTAGGTCCAGTCGTGACCGACTCTGGGGTTGCAGCGCTCATCTCGCTTTATTGGCCGAGGGAGCCGGCGTACAGCTTCCGGGTCATGTGGCCAGCATGACTAAGCCGCTTCTGGCGAACCAGAGCAACGCACGGAAATGCCATTTACCTTCCTGCCTATTTATCTACTTGCACTTTTATGTGCTTTTGAACTGCTTGGTTGGCAGGAGCAGGGACCGAGCAACGGGAGCTCACCCTGTCGCGGGGATTTGAACCACCGACCTTCTGATCGGCAAGTCCTAGGCTCTGTGGTTTAACCCACAGCGCCACCCGCGTTCTCTCCTGTTCATACACAACCCCCAGACCTGTGCTGTGTGGGTCAAGGATGGCCAAATCCCCCCAGAGTCCAGCCTGGCTCATAACGCCTTTGACAAGCCCACCCGAAGGGTCTCTCTCTTCTTCTGGAGCCTGGCACTTTTGGGTAGCTCCTGCCTGGCCCGGCCAAAGACCTGAACTGGCACCCCCCCATCAGTGGCATAGCGTAGGTTGCTAGTGCCCGGGGCCACATGGAGGGAAACAGGTGGAGTACACATGCACATTCAGGTGTTTGCGGCGCCCAGGAGTTCTCAGTTGCAGAGATGAGTTGTTCCATTGTCTGGAGAGGTAACTTCCTGGTTGAAATGTTGCACCCCTAACAATTTTGCACCCGGGGCAACCGCCTCTGTGGCCTCCCCATGCTACGCCACTGCCCCCAACCCCACCAATACTCAAGCTGATTCCCCCCTGCCTTCTCCTCCCTGTCCCCAGTCACTCACAGAGTCGTTGCCACAGAGCTGCATGGCGCTGCTGAGGAAGACGATGGTGATGAGCTGCCACCTCACGGCCGGGTCCCTGAAGAGCTCCCAGGGGGCCTTGGCTGTCACCCCTCGGAGTGCCGCCTGCTCTGCCAGCAGCTCCTTCATCTCCCCGCCCAGGTCGTCGCTGCCCCGCAGCTTCTGCAAAGCTGGAAGAGGCAAGAGGGGCAACATAAGGGCTGCAAGCATGAAGATGGAGCGGTCAAACTCCAGGAGATGCTCCGAGTTTTATTAGGGATTCCAAACATACTCTGAGCACCTGTTGAGCTCCTGGAGCTTGGGGTGAGCTTGAAAGCAAATTAGGAAGGCAGCCCACAAACGGCATGTGATAGCAGGGGTACGGGAAACAGATCAAGCTGCTCTTGTTGTGAATCTACTTTCTCCTATGGGAGGAACCATGCACCATCCCCTATGGATCTTCCCTTAAACAGGGTTTCCCAAACTTGGGTCTCCAGCTGTTTTTGGACTACAACTCCCATCATCCCTAGCTAGCAGGACAAGTGGTCATGGATGATGGGATTTGTAGTCCAAAATTAGATGGAGACCCAAGTTTGGGAAATCTTGCCTTAAACATACACATGAGTAGCGATTATTTATACAGGGTGAAGCCTGCCCTTTTGGATCAAGACCAGGCCAGACTGGAACTCAGAGACTTTAGAATGGAAGCAACCAAGGAACTCGATGCAACAGGAGAATCAGAAGGCAGTTTTGTCCTGGGCTGGGTTTTTTTAAAAAAGCAAGGGGAAGCACTGAGCACACCCACCACAGATGCAAGATTCCTCATCTCCTCGGTCGATCAATAGGTACCGGGGGCTTTCCGGGGCCCAGGGCAGCAAGACCAGCTGGATCAGAGCAGGCACTGCATTGCTGGCCAGGAGGAGAGGCCAGCATTCCTCCGCTCCTAAAATTTCTCTGCATTAAAAATACAGAATTGTGTGAGCAGAACCTTTCTGAGCCAGCAGTTTGGGCCGAGCCGAGCCGAATGTACATATTTACTTTTTCTTTTTACGTCTGTTTGTCACTTTTCGCACACAGAACAGTGGCCCCAAAGCAACTTAACGCATTAAAACCCCATTTAAAGAAATAATAAAATGCAACAGCTGCAGCTCAGAGGAAGAAGGCCCCGATTTCAATCCCGAATGGCATGTCCAGGTAGGGTTTGAGAGAGACACTCTGCCTGAAACCCTGGAAAGCTGCTACCAGTCCGTGTAGACAATGCTAGATGGAGCAAGGGTCAGACTCAGCAGAAAGCAGCCCCGCATAATCCTAATACTAGCCCCACCCCAGCTTCTTTCTCTGTGCCCCAGGAAGGGCTTAATGTAGCTACTCCGCATCCAATTGCCATTCTGGGCAAAGATGCTACAGATCATTATGAGACCAAGTCGCCGGGATTGCTGTGCTTGGAGTACCCTTTGCTGCAAGAGATGCAGAGGTTTGCTGTGGCCTTGCCGATTTCTTTCTTCTTTTTTTTAGGGGGGTGGAAAGAGGATGGTACCCCCCAACAGCTTCCCCAGGATGCCCCTTTCAGCCTTACCTCAATCCAACCACCTGTCCCATCACCAACCCCAGGGCCGTGAAGGATGCAGACGTCAGGGCCACGGCTCCACGGAGCTCCTTGGGGGCGCTTTCTCCCAGGTACATGGGCTGGATGTTCATGCTCACGCCTGGCCAGGAGGAGAGACAAACAAGGATCAGGAATGTGGCAGTGCTCCAATCTATAGTGGTTCGTCCTTCCCCCCCACGCACACACAGAGAGAGACTCCAGGCCGGCTGGGACTGGTCAGATGACATTTATTTATACCCCAGCCTGCAGAAACAACAGTAACTTTCTCCAAGTTCTAACCTTTGCCCAAACTCGCTTGTCATCTCCTCCTCCTCCCCACCAGCCTCGCATCTCGTCCTAATGTTTCCCAGCTCGTGCCCCCAAACTTTCAACTTTGTTTATTGCTCTAGGAATGTTCAAAGGTGAGGGAGGCACTTGCCTCCCAGCCCCCCGCCCCCGCTTGCTTTCCTTAGGTAAAGGTAAAGGGACCCCTGACCCCTCGACCAGTTGTGGCCGACTCTGGAGTTGCGGCGCTCATCTTGCTTTATTGGCCGAGGGAGCCGGCGTACAGCTTGCGGGTCATGTGGCCAGCATGACTAAGTTGCTTCTGGAGAACCAGAGCAGTGCACGGAAACGCCGTTTACCTTCCCACCGGAGTGGTACCTATTTATCTACTTGCACTTTGACGTGCTTTCGAACTGCTAGGTTGGCAGGAGCAGGGACCAAGCAACGGGAGCTCACCCTGTTGTGGGGATTCGAACCGCCGACCTTCTGATTGGCAAGTCCTAGGCTCTGTGGTTTAAAAGAGTTTGGATTTGATATCCCGCTTTATCACTACCCGAAGGAGTCTCAAAGCGGCTCACATTCTCCTTTCCCTTCCTCCCCCACAACAAACACTCTGTGAGGTGAGTGGGGCTGAGAGACTTCAGAGAAGTGTGACTAGCCCAAGGTCACCCAGCAGCTGCATGTGGAGCATGTGGAGGAGCGGACGCGAACCCGGTTCCCCAGATTACGAGACTACCGCTCTTAACCCCTTGCTTTCCTTACATTCAGTCAATTATCATGCCCCTTCTGTCGTCTCTTCTCCAGGCTAAACATAACCAACTCCTTCCACCGTTTCTCATAAGGCCTGGTTTCCAGACCCTTGATCATCTTGGTCACCCCTTGGCTACACACCTTCCCACTTGTCAATACCCTTCTTAAATGGTGGTGCCCAGAACTGGACACGGTACTCCAGGTGTGGTCTGACCATGGCAGAATAGAGCACGACTATTACTTCCCTTGATCTGCACACTATACTTCTGTTGATGCAGCCTAGAATAGCATTTGCTTTTTTTCCTGCTGCATCACACTTTTGACTCACGTTAAGCTGGTGGTCTACTAAGACCCTTAAATCGTGCACAGCTGTGAAGCCAGTTGTCCCCCATCCTATACTTGTGCCTCTGATGATTCCTTCCTAAGTGTAGAATTTTATATTGGTCCCTATTTAAATTAATTTTGTTAGTTTTGGCCCAGTTCCCCAATCTGTTTTCAGGGAATATCGAGTCCCAATTCTGTCTTCTGCGGCATTAGCTACCCCTCTCAGTTTGGTGCCGTCTGCAAATTTGATAAGCACCCTCTCCATTCCTTAATCCAAGTCATTTATTAAGATGTTGAAAAATGCCAGGCCTAGGACAGAACCCTGAAGCACCCCAGTTGGCCCTGTTTCTCGGGGTGACAAAGAACTGGCAGAGAAAGATCTGCTGACATGGATCCTTTGACTGAAGACTTAAAGGCTGCCTGGTTATCCTTCCATTGGTTAGACGCTTGCCAGATTCACACACACTCCCCATTTTCAGTGGTGTGGCCTGCAGGGAACCTTGAACTCGCCCGCTCCTCCTTACCTACCAGAATTGATTCCTGCAAGAAATCTGCTCAGCAAGATCATTTCAAAGGATTTGGCCATTTGGCTGAATCCCACCAACACTGCAGCCAAGACCACAAACAAGTTGTTCAGCAGCAAAGATTTCTTCCTTTGGAGAAAGAAAGAGGGATAAAAGGTGAAATATACTCGGAGTCGAGAGTAGATTTCATGCTCTTTATTCAGCTCATAGTGGTGAGGGAGGAATGGAAGTTCCTCCAGAATGTCTGCCTTTTATACATTATTTACACAATGGGCCCCATGTGATTGGCTAATTCCGGGATTCTCCTGTAGGCCAATCAGGTTGCGGATTCACTTCCACCTGGAGCTGGATTGGGTGGCTCCTGTGGACTAACCAGACTGCTGCATTCTGGAGCCTATTGTTCTAGGACCAATCAGACTGCTGCATTCTGAATCCTATTGTTCTAGGACCAATCAGACTGCTGCATTCTGGATCCTATTGTTCTAGGACCAATCAGACTGCTGCCTTTTGGATCCTATTCAACTCAGTACATAACAAAAGGACTCAGGAGCCCAGTTCAGGCATAATGAGGATGCACATCACACCCTTGCGCTTCCCCCCCTCATGCGCCGGTTTTGGCACAGTGACTTTCCTTGGTCAACACTAAGTTCCAACCTCCATGTGACACCCCCTGCCTTGGCCAACCCTAACAGTCCCCTCTCCCTTCAGGATCAGTGCCAAGGCCCAAGGGAGCGGCTCCTGGCCCTGCCCTTCCCTGGCTCATAAAGCCAGCTGCACCCGCCTGCCCCCCCCCCCCCCGCCAGCAGGAGGGAAAGCTGCCTGGAACGCCCAGTTCTTCCCAGGGAGATGAATGTCAGTCTTGGCAGGAGGAGATAATGCGGGTGAGAATGGTTCTTGGACTTTGGGTGAACTCCACAGCTATCATCCAAAGCAAGCAGAGAAAGCCTCAGTGAGTGGGCTGTACTGGGACCAGCACCCAGATCTCTCACCTGGGCTTTGCCAATACTCCCCCCCAAAAAACAACCACCCAGGTCACTTGGAATCAGGTTAGGTTGATTGGAACAGGATTTATTTCAGTTTAGTAACTGGTTTAATTACATGTAACTGATAAATTGAGGCACTGAGATGCTGGCAGTAAAAAGTTCGACGTCTAAAACGCAGGCTGCGTGAGTTCTGCAATAGCCACCCCCGGCCCTCCACCAGTGCTGAATTTAAGTATAAGCTAAACAATCTATAGCCAAGGGTCCTACTCTCTTGGATGCCTCCAAAAAATTTAAAGGAAAAAAAGCAAAACCTGGATGTACATTTCCAAAATTCTTAATTGTATTTCAGTTCAACAATTACCGTATTTTTTGCTCTATAAGACTCACTTTTTCCCTCCTAAAAAGTAAGGGGAAATGTGTGTGCATCTTATGGAGCGAATGCAGGCTGCACAGCTATCCCAGAAGCCAGAACAGCAAGAGGGGTTGCTGCTTTCACTGTGCAGCGATTCCTCTTGCTGTTCTGGCTTCTGAGATTCAGAATATTTTTTTTTCTTGTTTTCCTCCTCCAAAAACTTGGTGCGTCTTGTGGTCTGTTGCATCTTATAGAGCGAAAAATACGGTACTTTGTAATTACAGAGAGGAGCTGAGGGAAGTCTTTGGGGGAGAGGAGGGAGGGTTTGAGGGAGGTGGGGGAAAAGGGGAGAAAATAATGACTATGACATGTTTTGATATGTTGTTATGTTGAAATTGCTAATAAAAACATTTTAAAAAATTACTTTGATAAAAAACATATTTTGTTATGTGCAAATGGCTTTGGATACCAATTAGGTCCATAAATGACTTTATAGCATATATTCAACACAAAAACCAGCGACCATTTGTTGTTGACAAAGGACAGCTGGACATATAAAGGGCCCCATTACCTTCAGTAGCTTAGGGCCTCATCAGACCTAAATCCGGCCCTGCCCTCCACCAACAGACTGACACAGGGCCGGATCCCCCATGGGGTGTCAGCAGCTGAAAATGGTTGTGAGTCTTAGCCCACCGAAGCAGAAATCTACAAGGCGCCTCCTCACCTTCCCAGCTTAATGGCCATGGGGCCTGCGAGGAGGGCTCCCACGAGCCCCCCCAAAGGATAGATGGAGACCACAGAGGACCAGATCAGGGTGATCATCTTCCCCTCCAGAGGGCTGCCCGTCCGCTCCAGCCACGTCTCATTTGTGAAGCTCTGGATGTACTGAAACGTGAAAAGGCTGAAGTCACGTTGGGAGAAAACAGACAACGGTCTTTCTGCAGGTGCTGCATACGACATATCATTTTCCCAGGACCTAATGTGGTGAGTATTGGATGGGGAGGAGAGACCTCCAGGTTCAAACCCCACTCATGGTCACCTTGCACCAGTCGCTCTCGCTGAGCCTGGTCTACCTCGCAAGGCTGTCATTGTGGCAAAATCAGGGTGGGGAGCCACATATGCCGCCCCAAGCACCTTAGAGGAAAGTGAGGATGCAGACATGGCCAACACGCTGCAAAATACTCGGGAGGGGAGGTGTACAAAACGCACAAGAGCAAAGGAGCCTTCACGAAAAATTACATTCACCCCTAAGGAAAGAAACCTCTCTCTGTCCGGCTTCACTCCTGCGCTTGGGTTGATGGCACCGAAAGTAAAAATGCTGAGAGAGGGGGCCAGCCCCACTTGCCGCCTCAGTCTGTGAACCCATGGCAAGTTAACAGGATCACAGGGCAAGTACAGTGGTACCTTGGTTCTCAAACGGCTTGGTTCTCAAACGTCGAAAACCCGGAAGTAAGTGCTCCGGTTTTCGAACCTTTTTCAGAAGCCGAATGTCCAATGCAGCTGTCAGCTATTGTTTCTGGGGCGCCTGCACCAATCAGAAGCTGTGCCTTGGTTTTCGAACATTTCGGAAGTCAAACGGACTTCTGGAACGGATTAGGTTTGGCGCGTTTGTTTTTGCTACTTATTTTGCGTTTTTGTTTTTGAGGCTTTTTCGGTTAATTTGTTTTTGTGAATGTGTGGAACCCAGTTCAGCTACTGATTGATTGATTGTGTGACTGAGGAAATGGATATGAGCCCCCCATCCAAACAATGACTATCATCAGTGCAGGTAAGAAAAAAAAATAGTTTTAATTTTTACCATCTACAATGCTGTCTTATTTATTTTTATAGTACAGTACATTGGTTATTGCTTTTATTTTCTGGATCAATGGTCTTGTTAGATAGTAAAATGCATGTTAAATTGCTGTTTGAGGGGTTGTTTTTAGAAGTCAAGAACAAATTAATCCATTTTGCATTGCTTTCTATGGGAAAGCGCGCCTTGGTTTTGGAAAGCTTTGGTTTTGGAATGGACTTCCAGAAGGGATTAAGCTTGAGAACCAAGGTACCACTGTAAATATAACCCCAGGAAACAAAAATGCTTCATTGACAGACATGATGACCCTATAACCCTCTAAACAGAGATGGCCTGCTGTCTGCTAACAGTCGGGGAAACTGGGATAAGTGTTGTCAGGTAAGGACTTACTGTGGTTGGGGCATTGATGATGGTGAGGTTGTATCCATACTGGAATGTGCCCCCAATTCCAGCAGCACAGACCGTCAGGATCAAGACCCGGCCTTGAAGCTGAGGGAAGACCCAGAAACATTCAGAAAATAAGGATGTTTCCGTATTTATTTGGTTTTCAACATACAATAACATTCTGCATGCAACACACAACTGAGGAGCACCAAATAGAACAATATAAATTTCCTAATACTGTATAGCAATGATTTACAAAACAAGACATTTCATATTAAGTGCCCAGTCACTGAAAGTCACCTATGCAACACAGTGGTTCATCTTAGAACATGGTTGTGCTAAGACTCCACTGGCAACAATTACTTCCAGGGTACCGCCCAAAAGAAAAAAAAGGAAATTGATTGACAGTGAGGCAAACGCACTGAACTGAAGCAGCTTAAGATATCTGGGGTGATTGAAAGAATATAATATCAAGGGCAGATTTTCCTTTAATCCTTTATTTTTAATGAGGAATTTAAGATTGTAGGTCAAGTGGCTAATCGGGTAGGATAAGAACGTGATTATACTTTATAAAACCCTGAATGAAGTTTTTGAAATGGGTCCAATCCAACGACAGCCAAAAAGTTAAAGAGAAGGAAACATGAGAAGGAATAAAAATCATGGGCGTAGCCGTACACCCCGACTCCCCAAATCAAGTAAATAAATAAAAATACTTAACCAAAAGTAGAAATTGTAGAAAGATTTTGACAGATTTTTCTGAGCACTTGGGGTCAAAAGAAAGTAACTTTAAACAACTGTTGCTGAGAGATTTCATTCCGAATCTGCTAGACAGAGCCAAGCATAGGATGGGTGGGTATCCTGCCTCCTCCCCAACATAAATCCTGGCTACGCCCATGATAACAATGGAAGGCACATCAATGGCTTTTGAAGAACAAATATGACTGTCTTTGGGATACTGTGTCATAGAATCACAGAACTGTAGATTTGAGAAAGGAATGTAAGCTCTTTTTATATGCAATAACAGCAGCAAGAATATTATTGTCCCAAAAATGGAAGCAAGAAGAGTTACCGTCGATTGAAGAATGGAGGATGAAGTTAATGGACTACGCAGAATTAGATAAACTAACAGGAAGGATTTGAAACTGGCGAGACCAGAAATTCACGGAAGACTGGAGTAAATTTACGGACTATTTGAAAAGTAATTGTGAAGAACAGACGGCGTTTGTAGGGTTGCAAGAAGTTTTGTGAGGAGTATTATTGGAAGTATTGTAAAAATGGAGAAGGGGGAGGATGATTTGTTAAGAGATGGAAAGGCAATATAAAGTTAAGAAATGCATAAAGGTAAAGGTACCCCTGCCCGTACGGGCCAGTTGTGTCCGACTCTAGGGTTGCGTGCTCATCTCGCTCTAGAGGCCGTGAGCCGGCGCCATCCGAAGACACTTCCGGGTCACGTGGCCAGCGTGACGAAGCTGCTCTGGCGAGCCTGCACCAGCGCAGCGCACGGAAACGCCGTTACCTTCCCGCTATAAAGCCGTCCCTATTTATCTACTTGCACTTTAAGGGTGCTTTCGAACTGCTAGGTGGGCAGGAGCTGGGACCGAACCCCGTCGCAGGGATTCGAACCGCCGACCATACGATCGGCAAGTCCTAGGCACTGAGGTTTTACCCACAGCGCCACCTGTGTCCCTAGAATTGAAATGCATAAGAAGTGGTTAAAACGGTGGATCATCAGAGGTGCTGATGGAAGTCCAAAAAGATTGTATAAGTGATAAGTTTTGTGGTACATTTTATAATTTATATGTTAAAATTAATAAAAATATTTTATATATATATATATATATATATATATATATATATATATAAAAGAAGAACTGTAGATTTGGAATGGACCCAAAGGGCCTTCTAGCCACAGATATTGTGGAGTAGGAAAAGGTTGACCAGAATGATTGAGGCGTTGGAGCAACTCCCCTATGAAAAGGGTTGTAGCGTTTGTAGCTTTTCAGTTCAGAGAAAAGTAAGAGGCGACATGATAGGAATTTAAAATTATGCCTGACTTGGAGAAAGCGGATAGAGAAAAGTCTTTCTCCTACTGCGGCCTGTGTTCTGTTAGCCCCATAATGGAAAACAAGCGAGGTCCCAACCAAAGAAGAATGGCAACTTAAGCTGATGGAATAGGTGCAGCTTGCAGACTTAACATATAGAATAAGAGAACAAGAAGAACATACGTTTGGAGAAGACTGGAAAATGTTTATTGAATATATGGGGGGAAATAGGGTATACTTGAAAACGCTGGCAGCATTAAGATAAATTCAACAGTGTAAATAAGTTTTGATGGATGTAATAATGGAATACTGAATGGTTTATTTTTTTTTTTTAATAAGATATTTATTAAGGTTTTCAAGATTTTACAAAACGCACAAAAAAAGAAAAAATACAAAGTAAAAATATTTAAAAACAATTCATTCCTTTCATTGCTTGACCTTCATTTGCTTATTTCCAGGACCTCCTCACACCTTCCTTTTTTGTATTCCAGTTCAGTTATTTCGTTCAGCAAATCCCTCCCCTCTTTATGTATCCTAGTCATTAATCACAAAAATATTGTAATTTTAGATTTTTACATATTAATAAACCCTTTTTTCATATTCCCTTATAACCTTTCAGCTAAAGACCACTTAGTTTCTATCCAACATCATTCTAACATTCATTAATTTTACAATATTTCTGTAGATAATCTTTAAACTTTTCCAATCTTCCTCCATCGACTCTTCTCCCTGGTCTCGGATTCTGCCAGTCATTTCCGCCAATTCCATATAGTCCATCACCTTCATCTGCCATTCTTCCAAGGTGGGTAGGTCTTGTGTCTTCCAATACTTTGCAATAAGTATTCTTGCTGCTGTTGTGGCATACATAAAGAAAGTTCTGTCCCTCTTTGGCACCAATTGGCCGACTATGCCCAGGAGAAAGGCCTCTGGTTTCTTCAAGAAGGTATATTTAAATACCTTTTTCAATTCATTATATATCATTTCCCAGAAAGCCTTAATCTTTGGGCACGTCCACCAAAGGTGAAAGAAAGTACCTTCATTTTCTTTACATTTCCAACATTTGTTATCGGGCGCATGGTAAATTTTTGCAAGCTTGACTGGTGTCATGTACCACCTGTATATCATTTTCATAATATTCTCTCTTAGGGCATTACATGCCGTAAATTTCATACCTGTGGTCCACAACTGTTCCCAGTCAGCAAACATAATATTATATCCTAGATCTTGTGCCCATTTAATCATAGCAGATTTCACGGTTTCATCCTGAGTATTCCATTTCAACAACAAGTTATACATTCTTGACAAAATCTTAGTATTGGGTTCTAACAATTCTATTTCCAATTTTGATTTTTCCACCTGGAAGCCAATTTTCTTATCCAGATTATATGCCTCCATTATCTGATAATAATGAAGCCAGTCTCGCACTTTATCTTTTAATTTTTCAAAGCTCTGCAATTTCAATTTGTCTCCTTCTTGTTCCAAAATTTCCCAATATTTCGGCCATTTGGCCTCCATATTGAGCCTTTTCTGAGCCTTTGCTTCCATCGGTGACAACCACCTAGGGGTTTTATTTTCCAGTAAGTCCTTGTATCTTATCCAGACATTTAACAATGCTTTTCTGACAATATGGTTTTTAAATGCTTTATGTGCTTTAACCTTGTCATACCACAAATATGCATGCCACCCAAAAACATTGTTGAAACCTTCTAAATCCAAAATGTCTGTGTTCTCAAGAAGCAGCCATTCTTTCAACCAGCAGAATGCTGCTGATTCATAATAAAGTTTAAGGTCTGGCAGGGCAAATCCACCTCTATCCTTTGCATCGGTTAATATTTTAAATTTTATTCTAGGCTTTTTGCCCTGCCAGACGAATTTAGAAATGTCTCTCTGCCACTTCTTGAAACAGTCCACTTTGTCCACAATTTGCAATGATTGAAACAGAAATAACATTCTTGGCAATACATTCATCTTTATAACAGCAATTCGACCTAGCAAGGAAAGCTTCAAGTTTGACCATATCTCTAAATCCTTTTTCACTTCTGACCAACATTTCTCATAATTGTCTTTAAATAAGTTTAAGTTCTTAGCAGTCATGTTAACCCCCAAGTATTTTACTTTCTTAACCAATGTTAAACCTGTCTCCTTCTGAAACCTCTCTTTCTCAATTGATGTTAAATTTTTCTCAAGCACCTTGGTTTTTAACTTGTTCAACTTAAATCCTGCCACATGACCAAATTCCTGAATCAATTCTAAGACTCTTTTAGTACTAGATTCTGGCTCCTGTAACGTCAATACTAAATCGTCTGCAAAGGCTTTCAATTTGTACTGTTTGGCTCCGACCTGTATACCTTTAATCAAACGGTCCCTTCTAATCATATTTAGCAAAACCTCCAGGGCCGAGGAATACTGAATGGTTTAGTTTATGTAAAATATGCAGGGATTTATCATATGCAAAATGAACCATGGAAAGAGAAGAAGAGAAGCCACTGATATTTTAAGGATGTTTAAATGAGTATTGTAAATCGTAGTACAGAAAATCTAATAAAAATTAGAGAGAGCGAGAGAGAAGTCTTTCTCCTCTTGGAGAAAGAACTCGGAAACATTCAATGTAGCTCAATGTTGGATGTTTCAGAACAAATAAAAGAAAGTCCTTTTTCGTGCTGTGCATAGACTGCGGAACTTGCTCCCAAAGGATGCAGTGACTGCCACAAACCCTACATGGCTTTAAGAATATTATTGTCCCAAAAATGGAAGCAAGAAGAGTTACCGACGATTGAAGAATGGAGGATGAAGTTAATGGACTATGCAGAATTAGATAAACCAAGTGGAAGGATTCGAAACCGGCAAGACCAGAAATTCACGGAAGACTGGAGTAAATTTACGGACTATTTGAAAAGTAATTGTGAAGAACAGACGACGTTCGTAGGGTTGCAAGAAGTTTTGTGAGGAGTATTATTAGAAGTATTGTAAAAATGGAGAAGGGGGAGGATGATTTGTTAAGAGATTGAAAGGCAATATAAAGTTAAGAAATGCATAAGAAGTGTTTAAAACGGTGGATCATCAGAGGTGCTGATGGAAGTCTAAAAAGATTGTATAAGTGATAGGTTTGGTGGTACATTTTATAATTTATATGTTAAAATTAATAAAAAATATTATATAAAAAAACAAACAAACCTTACATGGCTTTAAAAGAGAATTAGGCAAATTCGTGAGAGGGCTAGCGATGGCTGCTAGTCATAATAGCTTAGCTCTGCCTTCATGGTCAGAGCAGTAAATGCTTGCTGGGAGTCACAGATGGGCAGAGTTGAGCTCAAGTCCTGCTTGTAACTGGGACGCGGGTGGCACTGTGGGTTAAACCACAGAGCCTAGGACTTGCCAATCAGAAGGTCGGTGGTTCGAATCCCCGCGATGGGGTGAGCTCCCGTTGCTCGGTCCCAGCTCCTGCCAACCTAGCAGTTTGAAAGCATGTCAAAGTGCAAGTAGATAAATAGGTACTGCTCTGGCAGGAAGGTAAACGGCGTTTCCGTGTGCTGCTCTGGTTCGCCAGAAGCGGCTTAGTCATGCTGGCCACGTGACCCGGAAGCTGTACGCCGGCTCCCTCGGCCAATAAAGCGAGATGATTGCCGCAACCTCAGAGTCGGTCACGACTGGACCTAATGGTCAGGGGTCCTTTACCTTTTACCTGCTTGTAACAGGCTTCCCACAGGAATCTGGATGTCCCTGCCCCCTAAGAACAGGATGCTGGACTAAATGAGTACCCGCTGGCCTGATCCAGCAGGCTGTTATTTTCTTACATTTTTTAAAAAAGTGTTTTCTTTTATCCCAAGATTATGTACCTTAAATCTACAATACGGTATAAATTTTGAGAGAAATGGGATGAAAATTGGGCGGGCAATCTTTAATTTGGGACCATTGCAATTCCTCAGCGTAAACGTAAGATAAAATCATTCTAAACTGCTTTTACCAGTGGCACATGAGACATCACAGAGACTGAATAAAATATATACCAGGTGAGATAGTAAATGTTGGGAGTTGTGGGTAATAATAATAAAATTTTATTTATACCCCGCCCTTCCCAGTTTAAAAATGAAATGCATACGCCCATTAAATTAAAGATTTTGGGAAAAGAGATTAACAATTTCATTGGTAACTCTTTAAAAAGAGTTCTATTATCATTATTTTATTTATCCTTTTCAGGTTTATTCATTTCACTAATTTTACAATCTTCTTAACATTTCAAAACTTGACTTCCTTCCCCCTCTTTCTTCGGTTCCTTAAATTTATTTTTAATATCTTCTGCATATCCAAATTAACATAATTTGCTCATTTATTCATCTACTTTAAATATATACTCTTAAAAAACTGCAGGTTATTACAATCATCCTTCCAATACTCTTTTAAAGAGTTTTATTGGAACATTTGGAGGAACAAATCCAGAATAAAGAATTGATACAGAATTAACAGTTACTGCCAATATGTTAATTGGCACTAAACTGGAGAAAATAAGGTGCCAGTAATTAGAAAAGAGTGCTGAGCAAAAATTTGGAAGTTAAGTCTTGATGCAGCAGCTTCCTGGAGTGATTAGTTTAAGAGATGGCGGAGATAGAAGGGAAAATTTAGACATTAATTGAATTTAGAAAAAAGCAGATACAACAACAATATTGGTGAAGAACAGCTTTTCTAAGTGGCAGATAAAACTATTTAATCTTTATAGTCTTCTGCGATTTATGATATATTTGTTTACAGATTCCTGCATTTGGGCATGTTTCCAAATTTAATTTTTGGAGTGGCTGGTAGCTCCAGCCAGCCCAGCTGGGCAGGGCAGAAAGCATGGAAGGGACACCCCGCGCCGCCGGCCCCCACGCTTGTCCCCGGAGCTAGAGACGGCAGGCATGCCGGTTAGAGACGGAGGGGCTCCGGGTCGGAAGTCTCCGCCTCACCTGTCGCTGCCACTCGGCCGGGCACGCTGCGCCGGACCCTCCGGCGGCCTCCCGGGCCGTGCGCCTGGCGGGCCACCCAGCGAGCCAAGGGGTCCTGGGCTGCCGGTCTGGGCAGGAGGCGAGAGGGCCGGGAGAGAGGACCCTTGCAAATATCCGATCGCCCGGGGGTTGCTAACTGTCGCCTCCCCCGCACCCCCCGCAGAGGAGCCCCGGAAGCGTGACGCAGCCCCCGAGCGGTCCTGGCCAGGTGTGCGAGCGGGGCGGGGCCTCACCTGGCGGCGTGGTGGCTGCGGAGGCTGCGGGGCTCCGTCCGGCATCCTGCTCGGCCCGGCTCGGCTTCCCTCCTCGGTTCCCCAGCAGATGCCGGCCGGCTAGCAGGAGGGTGGGCGGGGACTCCGCGCTGGGCAGGGCTTCTTGGCTGGAGCTGAGCCCGGAGGCTCATCGCGCAACGGGCGACTCTGAGCACGTGCAGAGTGCCTCTGGGAGAGAGGCCAGCGGGGCTAGCCTAGTGGGTTCCGGGATCCCCTTGCGGGAGACGGTATGGCCGGTAGGATGGCCTCTGGCCTGGTCCCACCCACCCACTACAGCATCCTTTGGGTGCTTTTTTCGCTGGAGGCGACCGGGAGGGTCGTGTGGGCCGCGTGGGGAGGGCCGGGTCGGCCACCCGGTCCTTCTGCGGACCGAGGATCGCTCTCCTGGTGCCTTTTCCTGAAGCCAGGCCAGCCCAGCCCCCGAAGTGCGACAGCTCCCATTTGGCAGCTCTGGCTTTTTTGGGGGGGGGTGTGTCCTAAATAGAACAGCCGAAGCTCAGTTACATAGCATTTGCTCTGCATGCAGAAGGTCCCCGCAGGCAGCATCTCCCATGGAGAGCTAGTGCTGCTGCCGGCCAGTGTAGACAATACTAGATACTAGATAGAGCAGCAAAACAATTGCATTTTGATTGCTGCACAGATCTCTGGTTTTTGCGGGGGAGGGGGGAAGACTGCCAAACTACCTCGACTACAGTACTGTGACACTTGACAGCTGGGATAGCTCAGTGGGTACAGCATGAGGCTCTTCATCTCAAGAGTCGTGGGTTCGAGTCCCAGTTGGGCAAAAGTTTCCTGCATTGCAAGGGGTTGAACTGGATGACCCTTGTGGCCTGTTCCAGCTCTACAATTCTGATATTCTATGTAGAGACATCACCTTGCCAGCAAAGGTCCATATAGTAAAAGCTATGGTTTTCCCAGTAGTGATGTATGGAAATGAGAGCTGGACCATAAAGAAGGCTGATGGCCGAAGAATTGATGCTTTTGAATTATGGTGCTGGAGGAGACTCTTGAGAGTCCCATGGACTGCAAGAAGATCAAATCTATCCATTCTTAAGGAAATCAGCCCTGAGTGCTCACTGGAAGGACAGATCCTGAAGCTGAGGCTCCAATACTCTGGCCACCTCATGAGAAGAGAAGACTCCCTGGAAAAGACCCTAATGTTAGGAAAGATGGAGGACACAAGGAGAAGGGGACGACAGAGGACGAGATGGTTGGACAGTGTTCTCAAAGCTACCAGCATGAGTTTGACCAAACTGCGGGAGGCAGTGGAAGACAGGAGTGCCTGGTGTGCTCTGGTCCATGGGGTCACGAAGAGTTGGACACGACTAAACAACAACAACAACAAATGCTACTGAGCACCTCCAAGCGGGAGCACACTTTTCCGCTTGGCCTCCTGCAGGCAACCGGCTCAGGCCCTCCCTGACTCCAAGCGCCTCCGGGGCATCCTCATATCTGACGTTTGGATCGCCCCGAGTTCCTGGACCCAGAAAACCCCCCGAAACTCTCGCCGGCCAACCAACCCATTTGCTTTCCGCGCCACGAAGCCCCCTCCCCCAAATCTTATCTCTTGTTGGATTCCCCCTGCAGGAATCGCTGGAAGAAATCAGTGGATCGCGAAAGCGGTACCATCTTCTGCAGCGCCTTCATCCTGCTGGAAGTCTAGCCGGCCGAGGAGGGCGAGGCGACTGGGGCTGGGAGAGGGAAAGTCCTGCAGGGTCGACCTGGGCTTTTGGGGGCAGGAATGCAGCTATTTAGTCACCCATTACCCCGGGAAGCGAAGAAGCGGCTCATTTGCAATGCTTGCTCTGTAGTTCTCTGTTTATCCCTTCTCATTTGGGGACTGATCATTGCACAGGACACCAAGAACCTCCCAGTCACTATGACTGCTCGTGCTCCTGTTGACCTTCGCACCTTTCCAGGCTGTGAATTTTTACACGCCTGCTTCCTGAGCTGTCTGTTGCACACCATTAAACGCGTAAAAGACCGGTCTGATCCACTCTGGCCAGGAGGAGGAGCAGACTGCCAGCGTCTGTGTGACGACAGCCTGCAGGACACCCTCCGAAGCAGATGGGCTGGGCCTGAGTCTTGGAGAATGAGCATCTCTCTCATCATAAAGATCACACACACACACACACACACACACACACACTCCTGGGCTGAATGATTTCCCACCACTGGGGCATGAGCCATCAAACTGTCACGTGCTGTTCCTGGGACTCTGTCACAAACACCTCTCTGGGGCGTAGCTGTCAACATTTCCCTTTTTTTAAGGGAAACTCCCTTATTCCAAATAGGATTCCTCGCAAGAAAAGGGAAAATTTGACAGCTGTGCGGGAGATCCGGGCGGTCCTATATCCCATTTCATGGACGTGCAAAAGGATCCTGGAATCGGCTTGTCGATGGTTAATGCTAGCCACAAGGGTCTCTGCTCTGTCTTCATATTCAGAAGCCGCAATGCTTGTGAATATCGGTTGCTGGAAACCTCAGCAGGGGAGAGGGTTCAAATCCTGCTTGTGGGTTTCCCATTGGAGCACAGGTTCCAACTTGAATAAAATACTGGCTGCGGGGGGGGGGGCAGGTAAGCCTCACCCCACATAATCAATCGCATGATGCGGTGCATGCACACTATCTGAATGGCAATGCCCATCAACTTTGGGGGGAGGGCAGCCCCCTCAAATATTTTATGGGGAGAGGGCGCTGAAGCCCCAAAGGCCCCTAGGAGTTGGCTCCTGTGTATTGGGGCATCTGGTTGGCCACCGGGAGAGCAGAATGCTGGATGCCTGATCCACCAGGGCTGTTTTGATGTTATTATGGTAAAGGTAAAGGACCCCCTATGGGACGCGGGTGGTGCTGTGGGTTAAACCACAGAGCCCAAGACTTGCCGATCAGAAGGTCAGCGGTTCAAATCCCCGCGACGGGGTGAGCTCTCGTTGCTCGGTCCCTGCTCCTGCCAACCTAGCAGTTCGAAAGCACCTCAAAGTGCAAGTAGATAAATAGGTACCGCTCCGGCGGGAAGGTAACCGGTGTTTCCGTGCGCTGCTCTGGTTCGCCAGAAGCGGCTTAGTCCTGCTGGCCACATGACCTGGAAGCTGTACGCCGGCTCCCTCGGCCAATAAAGTGAGATGAGCGCCGCAACCCCAGAGTCGGTCACGACTGGACCTAATGGTCAGGGGTCCTTTACCTTTACCTTAAAGGACCCCTAGACAGTTAAGTCCAGTCAAAGGCGACTAGGGGGTTATTATGACTGTCCCGCCGGCCTAACCTGTTTCTCGTTTCCTTTTGGGGACCCAATCCTCCGCAGCCCTGGGCACGTGTGCCTTTCCAGCCAGTCTCAGGGCAGATCCACGGTGTACATCACAAGACTTTCCCTAAAGAATCCCGGGAACTGAAGTTTGTTCAGTGGTTGGGTTGGAACTATAGTTCTGTGAGCAGCAAACTACAGTTCCCAGTATTATTATTTTTTTGGGGGGGGTTGTCGCTTTGGATGTGCTTGAGATGCAAGGTACGGACCTGCCTTCAGTCTTTGGCTGCTCTCGGGAGCCACCTGGTGCGAGAGTTGAGGCCTGCTAGGGTCAGGCTGGAAGAAAGGAGCAGAAAAAGTGTTCTCTCCACTCTTGAGGTTGCAAAGCCCAGCACTTGTTCCCCTCTCTATTTAAATCTCTCCTTGTGTAGAGATTTTCAAAAGGGAAACATGACAAATCTGAAGAATCCTGAATTGTGCAGGCTGTTTATGTTAGCCAGATTTAATATGTTTCCCTCGATGATAGTAAGAGGAAGATATTTAGCTTTCCCAGAAGCAGAGCGTCTCTGCAAATGTAGTAAACAGGAACCTGATACTTTGGAGTATATTTTCTTTTCTTGTGATTTTGGCATTTATGCCAGAAGACAATTATTAGAGGCCTTACAACTCAACAGGCTCAATTATTTGCCACCAACGGTTCAAGACTTGCTCTCGGACAGGAATGATCAAATTCCTTTAATAGTGGCTGAATTTTTGAGTGCTGTCCATGCAGAAAGACTTTAGTGGTTCTTAATTGATCGGTGATGTGGTAGTGTTATATTGTATTATTTATGCAAATTGATTTTCTCTGGACAAACCTTGCTATACTGAGCTCGTATTTGTATACGGCGTTTGTTTGATCACGTGTGGTTTACTATGGCTAATAAAGGATTGACTTTTAAAAAAGAAAGAAAGGAGCAGACTGCGGCGGCTGTCTTAAGGGGGTCGGGAGCATCTGCAGGTGGAGGGCTGGACTGGCCGCTAAAGACCCGGTTGCTGGGGAAAAGCCACCAGGACTGCAGAGCCGCCTCCCTCTTCTGATACTGCTTAGTGCCTCTGGCAGGCAGGATGCGCTCTCCTCCCACATCAACTCTGGGATGCCTACCTGGGCTTTACATAGGCCGCCCAGGCAGCCCATCCCTTGGGGGAGGTTGTGCCTCTGCCAGGTGCTGCTGGATGAGGGGTGAGCAGACCATTATCCCGGCCGCCCTTCTGGCCTCCCCTGGCAGCAAATACCGGTAATCTGAGGTTGTCGACATGGCACACGTTGAAAGCCCACCAGCCAATCTCCCTACTCAATGTGGATTACAAAATTTTTGCAAATATATTGGCCAACAGGCTAAAGAAGGTTTTATCTAAGTATATTCATAAAAACCAGGTAGGATTTCTGCCTGGAAGACATATGAAAGACAACATTAGAAATGTTGTGGATATTTTGGAAAACTTAGAAGCAAGAAAGAGTTGTAAAGCAATGTCAATGTTTACTGAAGCAGAGAAAGCCTTTGACAATGTATCTTGGAGTTTTATGTTACATAATTTAGAGAGTATGGGGATAGGCCATGATTTTTTAAATGGTATTAAAGCGATCTATCTAGAACAAAAAGCCAAAATTATTGTAAATAATGTGGTTTCAGAGGAAATTAGAATTGAGAAGGGAACCAGGCAAGGGTGCCCACTTTCCCCTCTGCTGTTTATTTCAGTCCTGTTGTGAAAATCAATAAAAAAAAATTGGAAAAAAAGAAAGCCCACCAGCCGGCCCCTTCTTGGCCCTCTCTGCTCCCTTCCCTTTGAAGAAGGGTAGGATCCTGCAGATAGACGCAGCAGATGCAGGGCCGCATTGCCTCCCGTGAACCCTCTGGGAGCCATAGCCCAGTGGAGGGTGGAGTTGGATGAGACGTAGGCAGATCTGCCTGCACACCTTACATCAGAAGCAAGCCCCGCTTCTCGCAAAAAAAGCTCCTGGGAACTGTGGATTACGCCTCACAGAACTACAATTCCCAGCACCCTGTACAAACCATAGTTCCCAGAATTCTTTTTTTAAAAAAATAAATTTTTATTAGATTTTCCACACAAACCACAAAGCAAAATGGTACACGAAAATAGAAAAAAGGGAACGATAAACAGATAAACAATAACAACTTAATTCTTCACAAATCCAACCTTTTAAACATCTTGGTTGACTTCCTCAAATCCCTCCCTTCTGAGTTTCCTTGTAATTAAAAGTAACGGCTTTCCAATATCATAAATAAACTAAAACAATTATAGTCTATCTTATTCACTTTTCTTAACATTCTAAATCCCATTTATTTAATTATAACTTAGTTTAATCCTAGGCCTATTTGTTTCTCACAAATAATTTCTAATATTTTATATTACAATATTTATTCAAACAGTCCTTAAATTTCCTCCAGTCCTCTTGCAACTCCTCTTCTTTCTGGTCGTGGATTCTTCCAGTCAGGTTCTTCCAGTCCAGAATTCTTTGGGACCTAAGCCACGTGCTTTGCATGTCTAGTGTGCGCGCGCAGCATTCGATTCCTCCAGCGAAATTCCGAGAGTTTCTCCATCTAGCAGTTAGGCTCGGAAATCTCCTATCCGTTCCATGAAACGCCTCTAACACTTCATGTCTCCGTGGCCCCACAGAGAGGCAGCCATAGCAACGGAAGGGTCCTGCAAATAGACGCCTCCTTGCTGATTGGCCGACCGTCCGCCGGCCACGGCCACGTGGCTTTTTCTTTCCCCGACACAACAACACAGCTCGCGCCATGCCATTGGCTTCCAAACCCGTCACTCCTTACTTGCCCTGCCCCGCTGCATAGAGAGTGGCATCCCTCCAGCCCTTGGCGCGCCTGTGAGTGCTCCTGAGTGGCTGCGCTCTCTTTCCGCCACGCCCCTGCGCCCTCTCCCCGCCCTATCAGCGGCTTGATAGACGAAGGGGCTTGGCCGCTCCGGGAGCCCCGACCTTAAAGGGCGCGCAGCCCTTTCCGCTCTTGCCCCGGGTCTCCTCGTTCTCCCGCCATGGCCTACCAAGGATTCGCCGCGGAGTACCTGGGCATCCCCGCCGTGACGCGCGCCTACACCACCGCCTGCGTCATCACCACCGCTGCCGTGGTAATCGCTGGGGAGGGGGAGAGAAAGGGAGGCAGGCGGAAATCCAACAGGGAGAGCCGCAACAGCCCGCCCGGTGCGATGCCCGCCTGCCTTGTATGGAGCGCATTTTCTTTCCGGCCCGAGGGTGGCTCTGGGGCGGCGGAGGCAGCAGCAGCCCCATCGCCCTTGCCTCGGGCCTGGGGTGGCGGTTTCCGTTCCCTCTCTTGCCAGCAGCCCTTGGGCTCTGCTGCCCCGAGTGGGGATTGCACGAGGACGGCATTGCACGCCTCTCCTCTTCCTGGGAACCAGCTGGGATGAAGGGCGGACGAGGCAGGGCTACCTGGAAAGCCCATCAGAGCCAGGCAGGCGCTGCCTTTGCTGTGCGCCCAGGATCCCTGCTCAGCCCATTGCCTGCCTTTTTGTATTTTGCAGCAACTGGAGTTCATCACGCCTTTCCAGCTGTATTTCAATCCGGATCTCATTTTCAGGAAGTTCCAGGTGAGGCCTGGCCCTGCCCCCCGTTTGCTTACTAGCCTCAGGGCAGGATGTGTTTGCAGTGGCTGTTTGGCAGTCCCATGCTCGCTTCAGAAACGACCTATTTCTGGGGACAGGGGAGTTCTCAGGAAGTGTTGGCGGAAGCAAGCAACAGGCTTCTTGCAAGAAGACTGTGTGTGCATCTGGTGGTGCTGGGGTTGGTGCTGTATTTGGCCACCTGGTGCTCTTTCCATGTCTCCTTTTCTTGCAGATCTGGCGACTCATCACCAACTTCCTGTTTTTTGGGCCGCTGGGATTCAGTTTCTTCTTCAACATGATATTCCTGTATCCTTTGACCCTGACTACTTATTTTTGCGCTCTCTCTCTGCCACTTTCAAAAAGTGTTCTTGGCTTATCCTGACAGCAGCATGACCTGCCTTTTGCCTCTGTTGACTCTGAAGGTCTGCATGGGTAAACAACACAGCCCTCAAGACAAAAGAAGCAGCTGGAGAGCAGAATCCTAAAAGTAACAGGAGCCAAAATTCATATGGTCTCTTAGCGGTAGCTCTCACAGCAGTTTCTGACTGTGTGGCTCACCTGTAACGTGTGAGCAAGGACTATACCCCAGTTCATGGACTGGGAGGGAGACACGGGCTGCACATGTTAAATAGGTAAAGGGACCCCTGACAATTAGGTCCAGTCGTGACCGACTCTGGGGTTGCGGCGCTCATCTCGCTTTATTGGCCGAGGGAGCCGGCGTACAGCTTCCGGGTCATGTGGCCGGCAGGACTAAGCCGCCTCTGGCGAACCAGAGCAGCGCATGGAAACGCCGTTTACCTTCCCGCCGGAGCGGTACCTATTTATCTACTTGCACTTTGATGTGCTTTCAAACTGCTAGGTTGGCAGGAGCAGGGACCGAGCAACGGGAGCTCACCCCGTCACGAGGATTCGAACCACCGACCTTCTGATCGGCAAGTCCTAGGCTCTGTGGTTTAACCCACAGCGCCACCCGCGTCCTTTGCACATGTTAAGTAGCAGCACACAAACTACCACATTAAACTGTAGAGCAAAGTATCAAATTGGTCCAAGATGTAAAACTCAGAACTCTTAAGTTTGGTAGGAATTTTCTTCCCAGGCCTAGGAAGCCCACTTAGCTGCACAGCTCAGATGGGAAACAAGGCAAATCTCAGCTTGCTAGAAGGAAGCCTGGCCCAAGTCAGGAACTGGAATAGATGGAGAGGATTTGATCTGTGCCACAGTAATAGGGGTATTCAGACCATACCCCTCGCATACTTTTGGAGCAGGGCGTTGCTGAGATGAATGGATGATGATGAGATCAGAAACTTCCATGCCTAGTAACCATAGCATACAAAATCTCTCTTCTTAGGACTGAAAGCCTGTTAACAAGATGCTTTCTCCAGAGTATTGGAAACTCCTATGTATACTTATGAAATTTGCAGTTGGGGCACCCCAAAAAAGAGGAGCTCCATGTATGTCCTGCTACCCTCTAGCCAAGGGCTGCTCAGGGTTAGGGTTAGGGTATGCAAGTTGCTATTGTTTTCAAATGAATCTCCAGTCCTTCTGAAGCCAAATCCCCAGCCAAGTTCACACTGTGCTGCAGCAGGGCCAAAGGTGCTGCCTCTAACCAGATGTGTTGGGCAAGCTTCTGCCCTCAAGGTAAAAGGCTCTGTGGTTTGGTTCAGATCTGCCCGCCCTTGCCCAAGTGGCTGTTTTTGTGGTGAAATGACTTGTGTCTGTATTAGCCCTAGGGCTATTCTGCCTAGCAATCCATCCATCCGTTAGTTTCCTTTATTACCTCCCTCCATTGCTGCCTGCTCACAGGTACAGATACTGCAGGATGCTGGAAGAAGGCTCTTTCCGCGGAAGGACTGCAGACTTCATCTTCATGTTCCTCTTTGGAGGGTTTCTTATGACAGTATCCTTTCCCGTTAATTTTCTCATTGTTCTGCTTCTGGATTGGTTTTGCTCTCACCTGGGACCATGGCAAAGGGGCTGCCACCCTGTCCATTCTGAAGGATCATGAAAGGCTTTTAGAACTCACACAATCTGTTTTTAAAATTGCTGCATTGGTTGCCAGTTTGCTTCTAGACTAGGGCTGGGCAATACCTGGTTTTTCAACATCCTGATATATCACCAGCTAAACATCTCGAAATACCTATATATCACGATGTCTGGAATAAGGATGAAGCTTGGCTGGCTTCATGGCTTTTCCTGCATCGTGATTTTTCCATAGCACACACACGCACGATTCACTATATATTGCCAGGTCAAAATTTTTGAAAGAGATTGCCACAATTCGGACTTCAAACTGGTTTTGGATGATGTATCAATATATTGCCCAGCCTTATTCTGGACCCAATTCCAAGGTGCTCTCATTAGTGTTTAGAGCTCAAAACGACTTTGCCTCCAAGTATCTGCAGGATCGCAAGATCTGCAATACCCTCTTGGGCATTAAGACCTGCAGAGGGAGTGCTTCTGGTAGTTCCACTGCCAAGAGGTTAGGGTGGTAATTTGTTTTAATATTGTATTTTTAAATAGTTGTGACCTCCCTCGGACCTTAAACTGAAGGGCAGGTAATAAATAATAATAATGATGATAGGAAGCTGTTTTAGGGGACTCTTTCAGCCTTTGTTGAGCCAATTAAATCTCTCCCCACCCCCTGCCTTGACTCTGTAGCTCTCAGCTTTTTGGACTCTTTGCCAGCCTCTTCTTCCTGGGCCAGGCCTTCACCATCATGCTGGTTTATGTGTGGAGCCGGAGGAATCCCTATATCCGCATGAACTTTTTTGGGCTGCTGAACTTCCAGGCGCCTTTCCTGCCCTGGGTCCTGATGGGCTTCTCACTGCTGCTGGGCAATTCCATCATCATTGACCTCTTAGGTGAGGGCGGGAGCTTCCTCTTCTTGCAGAGCTTCTTGGTATATCTGTGAGGAGCTGGTTCTCACAGTCAGTGGCATAGCATGGGGCTGGGGCTACCGGGGTAATTGCCCATGCACACTTTTTTAAAGGGGTGCACTGCTGCACCTGCCACCCTGACTGGAGGAGCTCCCTGTCCTGCCCATCTGTCTCACCTGAGCAGTACACCATGCAGGAGGTGGGAGAGGACGGGCCTTTGCATCCCTTGGCCAGGGGGCGTCCCTCCACTGGTGGGGGAGGCGGGCAGGTGGCGGCAGCAGGGAGATGCACATGTATGTCCCACCGCTGCTCCACAGCTCTGTCTGGCAGCGGCAGCAGCAGCAGCAGCAGCAGCAGCAGCAGCAGCAGCAGCAGCAGCAGCGGCTGCATGGAGACACCAGTTTGGGTTGCAATACTTTCCTTGCCCCGAGCACTGGCAAACCATGCTATGCCACTGCTCACAAAGGCTTTGCCAGGTGAGGACTGTGCTGCCTCTGCAGCTCCCTTGCAGATAGTTGCTTTGCTGCCTTGAGGACTATTCAGATGCTATGAAAGGTAACATGCTGATAATGCTGGTGTAGTGTTTCAAGATGTTATCTTTTAGGAGTGTTATGTGTGGGTGTTGATGAGGCAAAACACTCAGTCAGTGCCTGGAGGCGGCTTCTCCAAGGCTTGCAGCTAGCTATGGCTGTATCCACAGGATCAACACCTGGTTTGGGAAGCAGTTAGAAAAAGGGGATATACAGGCAAGGCAGTGCAGTTCATGGGGACAGTCTAGGACAGGCATGGCCAAACTTGGCCCTCCAGCTGTTTTGGGACTACAGTTCCCATCATCCCTGACAACTGGACCTGTTAGCTAGGGATGATGGGAGTTGTAGTCCCCAAATGGCTAGATGGCCAAGTTTGGCCATGCCTGGTCTGGGAAATGTGCTGCTGTGGAGAAGAGTCCCAAGACTGGATGGAGGTGGCTGGCTTGTGGGGGGACGGGTAGGGAGAAAAAGGAGGATGTGTTTGAGCAGTGATAGCACATAGTAACATCCCCTGGTTCTCCTGCTTTTGAAAGCAGGTTTCTCCCCCAGCTCTGACAGCACACACTAGTGACCCAACACATGCTGTCATCCTGAGAAGGTGGAAGCAGAGAGGCAGAGATTCTGTTTCCTATTGGCCAGAGGCTACGCTGCTGGGTCAATGACCCTAAGAGTGTCATCCTATCCCAAACAGTTGTCAAATGCAGGTGTTTTTACCTTATTGAAATCAGTGTCCGTACCTGCAGGGTTTAAGAAGTGTCTCAATTTACAGGGCTCATGCCTCATCTTCTCTTTGAACTGCTGCTACGCTGCAGAAGATTCTGGTGGCAAATTGTCACAAACCAGCAGTGCACCAAGGGAAATGTATTTGGGTGGTGGGCTATGGAAACGAAGCCATTGCCTCTAGCTATACTGGCAAAAGATCTAGATTGTAGTTTCTCAGACCTTTGTTTCTCCTGTAGGAATAGCCGTGGGTCACGTCTATTACTTCCTTGAGGATGTCTTTCCCAACCAACCCGGAGGGAAAAAGTTGTTACTAACACCAGGATTCCTGTAAGTAAACCGCCAACTTTATCAGGCAGTCCTACAAAGCAGGTTGAAGAATGGCCACCCTCATTCGACCACAGAAGCACCTGGAGAGGCAGTATTATGATGGACGCAGATGTGGCGTTTTTCTCCTGCCTTGACTAGAAAGGATCTTCAGTGTTTGAAGGAATAGAGCAGGCATAAAAGGAAATGGAAAAGGACTACACATACATTTTGGTTGTATACACCTCAAAACGTTAACAGAGACAAATACCACCAATGAGCCTCGTTGGTTCCCCAGTGTACGCTTGGTGCCATACAACATTTGGGAAGGCTAAGCAGGTCCCAGCAAGCTCCCCGCACCCCGTGTTATAGTGTTATAAGAAAGGCAAACTGCTCCTACAATGCAGGTTGCCAGCCACAGACCCTTCCTTTGCGTATAGGTCCATCCTGTTAAGTTAAATGTTTCTGGTCCTGCTTAGGAGATTTAGAGCATGTTTAGAGATCTTGATGTTCTTTTCGGTGCTGTTGTGTCTCAGAACAGGGAGCTGTTTTGTAACAGCCTCCCACAAAAACAAGCAAGCAAGCAAAAGGGAAGGAGCAGCTCATTTGAGCTCCTCTTCCAGTGTAGGAAAGTGTGTGTTTTGTCTTTGCGGCATGGATCTCATTTTGTGGTTGGGGTTTTCCTTCGCAGAAAGCTGGTATTTGACCCTCCCGAAGAAGACCCCAACTACAATCCGCTCCCGGAAGACCACCCAATGCCTGCTCCAGACCAAAACCTGCCACAGGAGCCCCAATAGTGATGGCACAGCAAGTCCCTTCTGCCAAAGACTGAGGCTGTTCTGCACGGACAGGTGTGTGGATAGCCCCCTGAGCAGCACCACAGCTGGGTCGGTTGCATTCTCCTGCCACTCCAGTTCCCTTCTGCTGCTAAGCTGTCCTCTAGTGTTGTGGATAAGATGGGGGGAAAGTCTGTTTATGTGCCAGATGCTGTAAAGGACTAGAAGATGATGAATTTGCACTGGACAAACTACAGGCAGAAGGCAACTGGGCAGATGCTGAACCTTGCACTCCGTCAACTTCCACGTTAAACCAAAAAATCCAATCTCCTGTTGCTGGGCCCGAGAAGATAGGCTGTTGGTGGAACTGCCCCCCTGCCTCAACTCTGGATCTCACCCAGAATTTGGCCTAGCATGTTTCAGCATTCTCAGGCCTCACTGGGCAGTTCTTGTGCAGCCAGTACCAATTCCATGAGATGTCTGCGGCCCTGACCACCTGCCTCTCCAGCATTCCCTCACCTACCCCACTGTTTTGCCAATTTATTTCAACCTCTGTAAAAATAATAAATGTGGGAAGCAAAATAGAGTGCATAGCCACTGTGTCCTTTAAAGTTACAGCTCTGGATCTCAGGAGTAAGCCTCTCCTGTTTTGCAGCCGTGGCTGCAAATATACAAGCCAATGCCTCAAGAAACTCTGGGTGAGTGGGGCTAATTAAAGTGAGACCTGAATCGAAAATCTGTTTGTCTCTTGACTACATCTTTTGCTTCTTTCTGGGTCCTGAGCCTTGACATTATTCTCAGGCAGCAGTTAAAGTGCCTGATATCATGTTTTATAAAACTTGGTTTAATATAAAAGCTGCTGCCTGAAGTTCTGGTCCTATAGTCTCAGAAACCCAGGGCATGCCTTGAGACTGATGGACCTTGGCTGGGCTCTGCAGCCTCCAAGGGAGCCTTCCTCACATTTTGGGCTTCCCCTAACTAGCTGCAGCTCACGTAGAGGAATCAGAGAAGGAAAAAGATGCAGATGCTCACCCAGAAGCCATTCTGAATACTCCCTGGCTTCATCCCATGGCAAGCCAGTGGTAAAGGCCAAAGCCATGGGTCAACACTGGGCTGCTTCACAGAAGCAGATTCTGGGATGGGATACTGGCAACATGACAATAGCCTTAGTGTTGTATGAATATCAGGATGTGCTGGTCCTGGAAAGGGATGAAGTGTTCATGCAACAGTTGCTTTCCAGGGAGCAGGACGCGGTCTGTCATTTCTATTATGTAACATCATCCAACTCACATTAGAAAATAGTTTTTTTTAAAGGTAGCACACAAACAGCAGCGCCTTTAAAACTGTACAAAAAAGTATTAGCTTACAGAGGGGAGAGAAGTACCTGTGTTTCTCTGTGAAGCCAACAATTCAAATTGTTGAATATCCAACCATTAGACTCGGGCACATCACTCTGGCTCAGTCCTCTTGTGGCTCTTGTTAATGTTTAAGAGACAGATGTTGGAAACAGAAGATGCCCTCGGTGGGGAGAATGTACAAAGTACCAATCAGCCTGCAGGCACTGCCTGTGACAAATTGCTTAGTTAATTCATTCAAGCCCTGCCTAAACCTGGTGGATTCTCCAGCTGCAGCTTCTGTTGGTGCTGCTTGGCTGGGCTTGCATACAGCTGCATGCACTGGAGACCCACAATGCCAGTTCAAAGTTCTGGCAATAAGCATGACCTGCCCTGGCAGTATTCTGCTGTAGTGTGCAATGGGATTGGGGAGGGAGAAGGCAGCCTCCACCCCATGCCAGATTCAAGTGCTTTGTTAACACATAACAGGCAACAGTCCCAACACAGACTGTTCTTCTTGTTGCTTTTAAGACATATTCAGAAACTGCACTGGGCTCATTCTGCTAAGAGCATGTAGAGCAGATTGACTCCTGTACAGACACATTTTAAGACTTAAAAACAACCCTAACCTTGCTGCTTTAACATCAAGCACTAAAACAAAGCTAAGCAGATTTGCTAACCGACTCTTCCTTTGTGAAAGATGCCACAAGCTGCTAGCTACCGCTGTACCTTTTCAAGAAACTACATCCCTCTCTAACAGCACCCCTCATCTTTGTACAGAAGGATGGGCTGCAGAAAAAGAAAAAAGCCGCTGCTGTGTGAAATAATATTAATAAAAAACAAAAATCACCAGTGCTAATCTGGACTAGGAGGAGAGAACCTTTGGTGCTCCAGATGTGGTTGAACTGCAACTCCCATCATGCTTGGCCCATTTACTGTGCTTGTTAGGACTGATGCAAGCTGTAGTTCATCAACATCTGGGAAGCCAAGGCTGCCCCATCAGTGGTGTAGACTTGGAAGGCAAAGGCAGGAAAGAGAACTGGGAATGCACATCAGAGAAGGCCTGACAAACAAAAATTATTATTCATTTATTTAAAAACTTGTCCTAAGGTTTTTGGGGGAGGGGGGAGAGAAGGGCTCAGACAGCTGCCACAGGTCTTTATTGGACCCCTTGTTTGACAGGTACCCACGAGGTGGAGAGGTCACCATCCCTCTGGTCTGCTGGGCCAGCCAATGCAAGTACCGCCAGTCCCCAGGTGGGCATAGAAAGCATAACAAATGCTTGCCCTACGCTTGGTTCCTCATGGACACAGCCTGGAGGCTGAATCCTCTTGTCCACTTCAGGAGGGTTACCAAGCTGGAGCTGTGTTAGCCAAACGTCTCATCCGCCTGCAAGGAAGAAAACAAATTGTTATGAACAGCGATGGCAACAGCAGCAGCAGATGTGGGGGATTGTTTTAGCTTAGACCGGAGCAACTGCAGGTGGGTGTGAAAACACATCCCCCCCAAACTGCAACGCCGTCCCATGATATCTATGAGGAAACGTTTCCAAGAAGTCCCACTTCGACCAACCAGTGGCATTTGCTGCAGTGGGAAGTTGTAATGGCCAAGTAACCTAATGGGACCCCTGTGCTTCTTGCTGAGGTCTGGAGTTCAGCTTGCATAGTAAACGAGAGATGCTTGCAAAGTCACAAGAGGCAAAACAAAACGAAACCTTCCCCTTCTCAGCTCATGTCTTTGACAAAAAGGCAGTACGCAGGGGAAGGCGCACCTTGTGTTTCTGTCTTGGTCTCGAATTTTCTTCTCCATTTCTGCATCCGTCAGGGTTTCAAGTAGAGGGCACCACTGGTCGGCATCCCCAGTGTTACGAATGGCAATCTCCACCGTCGGCAGGGGGTTCTCACTGGAAGAGGGGGAAGAAACACAGCTCAGCCCCAAAGCCTGGAGAACTTGGGCATGTGCTTTAATTTGAAGCCAGATCCATCATGGGGCATCACACGAAGAACCAGCAGCACGCCCGAAGCCAAGCAGGCAGTAGACTATGGAGGACACACCACCAAGCAGATCAGCCTCTGTTACACACTAGCTGGAGCCTTGTGGTCAGGATATCCAAACAATATAGGATTTGCTACCTCCCCCCCCTTTTGCAATCCTACAGAAGCACCAGTTGCACCCCTTACCTGAACGCGTACGTCTTCTGATGCCAGCTCAGCTGCCCCCGGATACTGTAAGCGATGGTGGTGACGAACTCGCCGCCCAGCCCGAGTTCTGAGCACAGCTTCAGGGCAAACTTTTCTGGGGAGTTCTCCTTTTCAGACATGTCCCACTCAAACTGGTCTACCAGGGAGATGTTCCCCACATGGATGTTGAGCTAGATGCAAATGCCACAACTGAGTATCCTATATTTCAAATGCCCTTAAGCCAACCCCTTTGCCCCCACCCTGCCTTGGTGTGGACTAATGAGGAAAATGGAAATGCCTTCCTCCCTTTTCCTTCCTTCTAAGTGCTAAGGATTTTGCATATAGCCCCACTGGCAGGTCCTCCTTTACTTTGGGTACAACTTGAACTCAGCACATCACTGGGAAATCCACTGCAGTGTGCCTCAAGCAAAAGTCCCTTTCAGAACCAACTATGTCTAAGTCTCCTTGCCTTAATAATGACGCGTTGATCTGACTGGTCCTCCAGAATACTGTCTGTAGGGTAGGATTCAATCTGCTGCCGTATCGCTGACGCGATTGCCGGGACAAAGGTCAGGGGATTCAAATCCAGATCATCGCAGAGAATCTCCGAAAACATTTCCGGGGTCATTAGTTTTTCTGATGGAAGCAAAGAAATCCAGACTGTTGCCATGGTGCTTGTCTAATATCTAGCAGCTTACTTACTGCACCCTAAAATGATGGATCTTAAGCAGCCTACAAAAGGGAGCTTGTTAAGATACCCCTCAGTGAATCTGCCTCTGCCCCCTGCCTCTTAGCTCAGCATTGTTCCCATCTACTCGCTTAACAGACAAATCTATGAATAATTAGGCAGTGGCAGCTACTCCCCTTTTCCTCTATACAAGAGCAAAGAATCATAGAATTGTGGAGTTGGGAGGAACCATGAGGGTCATCTAGTCAAACCTCTTGCAGTGCAGGAATCAACCCTGAGATTAAAAGAGTCTCATGCTCTACTGTCTGAGCTGCTGGATCAGGCCAAAGGGGCCCACATAGTCCAGCATCCAGAGAGTAGCCACCAGATGCCTGTTACAACATCTTTCCTGCAGCTGTTTCCTTGCTCATCTCTGCTGTGCCAGACCAGGGACGGGTGAACAAGCAGCCTGTAATGGTGTCAAGGAGGTCCAGGGGGTTCTTGGCAATGCACATTTGACCAGGATGCAGCCCACAGCATTTGCCCAACCCCTAACACTAGCCCCCAAATTAAACTCCTTCTCAAACTGCTGCCTCCTCAGCAACTTCTGCAACCACTGGATTTTGTTTCTGCTATTTTTCTGAAGCAGAGCAGCTGAACTATAAGGCATTAGGAAAGGTCATACTTTATATAACGTTGGATTGTCCACTTCTTCTCTCCTACACACCATTCATGTTCCATGTAAAAGCGTCTCTCAGTTTCTGCCCGTCAATTTCCATGTCGAGGCGGATGGGAACCAGCACCTCTGGCTGGGAGGCGTTCTCGTGGATCACGGCTGGGTCGTGGTCATCAAAGCTAAAATACAAAAGGGGGGCAGGACAGAGACATTTGGGGAGGCAGGAACAGTGCCTCCATGTGGGTGGGGGAAAAGAAGCATGAGAGTTTCAAGGCCCAAAGCTTGTTTTCATTGGAAGAGCCAGGAAACAAAGGAACATGCATAGAGTGCATGCCACGTCAGGGATAGGGAGAACTCTTCCTGGGAGGAGAGCAGGGCTTCCTAGACAAATCTGAGCTCCCAAAATCAAGCCTTGCCCCAGTGTTCAACTAAAGGATGGGAGTATATGAAGAATTGCAGCATCCTGCTTCCCTGTTAGAAGTTGATGATTAGCCCCATTCTGATGAGAAGGACCAATGCTGGGAAACTCAGGGTTGTAGCCAACCAAGTTCCACTTGGGAGCAGACCCGCTGAAGTGAATGGACTGAAGTTAGTCATGTTCACTCATTTCAGCGGATCCACTCTATGACAGCCGCAGCCCTCAGATCTGCAAATCGGCTTCCTCTGTCCATACGCTCAGCATTACCTTGTGTGTCAATGTTTCCTCACTTCTTCCTAAGAGCCAGCAACAAACTTACCAGAGGGGGAAGGTTCTTTTCTTGTCTCTGCCCATCCGATTTCTGTTAATGGTGGTCGAGCATGGCACAGCATCAAGGTGGTGGGAGCTGTTGGGAAGGGTCGGAACCCACTGACTGTTCCTTTTTGCCTTCTGTTCTCTAGGAGAGGAGACCACTGGTGAATGGGGAACAATCTTCAGAACCTAAGCATTTGTATGTGTGTGAGAGTGAACGCACACAAACCTCAATGGCATGACCCTTCATCTGCAACATGCTGCAAATATAGTGACTCAAATAACATAAGACTAGACTACTAATACAACCCAGGATCCCACTGACAGGAAAATCAAGAGCTGTTGGTTAAAGTGAGTAACTTTTAGAACTTTTCATTATGCTGCAAGTCTCCTGAGGAAACTGAGGGTCTTTCTTCACACAGTTTCTTTCTGCCTTGTTTGGCTTTTCTTTTCCCAGAAAGGAGAGCCACTGTGGTATAGTGCTTAGAGCATCAGGCTAGGACTGGGGAGACCCTGGTTCAAATCACTACCTGCCCATGAAGCTCACTATGTGATCTTGGCCAGTCACCAACTCTTAGCCTAACCTACAGGGTTGTTTTGAGGATGAAATGTGGGAGCAGCAGCACCATGCACATAACCTCAAGCTCCTTTGGGGGGGAAGGCAATATATAAATATGTAACTACCTAAGGTAGGTGGGAGGCTCAGTGCTGATGGAGACTGCCTTGTATTTCTCATCATTTCCATCCAGGATCTCTTCTACTTCAGAGGCTTTCAAGAGAGTCACACTTGTGGCCAGTGTGGTATAACCGTGATCTAAAAGAGGAGAGGGAGGAAGAGAAAGTGGTGTGGATCATGAGGGGTATCATCTGCCAGGTGAGGAGATTCCCCCCCCCCCACCGCTAAGAGATGCAGTCACCCATTTCATGGTCCCTTCAATAGTCCGCATGGGCTGGAGCCAGACTGCCCATAGAATAAAGTGAGCTTCCCTGGCCCCCTTTCTCCTGCGTTTCTGACAAGCAGCTTTCACAAAACGGAGCTAAAAACTCTCCCTTTGCAAACACTTGAAGAACTCAAGTCACTTTCAGGTTAGGCAGAATATAGCACATCCCTGCCCTTCAAAAATCTTTTAAGAGACCTATGCTGTCCAGTCCCTGAGACAAACTCCAGACACACTCTTGGAAGCATATCCTATATCCAGGGCTGATTCAAAGAAACCAGAACCGGCCCAAAGTCTATACTGAGGGGATGTAAAGGTGGGCAGGATTTATCCCTTTCCTATTCTGAGCTGAGCGAGGATTTAGCACCAGTAGAGTGGCAGGTGCATCCCTCTCCCCACTCGGCTTGCGTACTAGATTGCTAAACCCATGGCAAGATCGCTCGTTGCCACCTCTACACCCACGAGAAGAAAAAAGCTGCATATCTAAGAGCTACCAAAAATGCTAACAAGCGTTTGGCACAGTGCTGGAATCCAAGGCCCTGCAGGAAGAGGGAGATGCTCTTCTTCAGGGAAGACATCCTTGCTTGTCAAAAAGCAATGTGAGGCTCCCCGACCCCTACTCTGGGCTCCACAGATAAGACCAGAAAATCTTAAAATCAAAGAGGCGGCAAAGCAAATTCAGCATATATCAGGTAGCCCTTTGGACACTGCAGGAAGACTCGGTGCAAGCAAAGCAGAGCCTCAGTAAGAAGAAGAGACCCCCAAGTTTAGACTTACATCTTCTGGGACTGTGACTCCGTTGGTTTTCTGTGGGGAAGAGAGAAGAAAATGTCAAAGGGGCAGATGCTGATGCCGGGGACCTTGCAATGCTGGCTGGTGGGGTGGGGAGTTAGGGATGGGAGACGATGACAACAGCACAACCTCCTCCCCCTCCTTGGAAGGGCTGCAACCCCCTCCCCACAAAAACCCCTCCCGCTGCTTGAGGCTGCATAGCCAACAAGGGGGGGGGGGGTCCTGGAAAGGGGCTGGCCAGGAAGCGGTCCTCCCTTCCTCCTACCAGCAGGTTGGTGTGTGTGGGCAGGGCCGGATTTAGGTTTGATGAGGCCCTAAGCTACTGAAGGTAATAAGGCCCTTTATATGTCCAGCTGTCCTTTGTCAACAACAAATTGTCCCTTTTTTGTGTTAAATATCTGCTATATGGTAATTTATGGACCTAATAGGTATCGAAAGCCATATGCACACAACAAAATATGTATTTTATCAAAGTAATTGTTGAACTAAAATACAATTAAAGAAGTATATTAATAGTGAAATAATTATGAAGCCTTTTATATGTCCTGCTGTCCTTTGTCAACACTAAGTTGTCACAGTTTTTTGTGCTGAATATATGCTATATGGTAATTTGTGGACCTAATAGGTATCTAAAGCCATATGAACAAAACAAAATATGTCTTTTATCAAAGTAATTGTCGAACTGAAATACAATTAAGTAGTATATTAATAGTGAAATAATTATGAAGCTGTAACTTAAAATGATTTATTCATAAACCTAATAATGCAAACACATTGGCATTTGGCAGTAACAAAAGTTCCTTTAGAAACACAAAGACTCATAATTTTTTTTGGGGGGGCCCCCCAAGAGAGTGGGGCCCTAAACTACAGCTTGTTTAGCTTATAGGTAAATCCGGCCCTGTGTGTGGGGTGGGGTTGGGGGCCTGCCCGCCCTGCTCACCCACCGTGGGAAGAGGCGACGATCTTCTTGCGCTCCTCCACCGTGGCCAGGCGCCTCCAGAGCGACGGGTAGCGCTTGTACAGGGAGCCCCGGAACATCCGCAGGTAGTTGCCCACCTGCAAGGGGACGCAGCCACAGGACCCGCCTCGTCAGGCGCCGCCGCCCGCTCGACTGGGACCCCCCCCCCCCAGCCTCCCCCAACGAGCGCGGGAGGCGACGCTCCAGCCCCTCCGCCTCCCTCGGCCGCCGCCGCCGCGCCCCGCTCCCTCCTCACCTCAGAGCCTATCATGAAGAACTCGCCGTCCTCCTCCAGCTGGAACTTGACGGGCTTCTGCCCGAAGGTCTTGCTCAGCGCCATCATCATCATCTCGGCGGCGGCGGCGTGAGGCAAGGCCGGGAGGGATGGAGCAGGCCGGGCCGGGAAAAAGCGACGGGAGGCGGCCGCGGCCTAACTGGGAGGGCTAGTGCGCACGCGCAGCCACGGCAGCCACGCTCCTTGCCGGCGGCGGGAGGGCGACGGAGGCCACGCCCCATGCCCCTCCCTCCTCCCTGCTGCGCTTCCAGCTCCTCACTGCGCCTGCGCGAGGGGAAGGGCGGGTTTTCCTTTCTTTCTTTCCTCCTCCCACGCCGGAGGGGGGAAGGTTATGAAAAGGAAACCCCGCCCCTTCCCTCCCCTGGAGGGCGGGATTGGCTGAACTCTAGGGGTGGAGCCTGTCCGCAGGCCTTTGGCTGCGCCGCGCAAAAAGCCCTCTAGAGGGCGCTCCTACCTCCCTTCTGACTGGTGCTCCCTGCAGCCCGGACTGTCTGAACTGGGGTGAGCGAGTTATTTATGTATTTATTTTATTTATTTAATTTCTATACCGCCCTATACCCGAAGGTCTCAGGGCGGTTCATATAAAATATCAAATACATAAAATCAAAACGAAACCAGCAACCCAATAAAACCCTCCAAAAGAGCCAGTATTTTAAAAAAATGGTATAGGATGTAGGTCAAGTCAGGCAAAGGCCTGGCTGAAAAGGAACGTTTTTGCCTGGCGCCTAAAGGTGTATAGTGAAGGCACCAGGCAAACTTCCCTGGGGAGAGCAGTTGCACTATCTTCACCATGGCTGTCAACTTTCAGATTTGAAAATAAGGGATCAGCAGCCTCGAAAATAAGGGATCAGCAGCCTCACCTGTCCTGGGGACAGTCTATGGGATATCTAACAATCCGGGATAGCAGCTGGAAGCAGCGGGAAATGGCGCTGCAATAAGGGAATTTCCTGCAAAAAAAGGGAAGGTTGACAGCTATGATCTTCAGTTGGGGAGTTCAACTGCCTGAGCGTGGGAATCAACCGCCAAGCCTGGAGATCTGCTGCATCTGAAACTGCTGCTGGTGGATCCTACCCTGGTATTGCTCCTTAAACTAGCCAATCCTAACAGTTTAGGAGGGTGGGAAAAATCCAAGTCATTTCGCATTTTGAGTACCTGATTCACACTCCCTGAAATGGAGACACAGCAAGAGGCAGTGAGCTAATGAGATGCCCCTTTCAAAGTGCGCAGGGACAAAGGCTGGATGGGATGAGATTCTCACATTAACAACAACAACAAATATCTAGCCTTTGTTCTTAACTGTTGTCTTCAACCCCCCCCCCCCCCGGAAACCAAGACCAGTTATTTCTGTTGCACCTTTCATTTCCTCCTGAGAGAGGCCATGCAGATCTGAAAGAACATGCAAGTTATTCAAGCTGAAGATAGCTAAAAACAAAACAAAACCTAAACCCATATTGATTTGCAGTTAACCAACTGCACAATCCATACATCTTGCCACCAGATGGAGATACTGTATGTGTCTGAGCTCTCTCTCTCTCTCTCTCTCTCTCTGTGTGTGTGTGTGTAAGAGAGAGAACTGCAACCACAATATTGTACCTCTTCATCAGTGAGGGGGAATGCAGTGAGGATCTAGGAAAGAGTTCGTGTTTTGAGTCACTTTGAGGGTGTAGCTGCTTTCTTTTTAGCAAAGCTGCTGCCCTCCTCCTGCACCCTGAGACAGTTATTAAGAGGCTGACATATTTGCATAGGGACACGGGTGGAGCTGTGGGTTAAACCACAGAGCCTAGGACTTGCCGATCGGAAGGCCGGCGGTTCGAATCCCCATGACAGGGTGAGCTCCCGTTGCTTGGTCTCTGCTCCTGCCAACCTAGCAGTTCGAAAGCACGTCAAAAGTGCAAGTAGATAAATAGGTACCACTCCGGTGGGAAGGTAAATGGTGTTTCCGTGCGCTGCTCTGGTTCGCCAGAAGCAGCTTAGTCATGCTGGCCACATGTCCCAGAAGCTGTACGCCGGCCAGATTACGTCTGTAATCTGAAGCGTATGTAACCTGAGATACCACTGTACAATATTTTTTTCTCAAAACAACATATACAGTGGTACCTCAGGTTACATACGCTTCAGGTTACAGACTCCACTAACCCAGAAATAGTGCTTCAGGTTAAGAACTTTGCTTCAGGATGAGAACAGAAATCGTGCTCTGGCGGCACAGCAGCAGCAGGAGGCCCCATTAGCTAAAGTGGTGCTTCAGGTTAAGAACAGTTTCAGGTTACGTATGGACCTCCGGAACGAATTAAGTACTTAACCCGAGGTACCACTGTACAGTTATAAAAAGCATACATTATTCAAAATTAAAAAGGTGTCATTAAATGCATCCCAGGGCCTCTGAATCTGGAACAGATGAGTAAAATCTGTCTGCATCTGGTTGTTCTCTTTTCTTCAACCAGATCTCCACTCACCCTCTTTATAGCAGCGTATGTTTGCAGTTGTTGACATGCTATAAATTACAACTTGGAGAGGCACTCCCACCATGGCATCCTGCCGGAAATTATATTCCAGTGTTTACTTCAGGCTTCAGGCTGTTTTTGAAGGAAACATGGCTGCTGGAGGCACTCTCGACCAGGAAGAAATGACTTGCCCTGTTTGCCACCAACCTTTCTTGGACCCAGTGATTACTGACTGTGGGCACAGTTTCTGCCTCGCTTGCCTCATCCTGTATTGGAGTGACTCTGATGCAGCAGGTTCTTGCCCTCAGTGCGGAAAACCTTTTAAAGAAGGCAGCTACAGGCGGAACCATGAGCTAGCAAGGCATGCAGGGGAATCTACAAAATCTAAAGAAGGGGAAGATGCGAAAAGCAAGACAGGAATGTGTGATAAGCCGGAGGAACTCCTGGAATCCTGTGAGGGTGATGATCGAATGGTTCGAAAGAAAAAGGTAGGAAACTAGGGAGGGGAGGGAGGGAAATGAATTTGGCTTGCTTACTTTAAAAAAAGTTCATTTGATTCACATGTATCTCTTCCACAAAATTTATGCATACAAACCAGAAAGCAGTTTACAAAAATAATAAAACAATAAAGTTATCGATAAAAGCAGTTAAACAGCATTTAAAACATTCAAAAAGTAATTAAAATCTGCAATAAGCTGAAAACAGAATAAAGCATATGCTACCCTCTGCTTGCTCATAATTAACCCGCCATGGGCCCACACTTTAGCTTGGTCTTTTAGGAACACAGAGTGACACTGTACAATGTTATAAATGAGACCCTCCCCTACTGATGGACTTGGGAAATTGTTGTCACCAAATCAACTAGGGTTGCTAGGTCAGGAGAATGAAATTTCAAGGCCCAGACCTGAGACCTAAGGGAGCCCCCTGTTGATGTCATTGGGGCAGGCCCTGGAGACGGAGGTTAATTGGGAGAAGGGATTGGAGGAGGACAGCCTCCTCACTGAGTGTCTGTGCTATGATTTGCAACTGGCTCCTACTGGGCTGAGGCTTGCAAGTTAGATGTACAAAATTCTTAATTACTATTAATAATGCATAGTAGAGGAAATTGCATACAAATGTATGTATATTGGGGGAAAAACGCTGTAAAATGCTGGTGAATTTTCATGAGCTGCTCCTTTCTATTTATTTAATATGTTGGCAAAGTGGTGCAGAATTGTGACAAATTGAACATAAGATTGGTGGTGGGGGGGAATGAAAAACACCAGAATGCACAGATTCATTCATCCCTACTTCTTGATATCGCAAGTGACACCTTGGCTTCTAAAGCCTCATCGGTGGTGTTATGTACTGAAGTTCTCACCCTGGGCCAGCAGGGGGATACTGTAGATAGTTTTCACTCAGGTCCACATATGCAAATAAGGGATTGAAAGTGACGTTCAGCGATTGGATAGTTACAGAAAATGGTTACTGTTGCGTTGTAGTGGAGCTGTATATAAGCAGGCTGGCTGAACCTTCAGTTCAGTTCTGTTCTGGCCTGTGAATAAACAAGAGCTGTTTGAAGAATCACTGTGCCATCTGATATGTTCACCCACAACTTAACAGGTGGTATTGTATCTTTCTGGTTAATTACTCTGGTTGTGTAGAAGAACTCAGCTGTTACATTTCCATGTTGGGAGGGGGGAGGAAAACGAAGGAGTGGATGGAGTTGTACTTCTAAATCAAGAACTTTACTAAGAAACATCTGATTTTTAAAAATATTTTTAAGGGAACCATGATACCGAAAGGGACGTCCACACTGCTTGTAGTTATGGAAGAAGACATTAAGTGCCCTATTTGCATAGACTATTTAACAGACCTTGTGACTCTGGATTGTGGCCATAACTTTTGTAAGGCCTGCATCAACCATTACTGTGAGATATGGAAGGAAATCGGTCCACTGGAATGTCCTATCTGCCAAACCAAGATCCAGAAAGGGAATTACCGGCCAAACTGGCTGCTGACCAGCATTGTAGAAAACTGCAAACGCTGCAAAGGAGCACTGTGTGACAGACACAAGGAAAAACTTCTACTGTTCTGCAAAGAAGACAGAGAATTGCTATGTTCCAAGTGTGAACATTCTCCACAGCACAGCCAGCACTCAGTGGTTCTCCTGGAGCATATTGAACAGGTAGGAACTACCGTATTTTTTGCACCATAACACTCACTTTTTTCCTCCTAGAAAGTAAGGGGAAATGTCTGTGCGTGTTATGGAGCGAATGCCTACGGGTGGCAGGGGGATCTGCTGCAGTTGTGAGCAGAGGATCCATGGTTCCCCTTCCTTCCCTCCTCCATGGCTCGCTTTGAAACAGCAAAGCGGGAGAAGAGCCGCTGAGTGGGGAGGAGAGAGGGACAGAGAGCCTACTTGCTTTAAAGGAGCAAAGCGGGAGAGGAGAGGAGCCGCTTACACGAGTCCAGAGCTGTTTTTTTCAGCGAGCCGGGGAGGAGGGAGACAACAGCTCGCTAAATAGCAGCAAAGTTTTTCGCAAGCAGGCTCTCTGTCCCTCTCTCCTCCCCATTCAGCTGGCTTAAATAGCAGCAAAGTTCTTCAGTGAGCCAGGGAGGAGGGAGAGAAGCAGAGCCTTTAAAGGAGCAAAGCGGGAGAGGAGAGGAGCTATCTCCTCTTATACCCCTCTTCTGCATTATTAACAGCATCCTTCTCCACCCACCCCACGCGTGTTCCTTGTCCCTTGAGTGCTTTTCCTTCCCTCCCCACTTAAAACGTGGTTACAAAGCACAGATCCACATGGATCCTCAGGATTTTGCATTGGGCTACCCCAAACTCACTGTCAGATCACATGTCTGTGGCCACAGCATGAACCACAAAAATCATACATCTACTGTTTCGTTTAGAATATTTTTTTTCTTGTTTTCCTCCTCTAAAAACTATGTGCGTGTTATGGTCAGGTGCGTGTTATAGAGCGAAAAATACGGTAGTCTAGATAAGCCCCAAACAACATTGTTTTGCAATGCAGATCTCTGACCAAAAACAAAATAGGTTACAGAAGGCATATATATATATATGAGGGGGAAACGCAGTGCGTTTATTGGTGAAAATAAAATGCAAAATTATGTTGTATTAGGGGGAAATGAGTTCCAAAAAATTTCTTATATGGAGAGCAGTTCTGTCCATCCCACCCACCAGTTTAGATATTTGTACTTTAAATTTTTTGGCACTCCAGGTTCCATGGAAATCTTTGCCACTCTAATGGTGATAGGAGTGGGTTGAATCCTGTGTTGTAGCTGTTACCCCCTGCCCAACCCCCATGGCTCAAGTTTGACAAGTGGGTAGGATCACCTGACATAATTAGGAGCTGCTAGACCCATACCAAAAGGGACGCAGGTGGCGCTGTGGGTTAAACCACAGAGCCTAGAACTTGCCGATCAGAAGGTTGGCAGTTCGAATCCCTGCGACTGGGTGAGCTCCCGTTGCTCAGTCCCTGCTCCTGCCAACCTAGCAGTTTGAAAGCACATCAAAGTGCAAGTAGATAAATAGGTACCGCTCCGGCGGGAAGGTTAACGGCGTTTCCATGTGCTGCTCTGGTTTGCCAGAAGCGGCTTAGTCATGCTGGGCACATGACCCGGAAGCTGTACGCTGGCTCCCTTGGCCAACAAAGCGAGATGAGCGCCGCAACCCCAGAGTTGGCCACGACCGGACCTAATGGTCAGGGGTCCCTTTACCTTTACCTAGACCCATACCTGAACCTCAGCTGACTCCTATCAAGTCTCTTCTCTCCGGACGTCTCCTTGAGAGGAGGATTTTACTCCTGAGGAGTCCTTGCCAGTAACTGACTACTGATGGGAATGGGCTGGGTTTGTATTGGGCACTGCCTTTCTCTAGGGCTCAGGACCCATTTGGCTTCAGTGTCAGAGGACTAACCTTGGTTGTGAACAGCCCCTACTTAGTTTTGTGTGAGGACCCCAACTCCCTGCCCCCAGATGGAGCCTGATTCAGAACTTGGTGTAGGGCTCCCCCAGCTGGGACGTGACAAGGTGAGATTCACCTCCCCACACTTTTAGTCTGAAGTGGTACAGTCAAACCTCAGTTGTTGAATGTAATCCATTCCAGAAGACTGTTCAACTTCCAAACGGAGAGCCAGTGTGGTGTAGTGGTTAAGAGTCACGTAATCTGGGGAACTGGGTTCGTGTCTCCGCTCCTCCACATGCAGCTGCTGGGTGACCTTGGGCCAGTCACACTTCTCTGAAGTCTCTCAGCCCCACTCACCTCACAGAGTGTTTGTTGTGGGGGAGGAAGGGAAAGGAGATTGTTAGCCACTTTGAGACTCCTGAAGGGGAGTGAAAGGCAGGATATCAAATCCAAACAACTCTTCTTCTTCTTCTTCTTCTTCTTCTTCTTCTTCTTCTTCTTCAAAATGTTCGACAACCGAGGTTCAAATGGCTGTAGGCAAAGTCAGTGGAGAAAAAATATCAAAACTCTCCGGGAGCCATTCAGCTTCCGAAAATCGTTCAAAAATCCGAGCAGTTACTTTGGGTTTTTGGCGTTCAGAAGCCAAAACATAAGATAATGGAGGTGTTTGGGAACCAAGGTTTGACTGTACAAACCAGTTTTTTATTTTTTTAAAAAATAAGAAATAAGAAATAAAATAAAAATGTACACCCCACTTCCGAGACCATTCCATTGTAACTATCCAACCTCCCAAAATTTGAACACCTCTTGAGATGGTTTGACCCTTTTCCGTTTTAACAGTAAATATTCTACAAATACCTTCCATAGCTCCTCAAAATAATCTCTCCTGCATATTCCCCATTTTACCTGACAAGGTGAGATTCAAGGCGAATATATATACCACAAAAGCGATGAGGAACCTGCTGTGGCCCTTCTGTCACCAGATACTGATGTGGACTCCTCTTATACATAAAGACCTAACTGCCCTGAGGTTTACCAATAGGGATGCAGGTGGCGCTGTGGTCTAAACCACTGAGCCTCTTGGGCTTGCTGATCAGAAGGTTGGCAGTTCGAATCCCCATGACGGAGTGAGCTCCTGTTGCTCTGTCCCAGCTCCTGCCAACCTACCAGTTCGGAAGCATGCCAGTGCAAGTAGATAAATAGGTACCACTGTGGCGGGAAGGTAGATGGCGTTTCTGTGCGCTCTGGTCCCGTTGTGCCAGAAGCGGTTTAGTCCTGCTGGCCACATGACCCGGAAAGCTGTCTGTGGACAAACGCCGGCTCCCTCGGCCTGAAAGTGAGATGAGCGCCGCAACCCCATAGTCACCTTTGACTGGACTTAACTGTCCAGGGGTCCGTTACCTTTACCTTTAAACCTACAGTTTACCACTGCCTGTTTACAGATTCCCTCCCACTAGAAAGCTCTGACAGGGTGGCAAGGGAGACTTTGGGATCTTTCTTTTCAAGCATTTAATTCAACACAGAAGGGTTGTTAGAGGCCAAAGTAAACAGGATGGACAAAGTACGATTCCTATATATCAGCCATGTAAATAAAAGTGATGTTAATGACAGACCTCCAACTGCTCGTGTTTACTTACAGAGAATCTGTCACAGATTGGTGAACCTTTGAAGATACATTCAATGGTTCAGTTATTAGGCAGTGTCCCTGCTCAATTTCCCTTATAATATGCGACTTAAGTGTTCACATAACACTGCACAGGTGATCAATGTCATTTTATTATAAAACCAATAAAATATTCCCCCAAAAGGGACACATCCTAGGACAGGAGAAGGGTGGGGGAGGATATGTCATGGGGCCAAAGAGAGCTTCCCAGAGGGCTGCATTTGGCCCCTGGGCCTGCATGTCCCCACACTTGCCCCAGGACCTAGGGAATAAAGAAGAGAAGATCCCTCAAGACTGGTGAATCATTCACTGCTTAGCTCATAATGTGGAGTTTAGGAGAATTCCCATGTTCGCTGGCTAGCAGAAGCGTCACACATCCAGGATTTTCATCTGAGCCAGAGAATAATTTTGTGGTTCTACGTTTTCTTTCCTGAGCCTGAGAAGAAATTCACTGGTACAGTCATACCTTGGGTTGAATGTGCTTCAGGTTGAGCGCTTTCGGGTTGCGCTTCGTGGCAACCTGGAAGTAATGGAGCACGTTACTTCTGGGTTTTGCCGCTTGTGCATGCGCAGACACTCAAAATGATGTCACGCGCATGCATGGAAGTGGCAAAACGCGACCCACAGATGCGCTGTCGCGTCTTACGTTCTATTCAAACTCATTCTATGTTCTGTCCCTGTAGCTGAGACCTCATTTATCTTCTTGTCTTTTTCAGGGGATCAGAAGGAACTTGAACAGGTAGGTAACTATTTCTTGTCACATACAAACACACACACAACTACAGAACAGATTCTGTTTCACTGAAAACAACATGTTCTTACAAGTATGACAACAAATTCTGCTATGTACAATCAACATTTAAAGCAAGGGTGGGAAATCTTTCTCTAATACCCTTTTAACCTTGACGACATTGATTTACCCTTACAACCTTTTACATATATTATAAAACATAAATTTGGAAATTGAGTAATAGGTCTGTGCCTTCTGACGGCAGCAGCCCCCCTCCTCACTTTTCTGCTTTTCCCATCACTTATCCCACAAATTGGGCCAAAGGAATTGTTGCAGGACTCTTACTATATTCATTAGTAGAAAGGGCACCCTGATGTGCTATAAATTTTGGAAAGTGATTTTTCTGCCTGCTCTCTGTGCATTTGGACACCTCTTAAGATCTTGTAGTCAATTGTGCATGGTCTGAAGATCAAGAACAGGTTATTGTCTATATCTGGATAGAACTGGAGTCCATTTTTAATCACAATGTTGGACTGAATCTTTCAACACTGCACTGATTTTGTGACTTCTTAGAATTCCTGATCAGTACCAGGAAATCTCCCTCAAATGCAACCCCTGCTTTCTCCTCTGGTCAATTTCACTCTGAAGTGTGAGGTATGGGAAATGATATTGAGTTGGGGAACCTTTGGATTTCCAGATGTTCTTAGACTACAGCTGTCATCATCTCTGACCCCTGGCAGGGCAACTGGGGCTAATAAGAGTTGGACAGAGTGACAGGTTGCTCACTCCTGGTCTAGAGGGTTCACTAGATTGAAATGTTCTTGGGAGAGAGACCTCCAGGCTCAAAATGTCAGACTGGGAAGAAATTGAGAGCAAAACCAAAGTCGCAGGAGATTTTGAGAGAGATAAAATTATATCAAGTACAATATATGGAAATGATGACTCAGGAAATAGAATGGAAAATTAAACAAATGAGACAAAAAACATTTGAATCAGCTAACAAATGTGGGAAATTGCTGGCCTGGCAAATGAAAAAAAGACAAAAATTAAATACTATTACAAACCTAGAAGTGGAAGGAAAGAATATACACAACCCAACTGAGATTAGAAACTGTTTCCAGAGGTACTTTAAACAATTATACACACAAGGGCCACAGAAAGAAATGGATATAGACCGATTTTTGAAGACAAATGGATTACAAAAAATCTCTCAAGAAAGCAAATTAATGTTGAACTAAAAAATATCTGAACAGGAAGTAGAAGGTGCCATTCAAAACATGCAATTGGGCAAATCTCCAGGACCGGATGGGCTGACTTCTAGATACTATAAATCTTTGAAAGAGTGGTTAGTACAACCTTTGAAGGAAGTCTGCAATGAAATATTGGAAGGGAAAAGGGCACCAGAGTCGTGGAAAGAGGCGTACATTACACTTATACCGAAAACAGAGACTGAAAAGACTCAGCTTAAGAACTACCGCCCTATATCGTTACTTAATGTGGATTACAAAATTTTTGCAGACATTTTGGCCAAGAGATTGAAAAAGTATTGATGGAAGAGATTCATAAAGACCAAGCGGGCTTTCTCCCGGGAAGACACTTGTCTGATAATTTGAGGAATATAATTGATATTTTGGAAAGATTAGAAGTGAATATAAATACTAAAGCAGTTCTGATATTTGTGGACGCGGAGAAAGCCTTTGACAACATCTCTTGGAGTTTTATGAAGAAGAACCTACAGGGGATGGGGGTAGGCCAAGGTTTTGAAAATGGTATAGGTGCAATATACTCTGAACAAAAGGCTAAATTAATTGTAAATAATGTGGTGACGGAAGAATTTAAGATAGAAAAAGGGACACGACAGGGGTGCCCAATCTCCCCACTGCTTTTTATATCGGTCCTGGAGGTTCTGCTGAATATGATTAGAAGGGACCGGTTGGTTAAAGGCATACAGGTCGGAGCCAAACAGTACAAACTGAGAGCATTTGCAGATGACTTAGTATTGACGTTACAGGAGCCAGAATCTAGTACTAAAAGGGTTTTAGAACTAATTCAAGAATTTGGTCAAGTGGCAGGATTTAAACTGAACAAGTTAAAAACTAAGGTTTTAGAGAAAAATTAACACCGATTGAAAGAGAGAGGTTTCAGAATGAGACAGGTTTGACTGTGGTTAAGAAAGTGAAATACCTGGGGATTAATATGACAGCCAAAAATGGGAACTTATTTAAAGATAATTATGAAAAATGTTGGACGGAAGTGAAAAAGATTTAGAAACTTGGTCAAATTTGAAGCTTTCACTGTTGGGTCGTATTGCTGTGATAAAAATGAATGTATTGCCTAGAATGCTGTTTTTGTTTCAAACATTGCAAATTGTGGACAAGATGGATTGTTTCAAGAAGTGGCAGAGAGATATTTCTAGATTTGTCTGGCAGGGCAAGAAGCCCAGAATAAAATTTAAGATATTAACTGATGCAAAGGAAAGAGGTGGATTTGCCCTGCCAGACTTTAAACTTTACTATGAATCAGCAGCTTTTTGCTGGTTGAAAGAATGGCTACTTCTTGAAAACACAGACATTTTGGACCTAGAAGGTTTTAACAATGTATTTGGATGGCATGCATATCTGTGGTATGACAAGGTCAAAGCGCATAAAGCATTTAAAAACCATATTGTCAGGAAAGCATTGTTTAATGTTTGGATAAGATACAAGGATTTATTGGAAAACAAAACCCCAAGGTGGCTGTCACCGATGGAAGCGAAAGCTCTGAAAAGGCTCAATATGGAGGCCAATTGGCCGAAATATTGGGAAATTTTGGAACAAGATGGAGATAGACTGAAACTGCAGAGTTTTGAGAAACTAAAAATAAAGTGCGAGACTGGCTTCATTATTATCAGATAATGGAGGCATATAATTTGGACAAGAAAATTGGCTTCCAGGTGGAAAAATCAAAATTAGAAACAGAACTGTTAGAACCCAAAACTAAGATTTTGTCAAAGATGTATAACTTGCTGTTGAAATGGAATACTCAGGATGAAACGGTGAAATCTGTTATGATTAAATGGGCACAAGATTTTGGACATAACATTATGTTTGCTGACTGGGAACAGTTGTGGACCACAGGTATGAAGTTTACGGCATGTAATGCTTTAAGAGAGAATATTATGAAAATGATATACAGGTGGTACATGACCCCAGTCAAGCTTGCAAAAATTTATCACCTGCCCGATAACAAATGTTGGAAATGTAAAGAAACTGAAGGTATATTCTTTCACCTTTGGTGGATGTGCCCAAGGATTAAGGCTTTCTGGGAAATGATATATAATGAACTGAAAAAGGTATTTAAATTTACCTTCTTGAAGAAACCAGAGGCCTTTCTCCTGGGCATAGTCGGCCAATTGGTGCCAAAGAAGGATAGAACCTTTTTTATGTATGCCACAACAGCAGCAAGAATACTCATTGCAAAGTATTGGAAGACACAAGATCTACCCACTTTGGAAGAATGGCAGATGAAGCTGATGGACTATATGGAACTGGCAGAAATGACTGGCAGAATCCGAGACCAGGGAGAAGAGTCGGTGGAAGAAGAGTGGAAGAAATTCAAAGATTATCTACAGAAATATTGTAAAATTAATGAATGTTAGAATGATGTTGGATAGAAATTAAGTGGTTTCCAGCTGTAATGCTTTAAGGGAATATGAAAAAGGGTTATAAATAGGTAAAAATCTAATGCTATTATTTTTAAGATCAAGGATTAGGATAATTAAAGAGGGTAAGGATTTGCTGAACCAACAGACTGAAGTGGAATACAAAAAAGGGAGGTACGAGGAGGTCCGGGAAACAAGCTAAAGGAAAATAAGTAATGGAAAATCTGGGTGTTTTTAACCATTTTTATTTTGTATTTTTGCTATTTCCCCCCCACTTTTATTGTAATATTTTAAAAAATCTTAATAAATATCTTACCAAAAAAAAACAAACAACAAAAAACAAAATGTCAGACTGGGACTCTTATCTGTGAATGTATCTGCAGGAAATTTCAGTCAAGCATAACTAGCAAGCATTGGGCTAGTTAGTGCATGAAGGGGTTAAAACCACAGAGTTAGATTCCTACACTCAGCTAGGTCATGCTCCCTTTCCTCAGGAGAGGAAGGAAGTGATGCCTTCCCTCCCTCCCTCCCTAGCTCTCCATGCAATGTAACTGACCAAGGAGGATGTGCCTAAGCTTGTTCTCCAAGCTTAGAACACGTGCTTGAAGCTACCGTATCTTTCGCTCTATAAGACGCACCTAGTTTTTAGAGGAGGAAAACAAGAAAAAAAATATTCTGAATCAAATGTTGTTGAAGAAAGCAACGCAAAGCTTCAGCGTAAGCAACGCAAAGCCTCTTCAGCGCAACGGGAGGAACGCTCCCGCTGCCCTGAAGAGGCTTCACACGGCTATCCCAGAAGCTAGAACAAGAGGAATCGCTGCGCAGCAATCCCTCTTGCTGTTCTGGCTTCAGCGATAGCTGCACAGCCTGCATTCGCTCCACAAGACGCACACACATTTCCCCTTACTTTTTAGGAGGGAAAAAGTGCATCTTATAGAGTGAAAAATATGGTATCTTGCTGTATTTTCTCCACAGAACAACACATGTATCAGACTTTTGAATAGGTAAGTAAATAATTTTAAACTTAGCAGTGTGTGGTGTGTTCAATGAGGTCTGTTGCTTCAGCGGACTAAACAGAACTTTTAAACAGGATTAACAGTCTATTCCTATGCTGTACTGCTGCACAAGTTGTGACTTGATTTTAAATTCTGCTGGGGCTTTCTGTGTGCTAGCCCTGTGTTTTGAATCTAGGTACCTGGTCAGTTCTTTTGTTGTTCACCCACACAAGTGAGTCCACAGGGATTCATATATTAATTCCCCCACAGCATCTTCTCTTCGTATGTTCTTACTACACATTTGTATGGGAGGGCAAGGGGATTGTTGAGTACTGAAAGCTGTCCATCTTCCCTTCCAGGTCCAAAGATGAGGAGGAAGTGGGGCATGAGTTGGTTAATCACCCCAACAGTTGCTCACCGGAAAAAATTGCTCTGATCAAGATTACGGGAAAATGGGAAGGTATTGGGGGCAAACAAGGGAGCGGGAAAATACGTTGAACTCAGAGACTTGCTAGTGCTCAGGGGCATGGCAAGGGGTGTGTATGTGGGGGGTGCGGTCCGTCCTGGGTGTCATGCCTAGTGTGTGTGTGACAAAACCCGCCTCCCAGGTGGATTGGCATGGTGGCGCTCGCACCCCCGGTGGGTGGATTTTAGTGATTGGCCAAGACCTCTGACCTGTATCAGAACGCCATCATGCACTGAACTGTGATGCATTACAATAGGCACTCTAGACTCCCTTCTGTTATTAAGGCTAGCCAATTGATCAATCAATTCCTGCAAAGGGGCTCCATCCAGTTGCTCCATTTGACACCCAGCTTCTAGCAAATGATGCCCAAACTGATCCCTAATACCCAATCCATCTAGTCCTGTTCTCAACAGTAGTTGACATCTAGTCCTGTTCTCATTAGAAGCCTAGTTGGGGGAAAAACCATAGCTCAGACCTAGAGCATCTGCCTTGAATGCAAAAGGTTCCAGGTTCAATTCTCAGCATCTCTAGGTAGAGCTGGGGAATAGACAACCCTGTTTGGAACTCCAGAGAACTGCTGAATAGACAAGATTGTTCTGTATGGACCAAGGTATAAGGCACCTTCCTCTGTTTCCATCCATGCACATCTCCTTCCAGGAGCACCTTCCGGGGGTGTGGCCTGGGGAGGAGGCGTGGCCTAGGGAGAACCTTGAGGACCAGTTCAAGAGGACCTTGGGTCTCAGTTCTGCACCTGTAAGACAGGTTTCTGATTAGATCGAGCTGGGCTTGTTTTTACGTTCATCAAATCTCCACTTTCCCTCTGTCCTGCAGGAAGTATAATTCTGGATCCAAGCACAGCATATCCATACCTCATTGTGTCTGATGACCTGAAAAGCGTGAGATGGGGAGACAGAAAGCAGGATGTGCCTACGAGCCTTGAGAGGTTTCACTTTGATCCCTGTGTCCTGGGCTGCGAGAGATTTGATTCAGGAAAACATTGGTGGGAGGTGGAGGTGGGGATGGAGGTTGAGGAGGAAGAGGCTGAGTGGGCTGTGGGGGTTGTACGAAAATCTTTCCAGAGGAATGCGGAGAGCAGCCTTAGTACTTATTGTGGGATCTGGACTGTGGGAAAGGAGAGGAATTCTGGCCATGGCTCATTGAGTGACTCTCTTCCCCCCTGTTGCCTCTGGGCTTTTACTTCTCCCAAGTGGACCATTTTGAGACTGGAACTTCTGCCCAGGAAGATCAAGGTGTCCCTGGATTATGAAAAGGGAGTTGTGGAGTTTTTCGATGCTGATTTGGACAAACCAATCTTCAAATTCTGTTCAGCCTTATTTAACAGGGAGATGGTTATTCCCTATTTGCGGGTAGGACGTGGTGTCACCCTGAAATGCTCTTGAGGAGAAAGCCACATCTCTGCATCAATGGGGCAAATGGTTCTCACGAATGACTACTGGTTCCTGAACATGCATTGCTGAATCTTTTATCTGCGGGCCAGGAGTTGGGATGTGTCTAGCCAAAGGCAAGGCGGTTCTTTTAAAATTCAGAAGTAATACAGAATACACAAGTGAGTGAGAAGATTAAAGGTTTTATTCCAAAACAGCAAGCGATGTATACATACCAAGCAAGCACTTCAACCTGCCAATTGGAAGCCCTCAAGAAGCAGTGAAGCAACCTGCCTCCCCCGTAGCCTCAGTTGACACAGCCCTGCGGACGATCGGTCCGTGCACGAGCTTCAGAGAAACTCTGCCCAAACCACCAGATTTTAGACGTAGGAGTGCAAATATCCAGAGTGTGGGGTCAGGTGGGATTACTATGAGGAATTATAAAATATGCATCAAGCCATTGTGTCCACGATGAATGCATTGTGTTGACTGGGTTTGAGACATTGACAATAATTTCTTATCAAATCCCACAACCCTCTGCATCTCTGGCCATTTCCTCTACTGTCCATTTCTCTTGCTTGACAAGTCACGTACTGCAGACAGGCATCCTGGGTCATCAAAGAAAGTGGGCAGTTTCTTTGATGTAGCTTTTCTGATATGTTAATCTTTGGATGTTAATCTTAGGGCCAGAAGACAGGTCTCACATAAAGGTGATAATGATCGCTGTCCTCCTGGCCATCCTTCTTATCATGTGTATTGATTGTTTATGACCTCCGGGGTTGCTGAATGCACTCCTTTGTAGTTTTCATTCATTTACCCCAAAAGTATGCATGCTTAACTAGGGTTTGTAGTTTAACTTTGTCCCCACGTGGGGTTTGTTGAAATGCTCAGAAGAAATCTGATTGGTTCTAACGAACGCTCTGTAAAAAGTTCTTTTGTGAATAAAACGACCTGGGCCGGAGGGAGAGACACAGAGATTATTATACGCACCCTTCCCAGAGTCTTGCTGGTTCAAGCCTCTGTGTGTATTCTTATTAATCAGAGTTCAATCCTTCCTTTACTTTGAGAACGCCTCATTTATAGACAAACCTGTGCAGCTTTCAAGACTGGCTGCGTGCGGATCATCCATTAGCCACCCCCTCCCAATGCCTCACTTTCTCAGAACATGTCAAACATGAAAGAAGGTAGCCAGTACTACCCTCCCAAACTGATAAGGCAGCTGGGAGGCGGGGCTTCACCTCCTCCCAACGTTCCCAAAACATTTAAGACTGTTCTCAAAACATTTGAGAGAGGGGAAGGGGGAAGGAAGGGCTCAGTGTCAGACCACTAACTGCTCAATACATTTTGTCTTCCGGATGCATTTCCCATACAGGATGTTGGAGGAATCCATTGAAAAGGGACTATCAAATGGATTACCTTCGGTCTGCCTCTTGGACCTCTATCACAGCATAGTTTCTCTACCAAACACATTTTTTTAAAAAAAGAACCCTAATGGCTAGAAAGCAGCTTCCTATGGCTACCCATGCCAGTCTCGCCATGCATCTGTTATATTTTTAATTTCATAAAATTTGTAGACTGCTTGATTGTGAAAAAAACAACAACCCCAAAGTGTTTTGCAAAAGAACCTTCTGTGCCTGCCTTACTGCAGTTTGCAATAAACTTTTTCTACTTTCCACCTCATCTGTCTGGAAAGTACAAAAAGATATCCCAAAAAATTTAAGAGAAATATTTTTATGCGCTACGGCAGCAGCCCGAACATTAGTAGCAAAGAACTGGAAAGGGGAAAATGTTCCAACTATAATGGATTGGCAGAATAAGTTACAAGAATATGTGGAAATGGCACAATTGACCAACAGCCTAAGGGGCAGTTCAAGACAAGAATTTGCACAAAAGTGGGCTAAATATAAGAGATATGTACAAAAATATACAGTGGTTTTTCATCTACGGCAGCATTTGACTGACCTTGGATAAAGAAATATATGAGAAATAAGAGCAACAGTATAAATTTCTATAAGAATGTATTAGAGAATATATAAAGAATAGATTAATAATGGCAGGTACATTCACTATTAGAATAAAATCATACAACGGGAATTGACAGGAAGTCCAAAGTCCTTATGATATTTTTTGTTAATAATCTTTGCTAATAATCTTTGTTAATAATTGCATAAAAAGTAGCATAAATACAGATGAAGCTTAAGGTTCATAACTATGTAAGAAAGGATATGTTGTTTTTTTCATTTTTTGTGTACATGATTGAAATTTCAATTTACTTTAAGAGATGCACTATGTATATGTAGTGTATTGTAAAACTTAAAAAAGCTTGTTACATGTTTAAAAACAAACAAAAAGAAAAATACTTTCCACCTCTGAGTGATTTATTGGTTTTGGGTAACCCCGGTCCTAGGGGGTCTTCAACCATTTCACTAGTTTAAAACATATAAAAGTTACTGGTAAATAACTTAAGCAGATAAAAAAAAATCCCTCAACTTTCTAAGCATCTGGATAGGTAAAGGTAAAGGGACCCCTGACCATTAGGTCCAGTCATGACCGACTCTGGGGTTGCGGCGCTCATCTCGCTTTATTGGCCGAGGGAGCTGGCGTACAGCTTCCGGGTCATGTGGCCAGCATGACTAAGCTGCTTCTGGTGAACCAGAGCAGCACACGGAAACGCCGTTTACCTTCCCGCCAGAGTGGTACCTATTTATCTACTTGCACTTCATGCTTTCGAACTGCTAGGTTGGCAGGAGCAGGGACTGAGCAACGGGAGCTCACCCCATTGCGGGGATTCAAACCGCCGACCTTCTGATCGGCAAGTCCTAGGCTCTGCGGTTTAACCCACAGCACCACCTGTGTCCTGTAAGCATCTGGATAGGCTTTTCTAAACAGGAATGTTTTTAGCAGGCAGCGAAAAGAGTGTCTTCAAGGCAGCTGCTTGATCTCAATAGGCGGGGAGTTCTAAAGTGTGAGAGCTGCCACACTAAACAATCAAGTTATTATAAATGTGGAGCGGACATTATGTGGCAACTCTTAGTAGGGCCAATTCTGCTGATCAAAATAGTCAAGTGCAGACCCTCCAAGTGTCCATATTTTCCAGGGACGTCCCTGATTTAGAGAAGCTGTCCCCGTTTCTGATTTGATCCCGAAATTTCTCGCTTTTTCTTAGGACCTTCCTGTTTTCATCAGAGAAATGAGGGAGGGTATGGAGTTATGTAATCCTGAGCCAAGGAGATAATTAACTATACAACTTTTAGAAGACATCTGAATTCAGCCCTATATGGAGAAGTTGTTCAATGTTCAATGTTTTATTATGTTTTTATAGAGGTTGGAAGCTGCCCAGAGTAGCTGAGACAACTCAGTCAGATCAACGAGATACAAATAATAAAATTATTATTATTATTATGGAATAGGACCTCCCTATTCTGTATACCTGAAGGAGCATCTCCACCCCCATCGTTCACTGAGATCCAGCGCCGAGGGCCTTCTGGCGGTTCCCTCATTGCAAGAAGTGAGGTTAAAGGGAACCAGACAGAGGGCCTTCTTGGTAGTGGCACCTGCCCTGTAGAAAGTCCTCCCATCAGATGTTAAGGAAATAAGCAGCTATCTTATCTTTAAAAGACATCTGAAGGAAGCCCTGTTTAGGGAAGTTTTTAATATTTAATGCTGTATTGGTTTTAACACTCGATTGGGAGCCGCCCAGCGTGGCTGGGGAAACTCAGCCAGATGGGCGGGGTATAAATAATAAAATTATTATTATTATTATTATTATTATTATTATTATTATTATTATTTCAATCAATTAATTGTTGTAGTAGTTCATTGGTACAACATCTTTTCTGCATATAGAAGGCCCCAGATTCAGTTCCTAGCATTTTCATGTAGGCTCTGGAAGGACTCCCTGTCTGAAAAACTAGAAAGTCACTACCACTCAGTACAGTGGTACTTCAGGTAAAGTACTTAGTTCGTTCTGGAGGTCCGTACTTAACCTGAAACTGTTCTTAACCTGAAGCACCACTTTAGCTAATGGAGCCTCCTTCTGCTGCCGCTGCGCCGCCGCGGCACGATTTCTGTTCTCATCCTGAAGCAAAGTTCTTAACCTGAAGCACTATTTCTGGATTAGCGGAGTCTGTAACCTGAAGCGTATGTAACCCGAGGTACCACTGTATAGACCACCCTGAGCTAATTGGACCAGTGGTCTGACTCAGAATAAGGCAGCTTCTTATGTTTCTGGCTAGGAAGCAAACATCTGTATGCCCACAGCCTGAGGGACTCATTTGCATCCAGACTTTGCCTCTGCTCCACCTCTGAAATTCTGCCTCTTAAATGTGCTTAAAGATTTCAGTGGGGCTGGGAGCTGTACTAGGGTTGAAAAGGCTGCTTGCTCCGTAAATGCTGCTAGACCATGGTTCTGCTAGCACCACCAGCTCTATGGTTTCTGGGTCTTCTCTTAGCAGGTACTGGCAATATCCTAGAATCTACAGATTCAGTTCTAGACGCCTTGGCAGAGATCTAGGTCTTATTGCCTTGCCACATGGAGAATTACAGACGGACAAGGACTGCAAACTGGATCTGCGGTTGGATAGGGGACAATCTCTGCAATCCCCTCCTTGCTACTCAGATGGAGACATTGGGCTGGAGCCAAACCTTTCCGTTGAAATCGGTGGAACTTAAGTTGAACTTATCCCATTGATTTCTGTGCTCTGTAGACCTCTGCAGATACCATCTTATCAGGAGGTCTGCTCCATATAACATGGGAACAGAGCCTTTAGTGTGGTGGCACCTGCCTTTGGAATCCCCTCTCATTAAATATCAGACAGGTGCCACCTCTGTTGCCTTTTTGGTGCCTGCGGAAGACCTTCCTCTTCTAACAGGGCTTTTGGGTGGAGATCTTTCCCAGTCCACATCTGTCCTGGAATTACGTTAACATGTTTTATTGCTTGTGTGTTTGCCGCCCTTTGAGAGGGAGGGTGGGCGACAAATCAAATAGATTTCAGTGGGGCACATGTTCAGCTAACTTAACATGGATCCAGCCTCTGATGTTTGTAGAAAGCTGCATCTCTGTGGACAGCGACGTGACCCACCTCAGGGTTATGGAATGAAAGACTCGAAGTTCACAGGCTCACCCAAGGGTCACCAGCATGTTCTGGACCTGCTGTTCTGCTTTAAAAGCAACCTGCTGATGTCTCCGTGTTGTGTTTGTGTCTTCGAACCACAGGCAATGCAGAAGTGATGCTGAACCAGCCTAGCTCTAAGCTGGCACCCCTAGGAAATGTCACTCAGCTCCCCTGCACCCTGTCTGGCGACAGCATCACAACCATCGCAAGCCACACCATCGTCTGGCTCCAGCGGAAGCACCAGGGCTCTCCCAAACGCATTTTGTATTACAAAGATGAATCGAACCAACATAAAGTCTCGGGGGTCCCTGATCGCTTTTCTGCTTTCAAAGATGCCCAAAGCAGCACCTGCTACCTCGCTATCTCTGGGGTCCAGGCAGAGGATGACGGCATCTATTACTGCCTGACATCGGCCGGGGGAGAATACCACAGTGCTTTAGCTTAAGGGAGAACCAAGACCAAAACTCCATCCCATCCCCTTGGGGAATAGGCTATAGACACAGCTGATAAGGAAGTCAATCCGGCAGATGGATTTGCATGAAGACACTTGTCAGAGTCTTGATTCTATTTTTGCAGTTTGGGCAGCGAACGAAAACCCTCCAAACCAAGATCGTGTTTCAGTTCCCACTTGTATAGACTAATAGCAAATCCCTTCTCTTTGATTTCAGATCCTTAGGTAGCTAAATGTCGCCATCTACAGAGAAGAGGGAGCTCTTGGAGGCTTGGTGGTGGGGAGGAGGAATCTAAAGGTTTGCAGAAGTACAAAATGCGGTGAGCCAGTGTGGTTTGGTGGTTAGGGCTCAGTCTAGGACCTTGGAAATCAGGGTTCAAGTCCCCCTAGGACACTAAGTGGAGTAGGTTAGGCCAAAAGACAGAGACTGGCCCAACCTGACAGGGTTGCTGTGAGAATAAAACAGAGACATATTCTACTCATGTAAAAACACACTGATTCCTGGACCATCCGTGGGCCGGATTTAGAAGGCGATTGGGCCAGATCCGGCTTCTGGGCCTTAGTTTGCCTACCCATGCACTAGCAAAAACATGTACATTAGTCAGTGCTGAATCCAAAAAAAAGGTGTGCATTAGGAGAAATTCACATTAAATTACTGGCAAATTTTCATGACTTTCCAAAAAAACTGCAGAGAAGTGGAGAACTCAATTTAAGAATGGAAAAATGAGAAACTTAGAAAACCTGCCTGACTCCAACAGGGTCAAAGCGAAGACTGTAAATTCACTTTGAGAATTCTTATGGGGTGAGACATCAGTGTGATCAAAGAGTGGAACTATCTCCCTCAGGAGGCTGTGGACTCTCCTTCCTTGGAGGTTTTTAAGCAGAAGTTAGATGGCCACCTGTCATGGATGCTTTAGTTGAATTTCAGGGGGTTGGACTAGATGATCCTTGAGGTCCCTTCCAACTCTACGGTTCTATGATTCTATGAAATAAACACAATATCTAGCCTTTTTTTTTAATAATAAAAAAAACTGTCATTCACAGACACCTGGAAACCACAATCAAATATTTCTCCCTGCACCTGTTATGCCCATCAGCTCCCAAGGGAAATTCTGTTGCTCTGAAAGGGCGTTCAGCTTACTCATGCTGTGACTCCCACCAGCTTTGCACTTAGAATTCTCACCATGAGATGGCCCTATGGTAGAATGGATGGTGAGAAAAACTCTTTTCTGAAATAGCATGGAAGGAGCCCCTTTGTAACAGCTGCGCTTTACATATAGCTTTCATTGTACCTGTGCATCCAGGCACTGCCTAACCTCACAAAGTAATCAGGATGAATCCTCAAAGAGAAAGCGACATTGTGCAAACCAGCCAGGAGGAAGGTTTTAGAAAGTAGGTTGTCCTTTTACTGACTGAGTTAATCAAGGAAGGAATGGCTGCTCTGAACTTGGAATAGGGATGGTCTTAAGGAAAAGCGGGGAATTCCAGGATCAAATCAGAAACTGGGACGGCTTCTGTAAATCCAGGACTGTCCCTGGAAAACAGGGACACTTGGAGGGTCAGGAGGGGAAGCAAAGAAGACCATTGGTGAGTTAATCCCTGCTGGAGAGGCAGAGTAAACACTATACAGTGGTACCTCGGGTTAAGTACTTACAGTGGTACCTCGGGTTAAGTACTTAATTCGTTCCGGAGGTCCGTTCTTAACCTGAAACTGTTCTTAACCTGAAGCACCACTTTAACTAATGGGGCCTCCTGCTGCCACTGCGCCGCCGGAGCACGATTTCTGTTCTTATACTGAAGCAAAGTTCTTAACCTGAAGCACTATTTCTGGGTTAGCAGAATCTGTAACCTGAAGCGTATGTAACCCAAGGTATCACTGTAATTCATTCCGGAGGTCTGTTCTTAACCTGAAACTGTTCTTAACCTGAAGCACCATTTTAGCTAAAGGAGCCTCCCACTGCCACCGCCGCGCCACCGGAGCACAATTTCTGTTCTCATCCTGAAGCAAAGTTCTTAACCTGAGGTACTATTTCTGGATTAGTGGAGTCTGTAACCTGAAGCGTCTGTAACCTGAGGTACCACTGTAGAGGGAAAGCCGTTCAATGCTGGGATATTAGAATCCCCACCTTGGTGCTGCCATCTTGCTGTATAAAGGACACACCCCATTACAATTGCGGCAGAAGCATCCTCCATTTATCCTCATCTGTGATGCAGCCACGGAAAGTATCAAGCAGGGATGAGCAACACTGTGTCTCCCAAGATACTCCTGGGCTCCAACTCCCATCAGCCACAGCTGGCGCAACCAATGATCAGGAGGGGTTGGGAGTTGTTCAGCAACACCTGGAGCTCCACAGTTCCCCCACCCTTGAGACAGGGGCTTTATCTATATATGCATGCAAACACACCCACACACCCATGCCAGGAATCCTACATGTTTCTTCCTTTCAAAGACTGGACCCTAGAAGGGAGCAGAAATGCAGATTTGCATAAGGAAGACCTTCCTCAGGCCTCAGGAGGGTTTAAAGGAGAAGAGCATGAGGCTCTTGGTCAGCAGAGCTGCTAGTCTGTCTTCTCCACCATGGGACCGAACCTTCTCCTCCTCTTCTTCTCGGCTTTTTGCAACGGTGAGAAATAGGGATTAGGTTTGATCAGGAGGGTTCCCTGATTAAGCAGCTGTTGACGTTGCTTTGAGCTGCTTTCCCATTTCTGCGATAGCAGAACCAATAAAATCACGGGAAGCATGTCCCGTATTGACACTGGCAAGTTTCAGAGGTGAGTGATGCAATGGTTTGGTTTCCATCTTATTCTTCCCAGGTCTCAGTTCCCAGGCTGCGTTGACTCAGACAAATGGTCCCGTCTCCGTGGCCCTCAGAGGGTCAACAACCCTGTCCTGCACTCTGCAAGGCGTGGAGTTTATCAGCACAGTCCACCCATCCTGGTACCTTCAGAGAGAAGGGAAGGCTCCCCAGTTACTAATCTACAACTCCAGAGAAAGAGCCACAGGTATCCCTGAGCGTTTTTCTGGAGAGACATATGGCAACACTGCAAAGCTAACTGTCTCCAGCATTGAGGAGGGCGACGAAGGGGATTATTATTGTGCAGTGTGGCATGAAAACACGTTGCACCGTGATGCAGTCATATGTAGAACTGGAACAACAACTCTCTGGGCCCGAAAGAGAGGTGCAGGAACAAGAGGAGTGGAGAGGACCTAAAATTGTTGCACGTTTAATGCACTGAAGTAGAGATTTTTTGACTACAGAAGGATACTCTTTCAACTCCAGCTGTTAGCATCTACCTCAGTGTCTCCCATCGTTGGGTCTCCAGCTGTTTTTGGACTGCAACTCCCATCATCCTTAGTTGGCAAGACCAGTGGTCAGGGATGATGGGAATTGAGTGGCGAGTTCCTGTCCCCCCCCCCCAGGGGAAATAAAGAAACACGACACAATTATTAAGGTTAATGGGCTAAATAAGGCCACAACTTTATTGATTACAGGGGATGAGCGGTATTGGCTTAGGCATTGGTCCTAACCGACTATATCCGGCTTCAGCCCGTCCGCTTGAAGTCCGGGAAGGGTTAACCAACAGGAGGGGGAGTCCTGCTGATGCACATCAACTAGGAACTCCCCCGGGGTCACCGCTCAGGGGCGTACATGTGTATGCTTATGAATCTGAATTCACGAGACAATATGGCAGTCAAATAAAGAGAGAAAACATGATTACTAAATCCTGACAAACTTCTTAACTTGTCCCAGTTGGTAGAAGAGAGATTTACATGCAATGGGCCACCACCGAGGAGGCCTTGCAAATCTGGTACCCTCTGGACTACAGCTCTGCAGCTCTGCAGATGCCTGATTATTGTCTTCCAAAGCAACTACTCTATTCCAAACTTAAAAATGGAAAGCGTAATGCTGGTGGTCAGCAAAAGATGTTTAAGGACTTTCTCAAGGCAAATCTAAAAAAATGTAGTATAAACACTGACAACTGGGAAACACTAGTCTGCGAGCACTCTAATTGGAGAACAGCCTTTACCAAAGGTGTCATGAACTTTGAAAATGCTTGAACTCAGGATGAAAGGGAGAAATATGCTAAGAGGAAGGCATGTTTGGCAAACCCTCACCATGATCAACTCCCGCCTATGTCCCCACTGTGGAAGGATGTGCGGATCCAGAACTGGCCTCCACAGTCACTTACGGACTCACTGTTAGGACCATGTTCATGGAAAACAATCTTACTGGCTACAAGTGATCTCCAAAGAAGAAGAAAATAATGCAAATTAGGCAGTGGAATGGAAACAAGATCATTTTTCTCCCCCATCCTTAATTCAGAGATGTGGCAGTTCATCTGACAGGGCGCAGCAGAGGCCCTTCTGCTTATTTTGTAGCTTTAATACCCTCTGGGACAAGGGTGAAAGATCAGGAGATTTGCATGAAGAGTCTGCTGTCTGGGCCACTGGAGGTTTAAGAGGGATGGGGAAGAGGCCGGTCAGAGATCCCATTGCTTCCTGTTCCTCCACGATGGCCTGGGCCTCCCTGATCATCACAATCCTGTCTTCCATCGGTGAGAGCAATTGAATAGCGAAAGGAAGAGAAAAATCTGACAAAAGTCTCTTACACTATAATCCAATATTTGTGAAGGTTTGGTGTTGCTACACTGTGTGAGATAGTTCTTGTTGCGTGGCGAGTTCCCGACCCCCCCCGGTGGAAATAAAGACACATGACACAATTATTAAGGTTAATGGGCTAAAAAAAAGGCCACAACTTTATTGGTTGCAGGTGATGAGTGGTATTGGCTTAGGCATTGGTCCTAGAAGAAGAAAAAGAAGAGTTTGGATTTGATATCCCGCTCTATCACTACCTGAAGGAGTCTCAAAGCGGCTAACATTCTCCTTTCCCTTCCTTCCCCACAACAAACACTCTGTGAGGTGAGTGGGCTGAGAGACTTCAGAGAAGTGTGACTAGCCCAAGGTCGCCCAGCAGTTGCATGTGGAGTCCACCACTCTTAACCACTACACCACACTGCCTCTCCTAACCGACTATATCTGACTCCAGCCCATCTGCTTGAAGTCTGGGAAGGGTTAACCATGAGTAGGGGGAGTCCTGCTGATGCACATCAACTAGGAACTCCTCCTGGGGTCACTCATAAGGGGCGTGCCAGCTGGCGGTCAGCAAAGAGGGAGATTCCTGGCCACGTCCTGTCTATTTAGGGCAGACCACGCCCTCGAATCAGCCGATTGGCCTGCTAGGGGGTGATGTGCGTGGAGGGGCCGTGAAGTCCGCAACCCCACCTCCTCCTTAAGGCGGAAGTGGCTTTCCCTTCCAGGTCCCAGTGCCCAGCAGCAGCTCCACCCCCTGAAACCCTCAGAGGTTGTGTCTGCAGGAGATACGCTCACCTTTTCCTGCAGATTCAGTGGTGGAACCCTCACTGATGGCAACTACCTTCTCTGGGTCCAGCAGAAACTGGGGAATTCTCCATGGCTGTTGATTGACCAGACCAGCAGAAGAGCGCCAGGCATAGCAGACCGTTTCTCTGGGTCTAAGTCAGGGAACACCATGTCCCTGACCATCACAGGAGCTATGGCAGAAGACAAGGCTGATTATTACTGCACCATTAATAGCCCTGGACAGTATGTCACAGTGGTCCATGCACATGGGGAAGCCAGACAAAAACTCTCCTAAACTGCCTCCATTAGCCTAAGTTCCTCTTGCAGTGAATGAAATCTTGAGGGAAATTTCACAAGCTGTCAGGACTCAGGAGAAAATTTACAAGCATTAGAGAATGGTCAGCAAAATTATAATTTATCAATTCATATTATGACTTTCCTATTTTATTTTCAAAACTTCAAATATAACTGAAAAATAAATCAAATGTGAGTGCTTTAAACTCTGTGAACTAAGTCCTACTCAGAGTAAACCCACTGAAATGAATGCATCTAAGGAAGCCATGTGTATTTAATAGATCCTCTTGGAATAGGACTAGCCCATTATACCCTGCTTTCTTTCTAATATTGTACTTGTTAGGCAGTCCTTTCCAATATGATTTTTTCCCTCTTTAACCGACCAGTATCTGTTGATCTTTTATTGACATTCATTATTATTATTAGTATTATTATCATAGCTGTCAACTTACAGATTTGAAAATAAGGGACCAGCAGCCTCGTAAATAAGGGATCAGCAGCCAAAATAAGGGATTTTCGGAGCACAGGTATGTTCAACTTCTGAGCCCCTCTGAGCCAAAGGCAGAAAGCCCAGCCAGCAGCCAAACGAAGCCTCAAGCGGTGGTTCCCACAGCGCAGCAACCCGGCAAAGGGGATGCAGCAAGGAAAAGCACCATCACCTCTCCGCTGGGAAGCGCTGAGCAAAGGCGAGTCCCCAGGCAACGCGGCCGATTTGATCGGCACAAGGCATGCAAGTTCCACCCCCCAGTCGTTCTTAGACTCCTTATTGGGTGAGCAACGCAGCCAAGCAACACAGTTGGAGCCTCCCTCCTCCCTGGCCAGCAGGAGGGAGGGAGAGGAGCTGCTTCCTTTGAAACCCGGGAAATTTAAGGGACATCATCAATAAGGGACAGCAGCGGGACACAGCGCTGGGATAAGGGACTTTCCCACCAAATAAGGGACGGTTGACAGCTATTATTATTATTATTATTATTATTACAGATATTTATTTATTTGTTTTATTGCATTGTATTGTTTTTGTGTTGCGAGCTGCCTTAATATATGTTCTTAAAGTGCAGCTTGTAAATATTAAACAGATAGATAAGACGATACATCTACGATCAGGCTGTTTGCCACGATGTCCTTCAAATTCCATTTATTTGTATTTAAAGAGCAACCCGGCAAATTGGCGAGCCGGCATCGTAGCCTAAACCAGAGGGAGCCAACGTTGTGCCATTGGGTCGTTCCTGGACATAAATGATCCTTTTAAAGTTCTGCACAGTGCTTAGCGACATCCCTTTATTGACACAGAAGGAAACCAGCTGTCTGGAGCAGCCAATGAGCTTCAAGGATATTTGCATGCAGGGACGCTTCTTGCATTGAAAAGGGGATCGCCTAATTCCTCCAGCTAGAAACCCCTTTGTCCCAGGAAGCTGTGAATTCCTCACCATGGCTAGACTCTTGAAACTCTTCCTATTTCTCGCTTGCTGTTGCTGGGGTAGGAGGGAGGATTTAAACATTTTTATTAAATATATTCCCCTAGTTTCTCCTCCCTGCCCCTATTTATGCCAGGGTATTCACTTTCTGATCCTCCATTTCCACTTAATTTTTTTGCTACCATTTTTGGTTCCAGGTTGTGAGGCGCAGTTCACGATGACTCAGCCACCCTTCATCTCGGCCTCCATGGGAGAAACAGTCAGGATCTCTTGTACCAGAAGCAGTGGGGGTATAAGAAGCAGCTGGAATTCCTGGTACCAACAGAAACCCAACAGTGCTCCGATACCGCTAATATACAAGGATGAAGAGAGAGTGTCGGGGATCCCAGAGCGATTCTCTGGTTCTTATGACACCTCAGCCAATTCTGTCACCTTAACCATCTCTAACGTCCGAGCAGAAGATGAAGCTGACTATTACTGTCAATCTTATGATAGCAGCGGGCAGCACACAATGATACAAGCTGATGAGGAAGTGAGACAAAATCCTTCCTTTAGGTGATTAGCTCTACTTGGTATTGCTTGATGGTAGACGTAAGAGCTGACCTTGTTCTCTTAAGGGCTCGTGGGACAATTCATGCCCAACTTCAGCACGTGCTGCCCACTTGCTACCAAGCCACGTTGAGGATTAATTTGTATTAAGTAATGTATTAATTTACTGTATTAATTTACAAAGCATTGGTAACCCTCTCTTGAAAGGCTAGTTTATGTTATGGGCATACAGGTAAAGATGGTGAAAAATGGATTGCAGAGATGGAATAGAAATGGAATTGTGTGTGTAAAGTAAAAATTAAAAGGGGGGGGGAGGAAGAGAAGCTCTATTCTACAAAAGGTCTATGAAGGAAACTTAGAGCAGACTCTTTCCCTAGCCTTTATCATCCTTGGACTGAACTGAATTTAATTTACAGTCATACCTTGGGTTGCAAACGTGATCCATGCGGGAGGCACGTTCACAAACCACATGCGAACATCATGGGCTCAGCACAGGAGCCTTTCTATTTTGAATCACCAGTAGGTGCCACTGTTGCTCTTTTTGAACAGGGGAAGTGGTGGGGAGGCAGGTAGAATCTGCTACTATGACTTACCGTATTTTTTGCTCCATATAAGACGCACTTTTTTCCTCCTAAAAAGTAAAGGGAAGTGTCTGTGCGTCTTATGGAGCGAATGTGTGGTCCCTGGAGCCAAATTGCCCAGGGGCAAAAAGCAGATCATGCTTTTTTTTTTTTTAAAGAAAGAGGGAAGGGGGTGTTGAAACGAAGCCGCTGAGCAGCTGGTAGGCAAGCGATCAGGAGGGAGATAAGGGAGGCTAATGATAAAGGAGGCTGCCTGGGAGGGGGGAGGTAAAAGCACATGGATCCTCAGGATTTTTGCATTGGGTCACCCCAAATTCACCATCAGATCACATAGCATGTCCATGGCTATAGCCTGCACCAAAAAAATCACGCACCCACTGTTGTGTGGGACCGCAGTGGCGCAAAACCATGGTTACAAAGCATGGATCCACATGGATTCTCAGGATTTTTGCATTGGGCTACCCCAAACTCACCGTCAAATCACATGTCTGTGGCCATAGCATGAACCAAAAATAATCATACATCCACTGTTTCGTTCAGAATATATTTTTTCTTGTTTTCCTCCTCTAAAAACTAGGTGCGTCTTATGGTCAGGTGTGTCTTATGGAGCGAAAAATACGGTATACCCTACGTACATTGGGTCAACTCAGGGGTCACCTCCCCTGCCCCATCCCACAACTGGTCCTGAATAAGTTCAGGCATGGGGACTAATGTTGAAATATGGTTTCAAAACCTAATAGATTTTTGAGGGAAGTCTTTGTCTCGGAGCTAGGCATAGGCAGGGATGGGCTGTAGCTCAGTGGTGGAGCAACTCTCCTGTGTGTAGAAGGAAGGCCCCAGGTTCAATCCTTAACATCTCCAGCTAAGGACAGGGATGTATCCTGCCTGAAATAACCTGGAGAGCTTCTGCTAGACAACCCAGCCCTAGATGAGTCCATGGTCTGACTTGGTGTAAGGCAGCTTCCTATACTGGTATGAACCCGTTCATAAACAGGATACAGTATTTGCATGTGTTTGCATTTCTCCAGTCCTGAGAGGTTTAAGGGAGACCATCTGGGTTCTGCTCAGAGAAACCATTGGTTTGGGAACCTGATACTACTCCGTTTCCCCTGCCATGGCCTGGACTCCTCTCTTCCTCGTCCTCTCTGCTTACTGCACCGGTTGGTAATAGGGAGCATCTGCTTTCTCTTTATGGGGGATATGGGTTCTAGCTCAGCGGTACAGCACCTTCACAAGGTCTAGGGCTCAATCCCCAGCATCTCCTGATAAGGCTGGAAAAGGCTTCTGCTGGTGTTCGGGATAGACCATGGGTAGTCAACATGACACCTTGAACATGTTGTTGGACTACTGCTCCTATACTCCCTGATCACCGTCCCTTATGGCTGGGGCTGATGGAAGCTGGAGTCTAATGACATCGGGAAAGCACCCCATTGGCTGTCCCTGGGGTAGATAATACCAGGCTGGGTTTGACTGGGTTTGAGCAGGAGGCATCTCCATCTCCATCTCCTCCATCTCCATCTCCTTTTCTCTCCTGATCACCAACTTTTGAGAAGTGATCTGACAATATTAACCACTTGGGACCAGTTTACCTGCAAGATCTCCTTACGCTATATATGCCCACTCAACCGCTCCGATCTGTGGAACTGGCACCATTACGGGCGCCACATAATACTCATTCTGCATTGGTAAGAAATCAATCGTTTTGTGTAGCAGCCCCCACACTTGGGAATTCCCTGCCTATTGACACCCAGGCAGAAGCCTTCCCTGTATTCCCTGTGCTAAGAACCTTTTAGTTTAGACCGGCTTACTCAGGTATGTAGAATGTGGCATGTGTTTTAACGTGCCTTTAGCTTATCTCTGATTCTGATTATTTTTTGGGGGGGAATGTTTTAGATAGTTTTTTTAAGGATCATTTTGGGGTTTTTTCCCATTCTTCTTGTAAACCGCTTTGAGGGGTGTTTTTAACAATCAAATGGTGTGTGTGTGCGAAACAATAATTATTATTAATAATTAATTAATTAATTAATTAATTAAAATAGCTACCAATAATAATAGCTCTGCTCTTCCACAAGTTTTTCTCTCTTTCCCCTCACCTTGATGGAACACAATTCTCGCCAGCAATAGCCTCCCTCTTTGCTTTTCTTCTAGGGACCGTTTCTCAGTTCTCCCTAACTCAGGCACCTTCCATGTCGGCATCCCTTGGAGAAACGGCCAGCATCTCCTGTCGGAGGAGCAGTGGAAACATTGGCACCTACAATGTCGCCTGGTATGAACAGAAGCCTGGCAGTGCCCCCAAAATCCTGATCTACTGGTTTAGCACCAGAAGCTCTGGAACACCAGAGCGGTTCTCAGGTTCTGTCAACAAACCTTCCAACACGGCCACCTTAACCATCTCCAAGCTGCAACCAGAAGACGAGGCTGATTATTACTGTTTGTCTTATGACGGCAACGACAAGTACGCACGGCGATGCAGTCCCTGGGGAAGTGAGGCAAAAACCTCTTTGCAGAAACCCAGCATTGTTTGCAATGAGCGACCGCAGGATAGAAGCTGCACAATCACTCCTGACCACTTCCCTCCAGCCTGACTTGCCTTAAGAGTCATAACCACAGATCTCCGCTGCATTAAAACAGAAATACGATTGCTGAAAATGTTGTGGTTCAAGCTGAGCCTGTGGTCACTAGAGGGAAGGAACCTGTTTCAGTGAAATGGTTGAGCGTCTGGAACTGTTGCCATTCTCACCCTATTTCTCCAAAAGACAAGAAGTTCCAGGACTGTAGCGCTTCCACAAGTTTGGCTCCCTTTGGAAGAAGTTCATGTTGGCTTTTTGCAGTTTGGTAGCGCTGCAGAGAGCTTGCTGGGGAGACCATGCATTAAAAAGGGACTCAAAAATAACTTAAAGAAGGTTTTAATAACAAAAACAAAAACTCCTTATACACTAAATACATCAACAACAAACCAGACCCAACCCATCCCCCAGGGTAATGGGAGAGCTAGGTGCTGCTCCTTATATACTACACCCAAATGCTGACACAGCTTAATCAATACAACTCAGCAGCACCTGCTATGTTTCACAGCTGTAAAACTGGGTCTCGTTATTTTGCTCTGGCCCTTGCTCTGGCCCCTTAAAGACATACACATCGAGTGGAACAATGATGAACCTTTACATTTAAAGAAACCATTCAACAGTTCATTGGAGGTTTATGGATATTTTGAAATACTTGTGCTTATTTACAAAGACTAGGGACTGCTGTCCCAGCTCACCCCGTTCCCCTGTCAGATTGCATTTCTTGGTACAGAAAAGATTGATCTGATGTGTAGAGATCTTTCCTATTCTGATTCATTCGAGAGGGTTCTGGAAGCTTCTCTGTGTGAAACAAGCAGAAGGTTCATGATGTTTGGGTTATTCCTTCAGAGAAGCGGAATACAGGTGGCTTAAACTGGTTCTGTTATCTCTTCAGTCAAGGTCACGCTGACTATAATAATAAGGCCAGAAGGAAACTGGGTTTCACCTTTCTCTTTCTATCTTTATCTTCTGGTGTGGTGTTCTGTATGTAGTGTTATGTATGTCTTATTATAAGTTATTGTAAGTTTATGTTAAGTCTGCTGCGACTGGATTTCTTATGGACAGTGCCAATCCTGAGTGTATTGGATTTGTGACCATTATGCTCATTTGCCTTCAGTAGCAGTAAAGCTCTGCTGGATGAAATATTAATTGTCTCTGGACTATTTTTTGGGAATTCTGCAATGTGTTTAAGTTTTTACTCTGCTAACTATGTGTTGGAATCTGCTCTGGATCAATATGAGTAGAATTTATGACATCCCCAACCCTGCCCACCCCACTTCCTCCACACGTGACCACCCCTCCCCTTACACCTCATTTGACCCATCAGTTATCCTCCCATGGCTCACCAAAACTGTTCCTTTCTCCTCCTCTCACAGCTCACCTCATCCACTCCTCCTTTCAAAGGAGAGAGGGAGGTGCTTTGTAGAGCGGTTTGGCAAACTGCTTCCTCAGGCGCCTCCCAGCCTCTGTTAAGCAGCTCATCTAGGCCACCTGCCACCTGCTCTGCTTGCTTGCTCACTTGCCTGCCATTCTGCCAAACACCAGAGTTGGCTTGGCCACCTATTGGCAGCCATGCAAACTGCAGCGTGATGACAGCCTTACATTTTTCTGCATATAGGAAGATGCAGGCTGAGCCTAGGTGGAGGCGCACTGCTTAGAAACATTGCAACAGATAGCTATACAGTGCTACCTTGGCTCTCAAACCTAATCCATTCCAGGAGTCTGTTCGACTCCCGAAACTGTTCAAAAACCCTGGTACGGCTTCCGATTGGCTGCAGGATCTTCCTGCAGTCAAGTGGAAGTTGCTTTGGATGTTCAGCTTCCAAAAAACATTCACAAACCAGAACATTTACTTCCGGGTTTGTGGCGTTTGAGAGCCGATTTGTTCGGGAGCCAAGCTGTTCAAGAACCAAGGTACTCCTGCTTCCACACCAGACCTCCAGAGAGACAGTGGGCATCTCGGTGGATGGAACATCAGTAATAAATAATAATAATAAAATGCATGCTGACAGACAGCCTAATAATAAAACAGTTGCTAATATTCCTCTTCCCCACATTTTCACAAGCTGTAGATTATTTAATAACCATAGGCCTGGGTAAAGGGGAACGTAAAGAAAAAGAAGGGACTTTTAACCATATGTGGTGGGAATGTAGAGAAGTTAAAAAAAATTGGGTAATGATATACAATGAATTGAAAAAAAAATGTTTAAAATGACATTTGTAAAAAAACCAGAAGCATTTTTGTTAGGGATGGTAGGACAAGACCTGCCAAGAAAAAAAAAAGAATCTATTTATATATGCTACAACAGTGGCAAGAGTTTTGATAGCACAAGGTAGAAGAATGAGGAAATCCCAACGAAAGACCAGTGGTAAGAAAAATTGATGAGCTATGAAGAACTGGTTAAATTGACATACAAACTGCAGGACAAGGACAACTGTGACTTTAAGGAAGAATGGGAACTTTTTACAAATGTTCTAAAAAGACAACAAAATGAACTGGACTCCTTGGCAGGTTTTGAATAAACATACACAAATTTATTGGTTGATAACATGATAGATAGACAATGCAAGGATATGTATAATTTCATAATATGTGCAGAGAAATCAGAGATAGGAGCTGAGGGAAGTCCCTGGTTGGGGGGGAAGGGAGGGATGGAAGGGGGGTGGGAAAAAAGGGGGAAAATAATGTATGTGATTATATGTTATGTTGAAATTGCTTAATAAAAATATTTTTTTAAAAAATAATAATGATGGCACCAGGTGAGCCTCTCTGGGGAGAGCATTCTACAGTCAAGGAGCCACCACAGAAAAGGCCCCTTTCTCGTGTTGCCACCCTCCAAATCACTCCAGGTTGGGGGACCTAGAGAAGGGCCTCAGATGACACACGGAGGTTCTGGGTAGGTTCATATGGGGAGAGCTGATCCTTAAACTATTGAGGACCTGAGCTGTGTATGGCTTCATAGGTCAATACTCACACTTATTACCACCAAGGCAGTACTTAATATCTCAAAGGACCGTTGTTACCACCAGGCTGGCCCTGCATGAAATGTTTCTTTATTGTAGATCCATTCAATGAACCATGCCAGGGTTTTTTGAATGCCCTCCTAGGCTAAGTACAGACTAACCCACCGAGGGATTTCTATTTGACTGGAAGGGCAAGCAAGGTGGATAGCAGAAAGAAGAATCCAAGTCTGCCCAGACTGGCTGTATGCAAGGAAGGACCTCTGCCCCAAACCATTCTCTCTGCTCACCCAAGCCTCTGGACCCAGATCCTTATATCTATGTATCCCAGGTACCTGAGCATACCATGACCAGCAGTTTGCAGCTGCTTTTTCTGTGCCAGTCCTCCAGCATCTATAGACAGTAGTTAAAGAGTTAGACATTTGCATGAAGGGGCTGCTCCCTTGACCTCTGGGGATTTAAAGGAGAGGCTGGCAGATGCCAATGGGATCTCTTTTCTCTTTAGAAAAACCCACTCTGTAGATTTCCTCATAATGGCCTGGGGCTTGTTCCTATTCACAATCCTGGTGTCCATCATTGGTGAGGGAGATTCATTGGGTGGATGGGAAAAAAATCTGATATGAAGCAGAGAGAAGCATAACCTGCCCTTCCAAGCCCTGCCCTTTGCAAAGTATTTTGTGTTGTCCACTTTAAATTAACCTACTGATTCTTTTCCTTGCTTCCTTCCAGGTCCCAGTGTCCAGCAGTTACAGACTTTGAAGGACCCAGAATTTGTGGCTCCAGGTGGGACAGTCACCATGTCTTGCAGGTTCGACAGCGGAAACATTGGTGATGGCAACTACCCTTTCTGGGTACAGAAGAAACCTGAGAGTAAACCCTGGACACTGATCTACTACACCAGCACCCGACCGTCTGACGTTCCAGCCCGTTTCTCTGGGTCTCGATCGGGGAATGTGATGTCCCTGACCATCACGGGGGCCCTTCTGGAAGACGAAGCTGCTTATTACTGTTGTGTGTGGACTGGGAGTCAGGGGCACAGTGCTTCATTGGGATGGGGAAGTGAGACAAAAACCTCCTCTCCTTTGCTCTCTATGTATGTCAACAGAAACTGAACTCCCTGCTGTAGCCTCTGTTTGTTTGCATAAGTGAAGGGTTTATTGAGCATGCATCCCTGCACCATATCTGCAGGGAGGTTCAGCGAAGCCTGCTATTTATCAAGCACTCATTCTGAATATGCATACACAGCCAGCAGCAGACCGTCGTCGTTCCAGCCCATTTCTTTGGGTCTAGATCAGGGAATGGGATGTCCTTGACCATCACCCCTGGGCATCCTGTAGGTGTCACTGTTGCCCTTTCCACTTTGGTTGGATGGAGACACATCAAGGAAGTGTTTCAGATAAAGGCATTGGATACCTAAACAGAGAAAACAGGTGGAGGAAAACGGGGCTCCACATCGCCATTTGGCAGCACAATTTTTTTTTTTAAAATAATTTTTTATTAAGGTTTTAAACAAAGAAAAAAGAAAAACAACACACACAAAAAACAATACAAAACTTAACAATGAAAACATAAAACATAACAATTAAAAACAAACTCTCTTTTCCATTTCCAATTTTAAATTACTTATTTTCTGGACTTCCTCATACCTCCCTCTTTTGTATTCCAATCCACATTATTTGTCCAGCAGTTTCTTTTCCACTTTTTATCCCAATCTTTAATTTAATAAAATGTTAAAATATATAACTTCAACTTTTTTAAACCTAATCCTTACTCTTAATGTCATATAGCTTTAAATTTTTCCCTTTTATTATCAAATTTCCATTTCTTTAAACATCTTTAATCTTAATCTTTAATCTTAATCTATCCTTAACTTTAACCTGTACAGCTGGAAACCACTTATTTTCAATCCAACATCACTCTAACATTCCTTAATTTTGCAGTGTTTCTGAAGATAGTCTTTGAATTTCTTCCAATCTTCCTCCATCGACTCTTCTCCCTGGTCACGGATTCTGCCAGTCATTTCCGCCAATTCCATATAGTCCATAAGTTTCATCTGCCATTCCTCCAGCGTGGGAAGTTCTTGTGTCTTCCAATACTTTGCGATGAGTATTCTTGCTGCTGTTGTTGCATACATAAAGAAAGTTCTATCCTTTTTTAACACCATTTGGCCCACTATGCCCAGGAGAAAGGCCTCTGGTTTCTTGGGGAAGGTATACTTAAATACCTTTTAAAATTCATTATATATCATTTCCCAGAAAGCCTTGATCTTTGGGCACGTCCACCAAAGGTGAAAAAATGTATCTTCAGTTTCTTTACATTTCCAACATTTGTTATCGGGCAAGTGATAGATTTTCGCAAGCTTGACTGGGGTTATGTACCACCTGTATATCATTTTCATAATATTCTCTCTTAAGGCATTACATGCCGTAAATTTCATACCTGTGGTCCATAACTGTTCCCAGTCAGCAAACATAATATTATGTCCAATGTCCTGTGCCCATTTAATCATAGCCGATTTCACCGTTTCATCCTGAGTATTCCATTTCAGCAGCAAGTTATACATTCTTGACAAATTCTTAGTTTTGGGTTCTAACAATTCTGTTTCTAATTTGGATCTTTCCACCTGGAAGCCAATTTTCCTGTCCAATTTAAATGCCTCCATTATCTGATAATAATGAAGCCAGTCTCGCACTTTGTTTTTTAGTTTTTCAAAACTCTGCAATTTCAGTCTATCTCCGTCTTGTTCCAAAATTTCCCATTTCTTTGGGTCTAGATCAGGGAATGGGATGTCCTTGACCATCACCCCTGGGCATCCTGTAGGTGTCACTGTTGCCCTTTCCACTTTGGTTGGATGGAGACACATCAAGGAAGTGTTTCAGATAAAGGCATTGGATACCTAAACAGAGAAAACAGGTGGAGGAAAACGGGGCTCCACATCGCCATTTGGCAGCACAATGTTATATTGCATATGCAACGCTTATTCTTTCCCCATCTTGCTGAGTCCTAAGTATCAGTTTGCTTCCAGATTCTCTCCGCGGTTCAGTTATTGCTTAAATCGTGCTGTGCAATGTTTTATATTGTGAGTGCCTCTTTATTATTTATATTTGTGTTTTAGATGTTTTCATGCACGCTGCCTAGAGAACTTCAGTCATGGGGTGTCATAGAGATATTGTTTATATGAATAAATTAGATTTGTCCTAAATCAACAACAGAAAATGAGCAGCAGAATTTGCTGCTGTGAACCAGAGCCTTTTCACACTGCAGGAGGGGGGAGAATCGGACTGGGGAAGCCCTGTGGGTGTGTCATGCAGAAAGTGGAAGGTTGGGGGAAATGGCTAAAAATGGCAGTGGAGCTGGTAACATTTTGACTTGGAGTCCTATTTGACTGGATGGGAGATTCCATCATGAGGAATTCTAATCTATGTATGGCTGTATGCAAGGAAGGTCCTTTAAAAGAAAAAAAAGGGGGGAGGAAAAAAAATGAATCTCTGAATCTCTGCTCTACCTTTTTTTAAAAATCAGAACCAGTCAAGGCGGTGAAAGTCCTGTGTTAGTTTCTGGAGGCTGTTGGAGGATGGATGGCAGCTAACAGATTGAGGTTGAATCCTGACAAGACAGAAGTACTGTTTTGGGGGGACAGGGGTGGGCAGGTGTGGAGGACTTCCTGGTCCTGAATGGGGTAACTGTGTCCCTGAAGGACCAGGTGCACAGCCTGGGAGTCATTTTGGACTCACAGCTGTCCATGGAGGTGCAGGTCAATTCTGTGTCCAGGGCAGCTGTCTACCAGCTCCATCTGCTACGCAGGCTGAGACCCTATCTGCCCGCAGACTGTCTCACCAGAGTGGTGCATGCTCTGGTTATCTCCCGCTTGGACTACTGCAATGCGCTCTACATGGGGCTACCTTTGAAGGTGATCTGGAAACTACAACTAATCAAGAACGCGGCAGCCAAACTGGTGCTTGGGAGTGGCCACCGATACCATACTATACTGGTCCTGAAAGACCTACATAGGTTCTCAGTATGTTTCCGAGTATAGTTCAAAGTGTTGGTGCTGACCTTTAAAGCCCTAAACAGCCTCGGACCAGTATACCTGAAGGAGTGTCTCCACCCCCATTGTCCAGCTCCGAGGGCCTCCTGGTGGTTCCCTCATTGTGAGAAGTGAGGTTAAATGGAACCAAGCAGAGGGCCTTTTCAGTAGTGGCGCCCTCCCATCAGATGTCAAGGAAATAAACAACTATCTGACTTTTAGAAGACATCTGAAGGCAGCCCTGTTTAGAGAAGTTTTTAATGTTTGAAGTTTTATTCTGTTTTTAGTGTTCTGTTGGTAGCCGCCCAGAGTGGCTGGGGAAACCCAGCCAGATGGATGGAATATGAATAATAATAATAACTATTAATAATAATAATTTTCTCTGAATCCAGATCCTTACTTCTTAAATTCCCAGCACCCTGATACCATGACCAGCAGAGGGATGCTGCTTTTTCTGAGCTAATCCTTCAGCCTCCAGACACAGTAGTTAAGGAATTGCGCATTTGCATGAAGGGGCTGCTCCCTTGACCTCTGGGGATTTAAGAGAGGCTGGGCAGATGCAATGGGATCTCTTTTTTCTTTAGAGAAGCCCACTCTGTAGATTTCCTCATAATGGCCTGGGGCTTGTTCCTCTTCACAATCCTGGTGTCCATCATTGGTGAGGGGGATTCATTGGTGGATGGGGAAAAAATCTGATATGAAGCAGAGAGAAGCATAACCTGCCTTTCCAAGCCCTGCACTTTGCAAAGTATTTTGTGTTGTCCACTTTAAATTAACCTACTGATTCTTTTCCTTGCTTCCTTCCAGGTCCCAGTATCCAGCAGTTACTGACTTTGAAGGACCCAGAATTTGTGGCTCCAGGTGGGACAGTCACCATGTCTTGCAGGCTCGACAGTGTAATCGCTGATAGCAACTACCCTTTGTGGGTACAGAAAAAGCCTGATAGTAAACCCCAGACACTTATCCATGACACCAGCGTCAGACCGTCTGATGTTCCAGCTCGTTTCTCTGGTTCTAGATCTGGGAATGTGATGTCCCTGACCATCACGGGGGCCCTTCTGGAAGATGAAGCTATTTATTACTGTTGTGCGTGGGCTGGGAGTCAGTGACACGGTGCTTCATTCAGATGAGGAAGTGAGACAAAAACCTCCTCTCCTTTGCTCTCTGTGCATGTGAACAAAATCTGAACCTCTGTTTGTTTGATCTTCCTGTAGTGAATGAGTTCCCAAAGAAAGGCTGGGGCTTTTTTCAGGCAACCTGTTCTTCCACAATTTCTTCAGGAAGGTTCCACAAGATCTACTGTTTATTGACCATGCATTCTATTATGTTTGCAGGAAGGTTGTATTATATTGTGCTGCAAAAACATGTTATAACACATTTCCCAGTGCATTTTCTCATCAACTTCCTCATTGCATGCAATTCCAATGTTTGGAGGAAGTTGGTTGGTTGGACATGAACTCCAAGCCACCTTTTATTGTGCAACCTGAATTTGCCAGTACAGTCAAACCTTGGTTCCGAAACAGCTTGGTTGCCAAACAAATCGGTTCCCAAACACCGCAAACCCGGAAGCAAGTGTTCCAGTTTGCGAACATTTTTCAGAAGCCAAACATACGACGTGACTTCTGCTTGAGTGCAGGAAGCTCCTGCAGCCAATCGGAAGCCATGCCTTGGTTTTTGAGCAGTTTTGGGAGTCGAAAGGGCTCCCGGAACTGATTAAGTTTGAGAACCAAGGTGCCGCTGTACTATATTGAATTCTGTCCTAGCCCTCGCTGCCAGTTGGAGAAATCAAACTCTCAGTAGGTTGATGCCCAATACCATAGGTGCCAACTCCCTGGGTGCCTAATCACCCACAAAATTCCCCAGGGCCCGGTCATCCACAAATTTTGGTGCCAGGGCATGGCACCTATGGCTCTGCGCACCAATGGTCGCGGGGCTAAGCTGACGCTCCTGCCCAAGACTTTAATTCTTAAATTAGAGTCGTGCCCAAGCAAGGCACAGCTACAATGAACACAGGTGTGCAAGGGAATCAGATGCAAAGTTTGGTTCTGACCACTGTGAGAACAGGAGGTTAGACTAGATGGGTCATTGGTGTGACTGAGCAGGATCTTCTTACTTTCTTCGGTCTGAGACATTGATCCGACAAGCGACACATTCCCTGCACCTTCCTTTTCAAGATTAGGTCAGGTACTACTCTTAGAGCAGCAAGCAGCCAGAGTCCCAGGACCAGGGAAGCCCAACCCAAGGGGGTTGAGGTTCTGAGGTCTGTTGGTGGCAATGCTGGTGTCACACTGTCTCAGGAGGTGATGTTGATGGCAGCTCAGAATCTGATTTGCTCTCAGTAGCCTGCTTCTCTAAAGGAGACTTGTCAGCGACAAGGAGAGGCACTGTTTGTGTGTGTCTTACTCCACAGCAAAAGGGGTCTACGGTGTTACTGGAAGAGAACACCCTCAGCTCTCATGCTTATTCCCTGACCTGGATCCATATCTCCATTTTCCATGCTACAAACCTGTTCTCTGCTCTCAAAGCCAAGGTGCCAAGGTTGAAGGACACTTGCCCTGGTAGATGTTCTCCTTAATGTTGGGCTACATACGGTTCCTTAGGCAAATGCAGTCTAAATAAGTTCAAAATATGTTCCCCCCATGGCTTCATATTTTCTGGTGCTACCCTAGGAACAAAAACAGGTTTGGGGGCTAAACTCTGGCAGCATTCAATGCATTAATGAACTGAGCCTGATCTTCTGGTCCCAGTTTTGTTTTTAGCTAACTCAGGAGACATTTCAGAGATGGTGTGACCTGAGTTCTTTTGTCCCAGATTCATTCTGCAAATGCCTTGGGCTAAGCAGAAACTAGACCACCCCAATGATTTATATGAGATTGGCAGGGCAAGGGGGTGCGGGAAAGAAAAATACAAGTTTGCCTGTTGCTGTACGCAAGGAAAGAGCTCTAAAATGAAAATTTAGTCCCTGAATTCAGATTCCCACTCCTCAGATTCCCAGGTCTCTGAGCATATCACAGTCAGCAAGACTGCAGCTGCTTTTTCTGAGCTAGTCCTCCAGCATCTAGAGACCAAAGTTAAGGAGTTACACATTTGCATGAAAGGGGCTCCTCCCTTGACCTCTGGGGATTTAACAGATGCTTTGCAGATATGAATGAGATCTTCTTTTCCTTCAGAGAAAACTAGCCCAGAAGATTTCCCCATTATGCTTCTCTTCTCAATCCTGCTGTCCATCATTGGTAAGGGGAATTCACTTTTTGGATGGGATACATTTTCTTTGAAGCAAAGAACATGCGTCCTCTGGGCTCTAAAACCCTACAGCTTGCAGAACATTTGGTGATGCTACATAGTAAATTAAACTGCCAAACAATGAAATGCATTGTTCTCTTCCAGGTCCCAGTGTCCAGCAGCTACAGAACTTGAAGGATCCAGAATTTGTGGCTCCGGGTGGGACGGTCACCATGTCTTGCCGATTAGACAGCGGGAGCATCAGTGACAGCAACCAGCCTATGTGGGTGCAGAAAAAAGCCGAGAGTAAACATCGACTGATGATGTACACCACCAGGAACAGACCGCCTGATGTTCCAGCCCGTTTCTCTGGATCTAGCTCAGGGAATGTGATGTCCCTGACCATCACGGGGGCCCTTCTGGAAGACGAAGCTGTTTATTACTGTGCTGTGTGGACTGCGAGTCACTGGCACTATGCTTCATTCAGTTGGGGAAGTGAGACAAAAACCTCCTCTCCTTTGCTCCCTGTGTACATCAACAGAATCTGAACCGCCTTTCAAAGTTTCAGCGATGTCTGCACCAGCACCGTGTTTTAAAATCCTGAATACCAATCCCCAAATGTATGCATACAAAGTAAAAAAAGAGAAAAGGATCTCAACCTGCAGTAGATAGGAAAGCATTGGAAGAATATATGGCTTGCAACCTACCAATGCTAGTACTTCTTATCACCACCGGCAGGGCATAATGTCTCAAAGGAGAGCGGCAGGGCCTGAAGCTTCAGAGGGAAGCTTTGCCCTGCTAGACCTCTCCCCTAATCTTTGATGAGTGTTGGGCCGCACAAAGTTGCTTCAGAAAATGCCAGTTCTATTTTTCTCAAAAAATGTTTAGGAGTACCCTCATTTTGACTCAAGAAAATCACCATTTTATAGTTGAAATTGGGAAAAATAAATACAGTAAATGGACAAGAGTACAAAAATTCATGGGACACAGATGGCGCTGTGGGTTAAACCACAGAGCCTAGGACTTGCCAATCAGAAGGTTGGCGGTTTGAATCCCCGCGATGGGGTGAGCTCCCATTGCTCGGTTCCGGCTCCTGCCAACCCAGCAGTTCAAAGCATGTCAAAGGGCAAGTAGATAAATAGGTACCACTCCGGCATGAAGGTAAACAGCATTTCCGTGCGCTGCTCTGGTTCGCCAGAAGCGGCTTAGTCATGCTGGCCACTTGACCCGGAAGATGTACGCCGGCTCTCTCGGCCAATAAAGTGAGATGAGCGCTGCAACCCCAGAGTCGGCCACGACTGGACCTAATGGTCAGGGGTCCCTTTACCTTTACAAAGATTCATAAAATGTTTAGGGGTATGCATACCCCTGCATCCCCTCAGGAAAAAATCACTGCTTAAACATATTGAGAAGAACAGCTTTCTGTACCAGGGATTCCTATATTCCAACCAGTGTTATCACTGGGACAACAACAACAAAAACAACAACAGAACAGATTTGGGTGTTGAACCCTAGCATCTTCACTGAATTCAAGGGTTGCTCCCCGTCCTGACCCCTTGGTCCAGGGAATTATTTTTAGCAAATGCAGCCATGCTGTTGCAGGCATGGCGTGAGCTGAAATGTTTTCTGCAGATCCATTCCTTCAATCAGGCCAGGATTCTTTTTAGTGCCTTGAGCTAAACACAGACTAGTCCACCCCTGGATTAATCATGAAGGAAAGGACGCTGCCTGCCACTGTGTGTAAGGGGGGGGACCTATAAAATAAAGTAATGCAAAAAAACAAAAAAACCATAGCACATTCTAAGCTTAAATTCTGAATCCAGTTTGTCAGTCCCAAGTCCTGAACATGGCATGACCAGGAGTTGGCAGCTGCTTTTTCTGTTAGTCCTCTACAGTAGTTAAGGAGCTAGACATTTGCATGAAGGGGCTGCTCCCCTGACCTCTGGGGATTTAAGAGAGATGGGGCGGAGGCCAATGGGATCTACTTTTGCTTTAGAAAATCTAGCCCAGCAGTTTTCACCATCATGGCCTTGTTTCTCGTCACATTCCTGATCGCCATCATTGGTGAGGGAAATTCATTCGGTGAATGGGGACAAATCTGCGTAGAAATAAAAGCAGTGATCTTCTGTTCTCTAAAACCTTGTACTTTGCAAAATGTTTGATGTAGATTAATGTGCTGAGCAGTTCCCTGCCTTGCTTCCTTCCAGGTCCCAGTGTCCAGCAGTTACAGACTTTGAAGGACCCAGAATTTGTGGCACCAGGTGGGACGGTCACCATGTCTTGCAGGTTTGACAGTGGAAACATCGGTGACAGCAATGAGCCTTGGTGGGCACAGAAAAAACCTGGGAGTAGACCCCGGCAGATAATGTACACCACCAGCACCCGACCGTCTGACGTTCCAGCCCGTTTCTCTGGGTCTCGATCGGGGAATGTGATGTCCCTGACCATCACGGGGGCCCTACTGGAAGATGAAGCTGCTTATTATTGTTGTGTGTGGACTGGGAGCCAGTGACACGTGCTTCATTCGGATGGGGAAGTGAGACAAAAACCTCTTCTCCTTTGCTCTCTATGTGCGTCAACAGAATCTGAACTCCTTTATTGTAGCCTCTGTTTGTTTGCATAGTGAATGGTTTATTGAGCATGCATCCTTGAACAGTTTCTGCAGGGAGGTTCAGAGAAGCCTGCCATTTATCAAGCACTCATTCTCAGTCTGTGTGCACCGCTAGCACCAGAACGTCTGCCGTTCCAGCCCATTTCTCTGGCTCTAGATCAGGGAATGGAAGGTCCTAAACCATCACCCCTGGGCACCCAGTAGGTGTCACTGTTGCACTTTCAACTTTGGCTGGATAGAGACACATCAAGGAAGCGTTTCAGATAAATGTGTTGTAAATTTAAACAGAGAAAACAGTAGTGGAAAACGGGGCTCCACATTGCCATCTGGCTGCAAAATGTTATATTGCATATACAACGCATATAAACCGCTTTTGCTATACCAATCTAGCTGAGTCCTAAGTATTGGCTTGCTTCAAAATTCTCTCTGTGGTTCAGTTTTTGCTTAAATCGTGCTGTGCAATGTTTTATATTGTAAGTGTCTCTTTATAGTTTAGATTTGTATTCGAGATATTCTTATTCCCGCTTCCTAGAGAGCTTCAGTCATGTGGTGTCATAGAGATATTGTTTATATGAATAAATTAGAGTTGTCCTAAACCAACAAAGAGGGATGCGGGTGGCGCTGTGGGTTAAACCACAGAAGGGTGGCGGTTTGAATCCCCGCGATGGGGTGAGCTCCTGTTGCTCAGTCCCTGCTCCTGCCAACCTAGCAGTCCGAAAGCATATCAAAGTGCAAGTAGATAAATAGGTACGCTCCAGCGGGAAGGTAAACGGCGTTTCCGTGCGCTGCTCTGGTTCGCCAGAAGCTGCTTAGTCATCATGCTGGCCACATGACCCGGAAGCTGTACGCCAGCTCCCTCAGCCAATAAAGCGAGATGAGCGTGGCAACCCCAGAGTCGGACACGACTGGACCTAATGGTCAGGGGTCCCTTTACCTTTACCTAAACCAACAACAGAAAAAGACAAATAGAATTTGCTGCTGTGAACCAGAGCCTTTCCCCTCACATTGCGGGGTGGGGGTGGGGGAGAATTGGACCTGGGAAGCCCTGTGGGTGTGTCATGCAGAAAGTGGAAGCTTGGGGAAATGGCTAAAAATGGCAGTAGCAACATTTTGACTTGGATTTGTATTTGACTGGATGGTGGATGCCATTGTGAGGGATTCTAATCTACGTATGGCTGTATGCAAGGAAGGTCCTCTAAAAGAAAAGGAAACAAAGAAGGAAAACATGAATCTGTGAAACTTTTCTCTGAATCCTGATCTTTATTTCTCAGATTCCCAGCTCCCTGATACCATGACCAACAGATGGCTGCTGCTTGTTCTGTGCTAGTCCTTCAAGATCTAGACAGAGTAGTTAAGGAGCTACCCATTTGCATGCAGGGGCTGCCCCCCTGACCTGGGGATTTAAGAGAGATGGGGCAGAGGCCAGTGGAATCTCTCTTTTCTTTCAAAAAACCCAGTCTGTAGATTTCCTCATAATGGCCTGGAGCTTGTTCCTCTTCACAATCCTGGTGTCCATCATTGGTGAGGGAGATTCATTGGGTGGATGGAGGATAATTCTGATATGAAGCAAAATGTTTGATGTAGATTAATGTGCTAAGCAGTTCCCTGCCTTGCTTCCTTCCAGGTCCCAGTGTCCAGCAGTTACAGACTTTGAAGGATCCAGAATTTGTGGCACCAGGTGGAACAGTCACCATGTCTTGCAGGTTCAACAGTGGAAGTATCGGTGATAGCAACTACCCATGGTGGGCACAGAAAAAACCTGGGAGTAGACCCCGACGGATAATGTACGCCACCAGCACCCGACCGTCTGACGTTCCAGCCCGTTTCTCTGGGTCTCGATCTGGGAATGTGATGTCCCTGACCATCACGGGGGCCCTTCTGGAAGATGAAGCTGCTTATTACTGTGCTGTGTGGATTGGGAGTCAGTGACACAGTGCTTCATTCAGACGGGGAAGTGAGACAAAAACTTCTCCTTTGCTCCCTTGGTGCATCAACAGAATCTGAACTGCCTTTCAAAGTTTCAGTGATGTCTGTACCACCACTGTGTTTTAAAATCCCATATACCTATCCCCAAATGTATGGATACAAAGTAAAAAATATCTGAACTAGCAGTGGTAGAATATACGTCTGCTGTTCCATCCCATTTCTCTGGGTCTAGATCAGCGAACTGAACGTCCTTGACCATCATGGGGGCATCCAGTAGGTGTCACCGTTGCACTTTCCACTTTGGCTCAATGGAGACACATCAAAGGAGTGTTTTATTGAAGGTCCACTGAGGTCCAGCACCGAGGGTCTTCTGGCGGTTCCCTCACTGAGAGAAGCCAAGTTACAGGGAACCAGGCAGAGGGCCTTCTCGGAAGTGGCGCCCTCCCTGTGGAATGCCCTCCCACCAGATGTCAAAGAGAACAACAACTACCAGACTTTTAGAAGACATCTGAAGGCAGCCCTGTTTAGGGAAGCTTTTAATGTTTAATGTATTGCAGTCTTTTAATATATATATATATTTTTGGAAGCCACCCAGAGTGGCTGGGGAAGCCCAGCCAGATGGGCGGGGTATAAATAATAAATAATTATTATTATAATTCATTGTTGTAAATTTAAACAGCGTGGGTGGTGCTGTGTTCCAAACCACAGAGCCTAGGGCTTGCTGATCAGAAGGTCCGTGGTTCGATTCCCCATGATGGCGTGAGCTCCCGTTGCTCGGTCCCTGCTCCTGATAACCTAGCATTTTGAAAGCACATCAAAGTACAAGTAGATAAATAGGAACCGCTCCGGCGGGAAGATAAACAGCGTTTCCGTGCGCTTCTCTGGTTCGCCACAAGCAGCTTAGTCATGCTGGCCACATGACCCGGAAGCTGTCTGCGGACAAACGCTGGCTCCCTCGGCCTATAAAAAGAGATGAACGCGCAACCCCAGAGCAGTGGCAGCTGGTAACATTTTGACTTGGATTCCTATTTGACTGGATGGGAGATTCCATCTTGAGGGATTGTAATCTGCGTATGACTGTAGTCAAGGAAGGTCCTCCAAAAGAAAAGGAAAAAGAAGAAGAAGGAAAAAAATCAATCTGCCGAACTTTTCTCTGAAGCCAGATCCTTACTTATCAGATTCCGAGTGCTTGATACCATGACCAGCAGATGGCTGCTCCTTTTTCTGTGTAGTCCATCAACAGCTGGACACAGTAGTTAAGGAGCTACACATTTGCATGAAGGGGCTGCTCCCCTGACCTCTGGGGATTTAAGAGAGATGGGGCAGATGCCAATGGGATCTCTTTTTTCTTTAGAGAAGCCCACTCTGTAGATTTCCTCACAATGGCCTGGGGCTTGCTCCTCTTCACAATCCTGGCGTCCATCATTGGTGAGGGAGATTCATTGGGTGGATGGGAAGCAAATCTGACATGAAGCAGAGAGAGGCAGAAACTGCCCTTCCAAGCCCTGCGCTTTGCAAAGTATTTGGTGTTGTCCAATTTAAATTAACTGATTCTTTGCCCTGCTTCCTTCCAGGTCCCAGTATCCAGCAGTTACAGACTTTGAAGGAGACAGAATTTGTGGCACCAGGTGGGACGGTCACCATGTCTTGCAGGTTTGACAGTGGAAACATCGGTGATGGCAACTACCCTTGGTGGGCACAGAAAAAACCTGGGAGTAGACCCCGACAGATAATGTACACCACCAGCACCTGACCGTCTGATGTTCCAGCCCGTTTCTCTGGGTCTCGATCGGGGAATGTGATGTCCCTGACCATCACGGGGGCCCTTCTGGAAGATGAAGCTGCTTATTACTGTTCTGTGTGGACTGGGAGTCAGTGACACCGTGCTTCATTCAGATGGGGAAGTGAGACAAAAACCTCCTCTCCTTTGCTTTCTATGTACGTCAACAGAATCTGAACTCCCTGCTGTAGCCTCTGTTTGTTTGCACGGTGAATGAGTTTGCAAACAAAGGCCAAGGTCCCTTCCAGGTGACGTCTTTATTGAGCATTCATGCTGATAGAACCTGTAAGAGACAGAAAGCCCTTTTGAAGTCCTGCCTCCTCTTGCACAACAGAAACACCCTCCACCTGTCAGACGTAGGGGATTCTTACCTCCCCTGGAGCATGAAGGATCAAGGCAGTAGCCAGGAAGTTCATATCTATGGTTTTATTCAGTTCCTGTGGTGCAAGACAAAGAATCCAGTCCTTGGCTGGATGGTGACATTGCTCACTCTGAGCGCTTCCACTTCTTTCCCCAACAACATCCCGTGGCCATGCGAGTGGCCTCAGGAGTCAAATGTCTTTGAGCCCTTCACTCTTGAATTCTAAGTGAGCGACGTGTACATGGGGATGGTGGCTCTTCTACAATTTCCAAGGATGTCTCTGCTGGCAATTCTGCCCCTCCCCCTCCTTCTCCTAACACTTCATAACTTGGCAGCTCTGAGTTCTGCTGCAATTAAATTCTGTCTCCCTTTTCTCTTGAAACTTCAGTAGACTTTGCCCTTCTCCTCCGAGAGAAGCAAAGGAGGAGGAGGGGCGATTCCCAGCCCTTGCCTTCGGTCTAGTCACTGATACCAGTCGCCCCCTGGAAGCAATGCTTCTGAATATTGGTTTCTGGATAGGCGATTGTGCTCTTGTTCTCAAATTCTGCTTGAGGGTTTTCCATAGTCATCTGGTTGACCATTGTAAGACCAGGATGCTGGCTAGTCAGGCCGTTGGCCTGATCCAGGAGCTTCTCAAAGACACCTCCTTTCTGTTTGCCTGGTGAACACTTTCACGCAACAACTGACTGAATACCAAAATAAGCCTACTATGAACAGGAAAAACGCCACCTGAAGAAATAAATAAAAGTGGGAAAGTGTTGCGAACCAGAGTAAATAACAATTGTTCGTGTTTGTAAAACTAGCAGCTCAGTGCTAAACCAATTTGGTAAATCACATTGCCCCTTCAGTTCATTAAAAAGGAACAGAGCCATCCAGCTCAAGGAAATTTGCATTTCCTCTAGAATGAGACCCACCAAGTTCAGCGGGGCTTATGATAATGTTCTTGTGTCCTTCCTGCCTTTCACTGTAACAATGTCTTCCCATCACCATATTTGAATAATGTACTTCTTCCATCACCATATATGAAGTCTCTCTCAGCAGGGCGGAGAGACCTGGCCAAATGTGATTGGTGGAAGAGTTGCCTTCATCTCCTTTAAAGAGTGAATCACAGAGATGCCTGGAAAGAGACCCATTTGCCTCAATATGCAGAGTGTACCTGGATTCCTCTCCACGGCGTGGTCCTGCCTGATCCTCCTGCTCCTCACTTACCCCCCAGGTAACAGAATGAGTGAAATCCTCAGGAACAGATCTGTGCTGAGATCCAGGTGTGATTTTTCTGTAGGCGCAACTAAACGTCTTTCTCTTTTTGGGTTTTTAACTTTTTGCAGGTTCCTCCTCCCAGGTTGTGCTGACTCAGAGGCCCTCAGCATCCTTTTCCTCAGGTGAGACAGTCCGTCTCTCCTGCACCTTGAATACTGGATACAGTATCAGCAGCTATAGGGTCGAGTGGTATCAACAGATATCAGATGGTGCCCCACGGTTTGTATACCACTACTATAAACCTAGTGATCAGGGCAGAGGCACCGAGGTCCCAGAGAGATTCAGTGTCTCCCCTGATTCCTCCAACAACCTCTGGAATTTAGTGATCACAGGCGCTCAAGCTGAGGATGAGGCTGATTATTACTGTTGCATATGGGATGGCAGCAGCAGCATGTTCCACAGTGGTACAATCTGATGAGGAACCGTGACAAAAACCTCCACCTTTCCTCCCCAGAGTTGTGAAACTGAAATGCTTAAAGGTCTGAGTTATGTCAATGCTCTCAGCTGCTTGAACCACAGCATGGAAAGTAAAGCTTTTGACAAAGTCCCCCATAATATTCTTGCAGAGAAGCTGGTAAAATGTGGGGTGGATGAAGTTATTGTTGTTGTTTTTTAAATAATATTTATTACTTTTCCAACAATTTGAACACACAAAAAAATAAAAAAAGGAACAATACAATACAATACAAAAACACTACACAACACATTAAACTAACAAAACAAAACAAAAACAGTTTAAAAAAAAACAAACAATTTCAATATCTTATCTTTCATTCACTTATTTCAGTGACCTCCTCACACTTCCCTTTTTGTATTCCACTTCTGTTAAATTCTGTTAAAAGTATTGAAGCTTTTTTTTTTTAATGATATTTATTGGGAATTTAAAATTACAAAAAAAGAGAAAAAAGAAAAACAAAGAAAAAAGAGATTAAGCAGTACAGATCAATAAAAAGAAAATAAAAAATACCAAACATACAATACACCAAAATCCAAAACAAAAACAACAAAAATAGATTTAAAAGCAAATCCAATATTCCCATACCCTTATCTTCATTAACTTATTTCCTCGACCTGCTCACACCTCCCTCCTCTGTATTCTAATTATTAATTATCTCAGCAAATCCTTTCCATCTTTCACTGTATTCTGTCCTTTAATTGTCTTAATTTATTTTAGCCCTATCTTACCATAAAAAAGAACCCAGAACTTAAAAGCTTATTTATACATAACTCCTTATAACATTTCTACTAAAGCCTAATAGTTTCATTCCAAGATTTTCCTAACAGTCGTTAATTTTGCAATATTTCTCTAAATAAATTTTTAAACTTTCTGCCAATGTTCATCCACCGTCTCTTCTTCCTGGTCTCGGGTTCTGTCAGTCCTTTCTATCTGTTTCATCTAGTCCATCAACCTTGTGATCTTATGTCCGAGGCTCTTAACTCTTTTCCATGTCCCTTCTGCAAATCTTCTTCATAGTTGTACCTGCACTTTACTTTGTCTTCTGCTGGTCTTGTTCTTAATTTCCTTCCTTTGTCTCTGAGGAGTAGATCTCGGGGGAACAACCCAAGAATGTCTTTATCCCTTCTCAGCCGGTCAGCCCGTTCTCCATAGTTAGCACTAAAATCCAAGAAATATTCCAAAACATACTTCAATGCCCCTCCAAAGTTGAGTACCTCGACCACTCCAATCTCCTCCTGGCCCAAAACCAAATCCCAAAGGTCAAAGCGTCCCTGCATAGGAGGATCTGACCAACTTGCCATCTCCAGTCTCGACAGGACTCCGTCTCTCCAAGTCTGTCTCAGCTTATGCTCCTGCCGGGCCGCATCTCTTTCAACTTGTATCACTTGAGGTTCAACAACAACCTCCTCCTTTGTCTTCTCCGCACCTTGCCCTGTCAGGGCAGATTCCTGGGTCAGTTGTTGAGCAGGTTCTATATCAGTGGTCACTGTTTGACCAAAGTTATCAATTGCAGTAGTCATCAAATCCATCTTCACATGAAGCTGCTCCAACAAAACACTTGTCCTGCACAAAGCAGACACTAAGGTTTCCTGTGTCAACATTCTTATCCAAGGTCAGAGCCTGTTTCTCACGCTCCTAATTTTCTACAGCTGTAGCGTTCCCCAGGTCCACTCCAACAACAGTTCAAAAGCTCCCTCTAGAGGAAACAATTTCTATTTGTATCCATCCTTTTACAAGCAGATCCAGCAACAAGATTGCTTTCGTTTTTCAAATCTTTGTTCCTTTTTAGTGCAAAAGGAAACATTGGAGTCAATATGTTTCCCTTATTTAGCTATCTGTCAACATGCGTTATTATTCACAGTCAATGAACTTTCCCTAAACGTCTATCTTTGACAGCCCGTTCCCAGGTTCAAGAAGATAGAAATTTATCTTTCTTTACTCCCTCTCCTGCAGGCTTGAACAATTTAAGATTTCCCCCTCTTCTCCTGCTTCCAAGGGGGATTTGTAGCTTAAACCTATGGAAATTTAGTCCTTTACAGATGACTTTCCAGACTTCAGCTTATGATGTCTTTGCTTCAAACTGTTTACAAAAGCGGAAGGCGGACTTCCTGTTTAGACCTTCCTGCTCCGGTGCCAAATTACGAAGTTTAGTAATCCAAATTTTCCATTCTACTCACGGGTACTTGTTTAGAGTCCAATTGTCCACAGGAAAAAAGTCAGCGCTCTCCGACATCAGCAATGCGGCTTCACTCCGTGAAAAGAGCAATCGATTCGAAGCACTGCGCCGCTCACCCCACGTCGCTCCGGATCCCCGTAGCCGGGTTTCCCCGCGAGTAGGGGAGGTGCTAAAGGTGCCAGCCGAATCCCAGGTCCACAGGCTTCTCCCGCCTGTGGTTTTTGATGGGTCTCCGCCTCGCCGTGGCGGTCCAGACCCTAATTTTCACAGAGCGGGTTCCTCCAGATCAGAGGAAGCCCGCCATTGCCTGTGGCGCTAACCCGGAAATCCGTTATTGTTGTCCCCCCCCAATTATAACAAATATAACATAGAAAAGAAAAAAAATGCACAAAAGAAAACACACATTACAATACTAAAAAAGAAGAACAAAAAATTTAAGCACATATTACCTGTGAAACCCAATTTATCTTTCATTGTTAATTGATTTCCTCAGATCCCTCCTATCTGAATTTCATTGTATCACCTTATAACAGCTCTCCAATATCATTTTTCAACTAAAATTAATTCCACCAATTAACTATCTTCTTTTCTTAATATTCTAAATCCAAATTACTTACAATTCAATCTTATTTTAATCCTAGGCCTATTTGGTACTTTCAAGTGACTTCTAGTTACTTATATTACAGTATTTAATTAAATAGTCCTTAAATTTCTTCCAGTTTTCTTGATATTCCTCTTCTTTCTGGTCACGGATTCTTCCAGTCAGGTTAGCTAGCTCCAAAACATTCAACATCTTCACCTGCCATTCTTCCACTGTTGGAATTTCTTGAGATTTCCAATTTTTAGCTAATAGCAGTCTTGCCGCTGTAGTGGCATACAAAAATAGTCTGGATGAAGTTATTGTTAGGGGGATTTTCAAGTGGTTGACACACCAAACCCAAAGGGTGCTCGCTAATGGTTCCTCAACATCTGGAATAAAGTGACCCGGGCTGTTGTTGTTCAATGTCTTTATAAACAACTTGGATGAAGGAATTGAGGGGATGCTCATGAAATTTGCAGATGACACCAAACTGGGAGGGGCAGCTAATACCACAGAAGATAGAATCGGGATTCAAGAGGACATTAACAGATTGGAGACCTGGGCCCAAACTAACAAAATGAATTTCAGTAGGGGACAAATGTAAGGTTCTACACTTAGGCAAGGAGAACCAGCTGCACAAATATAAGATGGGGGACACCATGTGAAAAGGATCTTTTGTCTTAGTGGACCATAAGCTTAACATAAGTCAACAGTGTGATGCAGCAGCAAAAAAACCTAATAGTATTCTAGGCTGTATAATCAGAAGTATAGTGTCCAGATCAAGGGAAGTAATAGTACTGCTCTGTTCTGCCTTGGTCAGACCATAGCTTGAGTACTGTGTACAGTTCTGGGCACCACAATTTAAGAAGGATATTGACAAGCGGGAACCTGTGCAAAAGAGGGTGACCAAGATGATCAAGGGTCTGGAAACCAAGCCTGATGAGGAACAGTTGGGGGAATTGGATATGTTTAGCCCGATAAATACATCAAGGGCTGTCACGTGGAGGATGGAGCAAGCTTGTTTTATGCTGCTCCGGAGGGTAGGACCCAAACCAATGGCTCCAGGTTACAAGAAAGGAGATACTGACTAAACATCGGGATGAAATTGCTGGCAGAAAGAACTGGTCTCGACAGATGTGAATGGATGCTCCTTCAGATGATAGCGGACTCTCTTTACTACTTGGAGGTTTTCAATGACATTGATTGAGTTGCGCATTGGACACATCTGCCATAGAGAAAATGCTTAAAGATAGAAAGAAATATACCATACAGTATGAAATACAAGAGAAAGAAGTATAGAAAACAGTCTAAAATGACCCATCTTGGGTCTCATTACAACCTTACAATTACTTTAGTTCTATGACTCTCTACCTCCTTCTGTGTACCAGTTCAATTATTTGACCAGCATTGCATTCCTCGGTTGAAATCCCATCGTGAATCTTAATATAGTATAACATTAAATTTAATCTATTAAACACCAATTTTCGCATTTCTTTAACTTTTAGTCCTAATCATAAATCTCAATCTACAGATGACTGAAAGCCTGTATAGCTGCTACTAGAATAGGAAACTTCAACATATTTAAGTTATAATTAGAAAAATCTTAATAATTATTAATAAAGGAAACAGTTTATAAGAAGTAAATAAGGAGGCCAGGTACAGGATAAAGGAAGTCTTTTATTTGGGTTTTATTTTATTTGTAATGTTGTATGTTATGCCCATTGTATGTTATGTTCATGTTTAATGAGGGTGGATTTGTGTATTGGGGGTGGGGGTTTTATGTTATGTTGTAAATAAAATTCCAATAAAATTAAAAATTAAAAAATAGAATAGGAAACCATGTATTTCAGGATACACACACACACACACACACACACACACTGCAAGTTGCCCTGTGATCCTCGGATGAAGGATGGTATAGGAATTTAACAGATAAAAATAAAAACAAAAAGTTAAAGTTAAGCACTTTAAAATTTTGATGAGAGTATGATACATGTGTGCAGGACTCTCACGTTCAAGTAAGCCTAAATGAAAATTGATTAATTTCGTGCCTTTAGCGTTTTCCTATGAAACCTTCATGGTGGATTGGAACGATCCTTTTAAAGTTCTGCAAAGGGCTTAGCAACATCCCTTTATTGACACAGAAGGAAACTAGCTGTCTGGAGCAGCCAGTGAGCTTCAAGGATATTTGCATGCAGGGACGCTTCTTGCATTGAAAAGGGGATCGCCTAATTCCTCCAGCTAGAAACCCCTTTGTCCCAGGAAGCTGTGAATTCCTCACCATGGATCAGCTCTTGAAACTCTTCCTATTTCTCGCTTGCTGTTGCTGGGGTAGGAGGGAGGACTTCAACATGTTTTATTAAAAATATTTCTCTAGTCCCCCCCCCCCCATTTATGCCATTTCCACTTAACCTTTTTGCTACAACTTTTGGTTCCAGGTTGTGAGGCGCAGTTCACGATGACTCAGCCGCCCTTCGTCTCGGCCTCCATGGGAGAAACAGTCAGGATCTCTTGTACAAGAAGCAGTGGGGGTATAAGAAGCAAGTGGAATTCCTGGTACCAACAGAAACCCAACAGCGCTCCAGTACTGCTAATATACAAGGATGAAGAGAGAGTGTCGGGGATCCCAGAACGATTCTCTGGTTCTTATGACACCTCGGCCAACTCTGTCACCTTAACCATCTCCAACATCCAAGCAGAAGATGAAGCTGACTACTACTGTCAAGCTGAAGACAGCAGCACGAGCACAATGGTAGAAGCTGATGAGGAAGTGAGACAAAAACCTTCCTTTAGGTGATTAGCTCTACTTGGTATTGCTTGCAGCTGGTAGACGTAAGAGCTGACCTTGTTCTCTTAAGGGCTCATGGGACAATTCATGCCAAACTTCAGCATGTGCTGTCCACTTGCTACCAAGCCACGTTGAGGATCCTTGTATTAATTTACAAAGCACTGGGTAACCCTCTCTTGAGAGGCTAGTTTAAGTTATGGACATTGACATATACTCGGAGTCGAGTGTGGATTTCATGCTGTTTATTCAGCTCATAATAATAATAATTTTTATTTATACCCCGCCCTCCCCAACCAAGGCCGGGCTCAGGGCGGCTAACAAGCAATAATAAAAATAAGTTGAATGAATACAACTTAAAAACAAAATTAAAATACAACATTAAAATATTGAAATATTAAAATGTAGCCTCATCGCAGGAGGAGAAAGGAAAAGAAAAAAGAAAGAGGGGGAGGGAATCAAGTTGGCTCCAAGCCAAAGGCCAGGCGGAACAACTCTGTCTTACAGGCCCTGCGGAAAGAAATCAGAATATTCATAGTAGTGTGGAGTGCAAGTTCCCCCCAAATATCTGCTTTATGTACATTATTTACACAATGGGCCACATGTGATTGGCTAATTCTGGGATTCTCCTGTAGGCCAATCAGGTTGTGGATTCACTTCCACCTGGAGCTGGATTGGGTGGCTCTTGCGGACCAATCAGACTGCTGCATTCCTAATCCTATTGTTCTAGGACGAATCAGACTGCTGCATTTTGGATCCTATTGTTCTGGGACCAATCAGACTGCTGCCTTTTGGATCCTATTTAACTCAGTACATAACAGACATACAGGTGAAGATGGTGAAAATTGGATCGCAGAGATGGAATATAACATCAGATGGAATTGTGTGTGTAAAGTAAAAATTAAAAGGGGGGGGGAGGAGAGAAGCTCTATTCTACAAAAGGTCTATGAAGGAAACTTAGAGCAGACTCTTTCCCTAGCCTTTATCATCCTCAGACTGAACTGAATTTAATTTACAGTCATACCTCAGGTTGTGAACGTGATCCATGCGGGAGGCACGTTCGCAACCAACAGCGTTCACAGCCTGAAGCGGTGCGTCTGTGCACGTGTGTGAGGCAAGTTTGGTGCTTCTGTGCACGCGCAGGATGTTATTTTGTGCTTCTGCGCATGCGTGAGCGCCAAAACCTGGAAGTAACCTGTTCTGGTACTTCTGGGTTCGGCGTGGTCCACAACTCGAAAACACGCAACCCGCAGCGTTCGTAACCCGAGGTATGACTGTAATTGGACTGTAACGCTTTATCCATGGCTGAACGGAGAGATAAGAGGAAGCTGTGAGCTTGCAAAAGAAGATTCATTATTCAGCTATTTGAAGTTTGACAACTTGCTCTACTTTCCAGGCTGAAAGGAAAGCTTTTGCAACAGCTTCTGCTGCAAAAAAATGATTTTACTAAGTGCTGAACAATGTAGGTCCAGGGTACCTCAGAAAACGTCTGAACTCTTACATCCTAGCTCAATTATTGAGAGCGTGTGAAGAAGTGATGTTGGTCATTCCTCAAGCTGGCAAGGCTCATTTGACAGCAAGAAATCAAGCCTTTAGTGTCATCAGCCCAATTTTGTGGAACGCTCTCCCTACACAGATTCAGCTGGCAACTTCTATCTCAACTTTTAAATGTCTGCTGAAAACTTTTCTGTTCTATTAGGCATGTGCGGGCAATTGAGAATGCACTGCTTTGATTTAAAATTTTATTTATACTTTTCAGATCTATACAATTCACTGATTTTACAATCATTTTAGCATTTTACAACTTGACTTACACCCCCCTCTTTCTGCAGTTCCTTAAATTTATTTTTAATATCTTCTGCGTATCCAAATTAACTTAACTTACTCATTTATTTATCTTCTTTAAATATATACTCTTATATAGCTGCAGGTTATTACAATAATCCGGCCGGTGTTTTTATCTGTTTACAATTTATCTGTAAATATTCAAGAAACCATTTCCAGTCTTTTATGAAAAGTTTGTTATCTTGATTTCTTCTTCTGGTAAGTTTCACAATTTCTGCATATTCCATAAGTTTTTGTATCCATTCTTCCTTTGCTGGGACTTCTTCTTGCCATTTTTGGGCAAGTAACATTCTAGCTGCTGTAGTTGCATACATGAATAAATTTCTATACAATTTAGGTAGTTTCCCCCCTATAATTCCCAATACATTGTTGAGAATACATTGTTCCGTGATACGTTTGCTGATTTCTGATTTTAAAAAAATATTTAAAAATCCCCCAAAATTCTTCCCTCCTAGATGGAAGAGAATGCAAAGTTTTAACCTTTCTCCCAGCCCCATGTCTCTGCCTTTAACAGCAACAACCACACCATTCAATGCTGTCCATCAGAAATGTAAAAAGTTTAATGGCAGGTAGGTGTCACTGTTGTCCTCTTCCCATTGCCCCTTTTTTACTTAAGAAAAGACAGGTAGAATACTATTGTGAGCTGTAACCACCATATTTGCTGGTGTTGATGGAATCAAATGGTAAGACCATGTGGAGGATCTGAGATATGCCAACCAGAGGGATAGAGAAAAGAGGAAAGAAGACAGGCCCAGGGTAAAATTTGTGGAAGAAGCTGAGTCAAAATGGCGACGGAAGCAGCAGCCTAGTCAGAGCCTCCTGCCTTTAATTAGGTTTTTAAGTAGTTTTAGTCATTCTTTCATCCTAATTGTTTTATTAACTGCTTTATGGTTGCCTTATCATTTTGTCCACTTTTGTTTTTTAGTTTATTGGTTTAGTGTTTTATTGTTTTATGGCTCAGCCCGACTTAGCGTGACAATGGACGCCCAATGAAGATTGATTGTAGTCTAATTTGCAAGTTTTCGCCAACTAAAAAAGAAAAGAAAAAAAAGGACCTGGATTGACCTGATAAAACTCTGCAAATTTTATCGGAATGCCTGCCAAAAGGAAAAAACGATGTAGGAAGAGCCAAAACAGCATAACTGGGACTCACAAATCTTCTAAAGCAGACAAGTGGCGGAAAGCTAATTCCGTCATCCCTAGCTCGGAAATAGAGCAAACTGTGAGTAATGATGCCAATGGAACCCCCCCCTTCAAAGGAAGGAAGGAGATGATTCGACCCAGAGGATAGGAGCAGCAGGGGTTTTCCCTACTCCAAACTGGATGGGCTATACCTATTGGGGATGCTTCTCCTGCTGATTTTTCATCTACCTTTTCGTGTTGGGAGACCTGGTCCAGAGACGATATGTTAGTGAGGGGATATCATTCCTTTATGGGGGAGGCCAGTCCGGGGTTTGGGATCACCACCGTTGAAGGGCTAGGGAGGTAGGGCGGTGGGGGTCGATGTTATAGGCGAAGGGATGTTATAGGCGTGGGTGTGTCATGCAGAAAGTGGAAGGTTGGGGGAAATGGCTAAAAATGGTGGATTCCATTGTGAGGGATTCTAATCTAAGTATGCCTGTATGCAAGGAAGGTCCTCTAAGAGAAAAGGAAACAAAGAAGGAAAACTGAATCTGCGAAAGATTTCTCCAAATCCAGATCTTTACTTATCGGATTCCCAGCTCCCTGATACCATGACCAACAGATGGCTGCTGCTTGTTCTGTGCTAGTCCTTCAAGATTGCGACACAGTAGTTAAGGAGCTAGACATTTGCATGAAGGGGCTGCTCCCCTGACCTCTGGGGATTTAAGAGAGAAGGAGCAGATGCCAATGGAATCTCTCTTTTCTTTCAAAAACCCCAATCCGTAGATTTCCTCATAATGACCTGGGGCTTGCTCCTCTTCACAATCCTTGTGTCCATCTTTGGTGAGGGAGATTCATTGGGTGGATGGGGAAAAAATCTGATATGAAGCAGAGAAGCATAAACTGTCCTCCTAAACCTTCACTTTACAAGTATTTGATGTTGTCCACTTTAAATTAACCTACTGATTCTTTGCCTTGCTTTCTTCCAGGTCCCAGTGTCCAGCAGTTACTGACTTTGAAGGACCCAGAATTTGTGGCTCCAGGTGGGACAGTCACCATGTCTTGCAGGTTCAACAGTGGAAACATCGCTGATAGCAACTACCCTTGGTGGGTACAGAAAAAGCCTGAGAGTAAACCCTGGACACTTATCCATGACACCAGCGCCAGACCGTCTGATGTTCCAGCCCGTTTCTCTGGTTCTAGATCTGGGAATGTGATGTCCCTGACCATCACAGGGGCCCTCCTGGAAGATGAAGCTATTTATTATTGTGCTGTGTGGGCTGGGAGTCAGTGACACAGTGCTTCATTCAGATGAGGAAGTGAGACAAAAACCTCCTCTCCTTTGCTCTCTGTGCACGTGAACAAATTCTGAACCTCTGTTTGTTTGATTTTCCTGTAGTGAATGAGTTCCCAAAGAAAGGCTGGGGCTTTTTTCCAGGCAACCTGTTCTTCCACAATTTCTTCAGGGAGGTTCAGCAATATCTACTGTTTACTGATCATTCATTCTATTATGTTTGCGGGAAGATTGTATTATATTGTGCTGCAAAAACATACTTTAACACATCTCCCAGTGCATTTTCTCATCAACTTCCTCATTGCATGAAATTCTGATGTTGCTTGGTTGGACATGAACTCCAAGCCACCTTTTATTTTGCAACCTGAATTTGCCAGTACAGTCAAACCTTGGTTCTGAAACAGCTTAATTGCTGATCAAATCGGCTCCAAAACACCGCAAACCCGGAAGCAAGTGTTCCAGTTTGCAAACATTTTTCAGAAGCCGAACATCCGATGCGACTTCTGCTTGAGTGCAGGAATCTCCTGCAGCCAATCGGAAGCTATGCCTTGGTTTTCGAGCAGTTTTGGGAGTCAAAAGGGATCGCGGAATGGATTAAGCTTGAGAACCAAGGTGCCGCTGTACTATATTGAATCCTGTCCTAGCCCTCGCTGCCAGTTGGAGAAATCAAACTCCCTGTAGGTTGATGCCCAATACCATAGGTGCCAACTCCCTAGGCCCCTGGGTGCCTAATCACCCACAAAATTCCCCAGGGGCCAAGCACCCACCAATTTTGATGCCAGGGCACATTGCATGGCACCTATGGCTCTGCGCACCAATGGTTGTGGGGCCAAGCTGACACTCCTGCCCAAGACTTTAATTCTTAAATTAGAGTGGTGCCCAAGCAAGGCACAGTTACAATGAACACAGGTGTGCAAGGGAATCAGATGCAAAGTTTGGTTCTGACCACTGTGAGAACAGAAAGTTAGACTAGATGGATCATTGGTGTGACTGAGCAGGATCTTACTTTCTTTGGTCTGAGACATTGATCTGGCAAACAACACATTCCCTGCACCTTCCTTTTCAAGATTAGGTCAGGTACTACTCTTAGAGCAGCAAGCAGCCAGAGTCCCAGGACCAGGGAAGCCCAACCCAAGGGGGTTGAGGTTCTGAGGTCTGTTGGTGGCAACGCTGGTGTCACACCATCTCAGGAAGTGATGTTGAAGGCAGCTCAGAATCTGATTTGCTCTCAGTAGCCTGCTTCTCTAAAGGAGACTTGTCAGCGACAAGGAGAGGCACTGTTTGTGTGTGTTTTACTCCACAGCAAAAGGGGTCTACGGTGTTACTGGAAGAGAACACCCCTCAGCTCTTCTGCTTGTTCTCTGACCTGGATCCATGTCTCCATCTTCCATGCTGCAAATCCGTTCTCTGCTCTCAAAGCCAAGGTGCCAAAGTTGAAGGACACTTGCCCTGGTAGATGTTCTCCCTAACGTTGGGCTACATACGGTTCCTTAGGCAAATGCAGTCTAAATAAGTTCAAAATATGTTCCCCCCATGGCTTCATATTTTCTGGTGCTACCCTAGGAACAAAAACAGGTTTGGGGGGCTAAACTCTGGCAGCATTCAATGCATTAATGAACTGAGCCTGATCTTCTGGTCCCAGTTTTGTTTTTAGCTAACTCAGGAGACATCTCAGAGATGGTGTGACCTGAGTTCTTTTGTCTCAGATTCATTCTGCAAATGCCTTGGGCTAAGCAGAAACTAGACCACCCCAATGATTTATATGAGATTGGCAGGGCAAGGGGGTGCTGGAAAGAAAAATACAAGTTTGCCTGTTGCTGTACGCAAGGAAAGAGCTCTAAAATGAAAATTTAGTCCCTGAATTCAGATTCCCACTCCTCAGATTCCCAGGTATCTGAGCATATCACAGTCAGCAAGACTGCAGTTGCTTTTTCTGAGCTAGTCCTCCAGCATCTAGAGACCAAAGTTAAGGAGTTACACATTTGCATGAAAGGGGCTCCTCCCTTGACCTCTGGGGATTTAACAGATGCTTTGCAGATATGAATGAGATCTTCTTTTCCTTCAGAAAAAACTAGCCCAGAAGATTTCCCCATTATGCTTCTCTTCTCAATCCTGCTGTCCATCATTGGTAAGGGGAATTCACTTTTTGGATGGGATACATTTTCTTTGAAGCAAAGAACATGCGTCCTCTGTGCTCTAAAACCCTACAGCTTGCAGAACATTTGGTGATGCTACATAGTAAATTAAACTGCCAAACAATGAAATGCATTGTTCTCTTCCAGGTCCCAGTGTCCAGCAGCTACAGAACTTGAAGGATCCAGAATTTGTGGCTCCGGGTGGGACGGTCACCATGTCTTGCAGATTGGACAGCGGGAGCATCAGTGACAGCAACCAGCCTATGTGGGTGCAGAAAAAACCTGAGAGTAAACATCAACTGATGATGTACACCACCAGGAACAGACCACCTGTTGTTCCAACCCGTTTCTCTGGGTCTAGCTCAGGGAATATGATGTCCCTGACCATCACGGGGGCCCTTCTGGAAGACGAAGCTGTTTATTACTGTGCTGTGTGGACTGCAAGTCCCTGGCACTATGCTTCATTCAGATGGGGAAGTGAGACAAAAACCTCCTCTCCTTTGCTCTCTCTGTACATCAACAGAACCTAAACTCACTGCTGTAGCCTCTGTTTGTTTGCATAGTGAATGGCTTATCGAGCATACATCCTTGCACAGTTTCTGCAGGGAGGTTCAGAGAAGCCTGCCATTTATCAAGCACTCATTCTGAGTCTGTGTGCACCGCCGGCACCAGAAAGTCCTTGACCATCACCCCTGGGCATCCAGTAGATGGCACTGTTGCACTTTCAACTTTGGCTGGATGGAGACACATCAAGGAAGCGTTTCCGATAAATGCGTTGTAAATTTAAACAGAGAAAACAGATAGAGGAAAACAAGGCTCCACAGCGTCATCTGGTGGCCCAGTGTTATGTTGCATATACAACACATATAAACCGCTTTTTCTTTACCTATCTAGTCCTAAGTATTGAGTCCTAAGTATTGGTTTGCTTCAGAATTCTCTCCACAGTTCAGTTATTGCTTAAATTGTGCTGTGCAATGTTTTATATTGTAAGTGCCTCTTTATTATTTATATCTGTATTTTAGATATTTTCATGCACGCTGCCTAGAGAACTTCAGTCATGGGGTGTCATAGAGATATTATTTATATGAATAAATTAGATTTGCCCTAGATCAGCAACAGAAAACGACCAGCAGAATTTGCTGCTGTGAACCAGAGCAGGAGGGGGGAGAATTGGATTGGGGAAGCCCTGTGGGTGCGTCATGTAGAAAGTGGAAAGTTGGGGGAAATGGCTAAAAATGGCAGTAGCAACATTCTGACTTGGATTCCTATTTGACTGGATGGTGGATTCGATTGTGAGGGATTCTAATCTAAGTATGGCTGTATGCAAGGAAGGTCATTTAAGAGAAAAGAAAAAGAAAAAGAAGGAAAACTGAATCTGCGAAAGATTTCTCCGAATCCAGATCTTTACTTCTCGGATTCCCAGCTCCCTGGTACCATGACCAACAGATGGCTGCTGCTTGTTCTGTGCTAGTGCTTCAAGATTGCGACACAGTAGTTAAGGAGCTAGACATTTGCATGAAGGGGCTGCTCCCCTGACCTCTGGGGATTTAAAAGAGAAGGGGCAGAGGCCAATGGAATCTCTCTTTTCTTTCAAAAACCCCAATCCGTAGATTTCCTCATAATGACCTGGGGCTTGCTCCTCTTCACAATCCTTGTGTCCATCTTTGGTGAGGGAGATTCATTGGGTGTATGGGGAAAAAATCTGATATGAAGCAAAATGTTTGATGTAGATTAATGTGCTGAGCAGTTCCCTGCCTTGCTTCCTTCCAGGTCCCAGTGTCCAGCAGTTACAGACTTTGAAGGACCCAGAATTTGTGGCACCAGGTGGGACAGTCACCATGTCTTGCAGGTTCAACAGTGGAAACATCGGTGATGGCAACTACCCTTGGTGGGCACAGAAAAAACCTGGGAGTAGACCCCGACTGATAATGTACGACACCAGCACCCGAGCGTCTGACGTTCCAGCCCGTTTCTCTGGGTCTCGATCGGGGAATGTGATGTCCCTGACCATCACGGGGGCCCTTCTGGAAGATGAAGCTGCTTATTACTGTGTTGTATGGACTGGGAGTCAGTGACACAGTGCTTCATTCAGACGGGGAAGTGAGACAAAAACTTCTCCTTTGCTCCCTTGGTGCATCAACAGAATCTGAACTGCCTTTCATAGTTTCAATGATGTCTGTAGAATTACTGTGTTTTAAAATCCCGCATTATTATCCCTAAATGTATGGATACAAAGTAAAAAATATCTGAACTAGCAGTGGTAGAATATATGGATAGCAATGCTAGGCACAGAATGATATGCCATAATAATAATAATAATAAATTTATTATTTATACCCCACCCATCTGGCTGGGTTTCCCCAGCCACTCTGGGTGGCTTCCAACAGAATATTAAAATACGATAACCTATTAAACATTAAAAGTTTCCCTAAACAGGGCTGCTAGTACTTACTACCACCAAAGGCAGGGCTTAATGTCTCAAAGGAGAGGGGCAGCACCTGAACATTCAGAGGGATGCTTTGCCCTGGTATACCTTTCCCGTAATCCCTGATGAGTGTTGGGCTACTTTGGAAAATGCACTCTAAACTGTTGAGAAGACTTTGGCGACTATGGGGTTGCGGCACGCACCTCGCTTTCAGGACGAGGGAGACGACATTTGTCCATAGACAGCCTTCCAGGTCATGTGGCCAGCAGGACTAAACCACTTCTGGCACAACGGGACACTGTGACGGGAGCCAGGGAGCACGGAAATGCCGTTTACCTTTCTGCCACAGTGGTACCTATTTATCTACTTGCACTGGTGTGCTTTGGAACTGCTAGGTTGGCAGGAGCTGGGGCAGAGCAACGGAAGCTCACTCTGTCATGGGGATTCGAACTGCTCACCTTCTGATAGGAAAGCGCAAGAGGCTCAGTGGTTTAGAACACAGCGCCAAGCTTTCTGTACTAGGGCTTCCTATATTTCAACCAGTGCTATCACTGGGACAAACAAAAAACAAAACATTATAAATCAGATTTAGGTGTTGAACCTTAACATCTTCACTGAATTCAAGGGTTGCTCCCCATCCCGACCCCTTGGTCCAGGGAATTATTTTTTAGCAAAAGCAGCTATTGTATCCCAGGCATGGCATGAGCTGAAATGTTTGCTGCAGATCCATTCCTGCAATCAGGCCAGGATTCTTTTTAATGCCTTGGACTAAACACAGACTAGTCCATCCCAGGATTTATACCATGAAGAAAAGGAGGCTTCCTGCCACTGTGTGTAAAGGGGGACCTATAAAATAAAATCATGCAACCCCCCTCCAAAAACCATACCACCTTCTAAGCTTAAACTCTGAATCCAGTTTGTCATTCCCAGGTCCTGAACACAGCATGACCAGGAGTTGGCAGCTGCTTTTTCTGTTAGTCCTCTACAGTAGTTAAGGAGCTAGACATTTGCATGAAGGGGCTGCTCCCCTGATCTCCGGGGATTTAAGAGAGATGGGGCCGAGGCCAATGGGATCTCCTTTTGCTTTAGAAAATCTAGCCCAGCAGTTTTTGCCATCATGGCCTTGTTTCTCGTCACATTCCTGATCTCCATCATTGGTGAGGGAAATTCATTGGGTAAATGGGGACAAATCTGAGTGGAAATAAAAGCAGGCGCCTTCTGTTCTCTAAAACCTTGTACTTTGCAAAATGTTTGATGTAGATTAGTGTGCTGAGCAGTTCCCTGCCTTGCTTCCTTCCAGGTCCCAGTATCCAGCAGCTACAGACCTTGAAGGACCCTGAATTTGTGGCACCAGGTGGGACGGTCACCATGTCTTGCAGGTTTGACAGTGGAAACATTGGTGATGGCAATGAGCCTTGGTGGGTACAGAAAAAACCTGGGAGTAGATCCCGGCAGATAATGTACGACACCAGCACCTGACCGTCTGACGTTCCAGCCCGTTTCTCTGGCTCTCGATCGGGGAATGTGATGTCCCTGACCATCACGGAGGCCCTTCTGGAAGATGAAGCTGCTTATTACTGTTGTGTGTGGACTGGGAGTCAGGGGCACAGTGCTTCATTCAGACGGGGAAGTGAGACCAAAACCTCCTCTCCTTTGCTCTCTCTGTACATCAACAGAACCTGAACTCCCTGCTGTAGCCTCTGTTTGTTTGCATAGTGAATGGTTTATTGAGCATGCATCCTTGCACAGTTTCTGCCTATTTATCAAGCACTCATTCTGAACCTGTGTGCACCGCCGGCACCAGACCGTCTGCCATTCCAGCCCATTTCTCGGGGTCTAGATCAGGGAATGGAAGGTCCTTTACCATCACCCTGGGCACCCAGTGGGTGTCACTGTTGCACTTTCAACTTTGGCTGGATCGAGACACATCAAGGAAGCATTTCAGTTAAATGCGTTGTAAATTTAAACATTGGGTGGCACAATGTTATATCCCATATACAACATATATCAATTGTTTTTTCATGACAAATCTAGCTGAGTCCTAAGTATTTGTTTGCTTCTAAATTCTCTCTGTGGCTCAGTTATTGGTGCCTCTTTTTTGTTTATATTTGTATTTTAGATATACTTATGCACGCTGCCTAGAGAGCTTCCAGTCATGGGGTGGCATAGAGATATAATTTATAGGAATAAATTAGAGCAGTCCTAAATCAACAACAGAAAACAAGCGGCAGAATTTGCTGCTGTGAACCAGAGACTTTTCACACTGCAGAAGCGGGTAGAATTGGATTGGGGAAGCCCTGTGGGTGCGTCAGGCAGAAAGTGGAAGGTTGGGGGAAATGGCTAAAAACAGCAGTGGCCGCTGGTAACATTTTGACTTGGATTCCTATTTGACTGGATGGGAAATTCCATCTTGAGGGATTGTAATCTGCATATGATTGTAGGCAAGGAAGGTCCTCCAAAAGAAAAGGAAAAAGAAGAAGGAGGAAAAAATCAATGTGCTGAACTTTTCTCTGAAGCCAGATCCTTACTTATCAGATTCCGAGTGCTTGATACCATGACCAGCAGATGGCTGCTCCTTCTTCTGTGTAGTCCATCAACAGCTGGACACAGTAGTTAAGGAGCTACACATTTGCATGAAGGGGCTGCTCCCCTGACCTCTGGGGATTTAAGAGAGATGGGGCAGATGCCAATGGGATCTCTTTTTTCTTTAGAGAAGCCCACTCTGTAGATTTCCTCACAATGGCCTGGGGCTTGCTCCTCTTCACAATCCTGGCGTCCATCATTGGTGAGGGAGATTCATTGGGTGTGTTGATTTAAAGCAGAGTCTCTGGTGCCCAGCGGAAGGATGAGCAATACGTGCTACATACTCTATATTGCTTTATTTACAGTTCAAAGCTGGTATATTACAGAAAGACATCTTGCCTCTGCAGGAGCAGAAAAATGCATCCTCTCTCCTCAACAGCTTGGAGAGAATCACACAGTGAAAAACAGGAAACCAGTGTACGTCACATCCAGTCTCCCTTTCCCGTGAGAAACTCCAACAGTACAGACTGTGGAATGTAAACACCTGTCTTGTGACTGCAGTTGCTGCTCAGTGAAGGAAATAGAAACCAACATCCTCCCCTTTCTGTGAACATCACTGGGCAGCGTGTTCGTACAGTATCAGTACAAACCCAACTTCTGCACATAGGTACAGTGTTGATCCCTCGATACAATCTTGGACAATACATCAGCAGGAATTTCATTACCTGGCATATAGGACACCGTTACGAGTCCCTTCTGAATACATTCCCTAGCATGCTGCAACTTTAATTGCAAGTGCTTTGTGCTTTGCTTACAACCTTCAGACTTCAGCAAAGCTAAACATGCTTTGTTGTCCTGGTAAACCTGGATTGGACATTTGACAGGAATTTTCATATCTTTGCACAATTGTACTAACCATTCACAATCCTTAAGTGAATCAGACAGTGCATTCAGTTCGGCTTCACAAGTACTTAAGCTAACTGTTGTTTGCTTCTTGCATGACCAATCAAAAAGACTCTGATTGTACATGTAGCAAACTCCAGACGTACCTTTCCTGTCTGTAGCGTCACTTCCAAAACTTGCATCTGCAAATATCTCAAGACCACCAGACTTCTGATTGTTAAATCTCAGTCTGTAATGCATAGTGCCTTTCAAATACCGCGCTATGCGTTTCAGAGCTTTCCAATCCTTGACACTAGGATTGTTGACTTGTCTGCTTAGCAAATTACAGCTAACAGCAATGTCTGGTCTTGAACATCTGGCAATGAAGTTTAGCTTGCCTAGCACACTCCTGTACAGTGTAGTGTCAGAAAATGCTTCTTCAGTGTCATCTACCTGATAACCTGTTGTCATCGGTGTGTCTACAGGGTTAGCATCCATCAGATTTAGTTTGCTTAACACATCAGCAATTTTCCGTGACTGGTGTACTAGAATGTTACCATCTTGATCTCTCTCTATTTCCAGAGATAGGTAGTTGTTTACCTCACCAAGATCTTTCATGTCAAAGTGCTCTTTCAGTTGAGCTAGGGCGTTATTGTACATTGCAACATCTTTCCAAAAGAATAATAAATCATCAACATAAAACAAACAGTACAGTTTCTTTTGCCCCTCCTCTTTGACAAATACACATGGATCAGCTTTCCCTTGCTGAAAACCTAGAGAAAACAATACTTCAGTGAGTTTTGTGTGCCAACACCGTGCACTTTGTTTGAGACCATAAAGGGATTTCTTCAGAGCACAAACAAATCCCTGTTTTACCTGTACGCCATCAGGTGGAAGCATATAAAGTGATTCATCTAGAGATCCGTACAGAAAAGCTGTATTAATATCATGGTGACTAATGTGTAGATTTTCCTCTGCAGCTAGCTTGAGCATAAGCCTAATGCTTTCATATCTCACTGTGGGTGAATAGGTCTCGTGATAGTCTTGACCTGGTACCTGTGCAAAACCTCTGGCTACCAATCTGGCTTTGTGTCTGACTATCTTGCCATTTTGATCTGTCTTCGCTTTGAAGACCCATTTGCTTCCAAGCAGTTTCATTCCTGGAACTACTGGAACTAGCTCCCATGTTTTGTTCCTTTCTAAGGAATCAAGCTCAGCCTTCATGGCATTTAACCATGGCTTAG